CAAGAGCCCCGCACACCGAAACCCTAAAACACAAGAGCCCCGCACACCGAAACCCTAAAACACAAGAGCCCCGCACACCGAAACCCTAAAACACAAGAGCCCCGCACACCGAAACCCTAAAACACAAGAGCCCCGCACACCGAAACCCTAAAACACAATACTCAATTAGCTAACAACTGAAATAAAATGATAAATTACAATTAAGTTAACATTTTCATTTTATAAATTTTCAGTAATAAACTAAAAAACATCAAAATTGCAATGGATATCAGTTTACCACTTTTTGTACGAAAAGAATTGATTCAAGGATAAACAGAACAATTACAAATTAGCATTTGTAAAGTAATATGGAAGGCTATCAAGCTTTATTATGTAGATATATAATTTTTTGAAAGAACGAACTAAGTGAAACAGTTAAAGCCATCATTTTATTAGTCCAAAATCTAGTAATAAAGAAAACTTATCACCAAAAAAATATAACCTGAAGAGATTGATCTGGACTTTCAAAATCTTCTATACGAGTTACATTGTAAGCTTAATAGCAAATTCTTCTCTAGAGATATGCATTATTATATTATATTTAAGATACTTGGTACCTAATCGTTCTGAAGAAATTGATCATTCGTACCTTTCACATGTAGACGACAGTATATTAGAAACCAACAGATTACTGAATTGTGTCATTACTTTAATTCATAACCTTTTTGACACAATACTTCAAAAGAATGGGCGAATGTTTAGCCATTCTTTCAGCCGCAGAGCAACTCGAAAAAACGAATTGACCTTACTCAATCTATGGGAACTCGTAAAATTGAATGCCGGTTACATATTTGATATAGGAATAACAAAATGTAAGCAAGCTTTAGTAGATTATACATGCAAGTTTTGATCTTGATCTTAGCTCTTAGGAGTTGACCTGGTATAACAATTTTGGAGCCCGAGAAAAGGGTGCAACTCATTAAACACATCCAAATGGTTAAGCTACTTCCTGTCTTCTATGATAATACTAACAGAACGTGATCATTTGATTTGCTGACGTATGCCATATTTTGAAATGAGTGATAAAGGTTATGATTGATTAATGGTTGAACTCGCAGTTCCTCATCATAGATACAAGGGGTATATTTGACTCACATAATTACAGGCTCTATATTTTCAACGTCGCATTTTCAACGTCGCAACAATCGCGAAACTTCAGACTTACAAGAAACAAAGAGAATATCAAGATGCATTTATGAGTAAACTATGCAAGTGCTGTTTAGCGCTTTAGGGGATAAGGGTTGCCAAAAGTGCATACCAAATTAGTAACACGTAAATGTCGTCTACGAATTCGGATTTTAGAGTTGGTACAATACTGTTAGGAGACTGCATTGGAACACGGTAAACTCCCAAACAAATACTATGGAGAATAGCCATGTGCATTAGTCTTGAATGCATAGAATTAACTAAACTTACTACATTGGAGTATCTCAAACCAGCAATTCTTTATTTAGGTTAAAGAAGCCTTAAACGATCACAACAAAGGTAAGTCGATCAATTGGGAACGGAAAAGAAAGCATAAACACACGTAGTTAAATATAAGCGATTCATCCAAAAATGTTTCATGTTTGCGAGAGCTACGAGAAAATACGATAGTTACAAACGGCTGATAGTAAGAGGAAACTTGTGATCACATGACAAAAGAGGAATGACTCTCAAGTTCCAATTGAGTTTCAGTAGTAAGTTGAGGTTGGCTTGTGAAATCTATAACTAATTTGGATGATAGAGACGACGACCACGTGGGCACTCTTACATCAAAGGAAAATCACAATTGAGCCACAATACAGACTGAGTTCTGATTGCGTTGCCTAGTATCACTATTTTTATACAAGGGATATCCCTAGCAAGTTTAGAACCAATTGATAATAATGTGCAGGAAAATGTCACATGGCATTTCAAATAATAACCGACACTAATATTGCTTGCCTCAGAATATGTAAACAAATTAAAGTATCAATATTAATGGGCGACATTCAACTTTATTGATATACAATTTTGAAATTAATTAATGATTACGAAGTAGTATCACTTCTCCTTTTATATGCCCCCAAGAGATGGCGCTTTTCACTTTACAAATTTTTGCGTAAAAAGTTTGTAAAAAATGGACTATAAACCACTCATATGAGTTGCTAAGTTCGTCAGACATTTTCCTCACATTGTATGCCAGAAAGTTTATGCACACAAAGTAAGTGACCTTAAAAAAACTCAAAGCTTATCATACTACACAGTAATTTTCACATTCGATAAGCGTAGGAGCGTTGATATTCAGGTGTTCATTTATAGTGACTTTATAAATGTAAGTATCTAGTGTCCGTTTGAAAGAGAGCACCCCCCTAACAAACACGGTTATATATGAAAAGCTACAACATCTCTTGATGCAGAAGATATGTACATCTAGAATGTGATACAAAAAGCTAGGCGTCAATGTATCTCTTGATTGCACTACATATGTACGATCTTTTTATCATATTTTAGCAAGGCACATCTTGTGATAATAAAAAAGCGTCGATGATAAAGCCAGACACTCCATATATACGACAGGGGATAAAAAAGCAATTAAATTGTTCACCAACCTAAGCATTTTAAAGTCTGACACAATCAGGAATGAGTATTTTTTATATCAGACACAAGGCATTGTTTAAAGAACGTAAGCAATGTAAAAAGGCTTATGCGTTTATTTTTACATGCGCAAAAGTTTATTTGTGGTTCCAAAACGTGTGTGGGTCTTACTTGAAGATATATCCATCGATTTTTTCTTTCAAATATTACAACTTCAAAATCGAACATTGCATTCATCTTTCTTCTCTGTTTATCCTTCCGTGGACCGAGTCGCTGAACATGCCTTTACCCATTAACTTTTCTGTTATGGGAGTTCCCAGATATGTTAAAATCATTCTTTTATTATTTGTTCTCGTTTTGGTAGGACACCTTATTTGGGTGTTGGAAGATCGTCCTTCCCTTAAGGATCTGGTTTACTCCAAGCTTCCATTCGGTAAGGCTGAACCAAGTTATGTCTATGAGACAGTTACATCTTTTGCCACCAAGACTGAAACAGCTATAAAAACTACTGTTCAGACAGTCAATCATGTGACCACCAAAACTGTTGATGCCACATTTGATGCACAATTCACAGGTCTTTCAAGGGCTCAACTTGAAGCTATCCGTGAAATAAAGGCTGATGCTACACACAACTTGATCAGTGTCACGAAAGACGACAAGTCAGAAACCAACCTCCTTGCACGTTTATCTGAATACATGGATAAAAAATATGGAACCAAATTTGATGATTCCCATCCACTCAAGGGGGTACCCTTGAAACTTGTTAAAGAGAAGATCGTGGCCGATTTCATTAAGAGTAATGTGTTAAACATAGATGAGCTGTTGGTAGACCATTTAGAGGATCGTCAAACCTTTTATAAATGGATTGTCACAGATTTACTTCTTCCCTTCAAGCCTGATATCAATGCCTTTGAAGGTGATGAAACAGGATATGCATTGGATGGTAAAGGAAAATATGAAAAGGTTGAAAGCCCCAAATTTTCCAAAAACTTTTTAGACATCGTCAAGCCATCAAAGGAAAAAATTGATAACTTGAAGAAACATCATAAAAATTTGATTGCGAAATTGAAGAGAGTACAATTACCTCCCAAACTGTTATTTAGAGGTTCTGGGATTGTGATTCCTTCTTCTGGAGTAATTTTACCAGGTGCTTTGGTTGCCATTGGTCAAATCAGAGAACTTGGATCCAAACTTCCTATTGAAGTCATTCTTAATAACGAAGGGGAGTATAATAAACACATTTGTGAAGATCTCCTTCCATTATTAAATGCTGAGTGTGTTGTTCTTGAAAGAGAAATTGGTAAGAAACTTTTAGATAGTTTGAATTTGAAAAAGTTCCAATTGAAGGCTATCACTTTACTTGTTTCCAAATTCGACCACACATTGTGGTTAGATGCCGATAATGCTCCATTAAAGAACGTTGATGACTATTTTGATTCTGATGTTTATCGAGATACAAAATTTGTGTTATGGCCAGATCTTATGAAATCTTCTATTTCCCCCATATACTACGATATTGCAGACATTGAAATCGGTGAAAGAATCCACAGAGAAGGCTTAAAAAATGGAGAAAGTTTGGAGGAATATTCAAAATTGTCAAATGATGAAGTTGCTTTCTATGATTTAGAAGGCACTGTTCAAGGATTATCAGTTGAGAGTGGTCAAATGATGTTCTCTAAGGTTGAACATTTCCGTTCTATTGTCTTAGCATTATACTACAATGTATTCGGAGATGGGTTATACTACAAGCTTCTTTATCAAGGAGCTTGGGGTTGGGGTGACAGAGATACATTCCATACCGCGTTATTAGCCATGAAGGAAACATTTTTTTTCTCTGAGTTTATGGCATGGCATCTTGGATGGATGGCAGGTGATGAACTTAAAGACACGACCGTTGTACAACATGATCCTATTCAATCATATCTGTTTATGAAGAAATGGAGACAATGGTTAAGGAAGAAGGGATTGGATTCAAGAATGAAAATGTCCCAAAATAATGATTATACCAAAAAATTGAAAGAAGATTTCATGAAAGATCATCCCGACTTGAAGATCCCAGATGTTGCATTCCTTCATATTCATAACCCCAAGATCAATCCTCTTAAGAACACTCTTCTTAAAGATGGTGTTTATGATAATCGGATTTTAGGTTTACCCGACGCATACAAGGATTATTTGGGAGAAACAGATTGGGAATTAAGATTGCAAAGCATTGCAAAGTTTATTACTTGTGACATGCTTGATGCTTCATATTGGACAGGGATCAAGAGAGACCCTACAGAGGTTTGTAAAGTTGTTACTGAGTTTGTTGATAAGTTAAACAAGGACACCAAATATCCTGAATTCGGTGAGGTAAAGCTTTTGAATGAATTGTTCCTTCCACATGATGGCACTTAATTGTATTGTTATAGGAAACTTCGAGCACCACGTATAATTTAATAGAGTTACATATTTGACTGTGTCCGCATTATGTAAGTTGTAGGTCTGCTAATCAAGGCCATGCTAGATTTGCTAGTAACATTCCCAGGCATATTTCTCCTCAGACAAAATTATTATCCTGAGATCAGACACAAAGTACACAATACAGATTTTTTATTGTTGATCTCACATAATGTAACCATCGAAAAATATACGCAACCTATAGAAAATTCACACATGATCATCCTCCATGGCTTTAACAGTTGAAGAGAAGCGTACGGAAAGAAATGTCAGATTTGCGAAAGCGATCACATTTTAAGAAACTGATGCAATACCATTAGTATGGTCCACATAATTTCAGGAAATTTGTCAATGTGATTGTTACAGAACCAAAGGTTCTCATTGGAATTCGTGTTTGTTCAAATGGTCTTCAACGGAAAAGTACATAAATGCCACGAACAATAAAAAACACTTCACCAAAATACACGACCTCGGATTAATTACTTATCAAGATTCTTCGATGCAGGGTTAAATTTCATATACAAGGAGATATTCTTAAATGAAGACCATCTTTGCTTATTGTCTAAATGGAAGGAGTAAACGCCTCCAGTACGGCTAGGTGGAAATCGTAAACTAATTGGGTAGCTTATGCTTTCATCCATAGTCAACTCTATACCCAACATTGCGCTCTTGCAGTCATCACAAGTCTATATACTGGTTCACTTTGGGATAGGTGTAGATTACTGTTGGTGATGCTAGCACGTAAATAAGCGTATCTTTGTTAGTGCGTACGTTTAGTAAATGCAGACTGGGGAACAAAACATAGTACATAGTTTGTGTAGCTAATTTAAATCTGTTCTCAAATGCATCGCGTCATAAGATAGAATGTGTATTGCTCACATGATATAATTTCGGTAGTTCAAATCACGTGATATTTTGTTCATGCTACAATAGTTGTACGGCAACTAAAGCATTCTTCTCCACACACCACAGTTCTATGATTCTGAAGAATGCAAGTGCTATAACCTTGGTATGATATTAAAAGGATGCCGTAATAGCTAGGTCTTAGCGTTATAAGGAATCTAGAGCACTTTGCCTTGAAGCTTTGCGAAAACGATGAGCAGAACTAAATGTCGCTTCGTATTGTACGACTTATGGCACACCCAACTAACAAAAGATAAAAGACAAAGTGTTCACGTAATCAACCTTGTATCAAAGTAGAAAGTTCTAGTTAAATTTTCTTAGATTATGGAAATTCTCGTTATAGTTCGAAAGGAACTCAGCTGTTGGAGAAGCTGAATTAAGATAAAATAGCTAATTTTCAAAAAAAATAACAGATAACGTTGAAAGGCTAAAGAATGGCGAGTTCAATTGTGAAATCATGAGGCAAAATACCACAATTGCTATAGTGGCATTATTCTTACCTTCCTATAGAATTTTATACTGTGTCAATTGAGAGTCTACTAAGTTATACTTAGAAAGTAGTGGTAGCTTTAGTTTAAATGGAAAAGACGGCTTATGAGTTTTCAGTAAGTATGTCACTATTCAACAATATTGATATGTTAAAGCGTTTAATATTTGCCAGGAGTGGGTTATCTAAAATCAGACTCATTCTCTTACATACTTTGAGCATACAACTGAGCACTTGACAACATTACACACTAATGCTAGCCACAACTTGGGATATAATTAGAGTCGTCCTTCCCACAAAATCTCGACTCCAAAGGACGTTAAGTCAACAAGAAACTTTTCTAACTGCCAAATAAATTGTGGCTGCAAAAAATAAGAAAACATTGTAATTCATTCGATTATTGTATTATTAGTTTTATATGAAAAATGTATCATTTTCAACCATAAAATGGTATCAATGTAACCACATCGAGTTCAGAAGAAGCATCTAAAAAGAGACACTTCGGAGTAAAGTTGAACAAACAATTCTTAAGTTTACCCAAATAAGAAATCACAAATCTCCATTGCCAGTATGAGCTTCGCTTAAAAGAATTCCTATAGCTTTGCTTTGAACTTGGTTTCTGGAATTAAACAATTTCACGTCTCGGAGGATGAATTAAACTCGTCACTGGATGATTAAGCTTTGAAAGGTGTACCCATTAAACTGAAATTCCCATTGGTGTACGAAGTCACCACGTTGTCTGTTTTCTATTTGTTGATTCAGGGTGAGATTGGCACGGGTATATTTGGTACCCCTGCTTCCGTTGTGAAGAGTAGTTGTTCTATTGGGGTAGCTTACATTTTATGAGTTGCTGGCTTCATTGTGGTTATCAATTTGGGGTTTCTTTTAAATAGGTGTCCTACATCGGAAGAAGATCAGGAGGGGAAGTGGCATATTTGGAGCAAGCATTCCCAAGTTCATAATACCTGTTATCTAAGCTGCAGTCACAGTTGTATTCTCATTTATGATTTCTTCAGTATCCGCGTGTTCGCTTTACATAATTGCAGCAGGCCATACACCAACACACTGGCAACAAAGAGGATTGCCAATCATTCCGTTGTTCTTGTGCACCATTATAGTCGCCCTCAACATAAATTTTGCTATCAAATTGAACAACATTCTTGAATTTATCAAAGTGATGTTTATCCTTTTTTCTGCCATCTCGGGTTTAGTTGTGTTGGGAGGAGGCACCAGAGTTGGTAAAACCCACAGTGTATTCAAGAATGCACGGGAAAGAACAACAACAAAAAGGAAGGATATTTGCAATTCTATTCTTAAGGTGGTATTTTTATAAGGTGGTTCTTATGCATTTGGGGTTGTTGTAGAACTACACAGTAACAACACCACCAGAGCTTATAAGAAGTTCCTTCCATTGACAATGTTTTTCTTCTTTCTTCTTTATTTTTTGATTAACACTGCGTACTTTGCATGTATTGGATCTATTGAAGAAATTAAAAAATAAATACCTTATCAAGGAATAAACCGTTGTGTTATTAAACCAGAGATGAATGCCCCCATAGATGAGGGTAAGGGGAAAAGAGGAGGGTGCATCCCTTAAGAATAAATTAACATTTACTCTGTGTTTTCTAGTATTTAATATGGGCCAATGTTTTACCTCGTAGTGGTAACTATGCACATGGAGTTGATATATACCATTACCAGGGCACAAGTGGCTATAAAGGTTCCCAATAGTCAATTGGAACTATGGGTCATCGAGCATTCTTATGAAAACATGTTTGGGTCATACAATGAACAAGATAAAATTTAAATTCTGATGATGGGAAAGATCTTACACAAGTGTCTGTTCGTGAGATGAAATGATTATTCAGGTCATATATATATAATTAAATAGAGCAGCTTTGCATCTATTTACGATACTGGAACAGAAGATAGCATATTAAATAGAATTCATTATAAATAGATCCAAACATTGCGCTACAAAGCTAACTTGATACTCATTCTACGGTTTCACCATCATGTGTTCAAAAATTTATACAAATCATAGACTAGTTGAATTCTGTACAAATATATCAAAATTTTATCGACCCTCAAGTATTAGATTTTTTAGATCATAGTTCAATTAACCTTTAAGACGGTTTGCACCAAAGCGAAATAACGACCTCCAATGTTAAAATAAGGGTATGATTTGTAATCCTCTAATGTTTTACTGAATGATATCCCACTCTAGGTAACAAAAATAGTATGTTCATAGTTTTCATAAATTATAAAGTAATTACAACCAAAATGCTTCCTTGATATAAATTCGTGAAAAATAATTAAATATTCTAAAAAGTAATAGTAATGGTTGCGAAAAAGGGATTAAAGCCTGGCCCTTTTCCCATACATAAATAATAAATATTTTTAAACCTTTGTTGGTCCGAAGAATTCCAACTTGACATCAGTAACACAGTTATTTTCTAATTCAGTTTTGACAAAGTCCATGTATTCCACGGGACCCAATAAGTAGACATCCTTTTCAGAAGTTGCAACGGACTTGATGTCGTTGGCAGACAAGTTTTCACCCTTGTTGTTGAGAAATTCCTTGTAGGTGAATTGTTCAGGGTATGTGGCCTTCAACTCTTCCAACCAGTCACCAAAAGGTCTGTGTTCAGCAGATCTATTGGAGTATAACAAAGTAACCTTCTTACCGTCCTTTAAGCCAGCTTCAGCAATAGAGATCAATGGAGTAATACCAATACCACCAGCAAACAATACGAGATCCTTTGGAGATACACCATCGTAAATAAAGTTACCAACTGGTGCAGTGACCTTCAAAGAATCACCCACTTTCAATTCGTTATGAGCAAATTCTGATACAATACCACCATCGATCTTTCTAATGGATAATCTGTACTCATTGGACTTTGGAATTTGGGAGATCAGATATTCTCTAGAATTTTCCTCACCATCAATGTTCCATCTTAAACCAACGTATTGACCTGGTCTTGGCTTTGGTAATTGACTTCCATCCTTTGGGCTCAAGTAAATGGATACAACATCACCACATTCGGATTCCTTACGAGAAACTTCGAATTCCTTAAAGCCTACCCATTGTAAACCCTTGTAGTATTCCCATTCGGCGTTAATCAACAATTGAGCCAAGTTACCATATGCCTTACCGAAAACCAGAAAGAATTGTTCATCAGCCGCATTGCCCAAAACAGACTTGAAAGCATGGTTAAGACACTTTTCAACAACGGTATATTGTTCAGCTTGAACATCCAACCCACAATGTTTAGCGACAATTTGGTTGACGAATGCAGTCAAAGGAGTCAAGTCACCCAAGTGGGAAATATATTGGAATAAAGAAAAGGCCAAAACCTGGGGTTGTCTCTTTGTATATTGATTTGTTTGGTTGAAGTAAGACTTAACTTGTGGGTAAGTTTGAAACATATAGTTGTACATGGTGGAAGTAATGGTAACACCATGTTCAGCGACAGCAGGCGCCAAGGATTGTAAGTAAGCAATTTCTTGTGGAGTCAAAGCTTCCACCTTGTATAAAACTGGAGCAGAACCAGAAACAGTCTTAGCAGCTGTAGTCATGTTTGTTTTAGTGGTGGAGAGTAATCGAGTGAATCTAGTGAATCTATTCATAGTAATGATTTATAGATATTATGTTTCATCTTGAATAAAAGAGTTCAATGGCTTTATATATAATTTTTTCTTAAAAGTTGAATTCTCCATGTTTCATAAGTACTACTACACCTACAACTATGCGCCGTCGTTCTTGTTTTGGATTTACCACCCGTTACTACCCAATATGAAGTAATTTCATTATTATCACCAAGGCCACGGAGAATATTGCCGAATAAGGTGCGAATCCCGCTCCAAATTGCTACCGTTTGGGGAATTATCACCCGTAGGTGCCATAATCAGGCCATCTCATCGCCAATGTCAATTAAACACGACCCTTTTGGCCAAACAAAATCTTTAGGCAAATCATTGGACTTTTTCTATCACCTCACATGGTAAAAGTGGACTGAGGAGGGCCATTTTGTGTACCCTAGTGAAGAGAATCATCACTGTACGCTTATTAGTCAAACAAGTTCCTAGTAAGGAAAGGGTCGCCGAAACACCCAATATAATCAGAGTCACGAGATCATATTCCCATGACCTTAACGGTCTTGGCTGCAAATTACTCTTAATACTTTGTATACCTATTAATTACTATTAATAAAACGTCCTAAAAAATTCAGCCAAAGACATTCACGTATATAACCTCCACTTCTTATGACGTAAACAGCTGTCCGAATTTTGCACAGAAATCCCAAGATTGATGTGAAGCACATTTAACTTGGGAAGTAACCTTGAAAAAGTCGGTTGTACCACTATCATCCAAGGTATCAACTTCTGCTGGTAATCTAAATGCACCAAGCTTGTGGAGTTCATTGATTACACCACGGATATTGACTCTTCCAATAGTTTTATCTGCCATGGAATAGAAAAGAGTTAAGACATCATCTAAACGATCATTAACAACTTGACTATGCCATTTGGCAATACCATTAGGTATGAATACACTTGCTCCCTCTCCACACATCTTATCAGCCCAAGGAATCATCTCGAGATCAAACGAAGCAAACGAAGAAACATGAGTCACTTGATATTTATGATCAGTAAGGTCTTTGGCAAGTACAAGTAATTGTGGTCGATACATTGCTGATCCACATCCACAATGAGACATATGAGACCTTCCAAAACCTAACCATACTTCATGATTGACTTTCTCAAATTCTTCAGGTAATTCCTTTACAATGGAACTTAGACTTATTAATTGAGTTCCTCCACGTAAGAATGTCGACTCCTTCTTAGTAGGTTTGTTCCAGAAAACTGATTTACAAACAGTCGACCCAGTTCCTGACCCTGTAGGAATTTCACACTTTAAAATTTGAATATTCTCCCACAGGTAAACAAAATAAATAGAAGTATCAACTCCATTATTCAACTTTCTATCGTCCATACTAAAGAATGGTGTCCAATTCTTTTCAGCATCCCTCTTCTCCAAAAACTTTTGAGCTTGATCATCAAAGATTTTAAGCTCAATAGTTTTGGTGTATGTGGTACGAGTTTCTTTAAACGAGAGAGGATCAACTTCAGATTTACCTTCTTGGACTTCCCAAGGCAAACACATGAAAAAACTTCTATGCTCTTTCAAATTCACCTTATCACCATCATTCTTGACCATATCTCTTTGTCTTTGATTAAAAACAATTACTGGCTCCTCATGACCCAAGTGGTTGTTCCGAAGTAATATTCTGGGGTCTTCTGGTCCATAGTTTTTGATTGTATCAACATTAGCATTATTGTATGATGCAATACGAACAAAACCTGGATAATTGAACTTACGGAATCCAATGGAATTGTCATCTGTTGCTGGAACAACCATCTCCACATTTAATTCTTCCCAGTTTTCATCATAGACTTCAATAAAAGTCAAGGAAAACAGTGGACTATCTCTTTTATTCTTGGTATAAATTATTCTTGAAGCCATAAGGTAAACCCCATATTCTTCAATAAATACAGAAGCACCAGCAAAACGCATCCAATGTTTATCTATAATCTTGGGATTTTTCTTCATTTCTTCGATTTTATCTTTAAAATGATCGGAATATTCATGGAAATACGCCAATTGTTCAGGATCTAATGCCGGATCATTATTAATATATCTGAGAATGTATCTAGATGCTTGCATTGTCATGTCCACACCATCACTAACTTTAATAGGAATATCCTGTCTGATTTTGGAGCAAGCTTCTCTCTTGGGACTTTGTTTCAAGTCAGTGAATGCAGAATAAATAGAAAGCTCAAGGTTCTTGTATCTAAAATCAGTGAATGGATTAGGATGTTTGACTTTAGACTTTGCCAATTGTGCAATCTCTTTTTTATTTTGATCGAGCATACCGAAATGTTCCAAATAATGATCCAAGGGCTTTTCAATATATGATGGATAAAGAACCAATTTCTTACCCTTTTTAAGTAATTCAACAGTGGAGATATCGTCATCTGGAGTGTCAACATATTCAAAAGCTAGATCATCTGAATCTTCAGAAGTACTAGGAGTAGTGGTTTTCTGATTCTCTTCTTTATCGTCGATAAACGATGAAATGAAACTGGAGTGTTTCTTACCATAAGCTAGACAATAACTCTTGGAGTGTTCCAATGACAAACTAGTACTGGGTGGCGTGTACTTCCCATCAAAGGAAAGTCCTTTGGAAATCTCACGAATTAACTTTTGAATAGTTAAGTCAAAAGAAATGGCTTCACTTGTTGTAGCTTGAACGTTAAGGTTACCATCTTTTTCAACACTAATTGAACTGATCTTCATACTACTAACTTTGAGACACGCTTCCTTGACTTTTGCCAAATGGTCCCAACCGGAAACGGGAAGCAGAAAGTCAAGAGCTTGGGATAATTGGACAAGTCTTGGTCCACTTCCCTTCTCCTTTTGGTATACAACAAAAGCAGGTCTATCCATTCGTTGACCACATCCACATTTATTCATTGTGATACCAATGAACCCAATCCAGACATCTTCAATGGTCTCTGATGCCAATTTAAGTTGAGAACCAATACTGACCAAGGGACTACCATTTGAAAACTCCTCAATGATCTTATTAGGATCGGAAGAGTCTTGTTGGGTTATAGCACATTCACTGTTCCATAATTGACATTTAATGATTGCATTTGTACCTGCACCGTAAACAAAATGAACAGCATCATCGACCAGTGCATCTAGAGTACCTTTAATGTCGGCAAATGGTGCCCAACTTTCGTACTTGGGGTTTTCTACGTTGCTAAGTTTGAAAGCTTTAGGTTTGGTCCAATGTCTTGTTTCTCCTGTGGTCATCCAATGGATTCTAGAACCTTCTTTTGTTTCCAATGTAAACACAATGAGCGGCTGAATAACTCCTTCGTCGGTTTTAAAGGGTATTACTTTTGGATTAATTGGACCCACGGTTTTAATTTCTTTTAACTCATCCTTTTCCTTCTCTTTGTCAGCAGCAGTCTTTTCTTCGTCAGTCTTTACTTTTTCAGCCGCACCTATGTCAATTGGGATAAACTCCGGATAACGACGTCCCTTCCATTGGAAGCCTGATTTAATCTCCATGGTTTCTGTTTCAAAAACAGCATACAACACCGAAAGTGTTGGTTTCTGTAGCTTACGATCTAACAACTCAGAGGAACCTGCCTTATAGACGAGCTGGTGTACCACAAAGAATGCGTTCTCTTCCTCAAGCCATATACGAGACACTTGTTCATGGAACCAATGAGAGTTGATCCACTCCTGGTTGTTAATATTCTTACGAGTCTCTTCAAGTAATGTGGGCAGAATGGAAGAAGAAAATTTGTTATTATTCTGGTTTGACACCAATTTATGCAACACAGGTCTTAATTGAAAGGGATTCTTTTGGTAAGACGTGGATATCACATAAGATATGGAATGTGACTCGTCTAATATGATCGAATCAGCAACAAATTTCCTGGGAATTGTTGGTTGTGGTAACCCTTCAGATTGTCGCAGAGAACTGACCCAAACACTTGGAAGGAAGGTTGTCGTACTTCCACCAGCATTTATTAGTGCTGTGACACATATGAGGACTAACAACACCAATGCCAGGATCGTGAGATTAAGGATTCTTTTGGGTATTCCCATGGCATGATATTTCAGTCTCCATTGGGTGAACACTAACGAAAAGCCCGACATTATTACTATTTTCACCCTTTGATAGGGAAGAAACAGTGATAATTGAATTTGAAATTGTATCAATAGTAGGGAGTAATCCTCAACATCATTTCAGACAAAAAGGCTTGGAATAGATTAAACTTCAGACATATTTATTGACGCGTGAATCTAACCCTTGTAAGAAGTGCATGGCTTGGAATTGGACATAAAGCAAAACAACTAACAATGCGTGGGTTATTCTTCCCTTCGCTCCTCCCTTCGTGGGCTTGTTTGTTTGCACCTGTTGGCTGGGCATCTCTCATCTGTGTGGCTCATCCTTTAAAAAATATTGTCAAAATGCAAGATCTCTTGTTGCGGGATTATAATAACTTTTTCTGTAACTCAAAGAAAGAAAGAAATAGCCAAGATATATGCGGACTTTGCTTTACATTAGAATAGTAAGCCACTTTAACAATGGCCACTATGATCTTTGGAATTGAAATAACAGACATTTTTCGGCATACAAGTAAGATAAGGATAAGAAAGCCACATTTAAACATTTGATCGACGCACGCAATTCTGACACATTAACATGATGCTTATGTATTGTTTTGAATACGCAACGAAATGTATCAACTTTCGATTGCGCTACGTAATTATATACTCTGAACACTTTTTTCAATTGACATTACCCTATTTGACCTTTTTGTCTGACAAAGTATATTCAACAACTTGAACCACGATTGGACATTGTTCGTCAGGACTATGAATTGAAACCGTCTCTTTGTTAGAAACAGTGGCATTGCGATGCCTCCTCTTAATTTGGATGCTCTAGTCCATAAGCTTTACAAAATTGTCTTGACCTAATCTCAGAACACTTGATGTGTGACAATACCAAATATGGATCTGTTGGTCGATTGTCTGGTGTCATCAGTTGATCATTCCATTCAAATGCTTTCAGGCCCAATAGTTGACTCAATAATCCTCTAATATGAAACCGGCCTTGAACCTTATCGGCCAAAGTATAAAAGAGGGTCACCACATCATCTAGTTCGTTTTCACTTTCTTGGGAAGTCAGAATATGCCATCTAGACAACCCATTGGGTAAAAACACATTGGCTCTTTCACATACTTTGTTCGCATACGGTAGCACATCCATGTCAAATCCCATGAAAGAAGATACATGGGATACTTGAAACTTGGTCATATCTTTGGACCTGGTAACAATGGCCACCTGAGGTCGATACATAACTTCGCCACACCCACAATGTGCAATGTGAGACCGAGCGTATCCGATCCAGTATTCTTGTGGAAGCTCATTATAAGGAGTTGGAAGGGTGGTGATTAAGTCATTGACGCTGATCAACTGCGTACCACCTCTGAAACTCCCAACGAAATCTTTCTCTGGCTTATTATGGAACACGATTATGCACTTTGAAACTGATGTCTCACCCTGACTACTATTTGGAATATCACATTTAAGAATTTGTAGATACTCCCACAGATACACAAAGTATATCGACTTATCGACTCCATTAGAGGCTCTCCGATCTGTTGGAGAAAAGAATGGAGTCCAATTCTTTTCCTTCGGTCTTTTTTCCAAAAATTTGTTGGTTTCTTGATCAAATATACTTAATTCCACAGTCTTGTAATAAGCCTTATCATTCACTTCATCTGGATCCACCAGACTCTTTCCAACTTGAACTTCCCATGGTAAGGAATAAAACATGGAACGATATTCTTTGGATATGGTATCTCCATGTTGACCTTCAGAAATATCTCGTTGCAACTGAGTGAAAATAAGCATAGGTTCTTCATGACCCAAATGATTCTTTCGAATAAGAAGTCGAGGATCTTCTGGTCCATAACTCTTTATCTTATCAACACTTGAATCATGATACGAAGCTATTCTCGCAAACTCCGGATACGTGAACCGGTTAAACCCACTACTGTTAGAGTCGTTATCCTCCGTATCAGGTACAACCATTTCAACGTTTTTTAATTCATTCCAATCCTTATCAAATACTTGAAGGAATGTCATTGAGAAGCTCGGCTGATCACGTTCTTTATTGGGGGAATAAATCACTCGACTCAGCATCAAATATACTCCAAATTCTTCAAAAAATACACTGGCACCACCAAATCGGGTCCAAAATTGATCAATTGAATCTTTATCTTTCAACATTTCCTCCATTCGAGACTCCATAAAGTCCTTATACTCAAAGAAATAATCCAATTGTGACTGGCTGATGGTTATGTCTCTGTGTATGTACTTTGAAATGTAATCAGAAAACTTTCCAGTCATATCTATTGGCTTTGAAAACCCCACATGGAACTCTTTTGCTGTTCGAGAACATTCTTCATTGGATGCCTTGTCTTCTAAATCAGTAAAGGCATCGTAAAGTTGCACTGTTTGTGGATTGAACAGGTAGTCATGAAGTCTTTTGTCAACGTCACCATTTCGAGGAACATTATCACCTAATTGAACAATCTTTTGTTTACTTCTATCAAAAATTCCGAAATTGGCCCTGTAATGGTCCTCGGGGTTCTTGATATAATTGGGATATAATATTAGTTGGCGGTCGTCGTTTTCGCTATCAGCTGCTGCTAAGGCCGCCACATCTCCGGCTCCATAAACATTGGAAACTCGATTACAGTAACTTTGAGAGCTTATTAGTACAGTTTCATAATCAGGCGAACTTCCCTCACGTTCAAGATCTAAGTATGAAAGACCTCTGGCCAACTCTTTAGAGAGGCCATCTACTATGATCTCATATGATAGCCCACCACTAGTTGTAACCATCACCATAATTTGATTATCAATAATCTCTATTGAATGTGCACTTATCTCTGAGACGGAAATACACTCATCATTATTGCTGCTCCGATTCCCAACACTCAAATTGAAGTCTATCATTTGAGATAACTGCACCATATGCATGGAGTTGTGGTCGTCCATAACATATACAACAATTGTAGGACGATACATTCTCGTACCACATCCACACAGTTCTAGAAGAAGGTTAGAAAATCCAAGCCAAATGTCTTTAATTCCATGGAGATCGACGCCCGAGGGAAGAAGAAATGACTTTATGCTTAGTAACGGAGTATGGTCAACAAAGTTCTGTAAACCATTAGGCTTTAGTGGTGGATCCCCCTCACACGAACCATTCTCTAGGCTGCATTTGATTACAGACATTCCATCTAAAAATAAGATGTGAGTATCGTAGACGTAATGGGGATCACTTCTATCAAATAATGGAATCCAGTTGTCATAATTGGAATCCTTGTTTAAGCTAAACCGTTGGGGTTCCCATTTATTGCTGTTGCTGCCAGGTTGAATCCAATAAAGTTTGTTATCCGTACTGGACGACAATGAGTTGAACAAAATCAATGGTTGGTGGGTGCCATCTTCTATGGTGCTGTAGACCACATTAATATTCAGGGGTCCTGGGAATACGGTGTGGTCTTCGTTATAGGTTGTAAGGGGTAGAATAGAAGGGTAGAGCACTCCATTATAGGAGTAGTCTTCAATAGTTGCCCCCATCAGAGAATCGAACTCCGCATAAATAAAGGATATCAAAGGTTGTTTCTCTGATACTGACATTTTGGAATCATCATCATCTGGGACGTACTGTATTTGGTAAACAACAAAGAACAACTTTTCACTTTCAAGCCATACCTTTGATACTGACAGTTGGAACCAATGACTGGTGATCCATTTATCATTGGCCATATTTCTTCGGAGTTCTTCCTCAAAGAAAGGCAAAGTCTCTCGTGGGAATCTCCCATGCTTAAGCTGAGTCTTCAAAACCAGATGTAAGTCTAACGAAGCCAGAACTGAAGACGCACTTAGCGTATAACTTATAGTACGGAATCCATCCAACACTACTGTGTTTACCAGGAACGGTGTTAAAGTTGGTGATATCGCTGTTAAGTCATTATCTGCGTATGTTTGCACCAATGTCTCGTGTATTACTTGTCGATTCCAAAAGCTTAACGGCAAAGCAAGCAACAATAGAATAAGGATCAAAGTTTTCCTATGGAAGTCCTTTCTCAAACTAAAGGACCTTCGGAACCGACTTTTGATTAACAGAGGGAACATTTACTAGGCTAAACAAATTAATAAAAGAGAGTAAACATGTGATACTATTTTCTACTCTAACGGTTGATACTAAGGGTAGCAGATTTGCACGGAATTCTATGCAAATAGCAAATAATCTGTGTAGTGGTTAATACAACCAAGAAATCAGAGCAATATAGACCATTCTGAATTGTGTAAGTTAAGGTTCTGAACAAAATAGGATAACCCTTAAAACAGATTAAGGATATCGCGTCAAAATACGAAACTATACATACGTCTAAGATCCTAAGAGTACCTTTAGCAGGTCCAATTTTTCAGACACAATAAACACTGTGGGATATTATCGTGAATGGTATTCCATTTGATCAGATACTATACACACCTGGGTATAAGAAAGCATACGCACTATGTTATCATACGTACTTTGGTACGATGCTATGGAATCACACAGCATTGGCAACTGTGCACCATGTTATAATGCGCATTATGTAGATTACCTAATAATAGCAACCATGGACCATAGGTTGCAGGTAATAGAGCGGATATGCAACAAAGGGAAAATCTCTTTTGGTGACAACACGACCACTTAAGGTAGATTGTTAAGAAATAAGAACTTGGCAGTGCATACCGGAAAAGAATCTTTCGCTATAACCACAATACTAGAGTTTAATATTTCATTCATTCATTGTGTTGTTAAAGGTCAAAAGAAGTGGAGACTCAAGACAAAAAGTTCACTACTACAACCAAAGGGAAACTGAAAGAAGAAAAAATTGAGTTTTGACGTTGACTCTCAATCTTTTTCACCGAATAAAGAAAGAATGAGATTAGTGAACGTGTTGGTTGGTTTTATTGCAGCATTGGCAGCTGGGGCAGCCGTTGATCCTCTTGACGAAAGATTTGCTAAGATTGATAAGGTGCAGTTTGAAAGCCAGGCACAGATGTTGACTTTACAAAAGGAACATCCAAGATTATGTGTTATCAATATGAACGGAATTAAATGGATTGTGTTTGACTTCCTTGACGTTCTTCCAGAAGAGCTTCACCAGGAAGCCAAAGAAGCCATTATAGCTGCTGCACAACCGTAAAGTGAGAGGACACAGGGGGGCCATGGGTCGTTCCAAAAAACCTTGTCCGGGCCATACATATCTTTTTGATTCTACTTTAAATTTATTAGTAGCTGGTAATGGTCGGAGCTATGGCTCGGCCACGGACGGACACAATAACCCAAACACTTAGTACATAATAGTCATAAATAAAATAGTATTTATTCGGACTTACACTTCCGACGTTTACTAGATACGCACCCTAAGTTGGTTTGATTTCCCTTAGTAGCTTAACACCCACAGTTACGAACCCTCATTGCCCATTTAGCTCCGGTTGGGGTTCTATCCCCAGTAGTATCACCAATAAAACTTCATTAGTAAGCGCTCCACAGAAACCGCAGCATGATACTCTGCAGGTCTCGCGGTCATCTGAATCGTTAACGATATGTATCGCCGATAAGTTGACACCGATATCACCATCGACTACTTTTTGTCATCAATCGTACAAATAAGCAATGTCTGATAAAGTAACTGGATTCTTCGATAGTGTGGGTGTCTCTGACTCGGACAAATTCCAACCTGAAAAGGGTCGTTATCACTTGTACATTGGATTGGGATGTCCCTTTGCCCACAGAGCATGGATTGCCCTCAAATTGAAAGGATTAGATGATCTAATCGACCACAGTGTCACCCATTGGCAAGCTGCACCTGAAGGCTACCGTTTCATAAACGAACAAGAATTGGCTCAACGAAAGGGTCCAACTGATTATACCAATGGAAGTGTTGATAAACTCTTCAACTCCAAATTATATAGTGAAGTTTACTTTAGAGCTGCTCCCAATTACGAAGGTAGGTACACAGTTCCCGCCTTATTTGATACTAAAACCAATACGATTGTTAACAATGAAAGTGCAGATCTCATCAGAATCTTCAATACTGGATTTAACACTATTCTCCCTAAGAAATACGCTGACATTGATTTGTATCCTGAAAGTTTGAGAACTGAAATTGATGAGTTCTCGGATTGGTTCCTGGAATTACACTCGTGTCCTTGGAAGGTTGTTTTCGCTTCCGACCAAGAGACTTACCAAGCAGCATTCACCAAGTTCTACGAATTATTAGATGAATTTGACGAAAAATTAGCTAAGATTCACACTGCTGGTGGTCAATACTTAGTTGGGGACCAATTGACAGAAGCAGATATCAAAGCTTATGTTTTTGTTGTACGGGTGGATCCATTGTTTCTGACGTTGGCCAAATTAAATGGCCGTTTAATCCGTTCATACGCAAACCTTAATAAGTGGTTGACCAATCTATATTGGAACCATCCTGCGTTTAAGGACACGACTGATTTTGATCTGATTAAGAAGTTGGGGTTCAAAAATCCCAAATACAATACGGATACTTCAGGCTTGATTCCAATTGGTCCTTTGCCACACATTCTTCCGTACGAAGAATAGGTGGAATAGATAGACTTGTGTCATGTAATAAACCCGCGTTCAGGAGTGTAATTAACATCATGTGGTGTGTGGGTAACAGATAACGAGAAGCATTGTGTGTATGTTCATTACTTACCTAGAAGTTCCCAATAAATGTTTCAAAGTAATCAAAACTAGCATGAGTGTACAACATCACAAACAACGTGGCTTAAACCAGTAAGTTTATTTCTCCCCTTCTCATAATAATAATGTCTCTTGCATTTTGTCTGTTTCAGAACACCAGTTTGCACACAGTGGGTGATGCTTTCTTACGTTTCGCTTGCGACCCTTTGGATGCCAAATTGGGTGCGAAATTTGCAACACTCTCAACAGGAAATCGTACATTAGAATACCAATTAGGCATTCAAATTGTAGCACACCATGTTTCATTGACAATCTGTTCAATCTGACCACTCTGACCACTCTGATAACTCTGATGTGTATAAATAGTCTTCAACTCCTTCATCTCCATCTCATCATGACTCTACAGGCGCACCCAATTTACACTCTTCAGTTAAAATGATTACCATCTTTTTAGAGATACTCTCGTTCTTTGCGTTTGTGTGTCAGTTTATCAATGCTGCTGCTATAAGTGGGATCTTCCAAACGATAGATCAAATCAGGTACGATCCGGGTGCTTTCTACTATGCCGAGCTTCCGAGTAACCCCAATTGGGATGTCGAACTTAGCTGGTCCATAAACGGGTCCACCATGAATGCTGGCGATACCTATCAATTGACATTACCTTGTATATTCAAGATCACAGCAGATGTCGATTCCTTCGATCTAGTGGCAAATCTGCAAGTTTTGGCCAACTGTATTTTCCACAGCGGCGAACTCCTTGTCTCGTACTCTACGGTGACCTGTCAACTTACTAAAGCAGTTAATTCAGACACCATGGCTGTAGGTAAGACTTCATTCCCTATTACCTTTAATGTCGGTGGTGGTAACTACGATGTAATGAGAACTTGTGCCACTTATTTTGAAAAAGGTACCAATACCCTTGAATGGACTGACGGCACTAATACACTCTCTTATGACATTGACTTCCAAGGTGGTTTTGCTTACGGTTACGATACAGATTCCATCATTTATAGTCTTAAAGAAGTGCCCACCATTTCAAGATCTTTACTTTATCTTATGGCTGGCAACTGTCCAAATGGTTATCTGAGTGGTACATTGGGTGTCACTGTTACCAATGGAAAATTAGAATGCTCGTCGTTCCACCAAGGGTTAACCGATTATATCAATGTTTGGTTCAATAATGAAGACTATGAACAATCAAGTTTTGATTTCACCTGTGATGGTAACGCCCTCACGGTTAATTATTCAAACATTAAAGGCAAAGGTAGACCATTTCTAAATATTTTGGTCGTTTTCACTGGTGGTGATTTTCTGACTTCATTCACCAATGACTACTATTGCAGTGGGTCCGATTTGATAAACTCAAACTCCTTCATTAAGAACTGGGGTACTTACCAAAATGGTCTGGTTCAAGCAGAAGGTATTGCGTTTACTACAATTACAACAACTGTTGATCATGTCACAGTTACAACCGAAAAGGGTGTAAGTGAAACCACGTACATTGTGTTGGTTCCAATGTCCTCTACTACTACTACAACTACTTGGACCAATGAGTATACTTCGGAAACTACAGATACAGGAACCCAAGGGACAGAAACAATTATTGTTCAAGTTCCTTATTCACTGACTACCTTCACAACCACCTGGGCAAACTCTTATGTATCTACAACCACTGTGACCGGCGAAGATGGAACAGCCACAGTTATAGTAGAGTTGCCAACACCAATTACTACCAAAACAACGACCTGGTCAAACTCCTATGTATCTACAACCACCACAACTGGTGAAGATGGAACAGCCACAGTTATAGTAGAGTTGCCAACACCAATTACCACCAAAACAACGACCTGGTCAAACACTTATGTATCAACAACCACTGTGACAGGTGAAGATGGAACAGCTACTGTGATAGTAGAGCTACCTACACCAATTACTACTACTACTACCACCTGGGCAAACACTTATGTATCTACAACCACTACTACTGGTGAAGATGGAACAGCTACTGTAATAGTAGAGTTGCCAACACCAATTACCACCAAAACAACGACCTGGTCAAACTCCTATGTATCTACAACCACCACAACTGGTGAAGATGGAACAGCCACAGTTATAGTAGAGTTGCCAACACCAATTACCACCAAAACAACGACCTGGTCAAACTCCTATGTATCTACAACCACCACAACTGGTGAAGATGGAACAGCTACTGTTATTATTGAAGTGACCGATGTAATGACAAGTGATCCACAATCGACACCATCAAGTATGGAAACGATGCTTAGTTGTTATCCAGTTGATTCGGATTCAAGTTCAAGTTACATGGAAAGCAGTATTTTGGAAAGCAGCTTTCCAGAAAGTAGTACTTCAGTGAGCAGTATTCAAGGGACTACTACTTCAGAAAGCAGTTATTCAGAATCAGTTCCATTAGAAAGCAGTACTCTTGGAAGCAGTGCATCAAGTAGTTCATTTGAGAGCAGTCCGTTTGAAAGTCAGTCATCAGAAATTATTCAACCTAAGAGCAGTCCAGCAGCAAGCAGTACATTAGCAAGCAATTCGTTAAGCAGTTCTAATTTAGAAGGATTTCCATCAGCAAGTAGTACTCAAAGAACTAGTACATCAGAAAGTAGCTCACTCCAAATCAATGCTTCAGAGAGTATTTATTCAAGTACTACATTAGAGAGCCGCTTTTCTGAAATCATTACATCAGAAAGCAGCATCCCAGAAAGTACGTTGACAGAAGACACCATTCCAGGCAGCAGTACTTACTCTCAAAGTACTTTCAGCTACTCCAGCTACTCGAATTCAAGCTATAGTTGGCCAGGATCGTATTTAAGTAGCGAAACTATATCACAGGGTGCTTTATACATTAGCTCTGAGTCCTCATTGTGCCCAAGCGCAAGTACTTTATCTGTCGAGCTAGCAAGTAGTTCAGAATCCTACGAGAGTCCATTTTCCAGTTACCCTACAACGATTGCAACAGAGTCCACAGTATATTCCCTTACATCATCATACGATTTGTATTTCCCTTCTTTAAGTATTAGCTCTAATAGTCTTGAAACAGTTGGGGAAGTTCTGAGTTCAAGTGACTACTCACAGATTACACCATCCTCTATTGAAGCAAGCTTCATTGTTAGCTCACAGGAACCATATTCTTCTTCAAGCTCCAAGAAGCTATATTCTACGTCAAGTTCCGAGGGTCCCAACTCCGAGACAACTACCGTCACTTCGAGTTCAGAAAAGCCTTCTTCTGCTTCAGTTTCCGAAAGTCAAATTTTAGAGAAGCCAACTTCTTCTTTGACTCTTAACAGCTGTTTACAGTCTAGTTCAACATTCATTGATGCATCTTTAACACCTACTTCTATCGAGTCCACAAGTACAGAAACATCTCGTGCTACAACAATCTCACGTTCTTCATCCAGTGACTCGCTTTTGAAATCATCCAGCACTTCAGAGGAGAGTTCAATTCAAAGCGCAAGCGCCTCATTACACTCACAATTGGAGGGCACAGAAAGTAGTATAATTGAGGTCTCTACCACGAGTCACTACGTTTCGATATCTTTTGAAAGGTCTTTGGTATCGTCTTCTGAAAGATCTCTGGTTTTCTCATCTGAAAGTTCATTGGTGCCTGCTACTTCAGGTATATTGGTACCCCCCACCGCAAGTTCATTAATATCACCCTCTGTTCATTATACGATACCATCTTCAAGTCATTTGTTTAGCTCTTTAATTTTCCAAGAACAGTCCACAACACCAGCAGAGCACACAGATGACTCAACTTCAAATTATGAAGGCAGTTCTCAAATTTCATCAAATCCTACTTCAACTGCAAGTTCTGATATGGAATATTCATCCACTAGCTTCGAATTATCACTTTCCAATGAATGCACATATTCTAGCTGCTTTACTTCGGCAGCAGCAGAATCCTCAGCAAATTCACTTTCATCAGCATATGATTCATATATCCCTTCTTCAAGTATTGGTTCTGATACTCTTGAAAAATTTCATGAAACTCTGAATACAGTTAACAATTCACTGGTTTTGTCATCTTCTAGTGAGCCAACCACAGTTGCTAGCTCAGAGGAGACTATTTCTGCAACTGGTGACATATTGTTAACATCAAGCTCGGAGCCTTCTCATGGTTCCAGTGACTTAGTAGCGAATTCATCAGCCTCCTTTGATAAAGAAAGCTCCAGTGACAACATTCCAACGTCTTCTGCAAGCAATCTGGTGTCATTGTTTGATAGTTCTAAGGCCTTTTCATCAAGCTTATCATCCACGACTATTCTACTGTCAAGCATTCCTTTTACAACGACTTCGTTCTATTCGTCATCAAGCTCTACTAATAAGGTAGAGGAGCCCAGTGCTAGCTCAGAGGTTACACCTGAAAGCTCAATATCATGCCCAAGGGCACGAACTAGTTCACTTCCAACATCTGTTCAGTCAATTTCCAATTCATACCCGTCGTTCTGTGTACCAATAACTACCCGAAAGACCATCTCAACAAAAGCCACCGTTCCTAAAACTACCGTGAACACATCCGTCACAACACCAAATTTTTCACCAGAGAATCATTCCTCAAGTCCCGTTACTGGATCTACTATTACGACCTCCAGTGTCACTGAAACAACCTTTTCCCTTCGAACCACAACCCCCACCACCAGTAGAGCTTCTATAGTTCTGACCCTACCCACAACTTCCACTGGAGAAAGTACATTTTTGCCAGTCCCCATTAAAGTATCGTCAATACCAACTGAAGTTACCACCACAGCAATGTTGCAAGACAACATACCAAAACCTGATTCCACATTGTTATCTAACAATCCCCAAACCACTTTACAATCACCACCACAAGCAAATGAACTAGCAGAGCTCACGCCAGAGGCAGATACGACTACTCCTGCTGTATTAGATCAAGTACAAGATCTGAACCCTACATCAACCAATTATTCCGGAAATTTGCAGCAATTCCCAACAACACAAAGCTCAAGCTCAAGCACAAGCTTAGGCTCAAGTTCTGTGCTGACTAGTTCACTGTTTGTCCCCACGACCATAATCAAAGACCAAACTTCTTCGGAATTGACTACTTTGCAAACGTTAGTGATTTCGCTGGTCGGAGTCCAAGTAACTACTTCTGTTACACCAAATGTACCTGCTTATATACATGCGGTTTCAAATGGTGGTTATCGAAATATCGTTAAGCCATTCGTTCTTTGTTGCCTGACTCTCATAGTCTTAGCCTTTGGAGTGATGTAATGCGACAAGATAATCACACTAATCACTATCGTGCATGTAGGCAACAACGCTATATATATATAAACATTCGTTATAGTTACCTCCATCTAATTTCTATACTGCAACATTAGAGTATACATTACGTAAGTTTATGACACACATAACTATGGCCGAGGACCCCGGTGGGTCGCACCCGATGGTTCCCGGTGAGAGTTGACAAAACAATGCACTTTGATTGGCCAAAATCTCACCCTATTAACCCTCCCCATAAAAAAGCCCAACAGCGCTACCAGGTTTTACTATGGCACATAGAGAGGAAAAGTAAAAAAGAATCTCCCAGCAAAAAAAATTCACAAATGGTAAGCTGTTGTTTTCATCACCAACACCAAAGTCTAAATTTAATCGATATGTTCAGACAATTGAGAAGCGTGACTACTACTACATTTGCCAGGGGATTGGCCACGTCGGCTGCCAAGGAGCCCAGATTGAAGAAGTTTGAAATCTACAGATGGAACCCTGATACTCCTGAAACCGCACCCAAAATGCAAACATATGATGTTGATTTGAATGAATGTGGACCAATGGTTTTAGATGCTCTTTTGAAGATCAAGAACGAACAAGATGCCACGTTAACCTTCAGAAGATCATGTCGTGAAGGTATTTGTGGATCTTGTGCCATGAACATTGGAGGTACTAATACTTTGGCATGTCTTTGTAAGATTGACCAGAATGAATCCAAGGATTTAAAGGTCTACCCATTGCCTCACATGTACGTTGTCAGAGACTTGGTACCAGATTTGACTCATTTCTACAAGCAATATAAGTCTATTCAACCATATTTGCAGACCAAGGAAAAGCCAGCAGATGGTAGAGAGCATTTGCAAAGTATTGAAGATAGAGCCAAATTAGATGGGTTATATGAATGTATTTTGTGTGCATGTTGTTCTACTTCATGTCCATCCTATTGGTGGAATCAACAAGAATACTTAGGTCCAGCTGTTTTGATGCAAGCATACAGATGGTTAATTGACTCTAGAGATCAAGCCACTGCTGCTAGAAAGGCCATGTTACAAAACTCCATGTCTTTGTACAGATGTCACACTATCATGAACTGTACCAGAACTTGTCCCAAGGGGTTGAACCCTGGTAAGGCCATCGCTGAAATCAAGAAGATCTTAGCCTTTGACTAATCGAGTATTCGACTAGACAAACTAGTCTGACTAGTGAGCCTTAGACTCTTTGGTTGCGACAGAAATTGGGCCTACAGGGTGAACAATTAACAAACAATCACCCTTGTTCTTTGTTACTTTTATAGCATGCTATTTATTTATTTCAATCGATTCAATAACACACCGTCAATTTGATTACATTCGTTCATTACTTTAATTTATCCTTTAATTTCTATTTACAAGCAATAAGTATATTGTACATGTTTTGTCCCGTTTAAGCATCACCAGCAATGGCATCTTTTAATGCCAACTTCCGAGAGTGTTCATTGAAATATTCAAACACTTCGGTCACGTTGTTGGATTCAGGATCGATGGTCAACTGAGTCTTGTCCTTAAACGTCACACTAATAAGCGGTCTATGTTGTGAGTTGGGTCCTAACACTTCAAAGTCAATAGGACATGCTTGTCTTTGGGATTGGGGTAACCTTGAAAGGAACAATCTTACAGGTTTGGCTCCTGCTGTGAAGGGATTGAACTTGACACTGACCTTGCTGAAGTATTTGATAATCATGACAAGTATGCAAAGGTATGTGATGTAGTAGTATACTAGGGTAGCATTGTAGGCAGTTAACTGGTTGGTGATAAAAATTTTCGGTAACAATCAGACATGACACCAATTACCATTTTGGGAATGATACACCATTTGTTTATCAAGAAAGTGACAGAAACGTGACAAATATAAGGTGTAAGAAGCTATGGGATACATGTACTGATTCTTTCTTTCTTTCTTTCTTTCTTTCATTGTGTCTATTGTTGATCTGTTTCTGTCTGCCTGTCTGTGCGTCTGTCTGTCAGTCAACTATGGACTTCGTCTGTTGGCATTACTATGTAGCTTATAACTCAGAGATCGAGGTTCTCAATGCCCACTATGAACGACTGCAAACTCAAGCTGAAACTCACTGCTATCATCCACACAATAAACGAATACATCAGAGATCCAAACCTTCATCATCATCATGAGACAAGTATCATCATCTCTACCTTGTCCCCTTTTTGGCAAAAAGATCCGTTGACCCCCATCCCGGACTTAGTTTTCCGTTACAAGGATGGCACTTGGTTGTGCGAGCATACAAAACCTGTGGGGGGTGTGGGGGATACCATAACAACTGCAATTGTTATCTATAAGTAAACCCTAATATCTTCACATAAAAGTGAGCGTACTTGATTTTGACTGCCAGCTATCAACCATGACTACTACGCTGGTAATGGAAGCACCTCATCATCGTTTTAAGAACACTGACAATGTAACCATTGAGCTTCAGGATTTACCAACAGGTACCGTAACTGTTCCAATAACATCGTCATCAGTGGTATCAACAACAACAACAACAACAACAACAACATCTTCATCAGTGTCATCGACATCACCTCATCCTGAGGATCTAGACGAAGACGCGTACCCTGATGGAGGAGTAAGAGCATATTTAGTTGTACTTGGATCGTTCTTTGGTCTTATAGTCAATTTGGGATTAATCAACGGGATTGGTGCTATTCAAGCTTATGTTTCCTTACATCAAATGGCCAATGTATCTGAATTCTCCATTGCTTGGATTTTCTCCGTCTATTTATGTCTTGCGTATAGTTTTGGTATATTTGTGGGTCCAGCCTTCGATCGTTATGGAACCTTCAGTTTACTTGTGATATCTACGGCTCTCATTTTCCTTGGGTTAATGGGTGCTGCTCTGCTGACTGAAATCTGGCATTTTATACTCAGTTTTATTTCGATGGGAATTGGCAATGGGGTTGGAATGACTCCATTGATTGGTGTCATTAACCATTGGTTCTTAAAGAAAAGAGGTTATTGTACCGGGTTGGCAACCTCCGGAGGATCTGTAGGAGGTTTGATATTCCCATTGATGTTAAGAAGTCTCTATGAAAACGTGGGATTCGCTTGGGCCTTGCGTACGTTGGCATTCTTTTGTTTGGGATGCATGGGTTTAGCAATGGTATTGGTTAAGGAGAGAATTAGAAGGTCTAAACCAACCAATGAATTATCTCATTTGGAAGAAGATGAACAAACTAAATTAAACAAGTTGAAGAATAAAAGAAAGTTCAACTTGGGGGCCTTAAAGGATTCTCGGTATCTTTTCCTTATCGCCGGTGCCTTCTTTGCGGAGTTAAGTTTGGTATTGGCTTTAACATATTTTGCTTCATATGCCATTGCTGCTGGTAATTCTGAATCTACAAGTTATTTGCTTCTTACACTTTGGAATGCAGTGGGCACATTTGGAAGATGGTTACCTGGTCTTGTATCTGATTACTATGGACGATTCAATATCAATATTTTGATGCTTTTAGGTTTAAACATTGCATTCTTGGTGATGTGGTTACCCTTTGGACACAATATAGCACTACTTTATGCGTTTTCAATCATTGGAGGGTTTTTTCTGGGTTCTGTTCTTTCAATGGTACCTTCATGTTTATCACAAATCACCAAAGTAGATGAATTTGGTGAAAGATACGGTACACTTAATTTTGCTTTGAGTATTGGGAATTTAGTGGGGATTCCAATTGGTGCAAGCATCATTAACCATGGGAAATTAGTTGAATATGATCGATTTGTGGTTCTTGTTGGAATTTTATCATTAGCAGGTACATTCTTTTGGACATGCAGTCGGATTAAAGTGGCTGGATTTACCATAATGAAAAAAGTTTAGAATTATGAACGGGAAGATGGGGTGACTCTTTTCCTTTGAATTACTGCGTCATAAAGATCCACTTTCCTACTCCAAAGATATGAATAGTACCACACACCTACAGGGATGTACAACACTAATGCAATGGAAAGAAGAGAATCATACCACCCAGTGGAGACAAATCTCAAACTAAGAAAGATCTGAGCAAACTCTCCCACTAAAGACAAGGGCATAAGCAAGAAGAAACAATGATATTGTAACCAGAATAAGACTTTGGGAGATGCCTTGAATCTCAATCGGAAGGCATGATAAGTGTAATGTATGATATACGTAAGACACCACGACACTAACACAATACTATAGGAATAATGTTTAGCCACCTTGGGATGAGCATGGATCACTCCATAAGTTAACCAGATCATTCTTAGACCATTGAACACACTCCAAAGATCTCTCCAAGCCAACGGACGTCTCTTCAAGAACACTCTATTCATTGCTACTGTTAGCATGGGGGTACAGGAGCAAATGTGGAAGAAGTCAGCTACCCCCCCCGGGAGTAAACGGGTTCCCACTAGCAGAATAAGCATGCACCATCTAAGGAAACAGCATAGCCATAGAGCACCATCGATGGTGTATTGGAAGACCAATGATTTGGGGTACATGGCAGACAACACTATGAGAGTGAAATGAATATAATCAGTCACAAGATTATGATACTTCAATGGAACTTGTACCGAGGCTGTTTGAAGAAGACGTTAGACCAATGAAGAAAGTGTTTGGTGTTTGGTGTTTAATGATTGAAGACGTGATACTTTTTAGTTTTTCGCATTGTCGCGAATTTGTCCCAAAACGGCAATAGGTGATTCCAGATGAACTCAACACCAAAGTGAAAATTAGTTGAGTAAATGCTGTTTAGTTTAGCTGTTGTTTCTCTTTCATTACCACCATGAAGTTAAACGTTTGGATATGGATGTTTGCATTAGTGACATTGGTAGCCGCCAGTGCATGGCTGCCAGAAGACTATGAGATCTTCTCTCTCAACGACAAAGTCAGAGGTGATCTCGGTGCAACCATCACCTTCTATTCATGGTTGGGTGTTGATAAGAAATCAGACACCAAAGAAATCTCTAAGGCCTATAAAAAGTTACTGAGAAGATTACATCCAGATAAGGTGGTTGGGAAATCCCCAAGAAAGAAGGCAGAAGAAAGATTCCAACGGTTATCTGCTGTAGCAGAGATTCTTCGAAATAAAAGTTTAAGAAGAAGATACGATTATTTCCTTGATAATGGATTTCCTAAATGGAAGGGAACAGGTTATTACTATTCAAAGTATCGTCCAGGGTTAATAATTACTATATTAGGGTTATACTTGGTTTCTGGGTTGGTCCATTTCATGGGCTTGAAGATTAATGCTAAACAAGATTTCAAAAGATTAATTGAGTTCAAAAAAGTCATTAAAGATCAAGCTTGGAATGGTCAACTCTTCCCTCCCGTTGATGGTTCTGATAGGAAAGTGGTAAATGAAGCCACGGGACGACAGTTTGTGGTGAATTCAATTGGTGATGTCTTTGCAGTGGATGATTCCAATGATGATGAATTGGTTCTCTTGGACGAGTCTAGAATTAATCTCTCTCCTTCAATTAAAGACACTTTGATTATTAGAATGCCTATATTTTTTTGGAATTTTTCAGTTGGTAAAATTTTACCTGGTTTGAAAGTGTCGCTTGCCAAAACGGAAACTCACCCCGAACCTTCCTCCACTAATAACAATACCAACTCCAACACCAAACCAAAGTCAAAGAAGAAGTCAAACAAAGGTGGAAAGAAAATAGAATTACCAAACGGTAAAGTCATTTATAGCAGGAAGAAGCAACAATAAATTCTAATATTATTTATCGTGCATGTCTTTGTACTCTCCGTAGTTCATTGGTTCCTGAACCTTCTTGAACCTCTTTGACTTCATATGGCTCTTCCTCTTCAACAACATCATCATCGTCATTATCGTCCTCAGATGATGAATCTGACCCAGATAAGCTTTCCAAAATCTCATCTCCATTATATTCGTTGGTGTATTCGTTCTCAAGATTGGATGTAGCCGGATTAATGTTCTTTAACTCTGGCAATTTGGTGCTGTCACCTTTATCAACTTCATCTTCATCAGCAGTATCATCAGTATCATCAGTATCTTCTCCTTCCTCTCCGTCACCAATAAAGGCATCATGGTTACTTGAATCTCCAAGAATGATGGGTTTCTTCCCACCAAAGTTATCGAGATCCAAATACCCCACTGTTCCCGAGTCAAATCCATATTCTTGTCCCTCTTGATCAGGTGAATCAATATCCGTCATGTCTGACCCCAACACCGCATTGTAAACCTCCCGGATTCGAATCAAAACTGTGTTCACAAACCAATCCCATTCCTCAGACGTCACAGCCTCTACTATAACTGGCGATATTAAGTCTGGCTTGTACAACGAGGTAAACTTGACCACCTCCTCACTAATTAGTACCATATGACCCATGTACCCTGGTCTAGGGACTTTTTCTTCTTTAAACGTATTAACAATGACGTTGGTGATGTCACAACAGTCCTTACGGAATAAATCCACAATCAAAAACGAGTTATAGGAGTTTAATTTCCCATTAAAGATTTGCTGTATTAAATCAAATACAACATTGTGGAAAAAATTGTGCCATGGATATTGGATAAACTTTTTGACAATATCACGCAATAAACCCAGATCCAAAAACTTAATCTTGAAGAAATTACCCACACAGGGGTCCATTCTGATAGCAAGGTCTCTTTCTTTACAGACAAAGGGATTTTCCGGAGAAATCACGGGCTCTTCGTCTTCAGAATCTTCATCAACATCTAAAGCATCAATTAATTCCTGGAAATTGGTTATTGATTGTGGTTGACTGAAGATATTGATATCGTTGTCCTCCTGTTCGTCTTCTTCAATGATTGGTACATCATCCAATGAGATGTCGTCTAATTTATTGGTTATATCTTTAACATCAAGAAACGAAAGATTATCGCCCAAGGCCCTCTGTAATCGGGAACATTGCTGATCACGAACACGATCTCGAATTTCCACAATCTTTCTAATCTTCATGGAATTCAAAAGGATCATATTGGAACAATGTAACAATTCTGCTATCAATTCCGAAATTTTAAACCTTGTGAACCCAAGAATCTCTTCTCCCTGTAATTGTCGAGGAGGTATGGGATCACTATCCATTAAAGCCTTGAGTTTATCCAAATTCTCGGAGAAAATATGTAACATTTCACCCAAATATAAAGGGTCTCTAGGTCCCGGAGGATTTTTTTCAAAGTCTTTTAACCATTGGAACATCACATAGGGGTTTATTTCACAAGCTCCATTTTCACTTACTTGAAGCATTGAACTATAACTACCACAGTTCAAGTCGTAGTCTGAATTATTTTTTCTAATAAGCTCAATGATGATCCCCACGCAATTATTGATTCCATGCTTGTTGGTCTGTCTCTTTCCATCTTTGGTGACGGGAGGTTCGTAGAGTATAATGTCATGGATCATCATATTAATGATTTTGGGTGATACCAATTCTCTGGTCAACAGATTAGGCCCAATATTGGTCTCTAGAACCACGGCCAATGCCGTATTGGAAGAGATGGTGATCAAAGCCTTAAGAAAGTCTGTAGCTGCTGATTGGTTGAAAAACACTTGATGATCCGGAATAAAATCGACATTGGGATCAAACTCAGCGGGGTTGGGCTTTAATATTGCCATTAGTTTCGGAATCAACCCTTGACTGGATAAAGTGTCCAAGATCCCCGTGGGAGAATCGGGTTTATCTGTTTGAATGACTCGGAGAAAGAAGTCCATCAATAATGGTATGCAAATTTTGGATAAAAACGTATCCACCAAGTCCTCTTGTCTTCTTAAAAAGTTCAACAACTCAATGCTATTGGCATCCATAAATTGGTCCAATATGTGTACCATATAAGTGACTGAAGGTGAACAATCAAAGAGATTGGGGAGCTTCAAAATCAGCCAAAACTTATTCATAATAGGCGGACACTCAATGATTCGATTCAGAATAATCCACATATCAATGCTAAGGATATCTGAAGCCGATTGTACGTATCTTCTCATTTTGTCATCCTCTGATTCATCATCATCGTAGTCTGCGTTGCCACTATGACCATCACCATCATGCTCACCACCCACTTCATCAGCATCTTGACTATCGTCATGGTCACTATCTTGCTCATGCTTATGACTATCATCATGTCCATGATCATCGTCATGTCCATGATCATCAACAAGTTTCCTTAGATTCTCCTCCTCCTCCTGCTGGGCCTTATAAAAGAAATCAACACTATTGGCCAAATAGTCCAACATTCCATCCAAGATATGCGGCTGAACCAATAACTCAACCAACTTGGAGCTCCGGGTGTCCTTTGTATTTGCCGTTGTTTCATTGGTCGACGACGAGATCAGCACTACATCAGAGTTGGTACTAGCAGTCCCATTATTATTACTATTGCCACCACCACCACCACCACCAGTACCAGTACCACTGCTACTGTTACTCCCACTATCAAGGAATTGTAGGTTGCCCAAGTTGGTCTTATACGTGCCCTTTATATCCTGAAGCTCTATCAAGATCTCCTGCGCCAATGAACGGTCTTCTATAATATCCTTAGCGGACACACCACTCAAATCTTGAATTCCGTCTAAGAACTTCAGTAGATGCGTGTTCTTATTCAACGCATTGGTGAAGGGCCAAAACGACATCGTGAACGCAATAGACACGAAAATGCACGGGTACGGCTCCAATCAGATTGGGCTCAATGTGGAAGGATAGGTGATGTGTGTAATAGATGTAAATATGAGTTTGTATGTGTCTTGTAAGTCAATCACCTTATCGCCGACGTAATGGGTCTGGATAAAAGGATAAAGATACTACTACAACAACAACAACAACAATACCAGCAAAGCAACGCCAGATCAATACAATATATATATATATATATATATATATATATATATAGAAAGTATCTAATCTAACGGATCAAAGGAACGAATGTATTAGGTTGTAGGGTATTGGGTTTCAGTCGACTTGAACATTCGAAAGGTAACGTGCGGTAGCGCGGACTACATCCTCACGGGTAATGGGGGTACAAAGAATGTAGGTAAATCTGAGTACAATGCAATATAACGTAAAATATACTAATAGGGTAATATATCAGGGTATACATCACTGTAATACTATAGAAGTTTATCATTGTAATATATCAGGGTATACATCACTGTAATACTATAGAAGTTTATCATTGTAATATATCACTGTAGTACCTTGCCAATGTAGTGCTTTATCCATGTGGCTTGTCGGTGCTACCAGATTAGAAGCATACTATGATGATTATGTAAGCATCGCATTATCATTAGTATCAGCATAATCATCAGCATCATTATCATTATCATCAACTTCTTCATCGGTTGAAAGATCAACTATGGCTTGGATGGCCCGTTCATGCTGTTCTTCAAAGTCTTGCCGAATGGTATCTAAGAAAGAACGAAGCTCTCGAGCATAATGATTGGCATTATGGTTGACCCACTCTTCTATTGTCATCTCCCCTTCATCTGCAGGCATACATGAGATGAAATGGGTCAATTCTCCATCGTCATCTTCATATAAATATGTATCGGAGTTGGTTAACTTGTGTAGATACTGTGCTCCACTATTGAAATGTTCAATCTCTTGTTTGAATTTATCTATGGTACCTGGTGTCCATCCCATAGTCTTACCACCTTTAGTCTTAGCCTCTTTAGTGTTGGTAACACCTGATGCAATGGTGTTAAGAGGCTTCAGTGGTAGTATATTGTTGTAGTTTGTATTCTTTGGTGGTGATCGTAGTGGCAGATTGAAAATAGATTTAACAAATTCAGCGGCATGTATTGGACTCTTTGGTAATTTGTTCAGGGCATCATGGTTCTTTAAAAAAGCAGATCCACCATTAACTATCACCAAGTCTTTCAGAGTATCGGATTTCGTCTCCGGTTCTTTGGAAACATGGCTGATTTTAAACGTGGTGGCTTCACTAATGTCTCGATGATACTGATTGGACTTGATGGTTTGTTTCCTCTCAGGTCTAGACTCTTTGTCGGAAGATCTCTTAAAGGTCTGGGTCTTCTTGATCTCAGTCACGAACTTGGAAGGGGCCTCTTTAGCAGGCTCTAGAGTAGCAGAATTCAATGTATAAGTTGACTGGATTGGGATCTGGGAATTGGAATTAGGATTTGGTTTCGTATGAGCTTGTGAATCTGGTTCTGGTACAGACTCAGGCGCAGACTCAGCTTCAGACTCAGCTTCAGACTCAGCTTCAGACTCAGCTTCAGACTCAGACTTAGACTCTGGCTCAGGCTCTGGCTCATGCTCAGAGACAGCATCAGACATAGCAAGATCAGGTGATCCCATAGAACTCTCTTGCAGTATTTCACTGATTTCAGATTCACTATCTTGACTAACATCGACGTTTTGCTGACTCTCATGAAGTGGTGACAAAGTTACGACAACCTCACGTTCCTTGTCAATGTTTGCCAGAGTCTCTTCTTCATCAATATGTGCTCGAGTCTCTTTTTCGTCAATATATGCTCGAGTCTCTTCCTTTTCAATACGTGGCTGATTCTCTTCATGAATAGGCTCAATAAACTCCGGGTCGGGCGACGGTACGGTTACGTTTGCAATAGATTCTTCTACCACTTGGCCCTTCAATTCTCTTTCAATTGAAACCCTCGACTCCTTGGAACTCGAACTCTTTGGTGGTTCGTTTACCACTGCTTTTACACCATCTAAAGTTTGTTTCAAGTCTTGTGCTGCTTCAAATGGTCTATCATGATCTTCATCATCACTTTCTTTAAAAATTTGCAGATGCCCGAGTTCAAGATTCTGTAAATCTTGTTGATACTTGCTGTAATCATCACTGTCATCTTCCTCCATTTCATACAGAAAGGCACTTACATCAGGCTCATGATCTGACAAATTTTCTATTGCTTCAGAAGCATTCACCCAATTAGAAACAGTCTCAACCTCAGCTTCAGCTTCTGGTTCTGGTTCTGGTACCTTTTCCAAGCTAATTCTTCTCCTTTTCTGCTTCAACGCTGAAGATCCCCTCTTCAGTGAGTTCTTACGCTTCAGAGGATTCTCCAGTTGTCCATCTTGAAATCCTACAACGTTTTTGGTTACTACTACTTCACGAACAAGTTCGCTTTCTTCAGCAGCAGGTTCACTTGCAATTATTTGAGTAGGTTTCTCTTTGCCATTATTATCATCTCCATTATCTCTAGACCCGTTCACAGATTCCACGACTGAGGTTTCAATTTCATCATCGGGGGTTGAAGCCGATAATTCAACGGAATTAGAAGTTAATCTGTCAACTTCATTATCTGTACCTTTATCGATAGCAGAATCATCATTCTGGGTCTGCACAATCTCAAATGTCGTCTTTCTCTCTATAGACTGCTCTCTTCTGCTATTACTAACTGGTACAGTCTTCTTCTTTGTAACCAGAGACAGTTTAACAGGCTCCTTGCTACTTCTAGACAGTGAAGATACTCTGGGCGAGCTTTGGTACTCATTCATGTCAATGCTTAAATCAGGTTCCCCTTTTTGTATTCCCTTAGGAGGTTGTTTGCTGGCACTAGACAGCGAAGGTAACTTGGACGAGGTCGCATTCTTGTCAGTACTTGAATCATTTCTAGACTTCTTTTTAGCAGGTTGCTGGTTGTCCAGGCTCTGGTTCTCAATGCTTGAATCTCTCTTTTTTTTGGACGAGGTCTTTTTAGCAGCTGGTTTGATAGCAGCAGACAGTGAAGTTCGTCTGGATTTACTTTGATTCTTGTTAATACTTAGACTGTCTCCAGATTGCCTAATAGGGCGTAAGCTCGACAGTAAGCAGGTCGATGTCTGATACTCATTCATATCAATGCTTAAGTCAACTCCCATAATCTTCTTTTTAGCATGCTTTTTGCTGGAACTAGATGGCCTGGATGAGCCCTGATATCCATTCATATCAATGCTTAAATCAGGTACCTTTTTTTTTGTCTTTTTAACAGCTTTAACCTGCTCTTCTTTGTCGTCTTTAACAGCATTTAATCGTGCAAAATATTGCCTTAAGGCACTTTTAGAATACTCACACTCGCGATCAAGGTCAATACATCTGGAGCATCTAGGGAATTCCTTGCTGCACGGATGTTTGCGGTAGCGAGTACTGCGTCTACTACATGCTCGACAAGACGTTTCAACAGTTAGGCCAACGGAATCCAGTGAAGAATGGGATTCTTCTTGATTTGCTATGCTCCTTGACAGCACGTTTCTTCTTGACAGAGACAGTACTCTGGACAGACTTTCTGTCCGCTTAGCCCTTGTATTACTGGTAGAATCTTTCTCGGTCCGGTCAACACTTGGCTCACGAGTTGTCAACTCTTTCGAACGCAGCCTAATCCCTCGAGACAGTGAAGGTAGTATCGACATGTTGGCATACTCAACCATGTCAATACTTAAGTCCTCTATAATTCTACCGCTTCTGCTTCTTCTCTTTGGGGTACTGGTTGTCCTTTCCTCAGACACAACCTCCGAAGGTGTCGTCGTATCGGCAGGTTCATGTTTCACGGCGACAGTAGGCTCTGTATGGGTATCTTCTTCTGGTGGGGTTGTTGAGCTTCGCTTTATAGGTGGAACGTTGGAGTCATTGTCTGAGTGTTCAGACATGTAGACGTCATCTGCTTCTTCTACTTTAACTCTAATAGTGCAATCATCCGATTCACTACGACTTGCATTATCTTGATGACTGGCATGGCCTCCTCTATTGTTGGAATCTTTATCATTCGGAGTTGGTTCTTCTTCTGTATCGAACTGAGCGTCAGGTTCTGCAGCTGAAGTATTGTCTTTTGATTTTGATTTCGATCGGTTGAATCGTCCTCCATGTTTCTGTCGTCTTGATTTTAATTGTGTATCCAAGTGCCCATCAAGAACATTAGCTTGTGTTGGGTCAACTTGTGTCGGAGCGTCTGCAGTAGGAATGTCAGCCTGTGTTGGAACATCAGCTTGTGCTGGAACATCAGCCTGTGTTGGAACATCAGCTTGTGCTGGAACTTCAGGTTGAGTTGGAACGTCAGGTTGAGTTGGTACGTCATCTGCTGGTGTTGACTCTTGTAGTTGACGACTAGCAGCAGGGTTATCAGCAGCATCTTCAAAGTCTTCGTTGGTGTCATGGTCCAAAGGATCTGTTGAATCGCCAGCTACAGTTGCATTGTTTCTAGCAGCGACTACATCACTGAAATGATTCCTTTCCACTGATATTGGCCTGTTGAAATACAGACCCTTTGAAGGTGATGAGGTAAAATGTACTTGCTCATCAGATTGGTCATCAGTTTCATTATCAAATATGTTTTGCTGATTTCGATAAGTACGCTTCACTGCCTTTGACTTCTTTTGAGACTGAGCCTTCACAGGACTTATAATGGCATCCTGTAAACCAACCTCTGTTGAACGTACTGGTGATTCTGGACGAGGCATTGGTTCCATGGGTCTAACATCTTCTTCCAATATGTCAACGTTAGAATAGTCTCCTAAATTGATATCAGTTAAATCAGTAACTGCTGTTGACATAGATGAGGCCTTAGAAAGTTTGACGGTTTTAGTTCTCTTTAACTGGGACTCCTCGGGAATAATAATTGCAGGTTGTTTAGTGGCTCGTGATTTTACAAGACGACTTCTTGATTTGGTCTCTTTTTTAGTCTTAGTTCTGGTGGTCTTAGATTTCGTAGTCCGTGCTTCCTTCTTTTTTGCAGCCTTCTCGTTGTCTGTGAAATTTGTATCATCAGGTTCGTTGGTGTCATCTTCCATAAATAAAGATAGTTCATTGGTCTCTTCCTCTGCGCTCAGCTCCGAAGTAGTTTGATCCAACTGTAGATTGGGAGTGTCTACCAGTTGTGATCGAAGAACTCGACGTGGTGGAATAAAACGACTCGACCGCCCAAGACCTTCATCAGAAGAGGCAGAAGGAATTGGCAGACTTGATTCAGGCAGTTCTTCTTCTTCTTCTTCTTCTTCTTCGACACCAGGCACATAATCGTCCTGTTCAGATGTGCTTTGTTCTGACCCTAAGCTTTCATTGCTAACGTTAATAGAAGGCTCTTGCTCCTGCTCCTCCACATTAACAGCGTCATCAACAATGACGTCGGCGTCAACCACTGCTTGCTTTTCTGAAAGATGGCCATCTTTGGAATTACTTAGGTCAGCTTCAACAACATCATCCAATGGATCTGAGTACAGAGGGAACTCAACTGAGATAATCTCCAGCGGCGAGGCCACAGAAGTTTCCGATATATTTTCAGGCTGTTCTTCTTCGGCTACTACTGGTACCGGTTCTACTGCTGGTGACGGTTCTGTGATCTGTGGTAGTTGTTGCCTCGACCCAGCTTCTGATAACCTCAGCTTTCTTCGTTCATTCCGTAACTTATTCGGACTAATATCTTTAAAGCTTGTTCCTAAGATGCTATCATCGAATGTCGAGTCGAAAGCCGAAGTTTTAGCCGATGGTTCTTCAACGTCGATTGGAATAGGAACTGAATCTGAAACCGTGGTCACTGTTGTTGCTGGTCTCCTTTTACCTTCTAATTCTTCATACAAATCTTCATCCGGTAGTTTACTCCAGTAATCTTGGTTAACGTAGACCAATGGTTGTTTCTGTATTCTTTGTTTTGTCTTCTTTCGTCTAGATAGTTTCGTTTCTTTCACAGTGATTTCATCATCGTCTATTCGGGGTGGGTTCAGGGTCTGGTTTAGTTGAACCATTGTAAAGGGTGTCGTTGATTGCTGTGGCTCGTAATCTGAACGATTGTGATCACTAAGATCAAGATCCAAATCATCTAATTGACCAAGAACATTTGTTGTGTCCAATGAATCAGGTTGATTTGTAACCCTAACCATTGACTTTGGCTGTGACTGCGGTTGTGACTGTGGCTGTGACTGTTTCGACTGTGATCCTGTCAACTTAGACTTTAGTCTGGGCAATGAAAGATCAAGACACTCTAAAAAGTAGCAATATCCAGGAGAATTCTGACGATGCTCAGCTAGTGGATCATCGTCACTATCCCAATCCTCTAGACTACATTTGCAATACACGCAAACAGTTCTATCGCTACCATGGATCTCCGGATCGTGAATGAATCCTGCTTTGGCCAACAGATCGCTATCGATGTAATATCGATCATCACCATCATGGGGATACTTGAAATAGAACAGTTTCCTGAACATTAGGGCTTCATTGGTCAATGGGTCACTGAGAACCAGAGGCATGGACTTGAACTCATGACGTTTATCATCAACATCCAAACCCCCAAAAACACTTTGGGACAACACAGCCATTGCAAGGGGACATCTTTCTCCATCTATCCGAGCAGAATGATCTATATGATTTCGTAGTAGATCTTCCATATTCCAAGTCTCATAAGCCAATTCGTGCTCTATGACTTCGTCATGGCCACACCGACAACACACTACTCGATTGTATCGTCCTCTGATTGGACTAAAGTAAAACAAGTGGACCAACGCGTCTATGTATCTTTTGTCATTGTGATCCTCCCAGTAGATTAGTGTACCTGGTGCGCTCTTTAGCTTGACACCATCGGTAAACGACCGCTCTCGGTTATGCCGATACCGAGTATAAGCAGGTGGCATTGAGGGAGCAGTCTAGACACAACTTATTGTAGTACCGTTACAGTTGGTGATAGTTGGTGATATTGCTGTTGTTTCTTGTGTACTGTTTTGACTGTGCGCACTACATTTTGATGATGCACCAAAGATTATATAAATTGAAGAAAGAATAGAATAAAGTGATAACAGTTAATAGTTATAGAATGGAATAGAACGGACAGAAAGGATACGCTTATTGGCCAACTAACAATTGGATGGTCTTCAAGGCTTCATATTTCAATTCACTATCACCATTATTGTTATCCAAATAAGTCATGATCAACAACTTGTATTGACCATGACTTGACTTAGAAACAAAGTCAACAGCATCCAGACCCAAGTTCTTAAACAAATATTGCAAATCATTTAATAACACAACTTTGGTTTCCGTCTTATCGGTGGTGGATAAAACTTTCAAAATCCGTAAAAGTAATTCATATTTATTGTCTTTGAACCGATGAGCATTGTCTAACCAAAATTCATTTGATTTATGAGTGGGACTTGAAAAACTGATTAAATTGGGGTTTTCCAATTCAGTCAAATATTCATCAAACGAGCTTAATTTGTTCTTAACGATTTCAGTCAATTCTTCGGATAAATATGCCAAATCATTGGATAATTCTTCATCACTACCATTGGAAGCAAATTTCCGTTCCTTAATAAGATTAATGGTGGTTAATCCATCATGAAACAAAATTATCTTAATCACTTTGAACTGTTCTCCATTATTGGTAGTAATAGCAACAAAATTTTTCAAAATAGCAACGGCTAAACGTACAATCTTTAATTTAATTGAATCTTTAGCAATGGTTAAAAGCGATCCAACAATATTGGCATAATAATGAACCAATTCTTTGTTAATCTTAGCATTAAATGATAAGACCCAAGTAGTTAACAAAACAGTATAAATTAATTGTAAACTGGAATTATTGGGTTGTTTTGATGCCAATTGGATTAAATGATTTATGGGACGGAAATTGGTTATCAAATTATGTTCATAATAAATTTGTTTGAATGGCTTATAAAGCATTAATTCTTGTAACAATTGAATGCCTAAAAACTGTAAATTTGTATCCTTCAAAGATCCAATGAATGATTCCGAACTTAAAGTATCAATGGTTTTGATCACCAATTCCTTATCAGGACAAGTACCACTCGATTTTGCAGATTTGGTGAGTAAAATAGTCAAGTTATATAAAGCCAAAAATTTGATTAAAACATCGGAACTACCCAATAAATCAACAAATGGAGCATATGGTAAAGAACTATCAACACTGGATAATTTCAAAAGAGCATCAATAAATTCTTGATTGGGCAATTCCAAAAGCAAATCATTTATCAATGTCAAGATATTCTTAATGATATCTTCCTTCCCAGAGGAATTACTTTGGATAAGTTTATTCAATACATTTAAAATTGTTTGTGCGTAATAATCAACTTGAGATAAGATGGTTTGATGTTTGTTTTCAACAGATTGCTTTTCCAAAGACCTAATGCATTTAGCTTCATCTTCAGTAATCAAACCTGCACGAGTGTTACCACTCCAACTGATCACACGTTCACGAATAAGGTTCTTTCCATCTTCAAAGAAACCACTTTCAACAATCACTGGTGACTATCAATTTCAATTGTTAGTATTAACTGTTCTAAGAAAAGCTTGCTTTCTCTTCTAATAGGTTCCACACATACATATGAGACACTCATGATCAACGTAACGTTTCAATTACTCTCCAAGCTCTTTGTTGCTTGGATTCATTATCGATATCTTTATCAGTCGTCCATTTTACCTCAGTGGAATTGCGGTACGCGCACGAAAACATCACGTGATAACTGATCTCAATTACAACAGATCAAGAACACGTTCTATAGTAGACATTAACCTATATTCATATGAATACATACATTCATTTTTGGATGTTTTGGCCCAACTATGTTCCTTGGATAGTAATACATCTTGCTTCCTCTCCTTAACATGGGGGACCAAAAAAAGCTTTGCTGCACAGAAAATGAGAAACAAGGGAAATCTTGTTCCTTATATACGTCTTTTTTTGGCTGCAAAAGATTATGCTACGTACCAAAAAAAATATTTGAAAGCACCTAAAAATTATAATCATAAAAATATAATTCTCCCTCTGTTCTTTTCTGTTTCCTCTTCTTCTTCTACTGATGCTAAAATGGCTACTACTGCTACCAGTAAGAATAACAGTGCTACAAACGCTCCAAGGGAACCATCTCGCTCTTCGACTACAAACTTTGCCTGGACCATTCTCTCTCCTAATACCATACTAATCACTAAGACCACTACTGATGTGAGTCGGTACGCTATCACCAATAAAATTACAGTTAAGAGAGATACGACGAGGACTCCAGTGATGCCCCCCCCTGCTACATCTATGACAGACAGACACCCCAATGGACGTGCTTCCAAAAGGTCGTTGTCTCCCACCGAGGCGGCTGGTGTCCTTTGCAGTCTCTCAAAGAAGCCAAAGAGTAGGGAGAAGTCAGAGAGCAGTACTCAGCAGAAGCCAAGGAACAGTAGTAAGGAGAAACCAAATCGCATGGGAAATGGCGAAGTCTCAACTAAGCCAAAATACCCAAAGTATTATTTCCCTCCTTTGCCCACAAGGTTTAAATAGAGGTCGAGCTCTGTGTATGCAATTCTTTTCTATTCTTTTCTATTCTTATGCTATTTATTCCTCTTTACTCCGTTTGTTGTTGAAACAAATTTTTATTAGTTCCCAGCGTATATTTGTGTTTGACAATCTCCTCTTGATCATAATAATCACCATTAGGAGTGGACCCCAATTTCCTATTAAGACTCTTGGCTTCATTATAATGACTCCACGACATGGTTGTGTCATGTCTAACAGCCTTATTTGGTGATGAAGAATTGAATAGCAGATGGTTATTTTCCACTAAGGAACTCAAATCAGTATGCATCCCATTGGTGAAGACGTCTCCATTTCTTTGTCCTCCCCCCATCAATGGTGACGAAGGCATATTGGCTATTTTGGAAACACCTTCATTACGATCATCAGAAAAATCTAAACCAGTATGATGTGCTGACAAATCAAGCTTTGTTGTATCTTGATTTTCAATCTCATCTAATGGGGTCCGATTATTATTTGATTCCCCTGGTGTTTGATCTCTGGGAGTCTTTTCAAATAGATTGCCGATCCACTCATTATTGGGACTTGAACCAGTTTCATTTAACGATTTTTGAATAATTTGATCTAAGGATTCTTCACTATTACTACCACCAACACTTGCTTTCCGATCTCCACCAGCCTCAAATAGATTGATTACTCTCGTATTCGATTTGGTGGCTATCATAGGTGGTGTCAAACCCGGATCTTGATTGGGCATATCGATGTCCGTTAAAGGACCTCCAAACGAATTTAATTGATTCATAAACTCATTCAAATCATTATAGTTGGGCGTGAGTCTTGCATCTGAAGCAGATGGGATATTGTTTGCTCGATTGTTCTTTGAATTACTCTGTATCACTTGATTAATGGCTGATGGAGTATGCAATGGGGTAGCAAATTTATGTGGAGAACTTGAAGAAACCTTGCCTTTGTTAGAGTTTGTGTGTTGCTTTCTTGAATTGCTTATTCGTTGTCTTTCAGCATACTCCTCCTTCTGCTTTACTTCCCGCTTATATCTTTGCTGTTGTAAATACTTTTTGACAACTGATAATGGTCTCATGAAACCCTTATTTCTTAGAAATAAGTAACAGGCGTTACATAACGGTCCAAACATTCCATCAAAATACTCCTTGGAAAACTCAGTAGCGTTATGTATTTGATGATAATTGGGATGATATCCTGTTTCAAAATATCTCCATGCAATAGAATCATTGGTGGCACAATTGTTGTTAACACAAATAAGTCCATGATTATGAGGTAATTTATTATTGGGCAAAGTGTGAGTCTTTTTGGAATCCAAATCATCAAGATCTGGTAATGATTGAAATGTTGTGTTATTTGTGTTACGATCATAATCATCACCTTCTTTTCCCTCTTCAACATAATCTGCATCATCTTCATCATCTTCATCAATGAAATTAGATCCATTAATTTCTTCCGATACTTCTGTTTGCGCATCTGCTATTACTGCTTCTGCTTCTTCCTCTTCTTCCTCAATTCTATGAGGTTTCACTCGAGAGTCATCAACAACTCTTTGATTTAACATGGATCTCGTTCTCATTGCTCTTTGAGGTTGTTCCATTGACTTTTGTCTTGAAGTGACAAATCCAGAGCTTTCCACAACCTTATCTCGAAGAAATGGAGCCAGTTTGAAACGGTCTTGAATATTCTTTGAATCGTATTTGGATTGGGTATTCATTTTATCAGCTGCAATGATATTAAATATGCTTTGATTATGGGGATTATAGAATATCGGCAAAGACTTTGTCCTTGTTGCTTTAACGGCACCAACATTTGTTGATGATGATGCAGACGATCGTGTTGGTTGTTGTTGTAGTGGTTGTGGTTGATTATTACTTTGAATTCGAGGACGTTTGGGTACAACATATTGTGACCGGTGATCATTCGTAGATCTTTTCACTGTAGTGGACTCATTTAAAAATATTGGTGATGCAGTAGTGGAGACCGGAGTAGTTGATGATGAATTTTTCATTGGAATGGAATTAACTTGTTGTTTCTGTTGCTGTTGTTGTGGTTGTAACTGCAGCTGTATTGATTGACTTGTGATTGTATGAAGTTTTAATCTGACTTCCAATGTATGCGATGAAGCACTTGACGAATTCCCAAACAAAGCTCTTGCTGAGTAATTCTGACATACTTTACCGGGGATTAAATAAGTATCAGCAGACTCCAATAACTTTGATAACTCACCATTGGCTACATAAGGTTCTTCTGGTTGTTCTGTAATATCCTTATAGTATACGGCATAATCTTCAGTTGACAATCGAAAATTCTCTGGAGATGATTGAACCAATTGTTGTATACAAGCTTTCAAATCGAAAGCACCTAACAGGACTATTTGTTCTTCCAGGTTATCTGAGTTCCACATGGGGATATCGACCACTTTGACTTGATGTTGACAAGCTGAACGCGACATAAACACCGTATTACTGTCGTTGAAGGAGTAGAGCACTTTCACTTGCATTCTTTTGCACAGTGGTTCTTCACTCATGATTAATAATGAATAATGACAACAACAACAATGATACTAAGAAGCTAGTGCAGTAGTCTGGTGGAGCAGCTACTACCAATTAAATGCACCGAAAAATAAGCGGATATCAACGGAGGATACTTCAAGTGGCAAAAACAGCAACCCACAAGGCCTGACGAGCGTGCTAATTCCGATGATGTTGAACTCTGACAAGGACCAAATTCAGTAGGAAGTAGAGGTTTACTTTTTTCTAGTGCCCTCTTCTGTTAGTCTGGTCAAACCCACTTTGTTTATTGCTTTTTTAACTGCCTTACTCAATTCACTTGTTAGGATCACCAGGACTCCTTCCCACCTTCGCTTGTCTCTTAAAAGCAGTGGATAGTTGTGGTTAGAAAGAAGTTGTTAGTGGTAATGCCATTGCAATTCCACCGCGACGCGACGCGGCCAAATTCGCGACCGGTAGTGTGTAAACCGAGAATACTGGAGTTATAATGACTACTACATAGTATATGCAGAGTTAATGGTGTTTATGTATAAGAATTTATATAGGTATAGTGTCTATAGTATGTACACTGTTGTAGTATGTACACTGTTATAGTAACAGTAGCAATGACTATATTAATCAAACCCAATTAACTTATTAATTTGGTCCATATTAGTCGTGGCTATCTCCCTAGCTTTTCTACTGCCTTCATTGGCTATTTGCTCTAAATAAGCCTTATCGGTCATGAGTTCATCAAATAAGTGTCTACGAGGTTTCAATTCTTCCACAATGACTTCGGTGACATAGTCTTTCAATTGTTTGTGATTAGTCATCCATTCCATGTCTTTAACTGTATCATCAATTGACTTTCGGGTGATTCCACTGACTATGTTAATGAGATTAGAGACTCCCGGTCTTCCGTCGGGATCATAGTATATACCACCTTGGATTGAATCTGTAGTTGCCTTCCTGATCTTTTTGGCAATTGCCTCGGGTTGTTCGTTAACATAGATACACGAATTCTGATCGGGATCTGACTTGGACATCTTCTTGTCGGGGTTTCTAAGGGAAAGAATCTTCTTGGTCGGAGTTAAGAGTGTCTTTGGTAAAGGAAACATATTAGTCTTATAGCTATGATTGAAAGTAGTGGCTATACCTCTTGTCAATTCCAAATGTTGACTTTGGTCATCTCCAACAGGTACATGAGTTGCCTTATATAGCAATACATCAGCTGCTTGTAATACTGGATAGCATAATAATCCGGCTTTAGCCTTCCCTACTTCTTCATCAAACAAACTACCACTATCATTTAGATGAGCTTTCAGTTTCCATTGGGTCATTCGGTTCAAACTTCCAATATTGGTCAAACATGTAAAGATCCATGAAAGTTGACTGTGTTCAGGTACTGACAGTTGATGATACAAAATACATTTTGTTGGATCTAAACCTGCCGATAGTAAACTGGCCAAAGTTTCATATCTAAACTTCTTGAGCTCCGTGGGTTCCTTGAATACAGTAATAGCATGTAAATCAGCAGTACCAAATATACAATTAGAAGGTATGTCTTGGCTAGAAGATTCTTGAGCTAAATCTTTCCAATTCCTCACTGCACCGAGATAATTCCCAAGATGGATTCTACCAGTTGGCTGAATCAACAGGTAAATAGTTGAATTCAGTGGGAATGCTCCTATTTGTGTGACTGTTTGCACAGTGGCATACTGCCGTATCAATTGCCGCATGTAGAGGTAAAGTACACTGTATTAAAGGTAGTGGTCAAATGAAGTTGATCCATTTTCAACCTCTCCAAGTCACGTGACAAATACTGGAAAAAACCACTGGATACCTGTATGTCACGTGAGAACAATCGTGAACTACAACCCATAAACTACATCCACTCTCTAGCAATCAATAACATTTTAAATATGACTAAAAATACACCTTTAAGGCCCTTGTGATTCCTTTTTGGAAGTTTCAAATCCCCCTTGAACATCATCGATTTCAACATTATCTTTACGTAAACGATCTTCCAACTTCAACCGTTGTAATTGTCGCCATCTATCCAACTTTGAATATTCATGAAGTTTGAAACCAAACAAACGGGGCACGTATGTTTGTTTGGAATGAACAGGTATAGCTTGTTGATAATTGAGTAGAAACATTGCTGGGAAAGATCTACCAAAATATGCTCCATCAACTACAGCATGCCGATTTGACTTTGGATTATAAAAGTCTTCACACTTAGCACAATAAAGTTTGACACTAGCAACTCTTGGTTGATCACTTAACCCCACGGGTAACAAGGGATGTAATTCACAATTAACTCTTGGACAAAAACCAAAATCTCCAGTTCTAAACTTATCAAACATCTTGGTTAACCCTCTCAGAGTTAAGATATATCTGGCATGGATTAGACCATATAACACCCGAGCATCGTGTTCGGTATTCTTACGGTTCTCATCAGAACGATCATCATTATCCATATCTATGGCATCAGTGATAAGGTCAACCAATAAACTTAGATGGGATACTTCCTGAGCCAAACCAGTCAAATTGAACCGGTCACGAATGTAGTCATCATCGATATCACAGAAATATTCATTCCCCTTGATACCAAGAAACAAGTCTATCCAGTATTCGGTGATATCCGTGCTTGTATCTGTAACGTATTGGTCAGCTGGAATAGAAGTCATCATACAGTGTTGTGTATTGTGGCACTGTGAGTAGTCTGCCTTGTTGTAGTCTGTCTTGCTTAGTCTTCTATCTGTACAGCACAGTCTTATTGGGTCGGTCTAATGCGATAATATAGTACACTGCTATTATGATATGATGGTGATATACATCCGATGAAGATGGTGACAATACTTGTATGGAAACACACCGGTGCTTTACGCTATCAAGTTTATCATAGTAAAAATTTTCGGCACAAATTCAAAGGCCTAGATACAGTTCGCTCAACAGACGGAGTGTCTGAGTGAGTGACAGAGTGACTGATTGTCTGATTGTCTGATAGACTGTGTATTTGTTTGCTTGAGTGAGTGAGTCAGTGATTGAGTGACTGCGTGTTTGAGTGACTGAGTAACTGATTGATTGAGTGACTGAGTAACTGATTGACTGATTGACTTAGTGACTGACTGACTGTGTGCTAGTATCTGCTTGTGATCTGAGATACGACTTACCATCTCCGCATAGTATTTGCTGCTTCTCGTCCCTCCTCATACGATGCGCTTCATTCAACTCCCAAATGCGCTTCACAAGTCCCTGATAGATCTGATTTCCCTCAACTCGTCCAATCAAAAGTTGGCCACAGGTGGTAAAGATGGCACTGTTTACATTTGGAACGCACTCCAACTAACAGACCTCCTTACATCTACTACAACAGGCCCAGACGGAGATAAGATCACCAATGCTAGTGTTGACGATGTTAAGGGTCCTGATCCTATATCAACTATAGCAGTACACAAATGTCCAGTGACCCTGGTTCGATGGTCACCTACCAATGAAAGCACCTTAATTACTGGTGATGAAAACAATCAATTATACATCCATATAGATCAGTTGAGTCTGAGAATATACCCTTATCCTCAATGTAAGTCAGAGATTGACTTTGATTCTGACTCCGATTTGGTTGAAGTTGACTCGGTCATAGATATCTCTTGGTCTCACGATGGTAGACTTGTTGCCTGGAGCACAAGTTATGGAGAGATCCATTTATATGATATCAAGAAACATACCCATCAGACTTTAACATCCTTAATCAACGGAGGTAAACATCCGTTTGTCATCCAACGAAGTTTAGCCTTTGATCCAACTAATAATTATCTTATGTCGATTGGTGATGATACTTTGATCTACCTATTCCAATATGCCTTTGTCAATGATTTCTATCAATTTAGACTCATTTCCAAGATCTCCAAAATTATCAACAAACAGGCTTTTAACTCCAAATATAAAAGAATATCTTGGTCTCCAGACGGTGAATTTGCAAGTATTCCTTCTGCCAATAGGAACTCGACTTCCCTAATTTCTCTTGTTTCCAGGTCTCTTCAATGGCAACATAAAGTGAGTCTAGTGGGTCATGATTATAGCTGTGAAGTCATAAGCTTTAATCCTAAAATTTATCAGAACACTTCTGACCCAGAACGAATTTATTCCATATTGGCTTCTGCTGGGTCTGATAAAGTATTGGCTATCTGGAACACTACAAAGGATACCCCATTACTTGTTATGAATGACATATCATCAGCACCTGTAGTTGATATGTGCTGGAATAGTGAAGGGAACTGTCTTTATCTTGCATCTCAGGATGGCCATTTATCAATATGTCGATTTGAAGACTCTGATTTAGGAATTGAAATTAGTAAGGAAAAGCTTGACCATTTGATGAAGTTTGAAAAGGAATATTTGAAACCATTGAATCATAAATATGAAGTGCAAACTTCTAAAAAGAATGCTCCTCCAATTGAATATTTAAATCAAAAAGATGCAGTCGATATTACTATTGCAAGTACAATTGAAAAGAATGAAAAGAATGGGAAGATCTCTAATTCAAGTGTGGAAGAGTCAAATAAACTTTCGAACAGCAATCACAATTCTTCAGATCTTAAATCCGGAGAATCAACTAGTTTAATTCCAGAAATCCCACCTGCTCCAGAAATGGATGCCCCAGAGATGGCCGGTGATGCTTTACTCAATGCAATGGAATCTCGACTGTCTAAAGGGGGTAATACAGCTACCCAAATGGACTCTTTACCCTCATCATCTTCTTTTAGTACGAAGAATGGAGCCACTTCCACACCTCCAGTTATTAACAAACCTACGTTAAATAAAGTGGTGATGAAAAATGGCAAGAAACGTATTCAACCTACACTTATTACTAAAACAAAAACTCAAACTGATGTTATTGCTAATGCAGCCAATGGGAACAGCCAATTTCTGGCTCATATGACTACAAAGACACCAATGGAATTTGATAAGCCATCGTATTCCGTTACTGAAAGCTTACACCGAGAATTCAAACGAAGTCAAACTAATAACGACAGTAGTACTGGGACCAATGGACCCTCAAGCAAAAAGTTGAAGAGAGATCTTGAACCAGTTAAGTTTATTGGATCGGTGATAACGAATCCTAACGTTACATTTTCTAAAGTAAGACTATCGGTACCTAAAATACGGATGAGTTTCACCATCTCATCCAAAATGGAAGAGGTATTTGTATTTGATGTGAAGAATGGTTCTGGAAATGAGACTAGACCGTCAAGAGTCACCTATTATAAGAAAGACAAAATGCTTTGGTGTGATTTTATTCCTCGTTTCATTCAATTGGCAACAGAAGGATCTCAAGTATGGTCAGTCTGTACATCTGATGGACAAATAATAGTATATTCCAAGCTATCCGGAAAGAGATTGCTACCACCATTAGTACTTGGAGCTCCCTTATCCTTTTTGGAAAGTTTTGATAAATATTTAATGGCTGTTACATGCGTGGGTGATCTTTTTGTATGGGATCTTGAGACAAAGACTGTTCATATTAATACTCAATTGACTCCTCTACTCAATCTTGCGTCCAAAAATCAGAATGATGCCATTTCGAGATCAGAAAACATCACCATGTGTTCAGTTACCAGAAGTGGTATACCCATAGCTACTCTTGCCAATGGGTCTGGGTATTTATTCAACTCAGCATTGGAATCATGGCAGACCATAACCGAATCATGGTGGGCGTTTGGGTCTCATTATTGGGATAGTAATGATGACAACACCAAGAAGCCAATTGGTACTAGTGAAGAGCCTTCTATTATTGATCTCTTGGAGCACAAGACAAATGAAGAAATCATCAAGAGAAACCGTGCTGGTAGAGGCAAGTATTTCAATAAGATCTCAAAGAACATGATCATGAAGGAAGGGTTTGAAAGCTTGGAAAACACCATATCGCTAAGTCATTTGGAAAATAGGATTCTTTGTTGTCAGATATTGGGAGAAACCAAAGACTTCAAGAGGTTCTTTGTGACTTATGTTCAAAGATTATGTGAGTTGGGACATAAGGCTAAGTTATTTGATATTTGTGATCAACTATTAAAGGAAAAGGATGAACTGAGCCAATTGATATGTGGATTAGATCGAATTCTATTGCTTAAGGAAGTGATATTATCTTGTGCCTCATATCGTGACTCACAACGTGTGTTGGTACACTTTGCTAAGAAGATAGGAGTACTTGTCAATGACGTTGATGGAATACAATTGTAAATGACTTGGTTTACCTGATGGTATATATATGATGGTTATAAATAATGGTTATAAATAATGGTTATGATGATTATATACATGATGGTTATATGGTCACAACTTAAAGACATTGGCAGAATTCCACCCTTTCTTGGCCAATAGACCTTCAACAGGACCTTGCTCTCCAGTATTCAACACCTTGGAGCCACACACATACTCCATGTACCCTTGAGGACCACATACTATTGCAAAAGAGGAAGCATCCTTAAGAAGCTTCGAAGTAACCTGAGCATATTGAAGAGCATTTTCGTATCTTGGGCCTCTAGTTAGGTTTGACTGCTGATCCTGATCTTGAACTTTACCTTGATCTTGTTCCAATAATTGAAGTCTATATTTCAATTGTTCAGTCTCAGTCAACTTATTCATCTCTTGTTTCTGCTTATCGGTGATAAAATGAGGTTTCCCGGGCTTCTCGATGTCACTTTGCTTTAACTTGGATGAAGGTTCCGAGTCATAATGATAGTTTAATTTGACTCGGTCAAGTTTTTCCAAGAAGAACAAATACCTTTCAAAAGGCTTCAATTCTCCAGGTTTCTGAGCGGAATAATGAACAGTAATAAATCCTCTGTATGGATTTCTAGAGAAGACCAATTGCAATAATGGAGCTATTCCTGTACCAGCACCATAGAAGGTGATGTTATCATATTTGGGAACCCTGTTCAATTGTCTGGCTCTTTCAGCCATATGTTCCGATTCAATATGGGAAGGTAAATCTTTAAAAGTGGGTCTTTGATGATACTTCTTCCCGGGATGATAGGGGAACTTGTATTCTTCATAAGGGCCTCTTAATTCTATTTCTTCACCAATGTTTTTGCTGGTAATGTATCTTGATACTTCCCCATCATTGTACCTTTTAACATACAACGTCATGACTCCATTCATGTCATAGTCGACGTTCTCGTTATGGATGACTCTCAACATGGGTTTCCGTTCACCTCTTCTAGTGTATTCTGATTTCATAAAGTAAAAGGGTAAGGGAGTATAACTCCGCACCACAGAGATGTCCGGGTGTTTCACTTCAACAGACCAAATTCTATCACCATTCCAAATGGTTTTGGATTCATAATTCAGGATATAACTATATTGCCAATGGGTATATTTAGGTTGGATTTCAATGAGGAAATGATCATCATCGATTTGTTCCTTATGGGTAATGATGAACTTGTGGAACTTGTTAGGACTTAAGAGTTCTCGAGCATCTTCGCCTCCTTCATCTGGGGGATAGAACCACACTTTGATAGTATACCCACCCCAAACCAACACAAGAACCCCCAACATCTTGGGAAGGTATCTTGACCATCTGGTTGTGGTTTTGGTAGGCTTTATTTTAGTGGTGTATTCGTCTTTGTTAGGAAGACCGGGGTATTCGTACGTCAACCGGTCATGCTTCAATTTGGGAACGTATGGCTTGGTATTCTTCTTAAGAAGATGAGAAACAGATGTTTGGGAAGTCCATGGAGCTGGTGCTGCTTTGGACGATGACGAAGTTGATGAAGTGTCTGAAGCAGGTGCTGGTGTATTGTTATTATTGGTTTGTTTCCTTGGTTGTAAGTGTTTGTTGGAGTTGACGTCTGATTTGAACCTGGTGATGAGCCAATGAGGCGGTCTGGACTTAGATCGACGGACGAATGGAAGCATGATGCTAATGAGTTGTGTGGTGTTGGTGATGGTGAGTATCAAGATACTATTTGATTTAGTGGACAGAGATGAGCGCGACACCGCTTACCTAATTGGGCATCTTACGTCTGAAAGTGGAATTACAGTTCTATACTGTTATCTATAGTAGGTTTGTACTTAATATGGTTGAGAATGATAATAGAAGAGTCGTGTAACCAATGGTAAGTTTAAGTCCGTGTTGAATAGCTTATTACTTAAGTTGAGTCCGTATTGAATGCCATACTACATAAGCGCATTTTAAACCCACAGTACTTCAGTCCACATAAGCTGGTTGTACTCAAGTCCGCTGCACTTAGGTCCGTAACTAATGACATAGAACTTGAGTCTACTCTAAGTCCATTCTATCACTCCACTCTATAATAGAGCACATTATGACTTATTGTAGCTAAAATTGTTTGATCACAGGTTAACGTCCACTTTACAGAGGCATTGTGTTACCAACTACTAATTGTTACCACATTACTATTGCTGTGCTATTGCTGTGCTATTCCTGTACCGTTACAGTACAGTAGCGGTAGCAGTACAGCACGGTAATACAGTGGGCACCTCTCCTTTCATCATTACTCTTATCTCTATCCACTACTTTATTCGTGCTCTTACTAAATCAAGTGAAAATTATCAACGACACTATACAAAGTATACTAACATTGTACCTAATAACCACTGTTACACTACTAAACTACTTCTGTTCTTGATGAATCTCATAGCATCAATTGCTGCTCATAAAGACAAGTGCTGGAGCGTGGCCAGTCATCAATCATTACCATTGCTTGCAACATCTTCCACGGACAAGACGTCAAAGATCTACAAGCTCCTGGCCAAACAACACTTCCCCCAAGTAGCCGTTCTAGAAGATGCCCATAAGAGATCTATACGGTCTGTTGCCTTCCAACCTCCAGTCAACGGTTTGCAAACAGGAGAACCCGTCGATCTACCAGTAGTGGCCAATGGGTCCTTTGATCTGAACATCTCCGTGTGGGGAATCGATGAACCTGAAGAATTGGATGAGTTGGAGTCAGATAAGTTGGATGACTCGGATGACTCAAATGTACAAGCAGTCAAAGATATCCTTTGTTCCAGTAATAATGAATGGATGCTTATGGCATTAATAGAGGGCCATGAGAATGAAGTCAAAGCCGTTGCTTGGAATCATACAGGTCAGTATTTGGCCAGTTGCTCTAGAGATAAAACGGTTTGGATATGGGAAACCGATCCTCAGACATTAGATGAGTTTGAATGTGTGGCAGTGTTTAATGACCATGATCAAGACGTCAAACACGTTTCTTGGTGCGATAACCGTAACATGTTAGCTCTGAGTAGTTATGATGATACTATCAGAGTTTATGTTAAGGAAGATGGTGAAGATGATTGGGATTGTGCGACCATATTAAATGGTCATACTGGTACTGTTTGGTGCTCTCAATTTGAGCCATCACAGAGGAGTGACACTGACAAAATAAGATTGGTATCTTGCTCAGATGATTTGAGTGTTAGAATATGGAGCTCGTCAGCAGCAGGCTCATCTTCATCTGCTCCTGCTACTGCTGCTACTGCTGAACGTTTACCTTCGTCCATCAAACATACTCATGATGATCAAATATGGGAATTGGAAACCATCTTGCCAGCAGTGCACCAGTACTCCATTTACTCTGTTGCCTGGTCCCCCTATTCAGGCAGAATCGTAAGCAGTGGAGCGGATGGCAAAATAGTCGTCTACAAGCAAGACAGTAGCGATGACCGTCAATGGACCATTGAACAAGTGAAGGAGAATGGCCATGGGATAAATGAAATCAACTGTGTCACGTGGTCTATATTAGACGATGGAACAACAGAAGTCATAGTATCTGCTGGTGATGATGGAATGGTAAATATATGGAACAGTAGTTAACAGAGACAAAGTTATAATAGTATTCCAAGCATTACAATAGCTGCTACCACTAATAATATAATCAAACAACAAGCCATTCTACCTCCTGCTCTTCTTTGGTATCGTTCTGCTCTTCGAAGCTCATGACTCGCACCTCTAGCATCTTCATTGTAGTTGTATAAATTGGCTTCTATGGAATCAACAGTCACTTGTTGTTCTTCCACTATAGATTGAAGATTCTGAAAGATCTCGTTGATAGTCGACGTGTCTTGTTGGATTCTGTGGATCTCTCGTTCTCTCTGTTGAATCTCAAGCGTTTGTTGTTCCAACTCTTCACTATTAATAGGCTCATAGTTGATCTGAACAGAGTCGTCCGTGGTCCTCTGTTCTTGCTGATGTTGATATTGTTGGTATTGTTGATGTTGTTCCTCGTCCATGGCTAAAAGACTAAAGGCCTCTATCTTGTTCTTAAGTTCTCGGAACCGAGTAATACTATTCTTAACCAATTTGATCACTATAGCCTCCTTCTGTTGAAGATACTTGATGGTAGTGACATCTTCATGATTGGCCCGTGCATCTTCTATTTGCTCACTAAGACTCTTGACCCAGTCGTTGATCTCTCTATATTGTTGTGTGACCTTCTCCACCATCCCCGCTCCCTTGGTGTTGTCGTGGTTCTTTATTGCCTCTCGAAGAACACCCAACTCCTGAGTGTTGATCCGAGCAAGCGCATCTTCTACTCGTTTGGCGATGGTGCTGAACTCAGGGTACTCCGTGAACCCATCCTGAGCGTCCTCGATGTCTGGTTGATCGTTACTATTAGCAAATGACATTGGTGAAATGGTAAAGAAGGGTTGTGGATTATAGTTCGGTTATTCGCGGGAAATAATTCTAACAGCATCAACACACTATTATACACTACTGGCTACACCCCATTAACAAATCTATTACATTCAAAATCTATTTAATTCCCTATCTATCTTACTCTTGTTCAGATAAAAACTTTTCACAATCTAATGCTGCCATACATCCAGAACCAGCAGAAGTAATTGCTTGTCTATATTTCTTATCTTGAACATCACCAGCAGCGAAAACACCAGGAATTGAAGTTTCGGCTGTACCAGGCTTAGTAAGAATATAACCAGATTCATCAGTATCAAGTTGTCCGGCAAAAATCTTAGTGGCTGGAGTATGACCAATGGCATAGAATAATCCATTAACAGCTAAATCAGATTCAACCTTAGTCTTATTGTTAACAATCTTCAATGATTGTAAAGTCTTACCATCACCTTCAGCAGATAAGGCTTCAGTATTCCAAAGAATTTCCAACTTTTCATTGTTTTGAACTCTCTTTTGCATAATGGTCGAAGCTCTTAATTGATCTCTTCTAACAAGTAAATAAACCTTGGAACCATACTTGGTTAAAAATAAAGCTTCTTCACAAGCAGAATCTCCACCTCCAATAACTGCCAATGGTCTGTTTCTGAAAATTGGAACCGCTCCATCACAAACGGCACAAGCAGATATACCTTGTTGCCAATAAGTATCTTCACCAGGTAAATGCATTCTTTTGGCAGAGGCTCCAGTGGCAATTACAATAGAATCAGTGGTAATGGGTTCACCATCTTCATTCCATTCGGTCCATAATTTAAATGGTCTTTGTGAAAGATCAACCTTACTAATAGTTTCAGTAATAATTTCAGTGCCAAAACGAACAGATTGTTCCTTCATCTTATCCATTAATTCAGATCCAGTGATTCCTAATGGGAACCCAGGAAAGTTCTCAATCTCAGTGGTGGTGGTTAATTGTCCTCCGGCAGCAATACCATTGGCCAACAACCCTTCATATAATGTGGGCTTGATTTCAGCTCTTGCCAAATAAATGGCTGCAGTATGAGCAGCTGGGCCGGATCCAATAATGGTCACTTTGTTGTGCACCATTTTTCTTATTCCAAATTGAAGTAATGAGTTCACGGTTGAAATCTATGTTCAGATAATATCACTGAACAGAAAGCTCTTAGTCAAGTAAGGATTAACCCTAATAGTATTTTTAAAAGTATTGAAGAGGAATGAATGAATGTGATTTCTTTGTCTATTTATATGGTTTTTTTTTCCTCTTCAGCTTAGAAATTGTGCGACTGGTAGCGCGGTAACTGAAGGGTCTGGGCCAGGCCAGGCCATCATTTGATTTATGATCCTTCTGATTACTTTAACTAGTGTAATACATGCTAGCTAGATATACCTAGTTGTACCTGGTCGTACTTACCTGCTGCTATTTGCTCCATTTAACCACTGTATTCAAATTTATACCGACATATTGGTGTGCCTACGTACACAGTTCTACCGTTGTATACCCCTATGTATTAAAGCTGTATAGTCGTATTTCGGACATCGTTCATCGTAGGCCTCGATCTAATCTACAAGTCGTGCGAAACACAATATCGGTGCCCTCGGTCAACCTTTTGTCCCGGGTGTGGCATTAGTGATCACAGACCATACCCATCCAAGTTAAGGTATGGCTTATTCCACACCGACCATCATAATGTGTTAAACTATTGATAGAACGAATATTAATAACGCCATTGTCTCGTTGTATTAGATTAAAGCGTGTTCCGTTTGTTCCAGCGCATGACAGCACTGGTGACTAGTTAGTAGAAGTTGGCTGTGAACAGATGGCTGTGAACAGATGGCTTGATAGTGGACTGAAAAATGCTAGCTGTCCTAGCATGACAATCGAAACCATTACCAAGTTTCTGTTCTTAACCGCTGATAAACTTCATCACGACATCTAATTGTTGAAACCGGGGATTCAATAATACATTGCTCATGAACCATTGCAATCCCTTTCTACGTTTCTCGATCCATTGACTGCTCCGCTTTAGTCTGTCCAAACTAAAGTCATCCTTCCCAGGTAACTCTGGTACCTCTGTCGATGAATATTTGAATTTCTGTAGAAGATCCTGTCGAAGCTTCTCAAACTCACTATACCGCCTATAAATTTGAATTCCCGTATAAGGAGAGTCATCTAATGTAATCAGAATTGGCCATGACATGTATGACAAACCTTTCTCTCCCTTAACATCCCTGTAATCTCCAACTACGACATTGGTTATATGCGAAAGCTGATTATCACTTTGAAGCTGAATGGGGATCGGTGCTATCTGTTGCAAATGCGATACGTTTTTCACTCGTGTCATAATACAGTGATTGATTGTACTTAATCAGTTTATAAGGTGTAGTCTTCATTGACTGATGACCTTCTTGTGTGCGATAAAGAAGGAGATCATCTAAGCAAGCCCTAAATGGTTGCACGTGACACCACCGTACAAATTATATTACCAAACAGGCATCACCGAATTATGATACTATATACTAATAGCTATTCAGTACATACCTCCTCCATTACCATGAACAAGCATACGAGTTGGCAACGAATGATACATCGCTGGCAGGCCAGAAGAGACATTCCTTTCCGTAAACGTTTCTTTGTGGGCTACGATTTGAATGGGAACACTTATTGGGAATTCACTCCGGATGGTAACATGGATAGACTAAGAAGAAAGATGGAACCAGTGGAGAAGGAGATCTTTGAAGCGGATTACTTCGAGAAGATCCCTCCTCAATGGCTCCAATGGCTCAGAAGAACCAGATATGAGCCTCCAACTTTAGAAGAATTGGTCGAAGACAAGAACCGTCAGGAAAGAATAAAGATATTGGCTCTGCAAGCTGATCTTAAATGGACTCAAAAGAAGCAAGAACTAGAACACATTCACCAAACAAAGCTACAAAGGGAATTGGATAAACTAAAGTTGGAAGAAGAACAGAAGCAGTCTAAGAGCAACACCACCACCAAGGATAATGATCCATGGAAGGCAGCAGAAAAGAAAGATAACCCTATTGAAGAAGCCACTATATTGAGCTCAAAGCGATAGCAAACGTTTCTCCCGTCATCCCCTCTTGTGTATATATTCATAGCAATCATTATGTTGTACTCAATCGGACTTATTAATCCGGACCAAATGAAAGATCGTCTAGTTTCCTTTTAACCATCAGCATCAACTTTTCACTGTAGTCTTCGAGTAATTGAGTAGAGTCTTTGATAGCAGTCTTGCCATTGTTAGCCTCCACATCACTTCCATCAGTGTCATAAATATCAATAATCGTTTTTATATGGTCTATCTTCAGGGTAAACAATGGAATATCTTCATCTCCAATCTCTCCACGACCCAATGACTCGATTATCTTATCAAGAACTTCAAGATACCGTGAAACAGGTATTTGGGGCTTATTGATGCATATACCTCTTGATCCAGGTCTACAAGGAGACGAGGTGGCTTGCCTAGACGTCCGTATCGAAGATGATGATTTAACTTCAATTGTTGATGTTGATATGGGAGTTCGGGAAGGAGAACTCATTCGACGACTATCTCCAAACACAGGAGACAGTGAAATAATAGACGATTTTCCTGGGCTTCGTAGAATCGGCTTATCTTTTATTGGAGATTTTAGTGATGCCGATGATAATTGTGAATTCAATGAGGGCTTCATAGGTGAGGAAGATCGAGAACTTGGTCTTGAAGTTGATCCAAGTCCAACAGATGAACTTCCTACCAAACTTGAAGGAGAAATACCTCGAGCTTCAAGTCTTTTAATTGTTGCACCAGTAAGTCGAGGACTCGAGTTTGGAGTTGCTTTCTTTGAAGACGATTCAGCTGGTAAAAGATTGATACTTCCATTTGAAATATCAGAACTGCTACTTATGGATGAGTTGGTTAATTTCCTGACTGGTGGAACAATCTTTCTAGTAACTTTTGTTGCAACTATGGGTTCATCTATCGCTTGGGTCTCAAATGTATATCTTATCATACACCCTTCGCTATTAAGTCCCAAAATAGACTTTTCTCCGCCTTTGAAAAGTCTTAAATCCAGTTGTCCCCACAATGTCAGAATTGGTCTTCCTAGAGAATAATTAAAGACTCTGACTGACCTGTCTGAAGAAGAAACGATGATCTGCTGGTCAAGTACCAACATTTCTTCAATTAATAAACTATCTTTCTCATTAAATAGCTTCAACGTTCTCTTGTATTCGCAAGTCTTGTTATTATAAATTTGGAGCGTTCTATCATTTGTTGAAACGATAACATCTTGGTCTGTAAGTTTCACCGCAATGGGAGCAGTTCTCAAGGATATAACCTTATCAAGCTTAACTGTTATCTCTCCTTCTAAATTTTTGACTATTGAATGAACGGATAGACTTCGATCCAGCGAGCCCACATATATTCTGGAGTATTTTCGATCCACTTCTAAGTGTGTTAGATTTCCATTATGTAAATTTAATGTTTGTAGTAAATCCCATTCATCAGTAATCTTTGAAAATGCTTGGATCATTCTATCTCGCCCAATACTTACAATCACTGAAGTTCCATCGACATTCAAATGAACAATTTCATTTATGGCCGAGGAGTGAGCTTTGAATTGTTGACTTAGTGAGTATTCGGAGCCACTGATACTCTTGAAGAAACATAAGTTCCCTTCTTTGTCCCCCAAGGCTAACTCGTTGTCAGAAATAAAGGCAATACCACTCGGATTTCCTATGAATTGGGAAAAGCAAAACACATCCGTTATTTGTAGATCATCATTTTCTATATTGATTAATTTTACTTCGCCACTCACGGCAAGTGCCATAATCTTCAACCCCCCTTCAATTTGATCAAGACCTGCCAAATTTGGTATTACTGGAATTGTTAGGTTCGAAACAGTCTTGTCGTTTTTGTTGAATAACTTAATTCCTTTGGAGCCTGTTAAATACACCAAATAATCATTGTTAAGGTCAACTATGTTAATGATTTCTTGAATAGTATCAGGATGTGCCTTCATGGAGTCCATTTTTAACGGACTTGAAGACTGCTTAATAAGTCCTGGTTTTGGGATTTCATCGCTTATTTGTAAAAGATCAATTGGAGTATGATTAATAGTTCCATCTTTTGATAAAATCCAAATAGAAGAGGAATCTCCAGTAATGCTGACTGGATCTTTCAAATTATAATCAATATATTTTAAATTGGTATCAGCAGTGTTCAAAAGCACTAACTGGTTTTCACTGGTTATCACTGCTATTTCCTCAATATCTATTGCTTGACCTGAAACAAAGTTTGAGTTCACCAATGGTCCAAGAATAACATTACGACCCTTTAGCACCTTATTACCTTCGACATGCCATATTTTAATAAACCTTAAACCCAAAGTTACAAACGAAAGTGGATTCTTCCAAACAATTTGATTCACCAAAGAAGTGCATTTGTTCAGAGATAAAAGGGAAATGAAGGAAGAACCAATTTTCCACACATTAATAAAGCCATCGCTAACCACCCCCAAGCTGACCAATAACTTCAGATCAGGGGAAAATTGCAAATGCTGAATTCCAAAGGAATGTTCAAACACTTGCATTATCGGAGTCAAATCCAGTTCCGGGGCTAAAGAGTATATTAGGATCCGGGGCTGGTGTCCTGATTCTCCCACTGCCAATAGTCTACCATTGGGAGAAAGTGCCAAACTACTTATGTTGCGGCTCTTTTTAAATTTGGAGGGTGATGTTGTTGCTAGTGTTCCTCCCATACCCATTGGTGTTGGGGTGTTGGGATCGAATGAACCACCGCTAAAATCATCCTCTTCTCTGTTGTGAATTATTATAGGGTCTCCTCCCTTAGGATATCCAAAAGAATCTTTGCATACCTCTTCAGGTTCTAATATGCAATCAGAACCTAGAACTGGAGGGGAAGGTTTAAGTGAATTATTGGCACAGAAGAAACGTTGCTGTGTTACTTTGTGCAGCAGGCTCTCATCATCAATTGTAGCAACAACAATACCATTACTCACAGTATATGCTATATGATTTCCTTGTACTGTCCATTGGGCAGCGCTGGTGGTAGAGGTACCTATTATCTTATCAATTGAAAGGTTCCAAGTCATAGTTACCCCTTCATCATATCAGTACTGGATGGTAGTGTAGGAAGAAGACGATGATGATCTAATTGTTTATGTTTGGATTCAGGGTTTTATTTTTCGCACCGCGCAAAGACCCTAACACCATTTACAGCCAAGGAGATGATGATGATGAAGGCAGTTACTGATAACATAATCCATTGTGTGTCTCTTGAAACGGTAACGGTCTTAGATAATCCGCATTACGCAATCAATTTTACTGTTAGTAGTTATTAAAGTCAATAGTATACAAAACTCATATATAGTTTCATCAGCGGTACGTTTTTTACCATATTAATGTAACTACTATTACCTACTCGCTTCATATTAATTATAAAAGTATCACCAATAAATATTACTTTCTATTATATATATCTATAATGGATAAATGAATGCTTCATTCTCCTTATCAGTTAAATCTAACGCTGCTACGTTCACCTTCACCTTTTGACCATCCTCTTCTACGAACCCAAAAACCGAGGTTTCTCCAGACTCTAACTTCTTCAACCGTTCGATGTTACGACGCTTCAATATCACCCAAATAACAAGTGCGAGAAGGGGTGCTAAAAAGAAAGAGAGCACAATCTGAACAATCCAAGCTGGTCTATATCTTGGAGCATCTCTCCCTTGCCATAATTGAGGAGATATAATGTTGGAAACAGCATACGCTATCATCACAATAATACTTCTGGTAAGCTTCTTGGTATATCCCCCAGCAGTGGAAGTGTTCCAACTAAACATAAGAATCCAGGGAATACCAAACAATGGAGAGGCCAAGCAAAGCATGGCTAAAAGTGCAATGTGTTTGTTCCATGGTAAAGTGGCTACGGCAATAGATGCTGCAAACGAAGGTATTGTCCAGAACACAACAGAAAAGGCACTAAGATTGGGGAAATAAAGTAAAGTAGTAGTAGCAATTACACACATGACCACTGCAAATCCTCCAGAAGCAACAGAGACCAATGTTGAATCCAAGTTGGAGATATTCCCAATGCTAGTAAACAAAAGGTTCTGTTGATAAGTTAAGTTGTTTGCCAATTGTTGAAGTAAAAAGAATCCTCCAAATAACCAAGACACAGGGTCCTTCAAGGCTTCAATCACTTGATATCTTTTGATTACTTTTTGCTCAATCGAGGTGGCGGTATTTCTTTGAACCCTTCTAATGACCCATACTTTTTCTTCAGTGGTTAAAAACCAAGCATCAGTTGGATTATTAGGGTAAAAAAAGAACACCACAACCAGTACAAGGAAAGTTAACCCTCCAATTGTGATCATGAACAACTTCCATATATGAATTGGAGGATTGGAAATATTCAATAACCCATAAGCAATGAAACCTACTGGGATAGTAACCCCCAAGCAAGTTGAATAGAAGATTGGTGATGTAGCAGCCTTTTCTTCCTTTAAAAGGAATTGACCCATAGTGGTATTCAACACTGGTAAGGCAATACTTTCAACAAACCCTAAGAAGAATCTAATGGCATAGACACCTGAAACGTTATAAACAGCACAATGTAAAAAGATGATCACAGACCAAACAAATGTTAACAACGTCAAAAGTCGTCCCACAGGCACCTTTTGGATAAGAATAGTATTGAGTTGCCCAATGATATACCCGACATAGAAAAGTGTATTGGAATTATTATACTTATTCTGTGTGAGTCCGGTGTCTTGCCAGAACTCAAAGATGGAAGCATAAGAAGCTACAGCTTTATCGGAATATAGTATAAGATTAACGAGAGACGTCAATCCTACCACTATAATCATAACTTTTCTTCTTAACCGTTTCTCTTGTTCTGGAGTGATCTCAGGTACGTCATGGTCATGGTCCTCCAAGAACCGTAAAGTGGTATCTGCATCACGAGATGGAACTATTCTGTAGCCTTCAGGGGCTGGCAGTTCCAGAGATTCTTCTTTGGCTAAACTTATATCTATTAACTCTGTCCGTTTAATACTCATTATGGTGTTCCTTCTGATTAACCATTTGCAGCAAACTAAATATCGCACCCACTTAAATATAACTTACTGTGGCGTACATTCTACTCTATAAATGTTGTTTCTGTTATCTTTTGTGTTGTAATCACCTAATCAGCACTTGTGGTTACATCATGCGGCTATTATGTAGCGTATCTATACCATTCGGCGATAGGAACTTTTCACCTGTCAAAGAAGGATACAAAGCGGAAGAAACGGCCATAGTTTGACCATTGTTTCTAACAAAGGGATACTGGGATGAGCACGCTATAAGGGATGATTATCACGGGCTTTGACACTATCAGGAAGGTTACAATTTGTGTTATGCCGGAAAAGGAAAGCCTATGCATGCTCGTAGTGTTCCGGTCATAAGGGTGTATGCGAAACTTTAAATATTCAAGTAATACTAACCTGTTCACGAATCTCGCCGTGGTTAGAGAAGCTCTATTCAGCATGTTATTTCTATATGATAGTCCTGTATTTCCAATATGCCATCTGATGCTGGTTGTTTAGCTTACGCTCCTCTCTTGAAGATATGTGTGGCTCTGGCCCATCTTCGGGCTTTAGAACAACAATGCAACGACGTCGTGCAAACAGTTGTCATATCCCTTTATTAGTGCCATAAGATAGTATAATGACATTACAAATCCATCCTAATGTGTGTATTTTAATCAGCTTCTTATCTCTCGTCATGGCTATCTCCTTTTTAGAATGAGCTCCCTCTTAGAACCTATTGCTTGTGAAACAAGTTTAGAGTAAGTTCACTTGTCTATTCAATAGTTCACCAATGCATTAGAGGTATAGAGTAGTAGCATTGGTATTACGAGTTGTAGTATTTGTTTACTTGTAATGAAGCTTTGATTTCCACCTCTTTCGATGTGTGCGCTCTCAAGGGGGGTCCCTTGAGACTTTTGTCCCTCATCGCGATACCACTAAAACCAATTCGAAAGCCATCTTCACTTATAGATCTCTACTTACAAACTTAAGCACACATACATAATACTCTCAATGGGGAAGGATATTAGTCTATCGCTAGAAGAGACCAATCGACTTCGAGTCAGTATAGGATTGAAGCCTATACCGATACCTAAAGTCGCAAGTGAAAGAGAGTTACGGTCGCGAGGAGATGAACTTCCTGAGGAACCACGTCGGAAGCGGACTAAATTACAACCAGTTAAGATTCAATATCTTGACGAAGAGGAAAGTCGCCAGGATGATGAGGAAATGTCTACAATGGACTTTCTCAATCAACTCGACCAAATAGGGAAGCAAGAGAAGGCAAACACACATTCAAATGTTAAGGCTACCACAACAATACAAGAACAACCAATTCCAGAAGTGTCTGTTTCCCATTTAGAGGCAGATATTGAAGCATTGGAGTCGAATACCGTGTTAACTCTTGGGGATAAGTCAATTTTTGTGGACGGAGAAGATGAAGATGATGACGAAGGTGATGAATTGGTGAATGAGAAGATTATACTACGTGAAAAGACACGAGCTCGTGAAGAAGAAGAACGTAAGATTGCAGACAGACATCACAGGAAGTTTGGTGGGTTTATGGAGGAAGAACTTCAGAATGACTTAGTTCTGGCACCATCGAAGGGGATACGAATTGTATCACACGTCGCTGCCAACGATAAGCTAAAGTCAAAAGAAGAGAGTAAAACAGAGTCCTTGAAGCATATATTTGAAGAAGATCAAGAAGAACTCGACCAGAGTCGACCAGAAACAAAGAAGTCATTTAAAAGGATAAAGAAGAAAGAAAAGAAGAAGAAAATTGATCGACTAGATAGCATTTTTGACGAAAATTCAGCTGATGTTCCTTCTATTCAAGAGGTCAAACTAGAAAATTTTCATAATCAAGGACCTGATGAAGAGGATGAATTTTCTAATCTTATGTCGTTACAACGTCGGCGTAGGCAACAGCAATCCCGAGGGAAAATGAAAGCTGAAGACATTGCATTAGAAATCAAGAAGCTTCAACGGAACGAAGAATTAGAGGAGGAAATTAGTAGTGCATTCGTCGGTGGAATTATTTATGATGATAACTCTGAGTTTCTCAACTCACTCAGCTCCAGAGTATTGCCAATTGACAATAATAAGGCAGAGGAAACAGAGGAAACGGAAATTACTACGCCAATGGAACCAACCCAAGCTGTTGAAAAGCAAAACGAGTCACCCATTAAGAAGGAAGAAGAGAAAGTGAAAACAGCTACGAGAACGACCGGAGATACTACCGGAGATAAGACTGACGTTAATCCAGATCTGGAACAAGCTATTGGGGATGGAATTGGGAGCACATTACGATTATTGCAACAAAGAAATATTCTTCAAGTACAAGATGAAGAACGGGCTAAAAGCGAAAGAGTTCAAAGAGTTGCTCGAAGGAAGGCTGAGCTTATGAGGTTCCAGATTTCAGTGGAAGAGCGGATTCTTGAAGAGGAACTTTCAAAAGATAAATCGTACAAAAAGTTATCTAAAGAAGAGAAGGAGAAACGGTATGAGACTTTGCTAGATGAACGATTACAAGCCAAGAATCTTGTTAATGGAACCTCTGAGATTACTAGTTTCAATCCCAAAGTTGTATTGCAATATAAAGATGATGAAGGGAAGGAATTGGATACCAAAGGGGCGTTCAAACATCTTTCACATAAATTCCACGGATCTAAGAAAAGGTGATTACAGAACATATAGTATAATATATTGTAATGCTGTATACAGAAGTTGTAACTGCATTCTTAGTAATGTACTACATACAAAAGCAGTAAACTCAGAGTTTGGCCAATCAGAATGCGAGCCACAACATCACATTGCCCCATTAAATATTGAATGGTTAAAGGTCTGCCTTGAGGAATGAAGTACAGGTCCGCAGTTAGTAGATCCGCAATAGGTCCACCTTTAGCCCTTAGTGCAGCAGGAATGTGCACTAATCTTTGACTTACATAAGGTGTGAGCTTCTCTTACTTAATGTGTCCTACTTAAGGTCATCTATAATAACTATACAGTCTTGCCTTCCTGCACCCAGTGAAATAATTTATAATCATCTCTTTTGACATCCTGAACACATCAAGTAATTCCACTCGTAAATAGGGAACACCATCTGCATCACCTTGCACTATTCTGTATACTTCGTTAAGTAAGCTAACTGTAGAATGTGACCAGACTGACTGCGCCTAACTACACCATACTAAACCATACTTCATTAATAGAATCCTTTCACTGGCTCTTGTGTCTCATTCTCTCCCGTATTACTATTACTAATGTTACACTACTATTAATCATTGCTGGGGTGACTGTATTCCACAGGCCGATCTTCGGGGACCGATTAAAAAGATAAAGTGCTTTTGTGTCACCTATTTTAAAGACAACCAAGTCAAGTAATTCGGCCAGCAGAGATCCCCGTGTTTCTTCTTTAGTAGGAGTTTGACGGAGAGGCAGTTACCGGTTGTATATAACCCAAGAAGAAGAGGAAGAGGAAGAGGAAAAAGTCTCTTGCTGACTCATAACGTTTAATTTATTCAGTACGGGTATCTTTGTGCGGACCATCATCATCTTCTGATACATCGCATTCTTAAATAAATAGTAGAAGAGAACGCAATCAAACATTAGCATGGAAGAGTTCTCCCAAGGTATAACACTACTGGTGTCGGGGATGACATGTGGAAGTTGTTCTGCTAGTCTTACAGAAGCTTTGGAAGGTACCGAAGGGATCCGAAAAGCGGATGTGTCTCTTCTTACAGAAGAGGCGAAGATCCAATTTGACTCTAAAATCATCTCCGCACCTGAAATAATAGATGTGGTTAAGGGTTGTGGGTTTGAAGCTAAAGTCACTAGTTCTACGAGGAAAGTCCCGGAGGCACCTGTTGCTTCCAAGATGGTGACAAAGTTGTCTATCTCCGGCATGACCTGTGGAGCATGTTCTGCGGGAATTACCGAGGCATTAGAAGCTGTAAATGGTGTTTCTAATGTAAGTGTATCCTTATTGACAGATACTGCATTAGTTGAACATGATTCAGCTGTGACACTGGAACAGTTACTTGAAAAGGTGGAGACCCGAGGCTTTGAGGCAACTATAGAGAGCTCAAAACAATTGACATCAAGCCTCAAACTGCAAATGTTCAAAACAACCGTAAATGTATCGGGAATGACTTGTGCTTCGTGTAGTGCATCTATAACGCAAGCTTTGGAATCAAATCCTAATGTTATACTGGCAAGTGTGTCATTATTAACTAATGAGGCATGTGTTATACACAATGAAAACCTTGGTGTCGAAGCTATTTGTACAATTATAAAGGATTGTGGGTTTGAAGCTGTTGTTGTGGGAAGTATGCCTGAATCACCATCTGTTGAAGATTCTGCAGAAGATACAATTGATGATATTAGCATGGAAATATTTGGTATCACAGAAGATACTGATTTGGAACGATTATCTTATGACATTGAAGCTGTTGTTCAACAATTACCTGGCATTATCGACTTTAAAGTTGCTTTCGTCAATCGAAGAAGGAATCATTTAGTCACTTATGCTAATTCGGAAACATTAAGAGCAATTCAAAATAATGATCATGATGGCTCTGTTGAAGAAAATGAAAATTTGGTTGATGAATTATACGTTACCTACGACTCAAATGAAGTTGGAATTAGAGACATTTTTGATGCTCTAAATCAAATACAAAGTGGAGCATTCCAGTTTGCTATTCTCAATTCAATTGATCAATCTTACACTGCTCAACTAAAGCTTTTAAGCAGAGTGAAGGAAATCCAATACTGGAAATCCAATCTTTTTCAAGCATTATTAGTTGGCATCCCAGTTATGGTGATGACCCATACTCAAAACATCAAATTTTGGAGAGAAACAACTATGCTATTTGATGGTTGTTATTTGGTATCTTTGATTGAGTTTGCATTGGCAACTTATAATCAGTTTGTATTGGCCAAAGTTTTCAACAAAAAGTTCTTGCATTTCATCAATAATCGTGGTAAGTCTGCTACAATGGACGTTTTAGTTTGCATTTCAACGAGTATCTCATACTATTTTAGTGTGTTCTACATCTTTGTTAGTGTTTGGTATGGAACAAAAAACAATCCACCAAAGCTCCTTTTCGATACAAGTTTAATGTTAGTTACATTTATTTCGTTGGGGAAATTATTGGAGAACAAAGCTAAAGGCGCAACCCTGACTGCACTTTCACAATTGATGGCTTTAGCTCCCAACCTGTGCACTATCGTTCAAGATCCTCATGAATACGACGTTGTCCATCATGATAATCCTAGTGAGTTGAAGTCTTTGGCATTACGTGACATCTCGGTTGACTTAATACAGAAGAACGATGTGGCTATTGTGGTTCCTGGAGCCAAAGTTCCTGCTGATGGGATTATTTGCTTCGGTGAATGTGAAATAGATGAATCTTTAATCACTGGTGAGTCATTACCTGTTTTCAGAGGTATTGGTGATGCTGTTATCGGTGGTTCTGTTAACGGTGCTTCTTTGATTCATATCAAAGTCACCAGGCTGGGGAAGAAGTCACAATTGCAACAAATCATTAACTTGGTGAAAGTATCTCAGGTTAATAAAGCACCAGTTCAAAGATATGCTGATTGGTTAGCAGCTAGATTTGTTCCCACAGTCCTTATTCTTGCACTGCTTACACTTTTCTTCTGGATCACGTTGACTCTAGTAGCACCCAAAATGCTTCCCAAAGTTTTCCTTGGACCGGAAGAGAAGTTTTTCATTTGTTTGAAGATTTCAATTAGTGTGGTGGTTGTAGCTTGCCCTTGTGCTCTTGGTTTGGCTGCTCCCACTGCAATCATGGTTGGTACTGGTGTTGGTGCAACACATGGAGTATTAATCAAGGGTGGTGAAGTGTTAGAAAAAGCAGACACTGTTCAAGTGATTTTGTTTGACAAGACAGGTACCTTGACGACTGGTGAGATGCAAGTTGTCAATTATGAAATTACTGAATTCAAGGACACCAGAAACTGGTGGCATTTAGTTGCTGGCGTGGAGATGAATTCAGAGCATCCAATAGCACAGGCCATTGTCGCGGAATCAAGGAAACAACTTGGGTTGTCCTTCTCTCATGATAGAGTCGAATGTGTTGTGAGTAATTTCCATGTTTACCCTGGAATGGGTGTTTCTGGGACAGTTGATACTCATGATATATTGGTTGGTAACTCCAAATTAGTTAAAGACTTATTTCCAGCACTTATCCCCTTGGTTGAAGAGTACGAAGTTCAAGCAGAGGTACTTGGAAGTATTGCTCATGTTATTATTGATCAAAAGTTCCATGGAACGTTACAACTTGCAGATTCCCTTAAAAAGAATGCCAGAGATGTTGTTAAACACCTTCAAAAGACATATGAAGTGGGGATGGTGACTGGTGATAATCACGTGGTCGCAGAACGTATAGCAAAAGATATTGGTATTCCATCTAGCAATGTGTTTAGTGAAGTCTCGCCAATTGAGAAGGATAAAGTTATCAATGATGTCAAAGAACGTTTTGGATGTCGAGTTTGCTTTATTGGGGATGGAATTAATGATGCTCCCGCATTGGCACAAGCAGATGTATCTATGGCCATTAGTACCGGATCTGATATTGCTATGGAATCAGCAGACATTGTGATTTTAGCACATGATGATTTAAGTGGAGTTGTCAATGCATTAAAATTGGCCTCAATGACATTAAGAAAGTTGAAGATGAACTTTCTTTGGGCTGCAGTTTACAATATCATTATGTTACCATTTGCCATGGGACTTTTCTTGAAATGGAATATCATGCTCCCACCTATTGCTGCTGGGTGTGCTATGATGATGAGCAGTGTGAGTGTGGTTTTATCGTCGTTAACATTGAAGTGGTTCCGTCCTGCTAAAATTGAAAGAGTAGGTGCTATTGATCATGAGTTTAAGATCGATGAGGAGCTGGACGTTGGAACTACAGTGAATTTAAAACTGGGAACAAAAGAAGACTTTTTACTACCCAGAAGAGGCTATTCTGCTCCTACTAGACCCTTGCACCAGTTTGCATCTCGGATTTGGAATAGAACAAGCACTCCACCCAATTCTTATGAACTTTTGGATCGATCCTAATGCCAATAATGATTTTATAATAGTCTTGTAATAATAATAATAATAATAATAATAATAATAATAATAATAATAATTGAGGACGTTGAGTATTAATGAAAAGAATCAATTAAAGTGTACTAAAGAAGGAAATAAATACTGTGGGGTATCTAAGATAGGAGAGTGAAAGCTCCCTACAAAGCCAACAAAGCACCGGCAGCCAAAGCAGCAGCACCGAATGCGAAAGGCTTAGCAGCAGCACCTTCGAAAGTGGAGGTGACGTTGTGGACGGTCTTGTTAGTGTATGGGCAATCAGTCACTTCTGGACCACAAGAAGAGATGGTAACTTCTTGAGTGGAGTAGTTGGTTTCAGTAACGTTAAAAGCAGAAACGGCGGCAACGGAGGCGGCAATCAAAGTAAGACTGGAGAATTGCATGTTTAAGGAAAGACTTAGTTGGATATTGATATTAAAATGATATAAGGAAAGAAAGAAGAAAGAAAGGAAAGAAAACGAAACTTATTAGGAGTAACAAATCTCTTTATATATTACCAAAATCTAAGATATACAAGGGTGAGATCATAACAACTTACAGGCGTCACTCCCAATCCTTGGTAAGTGCATTGGCTTAAGGTTGAGATAAAGATAACAGATTGCCCAAGCTTCTTTTGTTACCAGAAAAGGGCAATCGTGTACCCGCGTCTTCATGCAATGTTTATTCACCCGCATGAATGCACTGTGTTAATTTTTCAATAAATGAATCTAAGTTTGCATTGTTCAGTGCGTGTTTTAATTTCGGTTATATTATTTTTAATTCCCTATAGGGAAATCGAGATACCCGATTTGGATTCGACATGGATCAGGTCCATGTACATGACTTGACTCTCAAGTCATCTGATGGTAAGTTAAAGTTAGTCGATAGTCAATATAATATAGAGAGATATGGGGTATTATTGTAACGCGAACTGAAGTTTAGTTGGTGACCAGAGCAATGGCCATAGTCATACCATGTTTTCGACGTTGTCAGTAGATTTGAATCAGAATAATTGGCATAGAACATAGAAAGAAACCTTAACATTCATTCATATGTTTTGCAATGTTGGTAAGATACAAAATACAAAGAGGTACACACCTTTCCCCCTCCCTTCAATTCAAATTGATTTATAGCACCCATCGTAAACATCAACGAAGTGTTCCTCATTGCAAGTGCTAACTCTTTTCCTTATGTGGTGTAAGTACAAGTGTTACAAAGATTAAAGTTTTGTACTAAAATTCGGTTGTTTACGTGGAATCGGGGCTTATACCTGATATTGCAAAACACTGAAAGTATGTTGGCAAACAAATAGAAACTTAACTTAAACATTACTCGTAAACACCGCACGTAGCGGGTTTAGTTACTCAATACGATGGCTCAATAGGGTACGCGTTTAGATCGACAATGAATTTGAGTTTCTATGTCAGCTGCTCTTGCCAGTTGTGGTCACTTAAGGGAAGAAGTTGGAGAACACCAAAAATTTCCATTGAGCCATCAACTATTGGTGCGACTACAAGTTGGAGCTTTTGGATACACAGTATCCATAATATGCAATCCTTTTGTTGCATTTTAAGAGAGGTTATTTTGTCGGAATTATTTCATGCGAAATTATACCTTTCTTAGCACAATGTATCTCTACTGAAATAGGGAACTCGCTATGTATAAATGGGAGGCGTAGTTTACTAGTGTACTATTTACTGTTGTGTTATCCGAGGGGGATGAGCGATACTGGAGCTCGCATTAATAGTCTTTCAAGTATTAACCATATCTTAGCTAGTGCAGTCTTCTTTCTTTTCGACTGAAAATATACAGACAAGAGAATGTCTATCGGCACTAAACCTAAAACTGTCACGTGACATAGCTTTTCATTTTCAAGATGAGATACGTGATGAGATACTTCATATGGAAAAGCAGAAAAGAACGTGTACTGGTTCATAATTCCATCGGAGATTTGTCGCAAGGTACAGCCGTTTAAGATGGATGGTTGAAATTTGCAACCCGCTAATGATTGATGGTATTCTGAAACCCGAAGTGGTTTCAATTTGTTGGCTTGTTATCTTGAACATCCTTACTTCCTTTTGACCGATGTAGTCTCCCGCCAAGTTTGGTTGACGACCACAAGTGTTTTACGTATCTTTATTAATCGAAGTTCAAACGTGACACTAAGTGGAGAAAAAACAACGAAAACGGTTACGTAATGTCGTCGCATTCCAAACATTGTACATTAAAAATGTCGTGGGTTTTTCGATCCGGAAAAAATCTATCGGACATCGACAAAATACACACACCTCCTTATACATACTACGAAGTTCTCCTACTATAGTCGTTCTAAAATCTTCTAAACTTAAAGGCCTTCATCAAGCAGCAGAAGACTGTTGAGCGCATCACGTTTTTGAGGTTTTGGTGTTTTTATATAGAGAAGCGAGCTCGTATCCTGTTGATTGATTTTGAAGAGAACTGACAGGTCTATTTTTAAAACGTGAACAAAATAATTAATATTACCAAATCATATTGGTGGACATTTATGTGGATATAGCATATTTCAATTATGGAACCGTATGAAAAGTACGTATAAATTATATTAGTGACTTTATTTAAAGAGTATCTACTAACAATTGATAGAACTTCAAAAGAACTACGCGGGTTTCAAAGCTTGGTGGATCGTTTTAAATACTTGGCTGTGACCTTTGTGGTAGTCTTAATTATCATACTAAAATTGATGTTTATTCCTAGTCTGAGTCAATATTCCCCTGAATTTTCCAAAAATACCAACGTCCAATATTTTGATTTGGCTAACTATAAAGGTTCTGCAGATGGTTGGCAAAGAGAAGAAAGAGTGTTATTCTGTGTTCCATTAAGAGATGCAGAAGCTCATTTACCAATGTTTTTCGGTCATATGAAAAACTTAACTTATCCTCATAATCTTATTGATTTGGCCTTCCTTGTATCCGATTCTTCTGATGACACAATGGGAGCACTTGTTAAACATTTGCAATTATTGCAAAATGATCCTGATCCATCCATGCACTTTGGTGAAATAGAAATCTTTGAAAAGGATTTCGGTCAAGTCATTGGTCAGGGGTTCTCTGACCGTCATGGGTTTGCCGCACAAGGACCTCGTCGTAAATTAATGGCTAGAGCTCGTAATTGGCTTTGGACAGTTGCAGTCAAACCATATCATAGTTTTATTTATTGGAGAGATGCTGATGTTGAGACCGTCCCTCAAACCATTTTAGAAGATTTAATGCATCATGATAAGGATGTCATTGTTCCCAATGTTTGGAGACCACTTCCAGATTGGTTGGGTAATCAACAACCTTATGATTTAAATTCGTGGCAAGAATCAGATGGGGGGTTACAATTGGCAGAAACATTGGATGAGGATGCATGTATTGTTGAAGGATATGTTGAATATCAAACATGGCGTCCACATTTGGCTTATTTACGTGATCCTTATGGAGATCCAGAAGTTGAAATGGAATTGGATGGTATTGGAGGTGTTTCAATTCTTACCAAAGCTCAAGTTTTCAGATCTGGTTCACATTTCCCAGCATTTTCATTTGAAAAGCATGCAGAAACAGAAGCATTTGGTAAATTATCCAGGAGAATGGGTTATTCTGTGGTTGGGCTTCCTCATTATGTCATTTGGCATATTTATGAACCTTCAAGTGATGATTTGAAACATATGGAATGGATGGCATTAGAAGAAGTAAGACAAAAGGAAGAAGCAAAGATTAAAAAGGTTTATGATAAAGTATGGGATGTTGCTTTTGATGATGTTCAAAAGGACTGGTTGAAACAGAAGTTATCGTATTTGAAAAATACTGATTTATCTAATATGCGGGACATTGATGTGGATTGGTCTGGAATGGACGACTGGAAGATCAAAGAAAAGACTGGCACAAAGAAGCAATTGGCTGATTTCGTGCCGTGATCTATTCGATTTATTCATATTAAATTTTGCATATATATTTTTGTTTCTGCTATAACCCTACTTTTACAATTATATAGTTTTTTAAAATGTACCAAGAGATATAGATATTATTGAGTTGGATAATCTAAATTGAATGGTTGTAAATAATAAAGAAGAAAGCTTGGCTTAACTTAACCAATGATGGCTTCATGGTCATCAACTTCTTTACCCTCATTATCACCATACACATAAAATTGTGCAAAAATGATACAATCTTCAAAGATGGTACCTAAGGATCCCAAAAGCCAACTCAAATTCAACAAAATGTACTTACTATCAGATCTGTAGAATAAGATTTGACCAGCATATGTCAAGTTACCCAAGGTCAGGAACAAGAAGAACAACAAGGATAAACCATAGACAGATTTCCGTTGATAGTTTTGAATGATTTGAGGAATCCGAGCTCCCAAGTAAAGAATAGCAGACAAATATCCAAAGATTTGAGCCAAAACATTAATTCCGCCGTCATCAATTGGAGCTGGAAGTTCACCATTTGGTGGAGATGATTGGCTAGAGGGAGTACTGACGAAATAACCCATCGCACCTGCTGCTACCACGAAAAAAATTGGAAGAACATATCTTGTCCAAATAGAATGGTTTGAGGGTTCCAATGCAATGTTTGTTATGGTACTGCTGCGTCTTCTCAATAAAGCTTCATTCTCGTCAGCAGCATCATGTTCCAATTGGTGATGATGGTGGTGAGGATGATGATGAGAATTGTTTGGAGACAAACTGTTTGACGAACGACTTCTATCGTGATGAGGATGATGGTGCTTCTTATAGATATAAGTATAATAGACGTAACTGAAGATCATGAGAAAATCAGCAAAACAGAACCATACGGCAAGAAACACAACTTCGGGTAAAAGATGAGCGAGAAAGGCTCCAGTGAGGTTAAAGACATCGCCGAGAAACCAAATCGAAATGAACCCAATGGCAATACCTTCTGCGGATTTAAGTCTCCATTGTTCTATTAACTGGGGCATAAGTAATACGATCCAGCATGCCAAACTAGTTAATTGTTAGTAAGTATTGATTTTTTTATTTTAGGTGGTGACTTTTTTACATACGATGTGCATCCCATAACTCCTGAGATCAGAGTTCTTAAGGGCGACGTAATGGGCTCGCCAGCATTTTGAACTAGCATGTACAACATCTCAAGTAAGTACACTAGCTGGTTTACTGGCTATGGAAGTAGTAGTAGTGGAAGCGGAGAAGAATGGAAGAAGGGTTTGACCAAGAAGTAATCATTTAAGCCGTACTTTATAGGAACATTTTGTCCATTCTTTATGGAAGCGCCGTCAGATAAGGAGACCAACTAAAAAAAAATTGGAAGACAATAAGAGCACACGATATAAATAATGATCGATAAGTTATTCATGAGTATCGTAATCGAAAATAATAAAAAAGATCAATGGACCTCGTATAACGATTTAATGCTAGCTTTAATACCATGTCTTAGGAAATTTACTAATGGAACCATACATTTATAATTAATTGCATAAAACTATGTAAAATTCGCAGCCATATTATAGGGCGAAGATCCAATACCTACAGGCAGGAACTCCATATGAGATCATTAAATCAGTGGTTTCGACATTCGTCATGGATTAAACCTAAAGGCTAGCAATCATCTCCACCAGCAATCATCTCCGAGATCCAAACCTTTGCTTGGGCTAAGAACGCAAACTGGCATTCATCTGGTTTAGGTTGCTTTGAAGATGTATGCATTTGAGTTCGTGCACGTACGAACTAAACATCAGACTAATTAAGTAATTGTGTTACCCGGACAAGATGAAAAACCTATTACTGTGGTTGAAAAATTTTCCATGTCCGCCCTTTTTTAAGTTTAGATGTTCTTTTCTTTAAACACTACAAAGTTTTATATCAAACTAAAATGGTAAGTTCAAATTAAAGACAATGGAACATATGTTCATTCGTTCACATTCATTCTTGAGACTTTTCTCCATGTTCTTTGCGTTTGTTTCGCTGTTCATGGTGAGTCCTCAGGAGTGGTGTCCGAGTGCATCACTGTTCATGTAACATCTAATGCTTAAACTTTTATTGCTGAAAGGCTTTGGCAAATAGGTTTAAGCGTTAGGAAGTGGGTGTACTTGTGCATCACTTCTTGGATTCCCATGGCTGAGTGTCTGCTTTCATAGCATTCACTGTTAGGGATCAGCTCTCCTTTGAGCTGATTCAGAGAAGGATTATCTTAATTGATATTATCATTGTGGATAATATTAATGATTTGTTTCCGCAAAGCAGACCTCTTTATTGGGGTTTGGTTTTTGGAACGAGAGATTTTTCATGAGTTTTATGACCAAACTAATGATGAGAACGTTGACGAAAAATCTTGATGACCGAAAATATTATATTGTACTTTGTTACTAACAAATCCTTCTTCCCAATGACAGCCTCCATCTAAGAAAGTTGCTCGTGCTCCATTGTCTAAAAAGACTGCATCTTCAGTTAAATCTAACCCCTTGGTTGAAGCTACTCCAAAGAACTTTGGTATTGGTCAATCCATTCAACCAAAGAGAAATTTGAGTCGTTTCGTCAAGTGGCCAGAATATGTTAGATTACAAAGACAAAAGAAAATATTGTCGTTAAGATTAAAGGTTCCTCCAACCATTGCTCAATTCCAAAACACTTTGGATAAGAACACTGCTGCAGAAACCATTAAGTTGTTCAACAAGTACAGACCAGAAACCTCAGCTGAGAAGAAGGAAAGATTGACTAAGGAAGCCGCAGCCATTGCTGAAGGTAAGTCCGCCAAGGATGTCTCTCCTAAGCCAGTTGTTGTTAAGTATGGTTTGAACCATGTTGTCTCCTTGATTGAAAACAAGAAGGCCAAGTTGGTATTGATTGCCAATGACGTTGACCCTATTGAGTTGGTTATTTTCTTGCCTGCTTTGTGTAAGAAGATGGGTGTTCCTTATGCTATTGTGAAGGGTAAGGCTAGATTGGGTACTTTAGTCCACCAAAAGTCTGCTGCCGTTGCTGCTCTTACTGAAGTCAAATCTGAAGACGAAGCTGCTTTGGCCAAGTTGGTTTCTACTATCAATGCCAACTTTGTTGAAAAGTATGAAGACAGTAAGAAGCACTGGGGTGGTGGTATCATGGGTGCTAAGGCCCAAGCCAAAGCTTTGAAGAGAGCTAAGAGATCTGATGTTCCTAGTGTTCGTCAATAAATGTGACGATACTTTTTTTTATTTCACATTTGGGTAGTATTTAGCGATTGTATATTATTAATTTTATGTCTTTACTAAGATACCTATCATTGTTGAGTTTGATATGAGTGAAGACCATTTCTTGGATAGTCACATTTTAGGGCTTAGACCTGATATACACGTGACTATAAGTTTCCTTTATTATAAGTGCGGGTAAGTGTGTTGCGGTTTTAGTGAATATATACAGTTAATGTGTTTCCTGTATATCTTTTTAATGCACGTGATCGATTAGCTATGGAAAATTTTGTCAAGCTGTTGCGTCCCCAAAAGAGACAAAAAGATTTTCACCTTAGAGTCCTTACAAGCGCTTCTTGTACAACATCCGAAGTATACATCAAAAGTATGTCTAACGAACTCAGGCTCATATAGTGGATGGTGCAGAGATAGTGATTAGTTGAATGTGTTATGTAAATGCTATCTTATAGTTCTTAAAGAATGAAAAATAGAATCTACCAACGAGATATAATATCATAAGCGAAGCATGCTCATCGATAGACTTGTTTATAAGGAAGGCAAAGCGTTTGCTATCTAAAATACCCGTATCCAATTTGGTTAATTTGATCTCCAAGGCGTTATTACGTTTATTGATATTGTCACTAAAGGCTGATGGAATTTGTTGGATCTTGTTTACTGTTAAAACATAACTAGTGAATATGTGCATCTTTGATAAATTATGTCATCAATATTCAAAATAATGAACTCCTTTACGATAAAATGATTCCTATCCTGTTTATGCACTGTCTCACTACTATTTGTTTTGGCGAATATAAATACTAACAACTTAATCTAGATGTCTAAGTCTAAGAACCACACCGCCCACAACCAAACTAAGAAGGCTCACAGAAACGGGATCAAGAAGCCAAGAACCAACAAGTACCCAAGTTTGAAGGGTGTTGATGCTAAGTTCAAGAGAAACCACAGATTTGCTTTGCACGGTACTGCCAAGGCTTTGAAGGCTGCCAAGTCTTCTGCTTAAGCTTTTAGGCTTTAGGATATTTTCACTATTGAAATATTTTGTATTTTTAATCTAATGTGATTTCGAAAAGCGTTAATTGTAGTTGTGTGACTGTACTTGCAATACTGATTTCTATAGGGATAGTCGAGGTCACGTGATAGTACGTCTATTGGGAGAGTTACGAATATTCCATTTGTTGTAATCGAATAGAGTTGTCTTCCATCATTGTCTTACAATATCTTGATAGTAGTAATGGCTGCAATCAACAAAGTTTGTATACAAACTACGTAATAGAAGCCATATACGCAATGGAAGTGATAAAAAAGATGGAAGTGATAAACTAGACTTTGTTGAGACATACAACGTCATGTAAATATTCAAGTAATTATTCTATTGTGTTCTTGCGCAATATTTGGTTCGCTACCCCGGAGTTAGTTAGTTACCTAATATGAATTAAGTATTAGGAAACTAATTATTAAGTTATCACGCTATAATGAACGGCTCAATTATGTATACGAACTTTGCTAAAGAAACAGCATTGCGGTATACCTACTCTATCTGTCAATGTCCCAAAATCGTGACTAGGGCTGCATATGCCGAGGGGACCAAACAATTAGATGGTTTCCGTAAAAAATAGATGCTTAGTGAGTTATCAGGGTACAAAACAAGAGTGGGTGCCAACTAAATTCTGATTATTGCTGAAACGGAGACTGATTATCAGGGGTATCGTTATATATAACGCAAAAGGCAATTAGCTATACACGCTGAGCATTTAAGCTACATATTGAGGAGAAGTAGGCTTTTCGATTTGGCTTAGTAGCAACTGGTAAGAGCGGATTTAAGAATTATCAAGGTAATTTAATTATTTGGATCAGAAGATTTGGAGACAAAGGAGAAACCCGTGTGCATCAATTGAGCAACTCACTTCATTAGTAAAAGTGCATTCTAAGGTGGCGAATGGCAAGTGAAGGGGCACGGAGCAACGGTAAGAAGTGAAGGCTACACAATTAAGTAAAGTGTCTTGTCTTTAGAATTCCATAATTTACTCTCATTCCTTAAGTCCAATTTGTTCTGGAGTTAATGGCTCGGCTCGTGATTATCAGACTTTGGATTAGAGCCTCATATAACACAAAAGCGTAAAATTTGTTCGTTGCAGCATTGTGCAGGGGAGGATGAATCAGGTAAGCCGATCACCCCATCGGTGATTAAGTTTCAGAGTGATTGGAAGAGTAGTTTGAAACACCGATTAAGGTGTCGTTGGAACGGTATTGGGGATAAAGTGCAGTTGCTTCGAGTTGACCGTGTTTAATTCTGGTTTTACTGTAGATTTCAACATTGTTACAATTGCTCGTCATTCACGATATAAATTAATGTGTAGCTTAACTTACGTTATTAGTTATGAGTTTTCTAGGCTTCCAAGTGGCTAAAACTTATTATAATATGAATGATATGCTAATCAGATGGTGGGCGCTTCCACTATCCGTGAGTAACTGCGCCGAACACATTCGGCACCACTGTACACGGCAAAAACCGCTATCTCCGCATCAAATATTACTTAGATAATGCTTGCCACAGCTATTTGGAACCAGGTTGGGGGTTGCTATCTATGTTATGAATAGTTGGCCAAAAGGAAATCGTGTTTCCGTTTAACCCCCGCCTTATGTTCTACTTCTGCTTGATGGTGAAGTTTGACATTGAAGCTAGGCGGACATCACGTCATGCAGTACAATTGCCGTTACCACATGTTCCCCTATGCACGCAATTGCAGCATTTCGTAAGTTTAATCAGATGGGGAAGTGATGAGGGATATAAATAAGCCGTCCAATACAACTGATTCGGGAAAATTATTTTAATTTCATCTTATCTATCATCATCACAACTATTCATTCTATATAAGGAACGCAGTAATTTTGGTAGAAAAACTGTGCCGATCTGGAATCCATTTTAATTTGTTCCAACTTCTACCGATATATTTGTTGCGGCGAAAAACTATCAAGATCGGCAGTAGAACTTATATAAAAGTCTCACAGTTCCTACACAAACAACTTTAAGAATATCCGACATTGATTTAATCGGTTATGTCAACTGCTTTATACGATCCATTCCCTTGGACCTCCCCATCACATAGTGATATACCAACTACTACTAAAGGCTTTTTCACATCCATTAACACCAGAAATAGTGCCGGTTTAATCTCAACTTTAAATAGTGCTTACGCCCAACTTGCAACCGAGACTGATCGGATCTCCTTGTTCGTTTTATCGGAACAAATACGTGGAGCGGAAGCAAGTCTTACAGTTATAGCAAATGAACTCTTTCTTTCCACAGCTACTGCTACTCAAGCAGCTACAGCTACTACTGCAAGTACAAGTACACAATCAACAAGTGCTGCAGAAGCTTCTAAATCTGAAAATACGGGATCATCTGTCCCTACTGTTGAAGCCGATATACTTTCAAAAATTGCTGCAACTAATATCGAAGGAGCTCAGAATGCGATATTTAATGCTTCCATCAACCTTAATGAACTTCTTTGGGAACAAAACTTGTATGACACATACATTAATAAAGGTGCCAACATCTTTTTAATGATTGCCTTTATTGTCGCATTTTTAGGTCACTTGGGGATGATGATTCCTCTGAGATATTGGTATTTTTCGGTTGCTCTTTTCTTGGGAAGTGGTATTGAATTTGCTGGATATGCCGGCCGTGTTCGTGCTGTTGGAGATTACTCCAATGTGGACGCATTCTTACTTCAATTCATTTGTTTGACCTTGGCACCAGCTTTTGTTGCGGGTGGTATCTACTATCTTATTGGCTACTTGTGTTTGGTGTACGGACCACATTTCTCTCCATTGCGTCCGAGATGGTACAGTTACATATTCATCACATGCGATGTTTTCAGTTTGGTTATCCAAGCTTTGGGTGGTGGTATTGCTGCAACTGCTCTTCAACAACACAAGAGTAGTGAAACCGGTACTAGTATCATGATTGCAGGTATTGGCTTTCAAGTGGCCAGCATGACTCTCTTCATCGTGTTATACTTGTGGTTCTTGCACAGCGTGCACTTTAAATTACCTGAAAAGCTTTATGCACCAACTATCAAGAACTGGTGGACAGTGGTTATTATGAATCTGAAGATTGATCAATTAGACCATTTATGGGATCCTAAAAACTCACATATTCGTCGTAAGAAGCTCTTCAAGTATAACCAACTTGTAATCCTTGGAAGCATATTGTTTGTTTATATTCGTTGTATATACCGTGTGGTTGAATTGGCTCAAGGATGGACTGGATTCTTGATAACACACGAAGAGTATGTTTTAACTTTGGACGGTATGATGATTTTGCTTTCTGTATTTTTGTTGTTGATTATGCATCCCTACTTTTTGTTTGGCAAGAAGGCGTTGGTGTTGTTTAGTATTGGTAAGAAATCATCTGAAAAAAATAAAGTTGAATCAGATGAAGAGAGGGGACCGCAGACAGCTGAGAAAACCTTTGATGAAACCAATGATTCGCTATCTGAGCTGGACCTGAGAGTTGGTAGTGCTCACGATGATTCATCTAAAGCATATCCTCCTACTACAAGGGGCTCATTGTAGGAAAACGGTTCAAAAGTATATTTTCTTTAGATTTAGGGTAAATCATGTGAGTTTTTGTATTTTAGTTATCGTACACGGCTTGTCGTATATTATTTCGTATACTTTTTTTTAGCCCTAAGCGACTGTTTTACGGATAAGTCTTACGATACAACACGAAGCAACAAATAATATATTAAAGCTAACCCTTACCAAAATCTATAAACAAAACATTGTTAGCACAAAAAAAACCCAATACTTCTGAACTCGTCCCTAATGATGATCTAAAGCTCCCTTTCCAGTTAACGATCTTGCAGTTTTTGAAATTGAATTGAGGAAGAAGATGAAAATGAATTGTAACTCAGACACACACTAAGTACATAGCACACACACACACTATCAGAAACTAGAAATTAGAAAATAAAGTCATACAAGAGCAGAGAATAAGAATACCTTGAAAAGGTCTCTTGTTATAATTACAACCAGCGTAATAGAGTCACTGATATTTAGTATCCTTCTTTGGGGATCCATTTTGGTGCATTTTTAACGCAGTAAGCGTCCGCACATCCACATGCCTTTAACTTAGTAACATCGGTTTGAGAATCTTGAACAATCAAGCAGGGGTGATATTCAGGAACAGCTTCCGCCACCCTTGGTGAGACCTTAGGGATGTACATATTCTCTAAATAGACAGATAATTTTGTAGCTTCCATTATCAAGTGTTATGTTTAGAACGACGTTAAGGTATGATGTTTATATTATGGCCAAAACCTAGTCAATAGGATACGCAAGAGTTTATTGTTTGAAATATATGTTCTCGGGGAAACTGGAGGAATTTATAGTTTCTGCCACATGAAACTGGCTACTGCCTTGCTTTCCGCGTACAGGGATTGATCCCTATGATAGCCACACCTGTTGGCTGCAAAACGGGACATAGGACCCGTAATCACGTGAACAGCGATGCTAATTGCCAGCAAGTATTTTTCCCGAAATGGAGGGTACGGATAATTACTAGGGAAAAAATTACCTAAAAAACTGGGAATGACCACGTGATATCCCGATAAACTAATAAAAGAATGGGATAGCGAGACTAATCTGGCCAGGAGTAAGTGATGCGGCAAAAGGAATTAGCTCCTTGTAGGAGTTCAATTTCCGTTGGGTGTTACAGGTAAATCGGTTATCACGGTATCAAACGTCACTCGGAAGGGACTACATAAGCGAATTCGTAAGTACTTGGCCGATACTTTGTAGCCTTTACAATGACTCAAACAGTAGGGTCACGTTATGTACTACTACTTGAAGCATACCATCTCTTGACTCACATTTCATAATTGTATAAAAAGTTTTGAGAGTTTTCATTGCACGTGACTACATACATACAGGATAAGACGTTTATGAGCCCGCTATCTATTTCCTCAATCCTTCCCTCCTTGTTTTCATATACACCTTTTGCAGCCATACGTTTCTTTCAACTAGTAACCATAATCCTTTACCACCAAAGCTTCCAAATTACCAATGCTGTTTGTTGTCATTGACAACATCCATTATAGCGTCTCTCAAGAAAAGCTTGAGGAATTCCTCAAGAGCTATAGCCCGTAAGTAGTATCTTAGTACAAATGTGATTGATCACATTTGAACGAGTATTAATACTAACATTTTATTATAGCATTGTCGTATTGATTCCAAGTTATGTTCCACGTTTCAGCAGGAACCATCGTAGTCAAAGCTGGGGCATTGCCTTTGCCCAGTTTGACAACGTTGACGTTTGCTGTCAAGTTATTAATGATTTGAACGGAACCAACTTTCAACGTCGGCAAATTAATGTCAGACTCTATACACCATATGAAGGTACAAAAAGTTACCCTGAAAAGCCACATAGTAGCAACAACCATTATTTGAAGGATAGTGAACCTTCAGCTACTGAGACTGATACTGAGAATCAAGGAGTGATACTCAGTAAATATAAATTCAGTAAACATGGATTCAAATTCCCTGGGGAAGGAAGATTCAAAAGAAGACATAAAAAAGAACCAGAAAGTATAAGATATGTGGGCTTAGAAAGGGGTCCTGAATTTGAGGAACCAAAACATTCAGATACTCAGAAGGAAAAGGCTGCGGATGAGGAAGATGAAATCGGCAAGAACGATTATGCCACAAGTATAAATGATTCATCGTCTGCCCCAGTTGAAACTATGATACCTTCCTCCGGACTTAGTCCTTCAGTGGTTCCCAGAAAAAGTATCCCCACAACAGCTGTTGATGAACTTCCTGCTTTACCTGATAACTCTACGTCAGCTTCTTTTGCTTCTACTGTTCCAACCAAATATCAGTTATCTTCTGACACTATTTTCATTCAAAATATACATTCTGGTGTCACAGATAAGGAGGTTCGCACTGTGTTCAATGAATATAATCCTTCCAAGGTTTTCATATTTAAAGCCAATCGTTACACTTCTACCAACAGATTTGCTAGAGGGAACTTAAAGCCGGGTATGCGTCCAAATGTTAATATCTTGGTAACAGTTGATGTTAGCCAATTCTCGGTACCTGATATTATTACCCGTATGAAACATACAAAGTTGCATGGCCATCCTATGCTAATGAAAGTTGCATTATTACTGAGAGTTAAAGCAATTGAAAAAATATCAAACCAGAGGGGAAGCCAATTAAATTCTAATACAACTGAAACTTCATTGGCTACTGAGGTGAAAGAATTACCGTTGCTGAACACGGTAGACACTCTCCTGACTTCTACAACAGAAGAGGTAGCATGCATTGAAAATGTACAACCCTCATGTCCTGTTAATGAACTGAATTCAGAAGCCAGTCCAATTTTAGATTTCATGCCCGGATCCCTGGGAATAACCAGTGATCTGGTTACTTACAATGATGTCAAAGAAACAGAATCCGAAGTTGTTGAATCTGCATCTAAGTCGGTTACTGCTTCGAATAATGAGGGTTCCAATGCTGGTGGGTTGGCTGAATCAATGGCTGAGTGTCTGAGTGCTTGTAAACTTGATTGGGCCTCAGAACCTGTCGATCTGAATATTGCCGTTGATTAGGTATGGAATTCACCATGCCATCGTTGAATATATTAATGTGTTTACATATATAGTGTTGTTAATAATATGGGTTTGTTACTCAAAAATATTCTACAATGTGAGAGAATCCATTCAGGCACTAAAATGTTTAGCGAAAAGTTCGGCAGACCTCAAAGGCCATTTGCACAAACACGATTTGCTAACATGGACAATAATATGTAGTGGCTTAAGGAAAGTGCTTTTAATAATGGATATGACCATTACTCAACACCATCAAGGCATGTCAAAGTTGACAAAAAAATTGACCCTCATTGGAAAAGGTTAACGGGAAAGTAAGAAGCCCGACGAAGGCGACATTTCTGCAACGACATTTCAATTCAAGAGGGTCAAATTCAGTTCACAAGAGACACGAACACGAAAGCTGACACGGCTCATTTGGGGGCTTTTCGGCGATAGATTAAGTTAAAATAATTAGTGAAATCTGAGTTTCAATTGCATTATTGCTGCAAGAGGCATTGGTTGAGAAAAGTCGTCTTGTAGAACACGATTCGATCCAAGACTAGAATCACATATAAGTTTTAATTGGACCGACCTTTTGGTTGGCAGTGCCTGTAAAGTGTAGGTACTATTTACTCAGTCGGAATTGTCTATTTATAACCGTTGTTGAGTACAGGATATTTGATTATGGGAATGTTTCACAACATAATAAGAGGGGTCTCGCCCTTTACTAAGAAGGAGGCACCGCCTCATCTGAACGAGACACGACAGAACACGACAAGACATGAAAATACTAAAAAGTTATTCAGACACAAGACTACGCAGAACAAAACTGAGATAAGAAAAGATGTTAAGCTTATTGCACGGGAACGGGCGGAGTCAAATACAAACAGACAAACTGACATGTAGACAAACATTTAGACAAACTAAGATGTGGACAAACTGACATATAGACAAGCTGACAGAACTAAAAATAGTAAGTTTGATGTGAACTTAAAAATAGATGGGTGCCGTACTTGAAGCGAACTAATTACGTATGTATGATGAAAAAAGGCTTGTTGTATGGCAATTGGTGGTTATAGTATGTATATAAGGGGAAAAATGTCTTTGCTTACCTAACCCAATCTTGTATGCCATATTAATAGATCACGTGATCAATTTTTGTCTGCGAGGGATGCGTTAATTTCAGACATACTTAATCCAAATTCTCCTGACAACAATTAAAAAAAGAAAACATCAATATCATCTTTGAGAGGAAGAAAAATCGATTCTAAAATAGACACTTCTTGAATTCATTTCTTCCAATAGTTAACAAGTTGATCTTTTTTTAACACAACACAAGGGAACCCAATTCAAGTATACTTCTAGGGAAGTCTACCACTACAAAAGGTTCATAGAAAGTGATAAGGTATTCCATTTAGGAAGGGGGTCTAACATAATCGACCGACATTGTCTTTTATCCTTAGCTAAGACATCCATAACAAGACCATTAGTTTTGGTGATATAGTATCAGACCTTACATAAGTGCCGGCAGAATATATAAAGATATATTCTGAGGGCTAAAGTACGGTGTGTCACTGATCGTATAGACTAATTCATTGCATTGCATCAAACATTCGCTCCCCACCCACCCACAACAGCAACCGCAACATCTAACAAAAAATGTCTCAACGTAGAGACTTGACGTCCAACACGTACCAGAATCCAAACCTCAGCAATAGCCTGGAGTTTGATTTAAGGTCTAATAATCCATTTGATCACGCTGATCTAGTTGATGATGATCATGGAACTAACCGTATTCCCAACCAGCTGATGGAATCCTCAAACGATGACGACAGGGAGTCTGCTGCGAACTCTTATTCAAACTCTACCGCGAACGCTCGTGGAACAGAAGCGGACCAACCAAACTATGGTAAACCGTTCAACGCTTATTCCGGTTACTACAACCAATATTCCGGTACAACTTCACATTTATTATCCCATGAAAACTCTTCTCTGGATGACAATACCAACATGGCTTCCTCACAACTCCTCAACTCCAACTCAGCCAATAAAATGCAAACCCCTTCGGAATTCGATAGATATCCATCCATGGCTGGTTCGCGAGTGGTTTCACTGACCTCACTTTCTTCCCATTTTTTTGGTGCGTCAAAGGAAGCCACCGGAGCCCAATCAAACTCTAATACCAATGGAAAGTCTTCGGATGAATCGTTGAACAATAAATCATCCTTAATGGCTCCATTTATGGGAGTAGATTTCAGTCCATTTGGTGACTATCCTGCCCTGTCTTATCCTTTACATATTGATGAGAAGGAACCGGATGATTATTTACACAATCCAGATCCTATTGCCGATGCGGAATACGACCGTAACAGATTTCTTTATGACTTGAAACATATGGACCGTAGATCGTTGTGGGGTCTTATTGGGTTCATTGTTTTATTCCTTGGTGCCTTGGGTGTGTTTGTTCTATTTCCAGTATTTACATATACCATTAGTGAAAAGTACAAACCAGAAGTATACGAAATTTTGACAAGATATCAGTATCCAATTTTGGCAGCAATAAGAACTGATTTGGTTGATCCAGATACTCCACAAGATGCCCGAACCAAAGTGGTTTCTACTGGAGATACTTGGAATCTTGTGTTTTCTGATGAATTCAACGCCGTAGGAAGAACATTCTATGATGGTGATGATCAATTCTGGACTGCTCCAGATATTCATTATGCAGCCACAAGAGATTTGGAATGGTATGATCCGGATGCATCCCTGACAGCAAATGGTACATTAAACTTACGTATGGATGCTTATAAAAATCATGATTTGTATTACAGAAGTGGTATGGTGCAATCATGGAATAAGTTGTGTTTTACTCAAGGTCTCCTTGAGTTTTCTGCACAATTACCAAACTATGGTAATATCACTGGGTTATGGCCAGGGTTATGGTCTATGGGTAATTTGGGTCGTCCTGGTTATTTGGCTACTACTGAAGGTGTTTGGCCATATACCTATGAATCATGTGATGTTGGGATTACCGCTAACCAATCTTCCATTGATGGTATTTCATATTTGCCTGGTCAAAGATTAAATTCATGTACATGTAATGGTCAAGTGCATCCTAACCCTGGTGTTGGACGTGGTGCACCTGAAATTGATGTTTTAGAAGCTGAAATGGATACTAATATTAAGGTTGGTGTTGCGTCTCAGTCGTTTCAAGTTGCTCCTTATGATATTTGGTATATGCCCGATTATAACTTTGTGGCTATCCATAATGCTTCGATTACAACGATGAACACATATGCTGGTGGTCCTTTCCAACAAGCTGTGTCTGCTGTTACAACTTTAAATACAACTTGGTATGAATTTGGACCGGGTGCTAGACATTTCCAAAACTTTGCATATGAATACAAAAATAGTGACGAAGATGGGTACATAACATGGTATGTGGGTAATAATCCTACCATGACGTTGCATTCATATGCATTATCACCAAACGGGAATATTGGTTGGCGAAGGATTTCAAAGGAGCCAATGAGTATGATTATGAACTTGGGTATCTCCAATAATTGGGCGTATATTGATTGGCCATCTATTCATTTCCCTGTTACTTTCAGAATTGATTACGTTAGAATTTACCAACCAGCAGATGAAATCAATTTAACTTGTGATCCTCCAGGACACCCTACTTATGACTACATTCAACAACATGCAGACATCTATACCGACGCCAATATCACCATGTTTACAGATAAATACCCAAGACCCAAGAATACCCTTGTTGATGGCTGTTCGTTATAAGCCGGGGACCGGTCCATACAAAATTTATATGGTTGTGACTTTTATATCGGTTTTGTTTTCAATGCTTTCTTTTACCAAGAGGCACACTGTAAATTATTAACATTACTTTAGTTAGTTTAGTTCAATACACTCTTTTACGTATTTATATTTGGAAACGCTTGAAACACACGGAACTATTGATCCCTCCGAAACCGAACGAATTGTTCAAGGCGTACTCAATCTTCATTTCTTTCGCTTTATTGGGTACGTAGTCCATGGAGGTAAACTTTGTCTCGTCGTCTTCAATATGCTTCCCTGGATTCTCCAAATTAAGTGTTGGTGGTGCAATTTGGTTTTTAATAGCTAATGCAGTAAAGGCAGCTTCTACTGCTCCAGCTGCACCTAATAAATGGCCAATGGCACCTTTGGTCGAAGAAACGGTTAGTGGTTCCGCACGCGACTCTCTTTGGAATAATGAACACATGGCGTTATTTTCTGCTCGGTCACCAATTAAGGTTGATGTTGCATGAGCGTTTACATAATCAATGTCGTTTGGTGTAAGTCCAGAACGAGCTAAGGCCATTGACATGGCACGATACGCACCATCACCATCTTCGCGGGGAGCGGTAATGTGCCATGAATCTCCGGTTAAGCCATAACTCAAGATTTCACCATAAATGTTTTCTGGTTTCACGCCTCTGGCTAAAGCGCTGTCTAAATCTTCAAGAATTAAAACACCACTACCTTCTCCAAGGACAAACCCGTTTCTATCTCCGTCGAATGGTCGAGATGCTTTTGATGGGTCATCTTCGTGACCAGTCACGACTGATTTCGCACGAGCAAAACCTCCAAGTGGAACTGGATGAATTGCAGCCTCTGTACCACCAGCAACCATCGCTTTAGCATATCCCATTTTGATAAAGTTGAAAGCATCACCAATAGCATTATTCCCGGTAGCACATGCAGTAGATACAGCGTGCAAGGGACCCTTGGTCCCGCATTCTATCGAAACGTTACCAGCAGGCATGTTGGAAAGAATACGTGGAACAAAGAACGGTGATATCTTCTTATAGCCCTTGTTGTTGAAATCTACACTAGCCTGGTATACGTCTTCAACAGCAACAATCCCAGAACCAATGGCTGTACCCACGGCTTCAGGATTGGTTCTTGGATCTAAGTCAGCATCACGTAAGGCTTCACGAGCAGCCACTAAAGCATACTGTGAAAAGAGTGAATACTTTTTCAAATCAGATCGATCAAAATGGTCAGACTCATCCCATAATCCAGTGAGAGTCTTTGAGAAGCTTTTATTTGGCACTTTTCCCACCACTTTGGAAGGAATTTTATTCCATCCCATCAGCTCATAGTCTTCAAACTGTTTGGTACACATGAGACCGGATTCGCTCCGAAGTAACCTTGACCAAGTAGCTGCTCTACCTACTCCCAAGGGAGTGACAAGCCCTATTCCTGTAACTACTACTCTTGGACCAGCTGACATATTGGTAGTTTCTTTAGTTCTATCGAGATTTTTATTTTAGTCCACAAACAATCTTGTGCAAACCGCAAGCAATCTTCTCCAAAATATTATATAAAACACAATGGTATCCCTAAGTTTCCACTTATTATACCTAATTCTATTTGTGTGGGGAATGTCTCAAAACAATTTAGATCACAAGTAATAGCGATAAAACTGGCGATGAGTCTAAACGGCACGTGAGAGTTATATAATCACTAAGATAAATGAATCCAAATAGCGCGCAAACCGACCTAAGGTTTAGACAATTCTAAAATTCTCCACAGCGTCGAATAAAATAATTAATATATTACATTTGGAGGAACTGAAACCATTATATGTGAGGCATGTCGATTTATAAGGGGTTGCCCCACGATGTGGTCGTCAGGAGTCATCATTCGTATTAGAAATTCCGAATGAGTAGATCAAAGTTCGTAAGTGAATCAGGAGGGACAACCTGCGCATAAACCGGTTCCATCCCGTTACCACTTGCTCAATTAGTCCCTAGATGCATTACAATGACGTCCCCCTGGACCTGAATATGGATTTATTTACAATCTTCGTTGTAGTTTGAAACCACGCCGATATAGCAGTCGAGTCGCTTTTCGTCCCCTACAACGAAATTAAGCGGGTGTTCCAAGAGGTTTAGCGGCAATCGGAGGGTATGTGCCAACTCGAGCCATTGGTCGTATGCGCTTTTAGCCTTAAACGAATACCCAGCCAAATTTTCGGTACGAGGTAAATTCTTTAGCGAGAGCCAACGTTCGAGAGCCAATACTTTCATATTTTGGTTAGGGTACTTATGCTTTTCAAGCCGTTCGAACGACTCCTGATCGTTTAGTACTATTTTATAGGCGAGGAATGTTGATTTCTGATCCCCCAAATCAAGTTCACACTCATCTTGTCGATGCTTATTGAAGAATTCAGGAAATGTAAATCGCTTGACATCCCTTTTTTCTCTTAATAAAAGCCTTAGATACTCCATTCGAGGAGTCGCCCTAATTACCTCACCTTCAATAGAAGGAGTGGTCTCGATATTATTATTATCAATATCACCACCACCATTGTCGTCAGCCCTCTTTGCGTGTGGGATTATCTTTGTCTTTGTTTTTTTCTGTGTCTGTGTCTTTACCCATTCATTGAATAACGCCTCCTTTTGTTGCGGATCAGATATTGCATAGTATTCCGGACGTGTGACCCACGTAGTAAGTAGATCTCCTTCCACTATTGTCCAAGTTGAAAACATGTCGATCTCTTCCTTGAACTCATCCAATAGCGAGAGGAAAGATTCGGTGCCACCGCCATCTTTATTGTCATCATTGTCAGAAGAATCGTGGTCTAAACCCTCGCTTCCCCCCCTTTTGCTTTCATCTTCACTTACCTCTTCACTGCTGGAGTACCCTTCAACCAATGTAGCTCCTGATTCTTTTTGGTCTTCCTCAATATACCCCTCCAGTTTGAGCAAGTTCATTATCAACTGGTTGTTATCCTGGAGATTATCCTCGTTATCGATGACATCGTCATTATCAACAGCATCGGTACTTTCATTATCGTGATTACTTTCTTCACCACCAGTATCATCGTCATGTACTAACCCCGGGACATCAGTGTCTGGTTCAACCATTCGATCTTGTACATCCCATTTCAACCCTCGTGCCATACCCATTAGCATACTTACTCGATCGAAATCTACAGTTAAATTCTCATTGCCATTTATTTCTCCTAGTTGCCAGTATCTTGATCCTGTAGTACGATCGTAGTAGAAATGTGCACCGCCCTCCATTATCACGACATACCATCGATCATCATCATCTTTACATTTTATAGGCTCTATGAATAATGGTTTCCCACTCATTGATGTTGGTTTTGAGCTGGTACAAATTACTGTTCAATGTCCTCTTAATAGTACGTGTTATGGTACTTCAAATAATTAACAATTGGTGATGCTACTAGTTAGGCTCTTCAGTTCTTCCCCAGAGCGATGAACTTTGGGTAATTTCCTGTACACATCGGGAATCGACCTAATGCGTTCTCTACGGTTAAACATTATTTTTTTCTAGCACGACCAGCGCACTTTGTTTAGTATTTATATAGTGGTCATAATTAAAAGTGCTCATCCGCCAAGATGACTGACAAAAACACTGCGTTCTCTAGTACTATGCTTATTTCGTAATCTAAGGAATTCAACCGATTGAATTTTTTTTAGGAAGCCCTGTCCTTCAATAAGCCCTGTTTTATATGCTGAGTTATTTTATCTGATACCGAGCTTAACTAACTAACATTTGCACTGACATCTTCTGTTTCTTTTTCCCCTTTTTGGTGGGGGTTGAATTCATCGCTTCTGCTCCGTCTTCTTCTATGGGAGACGGAACAGTGGTAGCTCCAAGACCAGTTTGAGGTGAAGCCTCGCTAGGATCTGGAAGTTTTGTGTGTGAATTTATACTGGGAAGTGTAGATGGCATTACCGGAGACATAAGGGGTGGAGCCGTTGTGTATGTTGAAGGGTATAATGGTGGGATTGTAGCAGACGAAAACGAGTTGGAAAGTTGCATATGCATGTTATGATGATGATTATTACTAATCATATTATTACTGTTATTATTAATCTTGTTCTTGTTATTGATATTGTTGTTATTATGATGATGGTGAACTGTAGGTACTTTCGAGTACATGGGGTAAGTGGAACTAATGATGTTGTTGGAATTATTGGACTTGTTTGAAGGAATACGTTCGCTGAAAGTAGTAATCTCTTGGTTGCTCATACGACGATGAACAGAATTAATTGGTATTCCCATTAATGGTGGCAGTGAAGTTGGGTTTGACACCGATCTAACTCTCATTTGAGGTGGATTATTCATGGGGTTAGCTGTATCTTTTGGAAGGGAGGATGAAGCAGCTGCAGCAGCTGCTAAAAGTGTAGATGCTGAAGACTGGAAGGCTGAGGTGGATTGTTTATACGCCAAATGTGGTATTAGGGAAGACGTTGAACTTGAAGTAGTCATTGGGAGTGAAGGACCCAATTCCGGCGATGCAGGTGATCCATAAGAGGGCGAGTTTTCTGGTGATTCATCTTCACCCATGATGCCAGCATCAGGGCCCGAATTTGATATTGGGTCCCCCCCTGGACCTGCTCTTTTATACAGTCTTCTGATTCTGCTTACAGCCAATTCACTACCCTGGTGTAAATTCTTAGCATGGCGAAGAAGTAAATCTCTTCTACTGAATGGTCTTGAACAGATCCCGCAACAGAATGGTTTGAGTTTATTATGGGTCGATTGGGTATGGCGAGTCAAATGTTCTTCTCTTGTGAATGCTCTATCACACACCCGGCAGTTATAGATACGAGGGTTACCTCCTGCTGTTTTGGTGCCATAGTTTGGTCGATTCATGATGTACATTTGGGAAAGCCAAAATGGATATTTATGAACAAGAATATAGGAACAAAAAACTGCTTGATTATAATTATGCTAATAATAACAATAGTAATAATAATTGCAATAATAGTAGTTGCAGTAAAGTTAAGTGCAATGGGTTCTCAAATACATATACCCTATAAAATGTGGGGTACGTCCGACTCCGAAAATATATATATATTTGGTGCGGCGGAAACAGTCGATCAACTATTGGATATGATAATAGTGGTAGGCAAACATTACATGGGGTACCATGTAATTGATGGATGCGGTTAACGACTGATATATATGACTTAAATTGAATCACCTCTAACTTATTTGGTCCAAAGTGGGGAATGAATACTCCGACTGAACAAAGAAACCAGGCACAAACTGGATCGGATGGTTGTTGAACGCAGTGGAGTTTTTATGGGGAATCGCGCTACAGGCTTGTAAGACGCCAGAGTGGGTAATAGACACAATAGAGGGGAAACCTGCCACTTTCTTTTTTTAAAGCCGGTACCATTATATTTCCATTTATATTATTCTAACATTTAAACTACTGCCTTAACCGTATCTCATTATCCTTATCATCTTCTTATTTGTATGACGACCAGCATTAGAGTTTTTTACCACAGTAGCCTAAAATAAAGATATCCTTGCCCTTTGCCCTTTGCCCTTTGCCCTGCCGTGCGATGACATTTGTAATATAATGGGTTGAAATATTAATGACTTTATTGTTATTAAACACTCTTTTTTTCAACTGCGTTACAACTTATTATCAATTATTGTTGTACATACATGAACTTCTCTCTCTTTTTGCATTGAATGAAATTACGTGGTATTGTTCCGATACCGTTCTCCTCCTTTGACCCCTCTTATTCCCAAAGAGAGTTGTAGTAATTTTTCGCTTGCTGTGGTATCCCATACTAGTAGAGATTTTCTTTCGATCCCCTCCCCCACCATTCTTGTTGCACATCAACACTCTGTTACGTTGTTGCTAGTCAGATTCCATGACTACTGTCCCCTCTTAAGTAGACGTGGTGGTACCATATTGAGTATACACTTGATTTACACATGAAATATGATAACGGAATGGGGTATTTTTATTCTTCGTTGTATAGTGAAGGTGGTGGAAGCTGCGATATGGTTCGCTCTATTGTTGTAAAAATCTATTGTCAAAAATCCAGGTATATTTAAGGACACTTTGGATTGTTCATCTTGGAAAATTACCCTTCTGAGAATAACTTCTGGTACGGGAAGCAGGGCCACACAAAATTGGGTCACCTGGGGTGGGGAATAGATAGGAGGGGACATTCTTGAAAGACACATCTCATGAATACAGTACGGTGCAGTATAGTATATAGTCCTAAGCTCCATATTTTGTTCAATTATCAAACTTGGGGTAAAAATACAATCCCTCCAATTGAGAGAGAAGACTTTAAGAAAGCGGCAAGTCGTCTTATCCTTGTGATTTGTGTAACAACCAGCGGCTTCGGACTTTGGGTCAAGGGGCAACTAATGAGACAAGAGGGGAGTTCATATATTTGACATTCATAGTCACTACTGCTGTCAATCTACAGCGTACTATGGTGACAGGCGAAAGTGAAAGTTAGTTGACAGGAAGAGTACAAGCCGAGGTAACCGCAATTACTTTCCATTTTTTGATTAGGTTAACCTCATCTCTATCACCATCACTGGTATACTATGTATAATTATTAGTACTAGTAGTGAACATTAAATCATTCCTCAATATACGTGTTACCCATACTGAAGGGCTGTAATCACCATCGATAGTTCTGTTACATGCACTCTTATGCTGCCCCTTTAGCCCTCCTTAGATACGTCATGGCTATACAACTGAAGCCCAAAGATGTAATTATGAACTCCCCTCAATACTTTTCATTCTCCTCCCTCATCTACTCCCCACTTCATGGAGGGGTGTAGCCTGCAGCTGGTTGTCCCCTTGCCTTCCCCTCGAGTACTTAATTAGGAAAATGAACCGTCCCTTGTATACGTGCACGTGCAAGATCATGTAGTTAGTCACAATTGCAGAGTCATGTTATACATCACGTGCATGTGCACGTTATCTTATCTAGTTATCTTTGTACATTCAGAACTCGCCTTCTCCTTACTAATTGAGAGGGAACCTGCTATTTTAACTACACCTAAACAACCAATTTAAACTGATTCAAATCGGTTCGTTGCAATTAAAGTCATCTGTTAATATTTCATTAGAAGCAATAATTAATAAACTTTGTTATAAAAGGCATTCCATCGAAGATTATCTAATACGTTACTTCTTGAACCCCCAAATGATTAATGTCCCAATCACCGCCATCAAACACTGAAAACGATACATTCCTCTCGCGTGTCTTTGGACTCAATTCCGTCTACAATCAAGTCCAAAACTTTCCATACTATGACCCCGACACTTTTGGTGACTCTCAGATGAGTCCCAATCATTCGAATATAATACGAGAGGCTTCTCCCATAAGAAATCAAGACCCTTTTGCTGCACAAGAAGCTGGTCCTGATATTGAGTCTCTGTTACTACTAGGTCACTTGGAGGAGGATGATCCATCCCGTCTGAAACTGCCTAAGCCTACATTTGTTGCACCTCCTAACAATGAAGATCATGGTAGAAGATGGATAGATTCCGAACCAGATGATCTGGATAATTCATCTGATGAGTCAGGGGTTCCTGATGATGCAGTACTATTACCCCACAATCTGATACGACTTCAAAACTTGGGAGGAGCGCCACCTTCAGCAGAAAATGGCCGAGCTGAAGCGTCAGAATCGTCCCGTCCTCCTACGGCGTTCAAAATCAAAATTAAAGAGCCAGCATTACCATTATTCCACAAGCGAAACCCGCCTAATGACCTAGAACAAGGACTTAACTCTGAAAACCCCGACACTCAACGTATATATTTTGGTAGAGGCCGAGGTGGAGGCCGAGGAAGAGTTCTGGTTATTCCACCAAGAGAAAGAGCGCTTTATTTATGGGCTAATATTACTAATATGGATGATTTTCTTGTCGATCTCTACTACTATTTTTTAGGGAAAGGTTTGGTCAACATTATTCTTAGTCGTGTTATTGATTTATTGATTTTGATGTTTGTTCTTAGTTTGACTACTTTTCTTACTTGGGGTATTGATTACAGTAGCATCACGGGGTTTGCCACCAATGGTGGTGGTTCGGATGTTTCACATTCTCCTGGAGCTACTGCTGGAATAATCAGATCGGTTACGTTAAAGGACATTGTCATCCAGAATTGGTTTCATGATATGGTCCCTGCTTCTATTAAGGTGGCTTTATTTGGGTTTAGTGTATACCTTGTGCTTCGATTTGTTCAATTATTCTTTGACTATCGATTCAAATTGAAAGAGATTCGTAACTTCTATCAATTTTTATTAGGTATAGATGATGAACAGGAGTTGATGACAATCTCTTGGACAACTATAGTTGAAAGGTTAATTTTATTAAAGGACTACAATTCGTTGACTTCTTTTGCTGGTCATAATTTTAATGAAAGAGGAGGAAACTTCAATAATAATGACCTTTCTTCCAAAGTGAGACTAAATGCTCATGATATTGCCAATAGAATTATGCGTAAGGAGAACTATATGATTGCAATGATCAATAAGGACATATTGGATATGTGCCCTATTGATTTCCCTCCAGCGATGAGAAAATATTTGAATAATACCAATGTGTTGACGAAAACATTGGAATGGAACTTAAAATTGTGTATTAACAATTTTGCTTTCAATCAACATGGTCAAATTCAACCTCGGATTCTTAAAGATTATAACCGCAATCAATTGGCATCAGAATTAAGCTCGAGGTTCAAAATGGCTGCTATAATCAGCTTAATTTTGAGTCCATTTATTACGGTGTATTTTGTCTTACTTTATTTCTTTAAGTACTTCAATGAGTACAAGACAAACCCTATTAACTTGTCAAACCTGCGTCAATTTACCCCATATTCGGAATGGAAATTAAGGGAGTTCAATGAGTTGCATCATTTTTTTATTAAGAGATTGAGATTGTCTATGGGTCCTTCAATGACTTATATTAATCAATTCCCCAAGAGTTACTTGGTTCTCAATGTCATGTACTTGATAAATTTTATTAGTGGGTCCTTATTAGCTGTATTGGTAATTACAGGAATATTTGTTGATGATGAAGGGCATAGTTTTTGGTCATTTGAGTTAACATCAGGAAGATCTGCACTTTTCTACATTAGTATCTTAGGTACAGTATGGGCAGTAACCAACACTCAAACAGCAAATGTAACTGCAGCTTCTAGCTTTGCAAATGTTACCTACAACAATACAGCAAATGAAATGGAAGCACGCCAAGGAGATTCTCCAATGGTTTATGATCCTGAAGCTCAGTTACGTTATGTATCTCAGTTCACCCATTACTTACCAAAGAAATGGCTCGGGAAGTTACACACTGTACAAGTACGGAATGAATATTGCTCATTATTCAGCTTGCAAATTTACATTATATTTATGGAGATCCTTTCAGTGATCTTAACTCCGTGGATCCTCTGGTTCAAAATCAGCCAGTGTCTGGGATCCATTGTCGATTTCTTCAGAGAGTACAGTGTTCATGTGGATGGTTTAGGGTACGTGTGCTACTTTGCCATGTTTAACTTTGAAGAGAAAGACAAGAATATTATGTACGAGCAGAAGAAGAAGCGGAAGAATCGGAAACAAGCAAAGCAACAAACCAAACAGCAACAGCAACGGAAACAGAAACGTAAGCTTAGACAAAGTGACGATATTAATCGTGACGACTTTTCAGAGAGTAGTGATGATCCTAATGACTCAGATATGAATTATTATCAAGATGATAAGATGATAAAGTCATATATGCACTTTTTGGAAAGCTATGGTACCTCGAAGCCTGGCAATGCTACTACTACGAATGTCATTCCTACTAAGAATACTACTCCTTCTACTACTACTAAGAATAATCAACCGTTCACATCCAAGTCTCAAGGTGCTGCACCTGTACGTCGTCCTTATGCTACCATTGATGATGATGCAATGACAAGTTCAATGTATAATTTCGATGAAGGGTTCCCCCCAGACGAAGATGATGATGATACTGGAACTGGACCTCATAGAAAAGGTAAATCTGGAGTTCTTGGAATGATTAACCAGTTTTATAAGAACGACTACAGAACTTAATAGTATCAATTAGTAATCATTCATCCATTACCATACAATATTACTACCGTTATAACTGGTATCCACGGTTGGGCTCAGGCATGTATAAGGCGTGTACCCTCGCTAGTACTCTTAGTTCTGCATTTTATGGTAGCGCTATTTTCCTGTGTATTGGTTTCATGGGGGGCATCTCATCCTCTAACGAAAAAAATAGTGGTCTACAAAGTTAAGATCATCATAAAGCCAAGGCACAAGGACATCAATAGAAGTTCAACTGGACAATGGCAGGTTCTCAGTTGAAACAGCTTAAGGCTGCATTAAAGAGCAACGGCCTTATTGGGCAAAGTAATGGGACCAAGAAAGATACTCGTTCCTCCAAGCATACGGCACGGGATCGAGAAGCCAGAGCCGAAACCTTGAATGGTATACGGGAAGAGTTCAACCGGTTTGATGAACGTATTAACCGTACTAAGAGAGATTTTACTGTTATTCAAGGAGGCAAGTTTGTGCGAGCAGGAAGTTCTGAACACAATCGGGCTGCTAAGCTGAAGGGGACAGTAGAGAAGAGTCTTGCATCCCAGTACTCAGCACGTCAACTGGTGAAAAACAAGAGTGGGGGTCTTTTAGATCGTCGTTTTGGTGCCAAGGCTGGCAAGAATTTGACAGAAGAAGAAATTATGTTGGAACGTTTCACCAGGGAACGCCAACAGAGTTCCAAGTCGAAGCGGAGCGTATTTGCATTAGGAAGTGATGATGAGGATGATGATAATGATGATGGTTTTGTGTTGACACATTCAGGGAAGGCCTTAGCATCTGAAGAAGCCAGAGGCTTGGAACTTGATGAAGATGCTTTAGGATCTGGTGACAAGAGATATGTTGATGAAGGTGAAGAAGCAGAGCTTAATCAGCCACCTCGCAAGAAATCCAAGAAAGAGGTCATGCAAGAGATCATTGCCAAATCTAAATTCCACAAACGTCAAAGACAAGCTGCATTTGAAAAGACCCAAGAAGATATTGGCGATTTAGATGATGATTTCACCGATGTCATGCAAGAGATTAACGGAGCAATAAGTAAAACTGTCAAAGCTCCTGCCTTTCTGAACAAGACACCTGAAGAATTGGAATATGATAACCAGGTGAGAGAGTTGACATATGATAGAAGAGCGGTTCCTGCTGACAGGACGAAAACAGATGAAGAGATTCAAAATGAACGTGAAGAAAAACGCAAAAAGTTGGAGCAAGATCGTTTGAATAGAATGAATGGAATGGTTGAACGTGAAGATGCAGAGGCAGATGACTTAGATGACGATTTCTGGGCTGGCTCTGAAGATGAAGTTGAAGGATTTACTATTAAGGAAGACGGTGATAAGGCTAGTGAAAATGATGAAGATGATGACGGAAGTGATAATGAAGATTTGAAGACAAGCCGAACTAGCATCAGAAGTAAAGTAAATGCTATTTCCATGCCTCTGGATTATGAACAATTTGCCGAACAATTGCAATTGTTAAAGAACTCAACAGAAGAAGAATCTTTCGTCAAGAAGGTTGTACAACAATACCAGCCACATTTGGCTCAAGGCAACAAAGAAAAGATGAACAATTTTGTCACCGTATTATATCGTCATTGTTTGACTATGCCTAAGAACTTGGATGTATACTTCTGTTTGGTAAAGAATCTCCTGGAGAAGTACAATGAAGCATTGGTTAATTTCATTCGTCACGATATTAATGGAGAAATACACAAGAGAATTCAAGCAAATGGGTCATTACGAGGATTTGATTTGATTAACTTTACATTAATTGGAATGCTTTTTTCAACATCTGATCATTATCATTTAGTTGTTACTCCTACATTGATTATCATGAACGAAATCCTTACCCATTTTAATACCAAAAACGAGTTGACATTGAACGAAATAGGTCAAGGGATTTATATTGTTGAATTACTTTTCAAATATCAAAAATTATCCAAGAGATATATACCTGAAACCACTCGATTCATTGAGAGAGCATTTATTTATCTTTGTCCTGAAATCACAAAGATAAAAGTCACTGACTTGGTATCCGTTAATATAAACCCCTCCACTGTTCATGCTACCAACATATCCAAATCTACCAAATATACCGATTCCATTGTTCCTTCTGTATTGTCAGTGCTGGTAATCACTGGGAAAACCATATCTGTGAAAGACAATGGTGTCAAGTTCGCCCTCTTAGCAAAGACTCTTGGATTGGCCAAGGAAGTTGTGGGACTTTACCGGGAATTACTGATTTTCTTTGAGTTGAGTCTTGTGGTTAAAGTTTTCACCAGTCATTTATTACATTATTACCCGAATTGGACAGAATTGGTAAAGTTCCATCAAGTTATTGATAAAGTTGTTCACAACACCACCAGACACAAATTAGCATTACAGCAACATCGTCTGTTGGCCATTGCAACGTTTGCACCTAAATTCGAAGAGAATTTCAACCCTGATCGTAAGTCATATGATCTTGATGTTCAAAAGCAGGAAGTAAGCAAGATGCAAAGACAATTGAAGAAGGAGAAGAAGGAAACCTTGAAAGACTTACGGAGAGTTACCAGGTTTGAAGCCAGACAACAAATTGAAGAGAAGAAGAGCATGTATGATGCTTATCATAAGAAGATGCATGATATTGTTGCGCTGATTCTGACTCATGAAGGAGCTGAAAAGAATCAATATGAACGGGAGAAGAAAGAACGTAAAAATAGAAAGTGATTAGCATACATAGATATGTATATATACAACTTTTTATATAAAGATTATGCAGAAAATAAGTTTTCTACATCAACATTTATAATGAACAAATGTCAGTCAAGTATTAGAATAATTATAAACGGTGTCGAGAAATAAACAAGCAACGGCGATTTCAAGAAATAAAGCAACAAAAAACGGAACGATATTAACAAAAAAATGTCAGAAAGGATTAGCACTATGCTTAGACTTGAGACATGGTTGGAACACCGACTCTTGGAGTGGATCTGGAGGTAGAACCAAACAATCCACCGTTCAACAAACTAATGAAACTAAAGATGGAGGAAGCAACAAAAATAAAGGCCGAAAAGTATAAAAAGGCAACGGAGGCTTGAGCCTTTCTACATCTTCCACTAGAAAATTGAGCAATGTTGTTACTTTCAATGTAAGCTTGGTTTGAACAAGAGTGAACATGGATGTTTGCGGCGATGGCAGTGGCAGCAGCAAAAGTGAAGACAAAGTTCAAAAAATCAAAAGTGAAAAGAATCACGGGCCAAGCAAAGGCAGCAAACAAATAAGCCAAGATACCATAGAAAGTAGATGTTAAGATACCAAAGGCAGCAGCAAATACGGCAAAGTTTACTTGGGGGTTGGATTGGTAGACAGTGGTGGCAGCAAGAGAACCTGCAAGACCAAGGGCAATGACAAGGAAGACAAAGTTGAAAGCACGTAAAATGGTATCTCCGAGGGCCAACATTATTAAATAGTATTAATCGTAGTAGTGGTAGTGATGGTGGTCGATGACGGGTATTCGCAATACGATAATTAGTCAATTGATCTCAATGACTCAACAGAGGGAAAGAAGAAAGAAAGAAATGCAATTAATTTATCGACAATAACACCACGAATGAAAACTTGGGCTTTAAGGGGAAACTCCATTTGTTGATGTTTCTCTAGAGTGTATACAGGTAGTCGGAACTGAGTGGTTGGTTAGTAAGTATGGGTGGGCACTTTGTTCTGTTAAGCCTGCACCTACGCTTATTACTATTGTGTGGTGGAGTTCGATAGATTATAATCTTAGTAGTAATAACAATAATAATAATAATGTGGTGGTATTGACGATCAGCCAGCCAATAGCCGTTATACCTTGTTGTACTGGTAGTGGTGCTAATGGTACTACTGTTGCTGTTGTTACTACCACTACTGCTCCACAGCTGCTTCCTATGCTACTACCACCACTTCTACACTGTACAATTGCTCTAATCCATTGCTTCACTATTAAATTCCACCTAATGACGTCAACTTTAATTCCGTGTGACTACTGACTTCTTAATTGGCCATCTCTCGTTCTCGAAACGGACCTCCAGTTATTGTGGCATTCGGCACTTCCGGAAACTGCTATTTGTTCTTGGGCCGCATTAGGCAATACCTTTTTGAAACACTTGTCGTTCTCGGGCTTAGAAAAACCTTCGAAGGTATGGAACACTTGGATGGCTCAAAGTAAGAATATTGTTATTGGTGTTGGTATTGTATTATTGTTTTATGTTGGTCACTGTAAACGACAACGGCTCATTTCATTTCATTTCTTCTATTCTTTGGGGGGGTTTACATTATATACTATTTCCATGACTCCATCGAGACTGCATCTAATCGCATTTTACCATCATCATTACCTTACAAAGACCTTTCCTCTGTGCACTACACAGAGAATCCATCAGTCGACTCAACTAATTCAATTTATTCTTATGCTTTTCAACTTCTTCAACAACCTTTTTATTCAAACACACTGAAGTGACACTTTCCCCTTCGGATGTCACAGCCTCCCAATCTGCTCCTAAGTCTAGTAACTTCTCGGCAACAGTGACATGTTCCTCACTCATGGCATGATGTAAGCTTGTCCACCCTAAACCGTCCGTAGAATTAACATTCACTTTCCCCTCGTTAACAAGCAATTCAACTAATTCAACGGATCCAACACTAGCGGCACGATGCAACGCATTTAAGCCTCGCTTATCTTTGGCTCCAGCTCGAAGTCCATAACTTGACTTGCCGACTGTCAAAAGCCATTTGGCAAGTTGTATACATCTTTTAGATATTGCCAATTGTAGTACGGTGGTGCCAGTATTAGTACCCGCATTAATATTACTACTTGGAAACTGTTGTAGTAAATACTCCAACAAAACTAGGTTGCCAACACTTGCTAAGATGTGAAGAGGCAGCCAATCGGAAATATCCAAGATCTCACTTGCTGATTCATCAAAATGAACCCGGAATTGTGGTGTTAATGCCTTGATAACTTGAGAATTCTGTGTACTACATGCCCAGTGTAATGAGGTTCTACCATCTTCGTCTTCCTGAAAAAGATCTGCGTTGCCATTGGCTATACTTTGTTCTATAAGTTGAACTGCTAGTTGGGTATTGTTCTGCTGTACTGCATTATGTATGGGATATGTCTTGGTATCTTGGTCCGTCATCTTTAATTTAGAGCCCAAGTACTCAGTCCCTATAAAGTAGTCTAACAATTTTGTCTAAACATCATTTTTAATAAAGGTCGTGCACTTACCAGGAGAATTCATATGTTCCGTCTGATTTTATTCAGACTTTATAATCCACATATTGAACAAAATTCTATACCTTTTATTCAATATTACTTATGTATATATAAAAATGAACACTTAATCAAACCACCGCTTTCTCTTTTGATTGGCCGAAAGTGTGGCCTGGGTGATCCGAGCTGCCATGGAATACCAAGAAGTTGGATCTGCGGCAACACTAGCATAGTTTATAGCAGATTCCATGGTATAAGACCAACCTGGAGTAATTGTAGATACAACTGCTGGAGATCCGGTGACGGAAACGTAATATGAAGAAATAGAACTTGTTGCAAACCGTCTACTCCAAGTGGACATGGTAACAGTAGAACCTGGCTGCATTTGCATAGGAGCATATCTAGTTCTTCCTGTTTGTAAAGTATAAGGAACTGTGAACAGTCTGGTATCAATAACAGCAGGTGCAGGACCTGTACCACCACTTGGAGTTTGAGGATCAGGACCTGGACCTGTGAAAGTATTAAGGGTAGATAATACCAATTTAACTCCCAGAGCATCAGAAGTAGTGGAAGGACCTGTCATTCCTGTTAAGGTAATCCGAGGGGTGTAGTTGATTGTGATTGCCTTTTTGAAAACAGTATAAATCTGGAAAAAATAGACACCATTAGAAATAAGTGATGCAGGTATTTCAGCAGAGTAACTCTTCAGTGGGATTGCTTGATTATTCACAAAACTCTTGAAACATTTTATATTAGAATTTGGTCCAGCACATAACAAAATCGAATAAGATTTAGCATTAGCAAGCGAAAATACGTTTGAAGAATCAGGATCAGAATCTGACCATGAAATAGTAACAGTGGACCCTCCCGAGAATGAGGCTCCCACTTTAGGGGCCGTCACAGACACATCGGCCACACAGAGCCCTAGTAACACCAACAAGTGTAGAAAGATGAGCATATTTTAAATGTGTGATGTGATGACTGGAAACGAATAAGATCAGTATTTATATGGCACTCTTCAAGCTCTAGTCAAAGCGATATTCTCTCGTGGACAAGAAGAGAGGACGAGGACGACAAGGACGACGAAAGCAGATGTTCAGTGGAATGAGATGTAAAGTCAACTTAAATATTCCGTTGATTGTTTAGTTTTCACCTATTGATCCTAAAGATATTGAAGCTGTGACTGTTACAATTATTCCCCTTGTCGTTCAGTGTTGCGTTGTACACCTTAAAATAGCACCTTTCAGGTTGATGGGGTAGTGGCTGTGTTCATCTTTTCTGGAATGAACCGCGTATGGGTGGCTTGGCGTTTTTGTGTGGTGTGCACATACAACTTATAAACAGAAAAAAGAACCCCTTTGTCGCGGTATTTGTGATTGTGCGACAATACCAAATTAGGCATGTTGGCGTGTAGTATTGAGTTGTGGGGCGTTAAACGGAGTAAAGCTAGCTAGTCCTCTTCAATACTGTGCCGCATGGTATAGACATCTCTATTATTTGTATTTATTAATGCAAAATTTAGTATTATGTACAAGAATCTATCTGAATAACGGCCTGCGCTCACAGACACACTTAATGATCAAACGAATAACTATATGTTGAAAATCCAGACAATTCGGAAATACCAGAAGTATTCGATCTCTGTAACTTCAATGTAAGATCTAATGTAATGTCAGGAGAAAGGAAATGGTTTCCCAAAGAAACTGGTTTACTGTAATCAGGAAAGCTCATACCTGATCTTAATGGCAACCCCTCGGAGTTATTATTGAGATGATTAATTGCAAATGAGTTTTCAGATTTAACATCATTGTCTTCATCTTCCAGGTTAACTTGAATAATAACACTGTCCTCATTGCTGACAGTAATATTATCTTCTTCATCATTATAGTGAGTGAGGTTCGCAGGTGCAGTTTGCGACCGTTTAAAGTGAGGAATTGTTGGAGACATTGCGTTGGCTGATTCAATGACTCGAGAAGATTCAGGTTGAGTTAAGGAATTGGATGGTGATGGTGATGGTGATGAACGCCTTCGAATACCACCAGTACTTCTAACTTGAGACCGGTTGATTATAGAGGGTCTTTTGGGTGCAACATTAGTCCGTGTGTTTCCTTTTCGCGACGTAATGGATAGTGGTATACGATTCAACCGCAATGGCAGAGCAACTTTTGCAATAGTGGATTTCCAAAAATCCGATGTGAAGGGGGCTAGAACCATGTACATAAGCGTATCTTTTTGAAAATTGAATCTGTTTAGTCAAAAGGTTAGCAATAATTGCTTATGCGGCACACTTAACTAAATGAATATTAATCAGTTTAAGACGTTTTGTATAGGACTTGACTTCAGTCAAGTTTCAACGAAAAGAGTCCAATTGAACATACAAGTGAGACCCGTAAATTGGTTCGTTTAAGAAACAGAGAGACAACGCTCTATATATATAACTATACATTTTTATCAGTAGACATGACAGGTAATCGGTAAGGGTGTAGCACGGAAATAACAATTGGAACACATACAGGTACACCTGCTTTAAAAAAGCCTATGTTCAAAAAAAAAAAACATAAGTACCGGGCAATAAAAGAATGAAAACCTTTTCTAGCAACACCCGTGAACATAAAGGACTCCGAGAACCTTAGCTTGTTTGCGGGCTGGAAACAGTAGGATATTAGCTGTTGGTGCTAACCTTTATTAATGGTTTGGAAGTCAGTCGGAATGGTTCCGCGAAGCTTGTCTTGGCTGGATCTGATAAAATTATCGTTCCATCGCAAGTTCTTTGGTTCCGAATGCTAGGTGCGGATATGGCAAGGCTGAAACTGTAAGATTAAAATCAAATAAATTAGATGCAAGACAAAACCCGAAAGTTAATTGACGACGGAGCCAAGAAGCAGTTAACTCCCATTTAGGATAAAGAGCCGTTCCGGCAGCCGTTTTCTTCAGAATAAGACCCGCGTACAACTTGGTTTTGTCCGATGGATCTTAAGTCCACCAGTTCGTGTCCCAAAGCAGAAATTTTTTTGCATTCTCCGGAACATATAACTTTGATCACTGTAAATTCCTTCCTCTACAACAATAAGCATCTTTGTAGTCCTTATAATGGAATCTTTTGCCTCTCGGAGTTTACAATCTTTTTGATCGGGTGTAGCTCCCGGTGTTTAAACCTGAACGGTGCTAGTGCACCTGGTTTCATGACCACAGTTAGTGCTCATATTTATATGTTGTTGTAACACTAGTAAAGAATTACGTTTCCTGAATAGAAGCTATTGTTGTTGCAGTTTCAGTGGTGTACACTTTAGAAACGGCACACGTCAGCCATTTGTTCGGCTCCTAGATAGTAGCCGTTACTGGACGTAGAGCTGTTTTCACTTCTTCCTATAGAGGTTATATTCCTGATCCAAAAAAGTACGTTTACTCCCATGCCAAAGCAATTCTGGATCAATGCTCCTTCATTTTTGATGTGACAGTACCTTTCATACATATTACGTACTTTCCACTACATTCATTATATTTTAGAAATCTTAATCGCTAAACTATTAACTTTGATTGTCCATTAATCCGTCTATTATTCTGTATTGCGGTACTAGTACATTTTTAAGCATATCCCCGATATAAATATAATAACTATTTATTAAGAATGCTCAAAAGTGCCGTATTCATTTTCGCATTTTATAACAGATATTCTTAAATGCCATGTTCCGAAGGCTGTGTCTTGCCCGGTACTGATGAAGCATAACAAGAGTGAAAGGTATAAGTATCAGCACTAGTGTAGTGCATTCGTTACATATAGTAACCATCTCTACTTTACAATATGGTTAACGACATGGAAGTGACCTGTGCGTGCAAAGACGAAATGTCGCGCTATAAATGTGAATGTGGCCTGGGGCAATCGAAATGATAAGAGTAGGTTCATGCCTTTTATTGGGTTCCTTACACTCGCTGTGTGGTTGGGGACTCTTCTTTTCGTAAGTCATGCTTCCAAGCGTAATATTTCTCCATAAAGGACCAGAAAGTATTAAATGGTCAGAATGATGTGATATGATACATCAAGATGATGAATTTTTATGAACTATCAATGTTTATACTACAGATCATGAGACTCCTTCAAATACGGAATTTTACAAATGGATAACAAGTAGCTTGTGGTTTCATATATATCGTATCAGGGTTGCCATTATTCTGGTTAACTAACATGGCCCTCTCCTAGTGGTTGATGAGGGCTTAATTAAGCTCATTTTATAATTTATTAGATCATATACCATATATTGGTGCAAACTGCAAATTAGTTCAGTCACGTGATGCTGAAGTTAAATTATAGGTCGTGCAAGCTGTCTAGAAGCTTCACGTGATGCTGAAGTTAAATTATAGGTCGTGCAAGCTGTCTAGAAGCTTCACGTGACAATTTGACGGTACGGCATTCCCAATCCGTACCACTAAATCTGCTGGTCCAGGTAATCGACCATTATCCTTACTCGCTCTTAGATAGTCTTTCTAAAACTGCTAAAATATGAATGAAAAGCTTGAACAGATTATTCTTCCTTCCTTGTTGATTGGCAATTGTGTGCTGATTGAATGGTGTCCATACTAGTCTTTGAATTGATATAAGAATGAATATTTGCAATGCCTCAACTTAACCCGCCAACCCGCGGATGTTACTTTTTTGAGCGAAATGCCGCTAAAGCTTGAATTTTCAAGGAAATCATTATTATAAAGCTTGAAGTTCCCCCATTATCATCTTTAGACAACTCTTTCTTTTGTTCCTTTAACCATAAAATAACACACAATGGCTATCACATTGAAGAACCCTGAGTTGATTAGATCCACCCCATTTATTAATGGTGAATGGTACCAATCAAAGTCCTCCAAGAGCTTTGATGTCACCGATCCTGCTACTGGTGAATTAATCATCACTCTTCCAGATCAGACTGAAGAAGAAATTGATGAGGCTATCCGCTTGACTCACACCGCCTTCCATGATTTTAAGAAGCTGAGTGTTTACGAAAGGTCCAAGTGCTTGAGAAAGTTACATGACTTGATGATTGAAAACTTAGATGATTTGGCTCGTATCATTACTTGGGAAAACGGTAAATGTATGGCTGATTCTATTGGTGAAATCAAATATGCTGCGTCTTACTTTGAATGGTTTGCTGAAGAAGCCAAACGTATGTATGGTCATACTATTCAACCTACCAACCAAAATAATAAAGTACTTACTTTCAAGCAACCTGTTGGAGTTGTTGGTTTGTTGTGTCCTTTCAATTTCCCATCTGCCATGGGTGCTAGAAAATTGGCTCCCGCTTTTGCTGCAGGTTGTACTACTATCTTAAAGCCAGATGGTCAAACTCCATTGTCATCCCTTGCCTTGGCTTACTTGGCCGATAAGGCTGGATTCCCTAAGGGTACTTTCAATGTCGTGGTTGTTTCTGTGGATCACACACCAATGTGTGGTCTTAAATTCTGTGAGTCATCTCTCATTTCAAAAATTTCCTTTACTGGTTCAACCCCTGTGGGTAAGCTTTTGATGGGCCAAAGTGCACTGACTTTAAAGAAATTGTCCATGGAACTTGGAGGTAATGCTCCAGTCATTATTTTTGATGATGCTGACTTAGACCTTGCTGTTGATCAAGCCATTGCTTCTAAGTTCAGATCTTTGGGTCAAACTTGTGTTTGTGCTAATAGAATTTATGTGCACGCTAAGATCTATGATGAGTTTGCAAATAGATTTGCTGCAAAAGTTGAACAATTCAAGATTGGTAACGGTTTTGAAGAAGGTGTTACCCACGGATGCTTGATTAATGACCGTGCCATTGCTAAAGTTGAAGACCACATTGCCGATGCTGTTTCCAAAGGTGCCAAAGCCATTGTTAAAGGTGGTCGTTTACTTGAATTGGGCCCTCACTTTTATAAGCCAGCTGTTCTCATTAACGTTACTCCAGATATGAAGGTATGTCACGAAGAAACTTTTGGTCCATTGGGTGCGTTAATTAAATTTGAAACCAAGGAAGAAGTTTTGGAATATTGTAACGATACACCTTTTGGGTTATCTTCATATGTTTTCACCAAGGACTTGAACACTGTCTGGTACATGTCAGAATGGTTACAATCTGGTATGGTTAGTGTCAACACTGGTTTGTTCACTGATGCTGCCTTACCTTTTGGAGGAGTCAAGGAAAGTGGTTTCGGCAGAGAAGGTTCATTGTATGGTATCGATGATTACACTGTCATTAAGTCTGTCACATTGGGTAACATCTACATGTGAGTGTTATCACATTGTATTATTTATTACTAAAAAAAAGTAGTTTAGTCAAAATGTACATAAATTTATGAACTCTGTAAATTTTTAGCGGGATTGTACCCAAATAGGAATACGGACCCGAACACCTATTTCCATCACATTGTGCATCTTTTCAAAGCTTCACAATTGAAATCAATATGGTGAGGTTCCCTAGCCTTCTTTTGCAGTCAATGGTTACCCTTATATTTTGGTGATAGTCCATTTATGACCGATGTAGAAGAATCTGACTCCGGGTCCAATGAGTACCCGGAGTTTGCCAGTGTTACGACCACTCCAAGTGAGAACGAGTACGGAGATAATGGTGGCGATTTGTACCAGGTTGTTAACCAGGATGATCTAGAACATGACATCAGCAAGAAGGCGGATCGAATGCTTTTGACAAAAGACCGGGAACAAGATGAGAAACGGTATGAGAAGACACAGAAACAGTACGACAAATGGGCAAATCATGTGAGCGAATTGAAGCGACTGTTAGAACAAAAGTTAGGGTCTCGACTGCTTAAATTGAGTGAACGGAAAAAGATTACCCAGGATATTCGATGGTATGAGGAGAATGAACTTTTGCCATTGATTGAAGACTTGAAACAGATTAAAACTCGTTTGGATGAAACCAACCGGGCTCTATCGGGTGAAGGACAGGGTGCAAATGACGGAGACGATAGACTTCCCGGAGAAACAGAAAGAGATTATTTGATTAGAAAGGGGAAGATTACTGCTTTTGGGAATAGTACTGGATTCCATCAGGAAGATGTGCTTGAATCTGCTGTTGAAAGGAAAAGTCATACCAAACTTGTAGAGCCAGGGTTTGCTCTGACTTATTTAGGAACATCTCACCAGCAGCAGCAGAAACAGCAAAAACAGCAAAAACAAGTGGAGACTGATGAACGGATTAAAATTGAAAATGAATCAGTTGAAGATGAATCAGTCGAAGATGAAGAGTCTGTTAGTGACGAGGGTAAGGTTGATCTGGGATCTGATTATGATCCACCAGACAGTGATTATGAACCAGATGAAGCATATGTGAGTACTGTGGAGGAAACAGATGATATTGAAGTTTCAGAACGCATGGATTTGGACGCAGCTGCCGTCTCCAAATCCATAGAAGAAGAATCCAAAATTGATGACGGGGACGAAAATATCTACCAAGCTCGGTTGAAAAAATGGTGTGAATGGAGATCGTCTTTATCTGGAGCAGCGAATAGAGATTCCAGTCCTGATGAGGCGGAATGGTTTAAGCCAAATCCTAAAACTCCTGATGCTGTGTTAAACAATCAGTTCCGGATTCCGGGCGATATCTATCCTTCCTTATTTGATTATCAGAAAACATGCGTACAATGGCTATGGGAATTGTATCAGCAAAAGACTGGAGGAATAATTGGTGATGAAATGGGGTTAGGGAAAACTGTACAAATTATTTCTTTTATCACAGGTTTGCATTATTCTGGGCTTTTAGATAAGCCAGTGTTGGTTGTGGTACCTGCAACCGTTATGAACCAATGGGTTAAAGAGTTTCATAGATGGTGGCCTCCCTTGAGATGTTGTATTTTGCACAGTATCGGTAGTGGTATGGCTAACAAGAAAGTAGATGAAGCTAAGTTGGAGATGATATTGGAAATGGAAGATGAAGATGACCCAGCCTCTAAGAAGGCTTTCAACGCCATAAAATCAAAAATGAATGCTCAAAGAATTGTCGATAATGTCATGGAGAACGGGCATGTATTAATTACAACTTACGTGGGTTTAAGGATTTATTCTGACCAGATTCTTTCTCGTGATTGGGGTTACGTTGTTTTGGATGAGGGCCACAAGATCCGTAATCCTAATCTGGCTATCACCATTTGTTGCAAGCAGATCAAAACATATAATAGAATTATTCTTTCGGGTACACCAATTCAGAATAATTTAGTTGAATTATGGTCATTATTTGATTTTGTCTTCCCCGGTCGATTAGGTACTTTACCTGTTTTTGAACAGCAATTTGCTGTACCTATAAATATGGGGGGTTATGCCAATGCAAGTAATGTTCAGGTACAAACTGGTTATAAATGTGCTGTTATTTTGAGAGATTTGATTTCTCCATATTTATTAAGACGATTGAAAAAGGATGTTGCTAAGGACTTGCCCAAGAAAGAAGAAATGGTTCTTTTCATTAAACTAACAAAACTACAACAAGAAATGTATGAGCTGTTCCTTGCTTCTGAAGAGTTACAAGCTATTTATAAAGGTAGACGGAATGTCTTAATGGGGGTTGATATTTTAAGAAAGATTTGCAACCATCCTGATTTGGTTAATCGAGATATCCATAGGAAAGGTTATGGGTACTACAAGAAGTCCGGGAAGATGGTAGTTCTCAAGGATTTACTCTCGTTATGGAGAACTCAGGGGCATAAAATATTATTATTTTGTCAAACAAAACAAATGCTAGATATTTTAGAGAAGTTCATTGTTGATAGTGTGATATTTGATCCAGCAATGGTTTATTTACGAATGGATGGTTCAACTCCAATTGCTAAAAGGCAGCAATTAGTTGATCAATTTAACAGTACTCCCTCAATAACTCTTTTCCTCTTAACTACTAAAGTGGGAGGACTTGGTGTTAATTTGACTGGTGCTGATAGAGTTATTATTTATGATCCCGATTGGAACCCCTCGACTGATATTCAGGCTAGGGAAAGAGCTTGGAGACTAGGTCAAACTAAAGATATAACGATTTATCGTTTTATGGCTACTGGATCAATTGAAGAAAAGATTTATCACCGTCAAATCTTCAAAACCTTTTTAACGAATAAGATTTTAAAAGATCCCAAACAAAAGAGGTTTTTTAAATTGAATGATTTACATGATTTATTTACTCTTGGTGATCAGTGTGAAAGGGGAACTGAGACTGGTGATTTATTTTTGAATAAAAGTAAAGAAGTGCAATATGACAAGAATGCCACTAAGAGTCGGAAATCCAATCGACTATTCGGAATTGAAAATAGTCAAACAATTGACTCCAATAAAGATGATTTTGAAGAAGTTGCAAAAATAGGTGGTGTTAGTAGCCTTTATGAATATGAGGGTGAGCCAGATAAAGCCAAAGGCAGTGAAGGGAATGAAGATAATCGTATAATGCAAGGTATATTCCGTCAGAATGGGGTACATTCTAGTATTAAGCACGATGATATTGTTGACTCGACGATACAGAATCAAGAGTTATCATTAGTGGAACGAGAAGCAAATAAAATAGCTACTCTGGCTGCTGATGCTCTCAAACGTTCCAGAAGGTTAACACGACGTAATGTTGAGATTGGAACACCAACTTGGACTGGACGGTTTGGTAAAGCTGGGAAAATCACCAAAAAGAGTCTTAGTAAGAACAAATCAAGCAACGACAATAAGTTATCATCACAGCTGATTCTTGCAGGATTGAAGGAAAGATCTCAGAATACCAAAGTACTGAATCTGAGATCGTCTACATTAAATGGCGAACCTTCTGCATTGGAGGATAAGGAAAAGCTTATAGGACGGATTGTGGACTATATGAAAGGATTAGAAGGTAATTTCAGTAAATCACAGGGCATTATAAACGGGTTGCAAATACACTTAAAAGATGATCAGGAGATAATGGTAATGAGGGCTTTACTTCGGCAAGTATCGAACTGGGATATCAATCGGAAAGGGTGGGTTTTAAAGTCGGAATTTGTTTGATTCCTTTGCAATTCATTTTAAATTAATTTATGTTAGAATATGATTAAAATTAACAGAAATTGGTGCAAAACTTTGGCGTTCCAGTGTAGTTCGCAATACATTTATTAACTCAATTTACAATTTGCAATCGAAGGTGTTGGATGGGTTAGAAAATACTTTTAGTTTGCATCAAGCACAAGTACCTCGTAGTCCAGTCTATATGTACAGTGATGTATGTATGCGGTATTCACCATATGCATGTAACTTTTCTTATTTGAAACTGAGAAGGTATGCACAGTCCGCATATAATTCTGATCATAGTAATAGAACTTTTGATAAATAAAATAACAATACTACACGCATTCAAGGAGAAAAGAAGCCAGGACCGAGATGCATTGTGTAAATGTGCAGTTGGTTGAACTAATTCTTCTACAAAAGAAAAGTTCGCAGATTTAATGCGTATCAAGATAATGACATTACTTAAAGAATTAATATTGCATACCAATAAGCCCCACATATAAAACAAATAGAATAGCATACGATTGAATACCTTTTTCATGAACTATAATATGCTTAGACTAATGACAGATTCAGGGTATGTAAAAAGGCTACACACGAGTATGGGTCCATTTTCACAGGGGGAGAGGAATAATTTGGAATTTGGATAAGAAATAAAATAGCCTGATCGTAATCAAGTTCGGGTGCGATTTCAAGTAACTCCGACAGGGCAGTTGTTCAATTTAAGTTCATAGAGGTTTGAAGATAAATCAGGGGCTCGGTTCCATAATATTTATTTAGTTACGGCTATTGTATGCAGCGGAAAAAAGCATATACTGCATGGAACAGTGGCCACAAACCAAAACGTATCGAAAAGATGCGCCGTCAGAATCAAGTTTGGGGTGCAATCAACAAATACCCCTTAACTCACATAGATATCTATTGGACCATAGTTTCGATGCAGCATGAAGCTACACACGCAATGCATCCAGACATTGATAAGCTATGCGTAAGCTGATTCTTGTTGGAAAAAAAACAAATTCTTGCTTTGATGCAGTCGATTAACCCTTAAAGGTGGAGATTCTATATATATTCTTAATGGTTAACGTATCTGTCAGTATAGCTGTCGATATTTTGTTATTAACAACATAATATCTGGATCATATGCACTTAAGCCTCATCAGTGAGGGGATGCTACATAGGTTGTTGGGGCTATTGTGCAAAGGGCTTTTCCCCTAAGCTCTCGCATGTGTTTTCTGATTTCATAATAGTAAATTTGTAACACGTATGCACCGCGCAAGCAAAGAAGCCTGGTGCAGCTATTATGCTAATGTGGGCTACCGAATTAGGATTATTATAGTAACAGGGATAACAAGACTTCCAGATCCAGAAGATCGCAGAAGGAACATTGAAAACAGGGCATATGACAAGCGAAGGACTTTATTCTGAATTTATTGTTGGCTGTCAAGCAAAGTTAGCTTGATTGAAATTTGTTGACGAGTCTTTTATTAAGCCTCTTCGGGCTGCCTTGACTTCTGTGCTATATGATCCACACGAGCACTCAAAAAGTTACCAAGTAATCATGCATTATGGCGGTAACTCCGAATTTTCAATATATTACATGGAAAATGCAACTTCATTCCCCAACTGATGTGATTAATCGTGGCTCCTTGCCTAGACGAGAATACACTGTAGAGGTAGGAAGGCATTGCGGATAAAGCGTGCGAGTTTTCCGCAGCACGTGGATGACGTTAGAAACTAGATGTAGTGGAAAGGGAAGCAGACGTGGGACTAGAAGCGGACCCGTTCCATGTAAATGTACAGAATCAATAAAATTGTCTCCAATTACACTAATCGCCAAACTATTTTTATTGGGAACAAATAGGCAACGCAGATTGTTAGACATTCTCTATCATGAGCTAAACTTGGCAGTCACAATTATGGTTTGTAAAACCGTAAAGGTGACATTTGGGTGTTCGGTTGTTCTCTTTGCGCAGAAAAAAAAAGGATTCTATTGTAATGTTTAGAAAGAGGAAGGCCTCACATTGTTCTAGCCTACATAGTTCATGTACATTGCAGAAACGTTCTCCCCAACTTGACGCAACTTGCACTTGGACAAGATGCACACACCTGGCGAACCTGTTCGGCTTTAGGCTAACAAGTTTGAACAGTAAACGTAGATGTTAGGAGAATGAATAATAGAGATGATGGTCCTCTTATATAGGAGGGGAATGGAAAAACCTCCTCCAATTGTCACACTCAGTACAATAGCTATATCAAGGAAGAATAATCCGAAAAGATCTATACCTTCAAGGGCCCTGTTAAAAAGCTCAGATAATATAAGTTACTAGAATCTGTATGGAAAAGTGCAACTAATACCGTAAACCAAAAAGCACAAGTGGAGCCCCCACTGCAGACAATGCATGTGGAGGACATTACTTCAAAGCGGGAAGCGGAATTCGGCATAAAGACAATTATAGACTATTTTTATTTTTTCACGATTATTTTCCTCCCAAATAGGTCTTCACCATTCGATAATAGTTAGTGCATTGCCACCCCAACTTCATCAAAATATATACGACCTCTGTAAACTCCCTTCCTTCTGCGTCGGCACTGGGAGGCTCTGGTCATAAGAATAGTGGATTGATTTTGGATCGATTGTATGGTGTCCCGAGAAATTTAATTACAGACTCGTTGTTTCAGGTGAGACAAAAGCCAACATGGAAGAATTTGCATATTAAGATAAGCAAGCAACATAGCATGAATTGAAGCAGGAACATGATACCTACATACATACATATGTATATTCATGCTGAAACGCCAGAGCGAAAGCCTTGTACATATTGTGGTGTAAGGGAGGATTCAATGCACCGAAATAGGGTATTTTCTACTGTTGCATTAGACTTAAAAGTTATGTTTGGCCTTGATTTGCTACATGAGTTTTCAAAATAGGATGATAAGTAAGAGTTTAATCCATGAGATGAAACGGTTTCCCCGGATTAGGTACCTATTAAAAGCTGTCGTTGCATTTTGGTATTAGGTAGATCTTAGGATACACAATAAGATTATGGAAATATTTCAGGTCGAAACTACCTGAAGTCAGGTATTCATTGGAGTACGTCACGAACAATTTTACGACCCTTCAACAACAAATGTAATTTAAATTAGAAGAAAGGAATAATACTCAGGTTATAATATCCATCCCATCATGGAGTTACAACTCTTGGTACCTTTGATGAAGATAGTTTAAGCTACTGTTATAGGGTAGCGTTCCCCGTATCTAAGGCTAATTCTGTGTGGAAGATTTCATGCAAGTTTTGCTTTTTCTATGTGTCTGTATATATTTGCATATGCATGCACGTATGGATGTATGGTAACATGGGAGAATATATGGTTACATGTGTGGATGGATGCAAAGTCCATATGTACGAATGTAGGTTTTCGTACATAAACCTTTTTTATGTGTACCTGGGTATTCACTAATATAGGAGCGAAATCAATTTTTTTTTAAGCTTACTACAGATTGGTATGTGGCTATAATTTAATGATGATGACGAAGAAGGAATTTTTTTTTTAACTTACAAGCTATGAATAATGGAGTTCCAGGTTGAACGAAAAGGAGAGTTGGTATGCACATAGAGCGGGATCAATAGTCCGCACGCCCTTTTTGTTGTGTGCTCTGCAGGTGATTGTTATGCACAAAGTCGCCATGCACTCCGTTTCATCATAGGTCCTGCATTATGTACGTCACGCCCGCGCGTACCGTCACAGTACTGAACAGTGTTGGCCCACCAACACGCGGAAATCGTAATGTTAGTGCAGGTCACTTTGACCACACAACCCTCACTGCAGAACGCACCATGCGCACATGCTATGCGCACTTGCCCACAACAAAACAATAGCTAGTTGTGCGACATTGCACTAGTAAATAATAGAAGACACGGCGTTGACGTAGCCTGAAGCATTTTTGCATATACAAAAAGTCAATATTATCATCATAATAGTGACCGATACAAAAGAAAATCAAACAACGAAGAAAGAAGTAAAGAAGAGAGAAGCAGTAGAAGCAGAAGACGACGACGACATAAAAAGTGCCTCTCTCAATTAATAACAACCACAGAGGAAAAAGTTATCTCCGCAATTAGCATTCGAATCAGAGATATTTATCCTTATTATTATTTTATGACTCCTCATACTTAGTACATGAATTCTAGGACGCAAGTTATATATTCCATCGGTGATTGTGCGTAATAAACACATCGCAAAATTCGTTTCACATCAAAACAATTATAATAAAAGGGATCGATCATATCGACTACTATTAATCGGACCTCAACTTAGTTCATCTCATACTAGAAAGATCATCCTGTTCCATGTCCAATCAACAATCGCATCTTCAGCTGGTATACCACGATCAGCCCCAACAATACCAGCAACAGCTTTCCAATTACAGAGCTTCTCAACAACTGTATTATAATCAACAACCTCCACAACTGCTGTCATATAGTCAATACTACATGAATTATCAACAGCCGTATTCTGCTTCCGCCCAAACACCGTCAGCTTCAGCGGCTACTGCTGTGACTGCTAGTGGTGCACCTGGAGCTCCATCTGCTGCCTCTCAACCTCCAACTGGTGGCCCGGCTCCAGCATCTTCAGCTGCCCCAGGTGCCTCCTCATACTCATCCCAGTATCAACAAGTTGCCGTTCAACAACAGCAACAGCAACAACAGCCAGATCAGTACGTTGTTAATGCTCAATTTGCAAGGTACCCACTGCTGGCGTACAACTACTACCAAAGTGGCCAACAACCACAACAACAACCAGCCCCACAACAACAACAACAACATCAACAACAACAACAACCAGCCCCACAACAACTGCAACAACAACAACTTCCACAACTGCAGCAACAAGGTCAGCAGCAACAAGGTAACTACAACCAACAGTACTCCGCAGGTCAACAACAGCAATATTACAACCAACAGGCACAACAACTGTCACAGCAACAACAACAGCCACCACAATCAGGTACAGCAGCAGCAGCGGCCGCAGCCGCAGCCACAAGTCTGGTATACTCTCAGTACCCTCAACAGCAAAGTGGTCAAGGTGGATCAAGCACTAGTGGTGGATACCAGGCTACTTCAGGAGCTCCACAATATGTCGGGGTACAATATCCACCTGGAGCACCAGCCAATTATGGATATAGTGGCATTGCAGCTAGTAGTGGAGCACCACAACTGACTGCTTCTTCCACTAGAGCCCCTACAGCTACCTCATCAACAGCTATCACTCAGGATACTCTCAACCCCAACTCGCAATCAACAGTTGGGCAGTTGCAACCTCTTGGGATCCGTCCGAGGGTCACCACCACCATGTGGGAAGACGAGAAAACTCTCTGCTATCAAGTAGATGCCAACAATGTGGCTGTTGTTAGAAGAGCAGATAATAACATGATCAACGGAACCAAGTTGTTGAATGTGGCTAACATGACTCGTGGACGTCGTGATGGGATCTTAAAACTGGAGAAGGTGAGACATGTTGTAAAGATTGGATCGATGCACTTGAAGGGAGTTTGGATTCCATTTGAACGAGCTTTGGCCATGGCTCAACGTGAAGGGATCATTGACTTATTGTATCCATTATTTGTTCGTGATATCAAAAGGGTTATTCAAACCGGGGTTACCCCACAAGCTGCTCAACAAACCAATGCTTCTGCAGTATCTTCAGGTGGGTCAGTTCCAACTCCAGCAACTGCAGATTCAAATACTGTCACCAGATCTACTTCAGGAACAGCTACAACCACCACAAACACAACTAATGCTGCTGAAGATTCAACCAATACATCATCTACAGGAATTGATGCTAAGCAGTCTTCAGCATACTATCAGTCGTACAACCAACAATATTTGAATGGGAATGGTAAAGCTGCTGCTGCAGGTTCAAGTGCTGGGAATGGTGCTTCCAGTACAGCTGGAGCATCTACATCACCAGATTTGAGAAGTCAATCTCAACAAGCTGGTCAATATGGTCAACAACTGCAGTATTATTATCCTCAAAATCAGGCTCAATATTATGGATCGACTCAACAACCAGGTACAGCAGCTACGACATCTGCTGCCCAAGGCCAGCAATATTACTACCAGAATGCAGCTTATGGTTACAATCAACCAATGTACTACGGGTATTCAGCAATGCAACAACAGGCTCCAGGACAACCACAACAAGCAGTACAAGCTGGAGCCGGAGGTCAATCTCCACAAACAGGATTGGCCGGTGGTGGTTCAACTTCTAACGCTAATGCAAACGCTGCAAGTGGTGCTTCCGGTAGTGCTGACAAGAAGGAAGATTAAAAAGAGGCGGGACGTCTGAATTTGTTCAACTACTGATGGGGTTATGTTTATGCCATATCTCTTGACTACACAGGGCATCTATAAAAAATGTGATCCCTTGATAGATTTTTGTTTTATCTTTCTAACCAACTGCATAGCTCTGGCTCAATCGACTAATTATGTATGGTGCTCCTGATGGTGAACTAGTTTGTTGAATTTGTTTGAGTTTTATTTTGAGTGCTTGTTCTGTATATGTTGTGGGCTAGGATCCGCCTTATGTCGGTGAGAATTTTTTTTACTATTATTAAAGATGTAATTGCCGAAGCAAAATAATGTAGATGGTGTATAGTATGAGAGGGGTAAATATTTGCAACCCAGAGGGTATATTTCGCAACCGATTTGCATGCACCTTAGCATTGACATTGGATTTTTTGATAATGACACATTTCTATGCATTGAAGCTTGCATTTTACTTGCAGATATGTGGTGCAGGTCGCGGAAGTATGGTTAAAATACGTGCGCGATACATACACACGATCTACGTGGAAGCATGTAGAGGGACAGCGAAAGAAAAAGATTTGTCACTTGACTATTAAGGCTGATAGAGAAATAAGATATTGCGTGGAGAAAATTAAAGTAACACCAAGCGACTACCAGAGAACTCAAAAATACAATGAAATGAACAAAAATAGCCATTTACGCAAGGATCGGCTCAATTGGAACTCAAGTTATGACAGTATATTTGTACTCTTCGTTTGAAACGTGAATTTAATAAAGCCAAAGGCATTACTAACTCATTCTATTATCATGATAAACCCGAAATAGTATACTAGACATATAAGGAACATACATACACACACACTCATATATATATATATATATATATATGTATATATGGATATATATGCATGCTTCCATACATTTACATGCTTACATGTACAACAAAACACATATGCATACACATATGCATACACACAGTGTGCATTGGCACATATAAAAAAATTAATATTAATTAATCATTCTTCTTCTCAGCAACTGGTTGAATCTTGACATTCAATTCGTCATAGCTTCTTTGTAAACCGTCCAACTGCTTCTTAAGGGTAGCGATATCTTGCTTCTTTAATTCAATTAATCTTTGATACTTTTCTCTTTCAGATTTGTTCTCTTCCGTACCCTTTGCTAATTTCAATTTCATTTCTCGGATATCACTAATCTTTACCACCAATTTATCAATGATAGTCATAACAGTGAAAATAGCCATACCAAGATATAACACGGCTCCACTGATATATAAATTACGCTGGGAATAAAACTTAGTAGCAAGATGTTCGGGTGTCATTTCTCCTAAGCCTAAGCTCCGAGTATGATTATGAAATCTGGTTAACCGATTCCAGCAATCAAAGAATTGAAGAAGCATAAGGCAACTAACAAAGACAATCCCCACTTTAACGTTAGAGTTCTTCCTCAATCCTTCGTATACTTTGACGATATTCTTTCTCACTACATAGGGAGAAGGTAGTACGAGAATTGTAAGTATCACCATTTGTCCAACTAGGACGGAGAATACTAGACTCATTTGAAGACTCATGATGGATGAATATATCTGTTGGAAGGAACAAACGTTGAATAATAATGAAGGAGAGAAGATAATTGATAGGCAAACAAATATACAGACAAGTTTCACATTGCCACTTTAATATAAACAATCACGTGACATGAAAATCCGATGACAAAGCTCTTCCGCCACAATTACTTAAAACGGAAATAGGTGACATAACAGGCATAGTTGGCATGTATACTAATTATTTAAAAGCCATAAACTCTCATAGCATAATGATATGCAAGTATACTAAACAAAATCATCCCAGTAATGATCCCCCAAAACCATGCTAAACTATCAACATCTTGACCAGGCACTATGCAGTTCATACCCCAAAGCCCAGTAACAACATTTATAGGAAGCACAATAGTACCCAAAACGGTAATCTTCCCCAAGACATCATTAGTATCGTTATTAACTTTAGTCATATCAATATTAATCTGAGCCAAGTAGTTCAGATGGAACCTGGCAAGTAGTTTCTCGTAATGCAGTAATGATTGTAACATAGTGACAATATGATCTTGAATATCACTCAAATACATCCCAATTTCATTCCCACTACGACTACCATTCTTAGTCTCACTAAACCTTTTGGAATAACCTCTAATGACATCAGCTTTAGAAGTGAGTAATCTGAGAACAGACATGACCCGTTTCCGACATTCTCCGATTCGTCTTAACATGTCTCCTTTACGTCTCCACCCAAGAATCTTGGATGAAGTAGTAGAAGATGTGTTTGTGGAACGGGACTTTTTAGTACTCCATGATTTAACTGAACCATATTCAATAGTAGATTTGGACCGTTTCATACGATAAAATACTCCGAAATCCCTTCCTAATCCTGTTGGTCCACCTCCCGTATGACTCCCACGACGACGACGTAAAGCACCAGAACCAGCACCAGCCATTACTTGACTAGAACGTTTAGTAGGTTTCCTGCCTCCTGGTGAGATAGGTTCACAATCTGAATCTTCACTTTCATCACTATCATCGTCCAGGTCTATTTCCCCAGAATGCATTTTCAAAATGGAATCTTCAATAGAATTCACCTCCTCTTCAATGCTTTCTATTAATGGAGCAAACGAATCAGTAATGTCATCAACCAACGCATAGCAAAGCCAATCAGCAGAAACATTCAAATACTCTTTCAACAATCTTGCTCTTCTTCTAACATTGATGGGGTGTGGAGTCTGACCAAAATGGAAAGTAATCACAGCATTCTTAAACACAATCATGTACATATTCAAAGGTTGCAATTCACCATCTCTAACCCTTTTAGCTGCTTTCGACTTTAATGATGATTGATCATTATTATTATGATCCTCCAGATTAGTATTATAAGGCCCATTACTTCCCTTCCTGGCAAACCAATTGTAGACCTTTGTAAGTATCCCTTTGTTCTGCTCATCCATCATGTCTTGAAGTTTCTGCATTTTCCTCTCATGTTCCTTTGCCCGTTGCTTCCGACGTTCATAAACAACATCGAAAGATGTGAAACACACAAAATAATATGATTTGAATAGTTCAACTTTCTCACGAGCCTCTCCAAGAAAGATATCCTCTGTGGTTAAAGGATGGATCCCAAAAGTCTTGGATAAAACCTTGATTTCTTCTTCTGTTGGGTCCAAGACATCCAACCAGAAAGGAGTCTCACATTCCTTCAATTCTTCAGTAGATATGGGTAGACTAACGGCTGTATGATCAAAAAGTTTCTCATCCTTCTCGTTATTAATACTAGAGGCAACTGTAGTTGGGGCCATACTTCCAATCATACTAGCATTGGCAAACCCACCAGGCAACGGAGATGCCACAGATAGACCACCACCACCACCAGCAACAACACTTGCACTTGAACTGGTTGTACTGGGAGGAACGGCTGTCTGAAGAGCTTCAACCTCAGGTGGTGAAGTCTTTGAATCTTCGTCTTGTGCACCACCACTATAATGACTAACAACAAATAGGTCCTTTAATTTCGACTCTATAACTTCACTAGTATAATCACGAAGCCTGGTATCATCTGCATAGATCAACCCACTCATGCAAGTCAGATGAATGGTATTCTCTAAATCTTCTCTGAAGTAAGTGAACCTCCCACTCTTTTTGTTGTTGAATATCAAATTTGTTTTCGACTTTTGCCAAGGTTGAATGGGGGTTGGTCTGATTCTTGAAGTAGGATAGTGTTCAATCTCGTTAACTTGTTTACTTTGCAACAGCGGTGGAGGTGGAGTTGTGGTAGGAGATGGACTCTTGACTCTATCTAAGAGATCTTTCCGCTTAATTAATGAAGGAAATGCTTCGACTTCATGGGGGGTTTTCGGGTGAATGACTGTTTCATCATTGAAATTCACTTGTCTATTGGGATCAGAATCGATATCATTATCTTCATTCCCCTCCAGACCTTCTTCGTCTTCTAACTCTTGTGCGTATTCATCAAACTCTTCTTTAATGAATTCAGTTAACACGGTCAAGTCTGGCCATTCATTATACAGTCTTGCAGCAGCATCTGTTCCCGGTTTCGGATGATAATAGTCATCTATGAAAACATCATCAAGTGAAGTTGAGTCCAGTGAGTGATCAGATGAAGGATTCGATTCTCCAAACTCTAAAGAGTTCTGATCTCCAACGTTTTCACTATCAGAGCCAAATCTCTCTCCAAAATCATACATATAGTTATCATTGGCCCCGTTATCAAAGCCGATCATCTCATCATCAAAGGGTCCAATATTATTCTCCAAATCCACGTCGGGATGGAAGGGGTCATGCCATCTATTGGTTCTACTATGTCTCCGACTTCGTTCAAAGCCATCCATATCTAGTATAACATCGCCTCGGCCACCCAATGATTCTCCAGCAATAGTGGACCGTCTACTGATTTTTTTTCGATCACCACTAACACCACCGCCACCATTCAAAGCCTTTCTAGTGGGAACATTAGCTATCAACGGGGCCTCGTCTTTATTTTCTTTCAACAACAATTGAAGATTCTTATCCGTTAAAGGCAATTGACTGCTTCTTCGTCCTCTACCTGGAGTATTCGTAGAGTCGCTACCAGGCGTAGCAAAATAACTGTTGCCTTCTTGAGCTCGTGAAAGTAGGGGAGTATTCTGATCTGCTGCTACTGAGGGTCTTCTACCTTGGAACAGTTGCCTACCAGATGATAGCAGTAATCTTCTTGAGTTTAATCGTGGCAGCCCAATTCTCACTCCCTCAGCACTTGTACTCAAGGGGGGACCCTTGGTTAAAGGCGATTGACCGCCGGCACCTTCATACATTCTGTGATCAATAAGACTGGTATCTTCAGGAATATAAGAGGTTCCCTTCCAACTATTATTGGATTCGTTATCTATGGACGCCAGATAACGTTTAGACATTGTTTCAGGGATCAAGTAAAGCTCAGTTCAAGTAAGCTCGTTCAAATAAAGTTCACCTCAAGTTAATGTATTGCTCATTCACGCTCTTTTCTTATTGGCTGATACCAAAAAGGCCACTTTATATGCTCAATCGGTTACCCTCGGAGCTTGCTTCATGAACTCCGACCGGATGCAAGTAATGATGTCAACAGTTTGCTCCTCATAGGAACAGAGTGCGTTCTTATGTTTTAATGGGTGTTCTCATACAGTTTATCGTTGCCCGACTTCTTATTGATCTTGGTGCTGTACGCAGGAATGAAAAGCAACTTCAAGACACCCTAACACCGGTATTGCCTAGGAATTGCCCTGTTCATGTCGGGAATGTTCCGTAAAGAGTTGCGATTTATTGATATTTGTGTAAAGGAATGTATAGAAGAACAAAAGCATGCATGTACGCTTGTTGTAAGTTTGTTATTGCATTACACAAGACAGTAGTGATGTCGTGTGATGGTAATGTATCACGTGATCAAATTCCTAGTGATAAACGTGAAGAGTCACATGACTTACTCCGAATATATTCTTATTTATAGTACTGTGAATAAAGTAGATTAAATAAAACCCTAAGTATGTCCTCTATATTTATCTGGTGCCTCCCATTGTAGCCAGACTCCAATTATTCGTCAGCATCGCTAACATCTGTTTCATGCTCAGTAGTCGTAGAATGAGCAACAGTATTATTGTTTAGTCTTACTCTTTTAGATCCCACAGTTGGACGGGACACAGACTTTATGCTTTCAGCTTCTTGCAGTAGCAATTCCTTATTAAGAACATCTTCAAAATCGTCTTCATTGAAATCACTATCATCATTATCTTTAGGCGCTGGTGTATTCTTAGGAGCAGGAACAGAAGTAGTACCGGGAACAGCAGCAGCAGTTTTGGTACCATCAAGATCATCAAGTGCCAGTTGAATCAAATCTTTCTTACTAAGTAATAAATTCCACACATCTCTCGTTAAAGATATCCCCTTTTTACCTGGTTTCTTTTCTCCTGAACCTTTGTCGACGTAGAATTCCCGAATATCAACTAGACTCATACCGTTATATTTTCTAACCGTAACTTGTTTTCTTGAATCCAATGGAATAACAGCTGCTGTTTCTGTTGATCCCAATTCACCAGCTGGCGGTTCATTGGCCTTATTATACTGACGATAGTTTTTTTTATACGACATGGTTGACGAATAAGTTAAAGACTAGTTAAAGTAATCTCCTGTTATACAGTGCAGTTCTAATATTAATTCGGTAAGGTATAGGAATTTCGAGGCGCTCGGTTATATCCTCGTAATTCCACACATCCGAGGTTAAATATATTATAATTAACTTACGACTACTAATAGAGTCCACTTTTCCAAGTTTCATTAAGATGAGGGCCAAGTAGTTTCTGGACCTTTGCAAACAATTGTTCATCCTTTTCGACATCAACACCATTAGCAACTCTCCAGTAACTGTCTAATGCAGCATCCAATTCCTCTAAATCAGATACACCCAATACAATGGAGGTTTTATTAGCAGAAGCTTGTGGCCCTTCAAACAACCATCTCTTTAAGGCAAACCTGGTGGCCAAATCAGCCAATTCTACACCATCTTCCCTTTTTAATGTTTGAGCAACCTCATAAACAGCTTGCTTCAAGTCATTAGAAGCAGGATGGAAGTTATGGGTCTTACCGGACCGTAAAAGACTCATACTCAAAATAGACCCATTCAATAACTTGGTCAATTTGGCATCAGTAAAGAATTCATCTGCCTTTGCAAAGAGACTTGTGTTCTGAAGACATCCATGGGAATAAGATAATATGGCGTCTAATTGACCAATCTCAGGCTCAGTAACACATTGAGTACTTACCTTTAAAAGCAAATCAACAGGATATCCACTAATGCCAAAGTTCCGGATCTTACCTTCATTCTTTAACAATTTCAATTCCTTCAAGGCTTCAAAGATTTGAGGCTCTTCAACAAATTCAATATCATGCATGTAAACCAAATCAATATAATTTGTGCCTAATCTTTCCATTGATCTTTCAACACTTTGACGAACCCAAGCTCTGCTGTAATCGAAATCATCCAATTGGAGTCTTCCGGCTTTCGTACAGATATAGTATTGATCTCGAGTAATACCTTCTTCGGCAGCTAATTGTTTCAATGCTTTACCTAAAATTTCTTCTGAAGGTCCGTAATATGGTGATGTATCTATAGCATTAGCTCCCAACAGAAATGCTTTCTTGAGCATTGCAGTTACTGGAAGTTTAAGTGGATCTTCATGGTATTGCGTATTGAAGACAGCTCCTCCAATGATTAGCTTGGGAAGATTGCCAATGGAATAAGGCAAGACCACTGCTCTAGGCCCTATGGCTTTAGCCAATGAACTCATTTGATAGTGTTAAAGGTTGAAAGGCGGAGGTTTAGTAATGGCCTTGATATAAGCTTTTGTTAGTGAGTCTAATTGTATCACGTGATACCATTGGGCGATTTGTAGTTGAATCCTGTGACCACACTGAACATATTTTATGTAAGTCCACGCAAAAACGTCCACGATGCATAAATACTTCTATAAATACACATACACATACTTACGTTTACAGATACATGCATATACATAAGTCACATATACATACACACACACATACACACACACATACACATACATTCATTTACATATACATACACATATACCCTGCAATAGCTTATTTGTACTTCGATTTCGCAGCCATTCTAAAACAAATCATCTCCTTCTATCAAATAATTCCCAGGAACTAATCCTACTAAGCCTTGACGATCCCCAGCATTAGGACCTAGTTCACAGAAGAACCAATTATCTTCTTGTTTATGAATAATGTAAAACTGCCATCCTTTCTTGAAGAATATCTCTTGAGATTCTTGAGGTTTATAACCGTATCGAGCCTTTGCTTTGGTTATATATTCTTGACCAGAATGGGGGGTTAGCTTTTTAGTTGTGGTTCCAACAAGGGCATGCAAATCAGTATATGATTTAGTAGTTGTTTGCAGAAGTGATTTTTGACGATTGGAAGCTGGAGGTGCAAGAGTACGGAATTTTTGAATGGGTGAACCTTGTGGGTTTGCCGCCGCCGCTGTTGCTAAATTAATTGTAATTGGCTCTTCTTCTTGATCTTCAAATCTAGCAGGTGATTTAAACCTCAAAGACCCGTACCTTATAGCCACTTCATTACTATCGTTAATGAAATCTGATGGAGGGAATTTGGAGTTTATAGATTCCAAGTTTTCCACAGACTCATAAAGTCTTGTATCTCTTTGTGAAGGTGGAGGCAAAGATTTAGGTCTAGGACGAGGACTGGCTTCCGCCTTTCTTTTTTCATCACGATCAAGCTTCTCTTCATTTGCACGACGTACTGACCGTCTATATCTTGTGATATCACCATTCCCCCCAGTACTAAGATCTTCCAAGGCTTTGGCAATAAAATCAATGGAGAAATCTTTCATTATGGGAACTCGTTGTGGAGATTTATTTGTCGTTGTAGCAGTAACTGTATCAGCAAGTGCAACAGGTGGCTTTTCAAACTTTTGTAGTTTATCAGCTGCTTCTCTTATTCTAGTCTGAGCTTGAGCAGTTGCTGCTGCTGAAGCTGCATTACTAGTGGACATATCAATCTTAGAACTTTTCAATTGTGCTCTGTACTTTGAATCTAAGTCGTCTTGGACCAGAGAAATGTAACTAGCTCTACGACGAGGTGAACTCCACGTTCTTTCACCGCCTGACCCAGTAGAATAATTCAGTCTGGGTCTGCTTCTTGTTGAATGGTCTAGTTGGGGTCCATTAGACTTCAAATTGTCATTCAAGGGTATCTTATCAACCACTTTCACTTCACTTGATCCAGAATTTTGAGTACCGGATGTATAGTTAGTTGGTTGGGATCCACCTGAGTCATTCAAAGGATCTTCCATATTGGAAAATACATCTGCACTATCATGAGAACGGGTGCCATTATAGTCATTGACTCTTGAAGGTTTGGGAGCAGGAAAATGGGGAATATCAGATTTTTTATTTAATGCAAAACGTACAGGTTGGTTTGTAGTCTTACCCATTTCTCGAAGCTTTTGTTCGTAATCAGCTTCACTCTTCATTGTTGGTTGCTTTGGTTTGAAGTCTACATGAGTGAGTGTACGAGGAGATCTCGATCCATGATCAAGTTTTGGTAAAGGAGAATCTTTCAAAGTTGTAGTAGTAGTAGTTGTTGTTGAAGTGATGCTTTTGGGTTTGTAAGGTTGATACTGGACTGGAGGTTGGGGTATATTAGTCATCTGCTGAGTTCTGTGTGGAGTTCTGTGCGGAGATGACGGTGGATGTTGGTTTGTTCTTTGCGGAGATTTTGATTCTGGCTGTTCTTTTTGAACTTTATTTGGCGAAGGATGTGAATACATTGAATAAGTTTTAGCTAAGACAGCAGATTGGTCAGGGTCTTCAAACTTAGCAATAGCATAACTATTAGTATTGGGATTACTATCTTGATCATAGCCATTATAATAATCAATAAATTCCAATTCTCTGGGGATTTTATTCCCAGTGCCATTTTCACTTATAAATTGAGCAATACCTTCTGAAGGCAGTGTTTTAGCAAATCCAGACCTTGAAATATCAAGTGTTTGATCATTATCAACACATAAAGTTGCAATGTTATTTAAGAAATTGAAACATACGATTTTGCAAACTTGAAGACGTTCAACCTCCAATGTGTAAATGTCTTTCAAGGCAATTGACCAATCTCTTATCCAAATGTCATTAATTTCTTTATACCGATTTAGTTCATGTTGATAAGCTTTTTCCGACTGTTTAATATTGGAAGTTATTTTTATCAATTGTTTTTGGTGCTTCTCTTGTTCCTTCCCCCAAGTTGTTTGAATCATTAACTGAGTAGAGCGAATCTGGTTGCATTCAGTAGCATATTTTGATTGGGCAGCTTTAACGTTCTTGGAACACTCTTTCTTTTGCAGCGAAAGTTTATTCATATGATGAAAGACTTTGGAAGTAGCTCTCAGGTATAACTTGGAGAAATCAACCAATTTCTCATAGTTATGGATTTTAATATTATCAACAAATTTGGCTTGATTCATTTTAACCATGTTGATATTCTCCACTTGGAATTGAACCAACAGAGCTTTCAATTGGCCAGATTCCTTGGTCCCAATTTCGATTTTATTATTTAACTTATCCAATTTCTTGGAGTACTCCATCTCCACTCTTAACCTCTCTTCGAAATACGTCACCAACTCATTCAAGGTAGTAATGGCATCTTTAATCTTACGGTGAATCACCTTGTAGCCAGCATCGTTAGGGCCCCAGAAACTATTAACAAAGTTAGGAGCTGCAGTAGCATTCTCGCCAGCTTCCGGTCCAGTGTCTTCTCCGTGCTGGTATCTATGAGGCGACAGCTCCGGAGAATGAACATGTCTATGATAATCATGACTCTCAGCAGTAGACATTGTACAGCGATACTTATTGTGTAGTTAAGTACAGCTGTATTAATGGTATCCTATGGTGTTGTGGTGTCGAGTGTTATATGTTTTGAAGCATCACCTTTATGTACACATTAAATTGAGTTGAATTTATCCGGTGAAGTTTGTGTTGTGATTATTATGTGACAGTCTTTGCAACAGTTGAAGGAACGTATACAAGCTTTGATGTTTGTTTTGATTTGGTCTTGAAACGGCAAGTCGTCTGGAGTGCGTCATAGAGTTCCGTTAAGGGAAGGCTATGTCGCAAATTTAAACTTGATACTGTAGCGGAATGGAATATGCTTTATATGATCCAGAGTTTACTCTATTAATGTCGATATCACTTTGAGCTATTACATGAGAGCTTATCTATTCCGTGAATCCGATATAGAGTCATGCCGGAGTCATGTGTGATATTAGTAGTACATTGATTGAAATATGGTATACCGTGCATGAGATGCGAAGATTTCATTAAACCCTTTTTAAAAACCAACCTTGTAAAAGCCACGCTTGGGATAACCAAGTACCCCTGATCTATTATTTGAGAAATCATGTAGCAAACCACAGCGAGTAATCAAAATAAAACCCAATACTATTTTCGCCACTATGTTCATGTTTTCGTCAGGTGCAAAGTATTGAAAACTACCTATTGTTGAATAAGTATATGACAATACAAACACTTCAAATATAGATATAGTTGCCTTTTTAAAGAAATATAAATTTAGTATATTCTATTGTATACTTGAAAGGTGATTATTTTTATGTTTTATGTCTTCAGAAATAACAGTTTGTAGATTATGAAGACATAGATTCCGGTTCGGAGAGGCCATTGCCCATTCCCAAATGATCCCATATGATACATGAGTCCATTTCTACAATCCTACTACTAAAGAGATCAAGCACAAGAGTCTTGGTGTGGGTAGTTGGTAGCGAGACAGATATTTTTCCTTGGTTAAGTTTGAAGTGCTAAATGAAAACAAACGTTAACAAACGTAAACAAGAGAGCGCAAAAAGGTTCAGAAAAGAGGAAGATAAACGAAGTCTGGGGTGACGAGAAATGTCGTACAAATAGACATTTGTGGAGGTCCAAATGAGGATTATATTAATGGGCAAAGTTTGCTAAGGAGAAGGTAAACCTTTGAAGAAATATTTTTGATGTTGCTGTGAGATAAAACAAATGGTCGTGCGCCTAACAAATACAAACAAACTAGCAGATTTAGAAGTTAGCAATTAGTTTTGCATATTGCATGGTGAAGTAGGTATAGAGAAGTTGAATAGAAGTAGTATACGCTGGCAGGCAATAGACGGATAGCAAAAGCGGTCGATTTTTGCGAAATTATAGCAAGGAAACAAGATACATTTGCAAAGGACCAACACGGATGAGAAATAGCATATGAGGTAGTATAAGAGGTTGTGAGTGAGAAGATGAATGGAAGAGAAAACATGAGATTAAAAAGTGGACGGCTAATGACGGATGAAAGATGGTGACACTGTAAAGTACCGTCTTCCGGAGTATATTCCGTACAAATTGTGTACGGCTGTTGGTTCACGGGCACCCATGGCTTTCAGATCGGGCATCCCAAAAAAGACGTGCTCGGATGCATCCGACCGGTGACACAAACCTCGATCCGATTGCCATAATATATAGGCATCTTGAAAGAGATTTAACTACATATATAACTATGGATATACGTTAAGCCCGAACAAGCCCGTCATACTTAACAAGTCATAATCAATAAGTTGTCCTTAATAGTTCAGTAATAAGCTGTCATAGTCAAATCAAAGCATACCAGTTAGCATTAGTATGGGCGATGATCAACCTACTGGGTTTAAAGCACGTATAAAGAAATATAGAGAGTCACATAAGGCATTCCATTGGCTACTAAATGTATACGAGTTTCTATTGAGTCAGTGGTTCTTTTGTCTTCTAGGAGTGTTCATTGCATTAGCGTATGAGTTTCCAAACTTTGCCAGACAAGGAGGGTTGATCAAAGGTGAATATACAATTGGCTATGGAGCAGTGGCCATTATCTTCTTGATTAGTGGACTCTCAATGTCTACTAGAGATTTAATGGTGAATGCATTACACTGGAGAGTTCATTTCACCGTGTTAAGCTTATCATTTCTAATTACTTCTTCTATAATTTACGGGATAGCACTGGGGATCAAAGCCGCTAATGACGGTGAAATAGACCCTTGGCTTTTGGTAGGGTTAATAGTAACTCATGCTTGTCCAACTACGGTTAGTTCAAATGTCGTCATGACAAGACAAGCTCACGGAAATGTCGTGCTCACCCTATGCGAAGTGTTTATAGGTAATGTGCTAGGAGCATTCATTACCCCAGCATTAGTCCAAATGTATTTAACTGGAACTTGGGAATTCGGGAACCCTCTGCATCAAGTCTTAGCCGCTCAAGATGTCCAAGTTTCTATTGGTCAATTGTATAAGAATGTCATGAAGCAAATTGGTCTTTCGGTGTTTGTTCCATTATTTGTTGGTCAAGTGATTCAAAATATCTTTCCTAAACAAACCAAATGGACTTTAACCACTTTTAGATTGAATAAAGTGGGGTCCTTTATGCTTTTATTGATTATGTTTCTTTCCTTTTCCACAGCATTCTATCAGAATGCCTTTAATGATGTTAGTCATGTTTCAATCATCTTTATTTGTTTCTTTAATGTGGGGATCTATTTATTCTTTACGGTGCTAAGCTTTTGCTACAGTCGCCCAAGATTCCTATTGGCTGTCTTCCGTGAACCAATCACAGAATCTTCTTCAAGATTATACAGATATTCCTACAAGTTATTCCGCCCCTTTTACTACAATAGAAAAGATACGGTTAGTGTGATGTTATGTGGCCCAGCAAAGACCGCGGCTTTGGGTGTATCTTTGATTAGTTCTCAATATGGCGCCCATAATCCGAATTTGGGGATTCTTTTGGTTCCCTTGGTCTTGTACCAAGCAGAGCAAGTGATGACTGCCAATTTCTTGACGCATCTTATGAAGAAATGGGTGCTAAATGGAGAATTGGAAGATCAAAAGTTAAATCAAGAACTATTGGCTGCACAAACTGCAGGCAAGATCACAGATGAGGAGGCTACCATTGGCATAGAAGAAGAAGAACAACCCCATGATCAAGATACATCATCTACCCGAAGTAGATCCAACGCAAGCATTAGTGATGACGTTCCATCGAAAACATAATAAATCAATGATTAGAACTGGGTCATCATGTATAGATAAATGTTCCGAAAGGTGTCACCTATCATGACATGACTTTTGAAATCATGTACGATAATGCGGTACTACTGCATGAGATAATTGGCAACCCGAGAAACAAGTACTGTAATAAATAGGCACGGCGCATAAGCATGCACTAATGAAAACCAAACTTATGCATAAATAAAAGATACATATACATATGAAGTATGCTAAATATATAGTGATTACGAGTGCAATGCTTATAGGTAAACATTTTGTCCCCACAAGTTCATACAGTTAAACCGGCACAATTGTGCGCATGCATACAATAGATAAGAATGCAAATGACGGTTGGCCTTACAATAATAGTAAATATCCTAATAATAATAGTAATAATAATATAATAATAATATGATGCAAAACAGAATGTCGTGCAATCAATCAAATACTGCATCCAGCTCATATTGCTTATCTCAACTAGAGTATGTTTCGTACTTCGATAACCACTAAGTGTGATTACATGTTAAACTATTTATCCATAAAAAATACATAAATACATATCTTTAAACACACATACATAGGTGTAAGCACACACACATGCAATCTTCACACACCAACATACATATACATATACATATACAAACATGTATGGAATTCGTTTCTAAATATTCTTGATCATTCATTCATATGTAGACGTATACGCAGAACCCACATATTTTTACCGCGCTACCACATGATAGGCGGATTGTCCGGTGCGGTGCGGTATAGAGTAGTGGGCTGGGCCACACACCACACAAACCACCTCACCTTTTGATTGATTGGAATGATCGACTCAATATTAAATTATAGCTTGCTAACTATATTTAATCCGCCACCAGTATAAATTCTTTAAAAAGTATTACAGGCCATTTAAAATATTTGCTTGATTTGGTCTTGACCCTAAAGCCTCCTTTATCAACGTCACAGTCGGCCTAACTTTCCTCCGGGGTCCTCTCTTACGTATAATTACTCACCGCCACCCCCCTAAGGTGAGTCAAACAAAGCTGTTGGAACAACCTTCACGCGGTATTAGACCATTTAGGCTACGGAAGCTCTTTTATCAAACTGTCAAGGGCCTTACAAGGGCCTTTCTATGGTGACGGAACCCATTCATTGAACCTCAGACATATTTTTAATGATGTCTTCAAATATGACCAGTCACATGTTACCTATCACAACCACAAATGGTAACACCTCCACAACAACCACTTCACCAACATCAGGAACAGGCACAGGCACAAGTACAGGTACAGGTGCCTCATCTACAACGTCGACGACAAATCAACAAGTTGTTGCTGCTGCTGCTGCTGATATGTATGTTGATGTGCTGTTTAGTCCCAATATCCAATCACAACTCTTTGGGGTCCACCAAACCTCCAATCTGCTGCCAAAAATGATGCTGTTATCGTCCCCCATGATGGGTTCGAACCCTGGTCATCATATCAAGGTTAAGCCACCATATTCTCGTAACAAAAATATGAATGAACCAGGATATGTTTTTACTCCCTCACTGCCAAACTACACCAATAGCAAGTTAGCAGATGGTAAATCTCCAGCTCTTGGAAACTCAGCCTTATTATGTGGTGACTTGCCTTTAACAGATGCTGATTTGGCAGTGTTGGATTCAATTCCAATCGATAATCCAGTATCTGAAAGTACTTTATGGAATTCAGATGGTAATGGGAATTATATAACTGATATTGGTCCTCTGCAATTGATTCAATATCATTCTTATGCTCCTAATCAGTTTCGAACATATCAAATGCCATTAGTTGGGTCTCCTATAACTGTTTCGTCGGAAACTAATTCTGCTTTTAATAGTGGTTTAGATATTTCAGAAATTCAGAAGTACGAACCAATGGAATCCCGTTCCATCCCTTCCTTACCTTCTCAATCTTTCTCTCATAGTTCCTCCCAAAATGGTGCTAGAGTAAACATCAATTCAGAACCCAATAAGGATTTACAAAATGTACCTTTCAATCACCAATCCCCCCCACCAAATAGCAACCAAGGTCAAGGAAATATGTTAGAGTTTGACCCTTCTAAGTACACCAATACGGTTGGCCCAAACACTAGCGTCGTGACTTCAGATCAGTATCAAGTTCTTTCTTCAAGACCAAGTGGTGTGATTTCTCATAACACTACTAACCAAACTTCTCCCCAGTTCTCTCCAGTGGCAGGCTCACAAAGACAATCATCCATATCATCACTTCCTATAGATCAATTAAACTTGTTGAGCATCCAAGCTTCAAAATCCCCTTCTCCAAATGATTACGTGTTTTCCTCTGGCCAAGTTGCAATTCCAAATTCAAGTAATGGCAATAATAACTCCAATAGTGTTACTACCAACTCCAATACCAACACTAGTACCAATACAACCCCTAATCCTAATACCTACTCTGATAACACCATCAACCCCAAAAAATTATTCCGTTCCCATAGACTCATCTCCACATCACTTTCATCTCCAAGTTTAACCACGTTGTTTAAAGATTCAATTTATTCTATCCAGAATCATTACCCTGGAGGTAAAAGATATTCACAAGGCAGCAATAATCAAGGCAATCCCATTGTACTAAATGCAAATCATAATTCAAACCAACCAATATCGTTCCCTGCAATTTCCAATTTACCATTAGTCACTTCAACTATTCCACATGGTGTCAATCCGTCATCACGCTCAAGCTCAACTTCTGCAAGCTCTTCTACCACAGTTGGAACAACAGATACTGCAATAACAGAGATCATCCCACCTGCGTCACTTAACATGAATGATGAATGTTTCAACGCTATCAGTTATTGGTTAAATAATAGCGATAACGATGAGAATAATATGATTCATAATCCAACTGGAGTGATGATGAATCGTAATCTGACACTAAATAATGGAATGGGTCAGAATTATTCTGGACTCAGCAATTCCACCAATACAAAGCAACGTCGGAATTCTATTCAATCTTCGAACCCCTCCAATTATATCAACCATAATTGGTATATTCTGAAACGAAAACGTAGAAAGTCATCTACCAATGGAAATGGTATGGAAGATCGTCAGCAGGTGAAAGACTTGCTTCTTTCTCTGCAACAGAACTTGCAAACACATCCTCAAACTTCTGAAGAAAATGAGGAGTCTAGTATTTTCATCTCCAATGGAGTTGTTTCTAATGTTGCCAACGGCAACTCATTTGAACTGAATTCCTTTCCTATCACTAATCATCAGAGATCCAACTCACTTAACAACCCCAACTTGAACACTTATTTGATTGAAGAACAAGATGGAGAAGGTATTACAATGGCAATTGACTCACCACAACCTCATATACCGAATGAAAATGAAATCGATGCAAATGCTTTGTCCTCAAACCAAACAACTGATATGATACCACCTAGAGCATCATTGAATGGAGTTAATGGCAATCCAGGATATGCAAAGACCATTTCCAAAGGGGCTACGCGTGCAACAAAATCAGACTCAAAAGATAATTATAAACCTGTTGTAGGTGGTGTACTTGAAAAGCAGGCTATTCAATTAGAAATCACCAATTCAGCAACAAATACAACTACCACAGTTACGGTTATACCTCATGGATCTGGCGACAACATTATATTTGGATGTCCACTGTGTGATAAGCAATTCAAAAGATCAGAGCATTTGAAGAGACACCACCGTAGTGTTCACTCAAATATCAGACCTTTCCATTGCACATTCTGTGAAAAGAAGTTTAGCAGACTGGACAATTTGGCTCAGCATTTGAAGACTCATTACAAAATGGGAGCTAACAGTGGACCAGGAGGTCGTAGACGTAAGGAATCAGTTTGAACAGGATAGATTATTATTGAAGGGAGTATAAGTTTTGGCATAAGGTATGGTGCATTATTGGGAGAATAACTGTTGAAATAAGACATGATTTTTTCTCTTTCTTTTTTGATTGATTGATTTTATCCACAAGATAATGCTATGTTTCTTTGTATTCTATTCTTTTTGCATTATTAATGGTTATATAACTCTATGTTAAAGGGCTTGATGAATTTTGTTGAGGATATTCTTGGGTGCCTCTTTCTTAAATATGATTTTTATAAAGCAATTGGATTTGCTTTTTATATTGATTTGAATCCATTGAATTTATGGTGTAGTAGAGGAAGCTCTTTGATTCAGCTTGGTTTGTCTTTTGTGTCTTGAAGAACTAAGACATAGATTTTTGTGTTTAGTGGTGATGGCTCTAATTTCTGAAAGCTTCTTAGCTCTCAATATAGGATCGTACATATACTGTGGTCTTACAGTATTGTAATCACACTTCAAAGATAATCTAGTACATTGACCGCATTCTGGTCTATCTTCAGGACATGCTTTATGTCTAATTCGACAAGTCCAACAACCAGATTTTGAACGCACCCCTTTCTTTTTAGCAAGTAACACTGGTTTTTTAACCCTACCACCAAATCGACGAGTTCTTCTATTGGTAATTTTGGATGGTTTAGTGGAAGGAGGGGGGCTCTTTTTTTTGGGAAGACGACTTTTTTCAAGTTCAATTGAACCACCCATTGTACTTTCCTGATCTGTATATATGTCAGCTGAGATGGTAACACTTTTACCGTTCTGCCTTAATTTTGTTGATGTTTCAATATCAGCATATAGTTTAGCTCTTTTCACTCTTCGTGGAATTCGATCATCATCATCATCATCATCAAGTGCAGTAATATCAGCAGTAACGTTTGACTTCCGCTTATTACGCTGTGATATTGGTGATTCTAGCAGTTGGTTAATAAGCTTGGATTTACCTGTGGTTAAGGGAGTACTTTGAGACCATTTGGAAGTTACATCAGCAAAGTCATTATGATGATGATCGTGAGTCCAAAACCCAATGTTAGAAGATGAAGAGGTTCTTATATCGGAGTAAATAGCCCTCTCCACATCTAACTCACGGCAATTATAGTTATATTTGGTATAAAGTGGAGAACTCTTGATTAAGAAGCTTGAATCACTTAACGACGTCTTACGAGCACCTTTGGCCCCCAACCCAAGGAAATTAAATGTAAATGAAGTATTCGAACTACTGCTATTTTGTCCAAGACTGCTATTATCGATAGTTTTAGCCTGATCTTTAATGAATATGGAAGGTTTAATCACATCTTCTGTATGAACCAGACGTAAATCAAGACACGGGGTTTGCACACTTCTTCTTCCCGATGATAGTTTATTTTGATCGCTAAACCGTTGACAAGTCATAGGAGGCGTATCAACAGAGCAGTTATTATAATTATTATTATTACTCCAAGTATGTGAACGAGGGATGTTGAGGAGCTTCAATGGCAGCAGTATGTTTGGTTCATCTTTTGAAAAGTTATTCAACAATCGTTCAAACACAATGAAGGAAGGAGTACAATCCGAAAGGGCTGATGACGTTGTTCTTTGATGAGGTGTACTACTACTCATGATATCGATTCTATTAGTGTTTTGATGTGACTGGTAAAATGGCTGCAAAAAAAAGTTTTTTTATATTGGTGCTAGATGTGATACGTCATATAGATAACTGACTCGTTTAGTTATTACTATTGCTTTGAGCTTCGTGCTGTAGTCACCTGCCAAAAACGATAACAGAAAGAAAGTTCAAAGATTGGAATACAAAGTATAAATGGTACGGGGTTGGATGAGTTTATATCTGCATATTTGGTTCAGACACTACCTTGCTGGTTACAACCGTAGATAAACGAAAAATGTGTTTTAAACAATGTAACTGGCAACTTGTCCGAGCGGTTAAGGAGAAAGACTTGAAATCTTTTGGGCTTTGCCCGCGCAGGTTCGAATCCTGCAGTTGTCGTTTATTTTTTTCATACCATATTAATTTTTTCTTCACATAGAATTACCCTCTACTAATTTTATATACCGTGTTCTGTTCTGTTCTGTTCTGTTCTGTTCTGATTGTATGATGATTAACATACCCAAACTTCTTTATGAAGCTGTTGCCAAAGAGTTCAAAGATTATGGAGGTCCATGGCTTTACTACTTGCTAGCACTTTATATTTCATTACCATTGTTAGCATATTACATCATCCCTACACTCACTGCCAATCCGATGAAGTTCACCAAAAGGAAGTCCATAAGTATCATAGTGCTTGGTGACCTTGGCCATTCGCCCCGGATGAGGTACCATGCCCTATCGTTATCCAAATATGAATACGTGGTTAATTTGGTGGGGTATATTGAATCAGATATACCCATTGAAATCATAGATGATCCAAATATTGAACTTTATGATATCAAAATGATCAAGAATCAATTCAATTTACCCTTCGTGGTGTTTGCTGCATATAAAGTCATGTTCCAAGTGGTTAGTATATTTCAATTGTTATTTCAGTTGAAAGGATCCAATTATATAATGATCCAGAATCCTCCTTCATTACCTTTACTTTTGATGGTGGTGGTCTTCACCAAGTTATTCAGTAGAAGAACTAAATTGGTTATTGATTGGCACAATCTCAATTATACCATTTTGAACTTGAAATATAACAATTTGAATCACCCAATGGTCAAGTTCTTGAAATGGTATGAGAAATCTTTGAGTGGGTATGCTGATTTGAATCTAACGGTAACCGAACAGATGAAATCTTTCCTTGTCAACGAATTTAATGTGGAAAGTGAGAAAATTATCACTTTATATGATCGTCCAAACGAAAGATTTCAACCTCAAAAGTTTGGTAATGATGATATACAACAACAGTTCCCCAATATCGATATGTTAATGAGTGGAATCCCAGATAATGAATCGTATAAGATCATTATAAGTTCTACGTCTTTCACCCCAGACGAAGATTTCAATATTCTACTTGATGCTTTGGTCTTATACCAAAAGGATATGCAATCTGACCGACTTCTTCCTCCAATATTGTGTGTTATCACCGGTAAAGGACCCATGAAAGACCAATTTCTTTCCACAGTTCGTCAATTGGATTTTGATCCGAAACAAATCATTGTGAAAAATGTATGGCTTGACCCAGAAGAATACCCTATTATGATCTCCATGGCTAAACTAGGTATCTCTTTGCATACATCTTCAAGTGGGATTGATTTACCAATGAAAATAGTCGATATGTTCGGTTGTGGAGTTCCTGTGATCTCTTTACAATTCCCAGCCATTGGAGAATTGGTCAAGGACGGTGTCAATGGCTTGATAACCACTAAGAATAACCAAAAGCAAGATCAAAGTACCCAAGTCTATCAATTGTTGAAACAAGCTTTAATGGACAACAATCTCTATCAAACAATTAAAAATGGTGCAATGGAAGAAACAAAGTTAAGATGGGATCAGAATTGGACAAAATGTCTTGCAAGTACTTTCAAATAATAGTTATTGTTATTTCATATAATAATCTTGTTGCAACGACAATATTGGGAAATCAATGTATTTATATCTTCCTTTACTTCTTTCCAAACTTCAACACCAACTTGACGATTTCGATCCCGGTTCAATAGAGCAAACTCATAGTCTATTCTATTTTCCATTTCTTGAACCAATACCATACTTCGAGTCAAGTCACCCATAGTTAAAAGCTGCTTAATATAAGCCGCAAACACTTGCACATCATCAGGATGCGGTCCACCTTCTTCAACGGTCTCTTGGATCCATTTTTGTATTTTCTTCTTCATTGATAAGGTAGTAACCTTTTCATTAAGAAATAATGGTGATCTGTTGACAGTGGTTGCCTTAGAATCGATCCATGCTTGAGTGATGGTTTCAACGTCTCGAAGAATATTCTGCTTATCTAATAGCTTTTGCTTTAACGATTCATGCTTGAACTTTCGTGATATTTGTTGGTCCCTTACTACTTCTGCTCGTAAAGAAGATGGTAATTCTTGTAACACCGAGGTATTATAACTTTCATCTTGCCAATTGGGTGGTGATGACGGAGGATTGGATGCTGATCTCTTTTTGGGCAGCTGTTTCCGTATGGCTTTCTTTGTAGGTGACTTTTCAACCACTCTAACATACTCAGGCAGTACTCCTTGTTGATAAGGTATTAATTGCTGAAGGTAAGCTTTAACTCCATTAGGTTTAGTTGGTGATGGTATAACTCCACTAGATTTAGTTGACGAAGTTCGTGTACCAACAGAACCACCTTTAATCTGTTCCAGTTCAAGTTCCAATTGTAAGGATTTAGGAAGACTCTTAAACACATCCCAATCTATTTTATCAACAGAATAATCACTAGATCCTGTCACAGTCCTTTTCCTTCTCTTGCTACCAGCAACTATCAAATCATTTAAATCAAGTGTCTTTTGTCTGGAACGTTTCATAAGTTCGGCGTCTTCTAATTTAGACATGGTCACCGCTATACCTCTTAAATCTTTAATTTGAACACTTGCAATTCGAAATAAAGATTTTAATTCAGATCCAATTATACCCCAATCATTTGTAGCTACTCCTAATCTTGAAGATTTGCTTACAAAATAACACCTTCCCATTCCCAAATATTTAGGAGGATCAATAGGTGCTTCAGGTAAACGTATAGCAAGTTTTAAAGTGAGTTGAGACCCACAGAAACGTAAGCTTATCAAACGAGAATATAATTCTTGTGATAATTGCATCAAAAATTTATCCACTTGATCAACTTTATCAAATCTGATTCCATAATTAACATCAAGAGAAACGGTTTTCCTTCCTAAAATAGCTTCTTTATTGTTTTCATCAAATTCTATGGCTGTGTCATCAATACCATAAGCATAATTCCATATTTTCTTCCCGGTAGCTTTCCCTAGCATAGCACATAGTTTTTGTTCATTGAAAAGTGTCCGTATATGTTGGATCAAAGGTTCTTCAACGTCTATTTCTTGAGCTATTCGTTTTTCAATGCTTCTTCCTACTCCAGGTAAACTCCTAACCAGAACATCTTCAAGAAACCCTTCAATATTGGAGGATAAATAGTATTGACCATTAGGTTTACTCTTTCTCAAGGCAAGCTTGGCCAATAAAACATTATGAGAAGCTCCAATACTTATAGTACATTTAGTCAAATCAAAAATGTCCCTTCTTATAGTTGACATGAGAACATCAACTTCCTTTGCGACTCCAACACCAGATCCATTCGTATTATTTTTATTGACAGTCAGAGTGCAATCGACTAAAACTTCATCAATCAGAACAGGAAATATGGTATCCAAATCATCTCTCAGTAATAAATAATTGTAGAAATGACTGGCATATTCTTCATACTTTTGAAAATCATACCCCAAGCAAACAAGATTGGGACAAAGCTTTCTGGCACCTCCAACCCACATACCATTTTTAATACCAAAACTTCTAGCAACATAATTACAACTGGCAATATCTGAAGTGTTGACACCATGAGAAACTGCTATGGGAGTGGTTTGGAAATCAATGTTAGGGTAATTCTGTGCACTAGCAGTTGCGAAGAAACAATCAAAGTCAATATGTAATATAACCTTAGTGAACAGAGTATTAGTATTTTGCAGATGACATTTCTGTTGCTGAACAATTCTTCTAAGGAACTTTAATCGAAGATCAGCCTTCCAAGTACTCAAATGATGTAACCTAGACTTGGCAAAGAAGCTCTTTAAAAAGTCTGGATGCTTAGCATCAAGAATTCTTGGAGGCTCACCATACTGTTCTTCTATAACCTTTTGTGATTGAGTCAATGGAAGAATCTCAGGGTCTGATTCTATATCATCGGACTTAGAAAAGTCAACATCGAGGTTAGAGTTGGAGTTAGAAAGCTTAGACTCGGACTTAGACTCAGGCTCAGACTTAGAATCAGCCATAGAATCAGACTGAGCCATAGTACATCCAAATGATAACCGTTTCTGAGCATAATCTATATCAGGAATAGTCCTATACGCTTTCCAATCCAAGAGCTTCCCCTCTTGAATACAATCCACTATCCATTGAGCTCTAACCACCTTACAATGTTTGAATTCCACCAGTTTCCGTGGAGTCAACCGATCACAAATTACATGAGTGGCAGCCGACTTCTTAGTCAAATAACTAAGAAATAAACCTCCATGAATGATCATTAATCTATGAAGTTCATTGATAGAAGGGTTGGTATACCCGTTAACATGAAACACCATCTTATTAAAGATCTGAGGTCTTTCTATCCCGTTATTCCGTAACTTATCCCATTCCCGATACTCTTTGTCAGACTTTTGTTGCTTGATATGTTTATGTCGGAAATATGTACCGTAATCCCCAAAACTGTGAACCTTCCCTATATTGTCATCATCATCATTGTCTTCATTGGGGTGTATATGACTAGTCACATTATCACCATGTTCTAGTTGTACATGTCCTGTCTGATTCTCACCATGTTCTTGCGGTATATGGTCATCAAGAATCTCTTCAAGTATAATGGCATGTTCCTGAGTCTGACCTGTCAGATCATCGTCAAGAATCTCTTCAAGTATAATGGCATGTTCCTGAGTTTGACCATCGTTGATCTCAATCGGACGCTCTTGTGTCTGACCTCCTTCAGTCGACAGAACAAAAGACAGGAAGGAGAATTGCTTTAATATTTCTTCATGTATAGGATCATCGTCATGACCTGCCATACCGATAACATCACATTTAGAGAAGGGAACTGGGCTCATGAGTGAAGATGATAATATGGGGTAGATCACGTGACGACAACTGGTGCAACCGATAACTCTAATGTATCAAAGTCGTGTACCATTCATATATTAGGAAGCGTCGGAGTCAGCATGAAATTAGAACGGTAATTACGTAATCAAGTAGTGAAATAGTAGTATACTATATAGCATATTGAGTATACTAGAACATAGCCTCACACAAATAGTCATACAAAATTTAGTAGTGCACTACGCTACAGCTAACCATTAACTACCTATGACTACTCGTACTATGACGTGTAGTATTTAGTAATTATCCGAATTGTATTTACCCTATCCGACTCTCCGACCAGATCTGTTGTATATCCGATCAATTGTAGTTCGGTGCAGAGTTATTCTTAGTAGTTGTCTCAGACTGGTAGAAGCAACATGACACAAAGACCGCACGCCAACTCACGGTTAAAAACATGGCAATAGAACACCCTTGAAGATGATTCAATGATTCGTTTATTATCAGTAATCAATCATGGTATGTGACGGGTCAAATAGAAGAATTGACAGTGGAAGTGTGTGGACATATAGAGGCAGAGCATAGTACTATAGTACCAGCCACAATTATTCTACTGCTACCACTGAATTCTATTATACTGAACCATACCACTGCACTCTATTGTACCGGCGTACAGTAGGAGTGAGTGGCATACTAACCCGTTTAGGCTGAAAAGTTAAGTGAACAACAAATCTCTGAATTCAAGGATGCCTTTTCCTTATTCGATAAAGATAGTGATGGAAAGATCACCGTTAAGGAATTAGGAACAGTCATGAGATCTTTAGGTCAAAACCCTTCCGAATCCGAATTGAGTGATATGATAAATGAAGTTGATGTCAATAGTGATGGATCCATTGATTTCCCTGAATTTTTGACCATGATGGCCAGAAAGATGAAGACTAACGATAGTGAGGCTGAAATTGCTGAAGCTTTCAAAGTTTTTGATAAAAATGGTGATGGTAAAATTAGTGCTGCTGAATTGAGACACGTGTTGACTTCTATAGGTGAAAAGTTGAGTGATGCCGATGTTGATCAAATGATAAAGGAAGCTGATACAAACAACGATGGGGAAATTGATATCCAAGAGTTCACCCAATTATTAGCAGCTAAATAATTCATATATATAGTTATATATGTCTATAGTGTAAACATGTTGATATAATTAGTATAGTATATATAGTATGTATAATATATTATTATCTCCTCAGTGGGGGGGTCCTTTGAGACCTCGTATGAAGACTTAAACTGTTTCTCAAACTATGACTAGGAACACTAGCATTCCTATTCCGGGGATAAGCATGACGATCTCCAATATCGTATAATGAATGTTGACTGTGTAACGAGTGATGTTGACTACCACTTGATATCAGTCCATAGCCGTGTGGACCTTGACCTTGACCATGGCTGTGAATGTTAGTACTATGTTGGTGCGGACTTTGACTATGCCCATGACTATGAGGACTTTGGCCATGACTATGATGCTGTCCAACAGATGGGATCTGATCTAAGGCAGTAGTGCTCATGCTGGTATCAAAGGTTAACTCATCAATATTTCTATTAATAAGATACCTTAACGCATTATACCATATATTATGTCTTTGTCTGGTAGCACACGTGATCTTGATGGACCGCGCACGTGACAGCACCACAATACTTTTATGATACAACCCAGTGGGTAAGGGGTTATTATCATCAACAGATTCAACTTTTAGGATGGCCAATGCTCGGGTCTTAATCTCCGAAGGATCAGACAAAACAGGATTGGATGTAGACCAATACAACGTAAGTGAGTAAGGATGAACCCAGAAATATCTCTCGTGTCTGTTCTCACTAATAGAACTTAACGGTCCCAACCTTCTGTAGTACTTGAACAAATACTCTCCAATGACCACTTGGGTAATGGCGGGGATCATCGACTTGTCTGTCAACGACATGTTGGTAGCCAAAGACATTGAAGCACTATGGTTGGATATTTGAGAGTGCACCAGACCACTAGTGGAGATAAGACCAGGTGCGGATGGGCCAGAGCCAGCTGTAGTGGCTGTGGTAGGAGCAGCAGTATTGGAAGTAACAGGAGCAGAAGCAGGAGCGACCTTAATACCTGTAGTTGGTGCTGGTGCACCAATAGGCAGCGTATTCTGTCCATTATCATCTTCTGAATCACTATCAATATCAAAATCTGAATGGCTATGACCCATGGGAGGTTGAAGTCTCTTGACATCATCAACATGCTTATATCCCTTCTTCTCAGCATAAACCTTGAACACATCGTCTGAGACCTTTTCAATCGACAAGTTCTCGTTCCGAGTCAACTTGTTATAGTATGTAGTGGGGACCACAGTAACGTTATTGACATCCGGGGTTCTAGAAAGCGTCGTGGCTATGAATGCTCCTTCTGGGATCACCAAAAGTCCTAAATTACGGGCAAAATCAGTCAATCTCTGCTTATCATTAACAACCTTATTGATGCCCTGTAAGTTGTTCAACTCTTCTTCAGTAATAACAGATAATCCCAATCTCTTTGCTTGTAACTCCACGTCTTCCTTTGAAGTTATGGGGTTCCGGGCATTCTCCTTTAAGACTTGATACTCATCCTTCTCCAACGTAACCAAGTCAAGTTCGGCGGATTTACTCAAGATATCCTCTTTGGTAACGTACCCATTACCACTTTCATTCAATTCCAAGATCTTTGCTTCTTTAGCCACCAACTCTTGTTTCAACCGAAGCAACTCATCTTCCGGAACAAACAGCATAGACTTACGAGTAGTAGGCGAAGTAATGGTTGCTCCAGCTGCTGCTCCAGCTGCCGCAGCAGCTATAGCTTCTATTCCAAGTCCTCTTTCCTCTTGTTGATGCTCAGCAGTAGTTAACATTAACCCTCTATCATTGGCAATATGTTGCAATCTATCATTATCAATTTCTTCCCATACCTTGTTGATTTCATCCTTCAGATAAACATAATACCCATTGGCTGTCAAATCTGACTTCAACTTCATCAATTGATCTTGTTCAGATAAACCTTCAGGTGCAAAGGCTGTAAGTCCCTTATACCGTTGAACCAATCTATTATAAGCATCAAGTTCCAATACTTTCAAACCTTGAGCACTGGCCTTGGTCTCCAAGTCTTCACTAGCAGCCTCTTCCAACTTAATAAACTCTTCATTCCTAAGCACTCTTAACCCAACATCATTGGCCTTGGTGTTAATGTAATCATACAGAGGTGATTCAACACTCTGAACCAACTCATCATATGAAGCCTTATCAACAGTAATAAGTCCATTCTGATTATTGGCCTTTTGTTCATCTGCTGCACTCTTCAACTTGGTGTATTCGGTCTCAGACAACACCATTAAGCCGTTGAGTGACGCGTTGGCTTTAATAGTATCAATAGATGGTTTGTTTGCTCTGATTAATAAGTCGTCATACTCTTCAACTTTAACAAGTTTCACTCCAGAATGTGCAGCTTTTTCTTCCAACAGTTCAGATGCTCTGGTGACTAATGCCTGATAATCACCTTCCTCAACAGCAATCTTACCACCACTACGCAAACTCCGGCTAACTGCTTCCTCACTAGGAGGATTGTTCACAGCCTCTTGTATAGCCCTTTCATGTTTTTCATTGGCCAATTCAAGTTGTTGTTTCAAATCGGCTGCTTGCTGCTGTAACAGGGCAACTTCCGTAATAGGCAATACCGCATGGTTCATTGAGGCCGCCCTATCAGCTACGTCATCTAACGTTGGTGGCGTTGTTAACTTATCGTACTCGCTTATAGGGAGGATCTGCATGTTTGCCCGAGATGCCTTGTGTTCCAAAGTTTCTTCAGCCCTTTGTTCCAAATCCTTCAAATAACTAATAGCAACGACTTGATGATCAAATGAACCAGCCTTCAGCTTCAAAAAGTCCAATGAAGGCAGTGAAGCTTGTGTTTGAAGCTTGGTGAACATTGGGATCGGAATCACCTTCATGTTGGAGGTAGTGGCCCTGGTTTCAAGTGGTTCTTCAGCCTTAGATTTGAGTTCATTGAACAAGGCCAAACTAACTACCGTTAACCCACTGGCCGCTGCAACAGCCTTCACCGTATCCATAGTGGGAGGTGCCTCGGACTTCTTGATGATTTCGGTGTATTCATCTTGTGGTAACAATATCATGTTGACCTTCTTGGCCCTTTGTTCAAGAGTTTCAGCTGCTTGCTCTTGTAATTGACCAAATTCTTCGTTTGGAACAACTACTAAACCTAATTGCTCAGCCTTCTCTCTGATATAATTTCCATCAGCGTTGACAAATGCTTGATAGTCCTTTTCAGGTACCAAATGCAACAGTGCCAGCTTAGCTCTCTCTTCAAGCAGGATACTTGCTTCTCTCCTTAAAGTATCCAAGTCCAGAGGCTCAATGACAACCATATGGGTTTCCTTAGCATGGTCCTGTAAACTGCGGTCTGCCTTAGCTACAAGTTCGTCATGCTGTGCTTTGGATATCACCATATGGTCATTTTCAAGTGCTTTCTCTGTTAACTGTTGAACTGTTGGAGCATGTGCTTGTTGTGTTAACTGTTCGTAAGCCTTAGTGGTTAATACAGTCGATCCAATTAATGCTGCAACCTTGGAGATGTGATGATGATCAGGTGTAGTAGCCAATGCTTTCAATTCGGAGTATTCTTCATTACTAATGACCGTAGAACCATGACCATTATTGGACTTTTCAACCAAATAATCCAATGAAGGCTTCTCAATGTTATCCTTTAATTCAGTCAACTCAGTAGACTTGATTAATGAGTAACCTTGAGCTTGTGATTTTTCTTGCAAAAAGCTTACAGCTGGATGAAGTAATTTGGATTGCATTACTTCATAATCTCCCTTGGAAATAGCAATTAACCCAGCCTTAGAAGCCAAATCAACAATGGTATCCGTAGAAGGATCCATTAAGGATTCGTACTGCGACTCAGAAATCACCACTAAGTTCTGTAATTTGGCTGTATCCATTAAATATTCCTTAGTAGGCGATTGGATCTTGGTTTGCATTTCTTCATAGGTTTCTTTGGGTACAATAACCTTGCCATTAGCTGTAGCATTCTTGGTGATAAACTCTAATGAAGGCGACTCAATAGTCAGCTTCAACTCTTCCAACTCAGAGCTAGGAATCATACTATAATGGTAAATATTAGCAGCTTTCTGCTTTAAAGTATCCAATGATGGACTGTTGATCTTTCTTTCCATTTCAGCCTTGTCTTCAGTCTTGATCAATGTAAAGCCCTGTAAATCGGCATGCTTATGAAGATAATCAAATTCTGGTTTCCTTAATGATTGCAAAAGGTTCTCATATTCATCTTTGGGCACCAATTGATGGTTGGCACCATAAGCAAATTGTTGAAGCTGTTCCATAGAAGGTTCCGTTGCCTTTTGTTTAATCGATTCGTAATTGGCTTTAGGAACCACAACCAAACCAGCTAACATTGCCTTCTCTTCAATGTGCTCTAAAGATGGAGATGAGACCAAATTAGTCAACATGTTATAATCTTCTTTATTCACCAAAATATAATCCGAATCTGATGCCTTCAGCTTCAAATACTCCAAACTTGGACTCTCCAATTTGGCCATTAAGTCTTCCTTCTCTGGAATCAGTATCAACAGATATCCAAGAGTCTGGGCCTTCAAATCCAATTCTTCAACACTTGGCCGTTCCAATTGTCTTGTCATAGTTAGATATTCAGTAGCAGGAATCAACTTAAATCCTAGCAATTGACATTTGGAATCCAAGAACTCCTTGCTAGGGTTCTTGATCTTCAGTTGTAAGCTGTGGTAATCCTCCTTAGCAACAATAAGAGAATCAAAATCGGTTTCAGCTTTGGATTTCAAGTATTCCAAAGAAGGAGTGGCGATGTTCTTCTTCAAAGACTCTAACTCGGCCTTGGGGACCAATGTCTCTCCATAACTACTAGCATGCTTCGTCAAATATTCTTTAGAAGGTTCTTCAAGTTGCTTCTTAACCTTATCATGTTGAAGAGCACTCAATACCACCAATCCAGCATTACTAGCCTTAGCCATAATATGGTCTTTGCTTGGTTCATTGGCTTTAACCAACAAATCATTATATTCCTCAGTTGATACTGGAACCAACCCATGATTTTTGGCATTAGCCAATATGAATTCCTTAGATGGTGATTCAGAAACTTGTTTGAGCTCTTTATAGGCTTCTATTGGTACAACTGTCAACCCAAGCTTTGTAGCACTCTTTATAACAGCAGCTTTAGGCGGGTCTACCAATGATGCATATTTATCGGATGGAACTGCAACATAACCCAACTTCTGTGCCTTCGTTTCAATTGGTTCCTTCAATTCTTCCAACTCCTTAATCTGAACAGTAGCGTAGCCCATTGAATTGGCTTTAGAGGTTAAGTATTCCAAATTAGGAGCTTCAACTTGATTCTTGAGCACCTCTAATTCTTTTTCTTCAATTATAGCCAACCCAAACCTGGATGCTTTCAGTTTAATGTACTCTTTTGAAGGTGATTCCAACTTAGAAACCAAGTCCTTATGCTCTGACTCTGGCAAGGCAACAAAACCAAGTCTTTCAGCATGCAGTTTGACATGACCATCGTGTGGATCATGTGCTAACTTAACCAAATCTTTATGGTCAGTCTCAGGAAGAGCCACCAAATTCAATTGTTTGGCCTTCTCGGTGATATGCTCTATTGAAGGCTCATGGGCAAGTTTGTTAGTCGATACCCAATCTGCTTTCTTTACAGTTTCATAGCCCAAACATTGAGCTTTCTCGTTAACATGGTCTAAATCTGGATTATCACTGTTCTTTTTCAACAATTCAAAATCAGGGATGGGGACGATGTATGACTTATGATCCAAAGCCTTTTGAGTCAAATGGTCCCAGTCCGGCTTATGTGCTAATGATTCCAACTTCTTCAATTGGTCAGTTTCAATAGTAGAGAAGCCTAAAGACTCAGCTTTACTAGTGATGAATTCAATATCTGGTTCCGCAGCCAAACGTTTCAATTTATTCAATTCTTCAACGTTTACAGTTTCATATCCAGAAGATTCTACCACAGATTTAGCCACTTCAAACGTTGGGCTCTTAGCAGCTGTTTCCTCAACGGTTGCCAATTCTTCATTCAGTAATAAATTATAGTTGATCTCTTTGGCCTTGGAGGTTAAATGTTCAATGCCTGGCTCGTTAGCAAGCTTTAAAAGTTGTGCATGTTCATTATTGCTTATGACAACATGGTCCAATGCACGCAGCTTCTGTTGGATATGGTCCAAAGCTGGTTCATGAGCCAATGACTTTATCGATTGCAATTCTTCCACTGAAACAAGTGTTTTGTTCAATGCTTTAGCTTTATCAGCCAAATAAGCCACCGGAGGAGCGGTAACCAATGATTGCAAGTGTGAATATTCCTTCTCATCAACTAAAGTCTTATTAATTAATTTTGCCTTATTGTGAAGATGCTCTTCATTTGGATCATGTGCCAATTTCTCTAAGGATTCCCACTCTTCCTTCTTCAAGAGTTTATAGCCCCTGGTAGTGGCTTTATGGAGAACCACATCCATTTCCGGATCACTGGCTGATTTCAACAAGTCAGTGTATTCTGGTTTTGATAATGTTATGAGATCATGTTTTTCCAAATTCTCCTTGACATGAGATAACGAAGGATTGTATGCTAATTCTTTCAACTCTGTATGCTCATCTTGTGATAATGTGGTAAGACCCAAGTTAGTAGCCATCTTCTTGACATGATCGACCGTGGGGCTATGAGCTTTACTTTTAAGTAAGGAATGCTCTGACTCGGGTACAGTGACCAAATTCAACTCCTTAGCCTTTGATTTAATATGTTCAATGTCTGGCTGATGTGCTAAAACATTCAAATTATCATATTCCTTCTTTGAAACAACCATTAACCCATGATTAGAAGAACTTTCCTTTATTTGTTCAACAGAGGGATCGTTTGCTCTTTTAACCAAATCATCATATAGTTTTGAAGATGATAAAATAAAGCCTAATTCGTTGGCCTTGGTGGTAAGATAATTAGTGCTTGGGTTTTCATAATCAACCACTGCCTTTTGTAATCTCTTGTATTCTTCATCCCTAATAGCATGTAGTTGGAGGTTACTACATTTGTCTATAAGGTATTCTTCAGTGGGGGAATCATAAGTTGAAGATATCTTGACTAGGGAATCCAATTTTTCTTTATCTACAATATCAAATCCACTTGCTGCTGCCTTTGCTTTCAAATAATCAATGGTTGGAGATTCATATGAGTTTTTAACTCCCTTTAAGACGTCAAACTCACTAGTAGGAATAGTAATTAATTCCTTTGAATGCAATTTCTTCCTCATTTCTTCTTCATCACGTAAAGAATCATATTCACTCTTCTTTAACACCACGTAGCTCTTGTCTTCGATCAACTTTATGATTTTATCGTCTGAAAAGTCGGTGATATCACTCTGAATGAGTCTCTCATATCTTTCTAATGGAATCAACTTCAACCCATTGGCAGAAGCATAATCTTCCGCTTGTTTCTGAGGAGAAACATTGAGCAATTCTCTAGAGAGTAAATCTTGTGACTGACTTACATCTTCATCGGAATCAGATTCAGAATCCATTAAAATAGGAATGGATTGGAGGTTATCGTTCTTGATGACGCTATCATTGGCTGTAGATGACTGTTGATGTTGTTGTTTCTTGACAGGTGAACTCAGTACTTCTTCTCCAATAAAGTCTTCCCAAGTGCTTTCTTCTCCTGGAGAGAGATCGTTTTCGTCGTTGGGATCACCTATGAGAATAATTTTAGAGGTTCTTTTAGATGGAGAAAGCAGTAATTCACTCTTTGGTCTCGATGGTTTTTTAGGTTGTTTCATTACCTTCATAGGCAGCAGTTCTGCCTGGACTTGGCCATGTTGTTGTTGTCTTTGATTAAGTTCCTCACGTTTTGCTTTGAGTAATGCTGATCTTAATTTGGCAATAGTGACATTTGAATGGGTCAAAGAAGCTCTTAAGGTTTCTGCTTCCAATGCTGGGTTACTTGGGTCTTGAGGAGGTAAATCCTTTGGTTTAGCTTCAATCAAAATGCTATCAAAATCTATTTCATTTTCACCATCATCATCATCGGAATCAAGTAGATAAGAAGATAAACCCACTTTATTATTATTGTTGCCATTGGTGTTGGTGTTCTTATCCTTTTGATGGTCATTCTCTTCCAATTTTGCTTGTAGTTTTTTCACAAGTTGATCGTTTTCATCATTCAACTCTTCCACTTTATTATTCAATTCATTAACATCTTTGTTATAGGTTAATTTCAAGGTATCGTACGTTCTGGTTAGCGATTGGTTCTTGACAATAAGATCATCATTATCCTTTTGAAGTTTAGCCACCAATTGCTTCTGTTCCTCCGTAAACTTTAGGAGTTTATCCTTATTGGAACTTAGGTCCGATAGTTGGTCATTAAGAGATGCAACATTGGATTCCAATTCCCAATTTTTATCCTGTAGAACCACGCCCGAATTCAATTGTAATTCTCTGGAGTTTTTGTGCTTGAATATTTCATCTTTGAAGGTCTGGATCTCTTCAGAGCTTTGCTTAAGCTTATTCTTCAACGTTTGATTCTCAACTGCTAACCTTCTACATTCACCCAACAAGTTTTCACTCAAACCCACGACAAAATTGATATCATTACCACTGGACTCCAGTGGTGGTTGTGGGTGTGGATGTTGTGCCATGTGACCACCAAGCGGACCGTGGCCCGATTGAACCATTATGTTGGGTGGCAATTGAGGTGGTGATACACTTTGTTTGGACTTTCTCTTCCCCAACAGCCGGAACATCGTTTGAGGGTGACTCTGACTCTGACTCTGAGTTTGGCTCTGGCCTGTTGACAAAGGGATCGAACCAGGGTCATCTTTGGAGGACGGAGACGTGCTTGCAAACAACCGTTTCTGGATATCCAGGAGCTGGCCACGGATATCTTCAGACATTTCAAGACGACTTTATATCAACAAATAACAGGACCCCTTTATATATTCTTTCTGTGTATTAGCAATAGCAAGAACGTGATTGGCCTGCTGCCAGTATAGGGGGAGGTACGCTCAACTACGTTCACGTACGTTCAGATACGCTGTTGAAGTACTGTAGTAGTAGCTGAGTAGTAACGTTAACTGATGATAATAAGCTGATCAGTGTAAACAATAACAGTAGTGTGGAGTGCAGTAGTGTAGGGTACAATAATGAGTGTATAATGTACCAGAATCGTACCAGCAGTGTATCACAGAGTAAGCACAGCGTAACCGTAAAGCACAGTGAACACAGTGTAAACAAGTGCAGTATAAACGTAACGTAATCGTTTCAAATGATGCACTATTAAGCCTTAGTTATGGTGTATTTATCATTGCTATGATGGGTCTACGCCTGCGCAATGGTTGATCTGAGTACAAAGTCACAGTACACTACAATTGCACAGTACACTACAGCATGGGACAGTATATCTCAGTACAGTCAGCCTCATCAATCTTATCGCTGCATACTGCTGTTTATAGTGTGTGTAGCACGATGTACCATGTGCTCTTTTATAGTGTTCTGTCATTGGTCTACGGTGGTCTATTGGGTACTGTAAGGTAGAGCCGGTATTGTGTAATGTTGGTAAGCACACGCAGACACGTAGATTGAGAAGACACCGCTAGCACACTACACTACACTACACTACAGTTGTTAACTATGGTACAGTTACACTGCTGCTGTTAGTAAGTGCACCGTACAGCGTCTAGTGTAGTCACTGTTAGTATCAGCCTTTGTACTATGGACCACTCAATCACATCTGGAAGCTCGATCCACACGTCGCAAGTCCGAGCCCGGCACACACCCACTGACCAACCAGACATCGAAGACATCATCAAGAAGACATCCCAATTGAAGATCGTTGATAAGAAGAAGTATGATTGGAAACACATCGTTACTAGCATTGTACTTCCGCTAATGTTAACTGCGGTCTCGGCTTTCATTCGGCTTTACAAAATAGAAGCTAACCCGAAAGTTGTCTGGGATGAGGCTCATTTCGGTAAGTTTGGATCCCATTACATTCAGCATTCCTTCTACTTTGATGTCCATCCTCCCCTTGGGAAACTATTGGTGGCGTTGCTGGGGTATTTATGCGGTTACAACGGAGACTTTGACTTTGGCAGCGGTCAAACGTATCCTGATGAAGTCAATTACGTCATGATGAGATGCTTCAACTGCTTATTTGGTATATTATGTACTCCCTTAGCTTATAAGACAGCTGTTCAATCTGGATTTCTGACTTGGAGCGTGATGCTCATAACGTTACTGGTTGTATTCGAGATGCTTAGCTTGACGTTATCCAAGTTTATTTTGCTTGACTCGATGCTCCTTTTCTTCACGGTATTGACTTACTATTGTTTGGTCAATTATCATCGTTTACGTTTAGAAGACAAGCTTTTGAAATGGGAGGGCATCAAATGGTTACTTTTAACGGGATTTTCAGTCGGCTGTGTATGTTCTGTGAAATGGGTAGGAGTGTTTGTCACTGCCATTGTGGGGTTCTATACCATTTACGATCTTGTATTGAAATTTTACCAATTATCTTCATTGAAGGTTGGCAAGAAGAAATATAAGACAAGAGAATTGACCAAGACTGCTTACTTATTGCATTGGCTTTTACGAGTGTTTGCTTTGATTGTTATACCCATAGTCATTTACATGACGTCATTCTTCATTCATTTCACCATCCTATCGAAAACAGGTCCAGGAGATGGTTCTATTTCAACGCTATTACAAGCGAATCTTGAAGGGAACACTTTAAAACATGGACCTCGGGATGTGAGTTTTGGTTCCTCCATTACGCTTAGATCCCAAGGTTTATCACCGAATTTATTACATTCTCATCACCACAATTACCCTGAAGGGTCCTTACAACAGCAGATCACTACTTATGGTCATAAAGATGAAAATAATGAGTTTCAAGTCGAATTTGAATGGAGTAAAGGCATACTTGATACAAAAAATATGAGTGTTCGTAATGGTGATACCATAAGACTCTTGCATTCCCAAACTGGATGTCTTTTGCATTCCCATTTGATCCCAGCTATCATCCTGAGTTCACACTACGAAGTCTCCTGCTATGCTAACTTGGACAACAGTGACTCCAAAGACGACTGGATCATTGAGTTCCAGGAACAACTTGAATCTCCAGACCCAGATTTTAACAGTGAAGACCCAAACGTCTTACACCCAATCTCCACCAGTTTCCGGTTAAAACATAAAGTTCTTGGGTGTTATCTTGCTACTACAGGATTGGCATACCCCTCTTGGGGGTTTCAACAAGGTGAAGTCATTTGTAAACGGGCTTTACTTACCAAGGATAAATCTACTTGGTGGAACATTGAAGATCACGTGAACACCCAAATGGATTTACCACTAAAGAACTTTGTTGCACCCAAACCAAGGTTCTGGAAGGAGTTCATTATGATTAATTATGCCATGATGGCTTCCAATAATGCCCTAGTACCTGATCCAGATAAGTTTGACCGGTTAAGTTCTCAATGGTGGCAGTGGCCCATCTTAGAGCTTGGATTAAGAATGTGTTCTTGGGCTTCAGATGATATTCGATACTTTTTAATGGGGAACCCTTTCGTCACGTGGGTGTCGACTGCAACATTAGCCATATTTCTTGTCTTGGTTGTTCCAATTAAATTGATACTTTGGAGAAGACAAGTGGTTGAGTTTGATATTATGGGCGCTCAAGTTAACAAGTTTCTTATTGGAGGGTTGATCCCCTTCATAGCTTGGTTCTGTCATTATTGGCCGTTTATTCAAATGGCTAGAGTCACTTATTTGCATCATTATGTCCCAGCATTATACTTTGCCATAATTGTCATGGCATATGTGATGGAAACAATGTTTTATGAACCTTTTAAACAGACAAAATACTCTGTGGTTTATGTGGTGATGTATTTGATGGCATATGTTGGGGTCATTGGTACGTTCTGGTACTTTAAAGACTTTGCACTTGGTATGACAGGACCTACAAGAAATTATCATCATTTAAGGCTTTTGAAATCATGGGCTGTTTAATTTACACTACTTATATTACAATTCCCTGGAACTAACTTCTTCAACAGCAACAGATTCTTCAGCTTTATCCTTATACCCACCAGTGTTTGATCTTGTAGTACCCACCAAATTGGAATGATTGTACTCTTCCGAACCCATTTGGGAAATGTCGTAACCATTGAGTTTCAAGTACTCCACAAATTCCAAATCTTCCTTGTTGATTGCATCTTGGCCAATAGAAGGACACATGAAAATAGCCAAGAAGGCTGCAAAGAAACACAAGGCTGAAGACACTTGATAAGGAGCTCTCATCCCACTATCTGTACCCTTACCACCATTATTTCTAATGATAATAGGGAAAACATAAGTCCCTACAAAGGCACCAACTTTACCTACGGCAGCAGCTATGCCATAATATTCACCACGAATTGGAGTAGCTGAAGTTTTGGAAGCCAATAATCCAATGTTATCACCAGGTCCAAACTCTCCCAAAGTGGAAAAGATCCCGTATACAACAACAAAGGCTCCAATATGATTTTTCAAGTGGGAATAAGTACCAGACATTATAAACCCAACCGTACCTTGCAATAATAAACCTACACCGATAGTTAATCTGGGACCGAAATAGTCAGCAGCCAATGCACCCAAAAAGGCACCTGGTAAGTAAAACAAGTTGAACACCACGTTCCAGCCAAAAGTCTTATAAATATCACCATCTGGAATGATTTGGTTGAAAATGAATGACGAATAAATCCCAAAGGAATAGGCTGAAAAATCGTAGATAAACCAAATGATGGACACCACAGTCAATCTTAACCAATAGAACTTGATGATAAGCAAATAAGGAACCTTTTTGGACTTTTTCATGTTAAATTTATCATAAGACTTGGAGTTGACCAAGTGCATTCTGGCAAAGAATAAAAGGAATGGGCATATAACTCCTAACCCCAATGTTACTCTCCAAACTGGGTTCAAGTGGTTCTCTCTAAAGATCCATAAACATACCAATGGAACGAAAGAAGACACCACAAACCCAAAATCAATCATAAAATTGGTGAACCATACAAAGTATCTATTTCTGTGACCCAGTGGTAATTGGTTGGAGAATTCGGAACAAATCACAGAAGCAGTTGGATACTCAGCACCAATTCCAACCCCCAAAAAGAATCTAAACACCGTAATGGCAGTGAATAATCCATAAGGTGTTTTACCCCAAGTGGCTACAGCACACAAGATGGTGAATACAATTAACAAGACATTGGCAGCCATCATCCCACCCTTTCTGTGCACGTGATCGGAGATATATCCAAAAAGAAGCATCCCGAAAACGGTACCAGCAAAGGCAATGGAGGACACATTGGAGATGGCACTGGAATCAGCATATTCTTTAGGATATAAAATAGACAAACACGTGGTGACGGTGGAAATGGAGTTGTTGACGTAACCATCGGAGAACAACCCGGCTCCAGAGATAAACCCGGACCACATATTATTCAACTTTACTTTGGAAGGTGGAATTATGTCATCGACATCTCCTTGGTGATCTTCTTCATGGATGATCAAATCTGCAGACTCTAATTGTTCTTTGGACTTGTTGAAGGTGATTTCTGAGGGTATCTTAGCAGTCCAGCCCCAGAAAAAGTCTGGGATGGATTTAGGTAAATCTCTAGACATGATTATATGAGGTGGTGGAGATGATGGTAAAATAGTAGATGGATAATGGAAGAATGACTGGGAAACGTCGCCATTTATATAGATAAGTTAAATATGTCATGCAGAACGAAGTCAGTATGGGGATAAGAGACGTACATTACATACAGATATGCACCACCCACGTTTAAGACATGACATGCATTAATCAATTTGAAAAAAAAAAACCGCATTGGGGCATTAATTTGTCTGTCTGCATTGTAGATTACGGAAAGGAGTAGTCAGTAAGCCCCACTAAGACGAGTCATTGATTGCTATACTTCATCAAGGTTATCGTAGCGAATACATGTCAAATCCAGTGCCAGATTATCATACAAGTCTTAATCTCTAAAGTCTGGGCTCTATTTTGTAGTGCTTTTATCTTCCTCTCCCCGTATCTCTTATCCTATTTGGTATCGCGTCAGACACTACGGCAGAGGATATGTAAATGCATGGATATGTTCTATTCGTTTCCAATTTTGTAGATATTATTTCAGTGCCGTACCCTAAGTAACGGAACCTTTACGTGCAGTACTTTTTGCGGTAGGTCAGTTACGGCTACATTGATTAGGTCTTATATGTAAGTCTCTTATGATAAAGAAATGTTTGCTCTTAAATGATAATTTATACGACATTACTATTACTATCTTTTAATGGTTTCTTATTCAGTTCATTTGCTTTTACGTTCAGGGCTGCAAAAAATTGTGCACTCATTTGAAAGCTTGGTAACCATTGATTGTCTAAATTCTTTGTGTCGTGCAACAAAACGTTGACATAATTGGTGTCAAATTTTTTGCTGGGCGCACTCACCGTATGGACCTCGTGCGACATTTATAATGTGGGTCTCTCTGGAGTTAGCTTTCAGACACCCCAGTAATTATTATTTATGCCTATTGTCCCAATTAATAAGTGAAAAATCCTGATCTTCTTGGCATTAACCACAAGTCTGCTTCAACATGGTGTCAAGTAGCCATTACATGCTACTACCAAATCCGACAGTAACTTTAAGTGTATTCTACATCCACTGGTAGTGGTTTCAACTTGTTCGCATTTTTTGTCACGTTTGAGACTTGGTACATTGAATCACTCTACCCACGTGTACTAAGACTTAAAGTGGCTTCTGCTTGCTGCCGTAAGATAAACGTGGGGATTAATTTCAATTCCAGATGCCTTCGGTTACGCGGCTGTCGCCTGTCAAGACGTTTTGACATTATTTGTCACATGTGCGTTAACCACACGTTGAATTATTAATTACGGTGAAGATGATGTTAGTATTGAATTTAAATGTCGCTTGTGACGGCTTTAACATGAATATAAGAATAAATACTACATGTGGTAAACAATTAGACTTTACATCGGCAAAATTAACTCAAATGTAGCACCACAAACGAGAGATTTAAAGATGTTGAGTATAATATGTTGGCTATGAAGTTTAACATTTATTATCACATGCAATTTTCTGCAAGGTATTGTGTGCAAGGTAATAATGTATATACATGCTGAACATTTTTGTTATAAAGATGCGCAAATGGTTTAGTGGTAAAATCCAACGTTGCCATCGTTGGGCCCCCGGTTCGATTCCGGGTTTGCGCATATTTTTTCACTGAATACTTAAATGAAAGTGGCTACAGACGGACTACAACTTCCACTACTACAAAGCTTATGGCTAATTTATATCTTTATTATTTACTATTTAATTCCATTCGACACTCCAATTTAAAGATTGTCCTGCTTTGAATGGTACCACATTAATTTCTCCACTATTACCTAATACCTTTGGAATCTCATTAACATTCTTCACAAGCTTCACTGTATCTTTGGATTTAATTTGCTCATCCACAACTTGGTAAAATGCTAAAGGATTTGTGCTAACAAACTTCTTCAAGTTCTCCAATTTCCCATGCTTGTCAAAAACTTCAGCAACATAAGCAATGGCATGCAGTTGGGTATAAACTCCGGCACAACACCCTTCATGTCTTGATTTCGTTTCAATGGGGTGAGGAGCACTATCACTTCCAAAGAAAAACCATGGTTGTCCACTGGTAGCTGCTTCCACCAATGCAGATCTGTCTTGAGGTAATTTAGCTACTGGTTTACAAAAGTTAATTGGGTTCCCAGCCCAATTATCAATGATTAACCATAAGTGATGGGCGGTGATTGTAGCGCCCACGGTAATGTCTTCAGATGATGATTTACCCTTATTGATATCTCTAATAGTTTGAATGGCTTCTTTGGTGGTGCAATGCTCCAAGATGATCTTCAACTTAGGGAAATCTTTATGTAACTTAATTAAAGCAGGTAAGAACTTAATCTCTGCATTTAAAACATGAATGTCATCATTATCACTTGGAGGTTTCTCTCCGTGTAAATTCAATACCAAACCTTTCAGTTGCATTACCTCAAAAATAGGATAAAAGGGGGTAAAATCATTAGGATCAACGCCTGCACTGCTATTGGTTGTCACACCAGCAGGATAACATTTGATACCGGTGATTGCTTTCTTATCAGCAGCTTGAGCCACAAGTTCCGGAGACAAATCCTTACTCAAATAGAAGCTCATCAAGAACGTAGTTGAAGGACTAAGAGATTCCAATTGCTTTTTATATTCAATTACTTGTTCAATAGTGGTAATTGGTGGGACCAAATTGGGCATCACGTAACAAACAGAAACACCACCTTGCTTGACAGTAGGAGTAACCAAGTCCATCATTTTACCATCACGAAGATGGACATGCATGTCGCATGTTATACCGAGGTCATATTGAGTCATCATAATAGTTAATGATTTAAGGTATTAATAGTGGAAAACTTTTTGTAATTCGGTATACTTTAGAAAAGTATATATATTCGGTAATGGCACGACTATTTCGATCATATGGACTTACATACTTTCAGCTGATTCATGAGCTCTGATAGCAACATTTATTCGGTATAACTAGATGCATTCCTCTACACTGTAGTTCATTAATCATAGTACTACAGTAGCTTACCCTAAAAGGTATTCTTAGAGATATTCTTCCCATCATTGCCGTGCTATAAATAGGATATGCAACAGTGTATGCTCTTCATAATACTATCTAATCTTATTCGATCACTTCCTCAAGATAATCCTTGATCCTATTCAACATATCATTTTTCACCTCTTTTGGTACCAAATCTTCTGCCTTGGGTTTCAACAGTTCAAACAATTGATCAAATGATAACACCGTTCTACCGTCTTTCCCCTCTTGGTGTTGATCCAATTCTTTACGTGCCAACAGACTCACTTGGTCAAACCATCCAGATTCATATAACTGAAGTTTCAATTGTTTATTGATGATTTCGTAGTTACCTGATGTCACCAAATGATGTTGGATCTTAGCTTTGATTTGGTCTAGTTCATCCTGCAGCTGAGTCATAGCAATGTAACCAATCTAAAGATAATCAGACACTGCTTGCAAACTCACAGATCGTCTGGATTTAAGACTAAAAACGAGCCTTCTTGGTCACAGAGTTCATTCATTCGTATTGGAAATTGATCTGATGATGTTCATTTCCCTGTTGGGAACATGTTACACAAAACCAACAAATGTACGGGGCGGACTTTCTTCCATCTTCAAAGTAATTTTCAACATCACCAAAATGTTACCTTCCCCTTAGATAATGCATACACTTGTTTCTACAAGTAAATCGTGTTGTCCTCTATACAGTTCCATCATCAGATCCAAACCATTACTCAGAACATTTGCCATGACGATAAAAAGTGCTGCTGAATCTCCTTACAAATCGAAAGTCACTGGAATTGGTCCATTGGATTCGGGTAAATGGATCCAATTGCGCAAATTGGAATATGTTGATCCTAAAGGGGCTGAAAGAACTTGGGAAATGGCTATTCGTACTACAAGAGGAGAACCTCAGTTAGAACCGGGAAATGAAGCAGAAGAAGTTGTTGATGGGGTTGCAATTGTTACCATTCTTAAAGCTCCCGGACAACCGGATCAATTGGTTTTAACCAAACAATTCCGTCCCCCAGTGGGTAAAGTTGTAATTGAACTTCCTGCTGGACTTTTAGATCCTGGTGAAACAGTGGCCACCACTGCTGTAAGAGAACTCAAAGAGGAAACTGGGTATGTAGGAACATTTATAAGACAACTGAGAGTTATGTACAGTGATCCTGGATTGACTAATGCTAATATGAGATTAGCCTTTGTTCATGTTGATTTGACTGATCCAGCCAATAAGAATCCTTCAGCCGACTTACAAGAAGGTGAATTCATTGAAACCTTCTGCGTATCTATTCCTACCATATTGCAAGAGTTAGATCTGATAATGGATAAAGAAGGCTGTACAATTGATGCCAGATTACACCATTTTGCCATGGGGTTGCTGATGAGCTAATCAAGTCCATACTGCAGTATACAGTATAATATAGAATGCTATCATTTTATGGTGTAGCGTAGTAATCCACTTGAGTGCACGTAGAAGGTATCTCGAGACCCCCATCTACTTGGTCGTGTTCGGCTCAAAATCCGGGGTTGAACCGCTGGATGATAAACCATAATATAAACTCTCTTTTATACTCCTAACTAGAGACTAGCGCTACTACACTATGGAATCGGAAGATATTTGTAGCTTTTGTTTAGGCGGGCGTACGGAGATTCCTCCATTTGGAACAATCAAAGACTCCCAGGATTTGTTCCATCCATGTTCCACATGTTCTATCATGGCCCACAAAAAGTGTCTTATGGAATGGTTCAATTCTATTCCTTATGAGAGTCTTAAAGTAGTCCATGCTCGGTGCATTCACGACGTTGCCATTAGGAAAGCTAGACAAGGTCATAACAGTAATAATGAAGATAATTCTGGTGATAATAATGATGATGCTGGTAACATCACCGATACTGAAGACTTGGTGGCTGAAAATGCACCAGCCAGAAATAGTTTCTTAACGTTTTCCCTCCCAGAAGGTCTCCTCGGAGGAATGGTTTCCGGAGTAGCTGAAATATCCATAGGAATACCAGGAATCACTTCGTCCAATGGGTTTATGGAGTTGCCTGAGAGCGCCAACCTTTTGTCGCAACAAGATCTCCCCTTTGAAACAAACAACGTCACACCACATGATAGCGATAACTATAACAATAACGATACCCATTTGACGAATGTCATAGCTGAGTTCCAAGACCAGAATCATGATCCGGAGAAATGTAAAAATAAAACCGTTGCGTTGGTGTTTGTTCCTTGTCCTCAATGCAAGCAAGCGATAGTGTTCCAAATGGACCGTTCTCAAACCATAGCCTTTCGGGAGTCGGTCAAATCGGTGGCGGTACGGTTAGTCCAATATGGTGGGGTAACGTTGGGGATCTTTTCGGCTATCACCGGGATTATACTGACAGGATATCTTGGATTAACAGCAGTGGGTATTAATACTATGCGAAGCATTGTACCCAGTCCTATTTTATTACTGTTATTCATGAGGAAACCGTTTAAAGTTGTTTCCAGAACTCCTCCTCCTCCTTCTGATGGTGATGATAATATCATGGGTTTAATACTGCAGGGTGCCCAATATTTGTATCGAATGGCCAATGGGATCAACCAACTGCCGCTGCTGCTGCTGCTGCTGCTGACTGTATCCCATACTTTCAATGCTATTACTGACAACATTGATAACCTACAAGATGCCGTTATAGAAGGGACAGTGGACCCTTCTAGTTTCAACAGAATCCCGGCCTTGCCCATCATAATGTACCGCATGAGAGGTTCCTCCCTCTTGGAATGCTTGTTCTCTAAAGGGGAATGGAGAGATAACTTGTCTAGGATCGGTACGGAGTTGTTGATCTCCACATATTTAAGCTCTTGGGGGTCTCATAAGTTAGGCAGACTACTTTCAAGTCGGTCGACGAGATCGTTAGCGTCATGGCTGTTCTGGAAGAATGTTTTCCTTAGAGATCCCGATTATATTTTGGGAACTTTGATGCCACTTCGGTGGATCTATGATTTGTGGTTCCGGTTGGCGGTCAATAGATTTCATTTCCGTCTAACGCTAAAGACAGTTCCTCGTGATATCTACAATAAGTTCAAGAATGCCCAAACCCTCGAACTAATAGCTCTGCAAATGGGTCGTATTGAAATGGACACTTATCTTGGTAATGGCAGTAATGGCATTGCGTACCGATTACGGCTGTTTTACAAATACAATGTACTTCGTTTGAAATATTGGTATTACGAGACTCTAGCCATTCTTGCCAAAGACTATTCTGCCACCATGAGTTCCCAGTCACTGATTGTCAAGAGCATAATAACCATGGCTTGGCCCTTTGTGTCGTCATACATTGGTCGATTAACTTATCTGGTGTTGACCACCAAATTCCACGAGGAACTCATGGGGGTCCCCAGAGCTAACTTACTTTTGCTAAGCAATATCATTGGCTTGTGTTTGGTGGTGGGGATAAAGGACTTGACTAATTTGTACCAAGCATATAAAGTGTCCAATCAAATCAACGACGTTCAAATCGTTACCTGGAACAAGACAACCCCCAACAGTTCTACCTCCCCCAAACGTGGCGGTGCTGTCAACAGTGCCGTTACTGAAGCTCATGGGCTCCCGGGGCTGTTCCCAAGATGTTGATAATTATTTTATATTTTTTTTATATAAAGAAAATATAACTACAATTAAAAATACTAAAGCAAGAAGTAACAAGTGTAACCAACGTCACACAGTAATAATACTTGTAAAAAAAAGTAATAAAGACATCTTTGTCTACTCATCATCATAATCTTCATCCACTGTGACTTTCCGTAAAGGTGGTTCAACCACATCTATTGCCGTGGTGCCATTCTCCTCGGTATTAGCTTGTGCTGGTGGTTGAGCTGGAGCTGGTGGAGCTTGTGTCTGTACCGGAGCTTGTGCTTGAGCCTGCTTTGGGGCCGGAGCCGGAGTTGGAGTAGGCGAGTTTTCCGATTTATGGGTTGTAGATGGTGGGGTCGGCACAGAGGTGGATGTTGTTGTGGCCGCCGAAACAGGAACAATCTTTGCAATTTCTTCTGATTTTCTTCTCATGGCTTCTTGTTCAGCTACGGCTGCAGCTGCATTCATAAGTGAGTCCAATCCTCCCTTGGGTGACATATTAAGTTGCGGTGCCGTTGTCGGAGGTGCGGGTTTCGAGGCCTGAACCGGAGTACCGGCAACATTGGGCTTCTTAGCAACTTTATCATCGGCCTTCTCTTCTAATTCCCGTTTCCCATTGACCGGAGAGTGTTGTATTGAAGGTAGAGCATTGTTATTGACAAGTCCGTTCTCTTTTTTGATCTGAGGCAACTGTTGAGAGGGTTGAGGAAGTTGATTTGGTGGTGGTGGTGGCCCTCCACTTTGGATGGAGGCCAACTTCTCAGCAGGTTGCAATTGGTTGGAAGTAGTTGGTGGAGGAGGTGGCGAAGCTTGTGACAGTGATTGTGATTGGATAAGTGGGGGGATTTGTTGGTGAGCAATGGTTGGAGGAGGAATCTGAGATTGGAATTGTTGTGGTTGAGTACTACCTGGTTGCTGTAACGATAACTGAGGTGGTGGTGGCTGTTGGGTTCCCGGAGGATGAGGAGCCAAGGCTTGGATGGGTGCAGGTGGCACTGGAACATGAGCTGCTGTTGATGGAGGCTGTTGAGGAGGTTGAGGAGGTTGTTGAGAGGGGTGCTGTGGAGGTTGCTGTTGCTGTTCCAACACCATTCCTTGAGGCATTCGAGGTTGTTGGTTGACTGGTGGGGGTTGAGGAGCATGGGTTTGACCTTCTTGTTGGTATTTGATCAACTCTTCCAACCTTGCTTTAATATGAAGGTTGTCTGGATCCAATCGTTCTGCTTGACGATACGCATCTAAGGCATCGCTGATTTGATTGTTACACGTTTCATAAAGGGTTCCGAGATCATACCAAACTTCAGAGATGTAAGGGTTCAATCTGATGGCCCTGGTATACGCATCTAAAGCGTCACGGTATTGGGCAATCTGATAATAGAGAACACCAATCGAACACCAGAAGGTTGGGTTCCGGGAGTCACGGTTCACCGCGTGTTGGAAGGCCTCATACGCCGCATTAAAGTCTCCTCTGATCATATGAACCCGACCTAAATAGTACCACGTATGCGCATCACTTTGGTCGATTTCTAACGATTGAGTAAGATACTTCAACGCCATAGAAAGATCCTGTTGGAACTTAGCCGATGTAGAACCGTTAGCAGACCCATTCTGAGCGCTACCGCCACCATTGGAGGCAGAGGTAACAGCGGTCTCTGTGTCTTCGGCTTGCAGATAAAGACAACCCAATTGTTGTAATACTTTGGCGTGTTGAGGATTCACCTGTAACACTTTCTCGTAGGCCGCTTTGGCACCGGCCCAGTCTTTCATTTGCTCAAAAACCGACCCAATCTGGAACCAAACATCGGGTTGAGTCAAAGGATGAGGAGGATTATTGAGAATATATTGGAAACATTCGAGCGCCGATTGCAATTTGCCTTGATGGCCGTAGATGATCCCCAAACGAAAGTAAATCTCATTCGACTTTTCAAACTGTGGATCTAATCGTAACACTCTGACAAACGCTTCTTCGGCGTATTCCAATGAACCATAACGATCATACAAAATCCCAATTCCATGCCATAATTTGGGCGAGTTGGGGTTCTCCAAATAGTACAACGCACTTTGGTACGCAGCATATGCTCTTTGCAAGTCGTCCAACATTAAATAGCAGTGGCCCAAGAGCCCCCACGTTTCACCGTTTTCAGGGTTAAAGTTTAATGCTTGTTCGTAGAACTCGGCAGCCTTGAAGAATACATCTTTGGAACGGTAAATGTTGGCTAATTTGGTCAAGATCTCGGGGTTGTTGGGACAATGTCTTAAGGCAGCATCATAGGAGGTGAGTGCCTTTTCTAAATCTCCAAGTGACTCAGCAAGTGACCCAATGGCTAACCATGTGGCTGCTGTTGTTTCGGCCAATATAGCCGCTGGTTCATTTGCATACATCGCCTGAGCTTGTGCTTGTGCTTGCGCCTGTGCTTGTGCTTGTGCCTGTGCCTGTGCCTGTGCCTGTGCTTGTGCTTGTGCCTGTGCTTGTGCCTGAGCTTGAGCTTGAGCTTGAGCTTGAGCCTGAGCCTGAGCCTGAGCCTGAGCCTGCGCTTGAGCTTGGGCCTGGGCTTGAGCCTGGGCGTGTGATACTGCTTGTGTTTGAGCCATGTGTGCTGCTACAACTGGACTATGAACTGGTAGCTGTTGCTGCGAAGCTGGGGGTTGGGACAGCGGCTCCAGTTGTGATTGTTGTAGTTGTTGTTTCTGAGGGAGGAACTGTGGTGATTGGGGCTGGGCCTGAATGGAATTCGACAGAAGCTTTTGTACGGATGCCAGGTCCAGTAGTACGATTGGGTGCTGTTGCTGTTGTAGTTGTGGTAGATGATGTAGATGATGATGGTGTTGGTGTTTCAACATTATAGCGCAGGGAATATTTTTGTGCGAACGGTAATTTTTTGAACCGTCAACGAAAAAAAAAATTAAACAAAATAAAATAAAAAATAAAATATAATGCAATGCAATAAAGTAATGTAAAATTAGAAAAAAAAATAAAATTGTCTATACCGTTCTGATATCAGTCACCCGCAATTTAGCTGTAACTACCAGAATAAACCGACAAAAAGTAGTCAGTGTCTGATGTAAGCTGTTACTACTCTGCTACGGAAAGGTAGCTTCTGTAATGCTATGCTATGCTGTGCCGTGCTATGATACGTTCTGTCAGCCTGACTCAATTGTATACCTGCTAAGACAGGTGCTTGTATGACTTCAACGCTGTTATTGGTACCGCTGAATATATGACTCTACTGTACAGGTAGTCAAGCGACCATACTCGCATTATTAAGCAATGACCCTAAAAAGATTCTATTTAGAAAAAAAAGTATGCTGAAGAATATGCTGATGAACATTCTGAAGAATATGTAATGTACTGCAGTGTAATCCTGCTCGCTGAGTGGGTATACCTCCGCCTCCGGGATTGCTCGTCCTAGTGTTTGGCCAACTTCTTCACGTATATATATATTCCGTTTCCAAGCTCAGCCGTGGTGTAGGGGTGTGGAGATTAAAACTACAATGATGTAACACTACTTATATTTTGCGTACACTTAAGTTAATCTGTTCATTTGTTATGGTCTACTAAAGAGCGAATACTATAGTGTGTGGATTAATATTTTCTTTATTATATTTTCTAGCAATCTTTTTTGGCATCTTAGTATACATGTGTTATTTTGCTCGTCGTATATCTGCACCATGCTTCTGACCATCACCAGTGTACCATTGCAAGAGGTCATAAAACTAAGAAAAGGTAAGGTCGTGCGCGGGTCGGGTGGTTCAGTTTTTAGCTTCAATTATTTAGATATGCCAATGTTTGATAAGATTCTAAAGTTTACAAATGCCATATACTGTACACCACAAAAGGATTGTCTCTATGACCAACTTAGAGAAACAAGCGCGCAATACAAAACTGGAATAGAAACTGCCGAAGCATTGGGTCTGCTCCTCGTAAAATCCCTCCTTTACAATACATGTGGAAAAATCGATAAGAATACATTAAGATACATATATACATATATGCACTTACGCATTGATATGCTGTATCTTGACCGACATCTTTAAATAGCAGGGAAGCTAATTTTGACATACAAATGCAACCATCTCTATAATCGATTTAAACGGTCATACTAAAATGTTGCTTTAAAACTTTCTTCTTCTGTGATGGAGTGATTCAAACTCTTAGTCATGGTGGGGATTACAGCCTAGACCATTTTTCATCAGCATATTTTACAACCCTACGGTTTCTTTTTGCCCAAGCAAATAAGGAACATTGCAGGGCAGACTGGAGTCTTGCTTAGTTAGTTGCTATTGTTTATTGTTCGTTCGGCACTTATTCAAGCATTATGCCACAATATCGGGAAGAGATCATCCACGCGTTTCCCACTCAGTAACACAAAAATTACCACCAGGGGTTTCTCAGCCAATAATTGACAGCAGTGCCCGAGAACCAATGGGGAATCTGGATAAGAATAAATTGAAAGGCCCTTTCAAAATATCAAGTTTCGCGAACTGAAGTTTGGCTATCATTAGTTTAGCAGCGTATCAGTCGTAGACGATACTATGCCATAGTTACATTAGAAGTATGTATCACATATGGTTGATCCTGGTGGTTCACCAATGGTATTTTTTATGTGTCATATGCGTGGAACTTATGTGGGCTTATGCTAATGTATAAAAGAATCCAACACCATCAACTTAACAACTTTCAAGCGCCACATTCTAGTTTGAACATCTATGGAATTGTAGCCAATAGTAATCCACAAAGATATTCGAATGAGGACTGTTCAGTGCCAAAGATTAGGGAGTATAAGGTTCCCTTTTGGGAAATATTGTATACACATGAATGGTGTCAGTTCGGAAATATGGTCGGCGATTACCTGGCATTCAAAGATTCTCTTCAACAATCTGAAGAGTGTATGCGAGGGGGTTGCTAATTTAGGTGTTACATTTTGTACTTTAACTTGGACAATACAATAATGGTAATAGGGGTTAATTTTTCGACAGATTATAAGGAAGTTTCGGGGTATGCAAAGAAACAAGTGTACATGAAAGACATAAATGTTTTATTCGGAGATAACTAACGAACCCTATTTAGAGTGCAATAGTCAAGTATTGGGTTATTGATATAGCATCCTTTACGCAAAAGGTTTGTTTTGGAGATCCATTTATTGGTAAATTTCATCTGGCTTCAAATTCATTTAACAAAGGTGGCGAGTGTATGCAGAACGTCCTCTAAGAAATACACAAAAACCATACCAGATCCATTTAAGAGAGGGAGTAGAAATAACTTGTTAGATGAATCAAGGTAAGAGTTGCATATAAGAGTCACGTGATACTCGCTATACCCCAAGGATTAAATGATATAATAGTACAGTATGTATTTATTCACAATATGTAAAATGGATAATTGTTCATTAATCACTTCATTTTTCGGAAGCGCCTTTAGCCGAAGCCCTGAACGAAGAATTAAAGCCTAACAATTCATTAATATCTTTAGTCCAATCATTCTGTGACCGGGCCACACACCAAATTCCCTTACTGGGTTTATTAGTGTTGCTCTTAAGAGACGAAGAGGTACCAGACGTCTTTTCGGAGTCATCTACAGGTGAACCACGAGCATTGCGGACTGCACCTTTTCCGCCGGGTTCGATCACGTGATCAAACTCACTCTTCTCCAAAAACAGTTTAGGTGGTTCATGTTCACCTTTGATGAAGATAGTTCCATTTTCACTCACAACATGGATTTGGTCACCAGGACGCAAGTCATTCTGTGGGATCCCATCGATGTTTAAACGTACGCCCACATTTCTATTCCGTTCGGAGAATTTTATCATCACATGTGACGTCAGTGGTAAAAGCAATGGTCTAAACAGTAAACTCCGAGGACAAATGGGAGTTAGCAAAATACATGGAACCAAAGGATGAGTGATCGAACCACCTGCACTAAGTGAATATGCTGTTGAACCAGTAGGAGTAGCAAAGATGACACCATCTGCAGTGGTTGTGGTTAGGAATTCGTTATCAATATAAATTTCCAAAGCGCATAAATTGGGTTGTCCTCCACGATGAAGAGAAATATCATTCATGGCTCTTATAACTTGGATTTTGGGATCTCCATGGACATCATCATTAATTTCATGTTCTTCTTGCTTTCTAATGCTATCGATATCGGATTTTTCCAAAGCGGCACTCAGAGGTTGTTTCCGAATAATATGACACTCTAGACGAGTCCGATGTAACACTTTGGCTCTGCTTTGATAAACAGCTGCAAAACTATCTTCGAAAGTCTTGAAATCAAAGGGTAAAAGGAACCCCAAGGTTCCCAAGGCAAACAGGAGAATCGGTGGAACGGAACTACCTGAAAACATAGATACAGCCCTGAGAATTGTCCCGTCACCTCCCAAAGTAACAATTAAATCTGTTTTATTAACAATCTCCTGTTGTGAACCTGTGTATATCGGGATCAAGTTATGTGAGGTTCCCAAAGCTGTGAACTTATCTACAACAACGTCACCAGACCCTGTTTCGGGTCTATTATCGGCAATTTCCTCTTGTTCATCAATCGTACTACCCTTTGCTGCCACGCGACTGTTTATGTTTGGTGAATCAATCAACTCCTGAGCCACGTCCTCGTTAACCACAATGTTAACACTGGGATATCGATCAGTCACATATTCAATGAATTGACGCATAGCCAGCGTGACGCTATCATTCAGAGGCTTTTTCGCCACATAGATGTTTTGCAATGCTCGAGTCCATATGAGCAGGTGGAGCTTCAGATGAGGAAGAGCCACATATTCTGGGGTTGTAGAACTGGGAAGCGATTCCACCAGATGGATTTTAAATTGAGAATGATGACTCCGAATAAGCAGGCGAGGCCGAAGATGGTGTCCTATTAACCTGGCTCGCATTAAAGCCTTTGGCGGATGTATCTTCATGGATGAACGCAATTACTATTGTACTGTGTTTTAGCCTTGCCTAGGGTGAGCACCTGTTTGAACTCCTGTTTGAACTTCTGTTTGAACCTTGCCTAAATGGAAACTCGAATGTAAAGTAGCGCTCTCTGTCTAAGGGAGGTGTTTAGTCATGTACTGTGGCTCTGAATATCCTTCTGCTAAGGAAGAAACAGCAAGGTCGACAATTGAGAGGATGACTCAATTTTTCTGACGTGGGGAGATCATGTTCCCGAACAGGCAGGGGCCAGAGGAGACCTTCCTAAATGGGGTGTGCGGATGTATTTTCCCTAAAGTCCGAGCGGATTTTAGTCCATGATTAACGTTAACTTTTACATACAAACAAACAAAACAATTAAGTAAGCGTATATATATTTTAATTATTTATCTATGACTCCATTTCCACGTCAGCCTCATTTAAGGCATCGAGCTCACGGATTTCTTCGTCTGTTAACTCCACTCCCCCATCATGATTATTTCCGTTTTCCACGGCGGTGGAAGCCAGGGCTGTAGTAGTGGGTGCTTCTGCTGCTTCTGCTGCTATTTCTGAGGATGCAGTATTGGCTGCTGCAGGAACTGGTACGGCTTCGGTGGCTTCAATTTCTGGCTTTGACTCAGTTTCTGGAATAATTGTGGAGGGTTCTGGAGTTGATGGGGCTGTTGTACTATTTGCAGTTCCATTGCCATTTATTCCATTTTCCATATGAATATTCTTCTCTCCAGGGTCCTTTTCATCATCATCGAAAAACTCATTAGGACCTTCAATAGTTTCGTCTCTGGCTTGTTGAGATCCACCTTTGGTGTCAATAGCTTCTTTGGTGTCTTCTTCAACATCACCTTCGTCTTCAGGATCATTGGGAACGTAATTCATTTGTACCGAAGGTGCATGTTTTGTATTCTCCAAGTTTGCAACGATATTAGTCAATATTTTGTTTAAAAACTCCGGAGAATTATAATTGTACATATTTGAAGGCCTGACATCCAATTTATAATCAGGTCCGTAATATTCATAGTACTCATTATAAGGCAACTCCAGAGGTAACAACACATTGTTTAATAGTCCACTTTCATAAGTCCATGTTCTACTAACGTTTCTCATAGTGTACCCTCCACCACCAACAACCATCATGGGAATGCCAAACAGTTTCACAAAGTTAACACAATTAGCATGGCCTTTCATAGACAAATTGAAACATCCCAAACGATCTCCACTTAATGAATCTCCACCACATTGCAACACCACCGCACTCGGTTGATACCAATCCATGATTTTTTGTACAACGGGTTCAAAAATGGATTTATAAGTAGCATCATCGATACCATCTCTCAAGGGAATATTAACTGCGTGATGTTTCCCCTTTCCTACACCGATATCTCTCAATTCACCGGTTCCGGGGAAGAACTCCCCATATTTATGGAAAGAACATGTCATAACTCTGTCAGTGGTATAGAAGGCTTCCTCAACACCATCACCATGATGAACATCAATATCAACATAGAGAACTCTTGGATGGTACCGTAACAATTCAATAATACCCAATACAATATCATTCAAATAACAAAACCCAGAAGCTTCTGATTTCTTTGCATGATGTAATCCACCAGCATAATTAATAGCAACATCACATTTCCCTCTGTTCAATCTCGCAGCACCTTCCATTGAACCACCTCCACTAATTCCACAGTACTCAAATAACCCATCGAAAACAGGGCAATCATCACCAACATTGAATTTTATTTGTTCCTTAGCAAACATCTCCAAATTATCCGGGGTCACTCTACTTAAAAAATCAATGTATTCATCGGTATGAAATTGACACATTTCTTGTTTGGTGGCAGGTTTGGCCCGGTAAATCTCCATCTTCTTGTACAATCCATAGTTCATAATCAAGGAGTGTGCCATTCTTATACGGTGAGGTTTCATTGGGTGTCCTGCCCCATAAGCGTAGTTACCAACGTCTGCATCGTAGAAATAAGCTACTCGTTTCTTTTGCGTGGGATCCACTTTAAGATCGTCAAAAGGTAACTGCACATACATATTGAACTTCTAATATCTTATCTTATCTAATCTAAACTTATCCACTTAAGGAAACCCCCGTCCTTATAAAAACTCTTAGTGTGTCAAGTGATAAAAGTCACTACTAATTTTTGTGTTGATTACATTTTTTCATTAACTAATTATCCCAAGTGGGTTACCCGCACTTGAGAAACTATACCATATCATTTCCCATAGTAACTGGAGAGACGGCTCCATCATCACCCTGTTGACGGTTCAGTATCAACTTATTCCTGTAGCTCTGTAGCTGGTCATCTAAGCGGTCCTGCAAAAAGACGTTGCGACACCAATTCTCATAAGTGATGGGGTCTATTTCAAAATTAATTCCGTTATTATAGCTTTTAGGAACCAATTGAGTTGAAGTGGCATTAATTGGTAACAACCATTGACTCCAAGAATCGCCCATCACCTGACGCCAATTCTCTCGCCATCCTAGATTGTATATATTTCCCAATTTCTTGCGTTTACCCAGAGAATCGTATTCAAAGCTTCTTCTGGCCCCATCATCACTTTGGAACTCAATGGTGGTAACGTTCTTCAACACAAGATAAGTCAGAAATATCGCAAAAGTAGCAACGGCTAGAGTAAACGCTATGGACACAACAAACAACATCACACTATTGATAGAAAGAAATTCTTCGTTGGCATACAGTTGTTCCTGCCACAAGAATAAATATAAATTGTAGAAGCTTACCACAAAGCATATGAAACTGAAGGCAGTGACATAATAAAGATATTGAACAAAATATTTATGATTATGGAAACCAATGCAACAGGCAAACCATGGACAGTGATGGTCCATTCGGAGAATGCACCGTCGACAACTGGAGCAATGATGCGCTCTATCTGGTTTCCACACCTGACATTTGAGACACAGGTTGAGACCTCGGTGCCCTCGTCTATGCAAGGGATGCTGTTCCATGATGTGTGTTGGAGGAGGCTCTATGGGGTCTACTGACACACCACTGTTTGATTTGAGGGAACAAATCCCTTGTGATGAGGGTTGTTCAGATTGAGGTAAAGGAATAGCTGGAGCTGGATGATCACATTGATTTGACACAGCAACTACGTCCTCTGTATGTGGTAAAAGTGACTCTTCTTCTGGGTTTGATACCTCGGAACCAGAGCCTAGACCTGCTTTCCGGGTATGATATCGGAGTTCTGGATGGTCTAACGGAGATCCTGGACCAACCCAAATAATCTTAAAATATGTATATATGCCTAGGAGACAAACTCCCCAACCTGTTAGCTCCGTAAACCAAAACCAGAACGGAGTTAAGCCGAGGTAAAGTATGGTGATATGGTAGGCGGAAATGGCCCATGCAAATAACAAAGTGGTGAGAACTTTAGGAAATAATGACAGTATCGTGCTCAATATGTCCGTCTCCGCCATGATATGCTTTGCTATCAAGTGAGGGTGTTGAATTAGCATGGATAGAAGAGTGGCATATAGGTGTTTGAAATGGCGGTGATGATTGCTTAAACAACGCGAAAGATGGATGGCTTACGTAAGCAAACAAGCATTTTTACTTTATGTAAGAGATAAAAGTACCCCAAAAGTGGTCCCTACCAGGGAATTAGAAAAGGAAGTAAGCTATTTGGGATAATAGTCAAGCTAAGTGAGGTTTAGATATATGCTGTAACCTTTCCTTGTAGTGTTCTTGAATAGGTGGAAGTGGTAAACCGGATCTCTTTATATAAAGGATGCTAAGAAGGTACAACAACAACAACTACAGACTGTATACATAAACAACAGCCGTATACTTAGCTGATCTGATCATCAATAATGACATTTCTTGTCTTATTTTGTCTTGAGGGTTTCAATTAATATTATTATGGGGTTAAAGTATATATCACGAAGTTTCTCGGTTGGACCCTCGGAAATGGTCCTTTCTACCAATAAGAATCACGTGAATAATATACTGAAATTAACTTCTAACTCTATAAGTAATCCTTAGGTACAATTCTATTACGACTTCTTCATTTTAGTCGTGCTTTTAGTGGATAATATCTTCAGCAAAGCTTCATATCCAATTCCTCCAAACACAAGAGCAACACCAATCCATTGTCTCATGTTTAAGTAGTGGCCAAACAACACCACACTTAAAATCATGCTGATCATCTTCCGAGTAACTGTGGCTGTAACTAACACGAGCGAATCAAACTTCTCAAGAATTATAAATACAAATACTTGACCCACTGCTCCTAACGCCGCAAATGATACGACGTTCAAAAGTACTTCTGGGTATCGGTGGATGAACCCAACCGTATACTTGATCTGGTTAAAATTGAAAAGAATGGTATAGCCAGCAGTAAGAACAAATACTAATAAGTTCAGCACTGTCATCAATGTAGCACCCGTGACTTTGGCTTCAAGTTTAGTGGTACGTTGTAATTTGAAGATCTGATCTTGAGTGGAATTCATGAGTCCATCCAAGATCATCGATACTGCCAACAAAAACACTCCTAAAATGGGATCATTATCATCAACTGACAAGGCTTGCTTCTTCTTTGAATGTGCCAATGTAAATACAGCAACTCCAGCAGTCACCATAAGCGCAACCACATGTTTCTCCAACAGAAATCTAGTGCGATAGAGTGCAGTGTGGACTATCATCACCGGAATTAACTTGCAAGACTTTGCCAACAAGTAAACCAAGTAATCAACGTGTTTCATCAGTTGATAGCCAATAGGAGATGAAATTGAAGATGTTAGGGCCACCAAACAAAAGTATCGTAGCAACTTATTCCCAGTTTGTCCATCATTCTTGGTGAACACATCAAAGGGGTTGCGTTGATAAGCTACTAAGGAATAGAGCAGTCCTATTAAGGCTGCAAACAAGGCCTGGGCCGCGTTAACCACTAATGAAGCGTTAAAGAAGATTGGTTTACCATATTCATCAACTCCATATGGTATGGTATTGATTCGCTCTTGAAGAACAGACCACGACACAAACGACGCGTAAAGACCAATAACACAGCCTACCAATAATAAAGCAGAGCCTCCATGTTTCCGAGTCATGGTGGAGGCAAACACGAAAACACGACTAACGGTAATGCTAATAGTAAGAGTAAGAGTTTAACAGCAATCCATAAAGGTGACACGGTTTTCCATATTTTTCAAAGCGCGGAACATACTTACTGTTTTAGGAAGGTAGAGCGGGTCATACATTCAAACTATGGCTCATTAAATTAGTATATACATTCAAAATCAATTTCTACCTCCGAAAATACCGAAAAAACTACTTCCACCACGTTTTTTCTCATCATCGGCAACAGAAGCTTCATTGGTAGCTTTGGGTGTAACAATGGCAGATTTGGTTCCGGTTTGAGAATAATTAATGTAGTTGAACGCAATATCAAATAACACAGGCTTGCTCAATATAGGACGCAAGGAGATGAAATCAAAAGAATCTCTGTTATCAGAGTAACTGTTGATGTTCTCCACGATTGTTGTCTTCACTGGCGGTTCTGCTTCGTGTTGTAAATATGCACCAATGTGAGTATCATGAAGTTTTTGTTGCATTCTAGCAATGAAAGCTTTGAAAGTGGACTCAGAAACAACGGGATATGGTAGCGAATCGATAGCTTTGAGATTATCAGCTTTGAGGTCAAGCTGTTTGTTAATTAAATTGTAGAGCTTCAATGCCTTTTTGAATTCTCGTCTAACTTCAAAGTATTGACCGTGGAACAGTAACTTTTTGGCACTGAAATACTTCACCAACAGCTCTAATGAAGCATACAATTCTTCATCGTTGTAAACACCTGGTAATTCCTTCACTTGTTCAACAATGGCTATCATATCTGAAAGAACCTTGATTTGGAAAGTACATTTAGCTTGCCTAAGGCCCGAGCCATTGGTGAAAGTATCGGAATAATCATTCAAAAGATTATTTGTGTTCTTTAATCTTGCAAACAATTGATTGTAGTTGATGTATGTCTTAACAATCGCATTATTTTGAACCTTCTCAATGTCATCGTCGTCTTGACTTTCACTACTAGTAAATAAGTCAAGAGCAGTTGACCAAGCATCACTTACTTGATCCATATCATCGTGTGACATTTCTTTAATGGTCATGATTTTCCTTGCCAATTCGTCATTATAAAGCACAGCTTCATGTCCTCTCCAATTTACGGACCGTGTTAAGTCAACTTCAACATAGGAGGTGAAACCTGTATAATTTTCATCAATTATTTCTATTGCAGGAACCAAATAGGGAACCAAGTTATCGTGGCATCTTTCCCGAGACAAGGCAGTTAAATCCACCAGAGCAGACTTCAACCCTTCTTGGATAACAGCAAATTTGGTTGAAGGAATCACCGTATTTTCAAGTAAATCTGTTAAAATGGTTGAATCAAAAGCGTCAGCAGATTCACTCAAGTTATCAAGTAAAAGATCTAGACAACATCTGGCAATTGAGTACAGATTAATTGCAACAGACCAATGCTTTCTAATAATGGCGTAGAGTCCCTGTAACAGAGCCCCGTAAATGTAGTATTCAAGTTTCTTCAAATCAGATAAACTACCAAAGATATCTAAGATTCTCTTGAAGTTACAAATGGCTCTCTTAAGTCTGGTTCTCATCAACTTCATATACGAGGAAGCTCCTGCATTGGCAACTTCAAGCTTAGCTCTGATTTCCATGGCATACAAATAATCTCTTTCCGCCATCAAGAGGAAAACCGTACCGTATCTTTCGTCCCTATCAAAGTCTTCCTTGGTAACGTTCTTGGTCTTATCATGGCTCAGAAAGTTTCTTGTGTCTTTTGTTACTAACAGTAACTCTTTCTTCAACGCTAACAATTCTCTGCCAACTCTTTTTCTGTGTCTGCGATAATCGTCTGCACTTTCAAGATCGGCCCTCATCCGAGAGCCTATAGCACGGTTGAGCGGCAGTTCCATAGTTGATATTGATCTGTGGTCATACACACCTTGACGTAGTAGTGAAGAATTTCTTCAACATCAAAACTAGATTTTTTCCGCGACATTAATCTTGTGCGACATTAATCTTGTGCGACATTAGAGCATTTGAGTAGGCTGCAAATTGCAACAGTTAAAGTCCATAATTTATAACAGCTACTAGACCCTCAAAGAGTTACATTAGACTGGAAAAAGACCTGATAACTATATAAAATTTTCAGCTCAATCATCACAAAGAATATCGCCAAGTCTCTTTGGAACATATCAACCATTATTTACAGATATATTTTGTTACGTTACAAGGCACAAGCAAGTACTTTGTATATAATAAAACTAAAAATGAAATCTCAAGATTATACCTGCAGACCCCATAGATATGAGATACGAATTAATTACTGATGAACTCGTTTCAAAGTCTTTACCAATAATTCTCGCAGGTATTCAGACTTATTTCATTACTTCTGTTTGGTTGATTGGAAATTTCGATTCCCTTGGACAATTTACATCATTATTGAACGTGATGAGGGAAGCAGATTTGTCTTGTAAATACAAGAACAAGCACTCAGCTTTTTGGAATGATTTCAAATATTACTGAAGTCACAGAGGAGAAGAGAATTGAAGAATGGGTTGACACTATTAGACGCGATATACCGGTTGATTGCCATGGTAAAAACCAGGGCCTATACAAAGTCTTGGAGGAATGTCGTCTAGACATTCATAGGAATACTCTACTTGTTTATTCTCGGCTTGTTGAATTGGATGAACAATGAGGACAACTATCGCTCATTGTTAGAGTTTGAAAACTCTTCTCGTTTGTCTTTGTTTGGTGGTATCATTGAATGACGTATTTAACGATAAGAATTCAATTTTTGGAATCGTGGAATCTATGGGAGTTGATTCTTATGACTTTTTTTATAGGCTTTCTTCGATTTTAATAAACTCCTTTTATTATGGTTACCGTTCTTGTTTGGATTTTAATTCCCTTGATTTGTTAAACTCGATTGATATTGTGGAAAAAGACTCTGATGATAAGAAAAATTGAATTATAATTAATCGTTAGCCCTTTGGGCGAATGTTCCCAAGGTGTTGACCACTGCCTATGCGTTTGTTTACTAGGAGTTTGTTTAAATTTGTATATTGATTCAACCTTCGACTGACAAGCAAATTAGCAGGTTTTATTTAGGTAATATGCCTCGATCTAAGCCGACTTTTGGTTTGGAAAGTGATTTTATTTCAGGTATTACCAGTCAATGAGTCATTTACTTTCAAACTCCTTTCTCCTCATAGGAGAAATAAAGTAGAATACTTCTTGAAGGATTTTGATACAGCAAAATTTACTTTAAATGACCTTAAGTTTGAACCCAAGCTGGCTGATAAGTACCGTTGTGGGCTTCGTATGGTTGTTAATGATAAAGGTGAGCCATACGTCCGGAATAACATACTAGATCAACCAATTATCCCAGAAGAATACAACCCAAAATATTATTTTAGTGCAAAGTTACTATTAAAATATGCAATTTTATGCCCATCAAGGCTAGCTTTCACCACGACTTTAGTGGCTTCCTCTGTACACCAACATAGCTGATATTAGAAAGACATGAGAAACACTTTCTGCTTCAGAGTCTTTGCTGCTTCAGAATACCGGTACCACCAGCACGAGGCTCTCTTGTACCAACGAGGTCCCCCAACTGATTTGCTTGGTTATTGAACCAATTATATGGGTCGTGAATTTTGGGTGCAAAAAATGAAACCCATATAAATGGCGCGCAATCTACCCTAATATATTTGTTGACAAATGTTTTCTTCTTCCTTTTCTACTTTAACATGGGTAGGCTTTCCTCAAAGCTACAAAGTATGAAAGAACAGGTACATAGCTCAAGGTTCTTTCGTTTGTTCTCCAAGCATCATGTATTTAATCAGCAGTGTATCATTGATCTGGCGGTTAACACTAAGACTGAAAAGGCTAAGGCTGACGTAGGTCAAACGGATGCTCCCAGTTTAAAGTCAATGATAGAGTCAGATGCTAGCCCATTGGAGTCGATCCGTACAAATTTAATAGCCGGCGCCAACAATTATAAGTTTTCTTTGAACGTGTCATCAGTGAAGATTTACTATAGCCGCCTTCAGGGCTGCTTTCGTTATAAAGATGGCTGGGTTGTACCGTTGGGTTACTTGAAGTTTCGTCGACGACATAATCAAATTAATTGTAACCTAGTTTGACATTTTGACATTGACACATCTTTTGATTATAACGGACAGCATTTTACTTCAGACCCAAACATTTTAAATCATCGGTATACTTCCTGGAATTGCATGGAATGTCAGAAACTAATGTCCAAGTTGTCAAATATCCGCGCTCTAAATAACCTGATGACTTGTGTGATTAAAGAACGGCATTTTATAGGTCATGGAGGGTATATCCGTTGTTTTTGGCATTTGAACGAGGCCAAAGGGAATCGGTTACAGGTATAAGGTTGAAAATTGGAAGGGGTACACAACTTATCGATGGTGATGAACTATATGATCGGGGACCTTCAATTCATGTATGAATCCGGGGCGGCAAACGTTAAGTTGAAGACCACCTAGATAAGTCGTCTATTGGGGTTAGTATGGGTTTCAATCACCTTGATCAATTTGAGAGCCAACAACGTCGCTCCTCCGTGGTTGATCCTAATATCTTCTACCAAGTGTATCTACCTGTGTCCCTCAAGGTACACAGTACTCTGATCCTCAACCATTTTTGCATGTTACTGAGAGGTTAACACAGTTATTTCTTTCTCTTATATATGAAATCTCAATTCTCTGATATTATTTTATTGTACCTTCGTAGAGCACTGCTGTATTATGTGCAACACAGACTACATGGCATAACTGTGTTGATGATGATTTATTGGTTTATTGGGTATTGAAGACTTGGCGTTCTCTTATAATTTTGCACCCAAGTTACTGCAAAATATTATACATTTTATATGATTAAGTATTAGAAAATGTCATTAATTAAAGTGTCAAATTGCCGGCACTAGAAAGTTGCTGCAAATAGACAACAAAAATACACTGAGCTGGCAGTAAGGGAATATCAAGCCGACACCATGATATGAAAACGTCCTGCAAAAATTAAATAAATATCGGCAAAACACCGACAAAACACCGATTAGACACCGACCAGCTGTTCAAAGAATATTCAGGCAACAAACAAATACCGAGAAGACACTTAGTACACAGCGACCAGACACTGATCAGACAGCAAGCAGACATTGAGTAGCAACAAATATACTCGGGTCATAATTAGATATAGGACAGGAATTAACGCCAAATAAAATTTCAAAATCTGTTTAATTCAAATTCCATCATATTACACAAGACCCGAAACAAGTAGCTTCAGTGACACCATTCGTTTCGGGTACCTTTGATCAACATCACCATCTGCAAACAAGTTCCCCACTTTTATGAGCTTCATCATTCCTTAACTCCACACACCTCGGATGTAATAAAGCACTTTTTCCAGCAATATTAACTATTAATGCTTTTTATTTGGACCTCTTGTCCAAGCTCCCTTCGATCTCATATTAATCACTCCTAACACACCATGCTTCATTCGTCTCATATAAACTTCCTTTTGTCTGGCAGTGAATTGGACTCTGGAATCACTGAAAAGTGACGCTATAGGTAAAGGAGCCCAACCAATATCGACATCAGGATTTCTTCTTCGTTTCCGATGGGGCCTCCCCTTAGGAAGCTTACTATTCCTATCTGTACTCAGAACAACTAGTTCCAATTCAGCCTCGTGACATTGTAAGAGGGCTTCACTGACAGAGTAGGGCGTAGGAAGAGCAGCTAGACTCAACTTCCCAATATAGGGACCCGATTCGTCGTAAGGATATACAAAGATTTTACCCCTGTCTGGATTTGAATCTGCTTCCGATTCTCCTCGCCGTATATTACGAGAAGGCAGCGGAAATTGATACTGTTGAAATACCGGTGTTGCCAAGTACAGGTCATGTAATGGCTGATTTGGTGGTTGTTGTGACGGCTGAAACAATTGCAGTTGAATAGAGTATTCAGGGTGCAGAAGTTGTCGCTGGTGAATTTGGTTTACCTCTTCAAGGTGTAAGTTCCCTTGATACTGGGCTGAATTGTATTGAAGCTGATATAGTCCATTTTGAGATTGTGGTGGTCTTTGTAGTGGTTGAATCGTTGGATCTTGAGTCAAATTTGGACTTGAAAATATTTGTGAAATCAGTGATGTCTGACGTTGATGATTCGTCACGTATTCGTTCTCATGGAATAGATGTTCTTCAGACCCATATAGTAAGGTTGGTCTGTCTTGTCCAGAATTTTTCAAATAAGATGTTGTTTCAGTCGCTGGGATATTCCATTGACCCCCTGTATCATAAATCCAATTTGAACTGATTTGCAGCAGCTGCAGATGTCGGTGAGTCGGGTATACTTGCTGTGGTGCATGAGAAGGATATGCTTGTTGCGGAGACAGATGTTCCAATAATTTCCTTTCGTCTTCACTAATCCATCCCAGAGTAAAGTTAGGCATATCTTCACTACCGTTGCTTCCAAAGTTGGACATTGGCACAGCTAGAGATGCTTTTCACAGCCAAGTAACCGTGCACATCTGCACAAATATCCCTATATAAACGTTAATATTAAATATTGAAGTCCAACGGCTCTTTTTCCTTAGCAGAGCAAAGTTTTAAAAAAACCATTCCCAATTTGGTTCTTCTTTGAGTTCAATTCAAGGGTAATGGCTGAAGCAGAGTGAAGTAGGTGGCTGCAACTTTGAACGCGAGGACCGGCACATACCGAAGGTCGGCAATAAAAAATAAATAGAAATCATGCAGACTGAGATTAAATTCCGAGGGTGGATCAGGTGAGTCATACGTTGCAATCGCCGATACCGGTGAAAAATTTCAATCTTGAAAACTATGAGGTCTAATCATGATATTTTAATCACCAGTTTCTTCTCCACTAATACCAACATAGTTTGTCGATGCAAGTCGTCGTCCGAAGACCAAAGTCGGCATTGTTAAGATGCAGTGCCGTATTTGCATCTCACTGCTTACCCAAGTTCAACAGTACTACAACCAAGTCATACTTTGAACAAAAGTATCCAGAATTATTAGACACTGATTATTTATCCGAAGGGAAACCGGATTATGTTAAGCTTATCTTAACTTCAAGAGTGTATGACGTTGTTGATAGGGCAGGTTCCCCTTTAACATATGCGGTCAATTTATCCCATAGATATGGTACCAATATTCATTTGAAAAGAGAAGACTTATTGCCAGTATTTTCATTCAAATTAAGAGGTGCCTATAACATGATTGCACAACTTAATCTGAGACCTCTGTCCAAGCTTTCAGGTGTTATTGCATGCTCAGCTGGTAACCATGCTCAAGGTATAGCCTTCTCTGCCAACAGATTAGGAATAGCTTCAACGATTGTGATGCCAACGGCCACTCCATCTATAAAGTATACCAATGTATCCAGATTAGGATCCCAGGTTGTATTATTTGGAGATGATTTTGACTCCGCCAAACAAGAGTGTTCTAGATTAGCAGAACAAGATTCTTTAGTGAACATTCCACCTTTTGATCATCCCTATGTCATTGCTGGTCAAGGTACAATTGCATTAGAAATCACCAGACAATTACGATTAGATAAATTAGATGCTATTTTCGTCCCTGTTGGAGGTGGAGGTTTAATAGCTGGTATTGCTTCGTATATAAAAAAGCTTGCTCCTCATGTTAAGATCATTGGTGTTGAAACTTATGATGCTGATGCCCTTTATCAATCTTTACAAAAAGATGAAAAGGTGGTATTAGATCAAGTTGGTTTGTTTGCTGATGGTACAGCAGTTAAAGTCTTGGGTGATGAAACTTGGCGTATTGCAAAAGATTTGGTGGATGATGTTGTTCGAGTCCTGACTGATGAATTGTGTGCTTCTATCAAAGATATTTTTGAAGACACTAGACTGATTGTTGAGCCTTCAGGTGCTTTATCAGTTGCTGGGTTGAAGAAATATATTCAACAAACACCAGAAATAGATCACAGCGATAAGACTTATGTTCCTATATTATCTGGTGCCAACATGAATTTTGATAGACTTAGATTTGTTAGTGAAAGAGCTGTTCTTGGTGAAGGTAAAGAAATATCATTGGCAGTTGAAATCCCAGAGAAAGCAGGTGAATTCCTTAAATTGCAAAACCTTATTGCTCCAAGAGCAGTTACGGAATTCAGTTATAGGTATTCCAATAATGATAAAGCCAACATTTTCATTTCATTCAATGTCATCAATAAGGTTAAGGAATTACCTAAAATAATTGAATCAATGACTAATGAAGGTTATAATTATTCAGTTGTTGATATTTCAACTAATGAATTTGCAAAGACTCATGGTCGTTATTTGGTTGGAGGTAAACCACCATTCGAAGCCGTTGAAAATGAAAGATTATTCCAATTTGAATTCCCAGAAAGACCTGGTGCTTTAACAAAGTTCTTACAAAACTTGAAATGTAACTGGAATGTTACCTTATTCCACTATAGAAACCATGGTCAAGATGTTGGTAAGATTTTAGCAGGATTCCTGTTACCCAAGGAAGAAGAAGAAGAATTCAGTCAATATTTGAAACGTTTGGGTTACCAATACACTGAAGAAACTGACAATATTTTGTATAAGAAGTTCTTGAAATAAGTATAATATAATATAATATCAATTTCCTCATTCATTTTTTCGAAGGAAAGCTTGGAAAGTTTCATGTCCAATTGAAACTCTACCAGAAGCTCTCATTTGTTTCTTCCCTTCCTTTTGTCTTTCTAACAATTTCTTTCTTCTGGAAATATCAGCTGCATGTAACTTTTGAGTAACATCTTTTCTTTTAGCTTTAATGGTTTCTCTAGCAATAATTTTATTGCCAACACGAGCTTGAATTGCAACTTCAAATAACTGAAATCGAAGAAACTCTTTAAATCTTACTACATTGGCTTTCCCTCTTTCCATGATTTGACTTTTATGCATAATCTGAGTTAAGGCATCTTGAGGAACTCCATTAACACATAATTCCATCTTCACAATACTGGCTTTCTTATAGCCACCATCCTCATAATCAAGTGATCCATATCCCTTGGTACAACCTTTAAGTTTACCAAAGAAATCCTCAACTAGATGAGCTAAAGGAATTTCATATTTAAGTAACACTTGACCCGTAGTTAAATATTCAAATTCCTTTTGAATACCTCTATTGTTTTCACATAAGGACATCACCACTCCTATATATTCTTCAGGTATAGTCATTATTGCCATGACAAAGGGCTCCATAAGGGCTTCTATCTTTTGCTTTTCATTGTTGATATCTGGGAACTCAGAAGGGTTGGTAATGGTCAATTCCTTACCATCTTTATACAAAATCTTATAGGGTACTGTTGGAGAAGTTAAAATGATCTTAGCTCCGTATTCCTTTTCTAAACGTTCTTGAAAAACTGAAGCATGTAATGAGCCAAGGAATCCCAATCTCCAACCGAGTCCTAAGGCATTGGAAGTTTCCTTCTCCAAAGTAACAGATCGATCATTAAGAACCAAATTATTCATATGATCATCCATAACTTTGAACTCCGTTCCGTCTGCTGGGAACGCACCCACAAAGACCATTGGTTTAGGTTCTTCAAAACCAGGTAAAGGTTCTAAACCTTCACTTTTACCTTGTTGGAAGAAAGTATCACCTATAAGAGCTTCACGGGCATCCTTCATCCCGGGAACTATATAACCAACTTGACCGGCTTTAATCGAGTCCATTGGAATCATATGAGGGTACATGATGCCCACTTCCTTTGCTTCATAACGTTTATTGGAATGAGCAGAAAGAAGTTTCATTCCCTTTTTAATGGAACCATCTACAACATGAACCAACATGACTACTCCAAGATACGAATCGTACCATGAATCCACCAATAACGCCTTCATTGGATGGTCTACTTTCCCCGCTGGAGAAGGTATCTTCTCTATAATAGAAGGGATAATCTTCTCGACGTTTAGACCAGTCTTAGCACTTACAGGTATACAATCTTCTCTTGGGAGTTCAAAAGTCAATTCTACTTGATCCATGGCCTTGGGGATATCCGCAGCATCCATATCAATCTTGTTGATAATAGGGATCAATTTAAGTCCCATACTATAAGCCAAATAAAAGTTAGCCACCGTTTGAGCTTGAACTCCCTGTGAAGCATCAACCAATAAGAGAGCACCTCCACATGAAGCATAAGATCTCGATACCTCGGCCCGAAAATCAACATGGCCTGGAGTGTCGACCAAATGCAATAGATAGTCTTGTTGATTTTGAGGATTGTGATAGATCATAGAACATGTCTGAGCCTTCACGGTGATACCTCTTTCTCGTTCAACTTCGAGTCTGTCCAACACTTGTTTGTTCTTTGACCCAGGTTGGATGACTCCGGTGAGCTCTAGAAGTCGGTCCGATAATGTCAGCTTCCCGTGATCAACGTGGGCCACTATGCTAAAGTTCCTATAATTTTCTATGGGGATTCTATTGATCCGATCTTGTACGGATAAACGGAAGTTTTCTTTATTCAATGCAATTCTTTTCTCTTCTAAGGTTTTGGTGGTCTTCAATCGGCATGCTGTAGAGAATAGCCGCCGTCTCCATCCACATCGTAGGATCATTGAAGTGTGGTGATGTTGGTGATGGTGATGGTGATGGAGATGGTTGAATAATTTTCAGTGCGAATTAAATGGAATGGTGGGGGTAGCAATTGGGGGTTACAATTAGATACATATCTACTTATTGGCTTCAGCAAACTTATTCACAAACTCAACCAACAATTCAACACTTTGTAAACTAACAGCATTATAAATAGAAGCTCGCATCCCTCCAACGGATCTGTGACCTTTTAAACCTGTCAATTTGTGTTGAGCAGCTTCTTCCAAAAACTTGGCTTCTAATTCCGGCGATGCCAATGTAAAGGTAACATTCATATTTGAACGGACTTTAGGGTTGGTCACGATCAACAGATATACATCTGGATAGTTTTGTAATGCTTCATACAAAATTTGTGCCTTTTGTTCATTGATCTTTTGAATGGCTGGAACACCACCATCTTTAAGTAACTTATCAGCAACCAATTTCAATATATGACAAGTGAAAATAGGAATTGTGTTATAAGCAGAGTTGTTTTTAACCACAGTAGGGTAATGGAAGGCAATGGGAACGAGTGGTAATCCAAGTGCACGTAATTCTTCATCACTAGCTTGTTCTAACAATGTTTTCTTGATGATGTAAATAGTCAAACCTGCTAACCCAATATTCTTTTGAGCACCAGCCATAATAAGACCATATTTACTAACATCTATGACTTTGGAAAACACATTGGATGACATATCAGCAACCAATTCAACACCTTCAGGTAAATATTCTGAGCCAGGGATATCTTTAAACTCCACTCCGTTGACAGTTTCGTTATCACAAACATATAAATAGGCTGTATCTTTGGAAATAGGTTTCCATTCAGAATAAGGAGGAATATCTCCAATGGTTTTATTAACAATCTCAACATCAAAACCTAATCTGGATGCCTCTTCAGCAGACTTCTTTGACCAAGTTCCAGTGACAGCATAAGCACCTTTACCCTTCTTGCCTGTTCTCTTAGCATAGTTAGCCAATAAATTATATGGGATGGAGGAGAACCCAGTGGTACCACCACCTTGCATGAAAAACACTTCGTGGGTGTCGGGAATGTTATACAATTGAGCAAATTTGGCCTTCGTATCATCAATAACCTTGATAGCTGGTTTTGAACGATGGGAGATCTCTCCAATCCCCAAGTTTTGGTTTTCGTAATTGATCAAATCATAAGCTGCTTCTTGTAAGACAGAGGTTGGCAATAAAGCTGGACCCGCACCAAAATAGTTGGGCTCTTCCCTATTCAAGGTTCTTGTTTCAGATGACATTGTTCTCAATGGCTTGAGCAAATAATATACACAGTGAGCTTTGATGCAATTTTTCACATCGGTATACTATTTTTCCCTTATATATAGTTCGCACCAGAATCGTGACTCCGGCTCTGACTCACTTTCAATGATGACTCTGGTCGGTGTGGTCTCACGGATCGACTCCTTGAATGTAATAGATAACCTCTACCGAATCAGAACCATCAACTAGACAATGTAGAACGCAAGCACCGTGGGAAACGAGTAGTACCACTCGTTTACAAGTTGAAACGATTTTGGAGGCTGCCTTCCAATCAGCCATTCGCAAGGTAATACCACTGGAATCATTAGACGAGACTGATTCAAAAGCCATATCGGCTTTATGTAGAGAATATCCAAGGCTTCCCTCCCCATATTGTGACGGTGGATGTGACGAAGGATGTGAGGATGTAGTCTCTGTTTGAACCGGTTTGAGGAACTGTAGTGATTCGTTCCAACTGAGAGTCACAGAGAATTGACCTTCTCGTTCAAACAGGAGTCTTAAAGACCCATTACCACCGTCATTAAGGCCTGAAAATGCTCTTAATGTGATGGTGTTCCCCACAAACGGCTCCTTGAACCGATCAAGCCGTCGAAACACGTGTGTAAAGGTACTGGGTACCAGGATCATGAACTGGATATGTGACAACAGTGGTTCTTGTAACAAGAGGGCTTGATGTGAGCTTCGAAGGATTTTGACCGGGATACGGAACGAATGAACAATCTCAGAATCTGGTTTGCAATACGAAAGACAAAGGTTGGCATTTCTTCCATTGGAAGAGGTGGCAATGGCTCCACCCAAAGTATTCTTTTGTAATCTTATGGTTAATCCCTGGGAATTGCTTCTTTCATAGTTGTGTAACGCCAGTAGAAACGAATCAGCATTGATCTCTACTGCTATGGCATCTCTAACACATTGAATACAAATATGGTCAAACACCGATCTGGTTTGAACTTTAGCCCACAATTGAGGATGATTACCAACTGATTCATCAACCAGAATTATGGCAATAAGTGACTCAGAGAATCGAATGTATATTTGTTTCCGTAGATGGTTGCCCAATGATAGAGCATCTACTAGTGGCCGAGGATCTAATGTATGTAGATGTAGCTTCATGAAAATAATACAGAAAGAGGAGGTGGTAGTACTCAAATTAATGTTCGTTACTAATCTTACACTGAGATGTACCGTATACACTGAGATGTACCGTATACACTGAGATGTACCGTATACACTGAGATGTACCGTATACATGCCATAAATATATACAGCTTCTTTTTGAACACATTTACACAGTACGCTTGTGTACTCATATGTATAAACTAATACATTCTTCTGTTTACTATCTCTTTTCAATTACTATTATACAATGCTCTATTCTATCATCCTAGTTTATTCATGCCTTCAACACAACAATCACAGAGTCCCCCCTTAAAAACATCTTCGATACAAACCGTTCCTTGGGCAACAGCTTTATCTGTTGTCCCTTACTATTCCTCACAGTCTCCGACCACAACTCCTTGACATTCTCTAGCACCATATTACAATGTCTATCAAATGCCTTGACTCTTCCTATAAGCTTGTGGTTGTTTCGACACGAGATCACCACTGGTGTACTGTTGGCAACTGCGTTCTGAAGTAATGACATGGGTCCATTGGCGAACTCAAACTCTTCAAGTTTTTGAAGCTCAAGTTCTGTTAACTCCGACCGCGGACGGTCCATATATTCACTGGTATTGTTAGTAGTCGAGTTTATCATTAAATATTGTGGAGATACATACGCCATTAGTCCAGAATAACAAAGATGAATGACCTCAAAGAGCAACGGCTGTAGCCATCAAGAGAGTTAAACATATCACTATATCTATTGAGTAAGGCACGACTTTGGTGAAAATCGTGATTCATTATATCATACTGTTAACATATAACATAAGGATTAACAAGTGAGTAGAACTTCGCTGTTATCTTTACTGTGGTCTTAATTGTGGTGATTGGAACGGGTTAGACTCGTCTGATTATAAATACTAATTAAAATACACACTTTTATTACAAGCTCAAGTAAGGTTATTCCCTTGTGGTCTAGTGCAACTACATCAGGTAATAGTAAAAGTCTAAGGCCTTATTACATAATCATGAGCACCTTAACAATATGCGCTAATAATTACTATATTATTCTACTAAACAAATATTGCACTAAACACTAAATTAAAAAACCACTACATACCCACGATCCTTAAACTGTAGAACGAAAATGCTGGTCAATGGCATCAATAAGTGACTGTTCCATGGGAATAAAGTCTCACAAAAAACTTCTAGCGGATTGGTTATTCACATAATTAGGACTTTTATGAGCAACTGGATCGTTTGGCTTAAGAACAATGTTTGCTGGATGCTTTTCATTCAAAAAAAGTAAGAATAGTATCGAAACTAAAAGTATCGTTGGAAACAGGAAGTCTTTTACCATTTGTCTTTTCCTTTTCAGGTGCAAAGATATGAGCTCTAGCAACATCTCTGATATCAGTTACAAGGTTAAAAGCGAGATTAGCATCGAATTTCTCTCTAGTCTTTGCATTGATGGCACCAGCAAGGAAATAAGAAGTCGAAGTCAAGTTCTTGAGAATACCTTCATAAGCTTGAGGACCAAGGACGAAGCAGAATATACTAATAAGCCATTGCTCTTTGCTTGCTCGTAAGTAATAGGAGACCAAGATTCTTCGTTGACAGTTTCTGGGTTCAGAAGAGCAACAAAGACTATTGAAGAGATGACGGCAAGATGCTTCAGTTGAGGAGCATGTTCCTTAATGGACTGCAAAACTTAGTTGGTACCGTTAATGGCTGGAATAAGAATCTTATTTTCAACATCTTCATTGGCAAAGCTAACTGGAGAAGCTGTGTGATATAGGGTTTCCATCTCGGAATGGCCCTTCAATGCCTTATCAAAGGCATTCTTTGTTTCAATGACAGGAACACCGACATAGAAGAGCCTTTCGTCATTGGCGATTGAGCACCTTTTTCTTCAGTTCGGACTTGTCCAATAACCCTGTAGCTTTTCAAGCAATTAGCTGACCAAACATTGGGCAATGTAGCCGTTAGCACCAGTGACGAAAACTGTTGAGACAATCACTATTAGTAGTTTTAAGTTGAGTAGAGTTGAATTTAAAGTTGTTAAGTTGATAAACGTGTTTGTTTCTGAAAACTTGCTTATTGCTAATTCAAAAGACCATACTTTGATGATTTACCTTTAGGTCACCGAGATAATTTGAAATATCATTCCCCGCCCTTTAAGTGGCAAGGTATAGCTTCTGACTACAAATCTTAGTAAACGAGTGTAGAGTGGATTTCGCACCCACACAGCCGTTTAGTGAGGATTCTCCTTGCAACAAACTGTTTGTCATCCTTGTGAGCCACCGAGATGCTGCCAAATTTCCAGCCTTAGCTACTTTCTGTGGAGTTAAACAACTAGGTCCAGAAAGACTACTACTCTAAGAATACCACGATATCAAACTGATTACAAAGTGCCACACTCTACGGAATTTCAATATCAATTACAAAGCTGCACAGAGAAAACTCTAGTTGACAAGTGCCGGCGACCATGGTTGAGCAAGCTGTGAAGTTTGGTTTATTGTTGATTCCATTTGTTGCATATTTGCTTTTACTCTTGTCGTATCACCAAATGTCGTGCAATTTGTATCATACGGCAGAAACCCTTTCGTATGTATGCACACCTGTATAATATCAGCGATACAGCGCACCTTCTAACCCGAGATAAATCAAAGATAAGACATTGGTCACAATGTTCCTATCAGAAAACTCTAATGATATACAGAACGAAACGTTGCTTCACATTGAAATAATAAACGTTAGCATAAAGTAAGTACAAACAGTACTGATCTACTACTAGTACTAACAGCACTATGTAAGAATTCGTAGTATGTACTAATAGTATGTCTTGCCATAACTTATATATTACTATGTCCATATCTTACATCCCATTATGTCGTATACTGCAGATACTTATTTATAACTGTATCTGAAACGATACCTTATCATCACCTTGCCCAGGAAACTTTGCGACATTGAAAACTTGATGTCGCGGTTTAGCCAACTTAGTTCTAGGCGCTTTTAAAACAAAGTAGTTGAGGGATCCGATGCTCATACGCAGAACAAAATATAGAATCTTATCTTTTGTTTCCATTGTACTGACGTTTACACCGTACTGATTTGTACTGGAGTTCTATGGCGATACTCAACCTAAACAATAACATAACATAGCATAACCTTGATCTTTTATTATATTATTGTTTATTGTGTACACATAACATAGTATATAAGTTCCATGGTCTGGAGTCAACTAGAAGTACGTATCACATTATTATTATGGGTAATCCTCTGTTCATTACTAACTTTTTCTAGCTTGATACTCCCCATATAGCATATGCTTGTGTAGGGGTTTTCTGTACCATCTTCTCCCTCGTATCACTTTTCGTCAAGGCCAAGCTCTATGTCGGTGAAGCTAGTGTGGCCACCATAGCAGGGCTCATCTTGGGTCCTCACTGTCTAAATTGGTTCAACCCAATAGAATGGGGGAACACAGACATGATTACCTTGGAAATCTCGAGAATAGTTCTTTGTATCCAAATTGTTGCTGTGGCTGTTGAATTACCAAAAAAGTATATGAAGAAACATTGGATATCGGTGGCTATTTTGCTTTTACCAGTCATGACTGCTGGTTGGCTTATCGTGGGACTTTTCATCTGGGTTTTAATCCCCCATTTCAACTTTGCTGAAGCTCTTTTGGTAAGTGCTTGTGTCACAGCTACAGATCCAGTTTTGGCTGCTGCTGTGGTGGGTAAAGGTAAATTCGCTGAAAGAGTTCCAGGCCATTTAAGAAATTTGTTAACTGCAGAATCTGGTTGTAATGATGGGATGGCTTTCCCGTTCATCTTTTTAAGTCTAAACATGGTTCTTTATCCTGGCGAAGCAGGTAAAATCATTCAACATTGGATCACTTTAACCATTTTATGGGAATGCATATGTGGCATAATTGTGGGATCTTGTATGGGCTGGCTATTAAGAAAAGCTGTTAAATGGGCAGAAACTAAAAAATTAATTGATAGAGAATCGTTTTTGGCATTCTTTGTATTTTTGGCTTTTAATTGTGCTGGGATTGGTTCAATGTTAGGTATTGATGATTTATTAGTTAGTTTTGCTGCTGGAACTGCTTTTGGTTGGAATGGTGAATTTGCTCGTAAAACAGAAGAATCTCATGTTTCAACTGTCATTGATTTGATTCTAAATTTGTCTTTTTTTGTTTACTTCGGTGCCATTGTTCCTTGGGATGATTTTAATAATCATGCCCTTGGTTTGGATGTTTGGAGACTTTGTATTCTTGCAATTGTGGTAATTTTTCTTAGACGTATTCCTGCAGTTTTAGCTTTCAAACCTTTCACTCCAGATATTAAAACTTGGAGAGAAGCACTTTTTTGTGGACATTTTGGTCCTATTGGAGTAGGTGCTATTTTTGCTGCAATTTTGGCAAGAAAGGACTTGGAAGCTCATTATTTCAATCATGTTGAAACTCCTTTGGAAGAATTACCTCTGAAAGATACTCCACATTATCAATTAATTGCGGCTATTTGGCCCATGGTTTGTTTTATTGTTGTGACTTCAATTATCGTTCATGGATCTTCCGTTGCAGTTCTCACATTGGGTAGACATTTGAATAGAATGGCCATAACCATGTCATTCACTGCCACAAACACTCAAGGTGATAGTGGGCCTTCTTGGATTAGTAGGTTACAAAATTTAGAGAAACACAGTTCATCTTATTCATTACAGCGTGTTGATTCTATGGCACCACAAAAGAATCTGACTGAGGGACAAGGTTCAACTGACTCTTCAACTACTTTACAACCTCCTGCTTCTTCTGCTCCTCCAATCGAACAAACGAACACTGTGGAAACAAGTGGGATTAAAGTAAGACCGGCAGGTGGTGCTAAAAGAAAGAAGAGAAGAAGGAGAACAGCTTTAGGAAAGACTTTATCTCGTTCAACTTCTAGAGCGGATGGAGAAAATGGTCCAGAAAGACCAAGACCTCAAACAGAGTTTTTACAATTAGGAAGAGCCTCTCAGTTAATGGTACCAGGTGTTGGAGAAGGCAGGAATAGAGATAATAATGAGAAAGAGGACCATGAAGAGTTAGAACCTTCAGTTGAAAGAACCAATAATATCAATGGTGGTGGGTCAACATCATCTTCGAATAATGATGAAGAAGAAAGAGTACCTACTACAGTTTACCAAGAAGGAACAAGTTTTATAGTTGAAGATCAAAATGGTGAAGTGTTAGAGACTATTAATTCACGTGAAGGTGCCAATTCCTTTGACCCTGGATTAGCGGATCAACGAAGTATTCATTCTGAAGATTCTTTGAGAAGGGTGTTAACACAGTTGTCGAATGGTCTGGGTGCCTCCTCGTCTGATATAATGAGTGTGGATCAGAAATTAAATCAAGTTAAATCTAGAACAGCATCTAACAAAAAGGAATTCATTCGGACGAAGGACAGGAGAAAGATCTACACTTATAATGTTGGAGACATGCTTGTTTGTGAAAATGAAGAAGGTGAAATTGTTCGATTATATAAATGGAATAAAAAGAATGGTGGTGATGGGCAACAAAATCAAGCAACAGCTTCTTCATCCACTGGTGCTGGTACCAAATCAAGATCAAGATCTTCTACACTTGTTGGAAGAGCCATGTCCTTGGTAAGAGGTAAGAGTAATCAAAGTAATGATAATAGCACTAGTCTTACTAAATCTCATTCCAGTGGACAAAGTATACCACCAGTTTCACCACCACATATTGTTGTTTCAGACGGGGATGGAGTGACAACCACCAATATTCCAATGACGGCATCACCCAGAAGACAAATCAGGAGACATTCTACTGTAGAAGAGGTAGATGATGATGAGGACAATGAACCTTCTTTTGATGAAGAGGAAGATGATGATGAAGATGCTTCGTTTGACTCGGACCATGAAACACCTATTGAAAGAAGAAGAAGATTGGCAGCATTAGGAAAACTTCCCACTCTGAAACATGAAGATGATGAAGAGAAATGAGCACAATAAGTTCTTCCACCAATAGAGTTTAAGTCAAACTAACATATTAGAGCATAATAACGTCATTAGAAATATAATTATATATTACTGGAGTATTTTAGTACAATAACTAATAATAATTTTTTTAAGAACCGAATAAAACAAATAAAAAACCCTTTACTTAATTACATAACTTAATGGTGTGCCTTTGGAGCATTTGGCAATTCCTTTAAGGATTCTCTAATAACTTCAACTCCCTTAAGTAAGTCTTCTTCACTAATCACTAATGGAGGAGCCAATCTGATGATATGGTCGTGGGTTGGCTTAGCCAATACACCCTTCTCCTTCATGACAAGACACAAGTCCCAAGCAGATCTACCGTTGGTTTTGGTATCATCGATAACGATAGCTGATAATAAGCCTTTACCTCTTACTTCCGAGATAACACCATTGGATTCAGCCTTTAGGTCTTCCAATTTGGATTTCAAAAGATTACCCAAGGTTTCTGCTCTTTCCACCAACTTTTCATCCTTAACAACATCCAAGGCAGCAATGGCCACGGCACAAGCCAATGGGTTACCACCATAAGTAGAACCGTGAGAACCTGGTTCTAAAGTCAACATGATTTCCTTGGAGGACAAGACGGCTGAAACTGGATAGACACCCCCGGAAATAGCCTTTCCCAAAAGGACAACGTCAGGCTTCACACCCTCGGAATGTTCGTAACAGAGCATCTTTCCTGTTCTGGCAATTCCGGTCTGGATCTCGTCGCAAATCAACAAAACTTTGTGTTGCTTACATAATTCCGCAACACGAGGCAAGTAATCCGGAGGAGGGACAACGATACCAGCTTCACCTTGAATTGGTTCCAAAAGAATAGCGGCTATTTTATCACCAGCATTGCTCAATGCCCTTTCAATGTCTTCAATGACACCGTATCTAATAACGGAACCCTCTGGTTCACCAGGAATTTGAGGACCAACACCTTTCAAATAAGGCCCGAAGTTAGTAGTAGCGTCTGGATCAGTACTCATGGAAATGATTCCAAGAGTTCTACCGTGAAAGTTGTTTTGAGCAGCCAAAATGATAGCTTCATCGGGGTTAATACCTTTCTTAACGTAGCCCCATCTTCTAGCTAACTTCAAGGCAGTCTCAACAGCTTCAGCACCGGTGTTCATTGGTAAAACCATTTCGTAGTTGAAATATTCAGTCACGTACTTAGCGTATTGACCAAAGACATCAGACGAGAAAGCTCTAGAACAAAGAGTTAACTTTTGCGCTTGGTCGACCAATGCACCAACAATTTTAGGATGACAATGGCCTTGGTTAACGGCAGAATAAGCAGAAAGGAAGTCCAAGTATTCCTTTCCTTCAGGGTCCCAAACATGGGCACCTTGAGCCTTGTGGAACACAACTGGTAAGGGATGGTAGTTGTGTGCACTGTAAGCTTCTTCGTATTCCTTAGCGGTTGCAGATGAGATAGACATGTTGATTATTGGATATTTTAGTAGATGAACAATCTCAATTGTGTATTTTTAAATGGGATCATGACCGTCTTTATATAGTAATTGAAACGGTAACGGTGTATTTTTCAATGGATAGACTCTCGCTCTGGATTGCCTGGATCGGAGCAAGTCTCCGCAAAATGATTCGAGGTTTCTCACCGTTATCGGCAATAGAGGGCGACACGTCTTAACGGAAGGCTACACCGATAGGTGGGGACAAAATGTACGAGGAAAAACACAACACAAGCAGCGAATTCCGATCAATTATGTAAGCAAACGACATTACAAGGTAGTGTCTGGTGATGGTTCAACAATTTATTCGTCTCCAAAAGCATTTGGCTTTAAGGGATAAATTAACCTCGCTTTACACTACAACAAAAATCTATCTTTAAAATGGATACGTCGCATAAAAGACATATGGGTGAAGGTGTTGGTGTTGGGGACCATCTGATGCCAGAAACGCCAGGATTAGCCACGCTCGGTATGAGGATTAGAAGAGCCGTTGCTCAAGGATACAATAATGTTCAGGTCGACGAAGAGGCTCTTAATAATAAGAGAACAACATTGCCAGCGCATTTAGCTGCTGTTCCTTCATTAATGGGCGGAGGATCTACCATTGAATCGAGTTCCGACGTGGCATCTTGGGAATCAAGGTACCAACCTGTGCTTCAAACTATTGAACAAATTGAACCCAGCCGTAAGAGCAAGAGAAGATATGAGGATGATGATGAACTGGTTGATCGTCATGAGCATGAATATGGAGGGTTAAGATTTGATGAGGAGTTTTAGATGGGTAATTGGTTATTAGGTATGGGAAAAGAATAGTGGATATGATGGATGCTAATTGTTACTGAATGAGTATATACTGAATGTAAGTACATGTCAGACTGGTTTAAGTATATCTGAGGCTGATGATGATATATATATAAATATAAACTTGTGTCAAAACAATGTAATGTCGCGTTAAATTTAAGATCTCCCACTACGCCTTCTTTTCCGGTTACATAGGAAAGCTTTTGTGTGCTTACATTATAGGAGCATCACATTGATGAACATAACAAAGTTAATCGTAGTAAGTACTGGTAGTCTTCGGGGCGAATCACTCCACTCAATCTATAGTACAGTAGCCACCATATAATGAAGCTCAAATACAAAGGGCTAACAGGGTTCATAGGCTCCATGGGGTCGATCTCCGAACTAAGACGAGATCTCGTGATAAAGGCAGTTTACAAACAGTTAACTTCGACATCCAAATATTTGATGGTAATACGGTTCCTATCGAATATTGCCTCTATAGCCTTGTGTATAGTATTGGTAGTGGGTCCTGTTCTTAATTCCCATATAAATATGGGTAAAATCAATTGCAGTCGTTTACAAGTGGCCGAAGGTCTTTATAATTCATTGAGGAATAGTGTTTCTACAACAGCATATGGAGAATTTGGAGGTGGTAGTGAATTACCAGAAGATGCTGCACTTACCGATCTGGAGATCGATATTCTTGCATCTTATACCAAGCAACAAGTGGATCACTCTTCACAGTTTATATTAGTCAACCTTTGGACTTGGTGTAAAGGTAATTATACTACTACTAGAATTAGTGGTGGTAATGGTGAAAATCTTGGGCATAAGGGGAGACTAAAATATCAAAAGAATCTGGTTCATATTGACTGCTTGAAAGTGTCTTATACCACTAACGTTTTGGATTATAGGGCTCAAATGTCTCAGAGTGGATACGACATTATTATGGCTTATGCTTTACAATCAGATTTCTATTCGGATACTGAATATCTGAAAAGAACTAATCTACGCAAACTACGGCTAAAAGTGGTACCATCAGCACTTATTTATTCGATTTGTGCTAACATTGTTTCCTTGATTCTCACCTTGGTTATCTATGGGAGTGAGAAAAGTATGCAAGGACTTGAAAATGTCCCCCGATTCCTATTCAAACTTGCTACTATCTTTGCGGTGTCGGCTTTCTTGGCCATTTTAGTGGCTACAGTGATGGCGATGAGTCTTTTGAGTAGTGTTGCCAGTGAAGTAAATAATTTATTGGGTGATTTCAACGTTTCTTACTCCATTAAAACGGTGTGGATAGTGTTGCTTTGGATTGCATTTATCCTGACATTAATCCATGGATTATCTTGGATGCTTCCGACATCTTGTGCTAATCCCGAAGCCACTTATGAAGATGATGTTTTCGATGAGGTATATTATGTGCCTAAATATGATAACTCTCGGAAATCTTCCAAGCCATTGAAAGGAAGAACATTATCCGCTATATTTTCTAATGCTAATGACTCTGCACTGACCATGGGTGTTGGTGTTGCTGATGAAAAATCAAAGAAACTGAAAAATGAAAATACATTGCATTCTGATGACGAAATGGATGATGAATTACTAAAATTGGGTGAGAGATTAGCCCGTCAACCATCTGTTCGATTTCTCAATCCAAAGAGGAAGAAGAAGAAGAAGTTGATGTCAAATAATGAAGGAGAAATGATGAACTTTAACGATACAAAAGATTTATTATACTTTGAAAACCAGGAGTCTCATGGTCGATATGCAATTGATGAATCAGATGATCGATTTAGATTACTTTCTAGTAATTCCATTAAAAGGAAAGTTAAAATGAAGATTCCGGTTATCAATATTGAACCCTGTGATGAAGATAAAGATAGCCAGGTAGTCCCAGTTACAAGCAATAATATAAACAGTGCTCGTAGCTCGGTTCTCAATGATGATGAGATCAATGTTCTAGAAATGAACTCCAACATGAACCAAATACGTTAGTACGATTAGCATACAAGGAGTAGACAATAAGGTGGTATACAATTTCGGTGTTTGAAAAAATTTGTATGCAAGTACTTCTATACTGTATATAACAAAAGGGTATCGGTGTTCCAAAGTAGACCCCAGCGGCGTACTACTGTGAATCAGTGGTCCATCCTTCTATTATATAGTCATGAAGAAGGAAGAATATGTTGTGAATCTTCATCTTCATGCATCGGTATCTGCTTGTTTCCTATTAAGGCATGTGTCAGGAGTTTTGAATTTTGACAGCATTCTTTCCTAAATAGGCAAGAGCTAGATAACTTCCCAATAGGGTAATTGTTGCAACCCATAGCCTGTTTTGACGCCAACAATATATACGGAATGAGTATAAAACCTAACGCTGATGCCCACTGATTTCATGGCTCAAATTTCCACTGCAATTTCGACTGCTAATAAAACCGCCTCTACCACAACCCCCCAAACTAATAGTGCAATGGATAGTCCAAACGCCGTTCCTATAAAAGACGATTCATTGGATTTAGAGAGATCTTTTGAGGTGGATCTCATCACTGAAGTCAAAGTAAGAAACCAAGTGGAGAATCCCTACTTATGGAAAGTTATAGTGGGGATTTTTGTGGGTTCATTGGTGACTTTAACCATGTTTGCATTACAACAAGATGGATGTTCCGAAGGGTCAATGACTCCATGCATGCCTCAAATAAGCTTAAAAATGAACAGAGGAAAGTCCAATGAAACTCAAGAATTGTTAAGCAAAATGCAAGATGCACTCAAAACATTGTCAATTTTTGCTAAAGACTTTGGCGTTGGCAACAATAATAACTTGGTGTTTGAAGACATTGATCAACTTGAACATGTGAGTACCTTTGAAGAGGGAAACAAATTTATGTTTAATTACTATGGCTATTGTCGTACTGGAGCCAGCACCAAGGGAGAAACCAAGTGCCTGAATACTAACGGGTTAAACATTGGGGCAACAATGATATATGATCTCGGGAACCAATTGGCCAAGTTATCACATGTGTCTCCTAATGAATTGATTGATGCATTTCTTATGACGTATGGTCAATTAGTTAGCAGTTTAAGCTCGGTCTATAAGAAGCATAGGGCCAACATAAAGGGTTTTGATGATGTGGATGTCACTGGATTACTGGTTACTGAACGTCTACAAGGGTTCTATGAGTACAGTAAGATAATGTTGGTACTCTCTAAAATGGTTATAGTCATTTCACTTATTATGCCTATAATCCTCGGCAATGTGATACTTCTGTTCGGTGTTTCAATGCCATATGCCGCCAAAACCATCGAAGACATAGATGAACACCACATTCAATCACCGAAGGGCACCGGTCTCCTTTGGTTTATCCAAGCTCATTTGAGAAGAGTCTTGTACTTGGCGATCGGACTCTTTGTATGGGAGACACTTTGTCTTTTGGCAATAATGTCGTTGGACATTTATGTCCATTGGCGACTTGGGAACTTTGAACAATCAAATGGAATCTTTAATGTTTCATACGGTAGTGGCTTTTATCTACTTCCTATTATCATTGCATTGTGTAGTGGGAGTATGTTCTTCTTCATACTGGTCTTAAAAAAGAGATGGGCATAACAAAAATAGTTCGTATATAATAAATATGATACCCCCGCATCAATGAACCTCGTAAATGAACTCGTATAAATGATGCCCGTATATAATGTATATGCCCATATTTCTATAAACTATACCAGATAAGTTTATTTGCTTTCATAAACCTTTTCGAAAGCTTGGGCGAAATCATCAATGATATCATCAATAAACTCAGTACCAATAGATAATCTAATCAAGTCCTTAGAGACACCAGATGCAATCTTTTCTTCGTCACTCAATTGTTGATGAGTGGTGAACCATGGAGCAATGACCAAGGTCTTGGAGTCCCCAACATTGGCCAAGTTTGAAGCAACCTTCAATTGATCAACAAACAGGGGAGAGGCTTCTTTGAATTGGTCTTCAACAATGTTATCCAATTCCTTAACACCAAAAGATAAGGCTCCACCAAAGTATTCCTTACTGTTAAAGTATTTCAAGGCTCTGGCATGATCAGGATGAGATTCTAACCCTATATAAGAGACCCAAGTAACATAAGGGGACTTTTCTAACCATTGGGCCAACTTCAAGGCATTACTGGATTGTCTTTCGACTCTGAGAGATAAGGTTTCAAGACCTTGGATCAACATAAAGGCACCGAATGGATTCAAGTTTGGACCCAAATCTCTCAAGATTTCAATTCTGGCATGGCCAATGAAAGCAGCTGGTCCTAAAGCATCATTTATCACTAAACCATGGTACCCTTCACTTGGTTCTGAGAATTGAGGGAACTTCTTGGGATATTGAGCCCATGGGAACTTACCAGAATCAACAACAACACCAGCAATGGTTGTTCCGTGACCACCGATCCATTTAGTGGCAGAATGAACAACGATATCCGCACCAAAATCAATGGGGTTGACCAAAAACCCACCAGCACCAAAAGTGTTATCAACAACAACTGGAACACCTCTTTCGTGTGCAATCAGAGCCAAGGTTTCGAAATCTGGAACGTTGTATTTGGGGTTTGAGATTGACTCAAAGTATAAAGCCTTGGTCTTGTCATCGATCTTTGATTTGATCTCGTCAAAGTTGTCGATATCAACAAATCTGGCCTCGATGCCTAATCTCTTGAAAGCCACCTTGAATTGGTTGTAAGTACCACCATACAAATACGAGGCAACAACAACATTGTCACCAGCATGAGCTAATGAGGCAATAGCAGTGAATTGAGCTGCCTGACCAGAAGATACAGCAAGTGCACCAATACCGTGTTCTAAAGCAGCAATTCTCTTTTCAAACACATCAGCAGTTGGGTTCATGATACGAGAGTAAATGTACCCTTCCTTCTCCAAACCAAACAATTGAGCTCCATGTTGAGAGTCTTTGAAAACATAAGAGGTGGTGGCATAAATAGGTGGAGCTCTTGGTCTAGCAGCTTCACTGTCTGGATCTTGGCCAGCGTGCAATTGAAGAGTATCAAAATGAGATGGCATTGTTAGTGATATACTTTTTCAAATGTCATGGTTTAATTCGCAGCAAGTTGCTCCTATTTATATGATTTCCAAATCCGGTGGTGTGGTTTCTCCACTATTGAAATGTAATCTTAATGCGCAATCGCCGGAGTATTTTTAGGTGTCTATTTTTACGATGTCAGCTACTACTTTGGTGATAACTAAATTACACTGGAGCGGGCTTCTACTATGCAAGGTATTAATACTTACCTGTGAAGAGAGACTATTTTGGTTCCACTGGAGACTTTGGTTAATTAACTGCGATTTGGTCCGCTTTACATTATTACCCTCTGGTCAAGTGGAGTATCGCTGACCAGCTTCAAGTTGAAGTCATTGCACGTGACTCAGTGAAAGCCTATCTAACCACTCTCTTTATTGAACGCTGAGTAGGCCGTTTCCGGCGCGGAGTGCATATATACCATACTGTTTTTGTTGATTGTAATAGCGCCATGTAGTGTAATTGCGTTACAATACATAAATTGACAAGTAATCATCTCCACTCCTTGTTATAATTAGCGGCTGTTCGTGAATGATAGAAGAGATTGTGTATCATTTTTGGTAGCGCGGCACTTGATATTACTATGATTGTGCCTCACACAAATGCAATGCACAGTTCGGGCATGGCGCATAATCCACCAAGAGGATCCAAAACTAAATGTAAATCTTAACATAACTTCTTTTAGAATCTGCACTACCATACGCGTAAGTTCTGATAAATCAATAGTGGTGCTACTTTAAGATGCTTAAATATGTCTCTTGGTAATAATATCATTGGTTCTAGTGTGCTACACCTACAGAGCACTGGATGACTTTGCGAGCGACGACCATCCGAGTGCTGGACGTTCTCAGACAACCATTGGTGGTAGTGGTGGTGCAACGAGCGTATTCTGTGGCACCCATAGTATCGGGCACACTTCCTATTCTGGCCCACTATCATACTCATAGTTCCGATTCTCATACAAAAAGTAACTCCAACAGCTCGGTATTAAGACCCAAGGCCATAAAACAACGTCCATTACCTACAGAGACACTGCATACTCCTGAATTATTGGTTCAAACATCTGTTCCCTTATCATTCATTTCTGAGATGCCATCTATTGAACCCCCAAAGGGTTCTGGAGCTTCAGAGTGTTTTGGTGTTACTTTGAAAGGTAATAAGTGTAAGAATAAAACTTCAAAAGGTTCTCAATATTGCTGGAGACATCAAGCTGAACAAGAATTTAAACCTCCGCATCGGCCTCAGCAACCAACTGTGGCTGCAAGTACTCCTATCGGAGTTAGCAAACCAGCGAATCAGCATCACTATCATACCATTGCATCCACAGCAAGTGTGGCACCGGCACCTAGTCTGAACCATTTAGGATGGTGGAGAGTTCATCAACTTCATCATCAGTATGAATCCACAGTATCGGCATTAACACCAAGTGCACTTGTATCCGATCCTATGATGATGAGCCACTCTTTTAATCGACCGCCCGCCACACCTCCATCACCACTCAAGAATAAGAAGAAGATGCAACAAAAGGGCCACATTTATTGTTATACTTTGACCAACTATATCGATACCAAGGCCCAAGATCAGCTGGTAATCCATATTCAAAATGAACCCGGTACAGAGTACAAAAAGGTTAAGATAAGCCGATCACCGTTCATCTTAATTAAGATTGGAAGAACTACTAAACCCGTTAAAACTCGTCTAAAACAATGGGAAGCACATTGTAAACATGAACTCACGTGCTTAACTCCATTCAATCATCGAGAACTTCTACACCAACATGGCATCAAGGGAACCATGAAGAATTTGTTAAGTGCTATGGAAAGAGTAGCCCTTAATGACAACTTCATAGCCTCTAAGTTCCCCACGTTTCAAGACGATGGGTTCTACTGTGAGTCACATCTTGATGACATTGAAAAGGAAATACACAGACAACTCAGAGATCGTTATGGACAAAGCAAGGTGTTCTGCAAAGGTTGTTACGAAGAGAACGTTGCAACAGTTGGCGCTACCGCTGCCAATGCAATTACAATTGATGCTATTAAAGCAGCCAACGTTCATGTTGAATGGTTCTTGGTTCCCAAAATAGAAATGGCAAGAGTATTCAGAATAATCCATAAGATAGTCAAACAAACAGGAGGTTAATACAAATACTTTTATTAAACTCTTTTCTAAGTGTTCATGTAAGTGGAAGGATCAACACCTTCTTCAGGGAACTCACTGATTTTAACATCGAATCTGCTTTGAATCTTTTCCAAAACTTCTTCATCTTCCTTACTTGAAACAAGGGAAATAGCCAACCCCTTAGTACCAAATCTACCAGCTCTGCCAACTCTGTGTAAGTATTGGTCAGCTTCTGGAGGCATATCGTAATTGATAGCCAAGTTGATTCTTTCAATATCAATACCTCTACCAAACACATCAGTGGAGACACAAATACGCTTGTTGAATTCCTTGAAAGACTTATATCTTTCGATTCTTTCCTTTTGTGGTAAGGCAGAGTGAACTGCAATGGATGGGAAGTTACAAGCACATAATAACTTGTTCAATTCTTCAGCTCTGTGGGTAGTTCTAACGAAAATGATAACTTGGTTGAAATCCAATGAGTCCAATAAGTCAGATAACTTTCTGTTCTTTTCTGATTCTTCCAATTTAATGAAATATTGTTGCAACCCGTGCAATGTCAACTTCGTGTCATCATCAACAAAGATTTCCAATGGGTTAACCATAAACTTCTTACACACTGGACGGATCTCAGTAGACAAAGTAGCACTGAACATCATAACTTGCTTTTGATGAGGAGTGCTACGGAAAATATCTTGGACATCACGTCTCATATCAATGGATTCCAAAACCTTATCACATTCATCAATAACAAAGGACTTGACATTGTTCAATCTAATGGCCTTTTCAGTGACCAAAGCATGTAATCTACCAGGAGTAGAAACAATGATATGAGGACAAGTTTCATTATTCTTCAATAATTCAATGTCCTTCTTAATTGGAGTACCACCATAGAAAACTTGCGTCTTAACATCAGGCATGTACTTGGAGAATCTAGAATATTCATTCTTGATTTGGTAAGCCAATTCTCTGGTGTGACAAACAACTACTGTTGAAATCTCCCCATCAACTGGTTCCAATTGTTGTAAAGTGGATAAAACAAACACAGCAGTCTTACCTAAACCAGACTTGGCTTGACACAAGACATCAGTACCCAAAATAGATTGAGGAATACAAACTTGTTGGACTATATTCAATGTTAGTAACAAAATAATGCAAATGAATAGCACAAAAAAGTGAAAAGCGAAATGTATTTATATGTCTGTTCGCTAATCGTTCCCACATTAATAGACGATACTATTGAGAATATCCCTCATAAATAAGACGAAAGAACAATTCATTAGATCTTTTCTTATCCCGGAAAGATTTACTAAAAAGAAGGAATCCTTAAGTAACTCATTCCACGTTGTAGAAACCAGCAGGCATTACAACGATCACTCAAGAATGTTAACTGGCTCTTGAATGAAACAGAGCAAAAATGCTCTATAAAGATGAATTATATTACACCTCCATCAGCAACCACTTTGGCTTCCATGAAACGAATCAAGGACGGCAAGGTTTCAGTGATAAAACACTTTCAAACATAATAAATGATAATCTTAATACCATTTCGCCTCACAGTTGATTCTGCAAAGATACGAACCTTCAGATGGATGTTCAAAACCACAATCACCAATGGCTCTCAATAACTCAGGCTTCAAAAGGAAATCTCTGAAACCAGTAGCATGGATACCAACATAAGATCCCTTTTTATCGGCTTCCTTTTCAGTAGTACCTTCGCCTTCAACAACTGGGGCTGCTGAAGTAACGGCAATTTCTTCGGAGTCGGAATAGTCCAACAATTCTTCTTGGCCTTCGTGAGACATTTTGATGTGTGGTTGTTGTATGCAAACTGAGAAACCCTAAAGAGTAGTAGCAGTATACTGAAGAAGAAAAGAGAAAAGAGCAGAGACGTGGTTTGGTTGTGTTGTTTTTTCAGTTGGACGAAATTTTTCAATTTTTTGCGACATGCGACATATTCATCAATGAATGTCGTATGAACCTCAGGTAAATAGCCATTATGAGTTACTCCTTTTATTGAGTGTTTCGTTCCTTGCTCGGTACAAAGATGCTTAGATTTGGTTTAAGACGGTGTTTAACTTCCGGTGTTCCGGCTAGACTTCCCTTGGTGTCTGTTTCAAGATTCGCGTCTCTTTCTAGAACCTCTTACAGATGTGCGTCTTCCCTGAAGACTCCTGATGGAGAAGAGTTGACTCCTCATCTTCAAAGAATGGCTGAGCTTCAAGAAAGTGTTCTTAAAGCCCCCGAAGTTAAGGAATTGCTTAAGGAATTCCGTGATCTCATGATCAAGAAAGGCTTCAATACTGAAGCATCTCCTTCTTTAATGCAAATGGTCAAACTTATGGCAGATTCAGAAGTCAGAAACCATTTGGGGAGAATCCAAGAAGCTTTTGATAAAGCAGGCATTAAAATTAGTCCTGAAGATTTCAAGACCTTTTCAAAAATGTGGAAAATGTAAATAGAATTACAATGTATATATATATATATATTATGCCATAAGTTACTTCTTGGAGAATGACTTGGAAATGTTAGCAGCCTCTTCAATGCATCTAGCAATGGCCCCCCTAACACCAGCATCTTCCAACTTCAATAAACCTCCAATAGTAGTCCCACCAGGAGTACACACCTTGGCCTTCAAAGCTGCCGGGTGTTCACCGGTTTCCAAGACCATCTTAGCAGTCCCTTCCATCACCTTGGCAGCAGAGATTCTAGCCACATCGTATGTCAATCCCATTCTGATCCCACCATCGATCATGGCTTCCATCATCAACATGACAAACGCCGGACCGGATCCAATTAAGGCAGTGGCAGCGTCCATGTTACTTTCAGGTAATCTGAAGGCTAAGCCCACAGTTCCAATCAACTCAATGGCCAAATCAGAGTACTTTGTTTCAGCTTCTGGGGAGAAGGCAATACCAGCAGTACCAGCACCAAACTGGGCGGGGGTATTGGTCATGATTCTAGCAACATATGGAGTGTAGATGGACAACTCTTCAATAGTTACACCAGCTAAAAGTGAAATCAATAATTGTTCACCGTTTAAACTATCTTTAACTTGTTCATAGATAGGCTTGTACATGAATGGTTTACATCCCAATACAATGACAGTAGAATCAGCAATGGCCCTCTTGTTTGTTTCAACATCATGGCACAATTGAATCTTCTCGTGTGTCAACTTATCCTTGACAGGACCAAAGGCCTCCAAGTCCTTGTTCAAAGCGTATATTTTCTTAGGCTTGTTAGGAATATCGGAGTTAAGAATGGCGTTGGCAATGGCAGTGCCCATGACACCGCATCCCAAGATAGCAAGGTTAAAGTCAGACATTCTATTGAGGGAAATGAGAAAGTAGAAGTATGTTAAATAAAGTGTGGTAGTGGTGACTGTATTTTATAGTTAATTTGTATTATATATGATTTCCGTTACAGGACTTGCACAATCGGAAATGGTGTGGGCAAGCGAGCGGAGGAGCAGTTGTTGAAAATTTTCAGGTCGCTCTTGGTTTCCGTTAGAGTTAATGAATGTGGGGCTGACTTCCGAGGGTTGTTCCGCTCAATTGTCGGTGTTGTCACGCAAATTGATCGTCCCAAAACGGAAATCTAATGGAGTGCAGGCATCTCTAACATATAACAGTGCTATTATATTTCATACACAGTGTAAGGACAAGCATAAATATTTGGATAAATATACAGAAGTTACATATACAGAAGTTATATAGCGTACACATGCTATTAATATTCAATGTACGCATACAATTTACTAATGTTAAGTGCATCCAACGCATGATCATACATATATACATACATACATAGACACAGAAATACATACATACATAGAGACAGAAATACATTCATCCATATATCCATACATCCATACATGCGTGTATACGGTATACATTATATCATGTTGTAATATGTTTAAATAATAGTCTAGATAAGAAGTTCTATGTGCAACCTGTAACCCTACGATCTATCATGTTTTCTCAGTATCCATATACAGTAATGAGACGATTGGGACACACCTCAACTGGAATTTGGTATCGCAAAAAATGTATCTACAGACACTCAGTCGCTCTATCACTGCACTCCTTTCGTAATAACTATAATAATTGATAGTGTTGTCTATATGAAATTCGGTCTAGAATATCAGATGGAAACTGAAAATCGTGTCTGCAAAGTTAGCTACAACTAAGTCTATTAAATAACGGATTTAGTATCACCTTTACACTGCTATTGACGACGTCCTTCAATATCTGCTGCTTTTTTCCACTGACATTAATTTATCACCATCAGTTCCTTTTAATATACTCGTCTATAATTAACACCTTCCATTAAAGGCTATCGCGCTTATGTCTTCGTGTATCCCCGGAAGGGCTTCGGTTGGGGTTCAAGCTCAAACTGCTACGTGTACTGCAGACTGCAGTAAAGATTCATCTACGGGAGTCTCAAGAAGTGGCTCGTCAGAATTTATGTCAGAAGGTTCTAGCAGGTTGGAAGATCCAAAGATTAAGAAGGTAAAACGGAGCCAATCATCATCTAATGGTAAAGTGACCTGTAATAAATTTGATAAGTCCAAGTTACAGCCATGTCCGATTCTTAGACCTACTATTAAAGAATTCAGCAATCCCATTGCTTATTTATCACGCCCTGATATTGCTCAACTTGGATCTCAATTTGGTATAGTGAAAGTTGTTCCTCCTGTAGGATGGCAGGCTCCCTTCTCCATCTCAAAGCAGTTCAAGTTTCATACAAGATTCCAGAAGTTGAGTGAGCTCGGGATTATCAGTAGATCCCGGAAGTTTTTCACCGATAATTTGAACCGGTATTTGAAGATGCACAATCAACCTAAAGTCAGATGTTATATCAATTGCCGGAACGGGAAAAGAGTGCACTACTATGATTTATATTTGGCAGTTCAGAAACTTGGAGTTAACCTGGAGCATCTTAATGACCGACATTGGAAGTCGTTGTGTCAAACTCTTGAAGTCGATGTTTCAATGGCTCAATTGCTTAAATATGAGTACAATTCCAAGATTAAGGCCTATTCCCATTTCCTATCGTCTTGTTCTCTAGATACCTTTATAGATGAAGATGGAGAACGACCACAAGACTTTGAAAGTCAAAATGATAGTGATTATATTCGTTCTGATGATGATGATGATGATGATGATGATAAAGTGACAGATGACCACTGTGTGGTTTGCCATAAGAATGATAACCCAGCACGAACTCTTTTATGTGATAATTGTGACGATGCTTATCATATGTACTGTCTTGAGCCACCATTAAAGGTAATACCGGAAAATGATTGGTTCTGTAAACGGTGTTTGGTTGGAGATGGAGCTTATGGTTTTGAAGAGAACACTGACCATAAGTACACCATTACTGAGTTTATTGATAACTGTGTTGCGTTTGAGAAGCAGTTTATTAGTAACCACAATAATAATCAACCACTAACTATTGATAGCATTGAAGAGAAGTTCTGGCACTTTGTTAACTTGCAACGTTCAGATATAACTGTCGAATATGGAGCAGATATTCATCATATGAAACAAGGGGAGATCTCTGGATTCCCCATGGCTGAAAAGGGGGATTTAATGAACCCTTTGAGTTGTTCTTATGTTGATCACCCATTCAATTTAACCAAACTTCTGTATGCTTCAGGATCACTTTTGAACCATATCAAAAAGACAATTTCAGGTATGACAATCCCTTGGATATACATTGGTTCTCTCTTACTGACGTTTTGTTGGCACGTTGAAGATCATTATACCCTTTCGGCCAATTATTGTCATTTTGGAGCCACTAAGAAATGGTACGGGATTCCAAGTTATCATGCCACAAAGTTTGAAGCCTTGATGAAGGATTGTGCTCCAGATTTATTCCAAAGACAACCTGATTTACTCCATCAATTGGTAAGTTTGCTTTCTCCCATGACCTTAGTGGACCATGGCATCGATGTGGTCTATTGTGACCAGAACCCAAACGAATATGTCATCACCTATCCAAAAGTATACCATGCGGGGTTCAATTGTGGATTCAACTTCAACGAGGCAGTGAACTTTACGATGGACTCCTGGTTACCGTTTGGAGAAGATGCCATAAAGAACTACAAAGATATCCGGAAGGAGAATGTTTTTGATCACTTTAAATTATTGGAGAATATTCTTAGAGATTGCATGAGACATCCTCAGCAGTATTCAACTAAAGGAGAGTTCATTCAGGGGTGTCTCCGGAGTTTTGAAGAATATATCGATACGCAAATCCTTTTGAGTGGGAACTTGATTAAGTCCGGAGTTGTTAGGGAAAGATATGTTAAACCCGAACAAGATGAAGCAAATGAATATTCTGAAACAGATGATGAACCTACGTGTGGAGTTTGTCGAACATGTATCTCGTACCAGTACTGTTTAGTTGACAACCGGTTACACAACTTTGGAGCAGTTGCCCAACTGCTAGGAAGAAATGACCAATTGTTAACTCCGGACAATACACCTAAAGAGATGATTGCTAATCGAGACAATATGGGGGTTGTAACCGAGTTAAGCTCAAGTCAACGGTTACATGAAGTGATCACTTCTGATCCGTATTATGATTTAGAACAGGGTGTAGTTAAGGGTAAACTCTGTGTCATGAGAGAATATGATGCTCTTATTGAGTCTGCCAAAAGATCAGCTGAAGATCTGGAGAAAGAAAATGCTAGAAGCAAACGGAGGAAGTCAAGAAGATTGGAACAGAGATTGAAGGAATCAGATACTACTGTTGGAGCTCGTGATGGTGCTACCAATGCAACTTCTGCTTCTGTTGCTGCTGCTGGTACTACTGATATCAAACTTGAACAAGTAGACCCTCCATTGATGAGTTCCGTTCGTCCGGGTAACTTGTTCCGTGCTTCTACTTTGAAGCTGTTAAATGAGCATGATACGTTTAAGGTTTGTGTTGAGTGCTTAACGAACTTACATAACGATGGAGTCATCAATGAGCTTCCAGTTGGCTCTAAAATCGTTGAGGAACGTTCCTTAAGACACATTAAACAATTAAATCATACAATTAAGACTATGAATATATGGGGATAACTACATGCAACATTATGAATAAAAATGAACTTTCTATACAAAAATATTTTGACTGAAGTTGGGGCAAATTACAATGCACTCAAGCTGTTGATTCTGTTAATGTTTTTGCAAGTACATTTAACCCATACAATGTCAATTCTATATACATTAACTGAGATATTATTTATTGTTAGTATTATTTCTGTTAGTATTATTTCTGTTAGTATTATTTCTGTTAGTATTATTTCTGTTGGTATTATTTCTGTTAATATTATTTCTGATAGCATTTTCGTAAGTGTTTTTCTATAGTTTTTAGTGGCAGTAGATTTTTTAACAGTCCTGTTTTGCGTCAAGCTCCGTGTATTTATAGTCAACGGTTTGCACCCAATCTGAATCATATTCATAGTGAGTTACGTCGGTATACTCTACACCCTAACACCACAGATACCGAATTTCGCATTTCAAAGTTCTGAGAAATGGTAGCGCCAAATATGTACTTCAACGAAAATCAGACACGGGCGCATTGGACACCGAAAAAAAGTTAATGGTGATTGGTTAAAATAAAATTCAGTGTTGCATATAAGTGAATCTCACTTAATGTTGCCAGACAAAAAGTGGCATTGTCTGGGGTATTATACCGTAAGGGCCCATCCAAGTAAAGAAGTAAAATTAATAAAATATTGATTAAAGTTAAATAACATGTTCATATACCTTCTATATAAGTTATCATCTATTCGTCTTCTAAGAAAATCACGATAAATTAAGAGTTTTTTAGACATCTTATATTCTATGTGGTCGTGTCTCTACCAACCACCAGCCTCTCTCCAATAGGTACGTGGTGCACTAAATCAGACACCAGACAAAAAATTCGCTCCGGATTGGCGTAAACTGCAAAAACTTTTAAATATTCAACTTCTTTTCCTCACTCTTCTTCTTCTTCTTGCCCTCTTCTTTTTTCTACTCTATCTTCAGCTAGAACCCCACAAAGTAAGAATGGTTCTTCCTAGATTGTTCAACTCTGCATCACGCAGTGCTTTCACTGCTGCCAAGCGTACCGTCATGTTCAACAGAGGTATGGCTTCAGCTGCTCCAGCTGCTGCTGGTAAGGTTAGGTATGTGTTCAATTGAATCTTAAATAATCACAACATCCCCATCATCATGTCCAATGGCATTGACTTGTTTTCAATCTGATTGATCACATTGTTGAGGACAGTTCAACCAATTCCTTGGGTTTTGTTCGATCTTTTATTTCACTAGTACAAGTTTACGTTAATTTTCAATCAATCAATCAATCAATCGATCCATAATTGCCCTTCGATCCATAAGTTTATTATTTACGTCTACAATATGATCTATCACATTAGAGAATATGTCCTTATAGTATTGTTTCTGTGGATCGTGGGCCTTGTTGGTTGGCGATTTCGTTGACTTTAACGTCGAGGTAAATTTTGATTTTCCTCGCATTTTTCCTCCAATCAAATCGCGGTACTGAAAATTTTCAACTCAACACTTTGTGTCACGAATGTACTGAACGAACCAACCATTGGATCACATTGATGATGATGATTTTAGTGTTATTGTTGTTGTTGTTGTTGTAGTTATGAGAATGTTATACTAACAATTGATTCTATAGAGCTGTCATTGGTGCTGTCGTCGATGTCCAATTCGAAGAAGGTAACTTGCCTGCTATTTTGAACGCTTTGACCTTGAAGAACGGTGACCAAGATTTGATCTTGGAAGTTTCTCAACATTTGGGAGAAAACACCGTCAGAACTATTGCTATGGATGGTACTGAAGGTTTGGTCAGAGGTACCGTTGTCAACGACACTGGTGCTCCTATCTCAGTCCCTGTCGGTAAGGGTACCTTAGGTAGAATTATCAATGTTGTTGGTGATCCAATTGATGAAAGAGGTCCAATTGAATGTACTCAAAGAAACCCTATCCACACTGAACCTCCATCATTCGTTGAACAATCCACTTCTGCCGAAGTTTTAGAAACTGGTATCAAGGTTGTCGATTTGTTGGCTCCTTACGCTAGAGGTGGTAAGATTGGTTTGTTCGGTGGTGCCGGTGTCGGTAAGACCGTTTTCATCCAAGAGTTGATTAACAACATTGCTAAGGCTCACGGTGGTTTCTCTGTTTTCACTGGTGTCGGTGAACGTACCAGAGAAGGTAACGATTTGTACCGTGAAATGAAGGAAACCGGTGTCATCAATTTGGAAGGTGACTCCAAGGTGGCTTTGGTCTTCGGTCAAATGAACGAACCTCCAGGAGCTAGAGCTAGAGTTGCTTTGACTGGTTTGACCATTGCCGAATACTTCAGAGATGCTGAAGGTCAAGATGTCTTGTTGTTTATTGACAACATTTTCAGATTCACCCAAGCTGGTTCCGAAGTGTCTGCTTTGTTAGGTCGTATTCCATCTGCTGTCGGTTACCAACCTACTTTGGCCACTGATATGGGTGCTTTGCAAGAACGTATTACCACCACCAAGAAGGGTTCTGTTACTTCTGTCCAAGCTGTCTATGTCCCAGCTGATGATTTGACTGATCCTGCTCCAGCCACCACTTTTGCTCACTTGGATGCTACCACTGTGTTGTCCAGAGGTATTTCTGAATTGGGTATTTACCCAGCTGTCGATCCTTTGGATTCCAAGTCCAGATTGTTGGATGCTTCTATTGTTGGTAAGGAACATTACGATGTTGCTACCAATGTCCAACAAACCTTACAAGCTTACAAGTCTTTGCAAGATATCATTGCCATTTTGGGTATGGATGAATTGTCTGAATCCGATAAGTTGACTGTCGAAAGAGCCAGAAAGATTCAAAGATTCTTGTCTCAACCTTTTGCTGTTGCTGAAGTCTTCACTGGTATCCCCGGTAGATTGGTTAGATTGAACGACACCATCAAGTCTTTCAAGGAAGTTTTGGAAGGTAAGTACGATCACTTGCCAGAAAACGCTTTCTACATGGTTGGTGGTATTGAAGATGTTGTCGCCAAGGCTGAAAAGTTGGCTGCTGAAGCTAAATAAAGTGGTTACCGTTAAATCATTTCCATAAAATATATTTCATTATATTTTATTACCAAAAACTTTGATGGTGATTTGAACACATGAACCCTTTATATACTTTATTATGCCAAGTCATGACTTGAAGTTTAAATTATTATTCTTTATATATAAATTATCACAAAATATTCATTATATTATACTATTTACATTTTATTACGTAATCACGCGCCCCACGACTGGTGAAAAATTCGCGTCTACAATTTTGTTTGTCGTTGTCAAATCAAATGCGACTGGTCATATTCTTCTTCTCCTTGTTCTTCTTCTACGCCAAACATGTTGTCTCTCTCAGATGTATGTATCTTGTGTTGACATTAAATGTCTTATCGTATCGTATCTTATCTTATTACTAACTAGCTGGCTCCAGACATTGGCTTTACTTGATTCCCCTACCATCAATTGGAAGTCCATCATTGTCGGACTTACCGTGGGGAAATATGCTTTTGAATCTTACTTATCATATCGTCAATATCAAGTACTTAAACGTACTCAACCACCCGCCACGTTAAAGTTAGAGATCTCCAAAAAGACTTTTGATAAGACTCAAGATTACGGTAGAGCCAAGTCCAGATTCGGGTTTATCTCCGAGACCATTAATCTAGTGGAAAACTTGGTATTTATCAAATACGATTATTTACCTAAATTATGGAATGTCGCTGGGGTTTTAATGTCCAGAATGTCGTTCATTTTACCTAAGGCCTTTTCCGGAGTTATTACCCATTCAGTGTTCTTTTTTGGAGTTAACACAATCATTGCTTCGTTACTATCTATACCTGTTTCCTACTATCAAACCTTTGTGTTGGAAGAGAAATATGGCTTCAATAAGTCTACTAAAAAGCTATTCTTTACCGATTTAATTAAAGGTCAACTTTTAACTATTGCCTTGGGCTCACCGGTTTTAGCTGGGTTCTTGAAAATATTGGATTCCTTTGGAGATTCATTCATTTTTTATACCATGATGTTTATCTTGGGGATCCAATTGTTGTTCATGACCATCTATCCAACTGTTATTCAACCATTATTCAATAAGTTCACTCCCTTGGAAGATGGAGAATTGAAATCGGCTATTGAAGATTTGGCTAGAAAGAATAAATTTCCCTGTACTGAGCTATACGTTGTGGACGGGTCCAAAAGATCGTCTCATTCCAATGCTTATTTCACCGGGTTACCTTGGTCTAAGAAGATTGTTATTTTCGATACTTTGATTGAGCATTCAACCACTGAAGAAATAGTGGCTGTTTTAGGCCATGAAATCGGTCATTGGAAATTGAATCATATTGCTCAAATGTTGGTCTACACTCAAGCACATTTATTCATTTTCTTTTCTCTTTTCAGATCCTTCATTCATAATAAGTCCTTATATGAATCCTTTGGGTTCAAGGGAATTTACCCTACAATCATTGGGTTCCAATTATTCAGTGATATCCAAGCACCTTTTGATACTGTATCTCAATTTGCCAGTCACTTGTTATCAAGAAAGAATGAATTTGAAGCTGATGCCTTTGCAACTGAACAAGGTTATGCTCCTGATTTGGCTCGTTCCTTAATCAAGTTATCCACCGAAAACTTATCAACAGTCGACGCTGATTGGTTATACGCTTCCTATACTTATAGTCATCCGATTTTGTCCGAACGGTTGAATGCTTTAGGTTATGTTTCCTCTGAAAAAGTTGGAAAGGATGCTGAAAAGGAAGATTAGAATTAAACTCCCATTCGTTTATATTTATGATTCAATTCATCATACGTTTGTCTCATTGAAACATATGCTAAATGTATCTTACCAACAAAATGATCAGCCAACCGTCTATCACTATCTAACCGAGATAAATAAGCTCCACATCCTTCACATACTTGTAATTTTTGTTGGGATGTTTGTCCAATATTCTCTACTATTCCTCTAGCTGTCTCAGCGACTTTTTCCCGTTGTTTGAGAACCTGTTCAAGTTTTTGAGCTTCCTTCAACGTCTTCAACGGCTCATTAACATTCATTAAATATTCCAATTCTTTGGTGATCAACCCAATCAGTGTATCCAATTGATCAAGTTCTTTAGTAACTTGAATAATCTTCTCCTTTTCCTCTGGAGTATGCTCCAACCTCTTTTGGGCAACCTCTAATGTCTTATCTAACTCATTGATAAACTTGGATAAAACCATATAATACTCTCGTTCGAACTCAGGGAAGGACTCACCTAATTGCTTGGTCCGATATTCATATTCAAGCTTATGCTTCTCCAAATGTAATTGGGGACATTTACCCAAATCTTGCTTTGTTCCTGTAAACATATCGTAGGGACATGATCCAACTAGGAATGCCTTACACACTCTGTGGGATGTCATCTCTGGGTCTTTCCGTCGGACAGAGGTATAAATGAGTGCTTCTTTGCCCATGAGTTGTTCCAACCGTTTCCTTTGTTCTTCAGCTGCCGTATAACTCATTGTTGTTTGTGTATGTTGTAGTAACGATGAGGTATGATCTTTGGTGATATTTTGTCTTTGCATTAAGGTTATGCTTATTGTAAAAGAATATGCAGGAAATCTACCAAGTGACATAAATTTCCCAATGCAGTATTCAACGTCGTGAGTTGTCATTCCCAATAATCACCATTCATTTCGCTGCGTTTATACGGCTGAACTATGCATGCCTTTCACTCATCATTGTTCCACAGCCAAACACCTTCCTAAATTCACAGTTCCTTTATATCGTACAGTAGGATTCCACTCCAATCATAGCCACTAACCATCTTACGGCGTATACGATTTTCATATTCATCTCCAACTACCACTTTATACCTTTGACTCCACAGTTCAAATTTAATATTCTCATCGTTCTAGACCCCCATAGACAAGAAACTACTGCTGCTGCCGTTGATTATGAAAAAGTATCAACTCATTGGTATCAAGAATGTCTTGAATAAAAGATCGCGACCTCATCATAGTTATCCATCAATCCATATATGCAATCTTCCCTTAGAGATACTTCTTTATATCTTTAGTTTCTTCCAGAACTTGGACTTGACAAGTTTGATTAATATGGCCAAAACATGTCGTACCTTCAAGACAATCATCTATAAGCATGTGCTTTATGCTCGTATGGTGTTTCCAACTATGCATAGTTTCCAGAAATATACTGAATACCATTTACCTCATCTGGGACTTAAGTTCCAACTGACAGCTCCAAGTGATTGCGTCAACTACTTGCAATCGGTAGTATTGGTCAATCCTCCAGTGAGACCAAGGAAAGATATGGGAACCAACATTGCTGGTTCTTATATCATCGATGACAATGATTGTGACATCAAAAGATCAGGATTATCATATGAGGATTTCCTTAGATCGTTCAATGCAATTTTAAAGGAAGCTTATGGTCTCAAATCAATAACCATTAATGAGATCTCACCTCATTTTGCCTTCCCAGATACTTGGGATGATGATAAGGGAGGTCTTAGTAAATTTAGGAAAAGAGGCCAGAAGATGAAGAAAACATTGAATAAACTCCAACTCTCCACTCAAAGCGGCTGGACCGTGCCCTTCCGCTTAGGCCATATCTCTGGTATTCTTGCAGAATATGATACCATCAATGAATTGATATTGAGAAACTTTATCGTTGATGATATCAAGTTAACTTCATTCACCATCCCTTCTGGTCAACAGATCACCATCAATAAAGTGACCTTTATGAGTTGTACCTTCTCCAATTCATCGAAGAATAGACGTAAGGCTTCAGAGCTATTCAGTTCCGTCACAAGTGTCCAGCTATCTTCAATATTATCTGCCAATGACCTTTCAATGATTGATTTTATGAAGGCTAATCATACACTTCTGAACCTTATAATTGATTTCGATTCTCCGGTGTTTTATTCGGTTAATGAAATGGGTGAAAGATTATTTGATTTCATCCGATTCAATTCTTTCTTCAAGTTGGTCTGTAGTGGACAAGGTGGATATAAAAGCGTCAAAGAATTAATATTAACCAATTTCGATCTTTTCAAGCATTACATTCACGTTCATAAAAAGAATGGGAGATCTTTGGCAACAATCACCGAGGAAGAAGAAGAAGAAGGAAAAGAAGAAGAAGAAGAAGACCATGAACAACAAGACAACAATCGTGAACAATCACCTTCAGACGTTGATAGAAGATTATGGTACCCTCATATAAATGCCAATTATACAGAATCACCCATCCTTTCAAGACCCAGAGACGATACCTTTGATGCTCTTTTAAGTAACTTGGCACCTGTACCAAGCTTGACATTCATTCTTAAAGTAAGACCAGAATTGGTTCATACTTGTGCAAGATGTGGGTTCACCAAGACTGAAGTGGATACTCAGATCACTTCTTTAAACAACAATGATTGGTGGATCTTATTAAGTCCCTTGCTTCATGCCAATGAGTCGTGCCACGTAAAGATTATGAATACCAATTTTCAAGTCATTTTTGAAAGATTCCCCAATTCAACTTAAACTTTTGGATTAATGGAACGCAAACTTATTTATTATTAGATTATAAAAACATTTAGACTTCAATTTAGTTCCCTTATACCACCAACAAGATTGTTATAATAGGTGTCAAAGTAGCAAGTGCAAGACTCTGTATAGACTTTGGGCTTGCAACTATATTTAATATTAGTATATCACATCTAAATACTACTAAATTCCAATGGAAGTGTGCCTCAAGTATATCTAGCTAGTCTTTAAACTTTTCAGTATGGTATGTTTGACTTTTGCCATAGCACTTTTGAACCGAGTGTAAACTTTGGAAAAATTAATTGATGATTCCTTTCTATTCGATGATGCTTCTAGATATATGTCAGCTTTCTCTCATCAGTATAATGGTTGCAAAAATTGGTAATACATACTATTTTGGAAACCTTTTGCTCTTTGGATCTCGGTTCCTGACATATAATCTACTGTTATTCTGAATTCAGGATTCTTCAGGAGCATGCTACCGCCTTGAAAAACATCAAATTGAGATGTTCTTTGCTCGGTGCTAAGTGGCACATATTTCCCTTGTCTCACTTTAACTCCATTCTCTATAAGTTCACTGGCAATAGACACAGGGACACCTCTGCTTACATCCAAGTTGTGGTACTCGTCCTCACAAACGGGTACCATTTGCTTATGAAGAGTAATTGCTTGTTGAAGCTCTTTTGAATTCTTTCTCATTGACTGGGCGATGTGAAAATAGTCTAAAGGTGGTAACCTCAGATATTGATCTTGCAATGCCATAAAATCTGATAAAAGCTCAATGTTACCATTTTCTAAAACCTTCACCAAACCATAATTATTTGGCTCTTGAGTAAACTCGTAAACAAGACCACCGCTAAATATGTCAACCATGTCATTTGAATATAATGCCAGGATTTCCTCAAAGATTCTTGGTGTCACTTCATTGCAACCAAATCTAATAACATTTAGTTAGTATTAAAACTGAGTTGAAAAAAGTAGTGATTATTGTTTTTACTTACTCTGAAAAGAAAACAGGCTTTGAAAAGGCACTATAATCGTTAACAAGTACATCATACCCACTAGTATGAAAACTTTGTTGACCACACCATTGATAGGAGTTCACACCATAAAAATCAACTGTTTCGGCCATAGTATCATCCATACATTCAAGGTAACTTGAAAGAGAGAGTCGATACTTTAAATCATCTGCCGCTGAATAACCCACTGGTATGATTCTTGGAGAGTTGTGTGCTATATACTCCTTCATATCTCGGATCACAGCCTTGACATATACTGGAGAGTTCTTAATAAAAAGTTAGTAAGAGAATAAAAAAACGTGAAGAAAAAAGATGTATGTGAACATACTGAAGCAGATATGTCATCGTTGATGACTTCATTACCAGCAAAGAAACCCAATGTGTTATTATAATAGGAGAATTGTTCCACGATCTTGAAGATATTTTCCAAGTATCTTGCGTTATACGATTGCCAAGGTTCATACCTGTTCAAATGATGATCAGGAAGAGGAGAGTTGACATCCAAAACCAAATATATACCTGCTGCCGCCAACATTGACATGCAAACATCATGATTCAATTCAGGATTGACAGAATAGATTCTAATTGTCTGTGCACGTAATCGTGTTGTTAGTATTCTGATAAGAAAGCGTGGTAGTTGCAAGAAAATGTGACACGTACATTGAGGCCCAATTGTTGGAATAGTCCAACATCACGGGCACAAACTTTTGGATCAGAAAGAGGATCTGAATGGCTTACTACTCCCGAAGAGCCTCCTGGTTGATAATCTACACCTTTTATATAGAACTATGGATATCTTTGTTAGTACACTGATACGTTTGCCAGCAGCGCCTAATGGCTGCAAAAAGTGTTAAAAATTAAACATACTGGTTCTTTGGTGACAGAATCTACAAAGTACCGGCCATGGATGGTGATAGGATGTACGTAAGCGTTTACGAGCGTCAAGTAGACGAGTAAGATTACAGACAACATTAAGGGCGAAGGAAGAAAGAAAGAAATGAAAGTAACATACAAAGGGGAGTTCGCACACCTTATATATAGTGGGGAGTAAATCTGATATCCACAGAGTAAATCTGATACCCACAGAGCAAACTAAACTAAAATATTATTAAATACAAAAGACATACACCAGGAATTAAACTAAATATCGATATATTTTGAGACAACAACCAATCCACGATCCTTATTGGCCCAAGAAACATAGCTAGGACTATAATGTAACACCTCTTCATAAGCAGGAACTGGGTGGTGAATATCTTTAGATGGTCTTAATTCAGCCCAGAAACACTCCACATTTACTCCCAACTTATACAAGGTAGTATCCTTAGCAGACAAGTCGATAACAGAAGGAACCCATTGGAAGCCAATGTGATACGATTTTTTCCAATCTAACTTCAACAATTGCAAGTCATTGATACCCTTTAAATCTTTATAGAGGTAGTTTCCAGCCTTATCTCTGGAGAAACCTTCGGGTATGCTTGAAAGGGCCGGTCTAGACTCTTTGTCAGTGTCATTGTCATTTTCAGAATAAACAATGACAGTTTTAACTGGGGTGTCTGGAAAATCAAGACCAGAAACAATCTTGGTCTTGGATTCCGATCTATTAAATGATAAGTGGCACATTCTGTTCTCAGGCACAGTGATTCTGATTTCTCCAGTTAACAAACCAAATAGATGGTCTTTATTAGAAGAGGAATTCTTCAAAATATCAATCTTTAAATCATCAGCAAATGTATTATTATTGGGAGATGATAATACTGGAGGTAAGGAACTCTTGAATGAACAAACCTCATTACCATCACCCAAACTATCACATAAGAGTGGAGATTTTTGTTTGGATAATTTGAATGAAGGAAGATCTTTAACCACAGCTTCTAAGCCAGATTTCTCTCTTCCAAACACATTAACATAACTATCAGTTGGAGATACATTCAAGTCGATGGACTGGATGAATCTTAACTTCATAGGATTTTCTTCATCGAATGGCTTATCAAACACAATGCTGGTGTATCCAAAGATTACCATACATACCAAGACCAATACTATCAAACGGTTAAACTTGAACACAAACGGTAAAAAGGGAATCACTAGGGCAACAGCTGAAATCTGAAGGACTTGATAAATGAACTTCTCTGAAACAAGAGATTCTTGCAATGATTTATGAACCCCATCTATGATAAAGAAACTAGCATCGGAAAAGATTACAAATGAAATGGGGACAATAATAAGAAATTGAAGGAGCCAATCATAACTCAAGAACTTGACAACAACAGAGTCCTTATGAGAAGAAGCTCTGGAATCAATGGATGAAGTCTCAATAAACCCACTATTATCATCACGAACATAAGAAGGTGCACTTCTTTGAGAACCAAGTAATGGTTCAGATTCACCCTCATCAGTTCCACATGTATGAACATGGTCCCCATTATGTTTGAATACCCAACTTAATAAACCAAAGAAAATGGCCAATGATTGAAGAAGGAACAATATTGAAACAATCAATTCACCAGAATGATCATCACCAAGTTTGTTCTTCTTAAGTTTGGTAGTGGAATAAATAAGCACAATCCAATAGGCTAAAGCAATTTCAATCATGACAATCAACTTTTCATCATGATTGACCACTTTATATCTATAAAATATTTGATTTACGCCATTCATAATCAAATAATTGAACAAAAACAAAGTTGAAGCATAAGTAGCCAAAATCAAAAAGGCAGATGAGTTTGGTAAAAACTTGTTCACTTGAATGGTAAAAGAATCATTGATGAAGTTCAAAGCAAACATTGAAATGAACAAGGAAACTGGAAACTTAACAACATTAATAAAACTTAGTGTCCAGTTCTTCTTGTATCCAAATATAATAACCAAAAGAAGCAAATTGATCAATGGGGCCACAACAAGTAAAGCAATGTTAAATACAACAACCTGAGAAACAGGGAAGGAAACAAAGAAATTCAAGAAACTTTGATAAACTGCAGTATCTGTACTGGATTTGTTGAAGGATTCTTCATCCAAGTCAATTTTACCGGAAACAATTGTGTTAGTGAAATCCAATGCTGTTGAGAGCATATGCCATAAAGACTTTTCATCGACATTTCTAATGTTATCTAAAGCAGTATGATAAAGATCTCTTGGCTTATAGAAGGCAACATCTAACCCTCTGAGCCCTCCCATCTCCTTGTATACCTTGTAATCGGTTTCACTATGGATTAAATGGTTATTGAAACCTTGTTGGAAAATAGAAGTACCGTAAGGAAATCTGACACTAGAATAATATTTCGCAATTCCATAATCTGTACCTCTGAATAAAATAGCCTTACCACCAGCTCCCGTACCTTCAAGGTTCAAAAAATAACCAATTTGACTAAACCAAGGATGCTTCACAAAGGAAGTAGCTCCGTATAAACCAAACTCTTCATTATTATTGAAATTGAATATAATGGTACGTTTTGGTTGTTCAGCCTTCTTGGAGCAATAGTAATCCAATAACCCCAAAAGGGAAGCCACACCCATCCCATCATCAGTTACTCCAAAACTAGAGGGAACAGAATCATAATGAGCACTCAAAAGTAATGCAGGCAACGTTTCATCACTACCATTAACTCGAACAATAAGATTATTACTCTCATAATAAGTAACGGTGTTTCTGTCCCCTGAAACAGAAGAATACATCACACTACTATTATTGTCAGTGTTGTCATGGTCCAATTCCACATAAGTCTTTTTGGATTTGATGATTGAACTTATCCTCTTATCAAGATACTCATACACAACATCGTTACCTTTAGAGCCATAAGTGTGCTCTTGTTTGGCAATCACCTGCAAGTCAGTCCAAGCGGAATCCAAAACTTGAACTTCCAACTTGTCTGTGGGGAAACTGACTGTATAGTCAAGACTGTTGTCATATTTGCACACTAAGACCCCGAAAATTAATGTCACAATCACCAACAAAGTTAACGTTGTTTTCCTATACCCAAAAACACCTCTAAACCCTCGTACAAAAATATTTGGTTCATTATGGGAGTGATGGGCCGGTCCAGACCCTTCCAATGACGTTCTTTTATTGGCATGAGCAGATGTGCCTGGAATTGGCGTTGTGTCCTCGTCACTGGACATCGTGGATGCCTTAAAAGGGGTGTGATTGTGGCTGATAAAGAAGGTATAAATTAATTATAAACATTGCTAATTTAAACCCATGTCATTTTTTTCTTTGGCACTGATATTAATATTACCTGATAAAGCAAACTGTGTCGTAAAAATCCCAATACGGCAATATATATCGCATTAGTCGCATAATCGGTTTGTGAAACCCAAACCGGTAATTGCTTCCACATGAATAATCATAATTGAAGGAATTTTTGACCCCACCCGGTTTCTTTCTTTCCAACATCATCAACAATATGAGTCAATTCGCTCCGTTAAAGAACGATTTGATCTTAAGAGCAGCCAAGGGTGAAAAGGTCGAAAGACCTCCCATTTGGATCATGGTATGTGTCACTATCTAGCTAAATAATTTTCCACCGACTGACCGACAGTCATATTAACCAACCGTTTAATAGAGACAAGCAGGAAGATATTTACCTGAATATCACGAGGTTAAAGGTAAAAGAGATTTCTTTGAGTGTTGTAGAGACGCTGAAATTGCTTCAGCCATCACCATTCAACCTGTTGATCATTATGATGGGTTGATTGATGCTGCTATAATTTTCAGTGATATTTTGGTCATACCTCAAGCCATGGGGTTTGAAATCGATATGATTGACGGTAAAGGCCCAGTTTTCAGAGACCCTTTACGTTCTCCTGAGGATATCAACAAGATCAATTTGAAACCTGATGTGAAAACTTGTTTGGATTGGGCTTATAAGGCTATTACCTTGACCAGAACCAAATTGAATGGTAGAGTTCCCTTATTAGGATTCTGTGGTGCTCCTTGGACGTTGCTTGTTTATATGACGGAAGGTCAAGGTTCCAAGATGTTTAGATTTGCCAAACAATGGATCTATGAATACACCAAAGAAGCTCATATTTTGTTACAAGCCATCACCGATTCTTTAATTGAATTTTTGGCCCAACAAGTGGTAGCTGGAGCTCAAATGTTACAAGTGTTTGAATCTTGGGGTGGTGAATTGGGACCCATTGAGTTTGAGGAGTTTTGTTTACCATACTTGAAACAAATTGCTTCTCGTTTACCTAAAAGATTGGAAGAATTAGACATTAAGGAAAAGATCCCCTTAACTGTGTTTGCTAAAGGATCTTGGTATGCCTTGGATGATTTGTGTGAAGCTGGTTACGATACCGTTTCTTTGGATTGGACTTATCGTCCTGAAGATGCTGTCAAGGTTGTCAATGGTAGAAGAATAACCTTACAAGGTAACTTGGACCCAGGTATCATGTATGGATCAAACGATACCATCACTACCAAAGTTGAACAGATGATTAAAGGTTTTGGCGGTGGGAAGCAAAACTATATCATCAACTTTGGTCATGGTACCCATCCATTTATGAACCCTGATAAGATTGAACACTTTTTAAAAGAGTGCCATCGTTTTGGCTTGCAGTAATCTTGTATATATGAACTAATCAGTAGATCAACATCAGTAGATTAACATCAGCAGATTAACATCACACTAGCATCGTAGGACCATGCTACGACTTCGAACACACTTGCCACCCTGAGTCATCATGACTCTTATTCATTGCCATCGTAGACTGTGTATAGAGTGGGTTGAAAATTATGTCAACCTCATTACTATAATATATAAGTAGTACGATGAGATCGTTCCACCATTATCAACACCATTATCATCATCAATCCGTCATATCATGAGTGAGTTGAATAAAGATCAATTGTATGTGTATGGGTTAGAAGAGTCACTCTTGACTCATTTGGAAGTGATGTACTTCAGTCTGAAGACACTCAGTCAAACCCAACATCAATCCCCATCATCACCATCAACAACGTCATCTTCAATGTCAACACCATCATCATCGAATCACTCAAGGTGCATGGCATGTGACACACAGTTCTCTGATATGGACGAGGCTCGGGTCCACTATAAACTTGACTTCCACAGATACAACTTGAAGAGATCCATTTCTGGGTTGAGTCCTGTTACTGAAGACAAGTTTGAACAGTTGATAGACACCGCTTCTATAGAAAGTCTTTCGGGAAGTGACGATTCTGAGTCTGAATCAGAGACTGAACTTGATCAAGTTGAACAGCTTTTAAGTCGTCAAGCCTTGACTGTGGATCATGATGAAGAAGAATCCATAAGTTACTTAAACACAAGATCTCCCTATATCCTTTTCAAATCTCCGTTACTTCAATCCGATAAGGTATTTGGAGTATACAAGGCTCTCTTTGGTGAAAAGTATCTTGAAGATCACCACCACAACTCTCCATTGGATGTTCTTCATCGATGGTCTCTGACGTCCGTGAAACAAGGCAAGTCTGCACTTTTCATGATTGGAGGTGGTCACTTTGCTGGAGCTATCGTTTCCCATGTACCCAAAAACATCAAGGGTAATGCCAAAAGTAAGACCGAGTCAGTCCAAGAACAGAAGGTAGACATAATAGTATCTAAAACCTTCCATAGATACACAACTAGACGGAAGCAAGGTGGTTCCCAAAGTGCCAGTGACAATGCTCGAGGCAAGGCCAACTCTTCTGGGTCCAGTATCAGAAGATATAATGAACAAGCTTTGGTGAAGGAAGTCAGAGATTTGATCAATGAATGGAAACAGCATCTAGATGAATGTCATCTGATCTTCATCAGAGCCAATGGTGCAACCAATAGGAAGACGTTAGTAGGATATGAGGGAGCAGTGTTGAAAGCAGATGATGAGAGGATTAAGAGTTTCCCCTTCACCACCAAAAGAGCTGTGACTTCATCTTTGAAGAAGGCGTGGGTGGAGTTGACGTATTTATCAGTGTTGGATTTGCCAAAGGAAGATGAAAGGGCAAAGAGAGCAAGAGAAAGAGAACTCAAATTAAAGGAAGGTTCACCAGCAACATCGGATTCCACCACAACAAAAGCATCGGTACCAACAGACCCCAATGAAGAGCATACGAAGAAACTAATAGGCTTTTTGAATAAACAAAGTGCTCCATTATTCATAAGTTATATAAAAAAGAATAACTTGGATGTTAATTCCTTTACACTCGTTCCCAAGAAGAAATATCCATCCACAAATACCTGCTTACACTATGCAGCCTCCAATAAGTTGAATCATATGATTAAAGTGTTGATAGTCAACTTGAAGGCCGACCCCACTGTTTTAAATGACATGAACAAGACCCCTTGTCAATTGACTTCGGACCCTAACACCAAAAGACAGTTTCAAATAGTTAGAGCCCAAGTTGGTGAAAGCTTTGGTGGGATCGATTGGGAGAAGGCTAAAGTCGGGCCTCCCAAATCAAGGGAAGAATTCGAGAAGGAAGACAAGGCCAAAGAAGCAGAGATTATTTCTGAAAAGAAGAAACTCCATGCAGAAGCTATCAACAACAAAACAGATATAGAATTGAAGAAGAAACAAACACCCATTAATCATCTGCTAGGAATATCAAGTTCATTGAATGAATTGGGAGGTTTAACAGAACAACAAAAGATGAGATTAATGAGGGAGCAGAGAGCAAGGGCAGCAGAAGAAAGAATGAAAAGACTTTAACACAGTAGATAGATTTAATATTTTTAATTCAACTTTCTTGAACAAATAATACACCATTAGCATCGTTCAATTGAACTCCTTCATTGATATCCTTCAATTGGCTCTCTTCTTCATTGATACCCTCACCTAATTGGTTCTCTTCTTCATTGATACCCTCACCTAATTGGTTCTCTTCATTGATATCATATAATTGACTCTCCTCTTCACTTGATTCTTGAGCTGGTGGTGTAAAGTGGCTCATAATAAAGCCGATTTGTTTGCTAGTACTTGAAAGAATCTTTTCAATCACCGAGTCATCATCAAAATTTCCTATTTTGCTTGGATCATAATGCTTATATTTACTCAAACTGTTTCTAATTTGTTTTCTTTCTCTCATAGGTTGATAATCACCCTCTTGTTCGATTCGTTGACTCAAACTTCTCGCAGTCATCCATGACGATTTCCTCTGAATGGCTTCTTCCTCATCCAGTTTGAAGTTTTCATGCTCTTCTTCAATACGTTGTAATTCACCTCTTCCTTCACACAGACAACCAAGTAAATCATGAGAATTCGAACTTGTATGTTCTGAAATGTAAAATAGTTTCTTCAACTCTTCAACTTCAAAAACGTTTGAATTCCTACCTTTAATTTTGGCATCTTCCTTATCATTAGAAAGAAAGAAATCACTTAGATTATTTTTCATCAATTGTCGTTGGAATATCTTCTCATCCATACATCCAATGGTAAGTAAACGATAAATATACACTGGGTTTATTTGACCATCTCTATGGATTCTTGCCATTGCTTGTAAATCAACTGAAGGATTCCAATCATTATCAAATAAAATCAACCTTGAGGCACCAGTCAAATTTAATCCTACTCCACCCAGTTTGGAAGATAAAAGAAACACATTAATATCTGAACCTTGGCTATTAAATTTATTAATGATGGAATCTCTTTTATTAGAGGGAGTTGAACCGTCAAGTCTGATGGAGGTCATATTTAATTTTCGAATAACACTTTCCAATAAATCTAAAGTTTGGGTATAATTTGATATTAAAACCACCTTTTCTTGTAATTTATTGATTTCCAATAATAATGGAACCAAAACATTTATTTTACCACTTGATTGTTTTGATTCCAAGGCATCAACATTAATTTGATTTGAATCATTGAAGTTGGTATTGAATAATTTATCTTTAGCCAAAAGCGAAGGTGAATTGCAGTTCTTTTTAAATAAAGTGATCAAGGCCAAAGATTGGTTATTCATTATACCATTTTCAATTAACTTATTAAAATTGGCCGAGTCCAAAAGGAACTGGAATAACTTTCGTTGTAACCCTGTGGGGTGAACAAATAATATGATATCCGTTTTTGCTGGTAAATAGTTGGATAAAATTTCATTGGTTCTTCTTAAAATAACTGGTGATGTTTTCTCAATCAATTGACCAGACATTTGTTGACCCAATTTCTTTATTTGAGGATCAACACAATTAACATCTCGGGAATTATTAATAGGTTTAATATACCTTTTCTGGAACTCATGGATTGAACCCAAATAATTGGGATTTAAAACATTAATAATAGTGTAAAATTCAGTTAAATCATTTTGAATTGGTGTACCAGTTAACATCACTTTCCTTTTTACATTTAAACTGTTTAAAATGCTTAAAGATTTGTTTGAATTATTCTTTAGTCGATGTCCTTCATCACAAATCATCAAATCAAAAATGCATGCCTCTCTTAATTCAACAGCATATGTTAAAAGCTTCTCATAATTTACTACTAGTACTTGATTCACTTTATATTTGCCAAAGGAGATTATATCCTTCTTATCTTTGGCAGCAGAATCCGTTAAAGTCAACACCCCAATTCTATTCAGTCCCAACCATTTGTTAAACTCCTTCTTCCAATTCCCTATCAACGTAACCGGACATACAATCAACACTTTATTCAGTACAATAGGATGGAAGTCATTATCACCATTATTCCAGGGAGACTGCTTTATCAAAGTCCAAATCAAACTAATGGACATTAAAGTCTTGCCTAGCCCCATCTCGTCTGCCAATAAGGCTCCATAATAACCGTTGATTCTATATCCCATAATGCATTCGTATAAGAATTTGACCCCATCAATCTGATGAGGTCGAAGAACCTTGGCTAATAAAGGATCTATGGCCACATCCACAAAGGACGTTTCTTCGGGTGGCGAGGGGAGTATTATTGCTTGTTCTGACAGATACAAGGGAGATCTGCGCTTATTGGTAGTGGTATAGGCACTGGCACTGGCACTGGCACTGGCACTGGCATTGGCACTGGCACTGGCACTTGTATTGACACTTGTATTGTATTGGTTTGATCTGGAACTGAATCGACTACGAGATATTAAGGGGATAGTTGATGATGAGTTATCCAGTTCAAGTTCCACTTCAAATAGACCAATGCTAATGACTCTCCCAGATACTAACGTGATCCCTTGTGTTTTATTACCTGTCATTTTACAAAGTACCTTGCCATCTTCATCCTTTAATACCAACGTTTGATTGGTGGGATTGTGACTGAGTGAACCATCACCATCCCAAGTCTTATTCTTCTTGTTGGTTCTTCGACGCCATTGAACGTCGTACCGTTGGGTGTTTGATGAGGAGATGCCACTCGCATTGGAGACTTTTAGTTTCTTGGGCTGTGGTGACACTGACAGTGTTAGTCTTTTAGCAGCACCTGAGCTTGAAGCCGGCCTTGACCCTGAAGCCGGCCCTGACCCTGAAGCCGGCCCTGACCCTGAAGCCGGTCCTGACCCTGAAGCCGGTCCTGAAGCTGAACTTGACCCCACTAACCGAGGAGGTCTGAAGGGAGCATTAGCACCTGTTTTGACAGCCATAGACGCGTGCCGTAAGCAATGAGATAGAAAGAGCTCAAGTACGCGTTCATAAAATTGAGATCATATATAAAACATAAAGACATACCCACTATAGTCCAACTGTCAACTACATCACTATCCTAAATAATATTTATTAATAATTAATTACACTATAGACCCAATACCATTCCTAAACCCTCAAGCACTCGAGTTGAACAAATAGTCCGAACTTCTGGCTTGAAGATAAGCAATAGTGGATGGGGTATAGGCATACAATGAGTATACCAATAAGAGAAACATCAACGAAAGTAGAATATGTAAGATTACTCCCTCAGTACGAGTTAACATAACATAGGGGAAATGATGATAGTATATTTGATATACTCTTTTTAATGTGAAAGTCATGATTGTACCGATGTTGAGTATGGCTGTGGCACGTTGAGTAGTATGGCTGTGACACGTTGAGTAGTATGGCTGTGGCACGTTGAGTAGTATGGCTGTGGCACCTTAGATTGACTGAGTTAGAAAATGTCTGTGAAGTTGCCTTGTCTCGTGTTATGTCCGTTCTGTTGTGTTGTGTTGAGCTGTGTTATGCTTACGTTCTACTTATGGTGTGAAATTTTTCGTTTTGCGACGATAAGCATATAAATAGGAGTAATAATCATTCACTAACACCCACCCAAAATAATGCATGCAGCGTAATGTCTACCGGATTAATATGCTTAGAATACGTTTGTGATAATAACAGAATGAAAGTATGTATATTTATCATGTACATTCAATGGCTAGCAATGTACGAGTTAACGATGCGCGACAGTCAATACCAAAAAGGGCAATAAAAGCCTCTTGCTTACATAATTCTTTTTTTATCCTAATTTTTGACATGCGATGATATAACGATACATTTTGCAACTATATTCAAGAACCTGACAGCCATAGTAATTGACTAAATATGACTGCTCAGGTGTCAGCCCGAGATCTACTTATTCAAAAAGATATATCTGACTTAAGTCCCGAAGATGTTCAATTGCAATTCACATCCCAAGTAGATCGTCTACAAAGATCACAGCCCAACATTAGTGTTACAGAGAGAACAGGCATCAACGATGAAATCTCCATTTGGATGGTGAAGATCATCAAGTATCAAAAACAAAATGGTGAACTTGACATTTTATCTTCACTTGAATTCATCTTCCAAACGGTGGTGGATTATCTTGGAAGCTCAGCTGCTGATACTGTTTCTATGGCCAATGCATTGAATAGTTCCCTCACTAATCTATTGATCAAACTATTAACATACGTTAGTCTTCTTGAGAATGGGGGGAGTGCCATCTTACGTCAATGGCTTGAAGACAAGGTGGTGTACAAATTAAGCAGAACCTCAAAGAACTTATACTATTTCGTGGAGATGTTTCTTAAACATGGAATGGACCCCAATTGGCTTATCGAAGGTGATTCACAGTTCTTGGAATCGACCATTAGACTTTTAAACTCCAAGGACAATAACCCTTTGGCAAACTCAATGTCAAGGGCCGTTGTTGCATTATTTAAGAAGAAAATAAACCTAAAAAATGATAATGATATAAGATTCTGGATCAATAGTTGGATTACTTATATGCCTTTAGACTTACAGAACGATAGTAACATTGCCAAATACCTAATACCCCAGTTTTTCAAGGTCACCGAAAGAGTATATCCTGTGTTTATCCAATTAGTAACCGAGAACATGCTTTACAATTCAAGAGTACTATTGGGATTCCGATGCGTGGGCCAAAGTTTACGTTTAGAGACAGTCGTACCCACAGAATTGTTATGGTCCTCTTCAATGAAGCAATGGCTCACTGATTTTGATTGTGAAGTCCGGTTACTTGCTTTCAAATACATTACTGGATCCACCAAAGTTTCTGCACCCATAGACCCTCAAATTTATTGGCTAATAAAGGATACACTTATCATTCAATCGTTTATGAATGAGTTTGAGAACTTGGAGATCAGAAACCTGTTTTGTTCTGCTCTTGACTTATTTTTAAAGCGAATTAAAGCCAAGGACATTGAAGGTATGGAATTTGTCACTTGGCTATTAGATTACTTGATACCCCATTACTTATTACCCTCATCAACTTATCCACAACTAAGCACTGCGATGAAGATATTATCCGCCATATTTAGAACAATATCTTACAGCAACGTCAATGACGACATTGCCAGATTACTATACCTAAATTTGTCAAACAATTATGAGAATATCCGTCAACAGGCGTACCAATTGTTGGTACAGTTTTCCTCTGATGGTCTTGAAGTCGGCGGTGTTACGGAAAAAATTGTTCAGTTAGTCAATGATGATGACGATGATATCCATACGAGACTTGGTGATGTTCGTGGCCGCAGAAGTGAAGCATACGCCAACGTCTATGCCTTTGCATCAGAGTTCATTCACAAGGAAGACCCAGTTCACTTCCAAACTCTATTCAATAAGATCATTGACCCATTAAAAGATATAAAGGGTTCAATGCATAGAATCCATGGACATCTTAGTTACTTGAGAATGATGATCCCATTACACTATGAGGTAGTTGATGTCTTCTTAGCTAATAACATTGTGGACATCAACGCCAGTTTATGGGAATGTTTCAGGTCTTCATTGGAGTTGGTTGATAATAATACTACTAATAATAATGATGATGATGATGATGATATAACTACTATTTCTCATTGGAAAGCTATTAAAGAAGCAAATGAATTGTTACTTCAATTCACTGTCCATAACCGTCACTTGCTTAGCTATGACCAACTTCAAAGGGCCATGAACATGATAGTCGATCAACTTGAGAATATAAAGCATAGAGGAGTGTTCCTATCTGTGTATCCCTCCTTTATTACCATTACAAGCATGTGTTTCAATCACACGGACAGCACACTAGATGCCCTGAGTTTCCTCAACACACGTTTGAATCAAATCATCACCAAATCACAAGCTAAATCTAGAAGATCCGCAGGGTTACCATATATTATGTCTGGGCTATTGGCAGCACTTGAAGATTCATCAGAGTTAAGTAACCAATGCTTTGACCGGTTATTTGAAATTGCCAGAACCCAATTTGAATACGATGCAAAGAATGATTTACCTCAAGTTCATGCCTTTAATATCTTGAAACAACTTTACAGTGAAAGTTTGATTTCTTCACATTTATTGGATGTTCATTTACCCCAGACATTGGATCTTTGTCTTGAGTTCTTTACGTCTTCTAATTGGTCCATTCGAAACTGTTCTGTAATGTTGTTTGGAGTGCTCCAACGACATCTCTTCCCTTCATCTGGTAAGAAGTTATCATCTGTGACTATTTTCAATCGGTACCCAAACATTAAATTGATCTTGTTGAACCATTTGAAGGCAGGCAAGGCGTTCCCTGTGGTGTCGATCTTGACCAACATTGTCAATTCTAGCAACGACGATTCCTTAGAACCTTTGCAACAGTGTCTATTGCAAACCTTGAGCCATCCTCATTGGAAGATCCGCAAGATGACTGCAAGAGCATTGGCTTCAATCTTGTCAACTAATCAATTGAACGACTTCTTAACTAAAAGATATGAATTTGATTCTGATAACCAATTCCACGGTACGTTGTTAGGCATTCACGAGGTAGTACTTCGGATTAAAACGGAACTTTATGGCCATGAAATACCTGAAAAGGTCATTCTGGCATTAACCCAATTATTTATTGGTCAATTACAACCACCTACTCCCATTCTTTTATCCCATTGGGTGATACTCGAAACCCTTGTAAATACCTTGGATCTTCTTGAACAGTGGACAACCTCAACAATATCACCTCTTGAAGAAGCCATAATAGGTGAACTTGTGGAGTCAGACACCACCTTGAACGGATCAAGGGAAGCGTATTTGCTGACTCTGACGAAAGTTCTTCTTCAACATTACTTGAAACAGAACCAATGGAACAAGATAGAGCACTTAACTGTGCTTACGAAATCCCATGCTAGAGCATTTGAAGTTGCCTTGGAGTTCAACTCGGTCCATTATGAGACCATTCCCTACACTCAAGAGTTTATCAATCAATTGACAACCCCCACACCCAGTCAATACATTCAGTGTCAAGTTATGGACTTTTTAGGATTAATGGCTGCGAAAAAGGCTTGTACCTTTGAATTAACTGATGATATCCACCACCACGAGAGCTCAAACGAGCTCAAATGCAGGCAATTGTACGTTCAAAGTATTGTGTCTCCTCTGACCCCTCCTGACATTGATACACTTGAACAGTACTTGCTGCCAGATTCACCTGAACCGTTACGGATTTTGGCTGCGAAAACGGTTGCACAATTAACGTTATCATCATCATCACCATGTTCTTCTCGGGGTATGACCATCTTGTTTGAACTCCTATCGGACGAGGAGATGGAGATCCGTCAAGTTGCATGCCAAACATTCCAAAGCATTTGCCACTTACCTTTTGTTCCTAATCCTATTTACTTGATGAGACTATTACTGGAGTATGACACCATAGAATGGGATTGGAATCACCTTTTAAGTCAACAGAAGATCAACCACTGGATCGAGCAGGTACGAAACTCCTTTGAACTCAATACCATATTTGATTTCGAACCTTCCAACATCTACCGTAACGAGCTTGATACCCTGGCAATGATCTCAAAGTTGAAACAGTATAAGCCATCGCACTGTCCTCCATTAATGGCCACTACACTTGAGGAACACCAGCACTTGATTAATGAGCCTGCGGTGTTTGTGCTCTTTGCAATGTATCGATTGGTATCAGGCCAATCATGGCATAAAACAGACAGTATATCTTGTTTCCTAGCAACGGGTATTAACCAGGCTTTTGCCTAAGAAGTTGCGGGTAACCCCTTGTGCTCAAAACATATAAAGGAAAATTTTTCATCCATTAAAAAATCCTTTAGTACACTTTCCTTTAGTGCATTTTCTTCTTCAGAAAACGTATGTTGATATTTCAAATCTAATGTCGATGTTTATATGATGAATACTTTACAACATTGAATTTCTTCACCTGAACAACCATGTGGAATACCGTAAATCAGAGCTTTTTAACCCTGAACAAACATCCGACATTTTATTGATATGATTAGACTAATTACTAACATTTAAGATAGATCTAGTAATGCCTTGAGAACGTAGAGTAGTGCAGAGAGTAGTATGAAAGCAACATGTACGTGTTGATTCTAACTATTGTTACATACGACACTGTATGCTACACGGTACGGTAGAAAACCACCTACCCCGTGCCACCACGTACTGTACGACCCTGTAATAGCAATACACTGGTTCAGAACTCCTTAACCACGGTTACGCTGTTGGCGCCATAGCTCACACTAAAGGAAGCTCTATTGTCGTGTAGTCTATCGTAATCATACCTCTTATCAAGTCATCGTGCGGAAGTAACTCAAAGGCAATCCAGCTGATCCACACTTCTTCTTACTAACCACCTCTTCTTCGTTGCTACGCCCTTACTTCCTCCGTCCTTCATATGTACAGTGTATCACGAGCTCGAATATCTATAGCTACCATCAAAGCATCGTCCCCCTTCAGATCAGTGGTAACTACCAGAAGACGACCAGACGTCAAAGATAACTTCTTCTTGTCCCGAGTCAAACAGTCCAAGACCACTGCGTCTGTGCCATCAAAACAAATCTTTGCTCAAGTCAAAGCCATTGCTCCCAATGACCAATATGTCAGTTGTACCACTTTCGATAGCAATGGGAACATCACCACAGTGTCCAAGAAGTACCCCAAGAAATCGTTCCTTCTAGACAACAAGCTCTTCCCTCGGGACTTCCGTAAGATCGATACGCTGTCGATAGACGTGGCTCCGCTGATCATGATCCGATCGGCCAACGCCATCTTGATCAACTTGCTACACATTAAAGCCATCATCAAGAAGGACACGGTCATGGTGTTTGATACCTCTGCGCCAGAAGCTGCGGCCAGATTGGGTCTCTTCATGTATGACTTGGAGCTGAAGCTCAAGCCGTCGCCGGCCAATAGGAACGTGAGCTACGAGTTCCGAGCATTGGAAAGCATCCTCATCAACGTCATGTCCAACTTGGAAGCGGACCTAAAAGTCCATCTGGTGAATTGTGGCTTGATCTTGTCGCAGTTGGAGAACCAAATCAACAGAGACCAACTCCAGGACCTTTTGATCAAGTCAAAGAACTTAAACAGCTACTACCAGAAGGCAGTGTTGATCAGAAACGTCTTGGAAGAGCTTTTGGATAACGACGAAGATTTGGCGGGCATGTACCTTTCAGAACCCAACAAGTACGATGGAACAGAAATAGACGCTTATGATGATCTTGAAATGCTCTTGGAGGCCTACTACAACCACTGTGATGAATTTGTTCAACATTCAGGGTCAGTGCTCAGCGACATCAAGCAAACAGAAGAGATTGTTAACATCATTTTGGATGCCAACAGAAACTCGTTGATGGTATTTGAATTAAGAATAACTGTCTACACTTTGGGGTTTGCCGTGGCTACTTTGGTCCCAGCATTCTATGGAATGAATTTAAAAAACTATATTGAAGATACAAATTGGGGATTTGGTATGGTGATAGCCATTTCCATCATCCAAGGTCTCGTGGTAACGCTTTTAAACTTTAGAAAGTTACATTCTGTTCAAAAATTAACCATGACAAGCTCACCCTTGTCCAAATCTTCAACTTCAGATATCTCCCCTACTTATGCAAAGACCCTTCGAAATAGACAAAAATTATGGTACCGATTGCTTTATGGGAATAGAAACACAACTTATGATAAACCAACTCCAAAGGAAAGAGATGTGATTTGGAGAATGATCAATAATGATAGAACATTGAAGTAAGCCAGTAAGCCAGCTCATAACTAATCTGAATCTTCTTCATCTTCTTCATCTTCTGATGATTCATTGATAACGTCCTCATCTTCGTTATCTTTAGTATACCCAGGAATATCATCATCTACTTTAGATACAGCAATTTCTTCTTGCTCATCATCAAATTTAGTATGAGAGTTTGGAGCATTTTGATTGGTGGTGGCTATCGAAGAACGACGTTCTCTAGCAACCGGTTGACTTTCCCGTTCTTCACCAGGTTCAATCAAAGTCCCTTCAACAGAAACAACCTTCCCAGTGGAATGAATTGATTTAATAGTAAACCTCAATTTACCTTCAACTTTAATGCCATGTTCATTTTGCCAATACCCAAAAGTCTTGAACTTCCCCCCATCTTCTTCACTGCTTTCTATCTCATCTTCTTGAATGGGTATAAAGCTCCAGTCGTTGGGAATGTTGTATTTCTTAATAGATGCATTAAAGGTATCATGGATCAATAACCCAAGATGTGAGGCAGTTTGCATGTATATGTATCCTTCTAAAACATCTCCAAGTTGAGGTTTCCAAACCAAAAAATCAACAGTTATCCACATGAATGTAAATGGGGACGATCCTTCAATTTGAGCTATGGTTATTTCATTATCTTCCACATCAAATCCTCTATTGTCTCCAGATAATTGTATATTAGAATATGATAAAATCACTCCTTGTGCTTTACCGAAATAGGTCATCACCATAGGATCTAAATGCTGGGCCTTGATCCCATTAATAGGGTTATTAAGATGACAGGGGGCCAATGATACATATAGGGCTGTGCTGAACTTGTGGAAACATTCAGAGATTCCTTCGTCGTTCTTAGGGTTGGTGCTCTTTGGGATCACCAAACTTTTTCTTCTTTTGAATGTGCCTTCCCCGAATCCATTAAGACTTCTCTTAGCAACAGTAGCCATCGTGCAATAGTAAATGACCTGTAAGATCAACAGTTGTTCTCAGAGATAGGTTTAAGATCCTTCACCGTTGATAATTTTTTTTGGGAGCGATGAGTACGGGTTTTGTGTAACATCGTGGTGTTAGGGTCTTTTGGTGTAAATAGCCTATACCGACCCCTCCTTAACTTGGAACATTAGAATGAAGCTGTTTCCTAAATGAAATACTTTCTTCCTTCTTCAAAAGATGCTCCTTCTGAGCAAAAGACAGTCTCTGTTGACTTGGCTTCCCCGGCCGAAGCATGGCAAAGTTTCTAAGAATCTTTTGTGCATAATTCGAAGGTGCATCTTCTGCTTCAGAGTATTGGGGTACTCCAATAAACCGGACTCTCTTAACAACAGAGCTCCCATCTTCCAGGACCAGAATACTTCGAGAGCGGACCTTATCTCCGATGTAGCTGATCGTAGATGGCGTGGAAGAAGTCGATGACGAAGAAAGTGGTCCTCCCTCTTCTCCATGCATGTTCATGCTGTTCTTGTGAGTATTGATCTTAGTCATTTGCAGTCTGGTTATCTTTCCTGGTGAAACTTCAGCTACGCTTGCACCATTCTTGGGAGACACAGATGCCTGTTGTTGTTGTTGTAGTGGTGGTGGTGGTGGCGGCGGTGGCAGTGGAGGTTGTTCAGTGTATCTTTTCATATTCAACTGGGACAATTCACTCACATCAACAGTGACTGACTTCAATTGCTCCTTCTGCTGTGTCACTAATGACCCTTGCTGAGAAGCATTTTTTAAATGCTGCTGTAATCTCTGGTTGGCAGTCATTCTTTGAACCGCAGGCTTCACTTGTTCCCCCTCTTCTTCTACCACACTGGGTCTTGCAGGTTTCTTGAATGGTTGTATCTTATGGGCCAAGGGTGAGACTTGATTTGCTCCTTGAGTGCCAGCTTGTGCTTTCTTTGTCAACGATGGTGACCTTCTAACCATCCCGTTAGATGATCTTACAATAGCCGTGTTTGTGGCAGGTGCATTGACATCTTGTTTGTTCATATTTCTGACCAACGCTGCTGCTGCTCCGGATGCCGCATGAGACTTGGGTTGCATTATTGGTGGTGATGATGTAACGTACATCGATGTAGGTCTGATTGGTTGGGAATTTGCTCTTCTTCTATTGCCAACAGTTGGTGGAGCCTGTGAGCTTGAGCTTGAAGAATATTCAGTCGTAGGGAAATTAGTTAAGGAACCATTTTTTTGTGCGTATAAGCTACTTCTTTTGCTTGAGGATGGGGAGTTTAATGTGCCATATATTGACCTTCTGCTTAAAGACCCATTACTGTTAACACTTGATTGTGAAGAAGAACGTGATCTGTTTCCTGAAGGAGTATTCAATTTCACTTGATTCTTAATATCAAGGGTTTTGAAATCGGATTCAATACTTTGAATGTGATCATCATTAAATAGTTTGGCAATTAAAGCACTACTGGCATTTATAGATTCAGCCGTAGTTGGAGATCTATGTGCTCCAGTTTCCTGCAAATCAACTAGACTGGATTCGGAATTATATGGTTGCGTTAAGTTAGTCATGATAGTTGGAAGCTGTGTAGCTGAATCCAAGCTTTCTTTAGTGGTAATTGAACTATCATCTGTTTGTGGTCGACTCAGGGTTGGAGATATTGATGAAGACACCTTTGGCGGTTGTGGTTGTGGTTGTGATGGTGGTTGTGATGGTTGTGATGGTGGAGGAGGGGCTGGATTAAATTGTTGATGAATAATTGCCAAATTCTTTCTAGGAATCGAATGTGCCTTTCTAAACTTTACCTCTGCATAAATCCAATAATTTCTAAATTCTTCAATGGAAGTTAGAGATGTAACAATCATTGAATGAGCCAGATTCAAAATGTTGGTTATATTAAGGACATTCTTTGCGTTCACTTCGAATTCAGAATTAGCCCGAATAAATCTTGTGATGGTTGCAATTAAAGTTCCATTCTTCTTATTAGCATTTGCCAACTCATCAAAGTCCTTTAATACATGCAGTTTGAAATAGGTGGGGTTCTTCGTTTGAGATATCAATTTGGAATCATAAAGATGTTGAGCATTGGGGAAATATATTTGTCTTCCGAATCTTCTGGTTATATTGTATATCTCATTTAACCTTAAAGTCAAAGCAAGAATCAAATGCATTGTTAAATGTGCATGAGGCAATTGGCTCAAATAATTAATCTGAGCAGTTGGAGATGAAAATGAACGGATATTTCTGAGTCTGGTGAGTTCTACATTTAAGGTATCTTCCACTATACTTTTCACTTTAGAAATATAGTACAGCATTTTCATATCAAAATCAATAAGGGTGGCTTCAACATAAGTAGCATCAGAATTCAAAGTCTCGTGATCTGGAGGTAACTCAAACATCAAATCATTCAAATCTAACATACTATTATCATTAAACAATTTCTCTTTCAAAAATGTTGCAAGTTCGTCCATTTGTTGGTCGATAGTCTCTAATTTCAACTGAGGATCATCAGTCATACGACTTTGTTCTAATTTTGCCAACTTTGCCTGGTGTAATCTTGCAAGATAAGCATGTAAACAATTCTGACATAATAATTCCAATAACTTCAAGCATTTAAAAGCCTGGGTACTGGAAGGAACGGAACTTAGAGGGACCACGGCCAAATCTTGGATATCATAAGGAACATGAGAAACTGTGGCTGGAACAGTCACTGACAGTGGCTTGAACAAACCATAGTCCAGAAGCAGTTTAAGTCGGGCATTGAAAGGACCTTCACTGATCAGAAAGAGTTGTTGGATAGCCACCACAATATATTGCATTAATGGGACCTGATTTGGTTTCAGAAGCAATGATTTCTGGAACTCTTTAATCTGAGGAATGTAGATTTGCAATTGGATAATAGCATATTGATACTGGACGATCTTAGCGTCAAGAGAATCTATCTTACCACTCATTGTAGTGAGCAATATAACAGACCGTTACTGGTAAACTTAGTGAAATAGGTACCTGGATGGATGATTTAACAAACTATAATGTGTAATAGTGGATGCTTGTTCTTATGAGTAGTAGCAATGGACCCAACTACCTTAATCGGACGTTCCTTGATGTTTAGACAGACTTGTATCACGTCTCACGTATACGTACTCACGTCTTTATGACTCTCGGCTTAGGGCTCGACACGGTCTAGCAATAGCACGCCCTTTTCGGAGTTGCTTTTCGGAATAACTTTTCGGAGTTACTTGTAGCTGAGACTAACACAGTGGGTCCTATATCAACTTTTCTAAGCTATTACTACCACAGTTAGGGTTATTCCTTTGATCTTTCGCAGGGATAGAGTGGGACACAAGATTAGCGGCATAGACTTCCTAATTGGGTATTCTGTACCAGTCGCGGTCAGAAAAATATAAACAAACGTATAGGGTCCAGTGGTACTCCACTGTATTAGATTGTGCTGCTACACTATATTAGATTGTATTATAGTATATGGTATTGACTGTGTACGTTACTAATACACTGTATTATTATGTCTTCTAAACGAAAAACAAACACGACTTCACCTGTGCATGTAACAGTTGAAGACAAATCAGAACCCCATAATGATCCAGATAAAGTCGAACGGATAAACGAAGTGCTTACGGAACATCTTGGGTATCATCCTCTTGGAGTCATTGATGATGTGATCAATGCCGTTAATGCGTTATTGTACAAATGTACGGAGGCCATGGAACACTATTTAAAGGAAATGAAAGCAGCTAAAGATAACGAGATCCAAAGTTTGATGGATGATGATGGGTTGATCTTGAGTAACATTTCAGAAAACATATATACTGAAGAAGAAATAGCTAGAGGTACTGCTGAATTAGAAACGCTACTTGAAAATAAAGTAGATCGTTCTTTCGATAAGCTTGAATTGTATGCGTTACGGAACATTCTTACTCTTCCGTATGATCTATTAGATGAAGGTTACATTAGACTTTTACATCAACAGGGAATTGATTATGGGCCATATGATCAAAAACAATTGAATGAATTTGATAACCATTTGAAGCTGTTGAAACAAGATATCGAAGTGGAGTTACAAATTCGAAAGGTTCTAGTGGCTCAAATCAAACGAGCTAAAAAAGTCGTTAAAGCTTTGCGTCAACTACGCCAAGTGATATCTGCTTACAACGATGCAAACAGAAGTTACCACAAACAACCCATGAATGAAAATATAGTAGAATTGTTTAATTTTATGATTGCAGAAGTCAAAGATTTGGGTGAAAAGGCAACGGCATTCTATAAACTTATTCTTAGTCGAGATGCTACTCAAGGAGGTATCAAGGGATTAGAATTTATGCCTGATTCAAGAGATTTATACACAGATTTGAAATCATTCTTGGTGGTTAGTAAAGATATAGCAATCTCATCACACGCATTCATCGAACATCCCACTAATAATAAAGCTCACAATACCTCTGATGGAGCTTCTACTCAATTGCCCGGTAACTTGATGCCTGATGAAGCAGCCTTAAAGGAGGTTCTACAGATGCTTACAACGTACAATGAATGAGTAATTGGGTTAACGATAGGGTTTTGCTATATAAAGTTCATGGTAGAGGAAATAATAAGGAGGGTAATCACTTTCTACTAATACAAGGATATACTGTCATAAGAACATCCATACTTGTAGATATTCTAGTATAGGAAACAAAGTCAAAATAATTGCTATACACCTTTTTAGTCACGTGCGATATCACGTGATTATTCAAAAAAATTATTGAAAGTTCTGCCAATGAAAATTTGTTGAATTGAAACATTACTTACCACCAATCACCAATCAATCAATAACCAAAGATGGCCCACACATTGAAGCCCGATCCAGCATTCCAGAAGTTCAACACTGCCAAGGAGCAGCTTGGTAAGAACTTTAGATTCACCAAGAAGAACAGTTTATTTATTGCTGTTTTCGCGGGAGTTGTTCCTGTTGCATTGACATACTTCGCTTATGGTAATGAAGGAAAGATGGGTTTTAACAGACTTTTAAGAGAGAGTGGAGGCAATGAAAGGCCTTATGCTCCCAGAGATCGTGATTTGTAAGCGTCTACCAGCTGGTTCATCATTTCATAGATAAAAGTTATATTTATGGCTATCTAATGTACATTATTTATTCGACCTACGGGTACAGCTTTATGTAGATCAGTGGAGTTGTAGTGATATCAGTAACAAATTCAAACGACAGCTTCGTTTATCGCAAGACGAATGGGATTGTATACCGTAGATAAGGGAGAATTACTATGCCGTTATGACTCCATCATAAACCCATCAACAGAGCTTCTATCATAAGCTCATGTCATCTACTTTGCTCAATGGATGGAGAGTGTCAACATATATCTATTAAGTGATCTTTACAACGTATGAATACTATGGTACTATCTATTAAATAGCCTGTAATCTATGTATATACACTGTTCTCTTAATTCATTGGTCCATAAACACCTATGTAGGCTGCGAAAAAATGATGCACCCCTTTATCTTCATTTATTGAGCTGCACTTGGAAGGAAAAGATGCCAGACTCCATGTTCTTGAGATGTTTGGGTGGAGTGTTGATTGGCGAAGGTTTGTGGGTGGACTCCTTGGGAAGAGGAGGTCCTGTCATAACAAACGGATACTCTGTTCCTGATGAACCAACTGAAGATAGTGATGATTTTCTGTTATGATGCAGTGGGGGTTGGGCCAAAGTTGATGCGAGAGAGTCGTTATCACTTGTATGGGAATTTCCATGATAGTTCTCCAAAATGATATTAGAAGATCTAACGGAAAACGATGACGAACATTCATTAAGAGAAAAGCTTCCCTTATTAGTCAAATGTTGTTGGTTCATACTTCCAGCAGTACCAGGAGGTGCACTTAACTCTGATATGGGTCCTGCCGATGTAGAAGGCGACACAGATGTAGAGCTATGTCTCTTATTTAAAAGCTTGGAATATGATTGTGACTTCTTAAGTGACTTCTTGTTAATGGAACCACTAACTGACGTGGAGCTTGATAATATGGGCATAGACTTTTTGGTCCTCAACATTTTGTTTGATCCAGGTGGTGTGAACCCATCCAGTTGCAATTTAGTCATAAACGTGTACTGTGATTTGTGATGAGTTGGCGTGGTTGATGGTTGCAGTGACAGCGAAGGCATTGAAGGTGGAAGAGGTATAAACTGGAGTTGGGTGGCCGTTTGGTTTTGTTGATGTAATTGATGAATAGACAGTAGAGGAGGGGTTTGGGAACTTTGCTGTTGTTGTTGTGCCAATGTCAAGGTTGACGAGTTGGAAGTTAGATTAGACGAACTAGACGTCTCTATTGCAAAGAAATCTTGATCATCTAGTTCCAATGCCTTAAAGAAGTCATCAGCAGTGATCTCCTCTTCCATAGGAGAATGCTCCCGTTTAATAAGAGGAACCCGGATCAAAGAACTCAACATATCCTCAAACGCTTGCGTATCAAGAGAGCTGGTCTTGCTTTCAACTTTATCAATGGCCTTGTTGATAACAGGGTTACGACTTTCCAAAGGTGTACTCTGTTCCGCAACTTGAGGGACACCACTATGCCTTGGATTTTCAACTTTCTCTTGGAGCTCTTGCTGCTTTTGTAATGAAGTAGGAGTGTTTACAATAAATGGTCCTTTAACAGCCGGTTGACCTCTGGAGGGTGTTTGAGCTTTTGAGCTTGATAGATGCTTGGAAGATGAATTAGACAGCAGTTGGAGACCAAGTCCAAGCCCAATTGTTGCTGCTTCATAATTAATAAAGTGATACTGATTTTGGTTTTGGTTTTGGTTTTGGTTGTTCTGTGAGTTTCTCTTTTCCTTCTTTGCAGTTGGGACTTGATGCTGAGGCTGATGTTGATGTTGCTTATGTTGCAGAGAAGGAGGACCCACTGGTTGCGACATAATTGAACTATGGGAGTAATTTCCATTACTCAACAGACTGCTATGCCTATGATGACTGAATAAACTGCTGTTTCTCTGATGATGGTAATTTGCCAGTGAATGAGCCAGCCAGTTCTGAGATGGGAAATTCATGGGTGATTGCAAGATTGGTGATTCTTGAAGCATTGAGTTGTGACCAGAAGAAGGTGCAAATTGGGGTTGCGGAGGGAACACACCTACGGAGCATGCCGACGATAAAGACAAATCATAAGAGTGTCTGGGTGTAATATACTGCTGCTCATTACCTCCAATAGGAGACATCAACGAACCACTTTGATTCTGCTGATCTAGTTCATCAAACTGTCTATCAAAATCGTCAAACAGTTGCTGATGGTGAAGACTGTGGGAAGTATCAGCAGCATTACTTTCATTCATTCCAGAATATTCACTGTTAACTTCTGCCATGTATTCTGGCACGTCAAAATGTATTGGTTCCTTGAAAATCATTGCTTGACGATGGTTGGAGCCATGTGGATGTAGAGAAGGTGCCACAGCATGCGACTGAGGTGGTGGTGGAGGTGGTTGATTTGGTGGATGACCAGACATTTGAGGTGCTAATGGAGGTGGGTTTGAAGGCGGTGGCCTCAAAGGTGGAGGCGCTCTTGAATTACCTCTAGCCCGGCGGTTTTGCGAGTACAGATGACTTCGTTGATGCTGCTGTTGATATTGTGCTCTTTGCTGGGAATTAGGCAATTGTTGTTGGGTAAAGTCAAGACTGACATTAGCAAATCCACCTGAATTTCTTTGATGCAAACTGTTCCCCCCACTTGTGCTTACAATATCATTGCAATCTTGCTTAATGAACAGGGGATCATTGAAATAGTCTTCCAGTTGGAATGAGGTCTGTTCATATTCATTGATAACCGATGTATTTCCTGTTGTTGCAAATATGTCTTCATTGTCGGAGAACATGGGCATGTGAGAACCAGAAGATCTAAAACTTGTAGACAAGTATTCCTCTTGAGGTTGTTCATGGTATAGATTTGACAGGGTACTCATACCATCTCCTGGGTAATACAGAGAATTATTATTCAGTTGAAACAGATATTGTTGCATTGAATCATTATCATGACTAGAATAACGATGGTGTCTGTTTGAAGAGTAATTTTTCAGTTGTTGCTGCTGTTGTTGTTGTGGAGGTGGTGGTGGCGGTGCTTGCGACGGACGTGGGTACCGATACTGATGGTGTGGTGGTGGATCCATGTCAAGGTGTTTCGCATCAAACTTGTAGCAGGCAAAGAAGGAAGGAATGAAGGAGATTAATATTAAAGATAGAATCTGAAGTGTTTGTTGGTTATTTGTTATGATTTCCTTAAGAAGCAACGAAATCAACTTTTCTCGTATTCCGTTTTAGCCTTAGGGCTTGTGTTCCAAGATTTAAATACAATAGGTTTTTGTGTCGTGCTCGTCTATGTTAAAACCTGTCAAGTAAAAGTGGACAATGCAAAGTGATGTGATACTGGGATACCTGAAAAAAATAGCCATAAATTTTAAAAACAGAATGTGATAGCGATTGACAACAGTCAATATCAAAGCACAAATATAGGAATAGCAAACTTTGAATATAAAAAGGCCAAAACTAAACAAGGAAAAATCCGGACGGAAATTGATGGAAAAAATTGTTCCTCAAGTCTATAGCGTTTATTATTATTAAATCTCCTGTGGTACCTGCTTTTGTCCATGTCAGGGGAATAATAGTCCGATATATATGATCGATGAGAACACAAACAAACCAAAGCAAAACAATGTTAAGAATGCCACAAAACCAGGAAAAACAATACATTCCCACAGTGGAAGCATCGCTTACAGCAGCGTTTAGGTGAGGCATATTTCTCTTAACCATATTGGGAGCGGACTTTTACTTAGCATCCGATAGCACTAAAGGTTAAACATGCCAATGTGCTACACTTTCTGGAACCAATGAACAGGATGGCATGTATTCTATTCATGAAAAGTTTCTATTTTTGAAGGTTCTCCTTCAAGCCGCCTGGTCCATGAGATTTCTACCCTTTTTTATTATCTAACCTTTCGTCCTATCATTTGATCCGAAAAACGTGAAGTTATTTGTTGATTTATTGCAAGCAACTGGAAACCCATATTATCTCAAACATACACAATGTAGACTTACAAAGTTTACCGGGCAGATTGTGTAACAAAAGTTAGGGGTGCAACCAAATGCAAAACAAACCCGCACGGATTAGAAGAATTATTGAAACCCTAAAAATATGGAAGACGTTCAAATGATTAAATTATATAGCCGCCAATTATCAACTTTACCTCATAATTTTTATCGGGAGACTATTTGTTTATCATATTCCTAAACAATAGAAACTGCCTATAAAGTATAAGATTTATTCTTTGGTTCACAAGTTAGGCTTTGGCAAATTCGAATTCTTCAAATACAAAATATCCCTATATCCGAATGGTATAATAATTACAATTTTATCGGGTAAAATTACCTTATTGACTTTTCCCGCTTGGAAACACGACACTAACTTGAATACCACCGCTCAATTTTACTATGTATTGCTGGTAAAACCGCATCACTTTCAAAACAGCCACAAACCAGCTATAGAAATCGCATTGATAAAGCTTGAATATTTACCTGCAAATTTTGAGCCAACGTTAGGAGAAAATCGATTATTCCATCCAATTTACATCTATAAAGGTCAATTGAAATATGTCTTTATAAATCGTCTTCTTAGAGTGGGCTTATATTTGGTTAGTGTGTTTCTTATAATTAAGGCATGGAAAATTCAATCGTCCTGAGAAGGAATATTTTTTGGTCCCCATGTCATGTTTTGCTTGTTGCTTATTCAGGTACCAGGGGAAAAAATGAATTCTGCTGCAAGGCGTGCATATAAATCGGTAAAGCACTCGGTCCCACATATGGATTCCCCGTAATATTTTTGTAAAGTATAATACTTTCAAGACTAACTTGCTAGGCCAATTACATGCAAACTGTGCTATAAGTTAGATATAAACTGGAATAAATAAATGATGTTATCAAAGAGGGGTGGAGAGCGGGGAGATTGAAAGAAACATATACTATAGCCACGAGGGTTGTTTATATTGACAAGAAAACCAAGGTTGTGAACAATAATGTTTCAAAGAATATTATTAGCACCCACAACAATAAACTACAGTTGTTATTATATAGACAATGCTAATGATTGTTACATATGCAAGGGAACATTTGTTTACCCTGCGAACGAAAATATCAACAGACGCTCAAACAAATAATGCACGGTTAAGAGACGGAAGAATAAGCACTTTTGTAAGTGCAACTTTTACATATCGCTTAAAGTCAGCCACTCTTTGGATGGCTAAAATAATGACAAAATAGTAATTGAATTCACAATGTACCACCAGCATCTCCCCACTTCCCCCACTTACTCCTGGATCATAGTTACAAGTTATCCGAGGTCTATTTGAATAATTTTTCCGGGGGGTGGTACACAATTTTCCCGATAGAATCTAATTCCGAGTACAAATATAGAAGGTGAATTACCCGTTACAGTAATTATTGACAACATAAAAGTAAACAAGGTGCATCCATATTAACCATATATATATGAATGAAAAAAACGTTCTAATAACAATCAATAACAATCAATAACAATAAAGATAATAATAAAAAAAATATAACCACCACGATTTATATAACCCTGTGAATTTAACCAATAAATAATAACAAGTGCAACACCCTAGCTTATTTGACACAATACAATAAAATTTCCCAACCAGATTACCATAACCCAAATAATGTACTGTTTTACAGAATGGTACCCATTTTCAGCCAGTGGTCCATTCGTAATATGGCCCAATTCCATTCAATTCAATTCACCAAATAAGCTATTAGCTCTCTAATTCTTAACCGTATGAAGAAGAAGTCCAAACAATTCTTCTTTCTTTCTCTCTCTCTCTCTCTCTAATCCAATAATAATAAAAATGTAGTTATCCAAATGAGTGGTACCATCCCAATCCCTCTAATTCCGGGTTAGATCAGTATGGCGGATATAGTGATATTAATAATAGTAACAAAAGAAAATGCTTCCGCATAATTAAAGATATTTGACAAACAAGTCGTCATTTAACCATCCCACTTTCTCAAAAACTGCAAACAATCTCAGAGCTTTATTAACATCAATACGACAAGCTTTCTGAGCATCAGTTCTTCTAAATTGTTTCCCATGTCTCAACCTTTCCACCTTCTCAAAGAATAAACGACGTTTCAGATCCAAATAAACATTACAAGGTAACCTCAAGGTTGAAGCCAAAACCACCTCTGCAGGGTGAAGTTTGGACAAATTAGGATCTGAACGTAAATCCATTGGTTGTCCTTTCCATTCAACCTTAAGACATTTGGTATTATTAGGAAGGGTGTCTGTTGAAGGAGAGTAATCTGGAATAGATTCATCAATTAAAAGTTGTTGTTGGATAGTAATTGGTGAATAATCACGGACTGGAGCTCTTCTCTTTTTAGCAGGAGGAGGAGTGGCAAAATCACCACCACCTGAAACTTTAGGACTAATTACAGAATGAGATTGAACAGAAACAGGTCTAGGAGTATCCAAATCAGAAACAGGAAGTGACAGCTCCTTCACAACTCTTCTGGTTCTAGGTCTATCACTAGCATAATCAGATTCCAGGTCCGAATTGTTATTCCATCTTCTCTTGTACTTACGGTCCAAGTATCTAAGAGGCAAGTTTGTGGTAGTCGTCAGTAGTGAGGAAGTAGCAGCAATTTGTTGGCCTCCGAGAGAACCGTATTGATCTAAAAAGTTCAAGTGTTTTGATTTGTAGGTTCCAGAAATAGATTTAGAAGAACCCCATGGACTGATAGTTAACCTATAATTGGAAAAGTCTTCCACTGGAAAAGGATCCAAGGTATTAAGGAAGGATGGTAAAGGGGAAACTGTTTGTTTTTCTTCAGTAGGAGGTTGATAGGGGACATCATAAGGTGATAATTTCAATTCTTCAACATCTGAACCAGACCTGTGATATGGAGATAATGGGGGTGATAAAATTGTATTTGAACTTGAAGGAGAATTCTTTGTGATGGTTGTCAGAGACAGGACAGAAGCCAAAGAAGATGAAGATGCCAATTGTTTGTAAGTCAAAGGTGGCTGTTGAGAAGGTTTAGCAAGTGTAGCAGAAGTTGAGGAAGGGCTTGCTAAAAGCAGGGGCGTAAACCGAGAATCACCGGGGTTAGCATTATTATTGCTATTAGTGGGGGTTTTGTTTGTGTTATTTTGAGGATGTAAATCTGAATGCGTAGGAGTTAGACAAATTGGTACATCCCTAACACTTGAAAGGTTTGAAGGATGTGAAGTAGTTGAAGGTGATGATTTAGGAGCAGCCGCTATGGGTTGATGAATCATTGAGTATGATAATAATAATAATAATAAAGGGGTAGTTTAATAATAATATTCCCTTTTATCGATAAGGAGTAAGGAAATCGATATGCGCGACTGATAAGATTGTATGGCAGAAAACAATTATGTAATCAAATGGATTCTGATATAGTAAAACGTAAATATACTATAGGTATATTATTAGTATAGTATTGATTGTGTAGATAATTGTACTATACGATAGTAGATTGTATGTTCTGGTGGTAAACAACTCAATGGCTGTTTGTTATTAAGTAAACTAATAGTAAAAGTTGAAAACAGAAAGAAGAAAGAAAGAACGAGATGAAGAAAAATTTATGAAATTTATGGGAATAACAATACCCTATATATCTTTTGGTACAGTAAGGTCTTCGCTAGATGCTTTTTTTTACTACTAGTAGACTGTCTGGAGTCATTGCAAAAACACCTTTTGTGTTATGGTTAGTCATGAAGTGAAAAAGAAACTGGGGTCTTCCTTTTTTTTTTGGTTTTAGTGAGAGTCGTGTGCACTCATTAATTCTTATATTTATCAGCACCAGATACATCAAATTACTGCTATTAATAACTCAATTAACGAGATAGCACCATCCTACTCACTTAGTACTATAATATTCGTTGATAAAGCTATCACCCCATATCCTCAATCCTTGTCATGTCATGTTCTGCTCTTTCAAACCTTGTGACGATCTTTGGTTGAGACGGTATATAATCAAAAAGAAATGGTTTGGAATTTCTGTATGCAGTACGTCATCTCATGATGTTGTTTCTTTTGGTCCCAGATCCAGATACATTTAGCCTTGTTTTGAATACAAATAAGCATCTAACGAATAGGGCAAATCAATTGATCAAAGTTATATTGCTTATTAATGGAATTGATTTACCCTTTCGTTTAGATTTACAATTATTTCTTTCAACGTCCTAAATTTTGTCTGTTTATCTCTTGCTGACTTTACTTTGATGTCAGTTTTGTCCTGATAAGAATCCTGTACAATGCTTGTTTGCACACGAGACAAAGTAAAAGCACCCGGTTTCTCCTGCACAATGCCCAGCTATTGTCCGCCCCAAATGTCTATGGTTATTTCCATTCCGAGGAACGCCATTTTTTTGATTTCTGTTGGAGATGCAAAGTTCTCACCCGTTCTCACATTTACGCCTCGGCTTCAGCACATGTTGTTGTTTCAGCCCAACCTAAACACAAGATAGCCAGCAACACCACAACACCAAGACACCAAGACACCAAATAGTTTTGACTTCCATTATAGGTATTTTGTTCCGCCAGCAGCTTAGCTCCGCGCATCTGAGTTCCTTTATCCTCTCCTTCTTTCCACTTTGGGTTTATCGCCGAATATTGGCGGAGTCCATATTTCTATTGCACTATTCAAGTGCCACTCATCTCCTAGGCTGCATAAAAAGAAGTCCCAATCTTTCAGATAAAGATATATATATATACCCCTACACTCAGTTTATTTTGAGTAAACCAAACTGTTCGGCCATTTGTGTGCCAACATTGAAGGTTAGCTCCGCTCCGCTCCATCACATTGATAATGGCAACGATTCCAGAAGATGAAGAACCTTTATTAGGAGGAATCTCCTCAACTCCGATCAATCCAGATATCGATACTAATTTTGAAACGGCTGTGGAAGTAGCCTATGACCATCTCACTCATCCCGAACAAGAAGATACTCAACCTGAACTTCTAGATCATGATAGTCATCATGCTTGGCTCTCCAATCAACAAAGACAACGTAATAAACAGAAAACTTGGTATTCAAGACCCTCTCCCTATATGGTTGTGATTGTGGCATTCTCGTTAACATTTGCTGGTTTAGGTGCTGAACTGTCTCGTCAAGTAATAACCTATAAATTAGCCTGTAATTATTTGTCCAAGTTAGCTGGCTTTCTTGATCCAAATAATGGGAATAGAAGTTGTTCACCCCAAGATACTCAAATCCTTATGTCTAATTTGACATTGGCCACTTCAATTTCTCTGAACATCATCACTTTGATTGCCTCCGGTAAAATGGGTCCACTTTCAGATGTTTATGGAAGAAAGGTTTGTATTATTATCATCGTTGGTTTTGTAATGCTTGGGAGAATTCTAAAGTTTGCCTTGATGTCTCATTATGATTCGTTATATTTTGTCCCCATGGTTTTATGTGAGGTTATTATGAACTTGGGTGGTGGAGGATTGGCATTGATTAGTATTTGCAATGCTTATATTAGTGATGTTGTTGAACCACATCAAAGAAGTTATTCTCTCGGGTTAGCCATTGCGGGATTATTCTTGGGTGCCAGTTTAGGTCCAGTCGTTGGGAATTTGTTAATCAAATCAGGTCAAAATACACCTAAGGCATCATTGGATAATATTACAACGTCACCTAAATATATCACTATTGAACGTTACGAATTTCTTCCATTGAAGTTTGAACTCTTGGTCCTTGTGATGTTACTTGCATTTATTATTTTCATTCTTCCTGAATCAAGAGGAGAACAAAGTCGTCGATTATCTCGATCAATGTCCCACTCCTCACTTTCAATTAGAAGTGGGTTGGTTGGAGAATTGACTCCACCACAGAAGGAAGTTTGGTGGAAACGCTGGTTCGTTCAATTAAACTTTGTTAAGCCATTATCCTTGCTCCGGGTTTCTAAAGACGTTATAAGTGTGGACAAAAGAGCCGACTATAAGAAATATCAATTCCCAGTATTAGCATTGGTGGTTATTGATGCTTTCCTTACTGCAATGGCTATGGGTATTCAATCCATATTTATTCTTTATGGGATCTATCATTTCCATTGGACTCAAACAGACTTAGGACATCTTTTAGCAGTTGAAGGGTCTGCAAGAGCTATTGTTCTTGTTATACTTTTCCCCTTAATTAATCATCAAATCTTTCAAGGTATGCTTGGTTTCAAAATCAACAAGAAGAATTTTGATATGATTGATTTTAGTTTTATAATTTTTGGATTATTCTGTGAATGTTTAGGGTTAACTCTGATGAAATTTGCTCCCACTACATTAGCGTTTCTTGTCAGTTCTGGAATTATGGCTATGGGTGCCTTGGCAGCTCCAAATATTAATTCTACTATAATTAAGCATTATCCCGAGCTGAAAATTGGTGAATTGTTTGCTGCTATTTCATTGGTTAAAAATGTTTCGGGTTTAATTGTCCCCATAGTATTCATTACTGCTTATAAATGGTTATTGAAAAATAGTGATCCTGGTTGGTTATTTGTGGGTATTGGTGGGATATTGGCATGTTTTATGGTTTTATTGGTTATTGTCAAACATAAACTACAAGAAGCAGCAACTACACCTATACTTTAATACAGATTAATCGGATGAATAGATATTTAAAACTACCATTCTGCTTACTTCCTGTAGGAAACGGTAGCGCGCCCTTATATGCGTTTCTCCAAATATAATGGTAGCGCGCTTTGATAATATTGTACTTTAATTGCGCCGCATGTGTGCTCTAACCGTAACAACCTACAACTGCCTCCAATATACACATAGTAGTATGAACACTGAAGGAGTGTCATATCTTGTGTGTATACGTTTAGTGGGAGTTGTGGGTCTTTTAAGTCTTGTATATATTATCATCCATTACGCTGTAGTGTACGGAATACTTAATCCTTATACTAAGAAGGTTGTTACATCATCTTCATCATCTTCATCATCTAAACCCATACCACTAGATTCATTATTATCACCATTCCCGTCTGTATCAGATTGTGACATATCATTAGAAGAATCGATATCACCATCCACCTCAGCCTCGTTATCAATATCATTATCATTGTCACCTGTTAGATTTAGAGCATCATCCGCATTCGAATCCACTCATAGTGATAGTGAGCTTCAACATCTTGGTTTACTGAAATCTGGTGGTTTCCGTGTCCGTCATTTCAATAATAGCTCCCAGTATCTTCGTCGTGATAGTTTTGCTGAACACTGAATTGAATGTGACCAGAAATGATTAATTATCAAGTTTATTTCCCTCAGGATATGCTTCGAAAGGCTCACACGCTACCAGAACTGTATCTATTGGGGTTCTGGATAGATAACCAAGTGGCTATAGTGGTTACTGTGATCAGTAGCCCTGGTATACTTCAATTTTGGGATCAATTACCTTCTAAACTTAAAGCATTAACGGTGGTAGGTACCATTCATTCTCAGCCCTACAAAATCAAATCTTCATCTTCTAATCAATTAAATGAACTACAGAGATACTTGCATGGTGGTAAAGGTCTTCATCGTTCTTTGAGTTTTTATTTTGGCTTAAGTCTTCGGTTTCCGGTACTTGAAGATACTCATAACTCATGCTCCTTTATCCTTTTCAATCCACCTAATGCTAGAAACTTGGAATACTTTTCCATAAATCCTATATTGCTTCAACATACCAATAGAGAACCTCGGATGTATCATAGAAGTCTTAATGGTAAACTACAAAGTTATGATATGGATAACTCCATTAGTTTTATCACAGCATCTACTTCTTATTCTTGTTCAATCTCTGATGAGGCAGTGTTGGACCAATTGAATGGAGTACGTTTTAGTCGTAATCATTATAGAGAATGGCTCAAGGATTTGAATCTTATAAATCCTCAACAGTCGACTTCAAAACATTATGTTGCCAGATTACGATTGTTGATTACCCAGACCTTGATAAAGTTAGTACTCGTGACTCAAATGGCTTGCATAATGGGGATAGATCTCATTAATTTTGATATCAATGGTTTTAAACCTGTGAATTATTCTCTGGTGTTGAAGCAATTGGATCTTCGTTTGAAACAGTTGAATTATTTCCCTATTCAATTCATGTCTTATTATGATAATCGGCATTCCCAGAAGCTCTTTGAACAGCTTAATATCCCCAAATTCAACACCAATTTGAATGTCAATAATTCCAATTACATTAATCTATACAATTCTCTTTGGTTAATTGCTAATGACATAATATTTGGTCTTACATGCTATCGATTAACTGTTGTTCATCTTGCAAAAATTGCAGACTTCATCTGTAACACTATTATTCATGATGTCTTATATGTTAGATTATACTCGTTGGCTTTTTGGGTGTCTTATAATCATCCTGCTGGGTTCAAACTTAATAATGAATTGGGCAACTTTATGGGGGACTTGTATCTTTGGACTATCACATTCTGGAACTTCATTCTCAAACATATCTTTCAGTGGGTAGCATGGCGGCCAGTATCTATTATCTTACTCGGAGTATTAAGAATGCTTTGTATATTGGGAATGTCATTTCTTATTTGTGCAGTAATGGATACCGTTAAATTCACTACATTCCATATCTATTGCTTTTATTACTGTTCAGCTAAGATTTACAGCAAACAAATTGCAGTTATCCAATCATTATTCCAGCTTTTCAGAGGGAAGAAATACAATGTTTTACGGAAAAGAATTGACCATATTGATATGCATGGCGATAGGTTTGAAATTGACCGTCTTTTATTGGGAACATTACTTTTCATGATGGCCATCTTTCTTTTACCCACTGTATTTGCATTCTATTTGATGTTTTTCGTCTTACATGTTGTCTTACAATCAATAGTATTTCTCATGGAATGGACTGTGATATTTGCTGACTTCTTCCCATTATTTGTTCTACTACTCAAATGGAAGAACTCCAGTCGTTTGCAAGGTGGAATAACTTTTAAATTCATCGATACAGTTCGTCGAACCACCTATTTATCAGTTGCCAATCAATCGTTGTCGTATCAAGAGATCTTCCAACGTTTTGGCGAGTTGGTCCGCTACTCCAAGCACTTGAACGCTCCCTTGTTGGGCAGCTTTGTTTCTGGTTCCCCTGTGGCTTACATACTGGACGAAGACATTAGGTTTAACTACCTTATGCTTCCAAAGAGTTACCATAGAACAGTTGAAGCTTGTCAGTCCATAGTAAACTAGTACAGTGGTCTACATGCAGGATTATGAGCGAAGGAGAATAAGGATGGCCACACCTCAATTCAAATGTATGCCGTAATAATATTATTCTTTCCTCTTTGCTTCCTTGCTGGTACCAAAACTTCCACTTCGATATATCCTCTTCTAGTGGTGTATATAAGCGGAGGATATAATAAGATGAGACTAATCAGGTTTCGGACGATTGTTCGTAGTCTCAGTCGAAAGTCATCATCATCTTCTAAGGATAGTATGATCTTAGCAGATGCACTTAATCTTCTTTCACGGGATAAGAACGATGAAGGTTCGAAGCTGAAACAAGCAACAAACTCTACGACGGCATTCCAGCCTTCACTTTTCCAAAATTTGACTCAGGGAAGTGCTGTTGAACGATTCCAAGTGGAGCACGAACCGTCACCAATAAAAAGTCCCAATCAGAAAACAAGAGAGAAATATGTCACAAACCTTTTGCTGGGAATCAAATTACATAGAGTGGCAGATAATAGCACGTTGTTATCACTTCTGCCGAAGAAAGTGGGGAGATATATTGGCACAGTTGAGAACGAACGACGTCTTATTGAGATCTTACAGTTCTTTTACTTTCATGATCAACTTAATCTTAAGTTGTTAATGGAGCTTGTTTTGAATCGGAACTTCTGCTCGCTTCAAGAGGGTAAGATTCCAGTGAAACTAACCCTGTTACGTGACAGTCACGACCGGTTACAATGGAAAGAAATAGATTATGTTCAATTTGACATTGTTCTTTTGAAGAAGTACTACGATTGGGGTAAACCTTTAATGATTATCAAGAATTTGAAAGCAAATTTCAACAAATATTATGCGCCAGCTCTTGAAACCCATTCATTATTGCCATTTTATGAGCGAATTCTCTGGAAGTTCTATTTTGAATATATCAAGCAATTTGACGAAATCTATTATATCCGTCAACTTGACAACATAAAGTCTACTTTCCTTATCTTGGAATCTTCTCAGGAAAAGAGTAAGGTCATATGTGAGGAGGCATTAATACAACATAAGGACGAATTAAACATTTTACAACAGATATTCTTGGCGATTGTATCTAATACAGCAGTTCAATCCCGGATTAACACAGAGTTGAACCTTAATGGTACGCAACTGAAACTACTCTCTCTGTTGAAGAAGGTTTCCATTAAATATAAGTTATCATCACTCGATGTGAATAACATGGAAGAAGACAATAAACTCACCATGTATATGGTGATCAATGCCCTTGAGAATATATTGTGGTCCTCACAATATGATCTTGCATCAAATGATGGCCACAATGAACTCTTTGGGTATCTAAATGATCTTCGATGTTTTCGAGAAGAGAAGCTCATGAAAATCAAAGGTATGGAGAAGGAGCCCATATGGAATGAAGTCATACGTCTGTATTAGGAATTATTGAGTAATGAATGATGATTAATGAAGGAAAAGAGTTATAAGTAGATTACGTAAACGTTAAACCAAACTAAAACTCATACAGCCAATATTTTGTCACGTGCTAAAACGCGTGACATTTTTCCTACATAAACATGTAGTCATGATCTCTGTATATAAAGCTTAATGCTAAGATCTTAATTTAATCTCCGACATACCTACTCTTCTTTAACCCCCCCTTACTGAGTATATACAATGACCGGCTCTAACGAAGACTCCGCCTTATTGGGGGGAATCTACAACTCCAAGAAGAAGACTCGCACCTTCACATGGAGACTATTATTAGAAGTAGGGCTCGTTGTAGCCATAGTGCTTGCATTCTTGTGTCCATGGAAACCAGCAACTGGTGGTGCCACCTCCCCCAAAGTTGATGTCAACAAGAAGAAGAACGTCATCTTCTTGGTAACAGATGGTATGGGTCCTCAGTCTGTTGGGTTAGCCAGATCCTTTAGACAATTTAGGGATGGCTTACCAATCGATGACATTTTAACTATAGATAAACATTTTATTGGAACTTCTAGAACTCGTTCTAATAACTCCTTTGTAACTGATTCTGCTGCTGGAGCCACTGCCTTTGCATGTGGGTTGAAGTCCTATAACGGAGCTATTGGTGTCGACCCTGAAAAGAACCCCTGTGGTACCATTTTGGAAGCCTTAAAGTTACAAGGGTATATGACAGGTTTGGTGGTTACTACCAGACTTACAGATGCTACACCTGCTTGCTTCTCCGCTCATGTTGATTATAGATACCAAGAGGATATGATTGCTCAACAACAGATTGGTGAGTATCCCTTGGGTAGAATGGTAGATTTGATGATTGGTGGTGGAGGTTGTCATTATAATGGTAACTGTCGTGCAGATGGTCGTAATTTGGTTAAAGAATATTCTGATACTTGGAATCATGTTTCCACGAGGGAAGAATTTGATCTGTTGAATGAAGGTCATAATGTTACTTTACCATTATTGGCTTTGTTATCTGATGGAGAATTACCTTATGAAATTGACCGTTCTCCTAAACATTTCCCTTCATTAGCAGAGGAAGCTAAGGTCGCTTTAAATGCTTTGGCTGAAGCTACCAAGGATAGTGATAAGGGGTTCTTTTTGATGATTGAATCGTCCCATATTGATTTCTTTGGTCATCAAAATGATCCTGCTGGCCAAGCAAGAGAAGTGTTGCACTATGATACTGTTTTCCAAGAGGTTATGAAATTTATTGATTCCACTGATGTGGAAACCGTAGCTATTTCTACTAGTGATCACGAAACTGGTGGATTGGCTTTAAGTAGACAAGTATCTCCTGCTTATCCAGATTATCTTTGGTACCCTGAAGTGTTGTTGAATTCTACTCATTCTGGTGAATTTTTGGCTCATTTGCTTTTTGATTATTATCAAAGCCAAAGTTCAGACGATACTCCTGCTTTGACATCTTATATCACCAAGCAAGTGGTTGAAAATTTAATGGGGATTACTGATTGGACTCAAACGGATATTGATCGTATTATGACCAATATTATGAATGTTAACGAATTAATGTATGTTCTTAATGACATGATTAGTGTTCGTGCTCAATTGGGATGGTCAACTCATGGTCATTCAGCTATTGATGTTAACATTTACGCTTATACCAATTCTCCTGCTATTGAAGAGCAATTGAAACATAATGGAGCTTATGATGGGTTATCCGGTAACCATGAGAACATTGAGATTGGTAGATTCATGGAGTCTCTTACTGGTGTTAACTTGGATCATGTTAGCCTGTTACTTAAGAAAACCAACCATAAGCCTGAAGTGGTTAAATCAGATTTCAATGTTAACTCGTACCATGTCTATTAGATTGAATTAAAGTATATATATTAAATAATATTAAATGGTATAATCTTCTTTACACAATTTAGCTCTTAAACCTTTACCTAAATAGTAGAAGGAAAAGGGAATTGCAATCATGGCCAATGAAATGAAAGCCAATAACCAACTAGCCCATTGTAAACCCAAACGTTGGTACATTTGAGTGGTGAATAATGGGAACGCAGCACCTGCACCACTTCTTAAGAACACCTTTGTGGCCAAAGCACTGGCAGCATATTTGGCATAAGTATCGATGATATAGTTGTTCAAAGAATAATAGATAAGCACCATACCGTAACCAAAAGCTATACCCAGCGATGCAGGGCCGACCCAAATGATATGTTTATAACTTGTTGCACCCAAGATGAAAAGAGCAATACATGGGAAAGGAGACCCAATCATGGCACCTATTAATCTATCTTCAGGTTCTGGTTTCCTTCTTTTGCAGATCAATGCATATTGCTTCTCCAAGATAGGGGTTGTGGTTAAGGCTAACCCGGCACCAATAATGATTGGAATGAACATAAGTCCAATCAAGTTATCTTCATAACCGTAAAGAGTGTTGAATATGTATGGATATGCAAAGAAGAATGCATAAAGTAAGGCATAAATCAAAGCCACGAATCCACACACCAATACTAACACGGGTTCATTAACACAAAACCGTAATGGACGATAAAGACAATCATTAACTAATTGTGAGAATGTCATTGGAGACAATTCTTGTTCTGTCACGATATTCTGGTTACCGGTTGCCTTTCTTAATGATTTAGCTCTCTTTTTCAAGATGACTGGAGCATAAGTTTCAGGAATTAATGATACAGCAATCCACATGACACCTGCAAAAGCCATGTTAACCCAAATAATCATATCGTAACGCCTTGTACCGACTGAAATGAACCCATTGACCAAACCTCCAATAACAGGTCCAGTGTATGGTGCAAAGGCAAACATGGCTATGGCAACACCTCTTGTTTCCTTATGGATATCAACCAATGAAGCACCAACGTTAGTTAATGCACTGGCTGCGAAACATCCACAAAGGAACCGACATACGAGAACTGTGCCAATATTCTTTGCGACTGCGCATGGAACATTGAAAAGTGTGTACAAACCAAATGAGATAAAATATACGGGCCTTCTACCAATTTGTTCTGAAAGTGGAGCCCATAATAATGGACCTACGGCAAAACCTATGACCATTAATGAAACGGTTAAGTTGGAAACCTCGGCAGAAACATGAAATTGTTCTTGAACGGTGAAAAGACCACCAGCAAGACAAGCACTTCCATATGCTGCTGCAACCACGTAAACGGATAATACTAATGTTAGGAGCCATTTGTACCACATTGGCCAATTTTGAGGGTTTTGAGGGTCATCTAATTTGAAGGTAACTAATTGGACTTCCGAATCGATTTCTTCTTTTTCACCGGTATTTTCAACCAAGATAGATGCCCGAGTAGATTGTCTATCCAATTGAGTACTCGGTCTTTCAACATGTTCTTTATCGGCGTAGGATTCTGGTGATTCACTGCTTGAGCGATGATCACCTTGTGCAGATAATGCAGTAGTAAGTTTGGCTAGATTTTTTTTCGATGTCACTGATTTGAGTCTACCTAATTCTTCTAATGCTTCAAGAGGCACCAACCCTGTTTCCGTTTCCAAAGTGTATTCTTCGGGGAACACTGGATTATCAACAGGGACATGAGTTGCTGTTCTTGTGGGAGTTTCAGATAACCCTAAATTATGTAATGTCTTGCGAGTTTCTGTACGGACTGCCCGAAGCGAAGCCTCTTTCCCGCTGTGGTTTCCAACTGTATAGCGTGAATCAAGTTTAGATAATTCCGACATCGCATCATCATTAGAGGTTGCCAATGCATTGGGAGCGAAAACTGCTGCACTTTCTTCGATGTCAGCATCGGATGCTAATGATATACTATCTATTGGTGGATATTCAGACATATTGAATTAAGTTAATTCAATTATGATTAATATAATTATTTATCAAAAATATTATTCTCTTATAGGATGATCTCATGCTTATATATATATGGTGTTTTTCTAGGGGGCACTATGGTAGTCACTAAAGCCGCATCTAGCATTATCTAGTTCCCGGGAACTTGGTGCGAATGTTTGTTTAAGCGCGATTTTCCAAATGCGTCATGTATGCCAAGTGCATTGCTGTTTACACAACATAATGGTTTTCGGCTTTTAGAGGAGCTGAGATCAATTGAAAATTCAAACCCATTCAATTACTCCGTCACCCGTAATGTGCTATCATCGTGGTTAGTGTGTATTTTGGGAGATCCCACTAGTATGAGCCGGCTCTTTTTTGATATCGTGCTATCTTTAGAAAATTATGTTTTCTTCGCCAAGTGTGGGTATTTCGTGTGTATAGAATTGTGTTACTTTTTTTCTATGATATCCGGTTAACTGTACGTATAGCCGTTCGTCATTAAAAGAAAATGGTGCTACCATTAGGTCACACTACATACAAATACGTTGAGGGCTTATAACTCTGCATGCAGCGAATATTTGTACTTATGCAATCCTGAAAATTATCTCATGAGATTTGATCAAGATCTATGAGCTTATCATTCTATTTTACCATTTGAATTGATTCACAATCAAAAATGCTTGTTAAATATTTCACCAAAGTTGGCCATAGAACTTATCCATAATTAGAAGGGGATAGACGGCTTGTAAGGTTTCTTTTTTTTTCCATAAATCCGAGGAACTTCTTTGTGTCACAATTTTTCCGCGGTAATACAAGTGCATATTCGGAAAAAGGTGATACTATAACAGAGCCCTATCTCTTTGCACGGCTGGAACATACCAGCAACCACTTCTGTGTTGACTACTATTATGTAGCGCAGTATATATAAAACTTGTACCTGAACACAAACACACAGATTTGCCTATTATTTTCTTAAAACCCAAATGAAAAGATTACTTTACAAAAATGCGTGTCACGTGATGCGACATGTGTTTAAGTTTTTCCGTGTTTCGTATAGAATGGACTTAGAGAGGTTGCGAAAAATGAGGTATTGAATTTATGCTCGTATGGAATCATTTGTCCTAACCATCATGAGCGTATTTAATTATTTAGTGCTGATGGCATCATAGTTATACATGCGCTTCCCTGGAATAATCTTGGTGTATGGTTTACGAATACTTTCCTGTTTGGTAAGATACAAAACGTGTTTCAAACGGTCGACACTTTCTTGATTCAATTGGAAATGGAAAGCTAAACGCCCACCCATTAACTTAAGCCCATTTTCCCGTGCATACTCAATTAAAACCATATCATTCATGTTGTTACGTTTCAAGTCAATAAACACAAAATTAGTATCAACAGGGCTCTCCAAATAAATGTCATTAGCAATGCAGAAATCACCAACTTGTTTAGCAAACTGATGTGAAATCTCCAATTTTTCAAAGTTCTCTTTGATAGCAATCATGGCCATGTTACATACAAACCCAGCTTGCCGTATACCACCACCATTTTGCTTTTTGAAATGGTTAGCTTTGTTTATAAATTGGGGTTCTCCAACTAAAATAGAGCCCATAGGCGCTCCCAAACTCTTTGAAAGGCAAAGCGAAACACTATCAAATAAGGAACAGTATTCTGCAATAGAAACTCCAGTGGCTGCACTGGCATTCCATAATCTGGCTCCATCACAATGAAGAATTAAACTGTGGTCTTTACAAAATTGTTTTATTTTGACCAATTCCTCATAAGGAGTAATTATTCCATGTAAAGTATTTTCAAGTGAAACTATCTTTGTAGGAGCAGCATGGATGTCACCATCATCTGGAGTATAATTCTCCATTATATCTTCCACGGTTAAATAGTTCCCGTTAGCTGGTATCACTGGATGAACCATTGCTTGGGAAAGCGTAGCCAACCCAGCAGCTTCATGCAAGAATACATGGGCTCTATGGTCACAAAGAATGCTATAAGGTGGTAATGATAAATGTGCTCTTAAACCAATTTGGTTTGATAATGTACCGCTAACACAAAAGAGGGCTGCTGGTTTCCCAGTCATTTGGCACATCATCTCTTCTAATTGTAAAGTAGCTTCATCTTCCTTGTAAACAGAATCCCCCCAAGTGACATTAGTCATTGCTTTGGCCATCATCAGTTGTGTAGGAACAGTGAAGGTGTCACTGCGGAACTCATTGTGAGTAGCTTCAAAGTACTCTTGTTCTGGTACTGTCATCTCTTCGGACTATGCGTGACAATAATTTATGATGTAACAGCCAATGAAAATGAAAAATATAGTAGTACTAATTTATACGTATATATATATATATATTTGCCTGCTTGCTTACTTTCTGTATATATATATGTATATTTATATATTTATATATATACTATGCAGACAGTTAGAGTTCAAGATGACATATTGCTAAGTCGGAGATGACTTAGATGCATACCACTATTTCCGGAAGCCCCCCAACGGTTTTCCTCCAACTGTGTGCACCCCGCTCATTACCTGCCACCCATCTTATTGGGATGCCTTGTGACAGCTTGACGGTTCAGGCAATTTTGTTCTTCAAAGCACCAAATTGCCGTCCGCCCCGCCAATTTTGTGCTTCGTGTCTCCACCACCTGCCCTTCCCGTCAGAAGCCGACACATATACGCGCAATGCCCTATGACTAATATAGCTCATTTTGAAGAAACCTCATCTCCTTAATCACACCATTGAAACATGAGTCACAATGTCTGAGTAATCAAGCCTGATTTTAGTCCATCGTGTCAATTCTCTTGCGTTCTACTGTTATCATTTAGTATTTTTTGCTATAGTGCTCTTTGGTTTTGATGATCGACAGATTCGTATTTTGTGACATTAATGGCAAAAACGTCTTTTCCGCCATTTGCCGCTAACACCCGAATTTCCACAAGCTCTAAAGCCAATTTGACCCTCGAGTGTCAGATTTCGGTCCCTCTCTTAGTAGAGTGTAGAAGACGTTGGCCGATTAACTAATGACTCCGAGTCGCTATTGGTTGCATTAAATGTATTGGAACGGGATCTGGTTCCGATGGCTGATGGCGCTGACGCTACTGGACCTCCACTCATGTTGAAACTACTGACTGACAAGTTATCGTTTCTCCAAATTGGTCCGTTGCTTACGTTACGACGGTGGTGGTAACCAAGTCCATAGTCCCATAAAAGTCCTCCATTCGCACCTGCAGATGATGGAAGACCTTGCCCTTGAACTTGTACTGGGGGGAGAACAGTTGTTGTTGTAGTTGGGGTACCATGATTAATATTGTCAGTATCATCATGTAAATCATTGACGTTTGATCCACTTGCATTGGAGTGTATGGTTCCACTGTTGGGGGTCGAATTACCAAAGAAGATCCCTGTGGCAGGCATCGTGGGCGTAGCCACTGTCCCACCACCAGAATTGTTGGCACTGGTCAGTCCTCCTCCTAAATTATTAACAGTTATCGGTGATGGAGATAACCTATTCAACCCTCTTCCAAAGGCGTCGGAGTCATTGAAATTCTTGAGGAAGTCTGGGGACTGTGCATAGGTTCCTAAATGATTGTAGCTTGTAGGTTGTGCTATATTCGATCCCGTTTGCATACTATTCCAAAATGGAGATGAATATGTTCCTCCACTTGTTGTAGCCGAATTGAAGTTAGAAACATTACTGCTTGTTCCACCCAATGAAGTAGCTACTGGGCCTGTACCTCCACTGCTCACATTCATTGTACCGATACGATCATTGAATGTACTCATTCCTAATAGTGGGGTTGTCGAGACTATTCCACCACCACCACCACCAGTGTTATTCAGGGAAACATTGGGTAAAAGCGTGGAGCTTACACTACTATTGTTCAATTGCATCATATCTGGTAAGGGGCTGCCAATGAGATCAGTGGGCGGTTCCAGCTGACCAATACCACCAGTCAATGGAGCAGTTGCATTTCCAGGAGCATTTGTATTGTTGTAATTTTCAAATTTGAAGCTTCCACTAGAATCTTCAAAATTAAGCATTAGGTTGCTGGTGTTGTTCGTTAAGAGGTAGTCCAACGAAGGACCTGAATTCAGCATCATAGGAGGACCAGTGATTACTTGGTTGTTGGGTACACCTGAAGTAGGGATCACATTATGCGTATCGCCAAAGTAAATATCTTGGTAATGAGAAACAAAATTGTATCTATTATCATTGGAAGGTGATGATACATTGTAAAGTTGAGGTGGGTTGGAATTCTGAGTTTGGGATTGAAGCAATGTCGCATTCGTTCCCTCGGGATAGTAGAATTCAAAATCATTGTACCTTATTGAGTTTATATTACCATCGCCATTGGCAAGAGCATTGACATTGTAGTTACTATCAAGCGGAGTGTTGTTCGTCTGGATAGAACTTGTTGAAGTAACAAGTGGTACACCTCCACTTCCCATGGTTATTTGCGGTGCAGAGTCCAAAGTTTGAAGTGATGGTGGTGGGGGTTGTTGTTGTTGTTGTTGTTGTAATAGTACCTGTGAAGTTGAATTACTCATAAATTCAGGTGTAGGTATATTGGAGTTCGAACTGCCACTGCTGTAAGCTGCTGTTGAATCTCTGGAATAATAGTGATTATTATGATGTTTCTTGAACTTGGTTGAAGTATTTGTAGGAGTGCTGCCTGTTGTTGCACTTCCTTGAACAATATTAACCAGGGAATTAGAATTGTGAGGAAGGAACTGGTTGTTTTGGGGTCTGCTAATCAAGGCATTTTGATAGCCACCAAATTCAATAGATGCTTGGTATTCCGTCATCTTTTGGGGCTGATACGATTTATCCTTATTCAGCTTTGCTATTTCAAATGAATGCTGAAGACTGATATATTTCCTGATTTCAAATCTATAGGTGGATTTCCAATCCATTTCAAACTGTTCATAAGTATTAACTTCGTTATTTATTTCCCTCTCCCATTCTGGACCAGCAATTTTATTGATTTCCACTAAGAGTTCAATTGCATTTCTTGAAATTGGACCATCTCTATTAGTAACAAATTCATTTTGGAAAGCCTCTACCACTGGCTTCAATTGATCTAATAATTTAGATAATTCTTTCCTTTTAATCTTCAAGGATTTCAAGGAGTTTTCTATAACATCGTTTTGTTTCCGTACTATGATGTTATTGGATTTCAACTCTTTAATTCTATCGTTCATCCAAGAAAGTTCATCATCTTTGGACTTTAATGCTGTATCATTTCGTTTTTTCTTAATATCTATATCTGATTGTAAGGAAGAAATTCTTCCCTTGATTATATCATTTGAACTTTCCAATTGTTTAACTTGGGCTGTTAATTTAGATTTCATAAATGCCAAATCTGCCTTTTTATGTTCATATGATTTCACATCGTTATCTTTTTTAGCTCTGTTATCACTTTCGGTGTCTAATTCACTTTTAAAGAACTTCTCTTGATCCTTCAAAGTCTCCAATTCTTTTCGTGATTTCTCTTCAAAACTTTTCATCTCCAAATTTGTCTTGATCAATTCATGTTGGTATTTGTGCAAATAATAATGAAGTACTTCAACGTCAATGCACTTGGCGACTTCCGAAACACTAATATCAGTTGGCAAATCTTTAGCAGAACTTAAAGCCAAATCACCATTATTGGTGGCTTCAGTAAACTTTTCAATGTCCTTGGTTGCATCGCAATCTTGTAACACACTCTTAAGTCTGGAATTTTGAGCCTCTATGGTTCTAATAAACGTAGATCTCAGTTGGGATCGGAAATTAGTCAATGAGTTCACGGCAACAATGTTTATCCGATATAACTTTCCGGGAAGTAAACTGTCGATCTTACAAGAAGTACCACTAAGTCTTGCTGCTTCATGACCATTCACTATCAAAAGAAAATACAAGTTCTCGTCTCTTTTGATCTGAATATCCCAATGTAACACCACGGAGGTCTCCGAAACGCTATCAAGACATACGGTGGGGGTAAACGGTATATCTATACGCAATTCTTGTACCAACTCGTCAACTGGTGTAGACAAAACCTGGTAGCAACGGTACAAGAGCCATAACAACGATGGCACTAGCTTCCCTAGAAATCCCAAAACATACCTGTCAGTAAACTCTGTCATCTTGCGAGTCCTTCAGAAGGTGTGTTTGGAATTTGCTTTGTACGGTTGTAATGTGACGTGTCGTATTTTTAGTATAGTCTGTACAACACTTTGGCTTTGATCTCATTCAAATACGATCGCCTGCCTATACAAAATTTTTCTCATAGGGTTAGAAAGTGTAGCAAGGTGTGCGGGTGCACGACCTTTTGATGTCGGAAACTGAGTAAACGACATATCAGCAATCTATGATTGGTCACTCCTAGTGACGTTACGTAGTATAATGAAGTTGATTACTGTACTGTAAAAGTATGGGTAGAAGTTAATTTTTTGGTATGGGCTGACTAAGGAGTTGTTAATGGTATAAACTGAGTGTAGTCAATGGTGTCATCTCAGTCGCGAAAGTTGCAGATGTTTCGCAGCCATTGTTAGGGGAAGACAAGCCACGACAGAAGTAGAGCGTGGACTGTATTACTATGGTAAGTGCTAGGACTTCCATGGTATATATCTTCACATGTACTTGTGTTACATATAGGTATTTCAGCCTTGTATATAGTTATCATAGTTAATAATTTCATGTACTCTCAAACTGACATGTGCGACATTTATTTCTCTATTCATATTCTGTTCCGGTCTATGTCCACCTTCTTGATGCAAACCACTAGAGCCAATGAAAAGATTCCCAATACAAAAAAAGGTCCTAATATCCACGTATTGGTCCAAAATCCACCAAGTTTGCTAACAATCAAGATCCCCATACTTCCACATAATGCTTGTAAGCCACTAACTGTACCAACATGTGTATGTTCAACACTCTGGCTCAAGAGTCCCATAGACGTCATAATTAAGCCAAACTGTCCAATGTGAGCAATGATTATAACCAAAAACGTCACCACATGTTTAGGACTATAATAAAAACCTTGTTCAGATATGAACAATTGGAACCAGAAATGGAAACACAACCCCAAGTTCCCAATTACCATAAGAATTGCTGACCAAAACATTGCATAAGCATTAGATTGCTTGTTAATAATTCTTGCCCATATAGGAGAAGAAAGCAAACCAAAAGTTTGAGCAATCCCTGTAAGCATAGCCAGAAACATATAAGCTTCCTCACAATTTTCTTTGCCCGTGGCATTGGTATCACAAGTACCTATTTTGTAAAAATAGTCAAATACAAGTACTGGAATGAAGATAGTAGTGGCCACATTGGATGCTCGTACCACAAAGGATCCAAAGCATGATATACCAATTTCTGGACTTTGTTTGAACATTTTGTAGCCTTGTAAAAGTAATTTGAAATAACTTTGATCATGTGAAGTATTTTGCAAATTATCTTCTTCTTCACCAGCAGCAGTACTCAAAAGTTTCAGATTGAATAGAAATTTGGCAACAATAATGCTGATCAACACGGCGTAAACAGCAATAACAAGGTAGCTGTATTCAAGACTCTGTCCACTAGAAATATCAGGGATTAATTTCTTCAAATATAAGGGAAGTGGTAATAAAACTGAAGCAGCGAAAACAGCTCCTAATCCAGTAGCCACGCCTATCATGGCAGAGAATACACCATTCTTCTTTTTAACCAATGGTGATAAAGAAGATCCATCATCGCCTGAAGCCAGTTCGAGACTCTGATATCCTCCTCCTCGTTTAATAGACAGTAATGTAAATCCCGACGCAGAAAGTTCATTTAACAACGCTGCTATAAGACTTAAGACTCCAGTAACCCCTAGTGCAAATACAGCTCTGGAAACATATAAATGGAACTTGCTATTACTAGTACCATAGAGAACTAATGCAATACTAAGAACTAGGAAGCTCAATGGCTCTATGGCCTTTGTACCTCCAATTGACCATTTGGGGGAGGTGTTGATCTTATCGACTAACGTTCCAATCACGGGTGCAGAGGCAATACTGACCAATTCATCAAAAAACCCTAATGTTCCAATCAAATTACCCATTTTTTGAGGGTCTACTCCATCGACCTTGTGTCTGATTAAATAGGGCTGTGTAGCCGACATAAATACTACGATGGATATACATCCGAACCCTGTTAGTGCAAAGGCAAGTAGATTTGATAATGTGTATTTCATCGTAGGTGGTAGGCTATGGCTTTTAGATCAAAGCTCAATCATGAATTATAAGGAAGGGAACTACCAATAATTTGATTTAGTCATTGGTCAAGAGTATCACGAAATGAATATTATCTGGTATATGATCTCTCGTTGTGATGACTCCGTATTTCGGATATACATTACAAAGGGGTGGAAACGTGGGACCCGGGAATCGAACCCAGGACCACAAGGCACACAAAAGCTAGTCTGAGGAAAAGGAAAATGTCACACATATCGTCATCCCACACACACACACACATACACAAACATTGCACGTGCACATAATCCTAATCTTCATCATCATCAATTTGATTACCTTAAACTTTAAGTTCAAGGACTTGCATTGATTCTTTACGATCATTGTATCGTTGGTAGACGGGAAGAGAAGTGACGACATTTTGACTCGACTTGATTGCTTAGTTCCATGAGTAAGGAGGACCAAGAATTACGTCCAGGACGTAATGAATCAGTTATATCTGATGGTGATTATGATGATTTAGATTATGATAGTGGGTTTAGCCGGTCAACTTCTTTGACGCGCTCGAATTCGTCTAGTTCTGTTTCGTTCATTGATTTAACGAAATTGCTATTCATTCCAGACTTTGACTATGGTATGCCATCAAGAAAGACGATCTCGGACATGACGGCAAAGACTAAGAAACAATTTGGAAAGACTAAGAAACAAATTGATATAACAAAGCAAAAAGTGGATGTCAATAAGTTCTTGGATAAAGTCAATAAACGGCTAGGCAAATTAGATGATTCTCTTTCTGAAAGTTTAAAGAGTTCAGCAACAGAGAAATTGTTTTATGCCTTTGCTGTATTTCTTATAGGTTTAATTGGATTTGTTATGGGGAAATATCCAGAACATTTCCATGTTCTTCATACGGTCATTTTTTGTATGTTGATGCCAATCCGATTCTATACTTATTTTAAGCAATCATTCCAATATTATCTTGCTGATTTGTGTTATTATGTGAATATCTTATTGATTGCCTTTATTTGGTGGTTCCCTCAATCAAAATCATTGTTTATCTCTGTGTTTTCTTTATCATTAGGTACCCTTGCGTTTGCCGTGATTACTTGGAGAAACTCACTTGTGTTGCACTCAATTGAGAAAACTACTTCATCCTTTATTCATGTCATGCCTCCCTTCACCATGTTTGTGCTTGTTCATGAAATACCAAAGGAATTCGCCCAAGTACGGTTCCCAGCTGTGGTCCAGGTGACTAATTGGAACTTTTACAATGGAATTCTCTTCACTTCCATTTACTATACTGTTTGGCAAGTGTCTTATCATTATTTTATCACTATTCGAAAGAGAGAAAAGATTAGAAACGGTAAAGTTAATTCTTTTTCTTATTTACGCAAACGTAATAAGGATACCGTATTAGGACGTTTTGTTAATGGTTTACCTTATGCATGGATGCAAGTATTGGCATTCACATTAATCCAATTTGGTTATCAATTACTTACCATGATGTTGTGTCCAATCTGGTTCAAGTATAAGTATGCATGTGGGTCTTTTGTCTGTTTTATCTTTATATGGGCAGCTTATAATGGGGCTACTTATTACATTGATGTCTTTGGGAAACAATTCAAGAAAGAAGTGGACATTCTCAGACAAGAAGTGGCAGCATTACAACAGCAACAGCAGAATAGTGCTACCTCTTCTCCTGTTCTTATGCCCCTGACAGAATCTGTTGATCTGCTTATGGTGGAGAAGACATCAAAGTCTGGTTAGTCCAACTACTCATTGATTGAGAATCAATATTTGCTGAAGTACATATATATATTAGACATATATACATTAGACCTGTTCCTTTTATTATCACCATTTGTAACTAAGAGTAGACAGTTGTATTTAATTAAGTGTGGTTTGTGGTCGTGTCTTTATCGAATTATGGTTCATTTTGCACTAGTGAAAAATTTTGAAGTTAGTCCAAAGCAACTCAACTATTATCTACCTTAATACATCACCAACTATGTTGAAGAGCACAATAGGATGGAGTAGCTGCTCACGATTGGTGAGTCTGCGGTTCTTTAGTACAGGTTTTCGCTTAAGAAACGAAGCCGCCAAAGCTGCAGCCAATGAAGGTTCATCTAAAGCTGATAAGCATCTTGACTTTTTAACCAAGTTCTATACACCAGAATTATTACAAAGTATTAAGATTACCGAATCTTTGATTGATCCTGAAACTTACTTGGAGCTCCGTAAAAAAGGTCATAATGCAAAGTCTCGTGTTCCTCCATCTAACTTAGATTCTGATTATGCTATGCAAGATCCTGAATATCAAGAACCTATAGTGTATCCTAATCAAACTAAAGGACATGCACCCTTCCCCCCTATTCCTCAGATTGTATCTCCAGATAGGCATGATTTGGTATTAAGATTTAAACCCAATGTAGGCAAACATAAGCCACCAATGATGAACACTGGAGAAATTGCTCAAGGATTAGCCAAGTTGACTGGGTTAGATGCCACATACATTAGAAGACTCTATGTTCGTCCACTTTTGATGAAAAGAACATCTAACCAAACTGCCAAGGGTAAAATCCCTAGTTTCTATGCCTTGACTGTTGTTGGAGATAAGAATGGTATGATTGGACTTGGAGAAGGTAGTTCAAGAGACGGTGTTAGATCAGCTTTAGTTAAAGCCCACTGGAATGCGGTTACTAATTTAACTCCAATCAATAGATACGAAGACAGAACAATTCTTGGAGATTTCGAACATAAATTCCATGCTGTACATTTACATATGAAGTCTGCGCCTCCTGGGTTTGGGTTGCGGGTCAACAAGTATTTGTTTGAAATGTGTGTTGCTGCCGGTATTAAGGATTTAAGAGGTAAGATCTACCGTTCTAGAAACCCAATGAATGTTTGTAAGGGATTCCTTGAAGCTTTAACCAAACAAAAGAGTTTGGAAGAGTTGGCTGTTGGTAGAGGGAAGAAGTTGGTTGATTTGAAGAAGGTTTATTACTCTGCTTAAGGAAGTTTATGACGATAACTCTTGTATATACAATAGAATAGCATACCTATATTATAATTAGTACAGCTGGAAACAACCTGGTAGTCGTGGAGGTAGTATGTTTATCAGCTAGTGTAAAGATCAGCTGTGGTGCATGTGATGATACAAATACGAAGCCTTCAATCCACTTAGTTTATACCTCTATAACTGTTGTTGTCTTATGACAGTTACATATAGTATGTCTGCATCGTGTCCACACTGTGTCCTTCAGTTATGTCGGAGTACCATTATCTACATTGAAATAAATGTCGCACTACCATGTGAAGGAATCTAGATCACGAGAATTAATGGCTACTACTTCTTCATTATCATCGTCTTCCTGTTCATTTTATCGATATGGTAGTAGACACTACGTACTACGAGTTATTGGGTATTGAAGCCACTGCTACGTCATTGGAAATCAAAAAGGCGTATCGTAAAGCTGCAATCCGACTTCATCCTGATAAAAACCCGGATGACCCTCAAGCAGCTGCCAGGTTTCAAGAAGTAGGAGAGGCGTACCAGGTTTTAAGCGATGTTAAGTTAAGAGAAAAGTATGACAAGTTTGGGAAACAGGATCTGATTCCAAAGGAAGGGTTTGAAGATCCTCAGGAGTTTTTCTCCATGATATTCGGGGGTGAAGCCTTTAATGATTGGATTGGTGAACTCTCATTATTAAGTGAATTGTTTAAATCTGCAGAATTACATGGATATGGTGATGATGAGAAGGATGAAAAGAAAGACACCGATAATAATGAGGGTACCACTGAAACTACTACTACCACAGAAACTACTACCACTACCATAGAAACTAATACTACAACCACAGAGACTGGAACATCAACTGGAACATCTGCAGGCGGCTACTCACCAAAACCTACTACGAATGGCGATTTTGCTTCTGCATCAGTTTCTGCTAGTAATACTTCTGATGTGTCTTCATCTGTTGACGCAAAGGTACAATTTGGAGGCATGCTACTTACGGACTCTTCAACTGCTTCTGGTGGTGAGCCCCACCAATTAACCGAGAAGGAAAAGCAAGATTTGGAAGAAAAGAAGAGACAAGAAGAGATCAATAAATGGGAGGAAGAATGTAAGTTAAAGAAGTTAGAGACTCGTAAGGATTTGGTCAAGAAACTTATTGACAAACTTTCTCTCTACACAGAAACTGACATGAAAGAAGATGTTGCTCATTCATTCAAAGAGAAAATTAGATATGAAGCAGAGTCATTAAAGATGGAGAGTTTTGGTTTGGAGATATTACACACGATTGGATCTGTTTATAAGACTAAACTGAAGATTTTCTTGAAGAACCAAACCTTCTTTGGATGGGGGGGATTATGGTGGACTGTTAAGGAGAAGGGTGGAGTTGTTAAGGATACATTCAATACTGTTAGGGCAGCTTTGGATGCTCAGAGTACTGCACAAGCATTTGCTCAAATGCAAGAAGATAATGAGTACCATGCTAAGAAGGATGCTGAAACAACAACCACCGAAGGGGGGGATCCAGCGGAGAGAGCATCAGAGGCGGCCAGAAGTGAAGCCAATGAAGAAATCAATGAGCTTGGCAAGAAAATCAACGAATTGGAACAGGAGAGAGAAAAGGCTAAACAGAAGGGAAGTAAAGATGTAAAGGAACCTCAAAGGCATGCACCTGAAGAGTTGGCAGAAATGGAAAAGTATTTAATGGGTAAAGTATTAGCTGCTGCTTGGAATGGATCCAAGTTTGAGATTGCTGGTACTGTACGTGCTGTTTGTGATGATATATTGGATGATCCAGATGTTCCATTACTGAAACGTGAAGCCAGAGCCAGAGCTTTAAGACTTATAGGAGAGGTGTTTGTTTCTGTGACCAGAACAGAAGCTGAAGACGAAGAAGCAAGAGTGTTTGAGCAACTTGTTGCGGAAGCCAGTAAGAAGCGAGAACACAAGCATAAGCCTGAAAAGCAAGCTGATGCCTCCCCCTCCTCCTCCCATCCTTCAGCAGAGTAATGTGTATTGGCTTTAGTGTATAGCTAGCGAATGAATAGTTAGATAATAGAGATAGCGAAAGAAGGATATAGTATGTAGAGTAATGTGGGTGCTTAAGTCCGCCTTCTATATATATGAGGCTCTGTAATATCCGCACAAATTTTATACACCACTTTCTTTCTTACCCTATTGAATGACTAAATCCCAATTCCAAATCCTAAGCAACTCAAGAGACCCTTGCACGGTGTCGAGTTATGATGAGTTTGCGGTGAGACATGCCCAATTGCATTTTGATATATCATTTGATACAAAGTCAATCCTGGGATCAGTCACGTATCTTTTGCAACGTGTATCTTTGTCATCAAAAACTTTAGTATTTGATACGTCACATTTGAATATTAACTCTGTCATTATTAACGGCTCCAATGTGCCCTTTGCTATTGGAGAACAATCAGAACCATATGGAGCACCACTTGATATCAACTTGGAAGACGTCACCACAGGCACCACTGAACCATTTGAAATCACCATATCCTTTTCCACCACAGATAAATGTACTGCCATCCAATTCATAAAGGGGGATACCGGACCTTTCCTCTTCTCACAATGTCAAGCCATCCACGCCAGAAGCTTGTTCCCTTGTTTTGACACTCCTAGTGTTAAATGTCCTTATGAATTCCTGGTATCCTCTCCTTATCCATGTACTATGTCAGGAATGCCTCTTCAACCTTCAGATGGTCGTCAAAGCGTATATAAGTTCACTCAACCAGTTCCAATATGTTCCTATTTGGTTTCTATCACTTCGGGTAATTTGGAAAGCTCACCAATAGGTCCTAGATCCAAAGTCTATTCGGAAAGACCTATTTTAGAATCCGCTACTTGGGAATTTGAACATGATATGGAGAATTTTATTCAAGTTGCAGAGGATCTCATTTTCAGTTACGAATGGGGAAACTACAATACTCTTGTTCTCCCCTCTAGCTTTCCTTATGGTGGGATGGAAATTCCAGTGTTTACACAATTGACTCCAACATTAATATGTAAAGATAGATCTCAAGTTAAAGTGTTGGCGCATGAATTGGCACATCTGTGGTCAGGTAACTTGGTAACAAATAAGTCTTGGGAACATTTTTGGTTGAATGAAGGTTGGACCGTTTACTTGGAAAGACGTATAATTGGTGCCCTTCATGAGAAATTATGTCGTGAAGCTGGTGATTCCAATCCAAAACTAGCAGGAAAGCAAAGAAGAGATTTTGATTACATTTTGGGTTGGAGTTCACTTCAAGACACCGTTAATAAAATTGATCTGAAATTCACTTCTTTGGTGTTGAATTTAAAAGGAGTTGATCCTGATGATTCAATGTCAAGGATACCTTATGAAAAGGGTTCCTATTTCTTGTACTACTTAGAGAACCAATTAGGTGGAACAGAGGTGTTTGATGAATTTATCAAACACTATTTCACTGTTTTCAAATACCAATCGCTTGATACACAAGCATTTATTGAAGCATTATATGAATTTTTTGGACCCCAAGGAAAAGCAGAGCTTCTAGATGAAGTTGATTGGAACACATGGCTTAATGGGGAAGGTTTACCACCTCAGTTGGTTACTTTTGATACTACAATGGCAGATTCATGTACAGATATGGCTAAAAAATGGGTAGATTTCAATAATAATGATGACTCGGCTACTAACATAAATGAATCTGACGTTGATGTTGGAAGCTTTGATGCTTCACAGAATATTTTATTCTTAGAAACTTTGATTGAAGAGTTTGGTAAAATTTCAGTTAGTGAAAAAACACTTTCAACACTTCAAAAATTCTATACCAGCTATCTGAAAACGTGTAATTCAGAAATTAAACTTCGTTGGACAACGTTATTCTTAATACATGGATCATATTCTCCTAAAGATCAATTGGTTATGGAGTTCAGTGATTGGTTAGGAAGTATTGGACGAATGAAGTATGTCCTACCAGGCTACAAACTTTTGTCTAAGTATGTTGATCATGAATTTGCATTGTCTACTTTCCAAAACAATCAGTCTTTTTATCATCCAATCTGCAGACAATTGATATTGAAGAACTTCAAAGCAAATTAAATACATTAGATCAATTTATTTGTGCATTGATTTACACCAGTGGCTAAATCGGCGGAGTTTAGTGGAGACAAATCAAAATCATATCTCCGCTTGTACAGGCAAACCTCATATGATTTCTGTAGCTCTACAAAGCTACAAAATAGTCAACAAATCCAGAGCTTATCTCAATACCTGAAGCCATACAGATCGATGCTCGTTTCATCATGAACTATTTGACCCATCTTCCAATGGAAGACCCCTCCCTCGCTGTCAAGTCCCAAAATGGGTTATTGTTTCCGTACCCCATCAAGTGCTATGATTTCCATGTCTACTACTACAGTAGCATTTCCAGTTTCATAACTGAGGCTACAGCTCTAATAGACAAACTTTTTGGAAGATTTCCCTCAAGAAGCTACTGATGGTCCTGTCATAGTCAAAGTGTTACCAGATCGCACTGTCGCTGGACCTCATTCTACACAGTTTTAGGAGGTGGATATTGCTAGGCCTCGAGTGTTCCTTCAGATACTTGGATGGCTTCAATTGAATCATGGACAATTGTCGGTATTGATTCACCACCAATCAGGAGATGATGTGAAGGACCATACAGAAAGGGCACTTTGGTTAGAACAACCATTGAAAATCCATTCAAAAGCATTTAATAATATTGATGATGGGATACCTGAGTTTGGTGTTAGAAGATGTAAGCGCATATTGGCAGATGATTTTGATGATCATAAAACTCTTATTTCGTAGTTAAAATGAAAAAGTCATAAAACTCTTATACTCTTCTTAGGGTCGGTATTCTCCTCGGTATTGGCTCCACCCTCGGAATCAAAAGGACAATACTTTTATTATCCTATCGTCATAATATATGTACTAGATATTGTTCAACGTACTATTTTACATATACCATCTATTAAATCACGTCTAATTAAAATAAAGCTTCTTCTTTGAACTGGTCAAGTCGTTTTTGGTGATCTTGAACAAACTTAATAACCTTCTTACGGTTTTCCCTTAACTTGCTACTATCAGAAACATCAATGCCATCTAGTTTCATCAATTCCTTAAGAAGCATTTCTTCAAAATATTTGTATTTGTAAACCATTTCATCTTTGGTTAAATGAGAGAAGTTATTCAAGAACTCTTCAATCTCTTTAACGTAAACTTCTTCCACATGATCCAAGATCGCCTGGATCTCATTGTTGGCCCTTTGAGCTTTGGTAAGCTTCTTCTTTTTCTTCTTGGGTCTACTTTGATTGGGTGTGTTACTACTTCCAAATAACCGAGCAACTACTATGATGGCAGCTATAGTGGTAAGTGAAACCACTACTGTTGCAGGAGTTAAACGAAACTCTTGGAAATCAGAAACTATTTCCTTGAGAGTTGAATCTGTAAGTTGTTTCACATAGGTCTTCACCTTGGCATTCAATACGTCCATTGGTGGTGGGGTTTGGGTATTGTTTCTATAGGTGTCTTTCAAGTGTTGTTATTTCGTTTTCTACAACCTTTTTGTGGTTTTTCAATACCGTGATACAGCAACTGGCGGTGTGCGTTTGATAACTGGTAGCACTGGTAAGTATTACTGTGTTTGACTCCATACCAACTGCATGTAGATGTCTTATCAGGATGCTGCTCTGGTCAGTAATGAAAGAAAGAAAGGACTATTCAAAGAAGCACAATAGCGAAGGGGGACGAGCCTCCTATTTATACTATTTTGAAATTATATAAATGTGATGTATCACATACTACTTGTCAAATATCAAATGAAAAGCTCACCCTCGAATTTTCTGGTTGGTGTTAAAGGACCAACCGTTTTCGGCTTCTCTCTCTTTGGTGGCGGTGTTCTCTTTACGGTATTGGAAGGTGACACCGAGGCGGTGGCTTTCTTGGGAAGTCTTCGTCTAGGACCTCTAGATCTACCTTTATTGGGGTGAGTTAACTTGGATTCTTCCACATCAGTTTGAGCTCTTCTTAATGGTACTGGTTCTGGGTTTGAATCTGTACCCCCAAAGCTGGACGTAGATCCGGTTCTTAATATCAGGGCAAGGTGATCTTGAAAATTGTTGTGCCTGACTTCAGAAGTAGATGTTGATGGTAACTTTGGGGTAGAGGTAGAGGTAGATGAAGATGTAGATGTAGCTGTCGTTGGTTCGTTTTCTTTAGTAGCACTTGATGTTATTGGCTTCTTCAGAGGTTTCAACTTCTCAAACTTCCGTAATGCTTCAGGTACTTCTTGTTCCAACTTTGGAGGCCTTTTTGTTGGTTTCAACTTACCCAAGGCTGCGAGTCCTTCCATTTTCATCTGGGGTTTAGCTAAAGGATTCTTATCAACATTCTTCTTGCCTAACTTCAGTATCTGCAGCTTCAATAGTTCCGTATCTTGAGCCTTGTATTGTTCTGATAATGACATTGGAGTCTTCTCGAGGTTTTTCCGTGAAAGCTTCGATAATGCAGAAGCTAATGTATCTTCTTCGGCTTTTGAAAATTCAGATACCGGAGGCTTAGAAGGTTTCTCCGGAGGTATACCTCTTCTTGTAGGAGATAGTTTTGGTCTGAGTCCTTCAGGGATTTCTTCCACTTCAGATTTTCTGTTTAAATCAGCCTGCTGTTGTCGAATAGGACTCCTTCTCATAGATTCAATTTTATCCGCAAATTCAAGTGTCTGTGTTTGGGTCTGTTGACCTGGTGGAGGAAGTGGCGATCTTTTCTTCAATGTCAGTAACATATTAACAAACTCAGGTTCGTTTTCTGTTTTAAGCTGGTCTTTTTCTAGTAATAGCTTACTCTTAACACTAATTGACTTTGGTATCAGGTATTTTGGTGTTGATCTATCATCAAAACTATGAGGTTCTGCTTTCTTAACCGCACTACTAATCCATGATGTCTGACTACTAGCACTCTTTGGAGATCCCTGCAAGTAATTTTTATTGTGGTTGGCTTCTGCACTAGTTGAAGTGAAGTACTGGTTTTTGGAAGGCTTGATAGGTCCAGTAGGAGATTTTTGTACTTGGGAAGCAGAATTATTGAGCGATGAAGTTATCCAGTCATTGGGCTTGCGACTGGATAACTTTCCTGGAGAGGATAATAAAGTTGTAGTAGTAGTAGTATTCTGAGGAGTAGCCGAAGTTTTGGGATTTGCCAAAGATGATGCTAACCAACCTCCAGAGCTTTGCTTCAGGGGTGAAATACTAATACCAAAACTAGTACCATTACCACTCAGTAAACTTCGAGGTTTTGTTGCTTTAGGTGGTGCTTGCGTCTTATCATTCAAATTCAAGTATCCACCTTTAGGTACATAGTTAGCTTTGGGCACGGGTATCACCAACTTATTTTGAGATTCCGTAAAGTGTTTCGCAAGCCGGTCTTCTCTAGAAATGGGTAATGGTTTAATATTATTGACTGGCTTGAGTGGTTTGGGCTTGGTTATGGCAGATTGATTGGATGGTGGCTCAACGTTTACATTGGAATCATGATTGTCCTCAGTGTCATTTGAATCATTGGCTTTTATCAGAGCTTCTATTTGTGAAAAGGAGCGATATTCTTTCTCCTTGGGGGTCGAAGAAGGTCCCTTAACGATATCTATCGGTTCTTTGTCAACACTTACGGAATCCAGAAGCGTCTTAGGTTTTGGTCTTGGTTTTGGTTTTAAATTTGGAGTGCCTTTCCTTGCAGTTGGCTCCGAAAGCTCAATAACGGAAACGTTTTCATTGTGAACTGGGTGTTTGGGGCCCTTCAATGGTGGTATGTTTTTCAGCCGTCGTCTTAGCTCGTCTATATCTCTTTGGAGGTCCCTTTGACGTTGACGGTCTTCCAATGTTCTCTCATGCGAGAGCTGAGACACGCTCACTAAAAACGCTGCAACGTTCTCCTCGGTTGACATAAAGATATTTTGGTATCGATGAGAGTACAAGGAGTGTGATTCAAATGTAAATAGTCAATCGATCTGGGATGAAAATCACCAGTCGACCGACTCGCACAAACATTTTTCCGTACCACCAATCCTCAAACGGCCTTACATTTCTACGTGCGTTTGTTCGTTCTGCCAACATACAATCTGTTGCCAATAAAACTATTTATCCGAGCTTCTTCAGTTAACACGACTACGCTCTTATTCTCCTATAATGGAATGGAGCAATATGCGCCGGTAAAAGAAAAAAGATAGTCTTGTAGATGTAACATTTGGCATACTTTTCCCTTCAATACTTGCTCTGCAGAATACATTGCTTGCTGAAATAGAATCACAGATAGTAATAGAAGAAAGGACAGGGTCATCCCTTCACGGCAACTATTGCTTAAGGTAATATTGGAACTATGGTTGGGTTATTTGGCGTTGCCCTTTGTGTCTATCCATTATGACAGGTCGGCCAGCACTTTATCAACTGTGAGCATTATACGGTAATTTTGTTAGCTCTGATTCAGGAGGAAGAATAGATGATACAAAGTCCAAAACCGAAAATGCAACAATCTAACCTGGGCATCCGTAACTATCCCGATGGTCCCGTTAATTAGATATACAAAGCAAACTTTAGATACTTGTCTCAAGAACTTTCAGCTCGGTTCTATTGATATATAAAGATTTCGGATGTAGCATAGATCAACGGCTTCGGTCAATGTCATTTTCTCGGTCGTTCCTTCCCTTTATGGATATCAGATCAAATATATGCAGCCCCACATAATTTTCCCGAACGGGTGTGCAACTATGTGGATGAAGGTTCCAGATAGATGCAAAATCTGGGGCAACCATTATCACTATGTTGCTTCACTAAGTTAAGTATGGATACCATGACATGATATCGTTCTGGTATAAATAGTGGACTTGTTTGCTCCCTTTTCCAAAATGAATCCATACATCACTATTAGCTGGTTACTCAAACACAGTTAATAAACAGCTAAGCGCTCTTAATTATTTAATCTCCAAAATGGCAAAGAAGATCTTATTGGTTCTCTACGATGGTAAACACCATGCTAAGGAACAACCATTGATGCTTGGTTGTGTTGAAAACGAATTGGGCATTCGTCAATTTGTCGAAAACCATGGCTACGAATTGGTTACCACCTCTAACAAGGATGGTGCCGATTCTGTGGTTGACCAAAACTTGAAAGACGTTGAAATCATCATTTCTACTCCCTTCTTCCCTGTTTACGTGACAAAGGAAAGAATGGACCAAGCTCCAGATTTGAAGCTTTGTATCACTGCTGGTGTTGGATCTGACCACGTTGATTTGGATGAGGCCAACAAGCGTAAAATCGGTGTATTGGAAGTTACTGGTTCAAACGTGGTTTCTGTTGCTGAATGTGTCCTTGAAACCATGTTGGTTTTAGTAAGGAACTTTGTACCAGCTCATAACCTTGCTATGAAAGGTGATTGGGATATTGCTCAAGCTGCTAAAATGGAGTTTGATTTGGAAGATAAGGTCATTGCCACTGTCGGCGCTGGTCGTATTGGGTACAGAGTGTTGGAAAGATTGGTTGCTTTCAACCCCAAGAAACTTTACTACTACGACTACCAAGACCTTGCAAAGGAGCAAGTGGACAGATTGAACCAGGTATCGATGTTGCTCAATGGTAGAGGCGACATTGTTGAAAGAGTTACCAGCTTGGAGGACATGGTTAGCAGATCTGATATTGTTACCATTAACTGTCCATTGCACGAGAACACCAAGGGTTTGTTCAACAAGAACTTGATTTCCAAAATGAAAGATGGTGCCTACATTGTTAACACTGCTAGAGGAGCCATAGTTGTTGCTCAAGATGTAGCTGATGCCTTGGCGTCAGGTAAACTTGCTGGTTACGGTGGGGATGTTTGGTTCCCTCAACCACCACCTAAGGACCATCCTTTTATAACTATGAGAAACAAGTTTGGTGGTGGTAACGCCATGACCCCCCACATTAGCGGTACCTCTTTGGATGCCCAAAAGAGATACTGTGATGGGGTAAAGGATATCTTAGAATCCTACTTTACTGGTAAGAACGATTACCGTCCTCAGGATGTGATCGTCATTGATGGACACTATGCCACTAGATCTTATGGTGATAAGAAATAAGTTGGGGGAAATGAACTATAAATCATCTTGATTCAAGTGAAATTGTTGATTTCTCTTTCATAGGCCCATGTTTTACCTCTTGTCGATATATCTGAATATACACCACCGGTTTGAGCACTCCTATCAGTTATTTGTACCCTTCCATTCGTACTATTGTCGTTAGCCATGCTTATTGTTGCCTTGATCACGATTTATCAGTGTCGTCTTCTGTTACATAATGTCTCCAGTAAAATTTGACAGTGAATATACTTGCCCCATTAACCACTAAATGATATCTCTTGGTTCACTCCTAAATCGTTTCGTGTTTGGTAATGGTCGTAGTAGTCGACCTAAAAGCACCGCGCAAAATCCAATTCACGGAAAAACTCCAGGTACTCGCGTCGTCTAACGATACCTCCTTCGAAAACTACCATCAATGGAGGGCCTTAAAGAAGATAGAAATATAGTATTTGTGGCGTTGATCTCGCGAGATGATAAGCCGCTATATATCGAGTCGTTTGACCCGTCAAATCACCCCAATCGATTTCTAAAATATAATTTCTTTGCCCATATGGCGCTCGACATCTTTCTCTCCCCTACCGCTATAGGGCTTCGAGAGCAACAGCTACAACACCAGAACACAGACACAGGAGGTGTGGTTCTTTTATTTATCCAGGATGATGTGGCGGTATATGGATATGAGACAAACAACGGTCTACGTATTGTGGTGGGGTTTAGTGACGAGGTAACTGACGGCAATGGTGATACTCCATCCGTACGTCCGTCACGTATTTTGAAGGATCTATTCCTTCGCATCCACAAGTACTATCTTAAAGTCAAGTGCAACCCATTCACCGCGGTGGACGAAGATGAGAGCGAACTTCTTACCAAGTCAGCGTCATTTGGTCGCGGGATAACAAGCATAGTCGACTCATGGAACAAGAAAGTCTAGGAAGACAATCAACACCATGTATAGCGATTGATCTACAGTTGATAATATACGATTCATAACATTGTCATTACTAGACTTCTTATATACTACTTCAATATAACGTTGGCACCACGAAGCTCCAAATAATTCTGGTCGACTCCTGGAGGCATATTCTTAATTACTTCTTGATATATTTCAACGTTATAGAACCGTACACTGTTAGCTGGACTCTTGTACTTGGTAGGCAACCCTGTGATATCGCAATAATGCTTCTGAGGACGTAAGCTGGGTGGAGCAGCTACGGAGTTATATGTTGGAGTGTCGAACTTGATGTTATCTTTGGTCTGTAGATATTTGGTCTCGTCACTTATTAATTGGCGAAGAGGTTTATATCTTCTTGTAGGCGGAATTCTATTGGGGTTCTTAAACGAGTGTACCTTAGTGGTCACGGCAGAAAGTTTGTGGAGGTCCACTGGTGTTTGTTGTTCATCCTTTCCGTTCATAATTGGACGTTGGTTAAGTAAAGGACAGTTGCAGTTAGAAGTAATATTGTTGATCTCTAGTAGTGGGAGAATATGTATTACGTAATATCTTACGTATGTATACGTGGTGTTCGGGTGTCAAGTATAAGAATATCTCGTGAACGGTAATAATAGTATAATTCAAGGTTAACAAAGAAGAGTGCGATGTCATATAAACACTTTAATAGCGACTCCGAATATTACTTCTATTTAATGGCTAATTAGTTAGGTGCAAAAATTGCTTATATATTTTCTTAAGTTCATGAAAGATTTCTACAGATATAGCCACCCGGAAATATTCACTGCCATCAATATAATCTACTCCACTCTAATGTCGTTGCTGTTCAATCTGCTCTATGATAATGTCTTCAATAATTGATATATATTAATAATGTCTAATGCAAACAAGGCTTTCCGACCTCGACGACATGTCCAGCATCCAAATGAGCCTGAATGGTGTCTTCTGGGTCGATTTCAAACACTTTATCAGGATTCAAAATACGACGAGGATCCAAAGCCATTTTAAGGTGTCTCATCAAATCCACAGCCTGAACTCCCAACTCTGCTTCAAGATACTTTCTCTTACCAATCCCAATACTGTGTTCTCCAGTACAAGTACCTCCAAAGCCAATAGCTCTGTAGTTCATTCTATCGACTATTGCCGCAATCTTGTGGACATCCTTGGAGTTGTACACGACCAAAAAGTGACAATTACCATCACCAACATGGCCCAATACTGAGTACCGATTATCAAAGCCATTTGCTTGTAAATCAGCATCAGTTTCGGCGATGACTTGTGCCAAATGCGAAATGGGTACGGCAAAATCCGTAACCCAAAGTTGTACATCCTTCTTATCCTCTAGAACGTGTTCCCCATGTTCAAAAGTTGACCACAACCCATTACGTCTTGCCGCCCATAATAATTGATTTTCATCTTCATTAGAAGAGTTTTCAAGCTTAACAACGTTGTTCTCTTTAGCAAGCCCGTTGACTATCTTCAACTGCTGGTCAATGGCATGTTTATCCGTTCCACCCAACTTCAAGAAAAGCGTAGGTTTCTCAATAAACTCCTTACCATCAGCACTAGAACTCTTATTAACGTACGACATCATGGTGGTGTTAAGCAATTCAACGGCATTCAACTGTAACCCACTGGTAATGATTTTCTGTGCAGTTGCAGCGGCATCACGGATAGTATCGAAAGTTGCGACGGTAACCAATTCAAGACTCAGTCTAACATTCAATTTAAGAGTGATCTCTGTGACTAAACCTAACGTACCTTCAGAGCCAATGAATAAATGAGTGAGATCATAACCAGCAGCACTTTTCCGAGGTCTTTGCTTTGTCTTCACCACGGTTCCGTCTGCCAACACTACAGTAACATTGATAACGTTTTCCTTCATAGTTCCATATTTGTAAGCATTGGTACCACTGGCAGATGTACCCACCATACCTCCAATGTTGGCCCCGATCCCGGGGTCTGGTCCAAAGAGTAAATTCCTTCCATCTTCACGGTCCAAGAGCCATTCGTCTAATTCTTGCCATCCAACACCAGGTTGGACCACTACGTCCAAATCTTGAGGGTGAAAGGCAAGAATTTTGTTCATTCGTTGGAATGAAACGGAAATTGAATATGGACCTCTGGTGTGCATGTTGTGGGCTTCTAAGGATGTAAGACCTGAGTTGGCCACAATAGGTACTCTATATTCGTTAGCGATTTTTAGGAGCTGGGATACATCTTCCGTTGAAGATGGATAAACCACAATCAGTGGTGTCTGAGTGGTGCTGTAGGGGTGGTGGATATTGAAGAAAGAGTCTGCAGCTGACGCAAGTACGTCTTTGTCCGTAGTTATGTTTTCTGCACCAACGACTTCAGTGATAAGCTCAACTGCTTTATTATAGGCAGCTTCATCTGCATATTGAGGCGTTGATAAAGTCTTTAAAGGCGAAGTAGACCGATCCAATCGACCCTTCTCGGGATCTGGAGTCAATTTCGATACCTTATAACCCAATAAACTACCTGTACCCAATAATGCCACTGCAGTTGCAATTGGCTTGAAGGAAGAAGAAGAAGACTTTGGTTGTGAGGAGTACTTTCTGACACCATTCAAAATGTGTTTTTGAGTCCGAGCAAAGGACAGAACCAATCTGCTCATAGTTCCTATTGGGTTACGTTACCTAGAACCAAATAAAAGAAGGGCGGGTATTAGTTCCATATTTATATGACTATAATTATATTTCATTCGATGTGGTTTCCCCCACAACTGCAACTGTGGCAGGACACCCCCACACCACATCCGGGGATGATGATGATTTCTACACAGAGTAACTTACAGATGGCGTGGAGTGGAATGATGGTGGGTTCCTGAGGGGGGACGTGTCATATTTACCTCATTTGTTACAGGAATATGCTACAACAGTAATCGTAATTGATAGCAGTGGGTAAGGTATGGCATATTGTCGGCATTAGGATATCCCGGAGTCGATTTTTTTTGCGCGGGATTGTCGTAGTTAAGTTCACGTCTAATACGGTGTCAATTTAAAGTTCTTCCGATGATTGAGCCGGACATTTTTTCTTTATGCCGACATGACATTAAAGCCACAATCGAATGAGTTGAAAGAGTATTGTCTTAATATATATATGGTTCTTCTAATCTAATACACTTCTAAAATGTAACGACCATCTTCCTTCATATCTTCAACAACCTTGGCTGCATCCTTAACTTCAACACCTTGTTTCAGGGCTCCATTGACAACAATGTCTTCCAAACAGGCAGTGATATCAGGTACAGGCCATGTAGGACCACACAAGTAGAAAGAACCATTCTCAATGACCATAGCATCTGTCAATGGTTCAATAGCTTGTCTGATACGGTCTTGAATATAAATCTTCTCAGGTTGATCTCTAGAGAAGGCCGCACCAATATGAGTTAAAACACCCGCATCCTTCCAAGCTTCCCAAAGTTCACCATAAAGATATTCTTCCTTCTTGTGTCTAGAACCCAAGAACAAGTAGATTTCTCCAAGAGCCATACCTTGTTCCTTTTGCCAAATCTTCTCTTCCAAAAAGGCCTTGAATGGTGCCAATCCAGTACCTAAACCAGACATAATGATAGGTTGAGTCGACAATGGTGGTAACTTCATCACAGAAGGCTTAACACTTACAACCAATTCATCACCAATGTTCAAGTCACTCAAGTACTTGGAACAATGCCCATATCTTAAACGGCCCTTGGGATCAACCCAATCAACAACAACAATCAACAAGTGAACAGCATTAGGATGCATCTTTTGTGATGAAGCAATAGAATATTCTCTTCTCTTCAAAGGCGCAATGATCTTAATTAACTCAGCAAAAGTTGGTCTAGCACTAGGGAATTCCTTTAAAATGTCAACATAAGTGGAACATTCAACTTCTTGTATCTTCTTTAAGTCTTCAGCTCCTTCGGCACTTGCCAATCTGGAAATTGAAGCCTTTTCCTTTTCATCTTCAGCAAATTCAGCCAACGCTTCATAGAATCTCTTTGGTGGCTTACCTAAAAAGTCAACGGAGTCAGCCAAGGCTTGTCTAGCAGACTTAATTTCCAACACGGAGGTATCATCCTTGTTGGCAACTTCAACCAATGAATCACCATCAACATTGTAGAACTTCAAGAACAGTTCAACGGCAGAAGAGCTATTTCTACCGTGAATACCCAAAGCTTCACCAATTTCGTACTTCAAGCCGGTTCCAGTAATATCAAACTCAATGTGGAAAATGTTTCTGGAATATTCAGATGGTGTCAATCTCTTGTTCTCTTGAACCTTGACAACAAAGTTCTTCACGGGTAAATCAGGTCTCAATTCTTGTTTAACATTGAATGCTTCGGGGAAGGTGATTCTGGTAGCCAAATCAACATAACCAGATTGAACATAGTCTTCAGAAACTTCTCCGTTATTACGAGGGTTAGGAGTAAAGGCAGTTTCTTTAGCAAAGTATGGCAATTCAATTACTTCTACTTCTTCTTCTTCTTCTTGTTCTTCACCTTCCTTCTTTTCAAGCTTTGTTTCTTCTAAGTCAACCCATCGAGGATCAACTTCAACCAATTTAATACCCTTTAATTCGTCAACAGTCTTGATAAAGTTGTCCAAGACAGTGGCCAACAATTCAAAGCCGTTACCATTGGCTTGTAATAACTTGTTGACAATATAACCATTCAATTCAGGCAATGCGGCTCTCCAGAATGCCAATTGCAACAAAAAGTCAGCAGAAAATCCCTTAGTGGAGTCACTGACTTTTTCTAATTCTTCGATAATAGAAAGATCAACAACTTGCAAGATGTTTTGGTTCTTGGCCAAAGTTCGCTTGAATTCTAAAGGTAATTTGACAACAAAGTCTTCCTCAATGGAAGCCTTGATTGGCTTATTGTTGACCAAAACGACCGTAGAACCTGGCTTTGCAGTTGCTAAAATATCATACGAAGTTAAGATAGAAGGATCCTCTACCAAGACAACGTTTGCAGAGTCGATTTCACTGGCGTACAAAGTGTTCTTTGGAGCTGAAACAATAGTAGATTGAAATGAACCACCATTGACACTGTTGTCAAACTTGTTACGAACAAAGATAGTCTTAGAATCATCCAAAGATAATGACAAGGCCAACTTATCAGCAACGGACACGAATGAACCATAATCTTTGCCCCAGATCAAATAAGCACCAGAAGGAGAAGTATTGGCAGTGACAACAGTGCCATTGGATAAAGAACTACTCAAAGAATCATAATCTAAAACCAGTTCAGGGTTCAAAGAGTCAACGAATGACTCAAAGATTTTGGTAATAGCAATTGGGGACCATTGGAAATCTGTACCATAATTGAATGATTCAACGGAGATTTGACCATTGACACCAGAAAGGAAAATGGAAGCGGTGATATCTGCTTTCAATTGAGTGGAGTCAGCAGGGCTTAAAACGATCAATCTTTTAGTAGAGGCAGGAATGGTTTCGACAAATTTGGCTTGGTTGAATGGTAATGGGATTCTAATTGAAATCAAACCTACTGAGCTCAACTTAGAGACAACATTCTTCAACTGAGTAGATTCATGAGAGCCATGAACAACAAATACAGTAGAGGGGTTTTCGGCACCAAAGTATTCGAATGGAGCGTATGAAACACCAGTTAATTGTTTCAAGCTTTTGAGAGCAGCATCAATAGCAGCTTGTTGAGATGCAACAGGCTTTGAAGTAGCCAACAAATCGACGTACAAGCGACCCAACTCTTCAACAGATAACAAGTTTGAAAATTTGGTGTAGCTCTTTGCAGAGTTAGGACCATCAAAGAGGAAGACTGAAGGAGATCCAGTGGAAGCAGCCAAGTAATGGTTCAACAAAGTTAAATGTTGTAATTCCAACCCATTAGACGAAGAAACAGGGGTGATCACAGGATAAGACAAAGCACGAGCCGTGGCTAAAGGAACAGAGTAGTTTGAATGGAACAAGTCCTTCTTGGAATCGTAATCAATACTTGAAACATTAAAAGCCAAAGGCAAAGTAGCAGCTGCACTTGAAGAATTAGACAAAATTGGACGCATATAGTTCAAAGTTTGAGATCCAGTAACAACAGAAACTGGTTGGCCATTAGTTCCATTTCTTGAAAAGTAACCCAAGATTGCGTTTGAAGCACCAGATCTGGTATCAAACTTATGGACTAAGGGAACAACTCCAAAGGAGTTTTGCTTACGATACTCGCCAGCCCATAATTGTAAATGTCCATCAACTAAACTCTCAGCACCAACAGTCTCATAGCCAAAGATCTTAGAGGCCACGGAATAGATAGACTGGTTGATAATAGTGTTACCGGAAACGTAAGCAGTATCACGGATCTCATAAGGATCCGTAACTGTACCAAAGGGGTTTTGCTTGACGATATCACCGCCCTTGATAGCGCTCACGTCAGCCAGCTTAATACTAGAGGAAGTCATCACTGGTATTCAAATGAAGAAAGAAAGAGGAGCTTAGAACAAACAAAAAGTAAGCTAGATCTATTTGCAACCTGAGGGCTTCTGAAAAATTACTACCTGGGGTTAAGTCAAACCACGTGACATTTGATAATTATGTTTTGTGCGACTTTTCGATAAGACGTGATAACTAGATAACTATTGTAATGATTGGTGGATTGAACAGGGTTAAGGCGCTAGCGTTGTAACAGCGACATTGTTGTCATTAATTTAGCTACCACTGAAGTTAAGTGTTTTGCTACAGATGAAGAAAAAGGAAGATTAAGTAAACAAAGTGATGTTTAACAAAATTTTTTTAAAAAAGAAATGTTCTGCCGATCCCAGGAATCGAACTTGGGTTTCTTCGGCCACAACGAAGTGTACTAACCACTATACTAGATCGGCAAATCTATGTTTTGGATTGGCGACGTGGTCTTGATATAATTGATTCAATACTATGTATAGGAAATTACTCGCTCTTGCTGCTTACACACTTAGGTACGGTTAATCCCTTCGGGACATGTTAAAGTTGAGGGTAATACGGGTTACTTAGGCTCCCTTCCGGGTTTGAGAAGCTCCTACAAGGACATTTCCTCTCTGGGTATGGTTAACCCCTAATTACAGGCTAAGGACATTATATGGATCCTATGTGTTTATCACTTTAAATAAAAACAGTGGTATGTAGTGTGAAATAGACATTTGGCAGGCTGAATCTCAACTAAGAGATATCTGGGTTGTTACATTTAGATCAGTCTATGGTACTAGTTATGTAATCATAAGTGGTTTTCCCACGAGTATATGGAATCTTTCAAAAATAAAAAGGGAAACATTCTCAATTTTTAGTCGCCGAGGCAGTTGAAACTGCCGGATATCTTTAACGGAGGTAAATTTGTTAATGGTGGTAAACAATACAGGGAACCAGTTTAAATCCCTGGCCTCAGATAGAGGGCCCTGAAAAGTCCACTGAACGTATCGTATTCAGTAGAAATTGCATTCGTAAAGGTGTTTAAAGTACTGTTCTGTAAAAGTCTTAGTAACCGTACATTCCTCGTGATCACTTGTCCATAGTAGGCAAACTACACAAATCATTTCAAGGTTATGGGAAACGAAAAATACACTACTACGTAAGGGATGCTGAATTTTTTCACATGTCATATTATTAGGTGGTTGTACAGAAGGCAAAGCTCACCTTGCTAAATCATTAAATAAAGCTAAAATTAGACTAAGTTGATATACCAAAGAAGTATTGAATACGGAAGACACAGTATGCTTATAATAAATGTCCGCTTATTGTTTCATCACAACGTATAAAGCATGAATAATTGCTGGGAACCACACAAAGAGACACAAGACTAGATTTATACCAAGTTGAGCACCAACACCTGCCTTCATGAACACAGCTAAGGGAGGAAGAAAAATAGCCAAAATAATAGCAACAATCTTTTCGGAATCCATTTTATATACAACTTAGGTCTTGCAGAACGATTGATTAATTTGAACCAACTAAAGAAGGTGTAGACGGTTTACTCCGTAAGTAGGCGGAGATTATGGGGGTTTGTATGTCGACGTTTTAAATGGAAGCTAGCGATCACGTGACTCGATGATCATCTAAAAGGCCATTCATGCAGGATAGGAAAAACTAATAGAGCCATTCCTTAAGAACAAAATAACAAACTGGAGCTGAGTATAGTTTTGAAATACCTTCCCTCTGATTCCAGTACATTATTGTTTAGTGATAGCATCATCTTATATAATCTTTTTTGTAACCTTTGAATTAGTTAGTCGCCTGTATTGTTCCTTCCTATTGTTGACGATGGTTGCGAGACCATCTTAATGAGCTTGGACTTGTGTGTTTTCCTGGAATGGGAAGGGCATTAAATTTGAAGAAATGACTTTAGATAAAAGTCAACATGATTGTTTAAAGTAGTTCTAAAATATAGTATTGTACAACTAAGGTGGAGTGTAATAAAATATTGGCGGCAAAATTTAGGTGGGTTGGAAAAGTAATCTGGAATGCTTATGTTTGGTCGAGATTAGCCTTCTACAAGTAGAGTGATATATCCCCGTAATTCCGGGTTCTTTACCTTTTCTGTCCCCGCTTCGCAAGCATTTAATATATATAGTCCCAACGACTTTCCAAAAGGGCTTGTCCTGGTTTTCTGGGACCTACGGGGAAAATCCTATATTGATTCATACATTCAATACAATCTCGAACCTAGCAGCTTAAAAATATAATGGTTTAAATAAGTACAACAGTAATATGGTAATAAATTGACTATAGCACTAATGATACAACTGAGCTTCATAAAGGACATAAATCCAAGCAATAAGCTCAAAACAAGTGAGCGCTGAAGATCAGGAGCCTTTTTCTAACTTGTAGCTTAGGTTCTTTGGCGGTTCCCATGATAATGCAGTATTGCCTCTGGTACTGGGCAAGCTCCATAAAGTGAGGAAAAAAGTAAGAAACAATGTAGCACGGATGCTACATGGAAGGTCAAAATGTAGATTGCAGGAGAAAGGAAAATCTAACCTTTCTTAATATATGGATTAAGTTTTGAAGCTAAGGCTTGAAAGCAACGCAATCATAGTTAAAGACAAAACTGATGTTTAGAGTCAGCGTTTGTATGTATTGACAAAAATTTTGGATATTCACTTATTTCTAAGAACAATCTCCTTTGATACATTTTCTTTCTCATTGTTTCATTAAACCTACTAAACCTTTTCTGTTTCGGCTAAGAAATGTTTTAAGTTCATTCTTGCAAATTAGAACTAACACAATAAGAATAATTATTAGTCCCGAAAGTCTCTGGTTATTTTTTTCATCTTGTTACTCGCTGCATTGTGAAAAGCTAAAATATGAACAGCAGCATAGTTGGAAACCTGAGTGAATTCCATAGGTATTCCACAGATGTAATTTAAAGGATGGAAATGAAAGATCGTTGCTCGTTGCTTTTCATTCGTTCATTGTTCTAAGCGTCACAGCACAAGAGTTTTTAATGTCACTTTTAATTCAGTTCTTTATTGCGCAAGACCGCACTTTCTCTTTCGTTCCAAAAAGCAGCTGGGATTCTGATAACTGCAATATTTGGTAACAATACTCAAAAAAGAGTATTTTATACGATGTTATTGCTAACATTTTAGTTCAATGTTCATTCCTGGTAATGATGGATAATGCTACTGACGACCACATGTACTAATTACAAATATGGAAGTATTGTTGTAGCAGTTATCATCATATTTGTCATACCGTATACCTTCAAATAATCCTAGCATTTGGTAAATTGAGATAACACTGATTTCCTAGTTTGGTCTGACAGAATTAAATGACTGTAAATCACACTATTAATTAGAGGAAAAAAAGCAAGCAGAGTGTGGTGGTGAAGCAACGTTGGTAATAAATAACATACCCATAAAGTAAGAACCACTAAATTTAAAGCACATCATTGTCCTATGTTAAGGATTTTCCCTCTAAATAACTCCATTTTATCATGATGTAGAACGACGCCTGGATAAGATGACTATTTAAAAGCGTTCGATCAGTGAACTTACTTTCTGACAACTAAGTTAGTTGTTCCGGGTACTACATTATCGTGTGAGTGCATCGCAGTGGCTTTTTGATACACGCTAGTTGGGAACCTTTTTCTTAAGTGGAATGGGGTAAGACAAAGGCAATGCTAACTTAATCAATTTATTTCTAACCTGGCTGCGAAAAACCACCTGGTAACCAAGCGTCGGATACTGCATGTATTGAGGTCAATCATGATCAACAAAGGCTTGGTTAAAACTAACATAGTCACCCTTCTCATCGTGTAATGCAAATATGCCAGAGTCTTTATTATAAGATCAGTAACAATACACGTGGTTAATCTCGAGTCCAGGCACTCGATTTGAATACTCGTACCAGCAAAACAATAGGTGTACAATCCTAGCGTTTAGGTGTCTCTGCACAATGCAGGGACCTTATAAAGACTCACCAAAATTACATGCACTCTTGTTGTAAAAGTCCGGGAGCAAGACTAAGAAACTTATCTAAAAATTGCAATGTTTAAGTTCGAACATCACAAGTTATGAGAGGAACAGAAAAGAATGCACATTTTGGTCTATGTCTTGGTGTAAACTGAAATTAGTTAAAGTAAATTTTAATTACTTCCTGGTGAGCTTCATAGACTTGCATATGCATGTCTAAATTACATAATATGAGAGTGAAATCGGAAAGATCCTCTCAATTAGATTGATGTTGTTCCGGGACTGCTCCTTCAAGCATAGTATCTTTAAAAATATCCTCATACGAACGAGAGCCCCGTAAAACAACTTGAGGAGAGAGCTTATTGTTTCTTAGTAAAAGGGGGATGTCAACTTTTAGTGATTAGTCCTGGATCAAAGATGGTTTTGAAAACTTACTCAAAATCAAAGTATGCTGATGAAAGTGCTTAAATATACAGAATTTTTATCTATTGTTCTCATCAGGCACTGAATATGCATTCGTCCCCGAGTCATCAACTAGTCTACATCTCTTTACGAAGACTAAGAAAGGGACGCAGAAATTGATGATGAAACTCAGGTCGTGAACTGTTATTTTCAATTTTAGATCTCTTCAAGAACACAATTGAAGTTGTATTTATTTTTTCTGAATTAATTGACCTTTTGTAAGCCATTTCTTTTGTTCTTAATTTTTTTGGAGAAGGTCAATAAATGACAAGTGAATGTGGACATGATCTTTTGGAAATCATCATCTAAAGCAAAGTTTATCGTTAAAAAATACTGTTCTATTTGAAGAAGGGAGTAAGTGCCAACGATATGACCTCAAGGTTCTCGCCTACAGATAATGTTGTCTACAGAACCAAATCTCTGATTTAAAATCAGCTTTCTGCACAAAAGTGCCTTATATGAGCGAATCTTCGAAATTTACAATCAACATCATATTTTGGTAAGCCACAATATCATTCTTTTGGTCATGCGAGAGAACTTCCTTGATGTAGATAGTGTAATTCTACATCTATAATGTTCGGGGAAGCAAACCCAGTATTATAGTATGATACTTCCATGGATATTATAGTACAGGAGCAGGTAAAGATGAGGGGTCGCCAGATCAGATGAGAGGGTGGCGTGGAAGAAATATTAACTTCATTTTCGACATTATGCAGATTCATTAAGTAGATATAATCTCGTTAGTGAAATAGACGGAAAGTTTTTGCTTGTATAAATTATATATATGGTATTGCATTTAAGTCTACCGTACTGCATGGGGCTTAGTTTTATTGCGATATTTTGTATGTACTAAATGGATTTTCATTTACAGTAATATCTTTTGATGTGATAGAAGATGATTAACGTCAGATAAGATGATTGCGACCACGATATTGGATACTCCCATATTTGCATTTCCCAAGTACATTCTAATGACAAACATTTCAATGTGATAAAAATGACCCATTTGTCTAGGCAATAAGTAAGTAACCTAAGAAGTCTTTCCTTATTGAGCTACAACCTATTAAGTGTAAAGAAAAAGTTACACAACCTCGAACTTTCCTTCACAAAATAACTGGGGGATTGTTGAAGTAATAATATTTTCGGTATCAATGGCTTTAAAACACCATACATGTTGAACCAGCACCTGACTTATGGTTGGATCCCCATCAGCACAAAACCAAATTTTAAGGGGATAGGGGATCATTACGTATAGTCATTCCCTCAATACAACAATGTGTACCTTACTATTAATGAACTGTGGTAAAACGAAAAAGGTGGTAAACGTCAAAGTGTACGTATACGTTTTTTAAACTTGCCGGCGTAAGCCACACCCGCTTATGCACATATTCACTGGACTCGAACCATTATGTTTTGCTTATACGTAAATAATAATGGAAAGTAATATATAAAACTCGTAGTGTGGGTTTTGGTAGAAGAACGATCGGGATAGTTGGCCATAAGCATACGTAGGCAGATTAAATTTTAAGGCGAGCAATATATGCATACGGCGGTGTTGCTGCAACGCATGGAATTGCACTTGGAATTGAAAAATGTCCACCCCCCTTAACTGCACCCAACAACATCCGATAAGATTGGCATGGAAAATAAATGATTCAGGATCCTTAAAGGCTTCTTGGTTTGGCTACTGTATGGGCAATGGTCATTAGTGCATGAATATTTTCTAGAGCAAGTGCATGAACATTCAAGTAAAAAGTATATATAGCAGTGATGGTTCCTTAAGTTAGTCATCCCCCCCTTTCACATGAGAGATTTATGGAGTCTTTGTAGATCATCGAAGTTATACGATAAGAAATTTCAATATAACTACTACTACTGAAACCGTTTAAGTGTGGTACAATTGGTACACTTGCTTGAGTCCAATTCCCACCAAGGCCAAAGTTGATAACTAAAATAAAGGCGAATTTTCGAAGAAAGTAACTATTAAGTAACGATTGGCAGTGGCATACGCAGTTTTCTTGATATTTCCGCTGCCCAACATTAGTATTTACTGACATATACATAAAGAGTATATTAATAGCACTTATTCTGATTGTGCACCAGGGCACTACCTTTCCTTTCCCCACACATTCATCAAATAGATAGCCTTATCGGAGGCTAGACGGGTTTCAATTAACCGTTGCACTAACACAAATTTCAAACAATAGCAACTTTTCGTGGTGACCTCCAATCACGGTTATCTGACTCATTGACTGACTTGTCCACGGTCATCCGAGCACAACAATTTTTTGGCAGTCATTTATTCTAGGCGAGAAAGCCACGTTTGAGGTATAACTTACATCAGTGACTGACCGTTATACTACTTATTTGGTACTAACAATTGCATAATATTGTGGTGAAAACCTTTTGTCAATTGTGCGTCCGATTAGTTGCAGTCCATATTTAAACAAGCTGAATAGGTGTGTTATTTCTTTCACGTACAACACCCACAAACTTTTAAGTATTATTATCTCCTTTGATTATTATTGCCAGCAACCAACGCAAATAATAATTGTCTTGTTATTGTGACTGTTGCTGTGTGTGTGTATGTGTCTGTGTCTGTCAGACATTTATCATATATTTTTCACTCAGCTTTAACTTTGACTCAAGCGGTAAAAAGTTCAGGACATTAGGGTTTGTCCGACATTAAGGAGGAATTAGTCCTCTATACGCACAACTTATCACGTCACTTTTTCCGACACTCACTTCAACGCCTCAATTGATCATCCAATCCAGACAAACGCGGATAAACAATAATCAGACACGACACGCTACTTTGGGAAATTTTTCAACTAAGCTTAGTTATCAACAAGTGTATTTCACCTGGAAAACTTAATAGCAACCATTTTCTAGCTTGGTATGACGGAAGTGCCTCTTTACCGTATACTCAATCCGGCCACGCCTCCTTCGCCCCATCTAGCGGCTCACACTCCTTCTTATTTGACAGCACTGTTAGCACGTTCGTCTGGAAATAATAATTCCAATTCCCCCACAACTAATAATCTTCAAACCAACCTATCAGCTGACACGGTGCTGAAGGAACAATCCTCTGCTTCCAGAAATCAGCTGCAACAGCTTGAATCGCTGCTACACCACAATCAACCTTATACTCCGTTCCACTCGTTCCTGGACGGTCCTTTAACTCCTTCAGCTACCCCTTTAGCTCACCGCTTGCCCCGGTTTCACCCTATACCTCAATACTCTATTGGGTCATCATCACGGGCTCAAATCAAGGAAAAGGACACAGAAACAATGAATATTGAATCAAAACCTTCCATTAATCAACAAAAGCAACAGACAGAGTCAAAACCTCCATTGCCCCCAAAGACTGCTTCAACCGTACCAACGAGCAATGACAACGGATCACGTCATCTCCTCTCCACGAGTTCTCCAGAGGGGATCCATGTGGCAAGCCAAATCACTCCTACCAGACTAGCAAACCTCTTGATTCGTAAGGGTCCTTTACCCATTCGTCACATCACATCTCAATTAGCACTTGAAGTGACTAACTTTACTAACTTGTCCTTGTCGAAACAGAGACGGTTAATAATGGCAGCCATGGACCAAGTAGATCCTGAAAACAATGTTGTTTTCGAGAAGATAGGCTGGGGTCAATGGGCTGTACGTAAAGTTGATTCTGATTTCATTGTCACTGAAGGTACAGAGTCTGCTGGTGCCGGCACTGGCGAAACCCATATCAACAATGGCACTAGCATGTCAGAAGGAAATGGTAATGGTGAATCCAGGCCTCCACTTAATGTTCACGATCTTAGAAACCAAACCAATTTGAAATTAGGCTGGTCAAAGAAACAGAACAACAATAGTAATGATAGTAATGGTACAACCAGGAAAGCACTCACAGGGAGAAGAATGTCGGCAGAAAAGTTTAGAAGAGAGTCGATCACCTCTAAGAGTAAGCTGAAGAATCTACATAATGTGCGTCCTCCTACGGACTTCAAAGAAGATATGGCGATTGCCAGTGATCTGGAAGACGAAGACGACAATGCGTTGACAGAATTCGATGAAGATGAAGAAGTAGATGACGACGATGAAGATGACGAAGAAGATTTAGCAATTTCTTCTCACGCTGTTTCTTCTGAGTCTGAACTCTCCTCTGGTCTGGATGTCGAACTCCCCCCAAACTTACTACGCAACGCTACTTCGAATGCTGTTGTTGATGAGGATGCAATTGTGGATGAAGACGAAAAGCCTGTTTTGTTGTCTATCGATTCTCGATCGACTATTCAAGAACCATTCCATGTTAGAGCCAACTCTACCAATTCAATTACTTCAAGAAGGTACTCTAACTCCAATTCCAAACGAATGTCTCCTCCAATCAGATTCGCTAAAAGAGTGCCCATGAAAACAAGTCCTCCACCTCAACAACATGGTTCCTTCTCATCTGCCAGTAGAAGACGTTCTTCTTCTTCCAACAACCAAATCGGGAAGATAGCCAGTACTCCCCGTCACCAGATATTTTCTCGTTCAAGGTTGAATTCGTTTGATAATTTGGATAACTACATTCTTTCTTCTGCCAAAAGCTCTCAGATTCTGGTCAACTCTCCACCACCACCACCTAACGTTTCCGTGTCTTCATATTCAGCAACATCTTCAAATGCTCCTCAAGTAGGAACTCAAACGTTTGTCATCAGTCCTCCTCAAGATGGATACTTGCCAAGTAGAAGAAAGTCCTCATTCAATGAATCTCATCTTCGTCTGACAATTACGTCATCTCCCAACCCTGCTTCTCCCAAGCTTTTACCTGGAGGAGGTCGTAATAACGAAGACATGCAAGTTGATGACGTGGATACAGAAGATGAAGATTGGGAACGTATAGGCGCAGAGAAGTTACGCCAGCAAGAAGCGTTGAACGCTGAAAAAAGAAGAAACGATGCCGGTCATCTACAGAAGAATAGTAATATTAATACCATTTCATCACCAACTGCGGAGCCAGTTGGTAGTTCTCCAAATCATTCGCATACTTCAGGGTCTCCTTCCAAGGACCAAGCTCGTTTAACATTCCATGCTACGGCTGAAGATGAGAGAGCAGCGTTTGCTTTGGTTGATATGATGTCTGTATGATGAACGAACTATGGAGTTTGAACGAAATACCTTTTACTTTTTTATTGTCTCTTTTTTTTTTAACTTTTATCGTTGCTATGCCTTTGCTTTTTGAGTTTCAATTAATTTATTGTCTTGTTTTAATATAATGTCTGTCAGAGACACTCTTTACATATATAGACATTTGTCCAGTCTCTCTTTAGCTTAAACATGTATTTGCTTGGAACTGCCGGTTTGGGCTCGGGTTTCCTGTATCACTATATAATAATATTACTAAATAATATCTGGTTCAATTGTAATAGCTTACAGTTGAAACGTTTAGTACGGTATTATATACTTCAGTCGAGCCTGTATACAACGACAATCCCAATCGGGTATATTAATAGTTTACGCGTAAACAAAAAAAATACATCTATCAAAACAACCACCAACCACAACCGACACTTCTCTCAACAGTCGTAAACAGCTAGCCCCGTGGTGACATTCTGAGTACCGACATTTACTGCTATAAGAATACAAATATACATAAATGTCTGCATCGACCAGCTCGGGAGTGTTACCCTCCATCAACCTCAATGTCAATTATTCCGAAGAGTATAATGAGATTGCTGAGTTTATCCAGGAGTTCAAGTCCACCACATCTGAAACAGAACTTGACGACATCGACATGGAATCGTCCCGAGCCTCTGCTCGGTATTTGGGTAAGAAATACATGACCCAACTTCAACACATTGCAAACCGTAAACAGTCCACTCTTATGGTTGATTTGGATGATGTTCATCAATGGATGCAATTAACACAACACACAGGTAAAGATAGTCTTTGGAGTCATGTGCTCAGAAATACTCATCGCTATCATGAATTGTTTTGTCGTGCAGTCGATTTCCTTTTACCCAATCCTACTATCCCCATGTCCGATCAAGAAGACGTTCTTGATGTGATTTTAGCTCAAAGAAGAAACAGAAACATCCAATTACGTCAAGAGCAACGACAAGAATCTAATGTTATTGCCGAAGGTATTCCAGGAGCTGTAACAGATGATAATGGTGAAGGAGATGACAATACTACGTTCCCTCCAACGTTAACTAGAAGATATCACCTTTATTTCAAGCCTCCTACGGCCACAACTACCACCAAATCTCTTAGTGTCAGAGAAGTTAAAGGTCAACATATTGGTCACTACATTACTGTATCTGGTATAGTCACCAGAGTTTCTGATGTAAAGCCATCCGTGTTGGTTAATGCTTACACTTGTGACCGTTGTGGTTATGAAATCTTCCAAGAAGTCAATTCAAAAGTTTTCACTCCTTTAGTAGAGTGTACCTCCCCCACTTGTCAAGGTGATAACATGAGAGGTCAATTGCACATGAGTTCCAGAGCCAGTAAGTTTTCATCTTTCCAAGAAGTGAAAATTCAAGAATTATCATCCCAAGTCCCCGTGGGTCATATCCCCAGAGCAATGTCTGTACATGTGAATGGAGATTTGGTAAGATCTATGAATCCGGGTGACATTGTTGATATTAGTGGTGTATTTATGCCCTTACCCTATACTGGGATCAGGGCACTTAGAGCAGGATTGTTAACTGAAACATATCTTGAGGCTCAATATGTTCATCAACACAAGAAACTGTATAAAATGGAAGAAATCTCTGACGACACAAGAGATAAAATAAATCGATTACAAGAATCTGGTGAACTTTATGATCTTTTAGCCAAATCAATTGCTCCTGAAATCTATGGACATTTGGATATAAAAAAGATTCTTTTGCTTTTATTGGTTGGTGGTGTTACCAAGGAAGTGGGCGATGGTATGAAGATTAGAGGAGATATCAATGTTTGTCTTATGGGTGATCCCGGTGTAGCCAAATCACAACTATTAAAGGCAATCATAAAAATTGCTCCCAGATCTGTTTATACCACTGGTAGAGGGTCATCAGGAGTCGGGTTAACCGCTGCTGTTATGAGAGACCCAATTACTGATGAAATGGTTTTGGAAGGAGGTGCTTTGGTACTTGCAGATAATGGGATTTGTTGTATTGATGAATTTGATAAGATGGATGAAAGTGATAGAACTGCAATTCATGAAGTTATGGAACAACAAACCATTTCCATTTCCAAAGCAGGTATTACCACCAGTTTAAATGCCAGAACTTCTATTTTAGCAGCTGCTAATCCACTTTATGGACGGTATAATCCCAAATTATCACCCCACGAGAATATTAATTTACCGGCTGCTTTATTATCCAGATTTGATATTATGTTTTTATTATTGGATATTCCTACCATTGAAGGTGACCAGCAATTGGCTGAGCACGTTGCGTTTGTTCACATGACCGGACGTCAACCTGATCATAATTTCAGTCCTCTTGAAGTTTCAACCATCCGTCAAGTTGTTTCTATGGCCAAAGAGTTCCGTCCAGTGGTCCCCAAGGAGATTGGTGAATATGTTGTTTCTGAATACATTAAGATGAGAAAGGAATCATATAGGAATGAGAATTCCATCAAGAAATTCCGTCATATTACTCCCCGTACCCTTTTAGGTATATTGCGGATGTCACAAGCATTAGCGCGGTTACGGTTCTCCAATGATGTTAACCAACACGATGTTGATGAAGCATTAAGATTAATCGATGTTTCCAAATCTTCAATGAATCAAGATGATGATGGTCATAGAGAAGATAATTCTCCTCAAACATTAATTCAATTATTGATTAAAGATATGGCCAGAACCCGTAATAGTTCTCGGTTAGACTTTAATGAAGTCCGGAACAGAGTCATAGCCAAGGGGTTTAAGCAATCAGATTTGGATGAGACCATGCGGCTCTGGAAGCTTTGGGATGTGGCGGATGTTGTTGACGATGGTGAAACTTTAATGTTCTTTGATGTTGATCAAGACATGGACGACCAATAGAGTACCAGTAGAGTAGTGGAGTTTGTATGTATTATTAGTATTGTTATGGAGCACTACTTTAGTTTATATATCGTGCGAAACACTGTCTATGATGTAAAGAATCTTCTTTCCTTACCACCAACCTCATGGAACCTTCTGGTGATCTTGATGCCGTTCCTCGGAGACGTGTGCTGAGAGGCGAAGTGCTTTCGCGTTCAAGTCCAAGTCCAAGATCAAGATCAGCTTCTGTTCCCCCAGTGACCGAAGAGGAGAAACCAGAGGAGTCTGCTACGATGAAAGATAGTACCCCTATGAGGGATCTTCTACAGTTGACAAAGTATTTGGATAATACTGGGTCTGTAGCTCGAGATCACGTATGTATAGATAGCATTGATAGTGTGATACCTCATATTGATAAGACCGATGTGATCCGGTATATCTGGTGATTTACGTCACATTGAGTGATGTGATACATCGTATTGATGATACATCGTATTGATGATACATCAGATTGAGGAATTGATACTAACTTCTTCAGCTTGCCAATGAAAGAACGTTTTTAGCATGGGTCAGGACTTCAATGGCGTTTATCACGTTTGCTATAGGAGTGGTACAATTCTACAGATTGGAATTCAAAGCTATTCAATCACAACTAGAAGCAGAAGGTTCAACTATAAACTCAATATCTCAAGGTAAACGTCATAAACTATTTCATTCCCTAAGTAAACCAATAGCTTTGATGTTTCTTATTTTAGGTGCTTTATCACTTATTTTTGGAACGTTCCGTTATTTCCAAGTCCAATTCCACATGATCAACAACACCTTCCCGGCTGCAAGATTCTCCTTGGTACTACTAGTGATCCTGCTGTTTGCCATTTTAGTCATATTGACCATACTAGACGTACGTTTAACATTGACATGACATTGGCTTGACATGATGACTGGACTAGACGCGGTCACGTGATGTTGGCCACAATTCAGGTGAAAATCTCAAAGTAACTCACTTAATTTATCGTTCAACAACTTACTGTAGACAGTGTTTGTTGATTGTGGTTACAATATAATGACCGACTATTCTAAAGAGACGGTTGTCCAATTGAAGGCTTTATTGAAGGCTAAAGGCTTATCAGTAGATGGAAAAAAGGCTGAGTTGATCCAACGTTTGATTGACTCTGAAGCAGCAGCTGGTAATGGTGAAGTTGTAGAACAACAACCAGAAGCTTCTGAAGCTGCTGCTGCTCCTGCTGAAGAACCAGTTGAAGCCCAACAAGAGCAGCAAGTTGATGCTACTGATCCTACGGCTCCTGCTCCTATTCCTGAAGCCACCAACGGTAATGTGGATCAAGCAGCTGGCGAAGTTTCTGAAACTCCTATTGAACAAGAGCAAGCACCTAAGGAAGTGTCACCAGAAGAGAGGAAACAATTGGCCGTGGAATTATTGACCAAGAAGATTCATAGGGCTGAAAAGTTTGGCGATGAAGCCGCAGCTGAAGTAGCAAAGAAGGATTTAGCTCGTGTGCAGAAGTTTGGTGTTGAATTAGGCACTGCCTTAGCCAGAGAGATTGGATTGGTGGATAAGACTTTAAGTGATAAGAAATTCCACAGAAGAAAGTTCAATGGTAAGAAGAAGAAGAATCATAATAAGGTTACCAAAGGTGGAAGAGGTGGCCGTAACAATAATAAATAATCGTGTTGAACACAGACAGTACCATTTAAATAAAAACTAGATACAAAGAATCACGAGCTCAATGTAGACTCATGCGGTGGTGGAGTTTGAGTTTTGACTTTGACTTTGACTATCATCATCAGAGTAAACTTCATATCTTGTAACTTCATCATACTCTTGTAAAGGATCGTTATCAACTAACAACCCATTGTTGCCTCTGACCCAAATGAAATAGAATATTATCACTGTAAAGTAATACCCCAAAATTTGGGCCCAGAACATCATTTTTGGTAGTCTTTTACCAATTACCATGTATTCAAAAATGGCCAACAGCCTTTGTTCTTCATTAGCGTACTGTTTGGCAAAAAATTCAGGATTGGACAAACCTGATTGGACACCAAACGCAAAGATCCCCACTACAAAGATGAAAAAAGGTACACCAACAATAACGATAACTGAACGTTTAAAAGATTTGGTGATTCTTTCATTGACATCGTCATCATTACCTGATTGAATAGGAGGGAACTTTGCAATCAACTTTTTAGTTTGAAAGAAATAATAGAAGGAACAAATGGACCAAACCATTGGTAATAACAGTACTAAACTCAGGGCCAATGAACCTATGATTGAAACCAACCATGATCTCTTTTTCTGCTGAAGCATCTCAGGGAATAGTGGCATGAGTGTAGGATCATACATTGGTGACAGCACATTAGTAAATAAAAATGTAGCGATACAAATGGCAATGGCATTTATGGTGAACAAAATCTTAACTTTCCTCAGAAGTGCCAGAGGTAATTCTCTATACTTTCTTGAACCATTATGGTAGTAAATCACACCGTAACCCATGGCAAACAATAAAAAGATAGCATTGAAATAAACTCCAAAGAGACTCTCAACCATTCTTAAAACAACTTCAAAGAAATCAAAGGCCTTGTTATCTATGCTACTAGCAATATGTTTGTTCTTCACCCCTAATAAGATCCAATCAATAATATGTACCATGATAATTGGAGGAATCAAGTAGAAAACCGTCAATTTGGACATCACCGAAAGCGAATTCATTGAACTATAATCCTTCCCCACCATTTTCACAATATAATAGAACAAATATCCAAAGATAGCAATACCTAAACTAATCAGGTACTTATATTGAGAATAAATGCAATAACCAGTGAAATCCAATAGCCCATACGAATTTTGGTATCTAATAGGAACTTTAAGCTCTACTAAACCTTCCTTAGGTGGTGCTATATAGACACAATATAAGCCAGTTTCCTTAACGGGGAATATCACATCAACATGTTGTGGGGTATTTGAGTTTTCTTCAGTATCCAAGACAGCAAACGAGTTTAATAATCTTGAAGTATCAATTTCTTGAGGGTATCCTCTCTCTACCACCAACTTGAACTTATCCCCATCAACCACTAGATCGTGTAAATCAGCCCAGTTCGCGTAGTATTCTTGATTATACTCATGGATGCTTGGAACATTGGAGAAGTTGTAGATATCGGTGGCACGGAAGATAAGCACTGGAAGCTTGAAATCTTTGATTTTGTCTGGATCTTCAAGAGTAATCAGGTCAACATATAATTCTATAGTAGCTGGAAGCTTTGATTTGGCATTGTATGTAATAGGGGCACACGATACACCCAAATCCTTATTTAGTATTATGGCAGAGGCTTGACATACCGCCAGGACTGCTGATATTATTACTATCGCAGCAGAAGAGAACCGCATATTGTTTGATGTTAATACGTGGAGTCAACTGAGTCTGTTGGCATTGCGCCTGTTATCTGTTGACACCACATAGCGTTTCTAATATATATATTATATGTAATGTGCGGGTAACCCCTTTATTAAGGTTATGACATAATGTTCGCTAACTGCTGCTTCTTCCAATTCGCCTACAAAGCGTCAGCACGTAATAAACTAATGTACGAGCTGTAATACGATACGCCACTCTGAAGTCTTTGGACGGCAAATAGGAGTTAATCTGTGTATATACTTTATGGTATCGTCACGTGATCAGGTCTAGATGTACGTTATATCAACTTATATATTCAACTACGGCTTATCACATTGTATTAACGTTTCTTCAGCTAAAATAATTGGCCATCACTGCATATAGATTTATTGCAACAATTACAATATTGAATGACAGTACAAATGGAATATGATTAGTCACATTACAGAACAGTGGAGCCTTGATACTTAGCACTACTGAAGTACGGTATATACCACTGTCTGTCATACAAAGTGATCGTATATTAAGGGGGGATTATCTTGTTAGCTGAGTATGCTGTATGCAGTAATATCTACTATCAAATGAAAACTTCAGGGTGCGAAAAAAGGAGAAAATTTGTATGTAAAAGCGAGAAAACTTTTGAATTTAGGTAAGGAAGAAAAATGAGAGTGAGGAAGGCTATAGTATACAAAACCTTTACGAACAATAAAAAGCGCACACAGGAACTTCATGGTAAAATATCCTTGTAGAACTTTTTTCCACTATTATATTCGTAATAGTTTATAATGATTTTTAAACAAAATTCTCATAAATATAAAGAATCTGCTCTTTCTATATACAGGAATTTAATTCATGCTTATTTTGGTGATAAATATTTGTTTAATAAAAGTGTAAATCCTGACTTTCTTGATGCTTATTTGTACTGCTGTTAATCACGGTTGATGTATGAGTTTTGAATTTTCTAAATACATTTTAGATAATTTTTATTTTGAAGATAATACATATAAAAAAAGTATTACTGCTTCTTATATAAGACATGGAAAGTTTGACGATAGATTATATTTAGATAGACATCCTATATTTTTATATAATAAAATAAGTTATAAGGATATAAAACCTTTGCTTTCTATTCAAAATGATAAATTAAAAAAAAATTATATTTTGTTTCTTTATTAAATAATTTTGATATTGGATATAAGGATGATTCATATGGTTTCGATAGTAATATTAATATACTTTATAAATATTTTAATATCCCAGATTCGTCTAAAAGTTGTTTTAGTACATATTCTTTTCCTGAATATGGCGAATATAATTTTATGCATCAGCCTTTACCTTCAATTGAATCTAGGAAAATAGATGATTTTGTTATATCAGATTATAATTTTGAATATATTTCTGCTGATACAGATGCTATTTTTACTATTGAGAAAAGTATTGCTCACCAATATTTGAATCAATTTATTGTGGTGGAGATTTTTATTTGGATGACTACGGAGATATTAAAACTGTAGATGTAAATGAAGATTCTATAATTATGGATATTAGATATGCTAGTAAAGCTCTCTTAGAAAATATTTATTTAGATGAAGCTTTAAGTTAATTATATATAGATCCTGCTTTTTCAGAAGAATTGTTAGAAAAGTACAAACCTTTTTTAATCTTAGGTAATACTTTTTATTCTGAAATAGCTTACGATAGATTTATGGATGTAAATCCTCTTTATAGTACTGCAATTATTTATTCTTTAATAATGTATCATGCAGATATTTCTTCAATGAAAAATGAAATAAATTATTTAGACTATTGTTTAATGGAAGCTTGTAATGATTCAAGTAATTTTGATGCGTTTAAAATTTTATAAAATTTAAATTTAAAATGTTATAAGCGAATTGATTTTAATAAAAAAGAATATTATCCAAATAATAATGAAGAAATTGAACTTAATTATGATGAAATATTTAGCAAATTAAAATTTAACCTAAAAAGTATAAATATTTATCTATACTCTAAGTTAGATAAATACATGATATTCAATTTAGTTAAATAGTATGCCAGCACAAATAGAATATATTGGTGATGATCCAATGAAATCGTTTGGTTTGGGTATCAATAGCGGAAGATCTAGTAAATTAGATGATATTCAAAGAGCTGTTAAATGATTAGATATTCCAAGCAAAAAATATATCTACGAGGAAATAAATACAATTGGAGATATTTCAGAATACGAATTTAAATGTTTGGTACATAATTCTAATATTTGCAAATAGAAGGTGGAGTTCTTTATATTATCCAAATAACAAGTGTTTTTATAATTTTTAATAAATCTGTTTCACCAATAAATTCTTTTATTTCGTTTAATTTATCTACGTTTGTTTCAGTAGCACTAATTCTTTGTAATCCTTTGTAATGTAAATTTTTATTATTTTTTTATCTAGATCATTTAAGTTTAATAATCAATATATCAAGTTAATCCACACTATAACGTTAGGGTACAACTTCTATTAACTGTGGTAATTAAGCCAAAAAATAATGTGGTGAACGATGTTCGGATATAAGCCCGACGCGGGGGTCGAACCCGCAACCTTTTGATCGCTTCTCTTGTTCAAGACTAAGAGTCAAACGCTCTACCGATTGAGCTAGCCAGGCTTGCTCGATGCAGAAGAAATGCCGATGTTTTATAGATATACATAGGCCCAGTTGGTTTTCCCACCAATATATGGTATCATTCAAAAGAAAAAAGTTGGATCTCAACTAAGAGTATATCTGGTATGTACGCGTTCTGTAAGTATTCTGTATGTTATCATGTATAGATGATCTTTAAAAAAAAGTTGGTGGTGATATCTCTCCATTTACACCAGAAACAAGAGATCAAATTGATGAAATCTTTAACACTCCAAGTTTGTCTATCACCAAGTTTGTTTTACCATTTGAACCTGGCCATTGTATTGGTAAGGCCCAAAACTTGTTCAGGTTTATAGATGAGAAGAAGATTGAAGATTGGAAAGCCAACTATGGTGGTCAAAAGAAGCGAGACAACCATATTTTGAAGATAGATACTTAAAAATGTTTTGTTATGAATGGAGGTTGGTATAATTGTAATGAGGTGAATTTACATAATATATTTAGTGTTCGTATATTTAGTGTTCTATAGAAGTAGAAGAATACGAGGGAATGAAATAACGACCTCTAAAAGAAGCCCATAAAGTCAAGAATATAGTATATATATCCATTTGTCTCCGTACAAATACTTCATTATGCATCAATTAAAAGTGATGCGTTATACGAGGACGACATAATGTTAAGAAGTAGTACTCTGAAATCTTATTTGGGTTCATCTTATATCGCAACCAGGTTTATTTAGTGGACTTAACTACAGATCACCACTAATGATCCTCTCCAGATCAGCGCTGTTCAGTCTACAGCCGATGAGATACTCAGAGAGCAGAAGAGTCCGAGTAGAAGGCCAAAGTGGGACTTCTTCGCTTTCCTGACCAACAACCATTTCCTTGGGCTTAACAATAGGAGAAGCATCTGGGGGTTCAATTAAAGGACAAGAGACTTTGAGTGTTTCTTGATCAAGCTCAAAGAGAGTTTATCATTCGATTGTTTCGAATGAACAGTCGCTGTTGTCGTCTTCTGTCGTAGTAGCCATATTCTTGGCTTTGTAAGGCTTAGTTTGGTAGTCAGTGTATTCAAAGATCACGAGGAGAGTCTTTTCAAGTAAGGAAGTTTGAGTTTGTGGAGTAACTAAGATGTTTTCCTTCTCATCGTTCTCAGAAACAATGATAGAGGTGGAGTCTCAATGGTTGAACAATGAGAAAGCAGGGTTGGGTGAGTGCTTGCAGCAGTGCCAATGGTAACGATCAGGTTGCTTGAAGTAGTCAATGCTTTACCAGCTTGGTTGTCTCTGGACATTGGCAGAGGGGTGACATCAGAAGTTAACTCCAGCTCAAGAATTTCTTGTTGTTGGTCGCTTGTTTTGTTAGTAACTTGGTAAGGTGGAGGAGAATTTGGACCTGAAGGATCCGACATTAGTTTTAAGGAACTTCATAATTCAGTAAACTAAAGTGGTTATAATTGAAGAAGAAGAAGAGCAAAGAAATCAAAAAATTCCAGCGACTAAACCTCCTTTTACTAGCCCGAGTTTTCGCAGCCATTAAGAGAGGTTCCATATACTTTTAAAAACACAGAAAATCCCAATTAGGAAATGGCCCCTCCGGTAAATTTCACAGTCAAAATTTACCGAATTGAGTACAGCAGCTAACTAACCTACAATTTTGCAACAAGGTTAAATAAGGGAAGTAATGAGTATAAACTGATGTAAAGTTGTGAGAGTAGGAATCTTGAATGATTGCGCAAAAATAGTTCACTAATAGTGACAATTAATGTCGCATCATTTTATTGCTTCACTACAATGACACAACTATTAGGTACCATTCCCCTCAGACCCTCGGCTGAACAGTTTCAGCATACACCCCTTAGAGCTCCACATGTTTTGTTGTTACTGCTTCAAATAAAGTTTAGATTACCATTCGATTTTCACGTCAACTTTAACTTAAAACGTAGTCGTGCCAATACCAACACAGGTATGTCACAAAATCCGACTTTGTGAGCCATACAATTGTGTAAGAAGAAAGATGCATCGGAGTTTATTCAATGGAAATGTGTGTCACTGTTCTTTATCATGACTGAGACTTACTACGAATCGTTACCTACATTCCTTCGACCTACTCACTACCAATTGGTTGTCCACGACATTGAAGTGGAAAAGGATACATTTTCTGGTGAGGTGAAGATCTCATTTGACGTAACCAACAATACCAAACAAGTCCATGTAAATTATCGGGATTTGAAAATTAAAGATGCCACCATTCATGTCGCTGACGGAAGTATAATTCCGTTAGAGTCCTTGGATGAAAACAAAAGCAAGGAGTATTGTGTTTTGAACTTCACCCAGGAACTTATCGCTGGTCAAGCCGGTGTAGTTTGCCACATTAAATATGATGGTCGTATCCATAGTAATATGGCAGGATTATACAAGTCGCTGTACAATGAAGAAGATGAAACGAAATGGATGTTATCGACCCAATTTGAAGCCACTGATGCCAGAAGAACATTCCCATGTCTTGATGAACCGGCATTGAAGGCTACGTTTGATTTGGAATTGCATGTACCTAAGCAATGGACTGCCTTAGCAAATACACCTGTGGAAAGCATTTCTGAACTTGAATCAGCAAACGTATACAAGTTTGAACGCACTCCCATCATGTCGACTTATTTGGTGGCATGGGCTTGTGGAGATTTTGAATATGTAGAATCTTTCACTGAAGGATTGTATCATGATAATAAGCCATTGCCAGTTCGTATTTATACCACTAAAGGTGGTTACATTAAAGATGCTCAATTAGCTTTGGAAATTGCTCCTAAAATCATTGACTATTTCTCCAAAGTGTTTGATATCAAGTACCCTTTGAAAAAATTAGATTTAATTGCAGTCCATTCCTTCTCCCACAATGCCATGGAAAACTGGGGGTTAATAACCTACAGGTCCACTGCTTTGCTTTACAATGAAGCCAAATCAGAACCATCTTACAAGCAAAAGGTTGCATATGTTGTGGCTCATGAATTGGCCCATCAATGGTTTGGTAACTTGGTCACTATGAAGTGGTGGGATGAGTTATGGCTTAATGAAGGCTTTGCTACATGGGTAGGATTCACTGCTGTGGATTACCTTTATCCTGAGTGGGATATATTTAGCAAGTTTGTCTCTGAGTCATTACAACAAGCATTGACATTGGATGGATTACGGAGTTCTCATCCAATTGAAGTTCCAGTTAAGGATGCTTTGGATATTGATCAAGTATTTGATGAAATTAGTTATTTAAAGGGTGCTTCAACTATTTTAATGTTGTCAAAGTATTTGGGAACCGAATTATTCTTGAAAGGTGTTGCAAATTATTTAAAGAAACACCAATTTTCAAATGCAACCACTCATGATTTATGGCTGAGTGTACAGGAAGTCAGTGGGAAACCAGTAGTTCAAATGATGGAATCTTGGATCAAAAAAATTGGATTCCCTGTTATAAGCGTTGATATTAATGATGATGATTCCAAATTGACTGTCTCTCAATCACGGTTTTTGAATGGTGGTGACGTGACAGAGGATGAAAACCTTGTGACTTGGTGGGTCCCTTTGAATCCTAATAGTAAAACGTTGGAATTAGATGCTTTGGAGGAAAAGTCTGTTGAAATCAGCCTTACTTCAGAACAGAAACTATTGAAATTAAACAAAGATACAAGTGGTGCTTATCGGGTTAATTATTCTTCAGAATTGTTAGATAAACATATCCATCCTTATTTGAATGAATTACTGCCCACAGATCTTGTTGGGTTGATCGCTGATTCTGCAGCTATGGCTAGAGGTGATTACAATTCAACAGTTACTTTACTTAAACTTTTGAAATCAAGTGCTGCTGAAACCACAGATGCTTATGTTTTTTGGTTAGAGCTTAGTAAGATACTTTCTAATTTGAAGACAGTGTTCATTGATGAAGATGATGAAGAACTTAGCAAGGGTTTGAAAGCATTTGTGAAGTCAATCTATGAACCAGAAGCATTAAAGTTATTGAATGAGTTAAAAACAAATGAAACTCAAACAAATGACTTTTTAAGAGTCAATTTAAGATCATTAGTATTGACTGCTGCTGGTTTGAATGGTATTGAACCAGTGATTGATTATGCTTATGAATTATTTTCCAAATGGAGTGAAACAGGAGTAATTGATCCTTCGTTCCGTCTGTTTATATTCACAGTTGTTGCTTCATCTTCTGAAAAGTTTTCCAATTCCAAATTTGATTTAATAATGAAGGAAGTCACGAACCCAAGTTCCTTAGACTCTAGAGAAGTTGCATTATCAGCTTTAGGACATACTGTTGACCCTGAATTCAGTGCTATTTTATTGGGATTACTTTTAAAGACGGATACCATTCCAGTTATGGACTCACATTTCTTGGGAATCCAAATGTCTAAAAACACTGCAACTAGAAGAGCATTTTGGAATTTCTTCAAGGAGAATTATCAATCATTTTATGAGGTAATGAGCTCTAACATGGTTGTATTGGATAGGTTCATTAAATTCACCTTGGGTAATTATCAATCTATGGAGATGTACCAAGAGGTTGAACAATTATTCAAAGATAAAGATGTTCATGGGTTTGAATTTTCATATAAGCAATCATTAGATCGGATCAAGATTAATGCTGTATGGAGAGAAGGGCATAAGGAGGAAGTCAAGGAGTGGTTAAAAGCAAATGGATATTATTAAAAAGAATTCATGATATCATCATCATCAAAAAATAATAAATACATGGACATATATTAACGCTACTACTCTCTGGGGTAGTAATAATCATATCTAGTGAGCTTCATCAACCTTATGAGCATGAGTGGCAGCATATCTACCCGAAGGATCAGCATGACAACCCCATTCAGCCTTTGGAATCCATCTCATGACAGTAGTGGCAGCAACGTTGGATGGGTTGAACATCTTATCGAACTTACATCTATACCAATAAGCTTCCTTTGTAGTTGGAATATCAGCACCCCATTCTGGTTTAGGGTTAGCCAATTCTTCATCGGTAACAGCAAGTTCAGCAGCATCCTTCAAACCATCGATCCATGAATAACCAACACCATCAGAGAATTGTTCCTTTTGTCTCCAAAGGATTTCTTCTGGTAAGTATGGTTTGACATCAGGTTCATCAGTAGTATCGAAAGCCTTTCTTAAGATGTACTTTTCAATGTGGCCAGGTTTAATGAGTTTATCTTCTGGGTTAATGTTCATACAAACTTCCAAGAATTGCTTATCCAAGAAAGGAACTCTAGCTTCCAAACCCCAGGCCATGGTTGATTTGTTAGCTCTAAGACAATCAGCATAGTGTAAGTTTTTAACTCTCTTGACACATTCGTCATGGAATTCAGCAGAAGATGGAGCATTGGCAAAGTATAAGTATCCACCAAAGATTTCATCGGAACCTTCACCAGATAAAACCATTTTAACACCTTGAGCTTTGATTTTACGGGACAAAAGGTACATTGGAGTAGAGGCTCTAATGGTAGTGACATCATAAGTTTCCAAATGGTAAATGACATCATCAAGAGCATCCAAACCATCTTCCAAAGTAAAAGTATGAGAATGATGAACAGTACCAATGAATTTGGCAACCTTTTCAGCAGCAACCAAATCTGGAGCACCAGGTAACCCAATAGCAAAGGAATGTAATCTTGAGAACCCGACTGAATGCAAAGCACCTGAATCATCAACACCAGATAACTCAGCATTGGCATCAACAGCACCAGATTTAACATTAGCCTTAGCAGCTTCTCTAGCAGCAATTGAAGCAATTAAAGAAGAATCCAACCCACCAGAAAGCAAAACACCATAAGGAACTTCAGCCATAAGTCTCTTTCTCACGGCCAATTCCAAACTAGCTCTAACCTTTTTAAGATCAGCATGTTCAGTTGGAACATTGGAACCGTCCCACCAAGAAGGATTGAAATAACGAGTAAGTTTATCAGTCTTGGAGTCGTACACGTGACCAGGAGGGAAGGCAGTGATCTCGTCACATTCATCAATCAAACATTTCAATTCTGAAGCGAAATATCTGGTTTTAGGAGATTTCAGGGATTTACCCATATATAATGTGGTGATACCAATTGGATCTCTGGCAGCGACAATTCTATCCTTAATCTTGTCATACAAAACCCAAGCAAACATACCATCCAAATAGTTTGGAGCTTCGATATCATAAGTCATGTACAATGGGATGATGGGCTCACAATCACTTAAAGATTGAAACTTATAGTCTTTGCATTGTTCTCTTAAATGGATGTGGTTGTAGATTTCACCATTGACGGCAAGACTGTAGTTGCCATCGGGAGATCTGATTGGTTGAGCTCCAGCATCCAATCCGACAATAGCTAATCTTTCATGAACTAAAATCGTCAGCTTTTGGATAACGTTACCTGACCAATCTGGACCTCTGTGTCTGATTCTTTTGGAATATTGCAAGGCTTTAGCCTTGAACTCTTCAACGTTTGGCTGTTGATAAGCAGCGAAAATACCACACATTACGTTTAAACCGTAAAAAAAAGACTGTCTGGTGTATTACGATAAGAAATATGACTGTCTTTTTATAATAAGATCGAAAAATTTTTCAATGTACATAATCCGGGTATCTGGACTGCATATAAGTCCAAATTGTGACTCAGGAATTCGTTGCAACAACCGGTCCTGTAATTCAGGATTGAGTCATATGGGGAAAATACGGATAAACGTTTAAACTGCATTTCTTCATATTATAACAATAATATATAATCATGTCATTGGGTACATTGTATGGAACTACGGAGATAAGAGCATTGCCTGCTAGAGCCATCATTAAACATTATGGTTTAGATATTGAGAATGTGAGCAAGACTGATTCCCGGTTCGCTGAGAACTTCCCTTTAGGACTTCGGCCCGGTTTTATTGGACCTGATGGAGTTAAGCTCACTCAATCAATAGCCATAACATTACATGGTAAGTATTAAAGAGTTTATTCCACGATTCACTATGGGATTGATACTAACACGAACTATAAAGTCCTTTCATTGAGTAAGGAAGGTAAACAGGAACTTTTAGGTGACTCAGAGGTTCAATATGCTCAAATACTTGAATGGATGTCGTTTGTTAATTGCGAGATCGTTCCCACAGCTATTAGGGTCTTCGGTCCCAAAGTGAAAGGATTACCTTATATAGCTGAGGTTGTTGAAAGTCTGCATAGTGAATTACACAGATATATGTCAGTTTTAGAAGGGTATCTAAAGGATGAAGAGTACCTTGTTGGGAATAAGTACACACTTGCAGATCTTTATGTTCTGGCGCTTTTAATTAGGCCCTTTCAATATTTGTTTGACAGAGAATGGAGAGAGACTCATCCATTCGTTATTAAATGGTTTGAAACCGTTGTAAAGGAGCCTATCTTAATGGATGTATTTGGTCCATTTACCTTTATTGATAAGCGTATAGTATATAATGCATAAGGTAGCGCGGTTGGGTTTATACTTATTTTGTGAAGCTGCTGGTAGCGCGATCAACGAAAACCTTGTGGCGTAAAACCAAACTAAACCAAACTGAACTTAAACTAACACTACCATCTGTTTCTTTTACCCACAATGGCTCTTCAAAAACTAACTGCAGAGTTATATCAACTCTTTGAGAGTGAAAAATATGACCAGTGCCAGAAGCTTTTGCCTCCCATCAAAATCGAACTTATAAAACACAATTTATTTGTACCCAATCCCAATTTTGGTAATGATGTTGATCATTTGAATGATTTAAAAGTTGCTCAACGGATTTTGGAAATCGGTCTGTTGCTGCTGTTGCTAACTGACAACTATCAAAATTTTGAACATTACGTTGCACAATTGAAGCCATTTTATAACTATGGCAAATTGCACCCCAAAAGGGAAGTCAACACCGATACTACGAAGATCATCTCATTATATTTAGTCTACTTGTTGAGTCAAGGATTAATTTCCAACTTCCATTTAGAGTTGGAGGTGCTCTATAACTCATCCAAATTCGATGTTGACAGAGACCACTACTTGCAGTTCCCTATAAGTTTGGAAAAGAATCTTATGGAAGGTAACTACATTAAGATCTGGAAGTTATTGGGAGATGAAAGAAATTTACCTTGTAAAGAATACAAACTTTTCATTGCTACGTTGATCAATGCCTTAAGATTTGAAATTGCAAAGTCTTTGGATAAAACATATGATTCCATTCCAATTAGCAATTGCAAGAACTTACTCTTCTTCCCTCAAGAAATGGCAGAAAGCACCGTTGAAGACATATTGAAGAACGAGTTGAACGTCACAAATTGTACCTTTTCCAATGGGAGAGTGGTGTTCAATAACGATGACTTGAATTCTGTTTCAGATACTGCTTCCAAATCAGGTATCATAGAGAATTTACTTAATTATGCTGAACAAATGGAATCTATAGTATAATATGTATATGCCATGATTATGATTATCACGCATATATTATGATAATGATGTATAGAACCCTTTATAGGCTATATCTAAGTCATCTAGAAACTGACTGATCTCTTCTTCTGTGAGCTCACTATCGTTTAGATTATTCAATTTAATTAACCATCCTACGAGTTTGGACTTGCCATGGAACTCCAATGCTTGTTCGTTATTAACTAGATCATTAAGTCCAACAACCAAGTCACTTAACAAGGGATGTAACTGTTCTTTGGTCTTGTAGTTGAGTTTGAGTGCATCCATAATTGTAATGAAACTCCCCGTGATCTCAGCTACCAAACGGGCACTTCCAGTGGAGTTAGCTGCCCCAGTGGGTGCCCCACCGTTAGTAGTGGTTCCAGTTCCCGCATGCGATAATTGTACAGACAAATGTTCTATAGTCAGGGGGACACCAGTCTTAAGTCTCTTCACCGCATGCGAACAGGATGTCAAATTGTACTTGATGCAGAACAAATCAGGGAAGTCAACGCCGAGATCAATTGGTAAATTTGCCAGGGGAGTTATCAAATCTGCTTTAGCATATTCAAGCTTCTGAGGGTCTTCAAGGATCCCTTTACTTAGTATTTGATATTGGTTTATAAGTCGAAGAGATGTATTGGTATACTTTTCTTTATCGGTAACAAAGTCTTTAACAAAGGCATTTTCAATCATTTCCAAGACGGTAACGATGGAGTAAATCTCTGCAAAGGCTTCATATACTGAACGTTGGATAGAGTTCTTCAGAAGTTGATTCTTGGAGATTTCCTGGTGATAATTGACATTGCTGTTGTCTGACGTTGAATATGCAGTGGTAGAAGTAGGAGCATATGATAAGGGAGTATTTCGGTCCATTATAGTTGAAAGAAGCTAAGTTGAGTGTATGGTTGATTAGAGCTAGACTTTCCTGTTTTGTGATAAACACTAGTCACGTGAAGTGTGTCACGTGATAGATAAGAGAAGCTTAGTATGTATATAGAATACATATATATATATATAATATGTGTGTTTATATATTGTCTTATTATATATTACATTAGCCTTATTCCCATCTCTCTAATCTATGTAGTTGTCTAATCAGATTGACTATTACCTGTAGTGTGTCCGGGTAACCACTCCGCAATAGGTGATAAAGTCCAATTTGAAAGCAATAGGTGTGCCTATAAATATAATCCATGATCCCAGATTGATTTGGAGTTAGCTCTGCATGTCATGTCATGTCATTGAAATACTCCACTGATAACGAACGGTACCAGGCTCTAGTTGAAAGAGATGAGAAGGCTGTGGGTCATTTCTTCTATTTGGTTAAGACAACCAAGATATATTGTCGTCCCACTTGTTCTGCTCGATTAGCAAAGAAGATCAACATTTTATATGTTACAAGTAGTGCAGAAGCACAAGCAAAAGGTTTTAGACCATGCAAACGATGCCAACCACATTTGGTTGAACTGTGGAACCCTGTGGCAGATATGGTGAAGAAAGCATGCGCTTCTATTTGGTGTCAAGCAAGTCAAAAAATACCTTTAGATATTGAAACTTTATTGGATGAATTAGGATACTCTAAATGGCACTTTTATCGTACCTTTAAGAATTATACAGGAACCACTCCCAAAAGGTTCTATGTAACTTGTTTTTATGATATTGAGAACCCAATGAATCTTGGTCCTTCAATTCCGGAGATAACCACCAAGAAGGGACTTCTACGGAGGAAACATCAACAACAAGCACAGCAGTTATTAATTTAATCCACATAAAAGCCAATCCGAGCCCTAATATTTTGTTGACGGAATCCATTGGAAGGGTATCCCATCTGAGTCCAATCATTTAAGCAATCACGGTATATGGTTGTGGGGGGGACTGTCTTCATTAACATAGATGCTGCAAGCTTATAATCAATGGCATTAAAGATCTTGCTAAACATAACCGGACCCAATAACTCCTTTGCAAGTTGGCATTCCTTTTCAATCCAATACAATAAATATTTTGAAGTTTGATAATCAAAGGGACAAATGGTGATGGGTAAATTGAATTTCACCGATTTACTACCATAAAATTTGACTTTAGTTCGAAGTTCAAATCGTACGGAATAAAGTTTCCCTGAACTAGTGAACCCCTCTGTATGAGTTATGGGTATTCCAAATTGATCAATGACTTCCACGTTACGGAAATTGTTCAACAGAGTAACTATCACCAGAGGATCATTATAAGGGTTAAAATATTGATCTTTTATATCCAAATCTGAAGTGTGGAATTCCAAAAAGTCTCTCAGTAGTGATAAAGGTTTTGAGAATTCATGTTGTATAGGATTTGTAGATAATGGAAGTTCATGAAGTGACCATTCATTACTTGTAGAATAAATTTGCTGTTCTTTATGTCGTGGTAAACCTGAATCATGGCCCTCTAGGATTTCCCAAAGCAGATATGTGATCTCTTTAAGACTAATGTTTTTTCTGTACATTAATTTGGTGATTTTCAATTGAAGATTGATAACATCTCCAGGTCCCACACTGGAACGTGCTAATTGCAGTTCAATAAGTACTTGGGAATCAGGTGACGTACATTTTCTATCGACAGCTTTACCCAACTCTTTATATATGGGTAAGCTATCAAATTGCAGAATCGATATGGGGAATGATTCTTGAAACGTTTGACTTCCAATTGAAGTATGTAATGTAATTTCTATGACTAATTTTGTCCAAGCCAAAGCCTTCCAAGTTGGGAAAGTCCCACTACTGACAATATCTTTTGGTAGGAATATTCTTAGGGGGATGTCACAACCTATCATTTGTTCGTATGGCGTTCCCTTGGGGCTACGGAAGACATTAGCATCATGAAAGAGGGTATATTCATGTTGACAATTATGTGCACCAAAGTTCAGCGGTACGGCTACTCTTTGATGAGTAATAAGTTTCACTTGAACCCTTTGAAGATTAAAAGTATTCCCAGGAATTCGATGTCGTATTAAGACCAATGTTTCTATTCGAGGTATGGTTCCTTGGACCCCCGGATATCCCCGGACGTCAGTGGTTCCGGTTTCCCTTAATGTGATTGTCACCGGATCAGGCTCTGCTATTGGAGGCATCGTATGGTGGTAAAGATGATGGTGAAGAATCCGAGTATGGATTGTTTGTTTAGATTACTTGAGATCAATGGCTGAGTTTATACAGGAGCGGCGAAGAGAGTCAAGTGTAGTTATAATTGAAGAGTAGAACGTAGTGTAACATACATGGTGTAACATATAAGACGTAGCATATGTGACATATCATATGACGTGTCATAAGTATATTGGTATGAGTTTTGTATCAGTTACATATGTTTGTTTATGTTTGTTATATGCTTGATTGAATCAATAAATGTCGTATAAATGTCTCTTCTATAAAACTCCAGGTAAAACGGCCCATTGAAGTGAATATTGGTAGCCAAACCTTTGCCTATAGTATTTATGGGTCTCCAATGCAGAGATGGATAAATTGGTAAATACAAATGCAAAGGCCATCAAATAATTAATGGTGATATTATCACGTTTGATTTCTGCCTTAGCGACATTCTTAACACTAATAAGGAACATCAACAAATAGATAGCCATCTCTGAAGTATAATGAGGACTGGAGATGTATTTGAAGTTGGGAAGAGTATACTTCCGTAATGTAGCCAAGTGTTGATGACTAACAAATTGCCACATGGATACGCCCACAAAGATCCCCACCAAGATGTAATCCTTGTAATGTAAGTGGTTTCTGATATCGATCTTTGTGTTTAAACCAGCATGATAATAAGGCACAAGACTGAGAAAGTTGTTGAAGGAAACCAAGGCATAGAATGAAATCCCCACAAGATAATGAAGAAAGTTTATTCTGGAACCTTTGCCAAAACGAGTAACAAAGAAGGATTCGCCGGTTCTTCTTATGGCTTGTAATAAAATCAAATGGTTTATAAGGAGGTAATTTTTATATTTAAGAGGCAGAATAATTCTCAGTGGATTCATCAACAGATAAACAAAATCGACCACTGGTTTATTATTAACCAATGTCCATTTTAAAAATAATGTCGTTACAAGGTAAAACACGTAGTAATGACTAAACCATGATTTAGGTACGGTGATTGATTCTAATTGTTCAACTGTTTCTGTTATCACGCCGCCATCGCCACCATTACTCTTATTCCTTTTATTGCCAGTGGTCTTTCCATAAAGAAGAAGATCGTTCAATGGAGCATAAAGCTTAATAACTAAAGGTCCAGCAAGTATTGCTCCAAATGCAGCAGTCACCAAGTTCTCAATATACATGTTGATAATATTAATGTTAGTTAGATGTATTCACCAGTCATACTCCACACGTACATATATATATATATACATATATATATATATAATTATGAGTTGACCCCACGATGGTTATAACCGTATTTGGAGTAGTTGGATTTGGAAATTGCTTAAACAGGAAATTTTTATCACCGACACATGCAAATAAAACCCATCTGGTCAATGGTAAGGCCAGCATCATACATCACTAAGACTGCTATTAGTAGAGACAGCACTAATAGAAGCAGTGCTTCCCCTACCCATTGTTACAACCAACTTGTACCTCAGCCTACTGCTGTTACTATTACTAGTGTTCAAAGAACAGGAGTTGTCATAAATTACTGTTACTTACATTAAAAACTCTGATCTGTACGTTCTATTCGTTTTCTTATCATTGCTGCCTTCTCATTCTCCCTCGCCTTGACTACTGTTACTACTGCTACTCTTGACAGGGTCTTTCCCTGCATGATTGTGACCAAATCCGAGGTTCTTGCGACCTACTTGGATTCAAATAGCAAACCTCCACTCTTGGAAATGTGCAAGGCAGTTTGTTGCTCGTCCTATTACGTAATATATACTCAGCATAATTGATAGACTCTACTTCCTTCTTTGTATTTTATTACGTAAGTGATAGACACGCGCTCTTTGATACACAAAGCCATGCCAACCACAAGAGCCGGGCTTACTTATTGCCGCATTTCATTTTCGCCGGTACCGGAGATGAAGGTAGATTGGCATAACTGTATATCCACTTCCATCACAAGTTCCCACCAAACAATAATCCTAGTGCGTAGCTCATAGTGCGTAACAGTTTGTCGTTATGAGCACCCACCCCCCGTTTCCAATATATTGTTTATTTATTATTAGGTTGCAAGTAAGTATGAGTCAGTGAATCATAAGGGCTTTGAGTAATAAACCTCCCCACAATTCCAAAGAGGCTAGTGTACAGTTCCAATCACCTGGACAAGCCACCGTACATAATTTATAGGACTGGCCGCTAGTCCGCTAATCCCTTGAATAACCGATCCCTGTCTATATGCCTTTAAAAATGTAGTAAAACTAGGTACAATTCGGCATTGGAAACCTTTATACTCCACAAATGGCCCACTCACGTGACCAAAGCTGTCCCACAGGTGATTGAAAAATTTTATAGAGTGGGGTGGAAACACCTATGAGTAATAGTAGTCTTAACCTTCAGGATAATAATATATTTAAATCACCCAAAAGGTCGCTTTGAAGAAGAGAATACCAGAATTTGTTTCTTAAGCATACCAATATAGGAAACTGTCTTTATTAGTTACTGTCTTGCCCGTACATCAATATGCCTATGTTAGCAGATCCTTCCGTCAAGTATAAGCCATACCCTCAAATCAACTTACCTAACCGTCAGTGGCCTACAAAGGTAATTTCGAAACCTCCAAGATGGCTTTCGACCGATTTGAGAGATGGGAACCAAAGTTTACCTGACCCCATGTCTTTTGAAGAAAAGAAGGAATATTTCCATAAATTGGTGGATATGGGGTTTAAAGAAATCGAAGTGGCTTTCCCTAGTGCATCTCAAGTTGACTTTGACTTCACCAGGTATGCTGTTGAAAGTGCACCTGCTGATGTTTCTATCCAAGTTTTATCTCAATGTCGTGAAGATTTAATTAGAAGAACCATTGAATCCTTAGTTGGTGCTAAGAAAGCCACCGTTCATATTTATTTGGCCACTTCGGATTGTTTCCGGAATGTTGTGTTTGGAATGCTGCAAGAAGAATCGCTTGCTTTAGCTGTGAAATGCACCAAATTAATCAAATCCTTAACTAAAGATGATCCTGCTCAACAATCTACTGAATGGGATTTTGAGTTCTCTCCAGAAACATTCTCAGATACTGACCCTGACTTTGCAGTTCAAGTTTGTACTGCTGTTATGGAAGCATGGGAACCAACTAAGGAAAAGCCTATTATCTTTAACTTACCAGCAACTGTTGAAATGGCTACTCCAAACATTTATGCTGATCAAATTGAATATTTCTCCACACATATCCCCAACAGAGAAACAGTTTGCATATCTTTACATCCTCATAATGATAGAGGGTGTGCTGTTGCTGCTGCAGAATTAGGTCAAATGGCAGGTGCTGACAGAATTGAAGGATGTCTTTTTGGGAACGGTGAAAGAACTGGTAACGTTGATTTGGTTACCTTAGCTTTGAACTTGTACACTCAAGGTACCCACCCCAAATTGGATTTCTCTGATATGAGTTCTGTGATTGATATCGTGGAAAAGTGTAATAAGATTCCTGTTCCTGCCAGAGCACCATATGGAGGTTCGCTTGTTGTTTGTGCCTTCTCTGGATCTCATCAAGATGCTATTAAGAAGGGATTCAATGCTTATTCCAAACAAGTCAAGGAATCAGAGGGGAAAAATGTCCATTGGAGATTACCATATTTACCATTGGATCCAGCAGATATTGGTAGAACTTATGAAGCTATCATTAGAGTCAATTCTCAAAGTGGAAAAGGTGGATCTGCTTGGGTCATTCTACGTAACTTGGAATTGGATCTCCCCAGAGGCTTACAGGTTGCGTTTTCCAGAGTTGTTCAACAAAGAGCAGAAATCAAGGGTCAAGAATTATCCAATCATGAATTATGTGAATTGTTTAAGAAGGAATACTTTATTGATTATTATGATAATTCTGATACCAATGATTACCAATATAGATTGATGGATTATTCTCTTACTGCTAGTAAGCAAACCAGAAAGATTGAAGTTGATTTGGAAATAAATAACAAACCAATCAAGATCGCCGGTGAAGGTAATGGTCCTATCTCCGCTTTCTCCAATGCTATCTCTACCGGGTTAGGAATTGACATTGTGGTGAAACATTATAGTGAGCATACTTTAGGTGAAGACTCAGATTCTCGTGCTGCCACTTATATTGAAGTATTGTTTGAGGGTAAGATTACCAAATGGGGTGTTGGTATTCATGAAGATGTTTCCCAAGCTTCTTTCCTTTCTATTATTTCCATCTTGAATGGGTTGCATAAAGACAAGCACATCTGAATAGATTATGTCGTTAGTTAAGTAAATAAAGTGTCTCAAGTGTATTTTATGTCACGTGATTTAATACTGTTTTCCATTTCAATCACGTGAGTGATCAGTCACGTGAGTGATTGATGAACCCCACGTAAATTACAGTATACAAGAAGGTACGACTTCCGTTTCCTCATGAGTCTTCTATATCATGACGACAGATAACCAAACGGACGACGCGTCTTCAAGCATAGCAGATGCATACAAACAACTAGCCAGCGCCGAAAAACAGGCAGATAACCTAGAGCGGATGTTAGAAAGTCTACAGGCCAAAATGGATAGCATACTAGAAGAAGCTGAAAGAATGGGACAAGTTAAAGAGACAGAGAGTGAAAGTGAGCTAGTGTCCGGTGAGTCAGAGTCCGACAGTAAGTCCGATAGTAAGTCCGACAGTAATCCCGATCCAAGGTCCGAGTCCGAACCAATATAAAGTACAGTATATATATTAATAATATTATTAATAGTACAATCTTATCTAATCATCTCTAATAAAGTACTCTTCTTTATAAACTCTGGTTTATCTGTTTGTTCAAATGGGTTAATGGGTAAGAATGGATTCACCACAAGTGGATCATGAACCAATTCATTGTCGTTATCATTCAACTCCTTTATGCTCATCTTAACGGATTTATTCCCATCAAGCCACCATTTCCTGGAATCGGTGCTGGGAGGTGGTAATGCCTTATCGTTATCATTAAACACCAAATAGGATAAGTCATCCTTCTTGAAGATCGTGGTATTAAGATCAATCCCACTTACTCGGTCTAAAGCCAAGTTACTCTTATTATTGGACGCACTCAACGAATGGACACTCACTTCAAAAATCCCATAAACTGGACGATGATCTGAAAACTTGACGGTAGGACAACTATTATAAACCTTCGGAGTTAACACCTTCCCCTTGGATAAACTTAAAATCCGATCGGTCCATGCTGGGATTCTTTGCTTCTCACTGGTATCATAAATGTCACTGTCTAAGTCAAACTTATACGTTGGAGGAAAGGTGATTTCCATCTCATCATAGAATGGGAATGTGATTCCATTGGCCATTTGCATATGTAATTGATCAAACTCAAATAATCGGGAATATTGTTTCCTTTCTATTAAAGGTTTCACTTGTTCATTGGGTAATCCGATTCTATAATTGAAATCTCCTAACCAAATCACCGCATCATGATCTTTGGCTGATCTATTCTTCAGAAATCTAAACCCTTTAACCAATGTCTTATAATTCTGATGTCTTTCATCTATATTGCTTAACCCAGCAGCCAAATGACATGAAACTAAACATATCAGAGTATCATTGAAACAAAAACTGACAGCTACTCCACCTTTATTAGCTGCCATCCCTCCTAATCCTGTTTTCTTAACATTACCTTCAACTCCACGTATTTTATCCACTTGTGATTCCTTCACGAAAAGGAAAAGAGCAGTGGTTCCAAGCATACCCACCCATAAACTCACATATTTAATTCCCAATGGGTTTTCATCTAATGTACTTTTGATCTTATTCTCCCAAAACCTAGCCTTCCCAACATCACGAGATGGGATTTGCCCTGTGGTTAACTCAACAACTTCTTGAATCCCAATAAATACAATATCATATGATACTTCCCCTTCAGTGTTAGTTGGATATATCCATTCAGTTATGCTGGTGGTAGGACATTTCCCACTAACGTTAAATGTTCCAGCAAATAACTTGATCTGTTGGGTAGGAAGAACACTCTCAGTATTTGCATCATCAACTTTGGCTGCGGTATTCCTTCTATCTATTTCTTGTAATAAATCAAGAATTGGACTGAATAACGTCACACTTACTTGATCTGATTTCCTTCCTAGCATCTTTAACATAGCAGTATCATTCCCCTTGTTATCTGGAACCACTCCACTAAGATATTTTGCTGAAAAATGAGATTTGACAGTATTATTAACCGCATGAACTGCCAATTTACCAAAATTAGTAATATAACTAGTGGTTAACCTTGTGATTTGATAATCATTTTCTTCCCATAATTTTGCATGATGTGCAATAATCTCTGTATTTGATTCCAAGGTGATCCCCATATCCTCTATGGCCAATTCAATTACTCTTTGACAAATCACTTTGGATATAAAACTTGCTTTATGTAAGTTGTCAAAGGAATTCACTCTGAAAACTCCCAATTGTCTTCCTGTGAAAGTATTATCTGATATCCCATAGAAATACGCTCCAAAATCCACTACTCTATCATTTATTATGGAGATAATGTTATGTGGATTGACAGATGTGAAACCAACTTTCTTAACAAATGCTTTGCTAACATGTAGATCTATTTCAAATAGTCGATAATTCCCAGCATCATTCTTTAATGCAATAAACTTCTCAAGATGTTCTTTATATTTTTTGCTTAATTGGCTCTTGTACGAAGATTCATCCGAAGTTAACCCATTGACCACAGCAATATCACCAAAATTATAAGCCAACCCATCAAAATGTCGACCAAGTGCAAGTTGAGAAGTTTCGAAAGATCTGGGGAACCTCATCTTCTTGCTAGACTTGGATACAGCGATAAGAATATTCCGCTTACTGAAATGAGTTTCCGTTTCATAGAAAATAGGCACATTTCCTCGTACAACAACATATGCAAAACAAAATTTATGGGTATAGATGATGATTTCTGTCTCCATATAATTTGCTACTTCACCTTGATCATCTATACCCCATTCTCCAAATAAATGACCACTTTTCAAGCATGCTTGCTTTGAGATCATGGTAATCAATGCATCTTCATTATTAATAACTGAATTCAAAGTTTGAGCATATCCTCTTGATATTGGAGTAATAAACCCTCCTGTATCAAACATTTCCTGTTCTATTGGAGGAAGTTTCTTTCTGAAATCTATCAACTCCAATGTCATATATCTATTCCACATAAACCGTTTACAATAAGGTCCATCTGCCCGTAGTTTAAACAAGGGATTGGCCTGATACCCTCTTTCCTGCATTGTCAGGGTGATATCAAACGAAGGAGAATAGAAAAAATCTCCCAGAGATATGAGTTTCTTTACGGAATGAGCTAGAGACTCCCCCTGATCTAGGTATTCGTCTGGGGCATTCGGTCTTCCAATATGTCTCCCGTTATTATTGTTATATTCTTGGAACGTTACAAACTGGTCAAAGGCATCCAGTTGTACACAAAAAAACTCAACACCCGTGATTCGATGAACGGTGTCGTGTAATGTGGGAGACGCTATGGTTTCATCACCAGTGATAAAACCTAGTAAAATATTATTTTTGATCAGTAAAAACCCTAAAAACCCAAGCATTTGTCCATTTCGACGACTGGGGACAATCTCTTTATAGTTGGCCAAATTCAAGATTTCCGTATTACAAAACTCCACTATAACAGCGGGAACCTCCTCCACTTTCTTCCCTCCATTACCATCTTCCTTGTACGTGGGGTTGGGATGTCTTATCACTAAGGCGTACCCATTGCTAGTGAGAATAAAAGTCCTCGGTCTTTGGTTAAGATATAGTCTCATGAATCAGATGTGTATGCTTCGTTATGCTTATAATAATAATGAGGATAATAATAATAACGAGTGTGGCTTATACTTTTGACTGTTTGTATTGAAGTTAACGGTTGATTTGAGTATCAAAATGTCCTGTATATAAACTGGTGATATAAAGCTCATACCAAGTTGTACATATAGTATGTAACTGTCTATTTAATTCTTCTTTCTATTTCTTAAATGCGAATCTGGAATCCAATCTTTGCTTTTAACTTGTGACTGTTTTTTCAGCAACTTATTCTTAATCTTAGATGTTTGTGTCAGGGTCCTGAACCCCCTCAATCTTGATTGGATATATGACTTCCCCCAAAGTTCATAGCCAAGATATGCTAACCCAAGTACTGAAACAACCAAGAGCAATTCCAACAGAAGAAATTGAGGGTCAATCACTGAAAGTTCTTCATCTTCAACATTAATCATCTGAGCTCTGGCTTGAACCATCCGAGGTTGTTCATTAACCATAATATACAATTGAGGGGTGAAAATATAAGCTTGAGGCTCCAAGTGGATTTCAACTTTTTGAATCAATTTATGTTTATCACCAGGATCTAATCTAATCTTTCTTTCCAATGGAGTTATAGAAATATTGGCCTTAACAGTTAAGTCATTCACATCACGTATAACTCCCCCAGTCCCGGCAACAATAATAACCGACTCTTCTTCCTTATTGACCAATTCGTATACAATATCAACAACTTGACCATTTTTAAATTCGGCAAACTCACGAGGATTAAGGGTTTCATATCCATCTATATGATAAAATGCTGTGAACCCAACAAATTGAGCCCTTTTATCCTTCATTTCAGGCATAAACTGTTTAATAGCTTCAGTCCCATTATCGTATCCTTTGAAATCAATCACATCTCCAGATTGGGCACTTCCTTCAACCAATGCAGGGCTTGGCTTGTATGGACCTTCACCACCATACTCTTGAGTGAATTCAACTCCCAAGGCAATTCCGGCCACAGTTGCCAAACCTGCAAATAAACTCAAGACTTTCATTATAACAAGTTAATGAAACAAGTCTGACTGTTATTGATAACAATAGCTGGTGGAATATTTACTGCACATCGGTTGTTGGTGAGACACGTAGACATTTACCTTGACGTTTTGTGACCCGCAGGTAATTTTTCAGCGCGACATTAACGACATCTATCAGATCACCCCAGAGACATTTAATACAGAGCATTAGATTATAGTTGACGGTGCATACTTAAAGGTGAATACTTGTGTTGGTCTATGATATGTGGAGTCGATGGCATAGACCGTTGGCAATAAGACGATATTCTTCTAAATGGCATGTACGTAACATAAAAGAGCCATTGACTAAAGTTGAACTAAAGGCCTCAAAGATACAACAAGATAACCAGAAACAGCAGATCTTAAGTCAAAACTATAAAGCTAAAGCTCAACAGATATGGGAGTGGGCTCTTGAAGACAAAGACACTTCCTCGTTATTTAACGAAACTACTACTAATGTTCCGTCGTATCCTCATCCTGTGACTAACTATAATGAGCTTCGACTGGAAGTTGGATCGTTAACATACTCCAATAAACAATTGGAGTCTATCATGTTATTTGTTGCTACCTATTGGATTAATACTGTGATAGTAGAGTTAAATATACGTAAACTATTCCAAGATAAGCAAGTGGTCCAGAAACTACCAGCATCTTCACTTATATGGAGAGAAAACTTGCTCTACAATATAAAGGATCCTATTCGGAAACCAGAGATAATGAACTTATTACAAGAATTAGTTGGGAAGGAATTTGAGAATGAGAAAGCAATATCAAAATTGTTGGATGGGAACCAACTTGGGGGGTTTGGTCTAGGAGAAGAATATGGTACTTCAGAGTGTTTCAACTCATTACAAGTGTTGAGAACCTTTTACCATAATTACAGAGCTCTGTCTGACCATTTTGGTTATCCTGAATCAGATGTCATTGCTGAGCTTAAATCAGAAACATTCATTAAATTTGAATCTCCTCATATCGATTCTTCAGAATATGAATTGCTTATTGCCAATGCATTTGAGAAATATCATTCAACGGTTAAAAGAAACCCACTTAATAGTCGATTAGAACTAATCCTTTCACTTTCATCAGGGTTACTTCGAGGCTCAAAATTCACTCCTTCATTATCAATATTCAAATTAATCTTAGATAAGCTTGGCCAGGCTGGACTTTTCAATTACCAATCCATAGTCTTTGATGCCCTTTGTTCTCCAGATTGGAGTAGATCACTACTTGGGACTCCTGTTGAAGATACCAATGTTATAACTATTAAACCTGGTCGTATTGCAGCTCAATATAGAAATTTGGTCCAATCACATCCTGAATTTTTAACCAGTTTAATGACTTACGCAGCAGACCGGAAAGATGAACTACTTTTCCTAGAGTTTCTTGCATTTTTAAGACTAGAAGATACCATTGAACATGAAAAGGTGTTACGACGTTCAATCTACTCCAATATCATTTCCAGATCACGGTTCCCCACCCCGGCCAATATCTCCCTACATCCAGTGGTGTATCAATCAGTCAATCCCATTATGGTTGACATTGAAGTGATATATGAAGCCATAAGGCTTGCCATTGATTTAAACAAGTTCGAGTATATTGATTTACTTATCAATAAGCTTCTTGCCCATTTGGTTATGGAGAAACCATCTGGACACCTCAAACTTATTCTTTTCTATGGTGATGTGAATATAGTTGATAATGATAAGTTTCAAGTTGTTCTTGGTATACCGGAGATGCGGTCACGTGATTTTGGTGGTTACATATTTACCAAACAATTGATAAAACTTGTGTTGAAAGCTGCTAGGAAATCCGATGACGTGGGCCGATTAATGTGGTTGATTCCACATATCGATAACTACTTAGCCAGTGTTTTCAATGGGTGTGTTGAGCATTTGAATGACATGGACGAATTTTTGCGGTGCTTCAATAAGTCTCAAATTGGAACTAAAGAGTACACCAAATTCATGACACAAGATATCAACTCACCTATTGATATTTGTTTTATCAATGAGCTTAGTCAAACGCTACGAGTACTTGGGATTGAGGGGAAATGGAATACATATAATGAGTTATTGGATTTTGATAGAGTTGATGTCGAGCAGGTTGTTAAGACCAATAAGGAAGTGGAGTGTCTTAAGCAAACAATGAAGTAACTACTGTAAATACTATGCTCTGTAAATACTATGCCCTGTAAATACTATGCTATATAAATACTATACTATGTAAATACTATACTATGTAAATGTTATACTATATAAATACTATACTATGTAAATGCTATACTATGTAAATGCTATACTATATAAATACTATACTATGTAAATGCTATACTATAAACCACATACAAATGCATACAATACAGAGCCCCATGCATGTTATCTATTACTCCCCATAAGACGTCCCAATTAGGCAGCTTATTACCCGTATATACAGCCATATGTATTACGTGTACTACTTCCCATACAAAATCGTGCCTTACGGTGTAGGCATGACTCCTATGCTTATTAATGGAAAGACTTACTCAAAACCGCACAGATTATTTTTTCAGATTCAACCGTTATCGTTCTTCTTTTGCCTCTCACATCTGAGCTTCTTTTAGTAGTCCTGTAACTCTTGTACTGATACCATTACTGCTGCTGCCGCTGTTGTTTTGACTATGGAAGCGTATCAAGCAACGCCGTTTGCCACCGATAACTGGCACCATTGGACGTGGATGGCTGCTTCTGGTGTGCTTAGCTCCCCGAAAAAGGGTAAACATTCTAAACATCAACACTCCTTACCAAACTTCCGAAATGCTATGGCATCTGATTGGCTCTCGTGTTCCAGTAAGGAAGGTTGGGGTCCGTTGCTGGCTAAGTACAGTGATTTGACTCCTTGTTTCGTTCAAGGAGTAATGACGGGTTTATGTGCATTGTTTATGGTGATATTTGGAACGTATCAAATCATTACTCTTAGACAACGTAAACAATCTTCAAATAGAGTCAATTGGGTGTTTTATTCCAAATTAACGTTAGTGTCTCTCCAATTGATCTTTCTGTTTGCTCTAATTATCCATGATTTAGGTGGTGCCAGTATCATTCAATTGGCCTTATTGTCGAATTTTGTTGCTCAATTGGTTGCCTTGGGGTTACATTACATTGAACAGTTCAAAGCAGAAATCCCTAATGGTATACTTTTATTCTATTGGTTATTCCAAGGTATCATAGGATTTCTTACCTTCTTTAGTTTGAAGTTAAGAAACCAATTAAACTCAACGGAATCTCATATCGGTATCTTGGCTACAGTTAATGCCTTGCTTATCTTGTTCTTGGAACTGTATTTCCCCATGAAATCATCCAAATCTTATATCAAACAATTGGATGAGTCACCCTATGATAAAGCAGATGTCTTTTCCCGTATTACGTTTGCTTGGATGGCTCCACTTATGAAAAAGGGTTACGAACAGTTTCTTACTGAAGATGACTTGCCTGCATTGCCTAGGGCTTTACGTGCTGAATCTACTTCAGAAAGGTTCTATCATTTTTGGAATCGTCAAGCTGTCAATCATAAATCTTTAGTTAAAGCTGTGGCCCAAGCATTTGGGTCTCCATTCATAATTGCTGGTGTTTTCAAAGGTCTGCAAGATCTTTTGGGGTTTGTTCAACCTCAATTGTTGAGATTATTGATTCAATTCGTTAATGACTACGCCAACTCCCTTAAGGAAGGTGAACCTATCACCTTGACGAGAGGATTGATGCTTTCTGTTGGTATGTTTTTAGTGGGTCTCACTCAAACTGGATTTTTACATCAATATTTCCAAAGAGTCTTTGATTTGGGTATGAAGATCAAGACTGCATTGACTTCTGCTGTTTATAATAAGCTGTTGGTTTTGTCAAATGAATCCAAGCAAGAATCTTCAACCGGTGATATTGTTAATTTAATGTCTGTGGATGTTCAAAGATTACAAGATTTGGTTCAAAATTTGCAAATTGTTTGGTCAGGTCCCTTTCAAATCATTGTTTGTTTATACTCTTTACATGGGTTGGTAGGTAACTCAATGTGGGCAGGGTTCTGTGTGATGCTTATTATGATTCCTATCAATGCTATTATGGCAAGATACTTGAAGAACTTACAAAGAACTCAAATGAAATACAAGGATGAAAGATCTAGATTAACCAGTGAAATCTTGAACAATATTAAATCTTTGAAATTATATGGATGGGAAACACCTTATTTGGAACGTCTTCAACACGTTAGAAATGATAAAGAATTGTCAAACTTGAAAAAAATGTGTGTCCTTGGAGCTTTCACATTCTTCTCCTGGAATTTGGCTCCCTTTTTGGTTTCTTGTTCCACTTTTGCTTGTTATATTCTTTTTGAAAAGAAGAGTTTAACCACTGATATTGTTTTCCCAGCTTTGGCATTGTTCAACATGTTGTCTTTTCCCTTGGCAGTTATCCCAATGGTTATTACTAACATTGTAGAGGCTCAAGTGGCAGTTTCCAGATTAACTAAATTTTTAACTGCTGGTGAATTACAAGATGATGCTGTAATTAGACTTCCCAAAGCTACTAGAGATGGAGAAACTGCTGTTTCCATTAAAAATGGTACTTTCTTATGGTCAAAGTCCACTAAAGATGAAAATTATAAGGTTGCCTTATCCAATATTAATTTGGATTCCAAAAAGGGTGAATTGGATTGTATTGTTGGTAAAGTCGGTTCTGGTAAATCCCTGATCATCCAAGCTGCATTGGGTGATTTATATAAGTTGGATGGTGAAGTCAAAATCCGTGGGAAGGTTGCTTATGTTGCTCAAGTTCCATGGATTATGAATGGAAGTGTTAAAGAGAATGTTTTATTTGGTCACAAGTATGATCCTGAATATTATGATAAGGTTATGAAAGCTTGTGCTTTGAATGTTGATTTGAAAATCTTACCTAAGGGAGATCGTACTGAAGTTGGTGAAAAGGGTATTTCACTTTCTGGTGGTCAAAAGGCAAGATTGTCACTTGCTAGAGCTGTTTATGCAAGAGCAGATGTTTACCTTTTGGATGATCCATTGAGTGCTGTTGATGAACATGTGGGTAGACATTTGATTGACCATGTTTTGGGTCCTAATGGTATCTTGAAATCCAAGTGTAAGGTGTTGGCAACAAATAATATTGGTGTTCTTTCTTTGGCAAACAATTTACTCATGGTTAGCGATGGTAGATTGATCGAACGTGGTACTTATAGCGAGATCATGACTCAAGAGAACAGTAAATTGTATCAATTGATTAAAGAATTTGGTAGAAAGCAAGTTGAAAAGCAACAGGAAGAAGGTAAGAAGGCTGAAGATGATCAAGATGAAGAAGAAAAGGATGCTGTTGATCCTGATAACTTGGATTCCGACTGTGATTTTGATATTCAAAGTTTGCGTAGAGCGTCAGATGCTTCTATCAATGCTGAAACCATGGAATTACTTCGAGTTCAATCTCATGATGATGAAGCGAAGGCAAGAAAGGAACATTTGGAACAAGGTAAGGTCAAATGGTCTGTGTATCTCGCTTATGCTAAGGCCTGTAATGAGCGTAATGTTGGAATCTTTTTCTTTACTACGGTAGTCAGTACCTTCCTCAGTGTTATGGCTAACGTTTGGTTGAAACATTGGTCTGAAATCAACACCAGAAAAGGTTACAACCCTCATGTTGGTAAGTATTTGGGTATCTATTTCTTGTTGGGTATTTGTTACTCTGCATCCAGTTTGTTCCAGTCACTTTTCATGAACATTGTTTGCAGTATCCGGGGATCTAGAGTGTTGCACGATAACATGGCATTACGAGTTTTGAGAGCACCAATGACCTTCTTTGAAACCACCCCCATCGGAAGAATCTTGAATAGATTTTCTAATGATGTTTATAAGGTGGATGAAATTTTAGCCAGAACTTTTGGTATGTTCTTCAATAATGCTACAAGAGTTATGTTCACTATAGTTGTCATTTGTATCTCCACTTGGCAATTCATCTTTGTCATTATTCCATTGGTGTTCTTTTACGTTTATTATCAACAGTATTATATGAGTTCATCCAGGGAATTGAAGAGATTGGACTCTGTCACCAGATCTCCTATTTATGCCAACTTCCAAGAGTCTTTAGTGGGTGTTGCAACCATTAGAGCCTATGGTAAGGATGAAAGATTTATGCGTTTGAATGCCCTTAGAGTTGACAAGAACATGAGAGCCCAATATCCTGCTATCAACTGTAACAGATGGTTAGCTGTTAGATTGGAAACTCTTGGTTCCATTATTATTCTTGCTAGTTCTGGTTTGGCCATCTTGACATTGAAGTCAGGTCATGTTTCTGCCGGTATGGTTGGTTTATCTGTATCTTATGCACTTCTGATTACCCAATCATTGAACTGGATTGTGAGAATGACTGTTGAAGTTGAGACCAACATTGTTTCAGTCGAGAGAATCTTGGAGTACTCTGAATTGAATGTGGAAGCTGCTGAAGTCATTGAAGACAACAGACCACCCACATCGTGGCCATCTGAAGGTGCTATTACTTTCAGAGACTATAGTGCCAAGTACAGACCCGAGTTGGATTTGGTATTGAAACATATTGATTTGGATATCAAGCCCCGTGAGAAGATTGGTATTGTTGGGCGGACTGGTGCAGGGAAATCATCGATTACTTTAGGACTTTTCCGGATTATAGAGAAGTTTGGTGGTGATATAGTTATTGATGGCATTGAAACCAGTTCCATTGGATTGGGTGATTTAAGACATAAATTAAGCATTATCCCTCAAGATTCTCAAGTGTTTGAAGGTTCAATCAGATCCAATCTAGACCCCACAGATGAATACACTGATGAGGCTATTTGGAAGGCCCTTGAATTGTCACATCTCAAATCCCATGTTGAAACCATGTACGAGAATACTGAAGAAAAGGAGTCGTTGAAGAGTCCGTTGGACGTTAGAATCTCCGAAGGGGGAAGCAACTTGTCTATTGGTCAACGACAATTGATGTGTTTGGGTAGAGTGCTTTTGAAGATGAATACTACAAACATCTTGGTGTTAGATGAAGCTACTGCTGCAGTTGATGTGGAAACAGATAAAATTTTACAAGAGACCATCAGAAAGGAATTCAAGGAGAAAACTATCATCACCATTGCCCACAGATTGAACACTATTTTGGATTCAGATCGTATTATTGTATTAGAGAAGGGTGAGGTTGCAGAGTTTGATTCTCCTCAGAACTTGTTGAAGAATAAAGACTCTTTATTCTATTCTTTGGCCAAACAAGGTGGGTTCACCGATTAAACTAATGGTCACTGCGTTTACGCAATGTGCTGGTATAATATAATGGATAAAAGTCGTCTCTAGATTCCACGAGACATTCATTTGCGTCTGATATGTTAGTCAAAGCTTTTGATTGTTCCTGTTGTTGCAATAAGCCATCATCAGCAATAGCAAATCCGGCCAACAACTTGTGCTCATCTTCAGTGTCGAAACATGCAATCAATTGGTTCTTTAGTTTATCTAAAGTAATATCAACAATGGAATGTTGCGTAGTCAAAGTCTGGATGTGGTTGACCTTGAAACCATCGCCAGCATCAATCTTAAATCCATTTATACATTTGGTGTTTTCACAGACAACGTAGAAATATTCCGCGTAGGAAATAATGTTGGAGACAGTCACCTCTTTGACGGAGTCTTCAGTTAAGAATCTCTCTGGTGGTAAATGAGAGTCATTCAAGAATGGTTCTATCAAGGTTCTTATGTCCACTTGATCTAAAAGCTTATTGTCGTACCAATTCCAGAGAAGCACATAATTATCCCCCCCACCACTTATCAACAAGTCTCTATTGAACTCAGGAATCACAAGAGACAGAATGAATTCACGATGACCAAATAACCATGACTTGATAACATATGATTTGGGGTAGTTGGTCACTCTAATGTGTTCATCTCTATCAGCAGTAAGAATAAAGGACTTACCATCGTCTCTGGTGGTTATCAACACATCAGACAACATAGAAACATGGCCGAGAATAGGGGCTAGGGCCTTATCTTCCACTGGTTCATTCAGATCAATGGATACGGTGTAAACATCACCAAACTTATCGGCCACCACGACGACTTTGTCGTTCTGGGAAACAGCACACGGCCTCTTGGGCAACACTTGACGTTTTATGAGGCACAAACAGTTTCCAATGTTATTCGAAAAGTCAATTCTAAATATCACAACAGCCTTATCACTGTCTGTAGTACCAACTAAGATATCATTACGTACACTCAATGAACGGATGTAGTTGTATAATGGTGGAGCTCCTAAACCGGGAACAGGGATCTTGGGTATTTTGATTGGGGTTTCATCGTTGGTCTTCAACTTCTTCTCTGACAATTGCTTGATTTTCTCCTCTTGTTGTTTCTTTAATGTTACACTTTTGTCTAGTGGGTCAATCCAATGACCAATGCGTTGACCGTCTGTATTGAACACCAGTATTTCATTCTTCACAGACGTGAACACGTGGCCATCTTGGTCACTTAGTACAATCTGGAATGGATGCTTCATGTTGTGCTGTGTCGATACTGTTGAAGCTGGTCAGCTCACCGTTAGAGGGTTGCCCGTTAATTTTTTTCTCTTTATAATTCTCGATGAGATCACGTGTTGAGGCACGTGACTCCTAAGCTTTCCATTTGAAAGTAGGCCAACTCCAGCCCTTGGGATTGGATTGATCTGTAGCATTAGACAGGCCCAGTATACTTTCAAATGAAGATTCATTGGTGTTGGCATTGATTGAAGAAGAAGCGGCAGTCTCTGACGTGGTTGTTGATGCAGTGTCTGAAGCCTCAATAAACTTACGGGCTTTATGTTCTGGGTCTGATTTTGATGTAGTAGAAGCACCCGCTTGACGTTTCAGGAACCAATTTGGCAATTTAAAGTTGGAAGAACCTGATTTGGAGCATTCTATACCATAATGATGAGGAGTAATGAAGTTGAAAATAAATTCATCGGCAATTAAATTCCATATTTTGCAATTTTTGGTTTCCTTCCATAAGTCCACAAACCTTTGATTGAAAAGAGAAAGGTTCCCCATTTCATTATTTATCTCGAATCCTGGGGGCACGCCATTGAAATTCTCACCATATTGACGAAGTCTTAGTGTCAGTAATAATGAAAGAAGATAATCTTCAAATTTGAGTCGGAGATAATCATCATTGCCCACAAAGTCCGAACTATCGGAGTTGGAGGAGTTGGAAGCATACAACAAATGATTAATAAACTTCTTATCCATATTCAGAAGGTTGAACTCTTCACTCTTACCAGAAGGGAATGTCACCTCATCTGTATCAAGATTGATCAACACATCGACTTGCAACTGTCGAGCTTGATTAAAGATCAATAGGTTAGAAGTCCCCACTAAGAATGACTCACATTTAAGGTTATCTAGTTGTTGTAATGGTAAATAAGGAGCCCACATGGCACCCTTAGTGTCGAATAATTTCAAAGGTAATCCAAAGAATCGTAGCATCGAGTGTCTACTTAAAGTGTTGATAGATGTTGGCTTTCCCAAATTGGTAGTCAATTCCATGAAATCAATAAGTGTAGAACCAGATTCTTGGAGGTTACTAAGTAATCCAGGAATCAAGCTGATAAGGTTATTTTGGAATTGGAATACTTGGGCTAAATTAGACCCTGAAAACACAAGGATCCGTTTCTCAAGAAGCATCATCTTAAAAATAAGAAGGAAATTTGCCTTGAATCTGCTGATATAATCCTTAAGGTTCAAGTTGACAAATTCATCATCCTCTTCTTTATTTATCAATACTCCTGGGCTTCGAGGTAATGGAACATCTTCCTTTGGAGTATATTGAATATTCAAGTCTTCAAACAAATCTTCAAACACCTTGAAGTTGGCCAAGTCCTTCTGTAAGAAATATGATTTAGTAATTATGGATAACTTCTCCTTTATATGGGTGAATATGGGTCTATCTTTAGCAATTACCACCACTGCCTTTTGAACCAATGAACGAGTGATATCTTTATTCTTTGCTCTTTCATCAGGATCCATTTCAGAGGTCTTGATGGTCCCCACACAACTACATCCAAAAAGTGTCATTAATTGCCGTGGATCACCGGAGTAATGAAGCTCATCGTCATGGTCATCAAGACTGGTCAGCTTCTGAGTGTCGTAGACCAAAATGAAATTCGAAAACGTTTCATCATACAAATGTGACCCATCAGGAAGTGCTTGAAACGGCAAGTTCTTAAACAAATTAGGGGTATATTCCGGATGATAATTAGACTTCCACCATTGGATTTCTGGACCTCTTTGATGATGGAAATCAACACAGCATAAGGCAAATATGGGATCATGACTCTTGAATTTGGGAGTCAATGGAGGTGACGCCCCACTAGATGAAAACGACGATGCTCTAACTAAACCAAAACTACGGCGGTTTCTTGAGCCTAATCGTATTGGTTTCATATGAAACGTTTGACTACCTGATCCCCCAATCTCTGATGATGCTGCTGATGATCCCCCACCGTGCGAATCTCTTTTGGCCAAGCGAATAGGACGGAACTCGTCATCACTCTCCATTTCTCTATTTATACCCGTATGTATATATTTATATACTTTATGGACGTCCTCTTGGTTGGATACCTGTTTTGGTTTTGTCTTTCGTTGTCCTTAAACAGCTTAAGTATTGTTTCCTATTTGGTACAGTAAAATAAGGGTATCGCTTGGCGCTACCATTTGGACTTAACAAAGAGCCGGGTAGTCGATCAAAACAACCAAAACTACTACTGCTACTATAAGCCAATACTATGTTAAACAGGTTGAATATAAATAAGGGTCGTGTGATAATCATCCTTAACGGTAGTCCTTGCATTCAAGGACAGCTGCACTGCTTAGAACTTGTGTTGCACCTATAAGAACTCTAACCCTGGATCAGTAAATTGTACCCTCTGATGGACCTTAAAGGTGATTGAGCTGGCTGCAAACCAAGTTCAATACCAGTATAGATTGATGGGCTGCAGTTCTATGGATGGTTAGTATAATGATCGTCATAATAGTCGATTCATGTAGATGTAACAGTAGTCTATGACTATTGGTTTGAAATATATCATGTACCTGTTTCCTTCTCCTCGAGGATTCCTTTGTGGGCAACTTCTTCATTGGGACTATACGGCTCGGAAATCGCCAGATCATTATTTACTTGTGTTGTACTTGAAGCTTTAAACTGAGACCCTTTTTTCTTTCCAAAACTGAAAAAATTAAGCATCTTCTTCAAGTTATTGCTTGATTCCAACTTGCTATTCTTTAACAGCAGGATCCGTTGTCTCTCTGGAACTCTGTGAGTCCCAGAAGAAGATGAAGGAGGAGGTGGATCTTTGGTATGGAATGGTGGATTACTTTTCAGCACCACCAGTTTCTTCTCCTTAAGTTGTGCTTTTAGTTGCAGAATTTCCGTCTGATAATTGAATATCCAAAGATCTTTCTGTAAATTCTGATTCTTTTCTGTTTCCAAATCTTGTTCTAAAAGAACTACTTGTTCCACAAGATCATTGTATTTCCCCTTAAGAGCTTCGATCTTATCCACTAAGGTTCTCTCTCCATCTTCCATTCCTGTTTTATCCATTTCCAATGTCCTTAAAGTGGACCGTTGCAGTTCTAATGCAGTTTCCTTAATGGAGATTTGTTCTTGTAGACGGGCAAGTTCTGCCGTCAACGCATTGTTTCTGTTTCTATTTTCAATGGAAATCGCTTGTATTTTCTCCTTTAATTGTTGATTTTCACCTTCTAATCGACTTACTTCATCTTCAAGTAACGTTTCTAAATCTTTACTGGCTTCCTCAAATGTCTTTAACTCCGTCTCCAACTCTCGAAATCGAGCCACCACTTCCTCCTTTGACATAGCGGTTATGTCATCCCTCAGCCCCATTATTATATACCTACCGTAATACTAACACTAATAACAGTAGTAATAACAGTTGCAAGCAAGATAGCACAATATCAAGTACGTAAACAAATTGTTGTCTCCTGCTTACGTAATAACTTGACGTGTCAAAAACATCCAGTCAAAGTTTCCCACGCATCGCAACGGAAGGGTAACCCCAAAATAAACAAACACAGTTACCCTGACAGAAGTCTCTTGGGTGCAAAAAAAATCATAGCACACACACTTACGTCTTCCTACACACGATGGAAGTAGACAAAGACATTGGAGGAGCTCAGGCATTGCTTCAATTAGGATCCAAGGCCAATGAAGATGAGCCCTCAGGTGGTGACGTTGTTCATGAAGATCAAAATGATTTGGTGGTGCATGAATCAGAAGAAGCTGGAGATGATCATCATGTAACTGGTAGAGATGACGATAAGGATCAAGAGCTTAATGATGCTGTTGAGGCAGCAGTGATGAAATATGTGGGTGGTACACTCAATTCTGGTTCTGGTGATAATGGTCACAATATTCATCATATGAAACTGAGAAGACTACCTGGTGAGTCTAATAACAGGGACGATCCTGATGTACATAATGATCCTAATCACGATCCTGAGTTGGAAAGCGAGCATGCAAAGGCATTGAGGAGACGTAAGTTGGCGAATGAAGAGTTCATGAATGATATTGACCTGTGGGCTTTCTTACATGATAATGTGGCGGATAGTAGAGACAATGATGTTAATGTTAATTTTGATCAAACTTCTCAGTTGACTAATAGTGACGGTGGAAAGAGGAAACGTCGTAGAAAGACCGGTGATGATTTTCGGGATTCCTCGTTACTGAATCTTGAATCTCAAGAACATGAGGATTTGGTTCGTGCTGCTATTATGGATGTCAGAGCTTTGGAATGGTCACATCAACAAACTCCTGAACATGCTACAAATGATGATGAAGCCATGGCACAGGTTGCTTCTCAAGCAGTTGCATCTGTAACTGCTGCGGCTGCTGCTGCGGCTGCTGAAGCTGCTGAACTTGAAAAGAAGTTGAGTATACATCTGCAACAACAACAGCAACAGCAGCAGCAACATCAACATCAACAGCAACATCAACAGCAACAACAAAGGAAAAGAGGAAGAAAGAGACAAAAATTGGATGAAGAAGAAGAAGCTAAAAGTTTAACTCGTGAATGGCCCAACTTAACTCCATTAACAACAGAAGAAGATTTGGTAATTGCTGCTGGACAAATTACTCATGAATGGTTTGATCAAACTATTTTATCTGAAGGTGAAATGGAAGTTGAAGAGTTGGAGAAGTTGGATCCTCAGAGAAAGAAAGATTTGTTTAAGAAACTTGGACCTCGTTATTTCACACCATTGGAAATTGAAGCTGTGGATTATTTTATTCTGGGTTATTGTCATTTGAAGGAGCTTACACGTGAAGAAATTTGTGCCAGAGTATGGACTCATGGTAGATTAAAGGATACATTCTGGATTAATTTAACCAGAGTATTCCCATATCGTTCACGTGCCAGTGTATATAAGCATGTTAAACGTCAATACCATGTATACAACATTAGAGGAACATGGACAAAAGAAGATGATAATTTATTAGGTGAACTTGTTCAAAGTAGACCTGGTAATTGGAAATCTATTGGGGAAACCATGGGAAGAATGCCTGAAGATTGTCGTGATAGATGGAGGAATTATCTTAAATGTGGGGATAATAGAACACTGGATAGATGGACCAAAGAGGAAGAAGACAAATTACTTAAAGCTGTGGTAGAGATACTATCTAAATTAAAAACAGATATTAATTTCCGAGATTATGATAAGAATAAATTACTTAATTGGACAGTTGTTAGTGAGAAAATGGATGGAAGAAGGTCAAGAATTCAGTGTCGATATAAATGGCGTAAATTGGTTAAACGAGAACAGAATGAATTGGCTCAATTGATGTCTCTTCCTCATAAAGTTTGGATGTTTGATATACTTTTACAGTCAGAATATACTCTGTTGGATAAAGTGGATTGGAGTAAGATTGCAGATGAAAGACCTTTTGAACCTAGAAATGAACTTCAGCTGTTACTTACTCGACTGGATCAAGGTGAAGCGTATCGAATTGCATTTGAGAGATTGACTCAAAAGAAACGTAAGACCAGTCCTCGTCTTGAGTTTAAGGAACTTATATCCAAAGTGAGAGAACTATGCATAGCCAATGAGTTCCATTATGAATCCAATGACAGACATCCGGGCACGAGGAAGAAGTCGAATATGTCCGATGATACTGAAGAGAAGAATGGGCAGGATTCGGTTGAAGATGCAGCATCTATTGCTAATGCAGCAGTGGCTGCAGTACTTAAGAATGGACTTGAATAATGTAATAAACATAACACTACTGTATTACTACTGTACTACTACTGTACTACTACTACTGTACTACTACTGTACTACTACTACTGTACTACTACTACTGTACTACTACTGTACTACTACTACTGTACTACTACTGTACTACTACTACTGTACTACTACTACTGTACTACTACTACTGTACTACTACTACTGTACTGCTACTGATATAACTCTACTATTACTTATGCGCTACCACTTTCCCTCGCACAATTTCTCCACATAAAATCAAAGTGAAAACAACAGCCTATACCATCAACTCTCTTGAACACTACACCTTACCACCATGTTGGACTTCAATCCTGCAGAGGATGTTCTTCTTGCTAACTACGGTTTGAGCACCACCACGCCACGCAGTCTTGGAGACTTGAAGCCCGCGGTGTTTGAACCATCGACCTCCGAAGCCAACAAAGAGACTCCAGATATAGACTCCATAGTGGAGAGCATGACCACAGAACAGAAGTATTCGCTTTTAGGAAAGTTAATGGGTCAAACGGAACTGAAACTGGGCAGTAAGAAGTTGGCGGCAACAGCAGCAGGTACCAATGATGACCCCTTGGGAATATACAATGCACAACAGGTGATGGACGAGTTGATCACTAAGGGGGAGCTCCTAAGTATTGAAGACAATGCCAATTGGGAAAAGTTTTCTATAGGCAGTCAAACGTTCAATAGTCAACTTTATTTAAGTCAAGTTCATAGTGATACCACCTTACAGGAATTGGTACGAGGGATGGACTACATTCTGGATACACTTGAAGCTCAAAGTGTTCAATTGAAACTGGTGGTTGATTCCAATTATCTTGATTTCATTAATATCAAAACTGCCTTAGACGATGTGTTGATAAAGTTTAAAACCCAAAAAAACCTGATAGACAGAGAGAATAGTACTGTGTTCAACCCTAATAAAACACGAGGACTTCGAAGATTAAACAACAGTAATAATAATAAGAGCACTGAGAGTAATAAGAACTTGGTTTCGGATTTGGAAATCACCCTTCAAGGTTTGAGCTCTTCATTTGCCTTACTGATGAGACCAATATTTGACCATAGAGGTAAAGAAATGAAAATTGCCCAAACAATTGAATATGTGATTAAATACAAGTTCTTCTTTGACATGCCCCAACAATTAACTAGTTATTTGCAGAGCAACAAGCACGATTTATTAATTGAGACGTATAACTCCTATTTAACTCAAAGAAAGGTGTTAAAGATTGAAGCTCAGAGTAGCCCCAGTTTGAAGAAGTTTGTCAACACAGCACTTTTGAAAGTGTTTGATGTCATAGAAGGTTTGATTAGGGAGTATAGAGAAAATATCTACAAGGAATTATTGGCCATGGATTCTGCGAAATCTGCTAAATTTAGTGGGTTAGTCGATAAGTTACTTCAATTCCCAGGTTCAGATAACCCAATCATCAAGTTTCTTGATTCACAACTCGACCAATTGGCAAAGGAATTGGACTACCAAGTTGCAAAGTTTGATAGAAGCTTTATTAGTATGCAATCGAAACTTAAGGGATATGCTCGTTCTCTTGACATGACAAGAACCAACGAATCCTTTGTCAAGTTTGTGTTGGACAAATATAGAACCATTGAAGATGAACTTAGGACATCTTCTTATTCGGCTCAACATGATCATGGACCAGTTATCATTGAGGTGTTTGAAGCCAATGAGAACGTTGACTTTTCTATCATCAACGAAACATGGTTAATCTTGACTAAGTTTATTGAGTCTTTACAAGTTATCTTTTCAGATAGTCTTGGAATCTTTGCATCTAACTATTCCACTTATTATCACTACGATAATGATGGGAAAGTATGGACCAAATTTTTGACATTGGTTGAATCAATGGTTGCATTTTTAATTGATTTATTTAATGATGCAAATAACTCCGAATCAAATACTGCAGCCATAGTGGAAGCTTCTCCTCAAATTTATACCCGGTTCATTCCTCATTATAGTAATTCAATCTCATCCATTTCATATTTGACCGTTGTGAATAGATGTGTGGGTAAGTTGTTAACTGTTATGGGTGGACATGTTGTGAAGCTTGGGAACTTGATCCAATATCCCGAAACAAACAATGTGGTTAAGCATTTACGTAGTGCTTCCACTAAGGTTAGTCAAAAGATTACTGAAGCCATTTGTTCAACTTGGGTTAATGATTGTTCTCAATTCTATGAACTTGAAAAATGGGAGATTGTTGATACTAAATCCAATCATCATGGAACAGCAGCAGCTTCCTATACTAAATTGGTGCAGGTTATTGAATACTATCAAACTTATGTATTGAGCAAATTGGCATCTTTGGTATTTGACAATTTAGGTGAATCTCCTGTTAGAATAGTTGCTTCATATCCCAGCAAACGAACGCTTGTTAGTATTGAAATTCAGTTTATGCGGAGTTTGAATATTCTTGTGGAATCAATCATGAAGAAATATAATGTTGAAATGCACCGGGATCAAAGAGAAGATTTGGAATTATTTAAAATTCTATCTATGAACAATTTTGACGAACTTCAACGTCAAGTTTATCCTCGGATCATTCGAAAGTTTGATACTTTATTCGATAAGCAATTGTCCGACCAACAGTTGAAATTGTTTGATGATATTGATAAGGTTTCCCAAACCATTTTCCACGATATTCTTTTGAAGGAGAAATCATGGATCAACAGAGAAGTCATTAGATTCTTTGCTAAATTAGAAAAGGGAGATATGTCCATGACTTCATCTACACAATTCCGAGCCGATGGATTAATATATGAAATACTAATTCATTTTGTCCGTATAACACATTCAGTGAAACCACTAACAAATGGTGAAGTATTCCAAGAGATTATTACCGAGCTTCAAGAACTGTTTTTAAGAGATTTTATGAATGAATTGCGTTCTTTCACTCCTAAAGAGGGCTGGCCCACCAAGTTTAAGCTTGATATTAATTTCTTTGTGGAGATTTTTGAACTGTCGATTACTTTGAAACTTAATGAACGGTGTCTTGATATTGTTAACAGTATCTTACGGCATATTGATCTGTTTGGAGAAGTTATGATAACAGAGGCTCTGTTTAATGATGCCTTGAATGCCAATTTAAGAGATAGTGCCATGGAGTTTGATTGCTTTTTGTGATCACGTGACCAGAAAAGTTTGTGCCGGGTAACATGTTAGCGAAGAGTGTCCTGGTTCGGGGCTTCAGGCGAGTTTGGATATTAGCCACGTTTGTTCTATTGAGGCTTAGCATAGCATACAATGTATGTGCTGTAATGCATGGGGTGTGGGTATTTGTGGTGTTGGCCTTGAGGTGTTATGTGACTGTTGTTTATGGAGCTGCCATCCATTTGCGTGACTCTGTATATGATAGACGAATAGAGTTTGACTTGGATGATGGAGTGGTGTTCAATGGGGTTGGGTTCAAGACAAATGAAGTTAGTGCTACGTTTGTGGTGTTGTGTCGAGATGAAGAGTTGTATGAAATGTTAGATACCATTCAGAACATTGAAGATAGGTTCAATCATGCTTATGGATATGATTATGTGTTTCTTAATGATAAGCAATTTAGTAGACGATTTATGGAACATGTGGTTAGTTTGGTTAACAAAAATAGTCGGATTTCGTTTGGAAAAGTCCCCAGACACCATTGGCTGTATCCTGAGACTATAGATATTGAATTTGCTCATCAACAACGGTCCAAAATGGAGGCCATGGGTGTATTATATGGTGGAAGCGAGAGTTATCGTCATATGTGTCGATATTTCAGTGGGTTTTTTTACAAACATCCGTTAGTGCAAGACTATCAATATTATTGGAGATTGGAACCGGGTACCAAAGTGCTCTGTGATGTTCAGTACGATATTTTTGTTCATATGTTGAACAACAAAAAGAAGTATGGGTTTGTTATTTCATTATTTGAATACAGAGCCACCATCCCCACGCTTTGGAGTCATTTCCGTGATTTTCTTTCCTTACATCCTGAGTTGAAGTCACTGGGAATGCTTCCATTTGTGGAGAATGACGATGTGGCCAGGTCTTACAACTTATGTCATTTCTGGTCTAACCTTGAAATTGCAGATTTTAGTTTATTCCGGAACCCTGTTTATGAACAATTCTTTGAGCATTTAGAGGCTCAAGGGGGGTTTTTCTATGAGCGATGGGGTGATGCACCTGTTCATACGTTAGCAGTTTCAATGTTACTTGAGCCTTCAGAAGTTTGGTTTATTGATGATCTAGGTTACTCTCATGAACCATATACCATGTGTCCTAAGCAATTAGATTCCCATCTAACTAATAGATGTGTTTGTGATCTTCCTTGGAATTTACTGATTCTTATCTCAGCTGTACGCCCCATTTCCTCAAAATAGCTGCGGAGTACCACAATAAGTAGAAAGCATTGGCATATATAGTTGGACGGAATATAGTTCTAGTTTATAGGGTCGTTCGCTGCTCAAAACATTGCACTAGACTTTGAAATTCTTAGGTTGGTTCTGTCTCACATATTCGCATCACCATCTGGTATGCAATTGAACCAAGAGTTCACCCTTAAGGGTCATGGCGTGCTGGTCACCGCATCGTGCTTGTTCGGCGGTAACACGCTTGTCAGTGGAGACGAGAACGGGTGGATTATCCTATGGAACTTGAACACCAGAAGACCCCTGGGTGTGTGGAAAGCACACGACGAACGGATCATCACCTTACAAGCCATGGACAAAACACATTTACTTAGTCATGGACGAGATTCTCGGATCCGAATATGGACTATGTCCAACACGACCGATCTTAAGTGTGACTTGGCATTTGATGAAGATGACGAAGAAGACATGATTCGACCGGACTTTAGTGAGTTGGCTGTTAATTCTCTAAACTTTTGCAATGTCAGCTACTACCAAAATAGGTTGTTGGCTCCGGGGACCCTTAATTCCGAGAATATAGATGTATACCTGTTATTTTCCGAAGACGGGCTGTATAAGCCTACGCGATTAGTCAAGCTGTTTGACGGGTTTAAGCTAGTTAGTGATAGTACTAGCTCCTCTTATGAACTCGACTTTAGTGGTGATGATGGCAGTACAGGCAAGAGAGATGGCTTTGGTATAGTGATGCGACTACATACTATCGACAAAAACCTGTTTGTGGTAGGATACGAGAATGGGGTGGTGTTGGGGGTTTTAGTTGATGATTTAGGAAGTCAATTGACATTGAAGTTTATGGATAATTCAATGGAACCTAATCCTGTAACCTGGATGGGTCTGGCTCTGGGTCTTAGCGGGTCACGTGATCTTATAACCTATGGATCAACTACAAGTAAGTTGTGTCTTTATAAGTGTGACACTGGTGACAAAAATACACTAAACGTTGGAAACTCTGGTATACAGCTGGCTTTGATGACACTGCTGCTGCTTTTGATAGTGGGATTCTGGAATGGGTTGGTAAGAGGTATAGATGTTACGGATGGTTCCTTTGTGTTTAAGGTATCTAGGAAGACCCCAATGTTAGACAATGTCGCAACTAATGTCGCTAGACAGCAGTCGGAGTTGCCATCATCTTCTCCATATATAAAGATGACAGGAATGGTAAATATACCAAAGCCTTGTGAAGGTTCATTGGCCGAAGTAGTGAATTATAGAACAAGAGTTCGTATGAAATTTGTTGGTGAAAAAATAGCCATCACTTATGATGATGGGTCTATCGTGGTGTTCGGGTGTCAATAAGTGTAATTGTACTGGTATATATAGAATGTATTCTGGTCTATCAAATGTTTAGTTGTAAACTGTCAAAGTTCTGTGATAACCGCTTATTGTAGCTTCCTTGATGATTTTGGTTGTAGTTGTTGCTGCCACCATACATTGATCTTCTTTTGCTTTTGTTTGAAGATCTGTTATTGGGGTTGGGGGGATAATTCATATTATTATTGTTCACATTGGTGTTGTTCATGCTGTTGCTCATGTTGTTGTTCATATGATTGTAGTTATTGAATTGTGACTGACGATGAATTGGCTTGTTCTCATCATTCAGTGGAGATACCTTACGTCTTTGTTGGTGATGTTGATTACCTCCAAATTGGTTGGACCCTCTTTTTATAACACTTATTTCATTTTGGCCTTGGCCTCGAGGATTGTTATCAAGTATCAATGAGTTTCTCTTGGACGAAACAGATGAAGTATTCCGACTTTGTCTTCCGCCACCACGTCTTCTTGTTGACGGTGGGTTGGAAGAAGTCGAAGATACTCTAGATTGTCTGCGATCACCACCATCACCATTATTATTATTATTATTATTCGTATTATTGCTGGTGATTTCTAACTGAGCAATGGAAGAAGTTGACTCTGCGAGCAACGTTTCCACATCAACAACAGGCAGCAGAGATTCAGGGTCAACAGATGCCAATTTATCTTTTAAATCAGGATACTTCTCAAGAATATGAGTCAAAGTCATCACTGAATCCTCAAGAACTGTTTTAGAATGAGTTCCATGGACTTTAGCTAAATGAGCCAATTTGGCTAATAAATCTAAGATGGATTTATTCCGAGATACAACTAAGTGATCCAAAGCTTTCCTTTTACCAGATAAACTATCCACAAGAATATCAATATCTTTACTATTGGAATCGAATTTTAAAGCCAAATCATCGAAATTACGTTTGGAATCAACTTTATAAGTATAAAGTTGTTCAGTTAATGATTTGATTTGCTTGGTATAATGAGCCTTATACCCATTTTGAGAAGCTATAAGTGCCTCATAAGCAATTTTCAACCGTTCATATTCAGCAGTTGAAGTAGCAGTGGAAGCTTGTAAAGATTCACATCTAATCTTTAAGCTCTTGTTGGTTAGTTTCATGGAATCGTTATCTGAAACAAGTTTATTGTAATCATCTTCCAAATCATTGATCCGTCTTTCCTTACGTTTCAAAAGTGCTGCTATCATATCATTTTCATGTTTAACATTCGCAAGTTGATCAACAAGTGAATCATTCTTTTGCGATACAATCGTAAACTTCTTTTTGTATTCATCGTGTGAGACCTTGGTTGCAGTAAGTTCATCTTTGAGCGAATCTATTTGAGAGTGTAGCGAGTCGATCACCTTTGAAGTTGGTTTGGTTGAGTCCATACTAAATATTATAAACTATCAAGTTGTATAAATGAATGAATGAATGAATAATGGAACTCTGTTTGTGTTTACTTGTGTCTGATATATATGCCCTATCACTGAATTACTGAGAACCAATGATACTAAGACGAAAAGTTCAACCTAAGGAAGCAGCGCCACTCAGTTATCAACACTACCTTTGGACTTCAAATGTTCTTATCAGAAACAAAATATGAAAATTTTATATATAAACACAAGCACTTGTTGTTAGAAACTAATTTTGTTTAACTAAAGTTTTGTGATTGTGTGTGCTACCATGTGGTATATACACTACTTTATATTACAGCATATAAATGTCTGTCCTTATATATTTGTATTTAGTTTATTATGTAAGTATTGCCGGTAACATACCTCTTTTGGGTTGATTGCATAGCATACAATATATGTATGTTTACTTGCATTTGTTTTTGTTGTTGTAATTGGAACTATAGTGTAAACATCAATAGACGAGTCCTGTACTTGACCGCGTTTTCTGTTACAAAATTATTTTTCGAAATGACTGCATACCACTTAAAGGTCTGTACATACTTAGGTATAAGGTGCAAAAAAAGAAGGTCGTACCCGGATTCGAACCGGGGTTGGTCGGATCAAAACCGACAGTGATAACCACTACACTATACAACCGAATTGTTGATGGTTTTTTAGGTATATTATTTATGTGTGCAACAAAGAAATAGTGCTCTTTGTTAGTTCAATATGGAGAGGATTCCAAATAGTTTTAGTGGTTTTATACCTTGACACTATATGGTTCTAAGTGATTTCCATTAATATATGATACCTGTAAATAAAAAATTCCATTAACTGACCTCTATATCAAGCTGAAGAGTATAAATTGTTGACTACAACGAAATTAGCATCTTATGAGATTTTACATCTTTGAAGTTAACCTGGAAATCAGGGTAGTGTCAGCACTGTATCTCAGAGTGGAATAAGACACAAATAGGTGGGTGCGAGAGTTAAAAAGTGACTTATCAATAGGGAATTTTCTCACGTGTAATCTTAAGCATCTTAGTTGGGGAAATATTGAGTTTATATATTCAACATGACCTTTAATGGCGACTAATTAGGTTTCTTTATTATTCAATGATATAATGCATTACAATTGGACTAATTTTGAAAAATGGCTATAGATACAGAAATTTTAGACACCTTTTTTGAAGTTGACGCCAGTTACTTTTTGGAGATCTTGACATAGAAACTTGTATATTTCTATAATAAAGCAAAATCTAATAGGATAAATATAGTAACCTAGAGATTTACCAATTAGGCATCCCCCCTTGGGAATTGAAATAAGCGCCATTGATATATAACTGAAGTTAAAAGTACTTATCTTTAATATTGTTAGTTTTGCAAGAAAATATCATCCAGGCGCTACGCAAAAGACTTAAAACCACAAAAACATTCAAACTATTTATGCCTGAGTCAACCGAAAACAAGAATTTCCAGCTTTTACCCAGTGAATAGAATACTTCACTAACATATTACTACTATTACTTACGTCTAGAAATGACCTGACAGCCTGTCAAGGAAATATATTCTTATAGTAGGCCCTGCTGATTAAGAGATATTTAATATAACTATTCAGACTTGTATATCCTTAGGTGATTATTTCATAACATACTTACCGCTTTCTTGAGTTACATTGCTATTTAGTATATTATTATTCATAAATAGTTGCCTTTATCTGAAGAATATCATCCTAGTTCAAATCCTGCAGTTGACGGTGTGCGGGGCTCTTGTACCATTTTCTTTGATACTTAGTTTGACGCTGATCAATAACCCACTTTCCCTTTTAGTGGATTCTGCAAAAAATTTACATACTTAATTAGAGTAGCTATCCATTGTGTTTAAGCACCTTGCCATAGTAATTCGGTTTCAATAATATCCTCTCATGATTGTACAATTGGAATCTAGTTTTTTCTTGTTAGCCACGTAGGGGAGGCATGGTGCGCAAAAACCAACTGCGAAATTAAACGGCGTAAAGGAACCAACGGTATTAAGAGAATTGTACAGAAAGTTTACAACCGTAATGACCTCCATGATAGATTTGAAAATCTATTAAATATATGAATCTAGGATTTTCTCCTTGTCCCAGAACGTCAGGTCAAGTCCTCATGGTAAGTTCTCGGGGCTATATATACTAAATATTTGCAAAGTGGGGACAGCAACACGGGTGAATAATCTCGAGTTACGGAGTTATTCCACAGGACTTATTCCTGTCCCGTGGAATATTCCTGAGTCGAAGGTAATAAAGTTAGAGCCACTAGAAGGTTGAATAACCTATTTGTAGAAGGCTACTCTGGACCAATCAGTAACGCTTCGGATATTCACTTTTTGAAGGAACATGTGTATAATTATTTTGAAACAAATCAGATTAAGCACTATCGTATATTTTAGGGCTATTATTCGGATTTATTATGTCTCATAATGATTCGAATTTAGCTTATAAGCATTTAGTCATATTCATGTCTAGACTTTAGTCTTGAAAGAAATTTAGTTTAACGGTCTATAGTGGTGGTCGCACTTAATGAAATTTATGATAGTGAATGTAAAGTGCATGAAGAAATAATAGTGCTATGACCAAAGAAATACACAGACGTGCAACAACAAATTATTTTGTTGCAAAATACTATTAATGGGGTATCTTCGTAAACTAAGGATAATTATATGCAATAACACATGATATCGAATGAAAATGTAAATCAAAGAAAATTTTATATTTTGTTTCTATATTAAATATTTTTGATATAGGATATAAAGATGACTCTCTTAGCTATAATATTAATGTACTTAATAAATATTTTAATATACCAAATTCATCTAATAGCTCTTTTAGAACATATTCATTTCCAAATTATGGTGAATATTATTTTATGCAGCAACCTATACTTCCGCTTGAAACCAAGCTTTTTGATGCTCAAATTATATCAGATTATAATTTCGAATATTTTCCTGCTGATACCGAATTTATACTATTGAGAGAAGTATTGCACTCACTTATGTAGAATCACTTTATTGTGGAGGATGTTTTGATTTGAATTATTATGGAGATATAAAAATTGAAGATATAAATGAACATTCTATAATGGCTGACATTAGATATGCTATTAAAGCGCTTTTAGAAGAAATTTATTTAGATGAATGTTTGAGTAAATTATTAATAGTATATCCTGCTCTTCCAGATGATATGATAGAAAAGTATAAACCCTTTTTATTGTTAGGTAATAATTTTTATTCTGAAGATTCTTATAATACGTTGAACGGAGTAAATCCTCTTTATAATACTACAATTATCTATTCTTAAATAATGTATCATATAGATTTTTCAAAAATGAAAGATAAAATAAAACATATAAATTATTGTTTAATCGAAGCATGTATTGATTCATGTAATTTTGATGCTCTTAAAATTCTAAATACTTTAAATCTTAAATGTTATAAACGTATTGATTTTAATAAAAAAGAATATTATCCAAATAATATTGAAGAAATTGAATTTGATTATGATGAAATATTTGATAAAATAAAATTTAATCCAAAAAAGTATAAATATTTATCTATATACTAAATTAGATAAATATATGATATTCAATTTAGTTATCAATAAATAAATAGTACTATCATTATGCCTTAGCAACTTCTCCTAATAAACAATCTTTTTATTGCGCTAATGGCGATATTATAGCTTATATGTGGGTAGGTTCTATGGTTCAAAATCAAGGATTTAGAGAAAACGCTATGCAACCAATGACTAAGAAAGTTAGCGATAATGGTATGCCAGCACAAATAGAATATATTGGTGATGATCCAATGAAATCGTTTGGTGTGGTTATCAATAGCGGAAGATCTAGTAAAGTAGATATTCAAAAAGCTGTTAAATGATTTGATATCCCAAGCAAAAAATATATCTACGAGGAAATAAATACAATTGAAGATATTTCAGAATACGAATACAAATGTTTAGTATATAATTCTAATATTTGCAAATAGAAGGTGGAATTCTTTTTACATTATCCAAATAATAAGTGTTCTTATAATTTTTAATAAATCTGTTTTGCAAATAAACTCTTTTATTTCATTTAATTTATCTATATTTGATTCTGTAGCACTAATTTTTTGTTATTTTTTAAATCTAGATCATTTAAGTTTAATAATCAATATTATCAAGCTAATCCACACTAAGGCGTTAGTAGTAGGATACAAGTTCTATTAACTGTGGTAATTAAGCCAAAAAAATAATGTGGTGAACGATGTTCGGATATAAGCCCGACGCGGGGGTCGAACCCGCAACCTTTTGATCGCTTCTCTTGTACAAGACTAAGAGTCAAACGCTCTACCGATTGAGCTAGCCAGGCTTGCTCGATGCTGAGAAAATGCCGATGTTTTATAGGTACACATAGGCCCAGTTGGTTTTCCCACGAATGGTGTCATTTAAAAGAAAAAAGTTGGATCTCAACTAAGAGTATATCTGGTTTGTACGTGTTCTGTAAATATTCTGTATGTTATCATGTATAGATTTATAGATTTAGATGGTTTTCCCACGAATATACAGGATCTTTTAAAAAAAAGTTGGTGGTGATATCTCTCCATTTACATCAGAAACAAGAGATCAAATTGATGAAATCTTTAACACTCCAACATTGTCTATCACCAAGTTTTACCATTTGAACCTGGCCATTGTATTGGTATGGCCCAAAAATTGTTCAGGTTTATAAATGATCAACAACCATTTTCTTGGATTCGGCAATTGGTACTGCCATTTCTTTGGGTTTAACAATAGGAGAAGCATCTGGGGGTTCAATTAAAGGACAAGAGACTTTGAGTGTTTCTTGATCAAGCTCAAAGAGATTTTTCCTTTTGATTGACTTTAATGAACAGTCGCTGTTGTCGTCTTCTGTCGTATTAGCCATATCTTGGCTTTGCTAGGCTTAGTTTGGTAGTCAGTGTATTCAAAGATCACGAGGAGAGCCTTTTCAAGTAAGGAATTTTGAGTTTGTGAAGTAACTAAGACGTTTTCCTTCTCATCGTTCTCAGCAACAATGGTGGTAGGTGGAGTCTCAATGGTTGCACATTGGGAAAGGAGGGTTGGGAGGGTGCTTACAGCAGTGCCAACGGTAACGGGCAGGCTGCTTGAAGTGGTCAATGCTTTACCAATTTGGTTGTCTCTGGACATTGGCAGAGGGATAAAATCAGAAGTTAGCTCCAGCTCAAGAATTTCTTGTTGTTGGTCGCTTGTTTTGTTAGTAACTTGGTAATGGTGGAGGAGAATTTGGACCAGAAGGATCCGACATTAGTTTTATGGCACTTCACAATTCAGTAGACTAAAGTAGTTGTGATTAAAGAAGAAGATGAGTAAAGAAATCTAAAAAAGCCAGCAACTCAACCTCCTTTTACTAGCCCGAGTTTTCGCAGCCATTAAGAGAGGTTCCATATACTTTTAAATACTCAGAGAATCCCAATTAGGAAATGGCACTTCCGGTAAATTTCGCAGTCAAACTTTACCGAATTGAGTACAGCAGCTAACTAACCTACAATTTTGCAACAAGATTAAATAAGAGAAGGAGTATAAACAGATGTAAAGTTGTGAGAATAGGAATCTTGAATGTTTGCTCAAAAATAGTTCATTAATAAGTGACAATTAATTTCGCATCATTTATTACTTCACTACAATGACACAATTTTTAGGTCCCTTCCCCTCAGACCCTCGGCTGAACAGTTTCAGCATACACCCCCTAGTGCTCCATATGTTTATTTGCTACATCATCAAATAAAGTTCACCCTTGTAGAACTCTTTTCCTTCAAGATTTTATCGTATAAGAGATAATTCTTACACACACCAAATAAATTGATACTTCTAAGTAATTTCTAACAATCACCATATCATTCACTATAAGATTAATTTCATAAAATTTTATGCTATTATATTGTTAATAGTTTATAATGATTTTTAAATAAGTTAGCTGTAAATATAAAAATGCTTCTTTTCTAATTTTTACAACTTAATACACGCCTATTTTGATGATTTTCACTTATTTAATAAGTCTGTATATCCTAATATTATTTATGATTTTTTGATAGTTATTTGAACTATATAAATCATGGTTGTTGTAAAAATTTAGAGTTCTCCAAGTGTATTCCTGATAATTTGTATTTTGATAATAATAAACAAAGAGAGTTTAACTGCAACTTATATAAGACATAGAAAATTTTATGAGAGATTATATGTTGACACTCATTCTTTATTTTTATACAATAATACATCTTTAAAATTATAAAGCCTTTAATTTCAAAAATAAATGATAAACTTAAAAGAATTTTATGTTTTATATCAATACGTAGCAACTTTGATATAGGATATATTGACAATTCTATAAATTTTAAAACTAAAATATTTAGTCTGTATTTTAATATACCAGATTCATCTAAAAGTAGATTTAAAACATATTCAATATCTCAACATGGTTACTTGAATTTTATGACCCTACCATTAGAATTATCTTGTTATAGACAAAAAGGAGATGATTTAGTAATAACAGATCTTGATTTCTTGAGATTGTTCCAGGTCAATTAGATATTATCCATACACTTGAACAAAATATTTTAGTTGAATTCATAGAATCTTAATTTTATAATAAAAATTTTAATTTAGATTTGTAGGGAGATATAAAAGCCGAAGATATAAATGAGGTCTCTATAATGAAAGAAAAAATAGATATGCTATTAGACCATATTTAGAAAAAATATTTCAGATGAATGCATAAGTAAATTTTTTATATTCATCCTCTTCTTTTTGTGGAGGTATTAGAAACTCATAAACCCGTTCTATTACTTGGTAATAACTTTTATTCTGATAGTATAGTTCGTAAATAAAATACAGTATATTCTCTTTATGTTACTGCGGTTATTTATTCTATAGTAATGTAGCATATAGATATTTCTGCTATATTCAAAAAAATGAGTTATTTAGATTACTGTTTAATTGAAGCTTGTATTGATTCATGTAATTGGGATTCTTTAAAAATTCTAAATGATTTAGATCTTAAATGTTATGAGCGTGTGAACTTTATTAAAAAGGAATAATATTCAGTTAACAATGAAGAAATTACAATCAACTATCACACAATATTTAATGAGCTCAAATATAATCCTAAAGCTTATAAGTAACTAATATTCTATCCGGCAGAACCAGATATCCCTGGTATTCCTGCAGATTATAAATCTCTAGGTGAAAACTACAACGAGTTATTTAAGTTGATTCAACTAAGCTTAAATCTATTGGTTTACCTCCTTCTTATTGGTATTTTTAAGGATTTCCCCTATCAGATTTAGATAAAAATATGGATTATTTTGCTTTAATGAATTATGATTAGGCTGGACAATGGAACTATGGTAAATGAGGAACTGATATTGGATGTAATTGCGATAGACTGATTACTGAACAATCTATTAAAGTAATTCAAGGAGGTTCAGCTAATTATGGTAGAGCATTTAAATTATCTAATAATAATCGTAAACCTTATTTATGTTGCTTTAAAGGAACTTTATCAGGAGCTACCGCAGTTTAATTACCAATGCTCCAGGGGTTTTAGCTATTAGTGAAATAAATAAATTATCTTTTAGTAAAAAAGGCTTTAATTCAACTTCTAAATATTTTTACAATGTTTACAATGATGGTAAAGAATGGGTTGCCTGAATGAAAGAATTAGATATAAAATACACTGAAGATTGGTATAGAGAAATAGGTTTGGGAGGAACTGCTTTATGGATACATAATTATCATAGTAAAAATAAAGAGAATTTGCCAGGCAATGATATAGATTGTATAAAAGGTATAAATGAAGATGAAACTGATTATAATTCAGTTTGTACATCAAAATTCGGCACTCATTCTATCTGCAATTATAGGATAAAATAAACCAATTATTACATTTAATATATATAAGTTTTTATCTTAATCTTAACGTCTTATTACAATTCAGTATTAATAATTTTAAAATAAGTGTTGTAGATAAATTTCCTTCTAATTTTGATGACACAATTAAAGATAGATTATCGATGTTAGTTAGTAATACAGTAAAATTATATCAAAATACTGTAGAAAGTATATCATTATAATAACAACAACAAAAAAACTACTATAATTCTTTATATCAAATGTATAAATATCCTTCCCATATTGAATGAAATTCAATTAACTTTCTAATATAGGATCTAAAATTTTACTTTTCTAAGGGTGCTCAATTGTTCAAGTCTTGGGATATGTACAATGTGTTCTTCCTGTGTTGTTACTCTCAAAACAGCACATCAGAGCAACAACATTTGTATAATTGGATACCAATCTATACTGAAACAACGGACGGACGCTACATTAAATGCTTTAAATAATTGTTGATACATCGGTTTGCATGAATTTATACACATCACCTGTTCACAGAAATGAATAATACACATCACATTTTGAAAGAATGATGTCTGCAATAAAATAAGAAACAAGAACCAATACAGCAATTCATATCATTTTTAACAACTGAATATCCTAAATTTAGTTCTTCAAATGACACTAAAGCGCCCCAGCCCAGTATTAGTTTTGACTCCTTAATAGTTCAATGGTATGTATATCCATATGCCATTCATCGACGTGCACGCGCACAAAGTTTTGCAACCATCAGGTTGAGAACAACACTCTAACCACAATGTCAAGAAATCAATTACTTCAAAATGCAACCGACATCAGCATACTGCAGAAGTTTACCTCCCGCTTTCAAATTCTCCCCAATATCAGTTCTCTCATAACAAGTCCTACTCATTGATGATACAAGAAACTCAAGTACTTTTTTCCCCTGAAGACCTTTTCGTTATGCTGAATCTAAGACAGTGCAACCATTTTGTCTTCCTAAGATGAAACCGAAAGAGCATCCAAACAATAGGTGCTACCATATATACTCTTTTGCAGCAACACCAAATGCGTCTGTGTTTACTAAAATTAGCCACCTTGACACAAACGAACAAGGTTACTACCGTTAGACTCCCCTGACACAGGCGAACAAGTTAATATACAGTTGTCCCGTCAATGCACACGTGCAAAGTCATTAAATGCATAAACGTCCAACTTTCCCCCTAAACAGCTTTCTTCTATATTGGGCCTAGCCGGTCGCCGTTACTACCATTCAATACTCCTCTCAAAGTCTTTGAGAATGATATAAAACTTTCCAGTCCAGACCCATTACTCATGCCACTATATGCATCTTTGTGATTATTGACAAAATCAAAACTCCTTGTTCTTGGATCCCTTCAAAATTAGCGGGGCTATCATAAAATCACATTCAGATAGCGCCACATACTGTGTTTTTATTGTATTTCTTCTGCTTTATAGTTTTATGTGAATACACAAAGAAACACTACAAGAAATTCGTTTGGCTAATTGAATTGTGTAGTATGTTCATTTAGGAATTAAGACCGGTTTGTGCTCCGATTCAGAACCCTTTTTGGGAAGCCTTTTGCCCTGGGTTGCTGAGTAAATTTGAAGATCAATAGCATAGGTAATCAATTAATGGTAAAACCAATGGTTCACTAATTAGGCAGAGACGAACCAGGTGAAGGTTTAGTGGGAGATATGCTTCTGGGAGAAGATTAAACTTTGGAGAAAAATAATGAAGAATTAAGATTTGATCTGATAAATACTGATGTTGGTTTGCATATTTAAAGATAACATAATTATGTTAATAAACACAGTGCAGTACAGTGTAAAATAGATATTTGTTAGTAAAAAAAGTAGGACTTGCTTCACATAAAAGATAAAGCAGAAGAATTGAAGTAGGTAGACGTAAAAAACAGCATATTTATAAAAAGCAAGCGTCCGAGAAAGCAACTAAACCGTTCAATTTGATGGAAGGTTAGTGGTATCCTTTCCAAATTCAATACCTTCATAGTTAAAGGAGTTGACGTCAAGTTGATTAATTGAATAAAGTGTATCCTGTAACTCTGTCCCAAAGAAGTCAAAAGACTTTTCATTTGTCAGAAACAAGAATTGCTGTCTTGTATCACGAGATTGCTCAGAGTCAAAGTAATTGTAAGGAGTCATTACAAAGTTGGATTCTGCAGTGGTGAAAATTGTACCAGGAATATCTTGAGTGTTGGGCAAATGGTGTAAAGCCAAGTTGAACCAACAAACTACATCTTCACCATCAATGCTTTCTTCATCCAAAAAGTCGCTGAAATTCACCTGTGGTTCAAAAACACTATTGGCATTGAAAACACCGCTAGAAGTATATTCAGTATCTTTTTGTCTGGTGAAATGAAGATCATGATCAGCCCAGTTGGCATTCTCGGCTAATTTAACTGCCTTCTCAGCAATTCTGTGTCCAAGAGAGCCTTCAATTCTGTAAGCTTTGGGGTTCCCCCAAGTATTGTTTTGGTTGGCACTTTCCACCAATAAAACCCCTGTATCAGCAAGATTCAACGATGTTTCAATATCATATATGGATCTCTCCTTGATCTTGGTGTTGTAAACCGTATTTGGATCCCATGGGAACGTTCTATTAGCTGCTTTAAGTGCCACATTAGTAACTCTGTTCTCAGTTCCACCAATATCAAAGTCAGCCTTAAAGTTGATCACATGGTCATGAAAAGAACCAGAAAGAACATCTTGAATCTTGTATCCAAAGTCTCCTCCAGTCTCTGGGTTGTAATAGGCACCTTGAATGAAACCAGCAGCTCTAACAGAAACCTTTAATGTACCATCCATGAAAAATTTGTAATTGAAGTTATAATCGTAGTTACCAATGGTTGCAACAAATCTTATATTAAAAGAAGGAGCCTTGGCAACAGAAACATACTTTCTAGAAGTATGACGAGTGATAGGATAGTCTTCTACTGCTTCATAAGCACAGTAAGTGTTATTCTGGTAATGGTTTTTACCATCGGTATTCCAAGTAGAATTGAAATATACAGCGTTAGCAGGACAATCGTAGCCAGGAATCAATCCATAAGCATTGTTACCCCAACCATAAGATGTATCCAAATAGGCAGTGTTGGCTTGGAATGGATCATCACCAGCATATTCTGCGATTGCTTCTTGTAATGCCAATTCATATAAGATTCTTTCACCCTTGAACTTGACATCAAAAAACAGTACCCCACCATCCCTACTATATGAAATGTAGAAACTCCAATCCATCCAAGTAAAGTATCTATCTTCCTCACTGAACTGCCATCTACGTCCTTCAGGCTCAACCACAATGGGTGAGGTCTTTTCATCCAAAGGTCTGGTTTCCGCTCCTTCAGCTCTACCAGGGTTAGTCCATTCTTGTTCTTGAGGAGCTTGGGGTAACTTAACAAATTCTTCACTTTTCCAAGCTTCATAAAACTCCTCAGTGGTATTATATGCCACATTGTTGTAGACCCACTGTACAACACTGAAGTCAGAAACATCACGACCAGTAACGTTAGTCTTGATAAAAAGACCAGTAGGCAAAATATCACCAGCACTCCATTTGTTATCAAGGAATACAGTCCCCCACGAGAAAAGAGAGTTGGTTTCCTTATCAAAGATCAAGGGGTCACAATTCCAAACCTCCATAGTAGAGTTTTCCAGACCATAAGCTGGCACGCCAATGAGATCTTCTGAGAGCTCTTTAACCATATCTGTTTGGAACAATTCTTCGTAAAAGGCGAAATCAAGATTCCATCTAAGATTGTCCCTATAACCTTGCATATAAGAAAAATGACTCTTAGTGAAAGCCCAGTCCATCTTCACTACTTCGATATCTTGGTTTTCAGCAAGTAAGGGTCCAACTTGGTAGGTTTGCCAATAACCAATAGGTTCATCTTCTTTAGCAAAGTCTTCACCACCAAAGAAAATCACAGCCCTAGCATATCTCAAGGGGGCTGTTTTGTTACCCTCTAAGAAGTCCAACGCATCTGTTTTATTTGGGTTGATTAGGGTAATCCAAACCACATAATTGTCATAAAGAGTGGCATTTTCAGATGCTGTCAAGTTAAACTTATCCTTAAGTATAGTATAAGCACTTTTTGTTTCGTTCACGGTCAAAGGGGCCCAAATGTTAGGTTTAGGTGCCTCAATGCTTTCTGGTGTAAATGTCTCAGGAACTTGAAAGGCATAACCATCACGTTTCATCAAATTACTGACCTTCAGAGCCATCTCATCTCTTCTTTTAAGAGATCCCTTGACATTTCTTGGAGAAACAGCAACACTATCTACAAATGAGGCGGTTAATGCCAATGTCGAAAAGATTGAAATCCACTTCATTGCAAATTCTCGGCCGTTGACTAGTAAAACCAAATAACTTCTACAGACTGCTCATCAATGCTACTTAAATATATTTTTCATACATAACAGAAAGGCCAGACTAATCCATTTCTATTGGTTGACTCGGATGGTAAAACTAACTCTCTTATCTGTAGCCGATGGAAATCTTCCTATCAACAGCTTTAATTAACAGAATTTTTTCTTGGTTTCAAGACTATTTTGCAGCAAGATACACACTTTGCACGTTGTTAAGCGATATAATGATGATAACAATACATTGGCTTAAAGTTTTGCCAAAATGCAGGTTATATCAAATAATATCTGCATCGAGTACTCAACAATTTCCTTATCACCTAAGTACTACAGTAGTTGACCTGTTGAAAGACACAGATAACATAATTGATTACAGGGAAAAGTAAGCAACTCTAAAAAAGTTTATACTTCTTCATTGGGCTTAATTAGGTCTGGTTAAAAGCCTAAAAAAAGCATATGTGGTGAATCCCTAAATTAATTCGCGATTCCACAATTAAAGTTGAACTCTTGTTATCAGCGACTTAAAGAGAATGCAACAAATCTCATCCTTATTAAGGTAAAACAATTGTATGAGACTACTATAGCCACTTTACGGAAGAGGTTTCTCGTAATTGGATAAATCGTTAACATTCACTTTACCATGCATGTAAGGCTCCAAATTTTGGGATTCCTTGCCTATTGTCCAATTTCCTTATCTTTCGCACCAAGACATAAGCTCTCGGACTATATGGAGTGTCGGCCTGGTGCCCCACAATCTCGTTAACAATACGTAAATAACTTCAAACCCGATTGGGAATGTTCACGCTTTGACATACTTCATTGAGCGACTCAATGAAGTACTGCTTCCCAATGTCACAAGATTAGTTTTACCCAAAGCAATATTCCGTTATTAATTCTGAGGTCACTAACATATATTTCGGTATTATACACTTCTCAAGCAAGTTTCTGGGCAAGACATTCAATACTTTGAGGCAATCTTCATTTTCTACTTTTTTACAGACACAAGCTTGTCTAATTCGTTGATATTTTTAACAAAGACGTTTTTGACTGTATTATGGTACATCTTATTTTATATGTAGTCAATGACGTCGGTTTAAGATCTTTATTTGTGAAAAATCAATATGTGCTGTAAGAAAGCTAAAGTCCACACCATTGAAAGAAAGATAAAAACCACAGAAAACCACCAATACCCTAGAATGTGTGCTCGCTCGATGGAGTGGCTGAGAGAACCAAGGTGCTACTGGAAGCAACAGAAAGGCTCCTAAGTCACAAAGTCAAACAGAGGATAACCATACTCTGAAGAAAAAAGCATTATGGTTGCGAAATAATTCTATTCAACTGAATTTCTAATAAAAGAAATATACCTGGGTCAATATCAAATTAGATAACTATCTTTGATAGAAAAATGTTAAGGGTACTACATGCAAATAATTACAGCACCCAAACTACAGTCAACGCTATGATTAGTGCAGCGATCGAAATTGACGCTTTCAACGGAAATTTCATTATTCGTTAAATTCTTGTCCATCATATTGTGTTAGATAGTTTCTCATTAGTTAAGACATCAAGAGGGAGAACTTATGAACAAAGAAATGTTTCTAGATCGGCTTTCTTTAGTATTTTCCCCGCAGTCTTTCAGCAGAACAGAACAAGATGAATAATTTACGGAACTAATCCACATGCAGGTAGATAAGATGAAGAAGTTTTCTTGGAGTTGCTCGTAAAAGTCATGGAAAATATATGTAGGAATGAAGAGGATTTTAATTATATAAAGTATATCATTAGTTTCCTGTATAATTCTTTATCCTGTAAGTTCTGTGTTAGCTTAATAGAAAGTACTGGTATGATTATATGCTGCTAATCAAATTACATTGCAAACCTGTGTGATTAATGTCTATCTTGAAGTGTTGATCCTGCATTGCTAATTTAGGGACACAGGATCCTTAATTAACTTCCAAAAATCTTATCTCCATGTTTCACACTGGCTATCCTTTTGCTTAATGATTCTCTCCCACATAAAGCGAGTTATAAACATCAAGACCCATAGATTGGTCTAATTGATTCTTAGCCCCACGCATCAGTTGTTTCAGTCAAGCTGTTGCAACTTCGTACTCACACATGTTTATTCTTCAGATTTGTGAGAGTATGCAGAATTACAACTCATAACTACATTTGTCTCTTTATCGTGAAAATCACAAGGTGGCTTATCATAATAATTGAATACTCTAGCGGTTAAGCTAAATAGGTTGAGCGCCCGTTTGTAACTGGAAAAAATGAGTATAAAAATCATTTCTTTTGTGCCCATTTACATATAGCTACTACAAATATTCCACACAAACTCTGACTGTTGTACAGGAAGCACACACTACAAAGCTCATATGCTACAAGCACTAACAACAAGATATCGCTATCTATGAAGAAAGATACACATACATTTCGGAAAATACAGTTCGGAAGTTTCAAATTTGTAATAGGAGAACAATTAGAGCGTTAATCGAAATTTGTACGCCACACAGTGGCTCCAGATTTCATAGTTGCTTAGTAAAGATAAACCTCACATTTTGATAGGGCCCCAATTGTAAATGCTCTTTGTTTATATAAGGTGGATACAGCTATAGCACTAAAATACAGGCATAATTTGTGTAATATTGTGTCTATGACTAAATTTGCACCCAATACTACCTACTTTTGTTTCTTACGTGACTCCGCATCTTCTGTTTCCAGTTTCCGTTTCTTCTCGTCCTCCTCTTCATCTGCACTAATATCCAATTCCTCACCCTCCAGAGTACTCACATCCTCATCATCATCTTCATTGTCAGCTTCTAAACTAGCAGTAAAGTATTTAACTGCATACGGATAGAGGTCGTCGGCTATCAAACGAGCCAATTCCTCTCCATTCCGAAACTCCTTACCCGGCTTTGTACCTGTCCAGGAGAACCACGAAAAAAATGATTTCATTCCTAGTCTGTAGTTCTTTTTATCTTCCTTAGTCATGGATGTACCCCTTGTGCGTGCTTTGATTTCAGTGGGATTGATGTTTGCTAAAGATTCGGGCCACACAACACTTACAGCCTCAGAATGCAATAAGTCTTCCCCATCTTCAACCACATGCCAGAACTTCTTGGTCACTGTTTGTTCCTGTATGGCATTGTCTTCACGAGAGTCTTTACCAAAAGTAATCGTGATGGAAAAGTGATCAACGTCTTCATACACCACATATACATCCAGTACAACCTCAAGGTATTTCATATCTTCTACATCAACATAATCTGCAAAGTCATCGTTCTGCACTAGAACCAGATACCAGAACTGTGGAATCTGACTAACCACCTCTTGTCGTTTACTATAGATGGTTTGCGTTTTCTGAAGACGATACCATTGCGCGTCTCTTTCGGCGGCGTCCATATCTTTCTCCAAGTTCGCCAATGCGTTAAAGCTGGCAAGTAATTCACTGTCCTTTTCTTCTGCCATGATGATCTATCTATCTATTAATGGGGATGTTAGGTGGGAAGAAGCACCGATAATAACATGTCTTCATCTGGCCACACCAACAAAATGTATGAATGTTAATTTGGTAGCACAGATCAAATTGTTTGAGTGGTAGCACCCCACATTTGAAATGGGATTCAACACTCTTTGATCTCTTTCCTACATTTCAATTATGCAAGTTATATATATCTGTCAAGTAAAGTAGCAGTGCAATGATTGAAGATAAAGTCATTTCCAGGGTGCTATTGACCGTCAATAAGTATTCCGGAGAGATATCCTCATTGAAGACGGCAGTTTCTCAAGGTGAATACACCTTAGATTGCTCGTACTACAGCCGTTTACTAGTTTGGAAGACAGTTGCAATAGTGGAAACACTTCAGATAACCGAATGGGATTCAAAGTTGCATTCTTCTAGAGTAGTGTATCATCAGCTTTCAAAAGACACTATTGTTCCCTGGCATTCCCTAGAGCCTGACAATCCGTTTTACGTCCCCTTGGCTGCTTTTGCTGCTTCCTCAACAAAAGGCCGCACCACAATTAGCAGTAGCAGGAGCTTGAAAAGAAGTGCTCAACGAGAGCTGACCATCAATGATCCTTTGTCTGAAGTAGAGCAGAAGATTTCGACGACTGGTGGTAGCCATGATAGCGATTTAGAACTTTTACAAGCTATAATGATGGACATTGAACGGCTATTTCCAGGTGAAGAATTCTTCCGTGATGATAAACATAGGAAACAGCTTATTGAAGTATTATATGTATGGTCCAAATGTAACCTATCCATTGGCTATAAACAAGGAATCCATGAAATTCTCGGGTTGATTTATTTCAACATGTATAAAGAGTCCATACAGGTGGACAAGTCTAAGACCACAGACAAGAATGAGCTTACCATATTAAACCTATACAACCAACAATATCTTAAACATGATTTGTTTACTATCTTCAACAAATTCATGGTGGGGGGTGGTATTATCACCACGTATTATGACAGCGAACGAACTTTAATTGAAGCAATAGATCAATTTAACGTGTATCTCATGAAGGTAGATCAGGTGGTATATTATACCCTTTTGCATAAACTTAAGTTAGAGTCTCAGTTATGGATTATGCGATATTTCCGATTACTCTTAAGTCGTGAAATTAACGATTTGAACCAATCATCAGCATATTGGGATTTACTTATTTGTACTCCCAATCTCAGTTGTATTCCTGAATTGATGTCTTTCTGCATTGTGGTGCTATTGATACGAGTTAAACATGATATACTTACTGGAGATTTTAGCGAATGTCTTGAATTATTATTGCATTATCCTCTACAGGAACCTATAGATGATCCCAATTATTTCCAATCGTTTCAAGTGCTGAATAGTACGTTTATGATAGGGGATATTCTCAATGATGCCTTCAAGCTATATGAACAGCGTTCACATGACTTGAAGTTGTATGAATTAGGCCTTAAGCTCAATAAGAAGTACAATCCCAATTTACGAGTGTCCATGTCTTTTTCATCCGCTCCTACAACTAGAGAATCAAGTCCTGCTAAAAGCAGCATGGATAAGCCACGACTTCCGAGTGAAGAACCTAAAGGAGAACCAACTCAAATTTCAAATAAAAAGCTGAAATACACACAGGCCAACTTGATAGAAAGCCGTGCTAATCAAGCCCAATTCGAGAAGATGAGAATGGAAATGAGGTTGAAGAAAAAGGTTCAACAAATGTTGAATTCACCCAACTAGGTATATTGATTAGACATCTTTATTGTTAATACGAATGAACTTATGAATTTATACTATGATATAAGAATGTCAAATTGTCCCTAGCACTACCATGTTTCATGGCAAGTTTTGGCGTAATGTAGCAGTACAGGCAGTATATCTACTGTACGTACCCAATACTGCAGCATGGATCGTTCAAAGTATTTACCCCCTTAAGACTAGTGTTATTTTATGTATTACGTAAAGTTATTGTTTCCTTCATTCCATCACGAGCCCCCTGGATTGTGAACCTGTGTTTCAGATCCATCTGGGTGTTTGTGCGTTAGATCTGTAAAGCAAACCCCATGAATCAGTGATTGAAACTAAAACATTCACAATTTAAATGACCATTTTATTCGTAGAACAATGGTATCATGATTGGTCAGTCAGAGTGTATGAAATGACTTACAATTCGGCTTTTATGATCCGAAATGTCGGTAAGATCACTAACACCATCGTGCAATTACTCTTACCAAATGTATGCATGCAGTCGCCACACAGCTTAGTTAATGTTTATAGTTGTGATTATGTGGGTGGCCCGTTGGTATGTGTTGTATCGCCATCAAGGGTTCCTAGTTCATGCTTGTCTTTGCTTTAGTGCGATATATGAGTCACATTCACTCTTAAAAAAGCAATGACTAATTAAGTGACAGCTGGCTGACTTGTCATGAAAGTCTGTCTACTTTGTAAAGGGCTTCAACCTTGCAACCCCTCCTCCCCTGAATGGTAGCACTCGCGCCCTTTTAACGGTAGCGCCAATTTAAGATTTTATAACGGAAATCAAGTCACAGATACCTTTAGATACCAATAACTTGTATTACACCCTAAATCAATAGCTTTCAATTCAACCTCGAGCTAACAACAACAACCACAACAGCAATATTGCTTTTGGTATTAAAACTGCTATTCATTTAAACAATAATAATCTGATTGTTGGGCTAGTAAAAGTGAACTTTTTTTTTGATTTTAGACGTTTTACCTTTGCTTTAACATTGGGCGGTTAGTATAAGGATAGTGCTTACTACTATCACAAACACACACAGCGCCACCATAATCGATTGAAAATCTATATAAACTCGGTTGAACAACGCCACCGCTTTTGTATTCGATACCAAAGGCAACTTGAGCTATTACATCCCGACGGAGCTACACTCATACAGTAAAAGTCATACTCATACATACATATACACTCACTCACTCACTCACTTGCATTTATAAAGCTGTGTCCAAATAATCATAATACGATTACGCTGATAGTGAATGTGGACACTATATAATGGATCACACTCACAAGGAACATTCATCTGCCAGTACTAATGCTGGCACTGTGATTGATCCCTTTATTAAGAAACAAAATGCTAAATTGACCCAAGTGATCCAGAACTTTTATGTCAAGATAGCCCAAATAATACTAACAAGTCGTTCAATCAATGAATACCCCATTCCTTCCAGTCAATTATTGTTACAAGCTACCAGAAATCAAAAAGGTAAAGATCTTCATCATAATGACTCCAAACATCATCAGTCTACTCCAACGTCACTGACAGGAACTAGTACGTCAATTGGAACTGCTACCACTTTAGGAACGCACCCAACAACAATATCATCATCGGGAAATCCTAGTGGAGCACTTTCTGATCTCAAGATCAATAAGTGGTTTAATTTGTTTATAAGCAGTAAGGAACTGAAACATGATTTGAAGCCGTGGAAAAACTGTAATGATTTATCAAGCATGTCAACTATGATCATTGAAACTTTTGTTGACTTACATCAATTGACTCCTCGCCAAACTTTGGTTCTCCGAAGTAGTGCTGGTGAGAACTGGTTAGTCACAAAAGGTGGAGGAAAGAGACAAGAAGTTGTATTAGAAAGATGGTTAGTGGAGTTTGATACTTCAGACTTGAGCGGCGCTATTGTTGATGAGTTGCCTTACATTTATAAACAAGCAATCATTGTTTTACGTTCATTATTTTGCTATTCCAAGTTAATGCCTGCTTTCAGATTAAAACAAGCCTTAAAAAAGCTGAGACTTCAGTTGTGCAACAAGATATTAGATGGAAGAAATCCCATTAGCTCTAAGGGCAGAGTGGGGTTATCAAAGCCAATTATCAGCAGTTCGGAATCACACATGAGACTGAAGCATTTTCAACCAATTAGAACGAGTTTGGGTACTTTACATGTTTCTATGGCTTATCGGCTTGATTGTGACTTTATTGTCTATGATTCCGAAGAGCTCTTGAGCACACATTTCAAGAACATGGATGAAATGAGTCCTACCCCGGTGGTACAGCATCAACAAATCCATCATCATCCCTCCCAGCAACAGAATCTGCTGCTGCAAACATCATTGTCTCATCCACAATCAAGAAAATCAGACGAAGCTTTTGTAACGGACCATGAAAAGAGAGATAGTATACCAGCAGGAACTGGAACTACACCTACGAATCGTATTTTGCAGTTGGAGAAACGTACATCCACATCCATTTCTCCAGTATCTGTTAACTCACAGCTTGTAACTAAAGATTATTCCGAATCACCTAGACGCAAGTCGTCGACTGGCTCAACAAAACATTCAATTCAACCATTTAAAACAGGACCTATTCTGAGTTCTCCACCTTCAGCATCTCATATAGGGTCGGCAAATTTACCTTCATCTGTGGAGAGAAGGATATCAATTACCTCCAACAAGTCAAATGCCTCGTTGGCAGCCCTCTTAAGAAAACCTAGTTCTTCGTCTGCTATTCCTATTTTAAATTCAGGAAGTAGTACTTCCCCTTACCATGCACAGTTTACAATCCCTCGATCGATATCTCTGTCTCATGGATCTAACTTGGGACACGATGACATAGATAGTAATGGAAACACTCCAAGGTTTTCATCTTCATTTGGGTCTAAGGCAAGTAGACGGTTTTCGAATACAAGTGTTCGTCACTCGATCACCAATTCTATTTTGGCAACAAGTCAAGGTCTGAATAGTTCTGGTTCAAGTGCTCCCCCAACATCATTGAGTGGACTTTACGTGAACGATGATATCAGTGATTTCTTACGAATGATAGACGACACATCTGATCTCAAGTTAGGCTCACTTGGTGGTAGCGGAACAAATAGTGCCTCCCATGCTAATGACTCTGTTGACGCGTTGAACAGATTCCAATTACTTAAATCACAGCATCAACAATTAGGTGACTCAGTGCATGCATCATTAGTACTTCAACAGGAGCATCATCCCCACCATCTTCAATACCAACCTCAAATGCACACATCGCTGCATAATGTCAATTCAAGAAGTAGATCACCAAGCCACCAGCCATCCATGTTTCATCATTCATTGGGATCTCCGTCACCGGGCCGGATTTCGGATACACACTCGCCTCCAAACTCACTTCAGGATCAATCGGTATATCCCTCAATCACATCGAGGTTAGATGCTGATTTGAGTCCCACAACAAGCGTTGCTGGCCCACCCAACACTTTACATAAGGCAGATGCCGTCACAGGAACTACAATAAGATCGAGTCTAGCATCAAGCCAAAGCACAGGTTCGCATGAGCGACCATCACCGGTTGTAACACAACAACATGAAAGACTGATTTCTCCTCGATCACAACGTAAAATCCACTATGAAGATGTGTTTGACGATGATGATTGTGAAGACTATTTTCTCCGATCAGGCTCTGGTACCTCAGCTAACAGTAATGATGGTAACACAAGGAGAGTTAATCCTACTAATACTACAAGTGCTGCGAATATTACAGCTTCTAGATCTGCTCCGGAATCTGCTTCTGTACACGGGCAGAAGCAAGGTATTCATAACCCTTACCATGCATCTGTTGCTACCGAAGACGATGACGACGATTTACTATTTGCTATGAGTGACATGAATCTTACAAAGTAAGGCACAACTTAAAAAAATGAAACGGCGTCTCCAATCAAAATCTCCGAAGTAATTTTTGATTCCGATGTCACGTGATTGGACTATTCCGAGTTCCCGGGGAAAAGCCTTTACAATTTTAACCCCACAAAAGAAACGATTTTTTGGAGGGAGGTTGTTCACTCTTAACCAAAGTTATCATAGTACTCCTATTTGTACGAAATAAGAACATTTCAAGGGAATATGACAACTTTGCCCTGGATAAAACTACTACCTCGTTTTTTTCCCGAAAGAAATGGCCTATTGGAGTCTACTTTAAAAGTACGGAGAAGATGGATATCAACTCGTGTGAGACCATCTCCACGAATTGGACGAGCATATCTAACTACTGCGACAGCTGCAGAAAGTGTAAGTTCAACATCGAGTATTCCTAGTACCTTGGGTAGTAGCACTGGTGGTGCCGAATCCGGAATCGATGTTCACATTACAGCAAGAACACCGCTTGAAGAATATGATTCCAAAGTTGCAGAAGGTAGACTTCGAGATGATCCATATCAACGTAAAATAATCTCCAACTTATCTATTCTTCATACCCATTTATCCGAATATATCCCACCTAATGTGGTTGTACCTCTGATAGAATCATTAGTGCCAAGTGTTGGAGTCAGTGGATTCTTTGGTCTGTTTTTTGGTGGTGGAAAGAAAAAGGAAGAGAACTCTACACTGGATATAGGCGAGGATGGAGAGGTTAAGGGTATTTATTTATATGGGGATGTTGGCTGTGGGAAAACAATGCTTATGGACTTATTTTATGGAACTATTCCCCATCATCTTCCCAAAAAACGATTGCATTTTCATCAATTCATGCAGCATTTGCATAAGAGATCACATGAGATCAAAGTCAAGTATAATCACAATGATATGGATGTGATTCCCTTACTTGCCAGTGAGATTGCTAAAGAATCAACAGTGCTTTGTTTTGATGAGTTTCAAGTTACAGACGTTGCAGATGCCATGTTATTGAGGAGACTTTTTGCACTTTTATTATCTAAAGATTACGGTGTTGTATTATTTGCAACATCTAACAGAGCACCCGATGATTTATATCTCAATGGTATTCAAAGAGCAACGTTCATTCCATGTATTCAGCAGATTAAGCGTAATACAAGAGTGATTTTCTTAAATTCTCCAACGGATTATCGGAAAATCTCCAAACCAATGAGTCTGGTATACTATACCCCAGCTCCTGGGGTTAAATGGACAAGCAAAACCAATCAAGCCAAATGTCGCAAACACGTTGACGATTGGTACAGTTATTTCAATCAGGGTAATAAGTGTCAGGATATAATTCAAAGATACAAGTTGAAAGTTTGGGGACGTGATTTAGTTGTCCCATTAAGTTCGTACCCTCAAGTTGCACAGTTTACATTTGAAGAATTATGTGGTAAGCCATTAGCAGCTGGAGACTATTTAACATTGGCCACATCATTTCAAAGTTTTATCATCACTGATATACCTTATTTATCTATAGAGGTTAGAGATCATGTTCGACGGTTTATTACTTTTCTTGATGCTGTTTATGATGCCCATGGACGGATTGCCACGACGGGTGCTGCACCGTTCAAGGACTTGTTTGTTGAGCCCGAGGACTTAAAGAGTGGGAATTATCAGTTGTTTAAGAAGCAAATGGATACTGGCATTGAAGAGACATTCGAAGAGGACGAGTTGGTTACGAAGCATGGGTTTGATAAGGAAATAGCAAAGAAAGCTTCAATGTTTGCCAATGATGAGGAGAAATTTGCATTTGCTCGAGCCCTTAGTAGATTATCACAGATGGCTACACAAGATTGGATTGAGACTGTTCGGTCGATTACATGACCCGAGCCGGAACATACACACACTCACACATAGAAATACTAAAAGTATATAAACGATTATTATATTTACACCGCCTTGACAGCATATAATAAATACAAAGCCTTGTTGTTAAGTTATATATAGATTGTCCATATTTAGAATTGTTATTGTTACATGGTAGTGCAATGTCACTTTTGTTATTGTTGTTAGTCGGGTCGAACGCGTGGTATCAAAACATTGCCATGAAACAAGAGTAGTGTATCGTCTAAGTCCGTACATTATGATCGTGTACGTACCAAAGACTATGACCAGGAACATAAGCATGAGCTTGAGCAAACGGTGAACATGAATAGGAAAATCTGCCTATGGTACTGTGTTGTCAATTGATGCTACGTATAAGGCTTCCACACCATACTCCATCTTACCGAGATACTTTCCACCCTCCCACCCCTTGTAATACACACGTCTACCATTTAGTGGTTTTACACCCCTTTCAGACACAGGACGTTCACGGTATATATAGCCTATACTGCATGTCGTTTAAGCTGCTTCCGCAGCCTGTCATTTCTGGATTACATAAGCAGAAGGTCAAGATTGCAGTATCCGTTTCCCTCCTCCATCACGGTCGTGCACACACCAATACCGTATCCAAGAGTTTCACAGGTGAAATAATAAAACAATCCCATATCAAATCGCCTTATAAACATATTTACTATTGTCCTTTAAGCTCCTCCCCCGTGTTGGAATTTCTATTTCTTCAAACTCAACTTGCTATTCAGGAGTTTCCAATAAATATTACCAGTCACATTTGGTCGCCATCATCGTCTTCCTCCACTGTTGATCTTCGTAGTAGTAAACAATAGCAAAAACAATCATAACAATAGTCTTTCGCTCAATAATTTGTTGTTAAATACTGCCTGTTATCATCCACTCGCTTTATCATCCACTCGCTTCCATCATCATGTCGAATCAACCAGATTATTATGATATCTCCATGGCTCCGAAACCGGCTTCGAAAAAGGCATATTTTCCCCGAAGAATAGCCTCGGGGACCAACATTACAATGAATAATAATAATAATAATAATAGTACAGGTAATACTATTACTACCGATTCAAATAACAATTCCGGTTACTCGTCATATTCAACTACTCCCTTAAATATTTCCCCAGTTTCAAGTAACTCCACCGCTGCTAAACGTCCCGGAGATTACTACATTCAGAGATTGACCCAATCGTCCTCTCTGAATGGCTCAATCAAGAGAAACTCAAATACAACTCTTGCTCATCCTACTAATGCGAGACCCAAGTCTGGTGACTCTATTACTTCGCTACATTCATCTACTTCATCTGATGACTCTGCTCTGATGGTATCTACTCCATTTGATTCCGGTGGTAATTCTAGACTCAGCTCCATGACCTCCCATTCGATCGTATCTGAAGGAGGTGGAGGTATTCTTAAGAATAATAGACCGCTTCCAAAGGCTAATATTTCGGAATCTGCTTCTTCTGCTGCTACATCTACTGCCTTTGCAGCTGATAATGCTATAGAAGAAAATGACGATACTTTTGAAGACCAAGTTAACACACTGCTTTCTACACTTAACTTGAAAAGTAATCTTAAAACAACTAGTGGTACTTCACGTTCAAACTCAACGGCATCTAATTCGTCATCAATGTCTTCCATAGCTGAATCACAAACAGGAGCAGCACCACCAAAGTATAATACTCTTAAGAAACGAGCAATGTCATCTCCTTCGTTGAATAGATCCCAAACTCAAAACAGTTCAGTTACCTCAGTCAATGCAAGCCATACCTCACTTACCCGGACAAAATCAAAATATATAAATCCTAAACAGTCAAAAGAACGTAAGCAAATGAGAAAGCAACGGTATGAAGAAAATATAGATGATGATATTCTTATTGACGACGACTTTGATCTTGTGTTTAATGTTCCTATCATCAAATCTAAAGATGAATTGTTTGTTTCCAATAATAGTCCCTCTAAGTTCCGCATGGCTTTACTTGATAAAGACGATCAAGGAAAATACAATATCAATGTAAAACCATGTCCCTTACCAGGACAGTTATCGAGATCCCTTTCAGATGTTAGTATGAAATTTCCTACCAATTCGACGCTGCTGCACCCCGTCCCAGTTCCTAATGCCAAGACTACCTCAACTTCAACTATAAATCACTTATCAAGTGAAAGTGTCATTGTTGAGGAAGATGCAGATTCAGATGATATTTCACAACCAAGTCGATCTCCACCACGTATGGGAATTGGCCGTAGATACAGCATCACTGATCTGTTTGTTGAAGATGATAGTGAGATTTCACGCAACATATCTCAATTCTATAGTCTGCGGTCTGCTTCTTATTCACGGATCCTTAAGATAAATCGGGAGCAAGAACTCATATATAAACTTCCCGCTTATGTGAGATCACAATCTTCAGTCGAAGATCTTCATCTTATGTCTAAGGAAAAGTTGGAGTTAATTGATCAAACACGGCCAATTCACCTTCCACCCAAGGGAGAGGGAGATAAGTTGAAGCATGCTAAGGAAATCCAAAAGATTATCACTACCATGGAATCAAATACTAAATCTTTGAGTGAAAATAGAGTTAAATCCAATGGATATAACGTTACAAACCTGAAGAGATGGGGAGTAATACATGAAACCATAAATGATGGACATAATTTGTTTTCCCGTAATGATAAGAATTATCTTCGGAAACTAGCTTGGGAATCAACGTGCCCTGAGAACTTTAGATTACAATTCTTCCAGACAGTTCTTAGATACAACCATCCTGATACACTGGATATTTTAAAAGAATTCCAAAAGTCTGAGATAAGATTATCTGAATTGAATGCTTCGTTCAAGAAGGATAAGGACAATGAAATTGATCAAACTGTGAACAAGATTAGCGACAGACCTTTATTCAAATGCTGTTTATCTCAAGCATTGAACCATGAACAATTTAAGTCCAACTTGAAACAATTGATATATTTGAAGACTGTATCATCTTATGGTCTTGCTAAGCATGATGATATTTTCCTTTTACCAGCACTTTTGGCAGTTTTCTCCACGGCATCTATATGTGAATTATTTGAGCTTGGTGTTCTTATTAACGAACAAATATTAACTGCAGAGTTCTTTAATCAAGGAAATACAGCATTTGGTAAATGGAGTGATTTGAAACAGTCGTATTCAATTTCTTCGTACCTTTATAAATCTCTTGGTAAGTTTCAAGATTTGAATGAGTTTGATAATCTTACTACTTTGGGAGTATTGCAATTAATTTGTCAATTCAACGATCAGATGCCTCTTTCAATGTCAGCACCTTCAACTCCATTATCTAATACCATCAGTGCGTTTTCTCCTCAAAACTCCAGACCAAACTCGGTGGAGGCCATTGAATACATTCCTACAAAGCTTCAGGGTACTATCACCATCTCTTTGATCACCAGGTTGTTACAGGTGATGGTTGTGTATGGGTATACTGCTAAAACAAGTATCAAGAATAACGTCAACATCATTCAATGTTTGGTGCTTGTAGTGGAACAATACTACCATATGAATTGGATGGATTTAAGAGAATTAATACAATTAAATAAACTGGTGAAGTTGAATAATTCAGCAGATTTAGACTCTAATTTGGAAGCTTTTACGGACAAGTGGATGACGGCATTCAAGAAATTCTAAATTGGAGTATTATTGGGTTTTATTTTATTATATTTTATTATTATTGTTATTTGGGATTTGGGTGGTTCTTTATATTATTACTATGGGACAGTCACGTGACTCTCCTCTTTTCGTTCGCTATTATTTTTATTGTACTTTACATGTTGATATGGGTTTAGTCCATGTCCATGTCTATTATGTCTGGGTTGACAGCAGCAGGTTCTAGTTCTTGTTTGATTTCACCCCCTTTAACTTGGTCAGACTTTATAAAGCCCATAGGATTGGCTATAGGCTTATCCTCAAAAGCCTTAGTGAGTTTCCGTTTATGTTTGAGCATTGCTTTATAGGTTTCGACATTGCCATGGGCCACTTCAAACTTCTCCCAATTGGACCATGTGGATTGCAACAACTTAGGTGGTGTCAAACCGGTGACAAACATGTACAATTGTCTAACTCTTGGGTATTGATTTTGGGAGGTTTCAAAGTCAATAAACGCTTGGATAAAGTCCACGAGATCCATTAGGGCTAATTCCTTATTATTATCGTTGATTATCTGTTCCATGTATCTTCGATACTCTGAAGGATCATTCAAGTCGTCGAGCTTTGCTATCAAAAGACGAAATATGTCTCCTTTATCTTTGGAGTCAGGGACTAATGTCGCACCCCGTTGAAGACATTTGATGGCTTGGACAACAGAATTCATAGTTTTGGCTTCAAAGTCTGCTGCAAGAATGATAATTGGCTTGAGAAACTTACCTGGAAGATCATCGATGCACTGATTGAAAACATCGCGTATTCTTTCTGGGGCAGACAAAGATGAAGACATGAGTTTGGCCAAATAAACATTCCATATTTCAAATTTGATGGTTGGTTCCAACTTGAATAAACGCAAACCGTGTTCATATACACTGAATGCCCGTTCATGATAGCCCCATGCTGATAAGAACATTGCATAGCCCAAGATGTTGACTACCGTAGCAACTTTCCTGGTTATCATTCGTTCGTAAGCATTAACAACAGTGTTGATTTGAGACTCGTCCCCTTCAGTGACACCCGACTCTATCAAATCAATGTAATATTCCCATACCTTTAAGTTGCTGGCGATCTTTGCTTGACTCAGGTCCTTTAATATGTCGTCTAGAATCTGAATGGCTCTAATGTCGCAGTCCATTTCAAGTAGTAGATCACACCAACTGATGTATATTTGGGCAAGCTCGTCGCTGGATTTGTACTGGGACTCAACTGCCTTGGAGAAGATCAATTCAGCTGTCGTGGTATCTCCATTGGAGGAATAGACTTTGGAATAATTGATCCACAATTCGGGTAAATTGTGGTTATTATAGGAGACATATTTCAAGGGGTTTATAGTGGAGATGGCCTTAACATAAGTTTCCAAAGTACTATTCATATCTTCTTTGACTATTTCAAGTCTGTCAAACCAATAATCAATGTTATTAGGGTCCAGTCGAAGTAGAACGTCATTCATCATCAAATGTCGTGAATCTAAGAGTTGTTCTAGTTTATGCATTCTCAAATCAAGTTGACGATAATCTCCTTCATCTTCTTCAGCGTCTAGCCTTTTGGTCAATAGTCTCTCTTCAAATCCAGTATATGTATCGTAGAGAAGAACAAAGTCCTTCACTGTCTTGCATGTCTTGATACCTAAATCAAATAAATGTCGCACTTTACCGATGTCTTGCAGCAGCGACATAAAGTACAACGCAAGCTTCAAATGAACAGTAGCCTCTTGATCAGGAAACTCTTTACTTAACAGGAAAGCTATGGTTTCAATCTTTTCATCTAAACCATTACCACCATAATTTTTACCCAGAAACAACTCCATCATTTCACTCCAGATTTGAATCTTTGTTCTTTTCAAGTATAGTCCGAGTCTAGTGAAATGTCGCGAAAGTCGTGTGTAAACCAATAACAGCTGTCTAGTATCTCCAAACTCGGCAAGCTTAAGTATCACTTGATCAATTGTCCATAGTTCGGGGTCCCCCACTTTACCATTGAGATCTTCGTCAGTGGCATATTCCAAATACCGTAGCACAATGCTAGTGCCAGTGAGCCCCCCCGCCTTATCTGCAAACCGTAAATATTGTTTCCAAATACTCAGATGCTCTTCCAATGGAACAACCATTAGTGCTTGATTGAATTTTAGTCTAATCCATGAGATGTCTGTAGACTTCCCGATTAGGAAGGCCAAATACTCGACCCAGACCTCGCTGTCAGTTACCAAACTCGTCACCGCTTGCTGATACACTCTTTCGGTCTCTTCATCTTGAATGTTGGCGTCCTCAACTGCTGTCTTTATAAAAGCGGTCCAAACAGGCTTCAGTTGAGGCCATCGCGATACCCCTTCCTCAAATGCGTGTAGTTTGGCGTTGATGTCGGTTATTTCGGTACACCTTTGTAAGAATTGTTCTTCCGACATGTCATTATACAAGCAAATAGTATATTTAAATAAATATGAATACCTTGTAAGTAGGAATATACGATGGTTGTTTGTTAGCTTGTATACTCAGGATGTCTTAAACAGTTTAGTCGTGCCCGGCCATGGTGGTAGCACTGCTCAATTTTTCGTTGATGGGAAAGTCTGAAAGTCAACGATGATAAGGAACGAAGATAACCTTTTACAACAAGTGTCTGAGACTGCTTGTGAGTTTTAAACGATATAAAATGTCGGGAGCTGGAAACAGAGAACAGGTGTTCCCCACACGGATGACGTTAGGGTTAATGAAGGTTAAATTGAAGGGAGCACAACAGGGCCATTCATTATTGAAGAGGAAATCTGAAGCCTTAACTCAACGGTTCAGAGACATCACGCAGCGGATCGACGACGCCAAAAGAAAGATGGGTAGAGTCATGCAAGTTGCGGCCTTCTCATTGGCCGAGGTCCAATACGCTACCGGAGACAACATCGGTTATCAAGTGCAAGAGTCTGTTCAGAACGCACGGTTCCAAGTGAGAGCCAAACAAGAGAATGTCTCGGGTGTTTATTTACCCACTTTCGACAGCTTTATTAACGAGGATATCAACGACTTCAAGATGACCGGTTTGGGTCGTGGGGGACAGCAAGTTCAACGAGCCAAATTGGTGTACACCAAAGCTGTAGAGACGTTGGTGGAATTGGCTTCGTTGCAAACGGCCTTTATAATATTGGACGAAGTGATTAAGGTCACCAACAGACGTGTCAATGCCATTGAGCACGTGGTGATCCCCAGAACAGAGAACACCATTGCATACATCAATTCTGAATTGGATGAGTTGGACAGAGAAGAGTTTTATAGGTTGAAGAAGGTGCAGGAGAAGAAGCAAGAGGCTGTTGCTGCTGCTGAGTTGGAAGAGAAGGAGAAGAAGGAAAAGACCAATGCGGTTAGGGTAACCAAGAACCAAGCTGAGGGAGACATTGTCGCAGAGGTTTCTGAATTGGCTGCTGGAGATGATTCAGGTAACATTTTAAAGGAATCTGAAGATGACATTATCTTCTAGGTTCTATTACTATCTTCTAGTTTTATTTGTTCAATTCTGACGACTTTTTTTTCTCTTATTTTCTTTATTCAACTATATACTAATTACGGTGCACAGTATCCACCGTCAACCTTAATATCGGAACCTGTGGTGTATGTAGAAGCATTGGAAGCGAGATACAAATATGCACCAACCAATTCTTGTGTCTGGCCTTCTCTTCCCATGGGAGTAAGCTTGTGCCATTCAGATTTGATGTCCTCACTGACAAAATCTGAAATTTCGGTGAGTATATACCCCGGAGAAATAGAATTCACCCGGGCAAAGCCGGCCCACTCCACAGCCAATGACCGACCTAAATGCAACACAGCTGCTTTGGCCGCATTATAGGGGGCTTGCAATTGAGGTACATTAACAATGTGTCCAGACATAGAGGCAGTTAAAATTAAAGATCCATAACCCTGTTTCTTAAAAATTTGTCCGACAATTTTAGCGCAATAGTAGAGGGCTTTCAAGTCGATATCAACAACTTTATTGAACAGATCCCACCCTTTAGCATCAATCGATGGTCCTTCAGTCCAGGGAATACCAGCATTACAGACGAAAACGTCAATTTTCCCAAAATCAGACTCAATAGTCTTTATAGTGGTTTCAACCAGCTCAGGATCAACAATGTTACACTTGTAAGCCTTGACTTTAACTCCATAAGTGTCTGCTAACTTCTTAGCTTTATCATCTGCATTATGCGAGTTATACCAAATGGCTACATCTGCACCGGCTTGTGCGTATGCTTCGGCCACAGCATACCCTATACCCGTGGAGGAACCGGTAACTGAGCATACTTTACCCTTTAATGAGAACAAGTCCATGACATTAGTAGGTAATTTGGGTTGAGGTCTTGGTAACAGTCCAATGTCGTGAATGTAAGATGTCATAATAAATAAAGCTTGTGTCTAGTAGAGATTAGTTTAATGTATAACTGAAAGCAGTTAAAATAATTCTGGAAGTCACCTTGCATTTAAATAAATATTCCGCATACAAGGTATTCCACACTCCTATTATACCCCCACTTATACCCCCACTTAATTCAACATGCGTAGTTGTGTTGCTATAGTGGGGTTTTGATTCGGAATGAACTATATTTCTGGGAGGTTCCATCGTACAGGAATGACGTAATGCAGGTCTCCGAAATTGTTAAGCCATCATCAGATTATGGAACACCGAATATGGTGGAAGGCGACATAAAAGTAGTATAACAAAATCTATTAATCACAACACTTGACTATAAATAAAAGAATCTTTCTTTAGGTGGAACAATAACCTCCATCAACAATAATGTCGGTACCAGTGGTAAAGTTAGCAGCATCGGATGCAAGATAAAGATATGCACCTACCAATTCCTTTGGAGTTCCTTGTCTACCTTTTGCAGTCAATTGGTACCAAGTACTTTTAATGTCTTCTGGGACAAAATCAGACAATTCGGTATTGATATACCCGGGAGAGATCGAGTTCACTCGAGCAAAGGCAGCCCATTCGACAGCCAATGACTTTCCTAAATGTCTGACAGCAGCCTTGGCAGCATTGTAGCACGCTTGGAAGTTGGGCACATTTACTATATGACTAGACATTGACGCAGTCATTACAAGCGACCCAAACCCTTGCTTCCGGAATTGTCTGCCGACATGTTTAGCACAGTAGTAGACCCCATTAACATCAACATCCATAACTCTAAGCCATTCATCGTCACTGTCTTGGTCAATTAAGGCACCAGAAGTCCAAGCAATTCCGGCGTTGGCAACGAAAATGTCGATTTTTCCAAACTCCAAAACAATTTCTTCAATAGCACGTTGGACTTGTGCAGCCTTGGTGACATCAACGGTATAGAATCTTATGTCGGTCTTGGGATACCGAGACTGTAATTGTCGCAAATTTTCATCATAAGGTGAATAGTCAATGATTGCCAACTGATCCAATTGAGCCTGACAGTAGGCTTCACAGACAGCAAAACCAATGCCCCTGATACCACCGGTGACAACTGCGGCCTTCCCTTTAAGAAGGAAAAGGTCTATAATGTTGGTGGACAGAAATGCCGGAAATGCAGTAGGTAAAGCCCCGACTTCAGGGTTAACCTTGGATTGAAGGTCTACGGTTTCAACGGTCATACTAAGTGTAATTTGCAGACACAGCTACTACTGTTGATGAAGAGTAAAGTATATCTGGTTTGTTGTCATCGTTCTTGTAGCCGACTTTTATACTCTTCCGCTACGAATCTCGGACGGAATGACTATTTTCTCAGATGGCACATAGATGTGGCTCATCGGGGGAATACGCGGAGTCGTGTTTGACAGCAGAGAAATTCCCAACAGAAAGCGGCAACCGCCTGACAGTTATTACAACGTCTACGTTTTGGCTTCTCGTTAATTACGAGCATAAGATGGCTCTTCAAAGTCGCCATTATCGTAAATTTGCAGTGTGTTATTGATGTAGAATAAGCCAGTTGTACATTTGCATACATATACATAAAAAAATAATAAAACATTCCAAGCATAATCTATACAGTCACGTGACCATATAAGTTACTATAAGCTTAATCATGCTTAAAGTCATTGGCAACTAAATGAGACCGCTCACACATTTGCTGGAATATGGAACCATTGGTATTGAACAAATTCCATGGAGTATCAAACTCAACACACGTACCTTTATCCATAACCATGATCTTATCGTAATTGATAATAGTCTTCAACCTGTGGGCAATACAAAGAATGGTACAATGGGAGAACTCGCTTCGTATAGTCTCTTGAATCTTTGCGTCAGTTTCGTAATCCACAGATGAAGTAGCTTCGTCAAGAATAAGTATCTTGGAGTTCCGAACCAAAGCTCTAGCAAATGTAATCAATTGTCTTTCACCCAATGAAAAGTTGGCACCGTCATCTTCCACACTCTTATCTAAATGGAATTTGTCTAGACTGGAGTCATCACCGTCGCTGGAAACCACCTGCAGTTTGACTTCTTCTAATCTGGAAGAATCAATTAATCCGGTTCTCCGTAATGCATCCCAAAGAACCTCATCACTGTACTGACCAAAGGCATCCAAGTTCTTCCGAATATTCCCCCGAAAAAGAACCGGGTCTTGAGGAATAATCGAAAGCGTACTTCTAACATCGTGCAACCCGAGTTGGGCAAGATCAATCCCATCAATACTAATGGTTCCGGATTCCAATTCAACAATACGGAATAATGATACCATGATAGACGATTTCCCGGCCCCAGTTCTACCACAAATACCAACCTTCTCACCCAGGCCGACTTTAAATGAGAGGTTCTTCAATACCAAGGGAAGATCATCTCTGTATCGTAAGTTGACGTTATCAAAGGTAATTTCTGCCTTCTGTGGCCAATCAGACGAAGGTTTCAACTCCAACTTCTCATATACAGCTTCCTTAGGTAACGCATAAGCGTATTCTCTCATTCTTTCCACGGAATTCATCTCATTTTCAACTTGAGTATATGTGGAAACAGAAAACGAAAGTTGGCCCATAATCTGAAGCAAATAAGACATCAATAACCCGGTCGAAGCCGCCCCCACACTGAACACCCGGAAGACACATAATAACGAAACAATCAAAAGGATGAAAAACCCAAGAACATCCAAGCTAATACCCAACCATCTTTGATTAGCAACGACAACATAATAAGCTTCATTCATGGTGTTAATAAATTGTCTATTACGTTCCAAAAAGTCTGGCTTCCGATTATATGCTCTGATGGTGTCAATACCATTCAAAGATTCGCTGAAATTGCTGTAGACAAATGACCGATTCACAGCTTCTAATCTCTTCACTTCTCTATTGGATGCCTGGTAAAAATCAACAATAACGTAGAACATAAGTCCAAGAAATGGAATGGCAATTCCAAACCAAGGGACGTAAATGATACAAAGAATCAAAATTCCAATGATACTTGCAAATCCAAAGATCACCATTCTCACCAAGGTCCCCAATTCATTGTCCAACACATCTGTATCCTTGGTGAATCTGTTCATGATTCTCCCCATTGGTGTGGTATCAATATAGCTCATTGGAGTGTGCAAAACGTTCTTAACTGCAAGAATATTCAACACCACCGACGCCTTGTTGGTGATGTAGACAATCAAGATAAACTCAACAAACAACAAGAACAACGACACAAAGGTTAACATGATATAAATCCCAATGTAGAATCCAGGAGGTCTATCAAACTTCAATTCGACCCAATAAGTTAACCACACATTGGTGAACAATTGAGAAAAGGTTGCAAGAGTGATAAAGAAGAACATTATCAGTAAATAGCCAGGCACAGTGAACGATTTCGAACCACACTTGACATAATCTTTCAACACATCAAATTGCACTCTATTAACAGCTCTTGATTCATCTTCATATAATTTACCATCATCAAAGTCTGGCAGGGTATCATCAGCCTTCTTATAATCATTATTAAAGTCTTCATCATCATCAGAATAGTCTCTAACTTCAATAATTGTAGCCACAGCTTGACCACCTATTTCAGACTTCTTCTTTGTCTCTGTGGAATATTGCATCAAGTTCTTGAACCCTTTGTTCTGCGAACTTAATTCATCGAACAGACCAACACTGATAGTACCATCACCATTCAAGAACACGATTCTATCAGCTGCACCAATCAAAGACAATTGATGTGTAGCCAAGATCCTGGTCTTATCCTTCAATAACCCTAATATACAATTGTCCATAATGTGCTTACCAACCCTGGCATCCACAGCACTTAATACATCGTCCAACAATATGATATCCGAATCAGCATAAACGGCTCTAGCTAAGTTTAATCTGGCCTTCTGACCTCCTGATAACGTAACACCACGTTCACCGATCTCGGTTCTATCACCTGCACTGAGTAAGTCAAGATCACTTTCCAAAGAACAAGCATAAATAATATCCTTATACTTCTTTTCCTCGTATGGTGTACCAAAGGTAACGTTTTCTCTGAATGTAGCACTTTGAACCCAAGGACTACCGTAACCAAGTAAGTCACCATTGACATTAACGGACCCATCAATCTTCTTCATCACTCCAGATAGTGCATGCAATAATGAAGATTTACCTGAACCAATTAGCCCAGTTACAACAATAAACTCCCCCTTTCGGACATTAAAGTCCAAGTTCTTCAACCCTGGGAATCGGGTATTCTTTGTTGTTTCTGTGGGAGATTTAGTGGTTATATCATTCCCTAAATATCTTTCTTGTCTTAGACGTTTTTTCTCTTCTTCCTTCTTCTTCTTCTCTTGTTTGATTTCCTTTTTCAGTTTCTTCTTCTCTTCTCCTTCCTTCTTCTTCTTCTTTGGATCATCTTCATAATCGGGGAACTGTTCCCATTCAAAAGAAGCATTCTTCACTTCAATTGCAAGACCTTGCTTTTCCATTTCCTTAAGTTTACCTCCACGAACAGAATAATCACGTTCGTTGAAATTCAATTCCGAACTAGCAAGAAAGTTGGAAACACGACGTAACGAGATCCAAGCATCTGCTCCAGTAGCCAAAGCAATAGGGATCATAATAACTTGAGATGCCAATATATTAATCAATGAAACCGAAGAGAAAATGGCTGCTGGATTAGATCGTTTCTCTTTATCCACTCCATACAATGATAAAAAGGTAACACAAGAAACTAAAATAGGCATTCCAAAAGCCAAAGCGGTGATTAAATCCCGAATAACTTGCATTTTGAAAATATTAACCATCTCTCTCTTTCTTATGGTTGAGATCAATTTATGATAAGCACCTTCCCAAGAATAGAACTTAATGATCTTTAAATTCGTTAACACTTCCTTAATGCTATCGACTCTAGAGTCTGTGAACTTGGTAGCCTTCCGACGGTACCCCATCATCACTGCTCCTAGAACACCAAATAAGATAAGCAATATGAAAACAAGACCAACTCCAACCAATGAAATGGCTCCGATGTTGATGATTAATATGACAATACAAATGGCGAAGGGAATTGGGAATGTAAGCATGAATGGTTGGAAAGTAAAGGCGAAATCTATTCTATTGATATCGGTACCCATTAAAGACGTGAGTTTTGATGAAGTGAATTGAGCTCTAGCCTTGGCATCAGATTTAAAAGCTTTATCCAATATAGCTTTAGCTAAAACCCCCTTAGCTGAAGCACCAGTAAACATAGCTCTGTAGAAGTAATGATTGAAAAATAACCCACCGACAAGAGTTAAGAGAGATGTACCCAAGGCATAACCAACCCCTTTACCAGCACTGGGAGCCAAACCAAGCTGTTTCAATTCAACAAAGGTAATTAATTTCTTAGACAAAAGTGGTGCAACCGTAATACTTGAATTACCAATGGCACAAAGGATCATCGACAACAGATATTGACCTTTAAATGTCAAAAACATAGACTTTGGACCCAATAAGCCCGGGGCTTCGAAATCAACTAAGATTTGAGAACATTTCACAGGATCATCTTTGACTTCATCATAATTAAGACCATCTTCTTCACAAATGGCTTTGATGAATTTAATTCTTTCCTCTGCCAAAAGTCTATAGAATATGACTTCGAATCTTTCTGTCATTTCAGTGACTTCAATCTCCGGAGTTAACAAAAACATATCTTCCTGTTCTAGAGTTCTTTTATAGCCCTTCTTAAGGATGGGGAACAACCACCAAAAGAAGATCTTGGAGATGATATTGGCAGACTTGGCGGGATACTCTGTTCTTTCTTCCGGTAAGGGAAGTGGAGGCACAGATTTGGAGAACAACCATGATAACTTTCTATGTTGAATCTTCAACTGTTTGTTACCATCATTCTCCAAGTCCTTACTTGACGGCGAGATCAGAGAGCTTTTGGACACTGAGTCTCCGACTTCTTTCATTGTTGGAGAGCCATAAGGACTTTTATTCATAATAAGAGGATGCTTGGTAGTCTTTTTATTATTGTGAACGTTCAAATGTATGGAAAATGCTTCGCCTTTTGTTACAGTTTTATAATACTTTTCTTTGCCTTCATTTTCTGTTGCATGGAGTGGCCTTGCTATACGGCGCCGTGCATCCCAATGCGGTATACGGCCCATGCAAGATTGAACGGAAATTTTGCGAAATCAGCCATTGGAAAATATCTAATCATCACTCACATGTACGTTGATACTATATCATGGTTATGGTGGCACAAGCAACTCAACTGACTTGACATGACTCAACAGTACAGTACCTGACAGAACTGAACTTGACTCGACTGAACTGAACATGACTCGACTGAACTGAACATGACTCAATTGAACTGAACATGACTCGACTGAACTGAACATGACTCAATTGAACTGAACATGACTCAACTGAATTGTTGCTGACCTTCAAACGGTGTTATCACAGACGGCGATAGCACGGCGGAAATGAAAAATATCAAACATCAAACAATAGACACGCCTATCGCAAACGTGTTGGTTTACGGTCAGACTATGGTGGCAAAACTTTTACCACCAATGCACTAAGACGTTTAACTTGAGCAAGTTTAAATTATCAACACGTTCATAACATCGGTGGCAAATAATCCCACATACATTCGACGAGATCAGAATGCAATCGTAGCAATGGCAGAACGACATTAATCATTGTAGTCACCGTGGAACGTCATTGATATGTCGCCATACACCTCTTTAGTAATGGCAGCAATTCGCCCAAGATAATCTTTGTCCATAACAATACCTTGGCCTACGAAATAGTACCATAATATGGGCGCTTATTGTTGTTTGTTGTTGCTATTACTAGTGTGGCACCTAAATTGTTGCGACCGTTTTTGTAGAGTACTATTCTCGGGGTTACCTCCGATCAAACCCGGATAGGATACTAGTTAGGCGACTAAAATTTCCGGGGCACGTTCGAATGGTAGTGCCGATATATCCCGTGTTCGATTCCCGATGAGGTGATTCACGCTCTACCTCAAGCTCATATTGCTAGTGTAAACCCATTAACCAAAGATTTAATATAGAATACTGATGATTTAAACTCTTCCCAAAGTCTGTATATCCTCCTCCTTCAAACAGTTCTTCCCTTCAAACAGTTCTGCGGTCTAAGAGTCACCAGGTTCTTGGTTCAACCAACCCTGTCGAAACTTCTCGAATCGAAAATTTTTCAAGCCGTCCAACTCCGGAACTAATTCTGGGGTGAAAAAAAAAAAGGTATAAAGAAACTCTCTTCTTACTTCAATCATATAAACAACCATAGGAGGCAATTGATAGGCCAAATCCAAGTTAATTGATTGATAGAAACAAAAACAAAGATGTTGAGAAACAGCAGCCGTAGTTCCTTGAAGCAGTTGGTGCGTCATTACTCTCATAAGCAGTTAAAGTTTGGTGTTGAAGGTAGAGCAGCCCTTTTAAAAGGTGTTAACACTTTGGCCGATGCTGTGTCAGTTACTTTGGGTCCAAAGGGTAGAAATGTTTTGATCGAGCAATCCTTTGGTGCTCCAAAGATCACCAAGGATGGTGTCACTGTTGCTCGTGCTATTACTTTGGAAGATAAGTTTGAAGATTTGGGTGCCAAGTTGTTACAAGAAGTTGCTTCTAAAACCAACGAATCTGCTGGTGATGGTACTACTTCTGCCACTGTTTTAGGTAGATCCATCTTCACTGAATCTGTCAAGAACGTGGCTGCAGGTTGTAACCCTATGGATTTGAGAAGAGGTTCTCAAGCTGCTGTTGAAGCTGTGGTTGAATTCTTACAACAAAACAAAAAGGATATTACCACCTCTGAAGAAATCGCCCAAGTGGCCACTATTTCTGCTAACGGTGACACTCACATTGGTAACTTGTTGGCTCTGGCCATGGAAAAGGTTGGTAAGGAAGGTGTCATTACCGTTAAGGAAGGTAAAACTTTGGAAGATGAATTGGAAGTCACCGAAGGTATGAGATTCGACAGAGGTTACATTTCTCCTTATTTTATCACTGACACCAAATCTGGTAAGGTTGAATTTGAAAACCCATTGGTTTTATTGAGTGAAAAGAAGATCTCTACTATCCAAGACATCTTACCCTCCTTGGAAATCTCCAACCAACAAAGAAGACCATTGTTGATTTTGGCTGAAGATATTGATGGTGAAGCTTTGGCTGCTTGTATTTTGAACAAGTTAAGAGGTCAAGTTCAAGTTTGTGCTGTCAAGGCTCCAGGTTTTGGTGACAACAGAAAGAACACTTTAGGTGATATTGCCATTTTAACTGGTGGTACTGTTTTCACTGAAGAATTGGACTTGAAGCCAGAAAATGCCACTGTTGAATTGTTGGGTAAGGCTGGTTCTATATCCATCACCAAGGAAGACACTGTAGTTTTGAACGGTGAGGGTGCAAAGGAAAACATTCAATCCAGATGTGAACAAATCAGAACTGTTATTGACGATGCCGCCACTTCTGATTATGAAAAGGAAAAGTTACAAGAAAGATTGGCCAAGTTATCTGGTGGTGTTGCTGTTGTCAAGGTTGGTGGTGCTTCTGAAGTTGAAGTTGGTGAAAAGAAGGATCGTTATGAAGATGCCTTAAACGCTACCAGAGCTGCTGTTCAAGAAGGTATTTTACCTGGTGGAGGTACTGCTTTGATTAAAGCCAGTAGAACTTTGGATAACATCAAGACTGCCAACTTTGACCAAAAGTTGGGTGTTGATATCATCAAATCTGCCATTTCCAAACCAGCCAGAAGAATTATTGAAAACGCCGGTGAAGAAGGTGCTGTTATTGTGGGCAAGATCTATGATGAACCTTCTTTCAACATTGGTTACGACTCCTCTAAAGGTGAATTCACAGACATGATTGCTGCTGGTATCATTGATCCTTTTAAGGTTGTCAAGAATGGGTTAGTCGATGCCTCCTCTGTGGCTTCATTGTTGGCTACTACTGAATGTGCCATTGTGGATTCTCCTGAACCTAAGGGTCCTGCTGGTGGCGCTCCTCCTCCAGGTATGGGTGGTATGGGTGGTATGCCTGGTATGGGTTTCTAAGTGAATAGCTCGCTGATCTACATTTATAAGTAATTTCGTCGACTCCTTTTGTATATAGTTTATTTATTTGATGATAACAGGCGTCGACCTAATACACAAGCAATTATGACATGTAATAAAAGTAACTGTTAGACAGAACCATATACATTTATGTATTCCACTGTGCAGGAATGTACTTTTGGTAGCGCTGGTTATTCATCGCAGTAGCAGTTAAAAGTTAAATGTAGCATGTATACGATCTTAGTGTTGCATTGCAGCAGTGCTAGTTATACAGACAGACGCGTCTATGGGTTGATGTTTGAACGCGTGGATGTCGACTCCAATGCTTCGAATGTGCACCGGAAAAACAAGCGACTCCAACGACTATTGGACCGATATGTGGAAGACAGAACAATCAAACGACTACAACAGCTGAAACATAAGGCGGCCAAACGAACCGTTGAGCAAATTCGACACCAAGTACGTCGTGGGTTGCAAAAGAAAATATATCCTGAAGAGACATATGAAACATGGCATAAACGAGGGAAGCGCAATGATGAGCTACTAAGTACTGGTGGTGATGATATTATTGATCAAGGTACTATTGATGATACTGTTGATGATGATGATGATGATGATGATGATGATGATGATGATGATGATGATGATGATGATAAAGTCGTTCCTATGCATAACAGTGGTCTACAATACTGGACAAGGACCAATTTTCTCATCAAAACTAAAGGGTTTGAAATCCTTCCAACGTCTAATGAAACCCTTGGATTCTGTGACAACTCACGAATCAATGTCATGAACCATAACATCGACAATATCAAGACTCTTGTTCATTTGAATGTACTTAGGGGAAATTGGGACTCGGCCTATAAACTCTTTTGTTTATTGATTCGAATCCCCAAAGTAGATTTACGGTCTCTTTGGCCGGTGGGGATTGAGATCCTTCTAAGAAAGTTCAATGATAATGATAATGATAATGATGGTGATGATAAGACACAACTTTCGAAACACCGGATGTTCTATGAATGGTTGAGTTCATTTCTTATCCTTTATAATTATCAGCCATCATCAGATTCAGAGTCATTAAGACTCCCCAGAAACATCTCTGCTCCCGTATGGAGATCAGGATCCAAGACTCATACACCACTTTACGTGACGGGGTTCCTATGGCAGCTTTTAATCGATGGAGAATATAAAACATTGAAGGAAAAGGTCGATGAGCTTCTTCTAGAACCCCCATACAATGCAGATGGAATGTTTTATTTCTTGAAAGTCATCCTACACCTTTATGAAGCTGTGGAATTAGTTAATGAGTACCATTCGTCACGTGATTCCCATGTACGTAATGACGTACTTCTTTTGGTATCTTCAATGGAGCAATTGGTCGATAAATGCATGGAATTTGAGTTTGAGGTTCCGCCACAATGGTTCCAGGCACAGACTGAGACCTTATTAAAGCACATCTCCGATGATCAAAAGAGTAAACAAAATTCTGAAAGGTCGACTGGAGAAGAGTCTGATGACGGTGAAGAGCCTGATCAAAAGTCTGATAATTCCGATACCAAGGATAACTCTGATGGTTGGGGTGATATCTCATCAGACTCTGATAGTGAGTCGGAAGAAAATGGACTGGCAAGAACTGAAAAGGAACAGACTCCGCTATCAGAACCAGTCCCATATGACGGTTGGAGTGACATTGAAGACGATGCTGAAGACGACGACGACTTCATGAGAAAGAATAATGATAATGGAGTCTCTGTGGATGACGACAAGCAACTGAATGAATTGGAGTTTGACTTTGATTTTGAATGAATCCGCATATGGCAGCATATACTAGAATATAATAAAATAGAACAAAATTGACTAACGTTAAGGATCGTTATTTTCATCACCATTGGTCTGAAGGAAAGCTCCGGAGGTTCCCTGGATTTCATATGTAGTAGTCGTTGTCCCATTTAATCTTCTTAAGGGGAGTGCCATCCAATGCTTGGGTAGAAACAGATTCAGATTTACCCTGACAACCAAAGGATCAACGGGAGAAGTTCTTGTGGAGGTCAACAAGATAGTTTTATCATCGACTGCCAGGTTCGGTATACTTTCTGGGTCTGGAGGAGTCGTCGTGATAGTGACTATTTCATTCGAATTGTTTGTCTCTGGTTCTTGTTGTGTGGGTTGAGGAGCCATTGGTCGTTCCACTGGTTGAGCTTGAGCTTGAGCTTGAGCTTGGGGTGGTGGTGAAGCAGTAGTATCAACAGCTTCTCCTATCATGACTTTCCTACGACACATGGGACAACTATCTGAACGTTCTAGCCATTGTTTCAAACAGCCCATGTGAAGAATATGGCCACACAATAATTTCTTGGGGTATCTTCGTTTGGTCAATGGTTTATGAGAGTGTTTCCTGTCGTACTCTTCCACTGAAAACATTATTTCAAAGCAGACAATACAAGAGTTATCGCCTTGAGCCAAGTCTTCTTTCGAAGCATTTTGTATGGACGTTTCCAAGGCATTGGCTGCTATAATGTATTTCCGTAAATGGATAATCTCCTTTAATATTGCCTTTAACGAGAAAAAGATTCCTCCTAAGCACGTCAAGGGGAACTCTTTGGTGAACACGTACAATAAATACATCATACGACAGTTTGCCATGAGTTCTAAGAAAGAAGCAGTGATCTTGATCCCCTTAACATAGTAAGTTTTGGCTTCCCAGATTAGCTCATCATTTTCATCATCAACTTCAGCTTCATTTTCATCATCAACTTCAGCTTCATTTTCATCATCAACTTCAGCTTCAGCATTTACGCCATCCAGCTCAAAGTCCTGGTCCTCAGTGTTCCGAGACGGCGTGTAGTACCACGTAGTCTCATGCAACATGACAAGCAACTTGGCGACTTTGGCCAGTGACAGAATCGTCATAAGCACAAAGTGGAATCCAAAAGTAATGAGGGTGAGTTTCTGATACTCGTCAATGTCGTACAACAACACCGCCCCTGCTACGTACTCAAATGCCGTCAACAACACTGAGATCCAAAAGTTGGGGTTCACCACAAAGGCCAACGCCACCTGCTTACGTGACGTGTACTCGTGAAGATTATTCAAGATCCTCGTGGTAAAGAGATCTGTCCGGTTGTCCAATATGACGTGTATGAAACGACAACTGAAGGTAATGTTGGTGAAGATCACCATTAAAATGGTGTTGCCCTCACTGTAAGAACTGGTGGTCAGTATAAAGAAGGAAATCAAGTAATTGGTCATTCTTTCAGTACATAACTCAATCTCGTATGACGTTAGGGTGCCGAAAAGAATCCATACAATAATCAAATCAATCATTAAACATGAGGTGATTATCCATATGTAAGTTATGATAAGTTTATCCCCCGTAGTAATATCCATGAGAATCCCTAACCACGAACTGTTGGTGGAAAGAGACCCGTACACCGATCCAGCCATTATCGACCATATCCCAATACCAAATAGTAGTATCTGCCATCTTATAAATATCATTGTGGTGGCATTGAATATCGGGAGAGATACTTTGTTACTATTATACTACTACGTTTCAAATAGCACCATACATACTTGTGCGCTACCAACCGTGTGTGCTACTAATACTACTGGTGCTACCATGTTTGTCTCCATATAAAGCTGTACCTTATACTTGCATACACAATTAATATATTAATCTTGTTATTCTATTAATTAAAAATTCTCAACTTCCTGTAGCACCTTGCGTTTCTTACCCGAACCCTTTGAAAGTTGGGGTATCAAGCTGCGTTTAAGTAAATTGTGTTTCGGTGATGATGATGATTGTTGTTGGGGTGTTTTTGGAGGTGGAAGCTTTAACGGTGAAGTTATAATCTTGGACTTTGAAGGTGACTGTATTACATCTTCTTCATTATTGATATGCTTTCTGAGAGCCTTTAATGCTATTTGTGAATCTGAGATTATTGTAGTGGAATTCTCCTCATTGGCTTTGGAGTTCCAACCCAACTTTGATGTCTCTTGTCTTAAAGAATTCATGGAATCATCAAACTCATTAAATGCTTCATGCGGTAGGAGGATCGACTTTTGAGCTTGTTTCTTTATGGAAACTACCTCTGAAGTTGAACTCTTTGTAAATGTATCTACCCTATGAGAAACCTCTTCCCGTTCTTGTTCATGATATGCCTTCATTTGTGATTGAATGTTCTCGTTCGAGGCATAAATTTCAGATTTAAATTGATTGAGATTCTCAATGATCTGCTCTTGAACATTCTCTAGTAATCGTTCAATTATTTCCTTATTGTCCATGCTTGGAGGTTGTTGAAGAAACTGCTTTTGAATATAAGTATGAAACGTACTGCCTTGGTTCTTGATGTTAGTTGTGGCATTATCGACTTCTCCACTTAACCGTGTGTTCATACGTAGCAATACCAGTTCTAAGATCTTATGATTGTTTTCTTGAGCTCTATCGATTTCTTTCAATGATACGTTCTTGAATGTGGTCAACGTATTAATCATTGATCTTTCCATATCGGATTTTTGTTCTGATTCACTAACAACTGCTTTGATTAAGGAATCAATTGCCTTATGTGCTAAATGTGATGAACTTTCGAGTTCCTTCTTATACGAACTTCTAGCCAACTCCAAATCCTTTTTTATATCTTGTATTAACATCTTATCAGCATTCCTTTCTTGCTTAATCAGGTTTATTTGTGCTTTAAGTTGAGCTATTTCCTTTGATGAAATATCAAGCTCGGATCGAAGTACTTGAGCTTGACTATTGAGTTTCTCTCTTTCATTCGTTAATGTATTCATCTCACGCTGATGTTTTAACAATAGCCTGCTACGTTCAGTGGATGCTTCTTTCAATTGTATCTTAAGTTCTTGTATTTCCTTCTTCATGGACTCAAAATTGGCCTCATCTAGGAATATCCCATTTTTTCTTCTAGTAGCCCTAAGATCAGCTTCTAATCGGCTAATTGTATCACATAGTTCCCTCACAAGATAAGTCTTAAGCACTATGTCAGATTCTGATGTTGATTGTGGTAAATTTTGAATATTTTTCGCTCTGCTAGCATAGTCTAATGTCAGTGAGGTCTCATTTGAATTAGCCAATGCAGGTGAAATAGTTGCAATCAAAGCTGTCAGTGTATGACCCCCTAATGAATCCTGAAGTATTCGTGTTAATTTGGACTCTCTATATGGAATATGAGATGATGCAGATGCAGATATTATTGGTACAGGATTAATATTATCAGAACCATTTGCAGATGCTAAACTGTTTATGACTCTTCCAAGTGCTAAAAGACTTTGATTGATATTCCCGGCTTCCTTAGCGCGAGCTGAATCAACTCCGGATTTATTGATATTTTCTGAGCCTGCTAAATCAACTAAATTTAACTTGTTGGTAATAAAATAGTCACTATTGGGGTCCTTACGTTGGAGAACCATAGTAAATATTGTGTGTGACCGAGATGAGTGGTCATTAAGCTTTGTAGAAGCGGTTTTCCGACGTCGTAATCCTTGTAGCAATGATTGTATAGCACCTTCAGAATCAACAACTACCTTTTCAGTCAAATTGACCACTCTAATTGAACGAGATTGTTTATCCTCGACTATTCGTAATGGCATTTGTGTTGCAGATCTTTTCATATTAGTAGTAGAAGGAACATTTTCATCCAGAAGAAGATCTGTAAGCATTTCATTATAAATCTCAAGGTATGACACTGTGACTGAATGATCTTTTGGTGGAGATGTCTTTAGATTCTCAAAGAGTAGTCTGATAAGTCGAGGAATAATCCCAGATTCAGATTGTTGCTCGGGTACAGATCCTGCTGGTCCACACATGGTATAAGTCTTCCCAGTTCCAGTTTGACCATAAGCAAAGATGGTAGCATTGATGTTCCTACGATAGAAGTCTTCAAACATAGGGACGGCCACATTTTCAAAAATGGTTTGTTGATCTGCCTCAGGTCCAAAGGTCTGATCCACTATATAAGTCTTGCCGTGTCCTATTGAATTGGTATTCATAGTAACATAGGCCTCATTGGTGGTGGTGTTTCCCGCGTTGTTGTTGTAATCACCATCAGCCATTTCCACCACCACGGGCGAGCACTCTTTCTTCTCTCGTGTTGTGCGGCCGCGACACCGCACGGCCACTCTTATATGACCCATTGCTGTAGAAGAAGAAGATGGAGGTGTATGGAGGATGAGTATGGAGGATGACCTTGTAGAGATGGTGGTTGGTCATGTTTGTTTGTTTACTAGTTTAAATATGTATGCAGGAAGATCTTAGTCACGTGACTAGTGTAAGCTTGAATTATATATCGTTGAGCCATTATATTAAGAGGAGTGTAATAGCAAAGGTACTATTTCTAAGCTAGATTCAATGATGCAGTTGCAATAAGGCAGCTGGATCAATTCAGCAGTAATAAGTCAGTTATAATAAGTCAGCTGCAACTTGATATGACAAGGTTATATTATAAACTTCTCCATGTCTTCATACTCTGTGGGTTGTTGATGCTTATTCATAATCAGAGTCACTATCTTCATTATGACGTCTATTATAAACAATCTTGACTCCAGGCTTCTCATCTCTCATACTCTCTAACAAACGAACTACTTCGTTCTCTGATACCCTCCCTTGAAGTTGGCCCATAGAGTATATTTTGTATAAGTACTGTTCGATCTGTTCCACACGGTCTGGGCGCACTTGACGCACTCTGCCTAGTCTTTCTCTAGCTTGAGGTTCCAACAACTGGGCCACTGTATTGGATAGTGATGCACTTGGTGATTCACTAGAGGCTCCTCCAGAACCTGTGCTAGCATTGGTAGTAGCAGCTCTTGATCCCAGAGCCTGTTTCTGGAGTTCCGCAAGTCGAGCACTTCTGATAGCGTTGAGTTCGGTCTCGTCCATAGTGGAGTGGAGTGTAACACCGGTGACAAAAGATAAGTACCACTATAACGTGAACCAGTTAATTTTTCAGTCGACTCACTTGTTAACTTTGGTACAGACAGTCCAACTTGTGTGAGAAATTACTATATACCGTTTAGGACCATTTAAGGTTTGATAAAGTCAGTGTATGATATCCGATCTAATAAAAGTCTAAGGAAGATAAAAGTACGGAATTTGACTGTGTTAACACTGACTAAATGGGTTCTTAAAAGAATTACGGTAGAGTAAAAGGCTTCCTTTATGATTTCGTAATGGCTTATGTAATCATTCATATTGTCAAGGGAAAATGTGACATTCAAATACCAAAAGCGGCGTCTACACTCCATGTTTTCTTTGCTTGTTGGCTGTCAAAAATAGAAGAAGATTGCTGGAGAGCTTATAGCGGGATACTTTACTGTTTAGGGGTTATATCGCATATAGGTCACGATAATTTGGTTTATCTCGAGGGATTATTAGAGGATAATTCGGACAGACAGACTAAACTGAGTACAGATTGATAGCTGACAGAAAGTAATACTTTTATTACACTCCATAAATATGTCTGATACCAAAGGAAAGCTTAGGAAGTATAAGATTGTGTTTCTTGGGGATCAAAGTGTTGGTAAGACATCGTTGATCACCCGATTCATGTATGATACTTTTGACGAACAATATGCTGCTACAATCGGTATAGATTTCCTTCTGAAAACAGTTTATTTGGAAGATAACCAAACCATCAGGTTGCAGCTTTGGGATACCGCTGGCCAAGAGAGGTTTCGGCTGTTGATTCCAAGCTATATCAGAGACTCACATGTGGCGGTGGTATGCTACGACATTTCCAACAAACGGTCGTTTGCCAATCTAGACAAATGGATCAGTGATGTACGATTAGAAAGAGGTGACGAAGTTTTGGTAGTGGTGGTGGGGACAAAATCAGACTTGAGCAACAAGAGACAAGTGACCAGTGAAGAGGCAGAAGCATTGTGTTCTCGGGTTGGAGGTGCATTTTTTGTGGAGACTTCAACAAAGGCCAACCATAACATTAAACAGTTATTCAAACGTATAGCCCAAAATTTGAGTGGATCATCAGATGAAAATGGAGTTGATAATCAAGCTCAAGACACTGCAGGAACAGAAACAATTGATATTTCCATCAACACAGAGTCAGTGGCACCTCTGAGGTGTTGTTAGATATTGTTATTATTGCATTTGGGGGAGACATATTTTGTCGTAAATCTATCCTGCTCCGGTGTTGTCTAGTTTGAGTATTAGTATCATTATTATTATTATGTAAGTACCTAGTTTTAACAAGAGTCTTCTTTCCCTCTTTCATGACACAAAACCCAGAATTAAGATTAACTTCACTGAGGACTTGTGACATTATTGCTATTATTTACAAGCAATCCTGTTGGTTATATGCAGACTTTTTACTTAATGCAAAGAAATATAGAATGCTTAATTAACGAAGTTTAAATGAAAAAATAGCATCCCTGCCTCTTCCTTTTCTACCAGCTTTTAATAGAATTTTTTATCGTATATCATGGCTTAACCGCTTTGCCTTGTCGTCATCTTTTTAAGATTGAGATCTTTTTTTTTCTTGGGAGTTCTCACGTTGTTTACGGTGATTGAACCTAACCTGGTGAAATTGCAATTTTGGTTTTAATCTGTCTTTTCTCCGTCTCCTGCAAGACGGAATTTACTCCAGTTCGTAATTGACATCCAATGAAATTGTCACTCAGTAACATCCATGGACTTTAATGTTACTTGTGCTTCTTTGGAATAAAGTCTGTTTAGTATAAGTTAAGCTTTATTAGCTAAGTTTTGGCAAAGTCTGGGTTACCTTTGCCATAAGTTCCCTAACTGGGTAATAAAGCCTCAAATGTCGGATGTGGGATATTTTCAGGTTGAAAAACAATAGCGTGCAACCTTCGAATCACAGCTCGAAAATGTGTCAGGTTTGAGATCTGACACAACGTAAAGGGCATACTTCCTGATGAGGGCTGATGGCGTATGGCAAGGTCATCCGATTATTTCATCGATTGAATGTCCTATATTTTTAGTCTTACTGAACATGGAATGGTATGGAATGGACTAACAAGATTATTGGATGTCTGTTTGTCTGTCTGTCTGTCATTTCCATCAAATGGGTTGATACTCTGTGGCACAGACAAAAATATTGCTTAGTAGGTACTGGAAAGTGGAGACTTTGAAGAGTCTGGGCCCTTGCGTGCGCGGTCTACAAAGTCCGAGCTGGGGGATCCTTTCCCCTTGCATTTTATTTTCTTTTCGTAGTACCGGTTATACCTGCCGCTGACATATAATAAAGTGTCCCCGGCCCAAAACAAGCGCGGTGAAATAGAACGGGTTGACATGAATTGTGCAACAATAAAAAAGAGCATGTCCGAGATCTCCGGCCCCATCGCCCCCTCTAAAGTCAGGGGCTCCTGACATTCATTCAGTGATGTGAGGAACAAACGGTAGTAGGTAACGAGAATTTGTGGTTGTCACGGTAAATTTTTGGGCCTAATTCATGTCACTTGTAGTCGATTAATGGTGGAATTTCTATACCGAAGATTAGATTCAAATTTTGACATTTACGAACGGCAACAAACTCACTACCTTACTACCACCCATTTCAAAAAAATTTTAAGAATAAATGCGCGTATGATCGTTGTGGCCAGCAGATTCGCATTAGAGTCATCCTGGGAGAGCAATATCCAGGCAAGGTCCATCCCGTCTTGGGGTCGAGTCTCATATACAGTCTGTTGATCAATAGGACATGCTGTTAATGTTATATCGGACATAGAAATCCATCAATGAATCACTCAGTCGTATATGTCAAATGATATGCCCAGTAATTCGTCCCATTAGATGTACCCCGTTCCGCATGACGTTCTTTGTTCTCTCTTCTTATTCTTGTGCTCTCACAACCCTTGCGGTTACTCAACTTCTAGAATTAGAGAAAAAATACCTTTATCCCCCTGGCACCCCTATGTCCCTGTGATCGTTCCACTGCAAAGCATCAGGGGTAAAAATGATGTGCGCGACACGCCATTTGTAGAATCACAACATACGAATGACAATAATAATATCGTGTCATACACTCCATGGTTTAAGCTTCAGACACAATTCATCATCTTCAATAAGATCCCACTTTCAATAAACAATTGTGTGCGTAAATCTTTATTCAGGAACAATATTGTAGCCGACGATTACGGGTTGTGTCAGATACTGTCTAAAAACAAACGATGACGTGGATCGACGCTGAAAGAAGTACGCTAGTGCTCCTTTCAAATACGAAGCAACTGATGTCCCGAGGTTCTTCGTCAGTTCATCAGTACATTCTGATCGATCTCATTCTGGTAACAATCTGTACCATTCCCAACCCAAGCCGCCGAAAGTAGAAAAAAATGTGTCCTTTTATATGTGCATATACCGTTCTCAGCTTCAAATGTCTGATACTTTTTCTCAACCGACACACAAATCAGACAGAATAAATTAGCGACCGGGTAACCTACTCAGTATTTCCCCAAACTTATCTCACTCTCTATCTGGTTGTCTTCCTCCCACTTGGGACTTACTACCTTTCATCCTTTACAAAAAATTCTTATTCCACTTCATCGAATAATCCTCCACGTCAAATCGCGTGGGGCGCTCATATTTGTAATCGTTTTTTCATAGCTGCACTTGACAGTCTTAGATTGTTGGAACGAAAGCTCCAACCGTACCACGACCGTTTACTATTAATCGGATCTGCTCACAAGAGTGTCTGCCTTTCCCTCCTTGGAGTGTATTAGGTAACCCCCACACGCTTTGGCGAACTAATCTATGCCAACAAAAATATTACGGCCTAGTATATCCATAGAGCCAATAACCCATTTACAAACTTCAGTCGACCTTAAAGATTCAAACGGAGGTACAACCACAACCACCATAATCACACCCAATAACACTGCCATGTCTGTCCGGTCTTCGCCGTCGCTGCCACTGTCACTGCTGTTCCTCGCGCTGGAGTCCTCCAGTGACAAGTTGTCTTCCACTCGTCCTCGATCTAAAAGAGCTTCAAAGGGACGTGTTTTTCAATGTACTGGGTATCCAGATTGTAATATGCTGTTTACCAGATCGGAACATTTGGCGAGACATAAACGAAAACACACAGGTGAAAGACCCTTCACATGTCCACACTGCTCAAAGAACTTTAGCAGACTTGATAACCTAAGGCAGCATAAACAAACGGTCCACGCATACGAGACCATGATTGCAGTGGCACATATACCTGAAATCAAAAACGAACAGTCATCTCCAGAACTGGAATCTGCCCCTCCTCCTCCGCCCCCTCCTCCAGCAGGTGCAGCGCCGGCAGGAAGAATAGGAATGTCAACTTCTGTATCTTCTGCGCCTGCTTCGCTTTCAGCCTCGTCTGCAGAAATGGTCGACCTGGCACCAACTCTCCCTCCACAACTTCATCGCCAACCAATCCATATACCCAATTCTCTAGGCACAATACTATCACCAACAAATGTCAACGGTCTGCTGTACCAACAAAATGATCAAAGTATGAATACTAATCAACACGGGCAACTTGAAGAGCCTTTAACTCTTCAAGATTCACAGCATAATAATCAACAACATCTTCAGCAAAACCATGCTCCTCCAAACAATAACAATCCAAACCATCAAATTTATCAATACCATATTCAGCAGCCCTACTATCCTCAGTCTCAATATGTTGCCCCTCTGCATTTCTATCCTCATATGTCGTATGGGGTTCCACCACCTCTCCCTTCGGCACCTCTACCTGCCACCATACCTTTGTTTGGTAACTTGGCCTCAGCTCCAACCGCTGTTGTACCTACACCTACAAATCACGTGCTGGGTTCCACTTCTTCCACAAGTGATTCTTCACCTGCTTCAATTTCCTCTAATGCTAACAGTAATAACAATAGCAACGGAATAACAGCAGCAGGTTCACCTCCACTACCCCTGTCGCAATCTTCGGAGACTTTAAAGCTTCCCACCAGTGAATTTAGACCTAAACGAAGACCTAGACCTTTGGAGTTACGGTATTCGTTCATGGCTTCTGCCCCTTCGTTAGCAGATACTACCAAAACTCCAGTCACAACTTCTTCAGCCCTTACAACTCCTACTCCGTCTTCGATGTCGTCTTCATTGCAAGTACCCTCATCGGTTTCTACTTCACATATGCATCAAGATGAAGTCCATGGATTAAAGTCTGCACCCCCAACATCATCGTTCTCTGCTGCCTATGCTCGTTCCAGTATAATATCTCCGTTGTCTCCGCTTTTTCATCAACTGTTCCATCAAGTGAAGCAACAACCAGCTTCCAGTCTAAGTGTTGAGAATAAAGAGAATATTGGCTCAGTTGCTACTGCTTTTGGAACTCCTGGTCCTGGTACCGGAGTTGTGCTTCCTCCTGTGGCCACTAGCTTTTCTCCCTTACACATACCACCTATTCGGTCTAGCAAAAACTGGCTCAGTGGAGTGCTCAATGGAACCAGTAGTACTACCAATGGTAATGCTAACCCTGGTAATACTATAACAGGTACCACTTCTAAACCCGTCCAATCTGGAGACGACGACATGGTAGTCGATGGAACCAGTCAAGAAAATGGAACTATTAAAGGCATTGAGATCAAGTGTGAAGGGGTGAAGCACGGTGAAGTTCATAAAGAAGAAGGCAACAACATAACCAAGACGAATGAAGATAGTAATAATACCAATAGTAATAATAATAACGGCAGCAACAACATTGACGTTGATGTTGATGTTGATAATGTTGGAACTGCTACTACTACTACTAATAGGGTCATTGAAAAGAGGCAATCTATCCGTAACTTGCTCTCTTAGAAACCCCCCACTCGCTCACTATTAATATATGTATTATAAATAAATGGCCTTGCTTATCATATTTAACGATGATCAACAGATTCCAATGTGGCTATTCGATCCAATGTAATTGCATTTAGAAACGTACCATCATTAAGTATATTGACCTGTCCCAAAGCGGCTTCCGCTTCCCCGAGTGTACCCATCATTTTGATGTATTCCTGGTAGAGGGGCCAAAGGTTCTGTTGAGTTAACTGATGTTTCTGATGCATAGCCGTCTCTACCCGAGTGGCATCCTCGGTACTATCATTGCGTAGAAGTTGAGTCAACTTTGGAACACATTCAGTATGAAGAAACTTATCATATTTATCAAGCACCTCACAAAGTGCTGCATTACGTTGTTTACGAGAGTTAATCATCTTTTCCAATATGATAATGTCAGCTGCAACACTATCACAGTTGTTATCAGTGCTGCATCCGTTTATCTGACGTGTCACATTTTTATGGATATCATGACCTTTTTCATTGAACTCCGGGTATTTGTTCACCAAGTGACGGTGAACCAAATCAACATCTGCTGTGGTGCCACAATTAAGTGGTTCAGTGTCTGAATCTGCTTCCGTTCTGAAAGTATCCACAGTTTCTACCAACTTGGCTATTAGAGTCTCGTTCTTCTTTATTTGGTCCACGAGATCAGAAGCTGTCTCCACTAAAGGATCCAAATTCTCCGCGTTCAATAAGTCTGCCATAAATCGTGGTGTATGTTATGATTTTACTTGTATGGTTAATTGACTTGTGGTATATCAAATAGAGACAACTAACTAAAATACGGTGTGCATTATATATGGGGTTGGCCATTCTAAAAATGGTGTGTTTGGTAGCGCTATACGTATAACGATTTCATGATCAGCTTTTAGAGCCCCCATCATTTTCTTCATCATCTAACAGGAATATCATGCTGGATCGTATTTAAAACGCAGAATAAGGGTAATGCTTGTTTCCTAACTTCTTTCATGGTGATTGTACTTTATCTCAATCAGAAACGAAGGTACTATCAATAAATCGTCGTGGTTAAGGTTCCTACTTAGGTGCATTCTTTCTTTCTTGACGACCCTTCTTCATTACTTGCTTCAATGCAACCGAGTCCAAAGGATCAAGTAGTTCAAACAGACATAATAGCTCTTCCAGGACACTCATTACCGCACCCCAATTGTCAAATTCACCACAATAATTGGGAGCCAGGAACACCGTCACTAATGTCCGATCATTGAAGAACTCATACCCATCTTCAACAACCATGTGCGCTCGACAAACCAAGTCAAAAGCAAACTTCAGAAGGAATTTGTTGATTGATACTTTATTGAACACATACGAGACTCCTCTCTCGTTGTCTTCCCACTCATTCATGGTATCTGCGGGGTCCAGCCAAAGCAAATCGTTTAAAAGTCCGAAATCGGGCACATCTGTAGGGCGGGCTATATTTCGAATCTCATCCATCGAATTCAATACTGGTGATAATCCTCCATGAACACAAAAGATCTTGGATGCCACGATAGCGGCAATTGGAAGAGTGTTGAAGGTATCAATAAATAATTTCCACGTTTTAATATTGCATCTACGTTTGCACTCGTCATAGAAACCATAAACACGAGTCACGTTGGCACATTCATGGTTACCCCGTAATAGGAAAAAGTTTTCAGGATATTTGATCTTGTAGCATAATAATAAAAGAATAGTTTCCAATGACTGTTTCCCACGATCAACATAGTCACCAAGGAAAAGATAGTTTGTCAGGGGAGGAAAGCCACACTTTGTAAATATACGAATTAAATCACTATATTGGCCATGGACATCACCTACAACCTTAACTGGAGGACTCAATTCCAAAAGGGATGGTTGCAGTAGGAAGATCTCTCTAGCTGTGGAACAGATTAACTGGATTTCTGAATTCTTAAGACAAACTGCCTTCGTACGTTTCCCACTATATCCTGCGTCCAATAGCCTTTGAATCAAATCTTCAATATCAATAGTTGTTGTGTGTTGATTAGGAGTTTGAGGTATAGGGGTTTGGACTCCACTGGTTGTACCATCATTATTAACATTTAAGTTTGACAATGAATGCGAATTCGAACTTCCAAGGGACCCATACAAGGGACCAGGTGTTGTAGGAGTAGTGCTCATGGGTGTAGCAGGCAGAGATGATGATGCCTGAAGTGAAGCTCCATTCTGGGCATTATGGGGCACTTCGGCTGTACCATTGCCGTTGTTGGTATTGTTGTTGTAATGGTTGGAATTAATGGTATTGCTAGAATAGCTCGTAGCGAGGATTGACAGATCACCTGGCAAAGGAGCTGAATCATTTGTTATAACAAAACTAGCATCTTGAGCCCCAGATGCTGTTCCCGGTAAACCGGTTCCCTCGCCTTCTAACGACATAGCATCCAACTCCAGAGCTAAATCATTCGAGGATACACTGACTCCACGAACAGAGGAACCTGATCTATTAGAACTAGTACGGCTGATTTGATTGGACTCAAAGGGCAGGGGTAGCGTCAGAGTCAGAAGACGCTTTGGATTAGGAGTTGTGGACGAAGCTGAATCGATGGTTCCAGCAGTATTGCGTCTCATTAAAATGGGCTGTGGTGTATCACCAGAAACCATGGAAGCCGGCAAATGCGAATTCGGTATTTCTACCGATGTTGAGCTGTTCTTCCGCGATAGCATGGCAGGGGATCGATCATCAACAACATCCGATGACAGACTCATTCGAAAAGACCGCTTAGACCGTATAGACCTAGAGGATTTGACAGACTTACTGGAACCAGCGGTGTCGGTCCTATTTATCGGCGGATGGGAGCCACCAGATTTGGAAGGATTGTTTCCCATGATGTATAAAGTGTTTTTTCCTCTCTTATAACAAAGGATTGCACCAGCGGTAGCAGGGAGTTTCTACTTTGCTACCTTTTTGAGTATGAGCTGGCCACCAGTGGGGTGATAACGACAGCGGTTGGAGGTAGGTAAATCTATCGTACTGGAACGGGCGATGACTTCAAAGAATTGTTGACACCTAAAGCTATAACTATCGTAGCAGCTTATAAAGGTTACTGATGCAACGATTACCTTTTCTCAATGTTGGGTTAAAGAACACTGTTATACCAAGCTCTCAGCGGGTTGTGTCCCCCAGTTCAAAAGTGACGATGACTAAAATGGATAATTACACAAAACGGTAAAATGGTAGCTCCGTGTCCTTTATGAATTTGGAAAAGCCTATTAGATCCCTCTTTTAAAGGTTTAATTGGGAAGTGTATACGACTCCTTGAGTGATTTCGCAGTTGCTTTTTTGGTTTTTCGCTAGTTCTCAAGCCTCCTGTTCTCATTTAGTAGTATTTCTTATCAGAGAGTCAAGACTCAAGCTTCAATGGTCGTAAAGGATTAAGTTTCCAATTGTTTGTGCAACGATAAATCCAATAATCGTACGCTTTCTATTGTGGAAATATGGAATCGGAAAATCAAACGAGTTCTCCCTGTCTTCTGATGAATCCTTCTATGCGTGCCCCCTTAAGGCTTTATTATTTGAAGTAGACAAGATTTAACAGAGATCTTCAACTTTTTAGGCTTACGCGAAGGAGTTGCACCTAAATTGATTTTCCATAGGGTCTAGAATGGGGAATCGAACGGTTTTGAGTATATTGAGATGGTACACGAACACCAACCTTCAAAATAGGTACATTAAACTTCATGAACTACAGCTACTTGCATTAATTGGTGTAAAATCTTTGGTTATTCACCCGTGAATGTTTCAAGTGACAGTAAAGGATTGGGGGTGGTGTAATATTGAACCATTATTCAACATCAGAAGCATTCGTTCCTATTTACTTCAACGGTTACGTCTTGTTCGGGACCGAAGTTGAAAATTATTATTGGTTTGTGCCATGTGTACGTCTCAAGATGATAAAGGAGAACGCCTCACTTAAATTTAATTTACATGGGTCTATTGAGCTTTGCTAAGAGTATTGTGATAACAACAGTAATTATTATACTTGGTGCTGCTTGGTGCTGCTTGGTGCTACTTGGTGCTACTTGGTGCATTGATGGTGATCTGCAATTTCATCTTGAAATCAATGGAACGACTATACATGTATCCTTCAATCAGATCTTATTATATAGATAGGCCTATCCATTTACTTCCCCCCCCCCCCCCTCCCCCTCTCTTCAAGGCTCGTACATAAGTCCTTCTTGGACCACTATTTTTTTGTGCTTTGAATTATGTCATTTCGATCACCTTTCATATCCTACACTAAACTTTGCAGATAGATCTGAACTTTTAGCCAAGTTACATTTGTGGTATTATTTATGAGTATAAAATAATAAATAAGCCAAATACTTTGACGTATAAGTATAGATTTAGAACCATTACTTTATCCCACTTATACTTCATTCTATTATGGCATGCCTCTTGGTTGAATTATGTCATGTTTAATTGAACTTTTCTATTATTTCTAATTCTATAGGCGAAAGCGTACTAACAATCTTGCATTGAGATTCATGCGTCAGAGGTATAATCGAAAAACACTGTAACTATTCTTCTATAACTCGCACCAGTAGTACTTGTTACGTTCGATACCCACGGTACAAATTGTATTAGATTGTCGATTATGATGATGTGGCTTAACAGCTGGTGGCAATATCAATCATTTTGTTCTAGCTGGAACCGAAGTAATTTATTATACCCCATTAGTGAGGGGTCGTATCGAATTACTATATGGGGAAATACCACGCGGTAATTACATTGAATGTGAGCTAGGCACCGTATTATAACCTAAAGATCTATCGGGTTCTTTTCTTTACGCGATGACAGCTTTTTTAATTATGTCAAACAAGTTGTGTTTTTGTTCCTGTCATTCTTCTTTTGGGTACGTTTTTCTTCTGTTTATCTGTAACATAGTGAAACTTCACCTCGGTCAGGCCTCTTCCCATCATAGTGAATTTTATCCGCACTAACCTTCGCTTCATGGAATATTCTTTACGCGCGCAATCGGAGTGAGTAGTAGTGTTAAAAGCCCCTATGGCGCTGTTATTCCGCTTTAGGCCCTGATTGTTTCTGTTGCAGTTTTGTGTCCACAAGATAACAGAGTGGAATCACATCACGACTATTTATATAACCCCTCAGGAAGTCTCTTATGACATCGCTTTCTTCTTCTTTTACTCTTTTACTCTACATCAACTAACAACATAATTAGCACTTTGCCGTTTATCATATACACCTTATAGATGAATAGTTACCATGTTGTCCCTGAGTCAAGAAGATTACACTCCTTCCAATTCGTCTAAACGAAAAAAACGACTGAATCGGTCCCAGGGTATTTTCCGTATCAATACCGTTGCTGGTGTTGATCAGAAGTGCGACGATAATAATAATAATGCCCTTGATGAGAACTATTCTTCCGATAACTCGTTGGATCCTGAAGATGTCCCGCCTCCTGGAAGACGGAGATATCTTCTGTTTGGTCTTGACAGACGTCGAAGGGCTTCATCCGTATCTACTGCATTGAGCTCTGTGGTTTCCACTGACTCATTTGCCACTTCTATTTCCCTGGGACCTCTGTTTACAATTAACAATAACATGGATGTTTCATTTGCCAAAGCCTCCATTAAAGATTATAAAAAGATAGCAAAGACCTTGAGTCTTGCGTTTGAACTGGACCCCTTTGTCAATTATGTCTTACACACAAAAACGAGAGATAAGTCAATTCGTAAAAAGAGATTATTCCAATCTTATTTTGAATGGAATGTCTTTGAATGCTTCAAGACTGGTGGTACCATCATTATCTTGAAAGATGCCAATTGGGAAAATTTATCTAAAGATATGCCATATTTGGGTGTTGCTTGTTGGTATAAATTAAAGTATGATGCCACCAAAAATACCTTCCTCAATGCATCCACCTTGTCCTTCCTCTCCCTCCTCCACCCCATTATGTTGAAGTTTAATCTTTTTTACAATTCAAAACATCACACATTTTTAAGTGAGAAGTTTGAATATTTGATTAAGCAAAGAACTAAAGTGTTGGAAGGCTTGAAGATTGAAGATCCAGAAAACCATTCCATTTGGTATTTGGGTGACTTAGGTGTACTCCCTATGATGCAAGGTAAAGGATTGGCCAGAAAGTTAATCGAATTTGCTTTCGAGAACTTTGTTGACACGAAGCCTAACCAATGGGTTTATTTGGAATCCTCTAACCCCATTAATAGAGTGTTCTATCAAAAGTTAGGCTTTGAATTAAGGACCACGTACGATATCACCGAAGAAGAGGATGATAACTTTGAATCTTCATCCTTTAGTTCTGCGGCTTCATCCAATGTCACCAATCATAGCACAAAGGCTGCTTTGGAGGTAACGTTGGATGGGATGATAAAGTACCCAAAATTGTTAAAGAACATTGAAGCAACAAAGACTTTATTTGCTCCTATTACTACTGCAATGGAGCAATTAAGTATGTGTGCTTCAATTGGCAAGCAAGTTATTACTCGCTAAATTAATGATGCTGGCGCGCTACCTCTAACTTGATTTATGTTGCCAAACATAAGAAAAGAGAAAAGGGCACCTGCTCATGGACAGAACTATGATGTTCACATGAAGGTTGATCCTTTTGTTTTTTTTTGTTCTATGGTAGATGAAAGCCACCCATCTTTTTTTTCTTTGTACGAACTTGGCTTTGTTCGTAATCGATTTACATCTAGTACAAAATTAAAAAAAAAAAAAAAGAATATTTAACTGCTTAGGAGGATTTGTTGATAAAAGTCGTTTTTCTCGGTTTGTCCGTTTTTTCTTATATCCTTCTTATCCTTAAGTAGCATCTTTATATATTTTTACCAATATTATTTTCCCAGTAATCTTTACCTGTAGCTGTTCTTAAGAGGTCCCCTTTAAGGAATTAAGAGCGGAGCTGATTAATACGATGACAGAATAAAGCTCATTAAGGTGGATCACGTCAGTTTCATCTAATCAATAAAGTCCATCTGCATGACTGGATCAAGTATTCTATTTTTAACTTCAAATTGGCTGAGCAAAAGTTTGGCGACCTCATTACCTATAATGGAATGTCTTTGCCCTGTAGCAGTTCATTTTAAAGGTGGTTCCAGAGAACATTTCAAGGTGACTCAACATAATTCACTGGTTTTCTTTTAGGCAGCTTAGTTACCTATTCCGTAGCTCATGCAATGCTGTGTGAATAATAGAATAATAAATAGATCTGCATATTATTTTTTATTTGGTTGTGCTTCGCGTTTGAGACAATCACTAATATTTGAATGCATATGCGAAAAAAAAATACCTGAATACTGCAGACAAAATGTATGCAAAGGAAGGGTGTCGTAGATAGATCAAGATGCATGATCAACAGACTGACGAAACACTTGAAACAACGAACTAGCTATCGTTATTATACGATGACTACATGTTAATCCTTGTGATTTAATGAATACAAGGCAAAATCAAGTTTTTATTTAGCTATTATAAAATAAAGTTAATGTTGTAGAACATGAAGAGCGGAGATTGAAGTCCATCACTTGAGGTATAAAGACTTATAGACAGTTAAAGAAAAGCAGTTTAAGGGTATACCCAGTTGCTATAGTAACCAATGGCACCCCAAACAACACTATTGTAAGTAATGTCCTTATCAGTACACATATCACCACCACTCTTACCCAAGTGCTCACAATGGATATCAGGACGGTACTTGACCATAGCTTGATGCAAGTTTCTGCAAAAAATAGTGTTTTGACCACCTTCAAAACTTTCACCCATTCTGACAGTCATAAGGTGAGCGAAACATTCGGCATAACTTCCATATTGTTTATTTGAACCAGTACATTGGTCCATGGCAATCTTACAAATGGAGTCAATTGCCTTAGCCTTTATAAGTTGTTCAGTAGAAGCTGAAACAATTGACATACCACCGATTTGAGGTCCAAGAATGCTAGTTGCTGGTCTGTGCATTGCCTGATACTGAGCCCAGTCGAAGTTTCTAAAGTTAACATCATATTCTTTAATAGAGTAACCAATGTCAGATTCTGAGCTTGGAACCAATTTAATCCATGCTTCAATAGGGATTGGAAGGACCCAATCACTCAATTGAGGGAAGGTGAAGTTAACAATTGCAGATGCTGAGATAACATCTTTCAGCGAAATAAACTTATCAAGTTGGTATTCAGTAGGATGACCGATCATACTGAAAGGAACTTCTTCGACTCTTGCAAATAAACCAAAGATATATTCAGTGTTTAGCTCCTGAGAAATAAAGTTTCTAGTCAAAGAGACTCTACCTCTAACATCAGGAACAAATAAAGTTGAGTTAATCTTATCTGCTTCTTTAGCATCTTCTGGATATAAGAACTTATCGAAGAAGAATTTAATAAACTCATATGAGTGATCTTCGATATCTTTATAGTACTCAGTAGTACCTGATTGGTAAGCAACAGCGGAAGCAGATGCCTTGGTGGAAACAGTAGTACCAGTAGAGACAGTTCCACCAACGGAGAAAGTAGTACCATAGGAGTAAGTCGTACCAGTGGAAACGGTTGAACCAGCAGCAACACTACTACCAGACATCTTCATGGTAGTGGAGTGAATTTCGCCGTTGTGTCTCTTTGCACGTTGTTCATTGGGAACAAAGGAAGCGCTAGCGCCGGCAATAACCAGGGCGCAAACCAAAAGATTTTGAAAAAGCATTGTAGCGTAATACTTTAACTTTGAAAATGGTTGACTTAGCAAAGAGAATCCTAACACTTTTTAACGACTGATAAAACCTACTTATATATTCGATTAAACGGTTTCATCGCATGAGCACATTCACCCTAAATTGGTTTATTTGTTTGTTATAATATAATGCATGGCTCATATATGAAAGTTAGAATCGCGTATTATGCAAAGAAAGTAAATCTCTGTAGTAAAGTGTATCGGAATGGATGTTTGTTTCAATCAGTTCTACATCCACTTTGGGATACTTCTATGTCTCAAGATTCTATTTTAGGCTTTGATCGTTATTTTAGTCTTGAAAGTCGCTTGGTAAAGTAGAATAACTTCCTATTTAGTTACTTAAGAATTAATTATTAGACAATAATAAATTTTTCTGCAGGTACATGATTGCCTCTAACAATACCTGTACCTCGATATGGCAGATTGTTCTACAGGAAAAAATGCAGGGCAGCGCATCAAGTACTGATTGACGTATGTTTGTTTTTTCTCGAGCTGAAGCTGAGTTCGCCGATGTTTATGACAACTTCACGAGTACCAAAAACACTGAAACTCATAGTTAGGTGTTAGCTCGCGTAGTCGTGATATTTGACATTTTGACATCTGGTGTGAATTGTGTGATACATTGGTCAAGATAACTCAAATCAAATGGTATATTAGTTGTTACTGGAAGCTACTTTGATCTGCTAAAGGTGTAAGTAGTTCCCCAGAAGTATGAAGAATCTCATATTTCAGGAGTAAATGGGGAAAGACCGTGTCTGCAAGGGGTACAAAAGGCAGAGAAATTTTAGCGCTGAAAAGACTAAACGCTGAGTGTTTTGTTCACAGCACCACTAATTAAACTAGCTTGGCACGAAGTAGTCTATTTAGCAATTTCTTTATTGTTTTTGTTGAATTAGTACACAACGTGACGAGAGATGAGAGAGACAGCCAGGAAAATTATCTGCTTGTTTCTGTTTTAAAAAAAGTGTTCTATATGCAGTCTTTAATATCACGTGAAAATGAATGAAGCAATGAAAATCATCTTTTGGCGTAAAACGCTTACTATTGTTTTTCATCAACCATAGTCAATACATCACTTCAAATATGTTGGGCAGGGCTCGCACCACAAAGTTGTCTTATGGTATTCGGCTTCTTAGTGGATCTCTGAGAGGATTTAATAAGGGAATCCCCAAAACTGCTCCCCCATCACAAGAGGTGAAACGTGGAGATAATGATCAAACAAACCAGAATGTGGAACAAAATAAGTCGAACCACCCTTCAATTGCAGAAAATGGGTTATATTTTGGTCAATTTACAGAGAATGAATATCAAGAGGCGGCTAAGATTGTACGAGATCAAATTTCTAAACTTGAAAAAGACATCAAGGGAGATTTCAATATTCGTGAAAACATAGGCAAACATCCTGTAATACCCGCTATTCCAAATAAATCCCAGAAGCCAACAAAGGTCAATTCTTTGGAAGATTTCTTCACGCAAGTAATTCAGACAACAGGACCCATGTCACTCTCGTCTTTTATGAGGCAATGTTTGACACATCCTGAATTTGGTTACTACACCACTCGAGATCCACTTGCATCTAAAGGAGGCGATTTCATAACATCACCTGAAATTTCATCTGTTTTTGGAGAAATGATCGGTCTGTTTTGGTTATATACTACATGGGTATCGCAAGGAATGCCGGAAAATATTCGAATCATTGAGTTTGGCCCGGGAAAGGGGACTTTGATTTATGATGTTATGCAAACGTTTAACAGCTTGGTGACTCGCCAAGGTGGAAAGGTGGCCGTTGAAATTGTCATGATCGAGGCGTCTGATATCTTGAGGAATGAACAATATCAGAAGCTTTGTAAAGGTGAGCCTATTGAGAAGATCAATGAGACTACAGTGCTGTCTAGAACAATTTGGGGTAACAGAATAACGTGGTATTTAACAGAAACTGAAATTGAGCCTAGTGAGAATGTTGGGAACTATATTTTGGCTCACGAATTTTTTGATGCGTTACCAATAAAGGCATTCAAGAAGACAGAAAATGGTTGGAGGGAGTTCTTAGTAGATCATAAGGCAATTGCCCAAAGCTTGGAATCTCAGACATCCAAATCGAACGATAACGATCTTCACACTTTACAGACACAGTCGGGCACTGATTTTTACTTAACATTAACTCCCAGTGAAACCCCGTCATCCAAAATTCCCCAACTAAGCTCCAGGTTTAACTCTCTTCCAATCGGCTCCACCGTTGAGATCTGCCCTGATGCTGAGACGTACTTGAAAAAAATGATTAAATTGATAGAGACCTCTGGTATCAACGTAGGCTCCATATTAGCAATTGACTATGGACCATCGAACAGCATTCCTGATGTTACACTCAGAGGGATATATAAACACAAATTCGTATCTCCATTTTACCAGCCAGGGCATGTTGATTTGTCTGTCGATGTGGACTTTAAGAATTTGGCTTTAATTGCCGACCATTCTGATACAATGACTGCCTACGGTCCTGAGGAGCAAGGTGATTGGTTACACAACGTTGGTATTGGTCATAGAATAGATCAACTTTTGAAGAAAAATCAGAACGATCCAGAGTTCCAAGACAAGATATACAACTCATATTTGAGATTGACAAGCAAAGATGATTCTGCTATGGGGAAAGTCTACAAATTTTTATGCATAAATCCCAAGTCTTCACCTCCTCCTATTGGGTACACTAAATAGTCATGTAAATAGTTTTGAACGGACACTCCTATGTTTGAATGTTGATTGAAAGATTTTTGACGGTTGAATGAGAATTTTGAAATTCTAGTTCAAAACTGCTTCTTTAGCTTCTTAAAAAACCTTTTGAATGTATAATTTTGTGAGATTGGATTTTTCACAAAAAACTTGATGTAGTATCCTAGGTTGCTTAATATAGTATTGCACGGTTCTGGTTTAATTTCGGTTCACACTGTCGCGCAAATCAGAGCAAAAAAACAATTCCGATACCGGGAGTCGAACCCGGGTCTGCTCGGTGAAAGCGAACCGTGCTAGCCGTTACACTATATCGGATTAATTGTTTATATTTCAACCTTGTTTTAGTAGAGTTCACTATTACTGAAGTTGTTCTTTATCCGCGCCCATTCAAAGGTGATCTAGGGCTAATGCAAGCGTCTGTGCAACTTCAAGCAAAAGTCCTATAATATGTCTTTATGAACTCTAACTCTCAGTATTCAAAATATTGGTGTTTAAAAATCTGTTACCATCAAGCAAGTCTCTATGGACATCTAGAGATGACGAGGATTGAAAGGAAAAGCCTTACAACTCCCTCTACACAGCTAGCAGCCTCTTCGTATTTTTGGGTTCCATTCATCAGAAAACCTCCGTCGCTTTAACTATGGCTCATATGTCCCACTACATTATGATCTCCAAGCAGTCGGTCACATTTGTGCCCTCTGTCTAATACTGATTGCACCATCTACAATTTTGATACACCTATACACCGCATGCTCTTGTTCGTCTTACTGGTGGACCCATTGTGGTCTACTGGGGCCAATGGAGCTCATCTCGATGTTAGCTCCTCTTCCTATGGAACCTGTTCGACTTCGCAACCTAGATATGTTTTAGGGTTGGTCCAAGTATAATACTCTCGCAGGGGACAACTACCACAACTGCAACTACAACCCTACATTGTTAGCGAACAGGACTCTGCTCTTGCTTCTTACAAACTTATATAAAATCATCTAGCAAAGTTCGCCATTCTACATGTGTACTCGAAAACCTCTAAAATGTATAAAATTCGATCTGTTTGTTAGACGAATATGGGGTATTGTTGAAATAATAAAGAAATTTTTAAGAAATGATACATTTTTTGAATTTTAAAATGAATACTGGTAAAATGACCTCCTGTGGTAGTGCGCGGCTTAATATCTGTTAGTGACGATTCTGTGGGAATTTGTGTGTTATTCACTTAAGCATTTTGTTGCTTCTGGTGTATCTACATGCGATACTCCTAACTGGTGGTAGTGATTGAGTCTACCTTGGGTACTTCTAGCTTAATTGTGGTTTTATTCTGACTGAATAGTATTAACTCTCTCCTAAATGCGACTTGGTTTCGTATACACTGTATATTTAGATTATGTTTACATAATTAAGTCTCGGGGTTTCTGAGACTATTAATATTTAAGTATGGATGGAATATTTCTCAATTTATACTCCAATTCAACTCACATCGATTTTGTAGGTTGATTATTTGGATCAAGTTTCCTCTTCTATTGAGAGCGTGTTTCAGAGCTCTGGATATTAAATCGATACATCCTTTACTAGAAATATCACCTAGAAATGAAACATTTACTGCTTTTAGCATTGGTACTTTAAAATTTGATTTTTCTCCCACTAATGACCAACCATATTCTCTTCTCATACCAATGTTAAATACAGCTTCATCTATAAAAATACAGCTTTTACTAAAATCAAGCTTACCTTTATAATAAGTATCCTGTTGAAATCTTTTCTGCTTGAGTTCTTTCAAATATTGGGCACTTTGAAAATCGTTTAGTAGTAACATAATTATGCAAGGCGCTAAGTTTTACATTGAAATCTTCAAAGTTGGCCTATTTTCTTTCCAACGTAGATTGCAAAGTGAGTGTTGAGTCATCCTTCACTATGATTCGTAAGAATTCTTTATGTTCATCTGAAAGTAGAGGTTTCATAGGTTCTTCGTAAATACCATTGTCCTCCTTTAAACTTCTATTTCAATTTCTTTTCCAAGCGTGGGCTGTCTGTGAAGGAATATCACAAATACCAGCCACTTTATAGACAGAGCACCCTTCCTCAAGAACAAGTTGTCAAAAATGTTTCTGGAGGCTTTCGGGATGGTGTCTATACGGCCCTCTACTGTTGATTTACGATTGTGCACTAGATTTCTTCTTTACATTAGAGGCTGTCTCTACATTAGAGGCTGTCTCTACATTAGAGGCTGTCTCTACATTAGAGGCTATCCCTAAATCAAATTCTAGCTCTATATCAGAGCTAGTTTCCACTTTTATCTCTGGGCTTCTTTCTTAGGGATCATGCAAATCCATTTCAAAAGAATCACCATTATCATTGGTATTACCTACATTACCACCAAGCGCAATTTTACTAATTATCGTTCTATTGGTATCACAATCAGTATCAACATCACTCTTCTTAACTTCCATATTTGTCTGGTTCCTAAGTAATCTGCAACCCTTATATATAAGACAGTGATCCAAGGAACAATTTTCACACTGAAGGAGATGGAACGAGTAATGGAAAAATAAACTATGGAACGAGTAATGGAAAAATAAACTATGGAAAGAGTAATGGAAAATAAACTATGGAACTGAACGCAAGAAGGCAATAAACTTTCCTATAACAATGATAGTCTTTGAAAATTCCACCAATTCCCACAACAGTCAAAAACCACCACCACTACATTTTTCATCGCTGTCAACCAACACAAACAGTGCAAGCATACGTACATAGACAGAACTATCATTTCAACTTCTCCAAGATTAAATGGGTCCCCAAGACAATGAACGTAACCCTTGAGAGTGATTTCAGCTCGAAAATACATTAAACAAATACCTTTAGAATTAACTTATTTGCTAACAAATGTCACTTATGTGTAAAAAGTTCTATAGTACGGAATACGCCTTAATGTTTATAGCGCGCTATTTTTAGTATTTTTTAGTAATTGATTTTAAGCACTTCCTACCCTGTTACAATAAATTATATTTTTGGAACGAAATAATAAAGCTAATTATTTGGTCTAATATTCATATCTTTGTTTTGATACGTGTGCTACAAAGAATATTTAATTCCCAGTTTACTTTACAATTACACGTAACATAAATAAGCATATCGTTCATGAGCAATATTTCATTAAAAATTTCTCTGTTTTTAAGGAAAATATTATTGAAACAAAGTTTAACACTGGATTCAGTAAAGGACTTTATACTTTATTGCGCAAATAACTTCCAATCCCAGATAATTCCTCTAGATTTGGCTGGCCATTAAAGAAATTGGGTCTTCTTGACGATTCACGTGACGAGATTATCCCATGGTGCTACCATAATATTGAATTTTCAGTAACAAATACCTTAAGTTGTGAGAGCTATGTAGGTAGTTTATTGTGTCTTTATTCCCCAAATGTGCTTATCTTTCAAGCAGAATCAAAATTCGCAATAGGGTGTGATGATGTTTGTTTAAAGACCCGGATAAAATATATGTAAGTATTCGTATTTCCCACCGATCCACAAGTCCGATGAAGCTGGTGGTTGCGAAGGCCCCCCATAAGCTGTTGACATTGCGAAGAGTCAGCATTTATTAGCTTACTCTAAATTAGTTTTAGTAGCTTTTGAGAAAGATTATTCAACTCATTATGGTAAATTCCTTGTCCTTCTTACTTTACTAATCCACATACCCACTCTGCTGTATTTTTACCTCCTATAAAATGTCAAAATATTTCTCAAGTGAAGAAATGGTGTTTTGAGTATGGTTGGTTATTTGGTGTACTTAGGTCGTGTAATATTCAATATTTGGGCGAAGGTATTGAATGGACCTTGAGTATGTCTGGCTCAGGTGGTAGTTGTTTTAGTTAGAATGAATTGCGATAGTACTTTCCTAAGTGCGACTTGGTTTCCTATGCACTTGTATATTCAGATCATGTATCCTTATATACTTAAGATCTCGGTGGATTTTAAGACTATACACTTCTAAATATGGATGAAATGTATCTCAATTTATATTCCAACTTCATTCATTCTTCTTCGTCGTTTATCCCCTATGTTTCAATCTCCTTGTTTTCAACCTCCTTAATTATCACCACTTGGTCTTATCAGGTTTACCACATCCCCCTTCTTTTTCCACCAAATTCCCTAGTCATCATTATCCCATCCTTACGTCCTTTATATGCATCAGAAATTCGCACCCTTTGCAACCACATCTATCAATTTCTGAACAACTTTGGGAATGATTTCTCATGACCCCACATGTATATGATGTTTAATCAACAATTATCGCTCCTGTAGATTAAAATGATGGTCTGAAATCAGATTTATTTAAAATATACTGAGCATTTGGAGTCCTTAAAGAGTGTGATCACTAACTAACTTATTTACTGTCATTAAATATACCAATTACCTTCGTTGGCTCTTTCACATATTTGCTTTCATTCAACGGACATTTCTACATCATAGTAGTACTTGGGCAACGTTCACACCCAGGCTGTTGATTACGACTGTTGATGAAGTTTGGACTCAATTAAATTGGCTTCTAATTTAGAATTTGACTATTACATAGATATTTATTCAAACGATCAATAAGCCGTGTTGATCACAGTAGCATTGAATCATTTTTAAACTCATCTTCAATTGCGGGTCTTAAAATTGGACTCCCTTTCACTTTGAAAACTGCTAAACGAGCTAGCGCATCAAGCCCATGTTATCAGCTTTAAAATTTGTATAATTTCTAAAACATATACTGCCTTTAGGATGCTTGAGAGGTCTGGGTTATGATATATTAGCTCAAAAATTATTCAAAATAAAGGGTAGAGTATCTCTTAAACCATTTTAATGGTTTTTGGATCAATGTTTTCAATAAAAAAAATTAGATAGAAACTACAATATGTCTGTTCTTCATGTATGCTTAAGAACTGCATATGTGTATTTCAATAAAAGTTTTAATATTGAATGGTTAAATAATTTATAACCAAAAAA